ATGTTTTACTTCTCCTAGGGAAGTCCCCTCGGCAACCCAGAAGCTGCACAAGGCGCAGTGCCCGAAATCTAAAAAATGATGTAACGCTCCACATTGAGAAGACGGCAGGTCCGACATAGAGGAAAGAAACCCCCCGCCACCAGAGAGCGGAATTGTGCGTCGCATGCACTCCCAGAACATCTTATCTTCCCAGAAAACGTGGCAGGCAGAGAACACACACGGCTATCAGGGGACAGCAGGATGATCAAAACAGAACACGTGCCACACCTGGACCGCTCATGGAACCACATGTCCTCTTCATCCTTGCTGGGCTCCTGGCCGCCCAGCAGCTTGGCAGCTGTCAGCTCTACACCTTCCACATCCATCGCCGCCTCCTCGCCATCCTCGGAGCCCACTGCTCGCATGAGCGCCTCAAACAACGTGTATGCTGTCAGCGTCCGCCGAGCCGCCATTGCCTCCAGCGCCTCTCGCGTGCCGGGACACCTGCACGAGTACCACAAGCTTGTGAGTCTCCCATCTGAAACCTGCATCCAAGAAACAAACAGCGCCTTTGAGCACAGACTAGAGCATTGCTGAGTTGGGCGCCCCATGCGCCATTATGCACAAAACTGAATTGCATTGCATATCTTTGATTGGTCTTCCTCAATCAATAAAGAGGCGGAAGAGATCACATTGCCCCTGTCTGCAGGGCCTGCAAAGCTTGCACGAAAGCTGTTCTGTCGGAGGCATGCAGGTCCTCAGAAGATACCGGATAGCCTACACATGCTTTCCCTTTGATAACACCCGCCGCGCAAGGAACATGCCGAGATAGCCAACATAGATGCTGTCGCACCTAGCGATCCGGGTGGCATAGGCGACATGTGCCAAGTGGTGTTCGCCCAGCTGCATGTACACGTCAGCAAGGGCGGCCCAGGAGGTCTCGTCGGCTGGCGGCGACGGCTCCGATGCCGGCGCGGCCGTCTCAGTGCGCCTGCGCTTCGAGGACTGCTGATCGTCCGCTGGCCGCTGGCCCTTCTTGCCGTACAGCATTGCCTCCTCGATCTACAAAACAGAGACACATGATTGAATGCCCTTGAGGACGCGCAGTTGAATCTGCTAGCACTTCTGCTATAAGTAACGCCAGAACTTTCCTCCATAGACGCATGAAGCTGGTGATTAGAAATCCGCGTAATTTTTCCAGCACACCAAGATACTCACGTAAAAGAGGCACAATATGGCAGAAGTGGTGCCTGAGCATATTGGTGCGCTGGAAGCGAGGGCATTAAAAAAAACACACATACGCTCGTACAACCATCTTCTACTCTCTTCCTTCCTATAGGATGCAGGCGGTCCAAATCACAGCTGGGTCTAGGAGGGTCTCGCGAGAAGCAAGCAGCAAAGCAGATGGCAAGAGAGCGCACCGCCAGAGCGCCGGCTTGGAGGCTGCCAGATGCGGTGGAGGCCTCGGCAACAATCACGGCATCCACGGTACCGCCGCGGTCCTCAATGGCGAGCCGCTGAAGCGCGCCGACATACGCGGCCGAGCGGGGCTTGCGCTCAAACGCGAGCGCCAGCGCCTTTCGCAGTCCCGGGACGGCGCCCGGCGCGGCCGTGCGCACCGCCTTGAACAGCGCCTGCACCGTCAGCTGCGCTGCCAGGCTGTCCCGGCTCGCCAGCACCCCTGCATGTATCCACAATTTTCCTCAATCACCCTGTAGTCCGCATGTGTTCCATACCCCTGTTAAAACGGAAGAAGTTCTACTTAATTACTGGCGGTGTGCCCAGTACAGCAGAGAAATTGCTGCCCTTGAGACACAGCCACAGAAAGCCAAACCCGTGGCACGGAAGGGTGACAACATACGTTGCACAGCAACTCTTTGCAGCTGTGCACGCAGGACCTACAAGCTGTATTGATCCTGTTCAGTGAGCGCACGTTGCCCCTCGGAAGCCATGCCCTGACGTGTGGGAGACTATCCAATTACTTGGGTGCCAGGAAGGGAAGAGGACACTTCATCAAGGGAGGCCAGGGCGCACCTAGGGGAGCAAGGAAGGCTGCAATAGAGACGCGCTGGACGTCGGGCAGCTCGCCGGTGCGGTACTTGCGCATGAGCGTGACCTTGTTCTCCCGCGCGGCCACCTCAGAGCGCTTCAGCTCGTTGCGCCGCCGCGCTATCGCCAGAAAGGCCGCGTTGTTGCCCCTCAGATTGCTCACTCGCCTGTGCACACCCAGCAAACTTTATGGGAAGGTGCACATCTGCTGCGAGTACTGGTGACGCTGCAGCCAAGAATGAAATGTAGATATGTTGTGTTATACACCAAAGGCATTGTCAAAGCGCAATCTGAGGGAATAGTAGCACACGCTGAACCCAGGCAGACAAAAATTGACTAGGACATTCGTAGAAAGACTTGAAGAGACGGCGACAAGTGTTCCCAAGCTCCAACATGCTCTTCATTCCGTCGCACCGTGCATGCCAGGAAAGCACGCAGGTTCAGGTTGTGAAACACAGCCACAGGTTTTGAGAGCTTCATGATTGCCTGTATACGGTGGTATCTGGGGAGAGACTGGAAGCTGCAGCGCTGCTGCCACCACCACGGGCTAATACGCCGCCGATGGCCAGGCTGCCGTCCATCGGTAGAGTGAGATTGAGGGACAGGGACGCCGTTGCGCCTTGTGTCGCCCTCACAAAGCCGGCCTGTCCCTGCAATCATGCAAGAAGGGTCTCAGGTGACCACCCAGTAGGGCGGACAGGGCAGGAGCAATCCAGGGGTGTGATGTGTGCGTATTAATGGTTTAGGGTATCATAACTACAGTCGCACAGGGAGCCAGCCACGGGCTTAATCATGGTCAAAGCTCATGAAGCGAGAAACTCTCACAATATAGAACTCCAGCTGTTTACTTCAGGCAGAATGTGTGAACCCCGCCTTCAAGGATTGATTGGAAGATGGAAGGCAGGTTGATTTAGATCCTGCCACAAACAGACAGCCAGCATCCCAGCTCATTGGAGAGAAACGCATCCTGAACTGAGGCTTCTTCCCAAGTGCTGGCATACATTAACTAGTAGGAGAAGATTAGTCCGGGCACTTGTGGTCCATGGTTGGGCCTTTTCAGCAGGTGGTCTTCGTACACAACCTTTGATTCAGAGTATCTATGCAGGCGGCAAAAGCTGCTGGTTGCATATCCCGCACCTGTGTCATCTGCATGGAGGCGCCACCGAGCCCCCCGCCAAAATCCTGGCTGGCCGCCTGCGAGGCAGCCGCCTCCCATGATGCCGAGAACAGCGGCGCGATGGCGAGTGTGGCCTTGCTCCAGGTGTCGATGGGGTACTCAACGAATTTGCACTCCGCCAGCTCAGCGTCGAACAAAGGCGCCTCGTAGCCCCGCGCGTCGGCCGCCGGCCGCAGCAGCAGCGCCGCCGCCGAGCCGGGCCACTGCTCCTCCAGCCGCTCTCCCTGCGGCACATGCATTTCTTTATTTGTAGGTTTTGTTCTGAGCTCTTTGAAGCTTATCGTTGGGGCAATCACAGGCATTAATATAAGCCCTAAACGATGACGAGAGGACGCAGCTCTCTGCACGCCCACTGCTGCTTCTGCTGTTTGCGCTCCACGGTGCAAGGCCGGCGCCCTGCAGCTGGAGTCTCAACAAACGCGCATCGTTGAAATATACACAAGGACAAGAAGAATACACAGAAAATTCCAAATCTTCCAGACATCCTCCAAACAGCTGCCCAACAGACCGAGGCTCCAGCCTTGGAGCACCTCTTTTTGTCTGATGCTGGGAAGAGTAGCAGTCTAAAGCATGCCGCGGCAAGCTTTGGAAGTTTTAATGTTATGTCTTGCTTTGTGGTAACAATGCATGTGTTAAAACATCCAGCAAACTTCTGCACTACACTGCTGATTAGGCAAGCCACAATTCTCGACCACACTCCTGATGGTGCAACAAACTACTCAGAAAGTGCTTCAAACGTACAGACAGGCTAATAGTACTCTCCGAAAACACCCATTGTGAGGCTCCCATACACGCACCCACGCGGAGGCGCAGTCGAGGCTGTCGGCCAATAGAATGCGCAGCCGCTCGTCCAGCGCCTGAGGCAGCGCGGAGTGCCAGAACGCCAGCGTATTGCCGCGCACCTCCGCATCTGCATCACCAAGCAGCGCCAGAAGCGCCGGCCGCAGCCGCGCCTGCAACGAAACAAATTTTAATAGAGTTCAATGCTTCAGCAATACTCCTTTCTCATGCGTCAGCATAATCTGATGGTGAGCTGCCACATGCAGGCTACAGTCTTCACTACATCCAGATGCATGGACAACTTTGGCAAGACTCCATTGTGATACGTGCAGACCTACCTGATGCTCAGCACAGGCATGATACGTGAAGCAAATCAGCTTCCAAGACTGCAGCTCTCTAAATGTCACAGCCTTGCTCAGACCTGACGCTGTGGTCTGTCAGCGTCAAGCACTTCTCAATGTTAGGAATGGTGCGAGGTGCGTCCCAAGAGCTTTGTTGGGGATGTGATCCCCATTGATAAATTTTCTAGAGAGAGGTGCGCACATGCATGGCTGGCCGGGTCTGCCAGGCGTCTCGCAGCAGCGTGAAGAAGTGCGAGCGCACGGTCCTGCTGGGGTGCTGCGTGAAGTCCGCCGCCGTCAGCACCAGCTCAATCGCCCACCCTGCAGCAGCGACTCGATCTGATGACCTTTGCAAGGGCATGGACACATGCATTACTAGAGTTAAGTATTTGGTCAAGGTGCGTGCATGTATGCCTGGCCTTGACAGATCCATATGACTCTGTTTTTCACACCAAGACATAAGATTGTAAGTGTTTAGTGCAATGTCATCCTCTTTTTAGTGAGAGGACTGGGGGCATCCCCAAAAAGGGCAAGGAGCCATGTCAGCCCATGACAATTGATGCCGGAGGCGCGCCTGCTTGATTGTCCGAGGCGCGCGGGAGGAGGTCGTTGTGGTGCAAAAGTGCAAAATATCTTTCTCATCTTGACTTGTATTTCAAAATCGAGTGCAGTGTTTAGTCTCTGGGCGCGCCTGCTCGGTTGTCCGGCTCGCGTGGCAGCAAGTCCACAAGCAGGCGCAGGGCGGACGACTGGATGGCGTCGTTGGGGGCGGCCAGCGCGCGGCCCAGCTCCGGCCGCAGCTCGTCCAGGAGGCCCGGCAGGGACGCCGCACGCCGCCGAAGACTGTCCAACGCCAGCACCCGGAAGAGGCCCGCCGTGCTGCGCAGCCGCCACACGGTATATGTTATAATAGCCGCCACTGGCTATGCTTGTCAACCAAAAAATAGTCGGTTTCATTTCCGACAGCCAATTCAACGTCCGCAAGGCAGACGCACCTCTGTATCCTCACCCAACTAGCACAAACCCTCCTCCTGAAACGGGAATGCACAGACCTGCTAAATCAGCCGTGCTGAGCAGCAGAACTGGCCTGATTGTAAAAGACCATGGATGCCATCAGACTGATTTTGGATTGCAATGACATGCCCAGGCTACAACATTGACAGGCCAAGGGAATCTTGCAAGAGCTATACTTCACAGTAAGAACATGGTGAAAACATGGACCTGCACCGACTGCCGGGGGCAGACCTGCTTCCCAATTCAAGGTCTATTCGCTGTGTGAATGGAGGCCTATGTTCAACACCATCTGAGGGGTGCACGCTGGAGGTGACACGTAGCTGAATCCTGGCATGCCAGGTCAGCTTTGCAAGAGGTGGATGCACCTGTTGAAGGCGCCCACTAGCTGGCTCTGCAGCGCGTCCACGATCGGCGCATGGAATGCACTGAGCCGCTCCACAGCAAACAGAGCCCTGCAGATAATACATTTACTCAGCATTCAGCCACACAATAGTCATCCCTCATCAACACCAGATAATGTCCTACAGTAGAGGATATGGGTTTTCAACTGCACTAAGTCAGCAACAAAAAAATATTGAGATTCAAGGTATGCAGGGACGCCTGTCCCATGCTGGTCTCGGGAACTCATCTTGAAGCAAGTTGAGCTTATATAGGTGTTCTTCCCAGATAGTAGAATTGCTTACTCATGGTACATCTTACAATCTTACTTTGCTGACTGGATTGGGCCAAATGGGAGAATCTAATATTGAGAGCATGCAGGTATGCCTTTCCACACGCTGGTCTTGAACCCTCACACTAGCAAATTTTCCCTACAAAAGCATTGTGACACTATGGTAGAAAGTCTTACGCGTCCGGGCGGCTGTTGAACACGCCGATGAGTGTGCCGCGCACATCGCTCTGCAGCTGCGAGGCAATTAATCCCAGGGCAGCCTGGACGTCAGCGCCAAGCCGCTCCAATTGGCGCAGCAGCAGCCCCGCCGTCTCCCCGGCCTGCACAGCCCAGTGTCTGATTTTAGGGATTTTGGCTGCAAGCCAATGTGGCTGTGGAGCTATCACTACTTGGATTGGCTGAAGCAACAAAGGCAACAGACAAAGGATATAAGAACAGTCTTCCCCCAGATTAGTATTCGTTAGGCAATTCAGCGAAATGTGGCTTCTCGCAACTGTGAATACTTTCTTGAAGCCTTTCGGTGGCTTCCAAGAGGACGGTTCAGGGTCGCCAAGAGGCCACAGCAAACATTCTAGAAGCCAATCTGGCTGTTTGAAGCCACAAAAAGGAAGCCTGCCTGCGTCACAAAGCGCTGCCCGCCATTGGCGCCCAGCGCGTCAACCGCCCTCCTCGCCAGCTCCTTCCCCCGCGGCCCAGCCAGCACCGCCTTCGCCTGGCCGTACAGCAGCCCTGCGCATGCAGAAATTGATCAAGCAAGCAATCTAATCAGCTGTAGCTATCAGATGAGCTTGCAAGGAACACATCAGGACTGGCCACGGGATCATATTTTGGAATATGCCTGGTACGCACTCGCGCATGCAATCTACCCTGCAGTAGCTGCAAAAGGGGCTTGCAAGGATTCATGAGGGCCGCTGAACTGGCCACAAAAGCACCTCCTGTAATGTGCCTGGCAGCCTCTTGCTTGCTCGCAACTCCGTGGGAGTTATAGTGTGCATGCCAGTTTGTGTACTCTTCCTTCGTGACCAAAAGCACTGACAGAGAGTGGAACTGTATATCCAGGATTACTCTCTGCCACTGCAATGATCACACAGGGAGGGTTGCATGAAGTGCGCATGCACAGTACAACTCTTATGCTCTTCTCCAAACTGAATTCCTGCCTCACCATCAACGCACCCTACCCAAATGTACAATCAGACGCCATGTGCCAGTCAAGCTTGCAGAATGGTGCAAGAAAGGGACATTCTGATCAAGAAACAGCGGCCGCGCGCACCGGCAGCTAATATGCGGAGGCCGAAGGTGCGCTGGTCTGCGATGAGCTTTGGCAGGCGCCCCTTGGGCCCCTTGGATGCCTGAGGCCCCCCGGCGGCCACATGAAGGGCTATGGCGTCCCCCGGCGGGGGGACCGTCTGCCACCGCGCGATGAAGACCTGATGGCACGCACAAATGGCAATTAATAATATATAGATATACAAAATCTCGATATTGGGCCAAATGATCTTGTTATGTTGCACGATGCACACTTGATGACATGCACGCATGGAGAAATGCTCCCAAAAATTTCAGTTTTGGGCAAACAAATCCTGTGGATGCCGCCAAATTAACTTCTTATCTGTAAAATGTCACGTTGAGCGCTGGCTTTGAGAATCAGAGTCAGGTATCAGATCAGCCTTGAGCTGGCTGAAGGGATGCAATGGGGTTGACTGACACCTTGAGCAGGCTGAAATTATTGCGCTGCACTGCCCCCTCCTCGTGAAACGCGGCCCTCACCTGCACCACACGATATGGACTCAGTGCAGATACAATAATAGGAAAAATGCATGTGCGCTTGCCTGTCCAGCATGTGCTCAATTGTATGTGACCTACATTTTCACACACAAGCAGCCATCTAAATCTGAGGTTCATGAACAGAGTATGAGTTTTTGGGCTGGTGCCCTGTGCTGCATCCCTCTGCCTCTTTGCCCTCTGCCTCTTTGCTTTGCCTCCAAGCCTTGCTGTGCTCTCACACCACATGCCCAGATAACCTTGTAGATCAGGGATGACCACAAATATTGCGCTCCACTGGAGCTGGGTCATAGTCACTGCAGCCCAAGAGTATCATGGACCACTGGAGCTGGGTCATAGTCACTGCAGCCCAAGAGTATCATGGACAATGAAAAAAATTGGCATGAATTAGAATGCGCACCAGGTAGTTCATGAGGGTGGGTGCAGCGCCGCCCCTGGGAGGCACAGGGAACAGGGCAGGCCAGCCCAGGAAGGTGACACAGGCGTCCAGCAGGAAATAGTGGATGCCCACTTCTTCTGGCTTCTCCACATCGCCAATCAGAGCGTCCACCATTACAGGGAACCACTCTGCTGCAAAGCGACCGAATATCGATGGATGCCCCTGCAGCCAACCAACACTCTCCTGATTATTATGTATGTCCTTTTTTCCAACCTTCCAAGTTCCCAATACCTACTGTTTATTATGAATGTTAACCCTGCCAGAGGCAAGGTGCACGTGCAGACAAGCTGCGTGTCAAGGCTGCGAAAACTCCAACCCACGTTCCCAACTCCCTTCCGAATTGCAACAACTTTGGTACATGCAAGTGCCTCTCCCTGCTGCTCAGCCACACAACAGCCCTCAAAAGAAAAGGAAGCTATAACCAGCGGTGTTTTGCAGTGTTGTGGGCGGGAGCGAAGCAGAAACAAGCCTGGAGAGCAGGGTCTGTTGCAGTCCTGGCGACATGCCGTTTGTCCACATGAAGGACGGCCTTGGTCAGAAACAGGCGGACGTAGTGGGGCACCGATGTATCAGACACTGCGCTGTGTAGGAGCGCCATCCAGGCTGGCATGCCCTGCCCGCCTGCATAGCAGATCACAAGAATAGGCCTGTATGCTCACGATTGAAGGCGTGTAATAAAAAAACAATGCTCTCTATATGCTGGCTGGCGGGGGGCAGCACAAACTCTGAGCACGTGCCTTCGGTTGATGGGTCTTGCTTGGATCTGGCGAGTCCAACATGGAATATGCGTATGGCAGCCTTTATCTGCAGTTTGCCTTCAGACGCAACTTGCCTCTGAGAGTGTGCGTGTGATTACACCAGCAATAATTATTCTTTACTCTGGCCTCCAGCAAACACAGCGAGACACAGAAACATGAAATCATGCGCTCCTCGAGATGGTTGACAATCTCTAACCCTGGACATCTTCCTTTAACAGAGCGAGATTTATTCACTTACCTGGTTGCCACAAGGTGGCGGCCTTCTCTATGAGCTTGACCAGGGGCAGCATGCAGGGGCTGCTATCCAGCTCATCTTCGCAGGTCAGGGGTTCATCGCCAGCTGGTTTTAGAGACGGGGCGCTCTCCAGCAGCTCATCCTGCGCAGAACCAGATTTTGTCATGCAAACCTTGTCTAAAGCATGGGATGGTTTGACAATCTACTGCCCCTGTGAGCAGCTACAATTGCCTTTTGTCTAGATAATGATGATCAGGACATGCCCTGTATGTGCCACTCCCTGCCCGCACCCATGCACACACCAGTACATGCCAAGAAATTGCTGACAAGAAAGAAGTCGAGTATTTTATATTGTGCAAAAGATTCCATAAGGCAGTGTGTTTCACCTGGAAAGTGTCATCATTGAAGTTCGCGGCACCGCCCAAGGAGGCTCTGTATGCTCCCCCCATGTTGTCACTGGGCTTTGTCTCATTGGCATCCTTAATCTCCTCTCCTGCACGTGTAAGAAAGTCGAACAATCCACACTTGTCAATCGAAGCCATGCATGCATGGTGCTGGACAGCTAGAGCTACCGCTACATGCATGCGCGGATGCCTCGCTGCAAAGCATCATTCTCAAGGCGCAACTCAGTCAATTTCAGTGACTGTGCTGAAGTCAGAAAGTTAAGGAGCTGCTATGCTGTGGAAAATACTGCCGCCATGCACCTGAACATCATGGATTAAGAAGACGTGATGTAATGATAATAAAAAAATAAATAAAATAAATAATTTTTAATAATAATAATAATCATAATTAATGCTAGATTGATGCTCGCACCAAGAGAGTATTGTGAGGAGTTGAGCTTGTCAGTGAGGGACGCCGTCGCAGACAGGCTGCTGAGCGTGCCAAGCGTGCTCTGCGTGGAACCTGCCCGGTCAGTGCGCAGCTGCCGCTCGACTGCCTGGATGCTGCCCAGCGCGCGCCTGGCCTGCTGCCCGCGGCTTCCCTCCAGCTGCACTGGAAACTGCAGCGCTTGATCCACATCAAGCAACCGCGGCCACGGCCCTGCGTCGGAATTTGCATTTGTGTGAGAACCCTTCAGCTGCCTCAATCCATTTCAAAGCTTGAAGCTGAAAGCTCGATGCATGTGATGGACTCCCATGTCTCTCCATGTTAATCCATGAAGCTTCCTTGTTTGTTGGATGCAAAGAATCTCAACGGCTTTCACAGCAGTCCAAAGAATTGGATTTACAATGTAGTACTTTATCGAAAAGGAGTCTTGATTGGGGCTGATCTGGAAAGATGGTATGAGAAGCCTGCAGAAAGGATGTGAAGGCCCACCTGCAGGGTCGGCTGTCTTTCCAGGGGGCTTGAGGGGGTTGGCAAAGAGGCTCTCCTTGTCCTGGGTGGCAGCGATGCAGCCTGCAGCTGTGGCGAACGCAGCAGAGCGTGCAGAACGGGCAGCAGGCTCCAATGAATTATCAGATACACTCAACTCCCGGACGTCCTTCATGGCCCAGATTGTCACATCCTGCATGCCAAATTTATGAGTAAAGGCCCGCCCTTCACGCACCTTTGCTACTTTGCTACGCATGCTGTGATTGGGTGCCCCCTTCAGAGGCCATCTAGTTAATGACGACAAGAGGAATACAGATGACCATGAACATGCAAGGGACCTCTTGCATGTGGCATGCAGACCTTGCTATGTAAGTCCGAAGCATGAGGGAGGAAATCAGCACCTTGTTGCCTCCAATAGAGGCCAGGACGTGCTCCTTGATGTCCACAGGAGGAACGGCTGCATAGATGTGCTGCAGGACGTAGTGCGCAGCTTCACGTGCATACAGGCCAGCCTCCTCATCTCCCCTGCACAGTCACAATGACAATTAGCATGTATCACCTTTTGACTCATGGTCTCTGCTTGAAGACGAGGAATAATTTGGCCAGAAGATTGGGAAGAGATGCACTGTGAGGGTAGCAGAGAAGGCAGCACTCACAGGAGCCCAGGTGCAGAGGTGGGTGCCCGAGAGAGGATGTCCCTCAGGCGAGGTGCGCGCTCTGTCAGGTAGGCCTTCTGGAATGCCAGCGGGGCAAAGCGCAGCGCAGGCAGCAGAACATGGTGCAGCATCGCCCTCCTGCAAGACAACCACTTCCCATTATCAAAAATTTGCAGTATTAAATTGTCGTGACACCCTAAGTGCCTCATTTGAGCCCGACAAAGTACAGTTTTAATTGAAGTGCACGAGGTCCCCAAATGAAGCAAACGGCATACTCATGATAACATTGGTATATGTGGGGGCGTGCCTAATGTCCAGGAAGTGTAGCGTGCCGCCGGGCGCCTCAAAGACAAAGCCCCACGCAAAGTTCAGCAGCGCGGTCGCCTGCGCTTCTGACCTGCCCCCATCATCCGGTGATGCTTGGCCATGTACTCCTGGCAACTGGGCAGTCCTGGTGCTCTTCCAGGGAGCAGCAGCAATGAGCGCCAGGCGCGTCTCAAGGCTGCTCTGCCTAGTGTGGCCCCGGGCCGTGCCCATCTCGCGCAGCACTGGCAGCAGAGCCTGCAGTCATGGAGCCACGCAGCAATGAAACTCAAGCTGCACTTACCGCGCGTTGCTCACCCATGCATTATCATAATAAGGACGGCCGGATGAACACCGCAAGTACGGGGCATAGCGACTTGTTTCCTAGCCCGGCGGTTATCTGTCATTTATGGCTAAAGCCAACAGCCTCCCAAGAACACAAATCGCCAGTGCGCCTTAAAACACGAGACAACATAATGATGGGCAGGTGCTCACCTCCAGGAAGGCCTCGACGCGCGTGCCGCTCTCGGCAGCCGCCACAGCGGCGTCCAGCATGGCGAGCAGCTGCGCGGCGTAGTCTGTGGCCTGCACAACAATGAATACATCCTTACAATACCATTTGGATTTTCAGACATTACAGATCAGGGCTCGCAGTCGGTGAACGGACACTATATCCAATTTTGCCAAGATTTTGATGAGTGGGAAGCTGTGGAACACTAAATCAGCCCAGTGTCGGCTGGTACGGTGTGATCTCTCACTAGATACATACAAAGAAGATGCAGTCTGAGATTTTTAGTGCCTGCATGGAGCAAAGTGTGGCAGTGAAATTTCCAGTAACTACATTGAAATTGAAGGCAAGGATTTTTCAGTGCCTGCGTGGAAGCGCGTGGCAGCTCCCAGGAAGTTGCGGGGAACAGGTCGGTGGCGATGCCTTCCACTGCGTCCAGCACGCGACGCGCATTGTCGGCCGGCAGCGCCAGAAACGGCGCCAGCAGCCGCAGCGCCTCCGTGCGCGCCTGCGTCACCCGCGACTGCTGCTCCGCGTTGCCGCCCCTGTCGCGCGTGAAGACAAATTCAACACCATGTCTTCTAATAAGAGAGGCACAGACAATGAGACGAGCAAGTAAACGCTTGCGCGGTGACGTGCTCATCAAAGCCTGAAGGAAGCAGCTCAAAAAGGTGGTTTTCAGCTCCTAGGAAACTAAGCGCTTGAGAAGAATACCTCTTGTGTTGCCGTCTTGACCAAGCAGTCCAGTGCATTATACAGGGAATTTTAAACCAGGTGGATTTAGGTTTCTGTGCCTTATAGGAATGAAAGGTCAAACATGGAAGGAAGAGTATGCCTCGTGTTGAGGATGGTGAGATAGCCGTCCAGCAGAAAGCACCGGTCTGAGGATATAGAAGGCAGTAGACAAAAGATTCTGGATCGAACCAGTCTTCATCCCCAGCAGCATGGAAGAGGTAAGGGGCAAGCGAACCACCTGGTGTTGAGTATGGTGAGGTAGCCGTCCAGCAGGAAGCAGGAGGCCTGCTGCGCGGGCGACAACACCAGAGAAGAGTCCATCTCCAGCAGCTGGCGCAGCAGTCGCAGGAACGCCATCCTACGCTCGGACGAGGCCGCGCCCTCCGCCAGCATCGGCCGAAGCCGCGGCAGCGCCGGCAGCAGCTGCCCCAAGAATGACCTGCGACACCACCACTCTCAATACTCAACCCCACTCGTTTTTCTGAACATCATCTGAAGGCACTCAAGGTATCTTGTGGAAGTGGGATTCTCGCGTAAGGTCTTTCAGTTGTTTCCTTTTGTTTATGCAGCACAAGGACTGCAAGAGGCCCACTCTCTGGTCAGTTCCCTGGTCATCCTCAAGACAAATCCCTTTGCTGAGACTCCGTCCTGCTTTAGATTTGTTGCGTGCAATCTCTACTGTGTGGTGCATGCAGAATTTAGTTCTGAGTTCTAAAGCGCAAGCACCTGGCTCGGGGGTCCAGGCGGCCGGCCACGTGGCCGCGCAGCAGCGCCTCCAGCGTGCCGGACAGGATGCGCTCGGCCGTGTCGGCAGCGCCACGCGCGTCGGCGCCCAGCTCCTCGCAGAGCGGCTCACACACCGTGGCCGCATTCCAAAGCACCCAGCTGTGTACCTGTTCAGCATGCTCATATTGCATCTTACCATATCACGTTCTTATCAATATCTCCTCCTTTTCCCTTCTTTCAACCGTGAAGAGCGCTACCTTGCAGGTGGTTGACAGGTTGTTGCAACGCATGTGGCCCTTTGGACTGGAACATGCATGCGAAATTGATTAAGTCCATGCTTCTGTTGTCACCACAATAATGCAGTCATCAATTCCTGCCAAGCAAAGATCATGTAGAGTCCAGAAGATCACTGGCGATATTGGGGATTAGCGCCTATCAAAGCAAGTTGCGAGCCAGCCCTGCATCGAGAGAATTTGTCTGGGTTGGGCACTTACCGCTCTGCGGAAGCTCTCATAGAAGGCAGCGCCTGTGCTGGGGTCGAGGACCTTGTCCAGAAGGGCGCTCGTGGGCAAGCCCAGGCGGATAGCAAGGTTCAACGCTCCCTCCATCACCGGCCGCTGCTTGGGCAAGAGACTCGCCGCTGAGCGGCTTGCAGTGTCCAGCAACCTGCATGTCATTGTTCAAACATTTTTCTTGATGTTCTCGCTTAAATTCTTTATCTGAAGGCAACTGCTCCTGATATGCTCGTGATATGCTCCTGATATGCTCGGCCTATCAAAAGCACAGAAAAGCTTGATGACACCCTTGTTTATGCTTTCTTTTTCTGTACACAGCACAACCTGAAGGCAGCTGCACCCCTACTGCTCAGTGTCTCAAAAAACGAGCATGCATTGCACCTTGAAGTTGTCACTCAAAGGTCAATTATTCATATGTCAAAGATTTAAATGTCAAAGGAGGAGGTGGCAGCAGGAGGCAGGAGGCTCACAGCTCGGGCAGAGAGGACTTGACATCTGTCGGCAGCAGCTTTGGGTCAAGGCTTGCATCCAGCTCTGCCAGGAGGGTGAGGCCTCTCAGCCACGCCACCGAGTCTGGCCGGTCACTGCTGAACATCTCCAGGGCGCTCTGATTAGCGCTGCTCGCTGCGCGCCCCTTGGCCTTCTGTTGTAGCAGGGGAAATTGGGACAGATTTCCTGCCAGGGCAGGCTTCAGTGCGAGTAGCAGCACCTTGTCCTTTTTGGATGCCACCTCCAGGATACCCTGTGCCAGATACAGCAACACTAATGAGTCATGCATGGGTCATGCCAGATAAGAATAGAGTTCAACAGCACTGGAAGCTTCTACTGTGCCAGGAGAGCCTTTGAAGAATGTCAGCTGTCATGTGTTTTGGGTATCTATAGACATCTGGGTTTGCAGGGAAGAAAGAGGGAAGGGTAGATGATGTAAAAAACGCAAGAGAGCGCTTACTCTGGCCTCTGCAGCAAACTTGCGGGCTGTTTCATCCTCTGAGGGCGGTATGCCCAGGCTGTGTGGGGACAGCAGAGCGGCCAGCAGGAAGTGGTGGAGCCCTGATGAGTCCTGACTGATGACCTCTTCTCCAACAACCTGCGGCTTCAAACAAAAAGATATTCATCTCAACAACACATCCTCTCTGTTTCCTACTCAAGGGATATATTTCCGGCTATCCTTAATAGGCTAGCTCTAGATACCCCTGCAAGTCCTGAGATGAAGGATACGCAGAGATTGGAAAAATGCAGCTCACCAGCTTCAAGAAGGCAAGGGCTCTGCTGGCGAGTCGCTGCCCCTCCTTCTCAGCACCAGCAAACTTGCTGCCGCTTTTTGGTGCGCCGCTGTCATGCAGCAGGTCGAAGTACTGCTCCAGTGCAGCCACCACATGCAAGCTCTTGGCCTTTGATCGACTGCTGGGGAGTGATAGCGTCTCGGGAAGCAAGAAGCCTTGCTCCATGCCCCACACTGCCCAGTGCAACCGCCCTTCTAGTTCCTGCAACCAGCCATGCCATGCATGTTGCTATTGAGCACAGTCACATCATAATAATCATCAGCATCATCATTACATGCTTCTTTTCACACAGGCATGCTGCGCAAGTCACAATCAATGCTTTTGAAACGTGGCACAGCCTTTGCGGCTTCTGAAAACGATGCCATAGAGTGTCTTCTGTGAAGCAGGCATGATGGGCACACCTGCAGCCAGCGCTTCATCTGCATGCCGCCCACGCTCGGCACAGGCGATGACATGGTGACGAACTCCTGAGCCATCTGCTGCTCGGTCTTGGCCTCGCTTGCCACATGCGCCGCCACCCATGCCGCTGATGCGCTCAGTTTCTTTCCATCTGCAAACACACAAAATTCCTCAAATACAAGCAGATCCACAAATGGCTGCCACACCTCAATACCATATCCAAGTCTATTATTTCCTACAGTCAGAGATCGCTGCAAAGCAAGAACAGGTGACGGCAGGCAATATGGTTATGTGATTGCAGGCCGTATAGGTGTATTAGTCTGCAACAGCGTGTGCCGCACAGACGACGCGCGGTAAAGGATTATAAAGTCACACTTCACGGCCATTGCAAGCACACTCGCAAGCCAGACACAGCACAGTGGAAGCCAGATTAAAGGTGGTCATGCCTTCAGCTGCTGCATCAGCCAGTTGGAGTGTGGCCAGGTGCTTGTGCAGCCACATGGCGTGGCCTCTGAAGAAGCGCTGTCGAGCGGCAGTCAGCGGCCACAGCCAGGCCAGGAAGCTGGACAGATCAGGCAGGCCCGGCCTCGCCGCCTTGCTAACCCTTAGCTTGTCCACCACCCGGGGGCGCTTGTACATCGCCCTCACCAGCTCCTTATAACCCCACAAGCAATCAATATCAACCATCAAGGCATGCAATGCTATGCCCAAACACAAACATGGGCACACCTATCCTACGGTCTTAATGGCACTTTTGCTGTGATTACGGCGACCACATCTACGAGTTGTTTTCCTCACCAGTAGCACAGCGTTGATGGATGAAAGCACAACGACTTTTTTGCCAGGTGGCTAGGAGTCTCAACCAAATTCATCACCAATGCAATGTCTGTACAAATGGCTGTCAGGTCTCCGGTAGCATTTCGTCACAATTCACTCTACAAATTTAACCATGTGCCGGGCACCTGCATGGCCTCGGCAGCCTGCTGGCGCGTGCCGGTGCCGGCAGGGTCGGCCTCGGCGGCTCGGAGCGCTAGGACCACCTGCTGCAGCGCCTGCAGCATGTATTCGTCCGCCAAATCTGGCTCCCTCGCCAGAGCAGCAGCGCACTGCTTCAGCGCCAGGCTCGCCCCCAGTCTGCAAGTCATGGGAACTTTCAGCCGCGCAAGCAAAACAATAAGCTCACGTGTGCGGGGTGACACTGCGAGTGAGACCACTAAAGCATGCCACCGAACACAAGCATGAAGATGATGTGGCATGTTAAGAAGCCCAGGATAGTGGATAAACTTCAATATTTGAATCTCTGGCAAGGAAGGCCCTTCTGTGCCAGCTTCAATATCCCAGACATGGGCGATATACCCACCATTCTACTCACGACAATTTGGTGAGGAACAATTGCTCCATGGGAAGAAGCCATGGAATAAAGCTTTATTGGAAGAATCACCTCTGGTAGGGTTCGGGGTGAGCGAGACGGTCAAAGAGCCGGCGCAGCAGGGAGGCCGCATTGAGATTGCCGCCGGCACCGGCTCGGCCCGGCTCGGCGGGCGCGGCGGGGATGTGCTTGGCAGACCAGACCAGAAATTCTCGTGTCGCAGTTGCGCACAGCTCGCGCAACGCGCCGTTCTGGCTGTCCGCGAGGCCCTCCAGAATTGCATCCAGCAGCGCCATTGTCTCGGCCGCCTCCCTGTGACCGCAGATGACCTGATCATCAGCCTTGCCAATTACAACTAATCTATCGGTTCATTTTGCAACATTGAAACCTCCATCCCTGAGCAACTCAGGAATAGCTGCTCTTGTAGCTGAAGCTCGCATCCTCATAGATCATGGCAATGTTTTTCCAGTGAAAGGTTTTCACTGTGTCGGACACTCGCACACAGAAATATCGCCAGAGCAAAGCATCACATGCACATTTTATGGGGCCTGCAAGATAATCTAAATAGGAAAGGGTCTAGTCAGACAGGGAACGGGGCACACCTACGGGCGGCGCGGGTGAACCAGTGCACGAGGGACATGACGAGCGGCTCAAACAGCTGGCGCGCCACCGGCTCGGCCCCGGCCGCCAGCCGCAACGCGACTGGTAACGCGCGCGACAGGATGCCATGGAACGCCGTCGGACGCGCCTGGAAGCAGAGTCACCGCATGCCTTCAATTTTCCGAAGAGGAATTACTACTGTTACACGCATTTTCTGCCAAGAGGCCAGGTGCATCTGCAGAAAAGCTGCAATTCTAGGCTGTCAGAATCTTATTCCTTGATGAACACGCCAAATCCAAGCAAGACACAATCCACCATGAACATGGTGCGCAGCATTAAACCTTTCAAAGTATTAAGGTAAGAGTCGCTGGCATTCCTTGGAATTGCTTGCATGCAACGTCATATAGTTCATTGCATGACTGCATGCGGGGTGCGCATGCCTGGAAGTCCTCAGCCGCGTCGCGGCTCATGGGCCGGCGCGCGTTGGTGCCCACCATCCACAGAATCGCTGCGTGCAGAAACTCGCACGCTGCCACCCTTGTCGCGCGCTCAGCGCTCCTCTCCGCCAGCTCAGCCGCCTAATCACAGAAATATTGATTGTTTTGAGATTTTGCTTAATATCAGTTGACCTTCGATATCAGACGTTGTCACGTGTGCCGTGCGGGCACAGCTGCATGCACGGCAAAGAGGTGGTATAGTCTGATGTGTCGAATGGGTGGTCCCATGATCCCCGTGATACACTGGCACAGCTGCTCGTCGCAAGCCATGGAGTTATGGTTCTGCTCTTCTGTTGCATGCACATTACTTTGACTGTGAATATGGTTCTGGTTTCCCAGCGACTCACCAGCGGCAAGATGGTGTCCAGCCACAGCACAGGCTCCTCCAGCCCGGGCAGGGCCGCTCTGATGCCGATCTTGTCCTGTGGGTCCCAGCGGCGGCTGGTTACGGCGTTTGCGTGGCCCGGCTTTGTCGGCGCCAGCACCAGAGCATCTGCCGCTCCCCCCAACCTCCCCAGCCATGCCTGGATCTTTGGCTGCAGCGCTGCCAACCCCTGCAATATTCGTGCACCGTTCATGCCTGTTTTTGAGCTCTCTTGCCATTCACAAAGGGGTCCCCGTGGCAGAAGAGTACACATTCGCATGCAAGGCCCCAGATGTTGGTCTTGTAGCAGCTCCAAAACTGCCACAACCAAACATTTCTACAGGAGGCACATATAGGTAACACAGTGGAGCATGCCAGAGAATTGCATGTAAGAGCAATTACATGAAATGCACCTGGAAGCGGGCGAGATGTGTGCGTTTGGCAGCCGTCTCGGCCTCGTCGCGGATCCGTTTAAAGGCCTCCTTGGCGGCTGCATCCCCTTCATCCGCGTCACCCTTCCCATCGGCTTCGCTCCCCTCCGCCGCGTCATCGCCCCCCGGCGAAGCCCCTTGCACGGGCAGCTCCGAGGCGCTGATGGGCAGCAGGTATGGCTCCAACAGGGGTACTATCGCCGGCGCGAGCTCATCGAGCGTTGACTTTGACCGGCCCTCCAGCCGCTCCAATGCGCGGAGTGCGGTGGCGGCCAGAGGCGGATACTGCAGGCCCAGAGAAAGTGCTGCCTGTAGCGGGCCCAGCATCTCCTGCAAAAACAACAATCGCTTACACTCTGGTTCCTCCTTCTTTGGAAAAGGATTGATGGAACCGCTAATCCTCTCAAATGAGGGCTGTGCTGCACCGTGGGCCGGATGAGTGTGGGAGGCGCAGAGAGCAGTAGGTCCAGGACAGCGCTCAGCAGCTCGTCCCTGTAGCGCCTGGAGGCCACTGCCACCTCCCTCAGCCACTCTCCCACCACCTGCGCCCAGATGATGATGACGATACCACTTACGTATGATTGACAGCCTTCTCTGAACTGAGCTCACCGCAGCGTGCACCTGAATTCCAAATACTTGGGATCCCACGTTGTCGTCCAGAGGACATGTCCAGACATCAGCGCGACAAAATGCCTTGTAACAGAACACAGGGCATGCACTACTTGCTTGCAAGGATTGGAATGAGTGATTGTGTAAAGCAGGGAAGCGTGAAGCAAGATGTACCTGGCCATAGGCGATGTGGCCAGCGCTATCAGGGCTGCCTATTTCGTTCTGGCTAAATAGGCCGCCCTCCTCAGACAGGCGCAGGGCCACAGCCATCATGCGGTAGAAACCCGACAGCAGCGGCCTATTGGTGGCCCCTGCCATCACCTCCACTCCAAGGACATCTGCCCACCTGAAAGGCAAAGAAAAGCATCATATTACATAAATAATGTATTGCATGCTTTTCCTGCCATACTCGGTCGGAGCCAAGGTGCAGATGCACACAAGCTGCATGTGAAGCCTGCCCCTTATTGGACTTGCTAGATCCGAGCATCAGGTGATGATCAGAATAGCCACAAAAAGCAAATCCAAATGCAGGCGATACTTGATGTCCTCAAGGAGGGACTCCAACATGTTTGATGAGGACACCTGCGGTGCACTGCAGTGATTATTCTCTACATACTGAGTACAAGTATCAGTGATGTCGCAGCTGTGTTTCCATGCGTTGCTCTTGGAGAAACATCTAGGAGGTCAAAGATACTAGTAAGCAATATAGGGAGTGTGCGCACCCTCGGAACGGCTGGCCGCCGCACAGCGGCAGGAAGTCAGTCAGGAAGCCAGACAGGTTGAGGAACGCGCGCATGTCGGCCATGTTCTGCGGCCGCAGCCCGGCCCCAATGTCCGCCTGCACTGCCGAGCCCTCCTCTTCCTGTATTGGACGCCAATACGCCAATGCAATTGAGATAGTTTTATACCACACACTAAGACCAGGTATAAAATGCGCAAAACACGACAAAGATGGCTGATGAGAATGGGCTTGTCTGCAATATCGGAGCACGGAGGGGCTCAGAATATGTCAGGGACGCTATCTTCTCAGTATGCTGCGCTATAAGATTTGCACGGTTGCATGTGATGCAGAACCTGCCAAGTTGTTGCAGGGGCATAGTGGCCTATTGTTGTTAAGGACGATAAACGAAAACAGTGTAAAGCAGGAACACCTGATCTGTGATCTCCACTGGTGCAGCGTGGCTGTCTGGCGCCTCTGCCACATCAGCAGTCTGGTAGTATTCCAGGTCCAGGTTCCGCAGAGCGTCAAGTACAGCCGTCAGCAGCGCGTCGTACAGTGGCTGTGACCAACCGTGCACCTGGCCGTTTGTGGGAGCGCCCTGTTGAGGCAGCCCCTCTCCCTTGATCAGAGCCGCCCACAGCGGCAGGTATGCCTTCCAGGATGAGTCAGCATCCTTGCTGGCCGTGCCGCCTGACGCAAACATGCACACAGAACAAGCCTCACAACATGCCATATATATTCAACTCTGTTGCAATCCATTGGTGTGCTCCTGCGCAGGTGATTTGTGCAGGTGATGGCATTTCTTCCCACGTCCTGTCTTTTGGGAAATTAAATCGTCTAGTGCCCCAACAGACTGAGCCAGGTCTGTCCCTGCTCTTTCCATCCCTTGCTCTGCATGTTCAGTAAAAAAATGCATACGCAGAGGTCATTTGATACTCATGTAAAGTACAAGATTGCTCTAACTAGGGGTCACTGGATCCGCATGTTCGGCGACAGGTGCCCCACCTAGAGGTCATTGGACACCATACAGAGCAGAAGATTGCAAAGGACCTCACCTGGCTGTGGGGCCGAGGGTGCATCAGAGGGCTGGAGGGTGTGTGTGAGAAGGGAGGCCACAAGCCGCGGCAGCAGCCCTGTCAGCAGCGCCTGTTTTTGGGCGAGAGCGGCCAGAAGGCTGCACAGCGCTGTGTGCACCTGGACCTGCTGCTTGGGCCAGAGAGAGGGGTAGGCTCGGCTTGCTCGGCTGGCTATGTCCAGGCTCTGCTGCAGCGTCACCTCTGGAATGTGCTCTAGCTGCGCCATGATCTTGGACAGAGCTCTGAGGAGTGCCACCTGCGCGCGGCATGCCTTGCTTGCTCCCTTTGAGGAGAGCCAATCACGAGCCCCTAATTAATACTTCTTGCCCCTTTAGTAATGAAGTTGGCCCTTCAGAATTTATTTTGTTTCAGTAAGTCATTTGAATGAGGAGTCCATGTCTTCCTTGCCCTTATGCACAGCGCTGAATACAAGCCCTTTCATTGGCACCATTGACACCAGTGTTTTTTAGAGAAGGGGTCGTACATCATAGGTTGTGTTCTCTCCTGAGAAGACGTCACCGCCCTCAGTCATCGCTGACTTCTGCCCGAGGGGTGCCAGGTACTCCAGCAGCTTCTCCACCCCCTGCACACAAAAAAACCCCTTCCTATGAGTAATGCAGAGGATATACATCTATGATGAGTGCTGCAGATCTAGTAAATCAAGAAGTAGCACCCCCTGAGTAATGCAGCCAGATTACTGTATAACATGCATAAAATGCACTAGAGACATGGAAGAATGGAATCGAAATGCAGGGGACTCCACACTAACTAATTGACTTAGTTTAGAGTCCCCTGTTTAAAGGGGTGTTCAGGGATTTGTCATGTTGCTCTCCAGATTCCCACCTTGGTGCCGAAGTATTTCTTGGTGGCTGCAGCAAGCTCTCCAACGGCCTGCACTGCCACGGTGAGCTCCTTGCCCGAGGTCTTGGGATCCGTCAGCCGGTGGGTGAAGTACCCCAGTATGACGGCGTGCGTCTTCTGCTCTGCGCCCTCCTCGCACATGGCCTCCCCGAACTGCCAAATTGAAGTTCAAATTTGAATTCAACCTATCCTCACATAATGGCTTATAGTATGCCTCGTGCATCAGGGACGCATCCGAACACAGCAAGCACTTATGCAGATTTGCATGCAGTGACTGTGGCTAGTGCAGCACTTGATAACCCCAAAGCAAGAAGGTGTGGCATGGAGTCAGTCATGGACTCATGCAAGGCTCCACAAACAGAAAGTATGATCTGGATTTAAAACTGACTGTACCTCATGGAGAGCTGCAGTGATGGTGTCCTCAGCAGCTGCCCTGACATCCTTGTTGGAGTGGGTGGCCTTAAGAGAGGTCAGCGTCTCAAAGACCAGCCTTGCATTGGCTGTCAGCTGAACCCTGAATCGCCTTGTCTGCAGCAATTACCACACAATCTCACACCACTGAGACAAGTGTTCTTGCTGTTGCCTAATTTGCAAGCATTTTTGGGCCAGAGCAGTATTAGGCTTGACAGGTTCCTGACGGGCTGCAGACACATTGATATGAAGACTGCCTACAAGACCGATGAGCCTCTGGTGGCGCCCAACAGGTCTTCACAAAGATAATCTCATAATGTAAATATATATACATTATATCATCTCAGTGTTCAGAACCGGAAGGAAGAGTGTAGCTGACCTGTGTGATGACCATGCGCATGGCTGCCTTGAGCCCTTGGTACCTTTTAAGCCCATCCACACTTCTGATCGTCCTCAGAAAGTAGTCCCAGGCCACTGCATTGACCGCCTGCCCCTCATCCTCCTGTGCAAGACAATACTGCTATCATCATTGCACGCCTTTCCCAACCATAAGGATCAGGTGCGTCGCCGCAGCGTTATGACAGCCAGACATTGACATTCCCTTTGTCAGTGACAAGACCATCAATCAAGCAGCAGGCTGGTAACATCCACCCCCCCACCCATTCTGTGCGTCTCTCAATAGTTCACCAACTAGGAACTGGTCCTCAGGTAGGCACATGCTTGATCACTTTTGGTTCACACTTGTCTGTTAATATGCTTATTTTTCAATATCCCTTGTCTTTGTTAGTGCAGCACGATTTGGATGTGGGCAGGCCATATCTTGGAGGACCACTTTTGTTGGCATTACATGATACTGTGCGGATTGAGCAGGGAGCAAATGCATTACCTTGCAGGCGGCAAAAGCTGCAGACAGGCCGGCCAGAGCGCCGGCAGCCAGCCCTGCTTGGGCCTTGCCAGATCCAGAGATTCGGTCCAGCACTGAGCGGCACTCCTCCAGTAGCCAGCTGGGCTTGAACGCTCCCCCTCCAAAGGCATCCTGCAGCAGAATATTTCCTGACTCTCTTTGCAAAGACAGAGGTCAAAACTCTGCATAATGTCTTTCCGTCTGTTTGCTGACTGATTGACTGTAATTAATTGATGGATATCAAGATGGCCCGTGGTGTAAGATTGCGCTGTACCTCGGGTGATGCCTCCACAAGAAGGCCCAGCGATTCAAGGATGGCTGCCTTGACGGTCTCAGAGGCTTTTTTATCCCGCAGATACGTCCCCTGCAGCTGATCCGCCAGCGCGGCTGCCTTCCTCCTGCATACATTTGCGCCGCCTCAGCATGTTCCTTCTCCGTGCCAACCCCCCTGCTCGACTGGCCTGCCAACCTAACTCCTGCTTTCCAAGCATGCTCTAAGTGACACGGGCCAGTTGTGGGCTTCAGGAAACAGGGCAACTCCATGCCATTTGCATGTTATTTCTCGCTGGCGACCAGGTGTCACACTATTGTTACCTTTTTCACACATGGCAGGAGAGTTATAAAGGGTGGAAATTAGCCACCCACCCATCTGTGGTCCAGGGCCCTATTCGCAGCTCCAGGGCTGCTTGCAGTGGCAGCAGCGAGGCAGCTCGGCAGTAGTTGTCAATCTCTCGCCTAAACCCAAAGACAGCCACATCTTCGACCGCGACTGCCGCATACGCCCTGGCACGCTCTGCAGGTAGGCTGCGCAGGAAGCCGTCCAGCCACTTGTAGATTGCCTCCCTCACTTTTGCATGCCCATCTCGCTGACCTGTACATTGGAATGACAGATGTTGGCTCTCTTCAAGGGGAGATTTTGGTTCTGTGTTCTGTGATGATAGAAGGGACCCAATTTGAGATCAGGCCATAGCAGCCCTTTCACCCACCTTTGTGCTTGATGCTCTCTGCCACAAACGCTGGCAAACCCTCGGCTGAATCTAGAAGCACACTTGCCAGCAAGGCAACCTCATCCTCCGACTCGAACTTGCTCCTGCACAAGGTCGTGTTTAGATTTATACTTTAGAGTTTTGTATGATTGGCGATCCCAGATCATGATGTTTGAATAGTAGACAGGTGCAGTACCTCGCAAATTTCTCAAGAGCAGCCCATGCTTCTGGTGCCTCATCTGCCCTGTCCTTGGCAGCATCCTCCACCAGCTCCGCAAGCAAGGAGCGCAGTGCCGTTTGTGCACTCATATTGAGCTTGTTATGCGAGTTTCTTTGCTTCCTGCAGAGCAGACGCACCACAAAGGTTGACAGTGCAATACTGTGCACGATCTGGAAGCTACCATGACAGGCTCGGTTCGGCATGTGCATACTTATGATGCAAATCTGTTTTTCTTTCACGCGTCCCTACTGCGCCACGCGGGATTTGGCCCCAAAATAGGTGCACGTAACAAGAGCATGGACGACATCGGAAGTCCAAATCTAGGAAGATAAAACGTTGCGTAGACTCCAAAAGTCTTCTAACTTACCTTCAAAATTTGTGGGAACTCATGATCATCAAGGAAACACTTTCATGAAAAAGTAGATGCCGGCATTCGAGCATGCTTACATCGGCTGTGCATAATGGAGATCCGTGGATGCATCACTAGCTAGCTTGTAACATCAAGTATTAGGGTCATTTTTCGATGTCACAGAACTTTCATTACTGCTATCCTTTAATGTATGAGCGGATCAAGTTTTGTTTGTCGTCCATCAAGAAGGATCTGCGTCCCCTGGATGTGACCAACCACCGTCTAGTTTCACATTGCAGACTATCACTGAATATATGTCGATGTTATGACGGTTTGCAGGTCTCAAGAATAGACAGTCCTCCTTGATACATTCAGCATGTCATGCTTTGCTAAAAAGAACGCCGCATCCCAATGCCGGTGCGTTCCGGAAATGTGATTCATCCACAATCCATCAGCAAGTAGTCTTCTGCAATGACATACTAAGGCGTTCAAGTGGCAACTGAAAGGAGTTGTTCAGGAACAGTGTCTTGTCGAACTGGTCTCTGTGGACTTCAAAATATCAAAGTTGTCGATTGATTTTCATTGGCAACTTTGAACATGAACTTGGGGGCCCTCTCCTCGACACAGCAATGCTTAGGTCTTTCTAAAAGCAAATCTTCTCTAAAAACCAGGTCAGGGCCGTGTGGCGCAAGCCCCTGTGCCTCTGGCTGTGGGCATGGTTCCCTGCACCACAGAAGCAGTACCTGGAGGCTCCAAGGCTTGTCATCACGGAACAGATGCTCATTCGTACGACAGCAGACCAAGGTCTGGTTCCACTGCGGGATGCACGTTCTGGAATGGAATGCTTCCCACCCAGATCACTCAGATCATGGAATCCTTTCAGAGGGACGTGTGGGAAATTGTGCAGGCGACCTCATCGACATCCTTGTGCCAGCCTGCTAGCTTACAACCTCCCACGAGACAATGGGGCAACATAAGGAGAATTGCAATTGCGATGGTTCTTGCAGCGGTGATCTTGTACAGTCCTGCGCAAGCGCTTGCCAAAGCATGCTGCGAAGGCTCAGCAAGGCATGGCTTCTCAGGGGCAGTGCAGGGTGAGCATATGAGCATCTTGATCAACAGGCAGCACACTTGCTTTCTCGCTATAAGAAATGAAGAAAAAAATGGTCTTGCGCAAATGTCGAAAGGGCAGTCATGCAGCTCCATGTTCTGTGCAGGTCTGCTGGACTTTGCTCTGCACCTGGACAAGCACTTGAGCGCCATCATTGTGAAGCATGGAAGAGCGACTTACGCCATCCTCTGGGCCATTGTTTTCGCAGAGACAGGCCTTGTGCTGACTCCCTTCTTGCCAGGTCCAAGCCCATCCTTTTCTCAGGACCATCATTGTGATAATCTGTCAGGAGCAACCCCCTCTTCACCCTCCTTTTTTAGCCATCCAGAACCGGCAATGGCAGAGGCTGAAGTTTTCCTACGACCCTGGAGTGTAGGGGACTCTCTGTTGTTCGCCGCTGGAGCGTTTGCAGCATTGGGCTCACTCAATCTGTGGGCGGTGTGTGGCGTCTTCATCAGTGCTGCAATCATCGGCGATGCTGTCAACTATGCCATTGGCAACTACCTCGGTGGGTGCACTTCTGGTGCAATTATCAGCAGCCGAACTCCTGTCTTAGCTGGCTCGTATAGATGTGGCTTACCAGCTATTTGGCTCCAACATCCAGGCCATTTGGCTTTAGGGCATTCTTGACATGTTCAGACATGCGCCGGTGGTTGCATTGGCAAATATAAAAGCTCATGTGCCTTCTGCAGGGACAAAGGCGCTGGAGTCAAATATTGTGAAGAAGGTGAGGGACATGGAACAGTGTCTTCTTGCTTTGCTGCAGCTCGAGGATCGTCAGATGGGCCACAACTGTCTGAAAGTTGTCTCAACAAATGTGTGCACAGTATACAACAGTTCTATGTTCCTGGCATGCAGGAGTACATTGCCAAGACAGAGGCCTTCTACAGGAAGTATGGCGGCAAAACAGTTGTCCTGGCGCGCTTTGTGCCCATTGTACGAACCTTTGCACCGTTCGTGGCTGGCATTGGCAGCATGCCTTACAAAGAGTGCGCCCTTGCTTCCTATTTTCTACTCTTGAAAACCTACGTTTTGGAGTCCCTTCCTCCAGAGCAGATCTTAGGCCTGTAAGGCTGTCTCTATGTCTAATGACACTTGGGATCCAGTTCATGCGAAGAATTCATTGTGCTCGCATGCGCAGGTTCGGGGCTTACAATGTGGGAGGAGCGCTGTTGTGGACTGTACTGTTTGTGGGAGCCGGCTATTTCTTTGGCAACCTTGAGTTTGTGCAGCACAATTTCACCCTGGTTGTGCTGGCCATCGTGGCCGTCTCAGTGCTGCCAATTGTCTTTGAGGTCATTTCCGCGCAGCGAGAAGCTAAGAGAGACCAGTCTTCCTTCAAAGGGGGTGTGGTTGATGTGCCTGATGGACCAACACCATGAGTGTACTGTGCTCTCAGTTCATGCAATGCAATATTGTAATGTATATTATAGAATTTTGATTATGGCATCAGGACAGTATTGACACAGCTGTCTATTACATACAACACTTAGCTTGATGCAACTCAGCACGTGCACAAAAAGCCTCTGCTAGGAGAGCACTGCTTTATTGTCAACCTCAATTAGGACGTCCAGTCTGTCTCAACCCATCAGGCAGTACGTTGATACGCCTGCTCCTAGGCAGACTCTTTCACTGCTTTTGCCTTCTTCTTCTTCTTCGCTGGGTCTGCCTTCTCCGGCTTCTCTATGCCTGCATCTGCTGCGGCCTTCCTCTTTGCAGGGCTGGCTTTGGCTGTGACCTGTGGCCCTCCCTTGGCTGCCTGCTTCTGCATCTGAGGCTGCTCCTTTCCACCCTTCTGCAGCAGATCTGCCAGCCTCCTGAGCTGTTTGCCCACCTGATCCCCACCAAATTACCCATCAGCCTCTGACCAAACAATGCACCACCACAAATGTGCAGTACCAACAAAACAGTATAATGTGGACTTTAAATTGGCCAGATGCATTGTAACGTGTCAGCATTTGCACAGTTAGGACCATGGTGAGCTACTGCAGGCGCTGCAACACATTCCAGAAAATGACAATTTCTTAATTTTAAGTTCAGGTTCAAATCCTCAAGAGACATTTCAGTACCACACATTTTTTCTTACCTTGCCACCCTTTGCTCCAACGGCGCTCTCCTTGGCAGCAACGGCCATCTGCAGGTCGGCTGATCTGCCGGCCAGGACGTCCTGATCTGGCAGTAGCCGCCGCACCGCCTCCAAAACGCCGCAGGCGCAGCCGAGCGCCTCCGCCGCACGCTGCTTCTTGTCTGCCGGCCCCTCCACCACGCTGATGAGCAGTTTCGTCAACGCCGGCAGCTCCTCGCTGACAGCGGCAGCCGCTGCTGCCTGCTGCTCCTGGGAAGCATTAGAATGATGTAACATTATCACCTCCCCAACCCTCACGGATCTTATCGAGCCTAGTCTGATAAGAGGTAATGAAATATCAACTGCAAAAGGACAATTTATTCTTTTCTCCATTGCGCTCTGCTGGATGCATTTTGACATGCATTTAGACAAGAATAGGAACTTTACTGACAAGGTCATGGGTCAGGGCTGCCGCACAAGAGAACTCAGATACAACAGCGTCTTCACTGCTTGAGAAGACGTCATGCAACAGGAACTCAGTCAAGAATCATCTCAGAGAAGCTGTTCCCATGCACCACGCACCTTGGGCGGGTTGAGGGTGATGAGCAGCAGCTGCAGGGCCTCGCTTTTGAGAAAGACATTGCGCGCGCTCTGGTGGTGTCCGATTAGCGCATGGATATAGTCTGGGGAGGGCGCGGCCCTCAGCAGAGCCTTTGCTGTGTTGCTGCTCAGCCGGGTCTTCTTCTTGGTCAAGTAGTCTGCCAGCGCGTCCTTGACAGCCTGCAGCACAGCATGATGTCTCAATTTGCCTGACCTTGCTCAAACAAATTGTATAAAGAACATTTCAAGGCCAACAGCTGGGTAATTGAGTAGCAAGAAATCAGATGCATTCTGAAACCCGTTCTGAAAGCTGGCAGTGTCCATTAAACACATTAGTTTGAGATAACACAGACACATTGAAACGAAAGGAGCCTATTGCATAGACAGGCTCGAAACAGCCCCAGTGAAACAGCAAATTTGGACAGTGCAACTGAAACAAGAGAATCACATTGATTCAATAGGCTAGAAACAACAGTACTGATACAAGAGGGGTCAAATTGAAACAGCAGGCTTGAAACTGTCCCAGTGAAATAAGCAGGTCCCATTGAAACAGCAAGCTTGAAGGAGCCCCATTGAAACAGGCGGGCCCCATTGAAATAGCAAGCTTGAGACAGCTGCATTGAAACAGGAAGCCCTCCTTGAAATAGCAGCCTTGAAATGCCATTGAAACAAGAGGCCCCATTGAAATATAAGACTTGAAAGGGCCCCATTGAAATAACAAAGTTGAGGGAGCACTGTTGCCATTGCAAAGGTGTTTCCAGCTGCAGACGCTTCCCAAGCTGCTGGATATTCAATTCGTTCAGTAGTGGAAGTGAGAAAGCCTCACCTTGTGCGCTTCAGCTGCTGGCGAGTGGCGCAGGACGTACAGATATGCAGTGGAGGCCGTCTGACTGAGCGCCTTGTCCTCTCCTCGCGAAGCCAGGGACAGCAGTTTCCTCAGAACTGCCGCTGCATCCTCTGCATCCACTGTGCCTGACGCCTTTGCCCTGTGTCATTTAGTCAAAATTTAGAATTGCTCACAGCAGCTCTGCCATATTCTAGGTGTGAAGTCTGGCAAATCAGAGAAACGCATGCTTGCCTAAATCTCAAGTTACAGGTAGACCTCACGCAAGAGTCTGAAGCCCAGTACAGACATGCGACAGGTCCTGCAGCTGTGTGCTTCTGCAGGTAAGATCTTGCACCATCCACCAAGATAACGAAGCCAATCGTTCAGAAGAGGGAATGGTAAGCATAGGAGGGCCAAAGGGAGTAAGCTCACTTGCAGAGCTTGTTGTTGACGAGGCCGCGCAGCCGCTCGGCAAGTGCCTGCTGAGCTGGCCCAGCGCGCAGAGCGTGGTGCAGCGACCTCAGCAGCACCGGCAGTGCCTGCGCCAGCAGCCCAGCTTCCGGTGCCTTCCGCGCGTATGCCTCCAACAGCGCTATCACCTGCAATCAAAATCGCCATTCTTCCTTTTCAAAATAGCTTGTTTTGGCGCTGGCCACAGCAGTCTTGCAATTTCAATAATATGTACAACAAGATTTTCCCCTGTCTCCTGGCGCTCGTTCTGCCTTGATGTCTGCATGCCTCTTTCTCGAAGACGTTCTTCTTATACTCCCTTGACTTTTACACCCTCCTAATTGCTACGGCTGGACTCTAGCATCCAGAGGAGTGCAAGAGAATAAACATGTCATCACGTAAGGCATGCAAAGGAGAAGCATCAGTGAATGCATGCACCTGCCCCTGTCAAGAGCCCTTCTGCTATTCTTAAGAGCAGCAAAAAAGGGGGCTTGCCTCGCTGCAGCTAGTCACTACATGTAAAAGAAACACCCAGCAGGAGCAGTGCGACAGGGGCTTTATACCCAGGGCAAGGGCATAATATATCTTCCCCATCAGATATCATCTGCTTGATAATGACCAGAGGAATACATAAGACATAGACAGGGGTACTAAGGGTTGCAGCAGCACACGGGGGGATAAGGGGGGCTCACCCTGAACCTGAGCTGGATTACAGCCTCCTTGGTCTTCTGCACAGTCGCCTTGGCATCCGCAGTGCCGCGCAGCACCGCTGCAATCTTGGCATCCATGCCTGACTCCTCCATGGCATCGTCGTCCATGTCACTGCCAGACGTGCTCGCCTCATCCTGCACCCAATCAAATTAAAATTAGCCGTGAGAATACAAGCGCATGTTCGCAGGGCTGCAGGTACCCAGATCCCTGATATTGTCTCTAGATAAAAACACGTTGCAGACAGAATTTGCAATGTTAGCAGACTGAACGGAATACCCATCTCCCACGGCACACCGTCATGAATTGCCATGAATTAGGGCAGCCTGCCCTTTGCTCTAGGCAAGTCATAATTGCATGCCTCAGGAGATGGCCATTCCGCTGGCACCTACTGCACCATAAAATTGCTATTTACTTGGTCTTCATATAGCCTTCCCTGGTCTCTAAAGCTGGCCCTGACATCAGGCAGGACAGCACAATGTACCCACCAAAGGAGTCAATCACAGGGAGGGCATCCTCAGTACTCAAGGCCACCAATCCAGACGGCCATAAGCACCGCAATATGCACCCTATGTGATTGAAACATGGGTCTCAGGAATAGTGGAGTGAAGAGTGAGGAACCTCATCCATTGCATCCGCAGCCGGCCGCCCGCTCGCCTCTGCAGCGGTGCCAACTGCTGCCCCGTCCACCGTTCCCACATCCTCTTCTTCTGATGACTCATCCTCGTCATCCTCTGACTCATCCTCGCTCCCCTCCTCGCCACTCTCAGCTTCTTCCTCTTCCTCTTCTTCTGACTCATCTCCCTCAAAGATGCCATCTGCTGCAGAGTTTGAAAACGCAACCACCCTCAGCAGATCGTCCATGCCTGCAGCAGCGCGCACCAGCACAACTGTCAGTCACTGGCCCTCTTTTATGATTTGGTGCCATCATGGATCACTTCGCTCTTTTGGCATGTCAGCCGTCTAAACAGCGCCGTAAGGGCGGAACCCTGAGAGCTCCATCAATTTGCGCACCCATGTGAGCATTTTGTATGTAATTTATTCCCGGCTTAATTGTTATAATCTCGTGATATATGTATATAAATAGTGATGCGCAATAGTACTCAATAGTACTTAATTCCCGGCGCAACAATGTGCAAAGTACAGAAGTTCTGGTTGCTCTTGCAGACTCCGGCATCCTAGTGCAGGTGTGGGTTTCAAGAGGAGGACATGAACAGGACTTTTGACACATGCCAACGCTCTAATGCAGGCACAAGTTTGGAGGAAAGCGAGTCAAAAGAAAGCTACAGCACCTGCCGAGGTGAGGTGGGCTGCGCAGGAGCGGAACAGGCTCTCCACAGCGTCTCGCAGCGGAGCAGACGGCAGTGTGGCGGCCGGCACTGACAGCAGGCTCAGCAGCACGTCCATCAGACGGTCCATCCAGGGCGCTGACTCCTCCTCATCCGCACCCTTCTTCTTGCCTGAACCAAGAGACATGTCCTTCGTCGCTTGATGAAGCATTGGCCTGATGTATAGTCGACTGTTAATACAAAATTGACATGCAGTGTCAAGCAGTTCTCTGACCCTAAAGACAATACTCACGTCTCTCCTGCCCACTCTTACTTCATAATTGCATGCTTGCAAAGCCCAATTGGGCTGGAATATAAGGATGATTAGACTTAAGTGGACCGAAAAATAGCGTACACAGTGCTGGCTCTGATGCGAGGAGTAGATTGTTGGCAGTCTTGAGCTGCACCTCGGCTGCAGACGCACCATGCCTCTTGGCAAGAACAAGCATGTAATAGGAACATCAATAAACCGTGCACGACCGCGCACCTGTCTTGCCGGGCTTGGCGAAGGCGTCCGCATGGATCCCAGTCAGCTCCTCCGCCAGGTCAGCGTCCAGTCCCTCTGGGTCCCCCAGCAGGTACAGCTGCAGCCACCGGGCGAGCGCCGCAAACGCGCGCTGCTGCGCGGCCGCCTCCGGAGCCGCGTCGGCTTTGCGTCCGGCCTTATCGGCCCGGGCCGCCAGCGCGCGCAGCGTTGTCACAGCCGCAAGGAGCTCCTCTGGCAACTCTGCTGCGAGGCTCACCCCCTGCATTGCGACAAGTACCAATAATTTGTACTTTTCGAGATGGGCAGTGCCGTCCCTGCCATCCGGACCCCACAGGCGTCAAATGCAGAGGCTCTTTCGCGGCAGGAGCAGATCAGAGTCTCAATGCAAGGCATGCCAGAAAAACGGCGCATCTCTCTCTGCTCCATGTGAGGCATAGCCTTCTACCCATGCATGCACAGAGATCATGGAGATGTTGGATCCTGATACCTCCTTGTACAAGGCAACCTGCAAAGAGATGAAGCATATGCACCTTAGTGTCCTGCATCTGGGCGAGGAACTGTGTGACATCGCGCAGAGCGGCATCCTCCACGCCCCGGCGCTTCTGGCCTGCCTCTTCGGCGCCCTCCTTTTCTGCCGCTGCTTCTTTCTCAGAAGCCTGTTTGCCCTGCAGAGTAGCATCACCATTGCAGCACTCAAACAATGCTCGCTGCGCATTCTGGATGGCATGCATGGCCACACACACTCTGGAGCAGGTACTGCAAACAGGATGAGCATGATAAACAGGAAGAAATCGCCGTAGTCGACGCTCGATCTTGTACATACAATCTACTCAGCTCTACACACTAAAGCGCTCACTAAGGCATGCGCTTCTATGAACCAGCCTAGACTAGTGGCACACCTCTGCGGGTCGCTGCGCAGTCGCGGCGGCTTTGCAGGCAGCGTCCGTACCGGACACCACGCGCGCCGCACACAGCTGACGCACTGCGGCGCTGACAGGAGGGTCGCACTGTGCCGCCTTCTTTAGCACCTCCCCATCACTCTGCACATGGTGAATTCCCATATGGTTGAAAGAGGCGTAGATATACCTTGACAATTTTGGCGTGCCCATCCCTTTCAATCCTGATTAATCATAGATTTCATCTGACAAGCCCTCAGTGCTGCACGAGAGGGCCTCCTTGGTCTGGAAGAGCATGAGACAAAGCTTTCCAAAACGCCGTTTGGCACAGCAGGAGAGCCCTACAGCCTAGATTTGCTCTGTGCTTGGAAGAAATCCAAAAAGCATGTAAGAAGCAGGGTTAAGGTGTTCCGGCCAATCAGACAGCTCAAATTTACCTTCTTCACAGAGGCTGCGTCCACGGTGAAGAATGCGTGAAGGGCGAGGAAGTGCAGCGTGCCAGTTCTGGCGCTGGCTGCCTCCTTGGACATGGACATCACCCCACTCAGCTGCTCCACTGCCCACCTGCACATGAACACTGCCCATCAGACCATGCCACTTTAAGCACATTTGTGCTCAATCTGTTACCTTGATATCTGAACAAAAAGAAACAGACAAAGGACAGTGGTCCTTGGGTAGGTTCCGAGATTGGCACCGCCTTCTGCTGAGCTGTGCAGCAGCACTCTGCCAAGGAAATATAACCATGCAGACAGGCTCTGCCATCCTTTCATGATACTGTGATCGAGCAATGACACAGTTTTCGATTCAGCGTGCAGCCCTGACTAAAAGGCACAATCTCAGAAACTGCCAGTAGAGGAAATTCTGAAGGTAAGGTACATGCCTCCTGCCAGCGTCCTCTGGGCTGGCTTCCTCCTCCGCCTCATCTTCATCCTCGCTGTCATCTTCGCTGCTGCTGTCTGCATGCGTACCGTTTTGAACCGCTGCAGCGCCTGATTTGGCGTTGGCAGGGGCCAGGAACGCCTCCTGCAGGTGGGCCACGTACGCGCACACACCCTCCTCGTCCAAACCCTGCCAGGGGTTACAGAATCATCACCCATTAGCAACCATGGGTAGACGAAAGCTCAATCTCTCCACAATGCGGCTTACAGCACATGACAGGAATGCCTTGTGGCCATAAGAAAAAGCTTCTTCACATGGTCAACGCAATGCAAAAGAAAAAGCTGCAAGGAACAAGCAACTTCCTCTCCATTAAGTATGACAGTTACGAGCATGAATGCAACAGACAGGGAGAAGGCGCACGCACCTGCAGCAGCTTGGCGGCGAACTTGGTCTTGGTGAGGCGGTCAAAGCCGCCGCCACGCTGGCGCTGCAGAGCCACCGCGATCGCCACCCGGACATCCCTGTCAGCTGCTGACTCAGCGTGCTTTGCCACCTGGCACCCATACTTACACCCCTCAACCAATATGTCACGAGGTGAACTTGCATTGCCACAAGCTGTGTATCCTCTAGTGTATCGTGCACGCAATATCAGCTCTTTGTCAGGAGCGATTGCTGAAGGATCGCTGCCAAAATCTCATGCAAATCAGGTGGGCGTCAGAGGTGCATGATGCCGTCACATGCGGGCATGGGGTCGGCACATGGGCGCACCTGTTCCAGCAGGCGCTTGGCGGCTGCATGCAGGTGCGCGTCGGAGTGGCCAAAGCTGTTGACGAGCGTGCGCAGGAAGCGCGGCGTGAACACTAGCGGCACATGCTCCGCCCTGCGGTAGCGCAATTCAAATTTCAAGTCAAGTCAAGTAAAGTCAAATTCAAATCGCGAATGAAGCCACAGTGGCAAGCTCCCAGCCAGGCGCCCGAAGCCTTTCACAGTTGCAAGGACAGTATTGTTTGACCCACTGAACCCTTTCGCCAGGCTGACCTCTTGGTGGGGCATAGTATCGCATGATATGCATCATGTATACAAAGACGGGCGTGGCTCAAACAATTGGGCACTCAAGAGGCAGTCTTGATTCGCATGACGTCTTTTCCCAGCTGTTCAAATTTAACAAATGCCAGTGAGCAGATGCACAAAAGAAGAGAGGGTAAGTCCGCACCGGAGGGAGGGCAGGATGAGGCCGAAGAGCTGGAAGGCGAGGTACTTGCGCTCGTGGGAGTTTGTGAAGAGGTGGCCCTCCACCCAGCCCCACAGGGCGCCCACCTCTGCAGCGCTGGGCACGCCCCTCTCCTTTGGACCACCCTCAACCTGGACGCAGACACAAGCACCTTTTGATCAGTGACCTCGATGTATAGTGACGCCACCCAGCCGCGATTCCAGGGGAAGAGGATCCCAATAGCTTTTCTCTGAGTAGAAGCTCTTTCAACATTTCAACTAACATGCACTTTCTCTCAGACTCGCAGGTTTTCCTACATACACCAATCTTGTCGTTTCACGAGGCGAAAAGTCGAATTCTGTGCTGAATGAAGGGGCTGAAGAAACAATACCTTGGTGGGGGTGAAACCGGGCAGCAGCAGTGCGAAGAGGCTGAACCACAGCGAGTGTATCCGGGGGTGACTCAGCGACGATGTCACCAGCGCCTCCGATAGCGCCTGCAGGTGCCGGCCGGTGAAAAACGCCGCCGAGGCGGCCACCGGCGCCGGGGCCGCGGCCGGCGCGGCCGTGAAAAAAGTGCGCGGCGGCGGCGGCGACTGCTGAGGTAGAATCGAGCATTCCCCCCGGACAGCGGCCGGCATGCGCGCCCACAGCCTCACCGCAAGCAGCAAACCCTGCTTGGCACAATCACATCAGTGGCTGTTCAGCTCGAAAGACAGCTTAGCAGTTAGGTTCCGTGGAACACCAGATAAGGCAAAAGCTACTGTGCCCATTGTGTGACTGGGTGTCACATGAGGAAGACCTGGATGTTGCTGTTTTTGTAACATCCGATGTCAGCCCATGCACCTCAGTGCGAGCTCAACACAGCACATTACGCCAGGTCTTGCAAAAATGACATCCAATTGCACTTCATTGCATTGAATAGACACCACTAAGTGGCCAGGAACCCAAGTCAGGTCATGAGCATGGGGTGTTTCATGGGCGTGCCTCTGGGGTGGCCTCCGAGGCGGGGCACAGCAGCAGCCCGCGCAGGGCCTCATTGGACTCCAGCAGGCGCGCCAAAACAGGCTCGGGCAGGGCCTCTGCGCACGCGAGCAGCGCATTTGCACCCGCCTCGCGCAGAAATGCTTTGCGGCCCATCACGGCTACCAGCGAGGTGACTAGCCGATCCGCCACTGCCGCGTCGGCCGCTCGGCCGGCCTGTGAAAACGCCGCGTAGCCGAATATCCTGCCCAGTAGCCCCTCCCTGGCATCCGCCCCCTGTGTGAAATGGCGATGTCAATTCTCCTCTCTTCTCATGACGATCTCTTTATGGTATCTCTTCATGGTCGTTCTCCATATGTGGCCCCTCTTTAGAACGTAAGTGCGTTGACACAGCGACGCTCAGTGCAGGCATGAAGTCTGCGACCCTCCAAAGCATCAAGTCCAACTCTTTTGAAGTAGAGCAATTATGCTGCACCAAGACCCCTACAGAGACATTTGGTGTATTTGCAGAACGGCAGTCCCCCTTTATCGACTAAGAGACTGCTTGCGGAGGGAAGAGTAGGCACCTTCATGGACTTTGACACTTCCAGAGCAGCGTCCAGCAGGTCCAGTGCTGGCAGGCTCTCGATCTCCGGCACGCGTGCGAGTGCAGCCGCCAGCGCAAGTGCAAACCCCTGCCGTGCTGCGTCATGGCTGGATCCCAACCCCCTTGCCAGCCTCCTCAATGCATACACCTGTTGTGAGCTCACCCTTAGTCAGCCCTAGTCACCCATTCATAGCAGACTTGTTATATTATACGGTTTTCCTACCAGAGGCAAGGTGCGTCTGCAGACAAGCTGCAGGTATAGGCTGCCGAAATTCAACCCCTTCTTGGACTCGCCAGATCCAGCAAGACCCAGTCAACCGTGGGCACTGTGTGTTCAATATTTGTACCGCCCACGCCAGCCGGGTTTTGCATGCAGCAACTATGATTCTGAACAGATAGTGTGACGAAAGAGAATTCAAGCAGATGTCATGCAAGTGAGCAGTCTGCCACTGGAGAGAATTTGCAGGGAAGGCTCACAGTGAGGGGTGAGCATCTCTTGAGGGCCTGCTCAGCCTTCTTGAGGCCCCTGATGCCCTCCTTGCCTGGCGTCTGCTCGGCTGCAGGGGCATTCTCCGAGGGGCTGTAGCCCTTCTGAGACTCCTCCATTGCAAAGGCTAGCTGACATGCTGCGTCCTCCCGGACCGGCTGACCAGACACAGCCAAATTTTGCGTTTCTAACATGAATCAAAAAATGGCAAGGGGATCGCAAGCACCAAACGGATTTCTACTATTGAGAAGGGAAAAAGAATCGTGAGCCTTTCTAAGGGGTTCCGGACCTCTTCCAGTGAAGTCAGATCGTAGAAGAGGTGCAGCACCTGAAACCAAGAAGCATTTTTTGATCGTTGACATCGCTTTGTAGGCAGCATGTTAAGATCGTTGAAAGTTTCTTTTACATCAAAGCAAGAGAACGTTTTAGCAAGAGACAGGACTAACCTCTTGTCCAGCACCTAGTGCGTTTGCCTTGTCTGCAGCAGCCGGGTTTTCATCATCTTTCGACATGATATCGATGTTCATTACGTTCTACACTTTATTAAATATTTTAAAGGACGCCAATGTCCAAAGATGGCTGTAAACAGGGTCATGTCGTGCAAAGTAGAGCCGTCGTCGGGATCGCCGCCGAACGTTTCAGCTTCCAAGAGAACGGCAGCTGTCATGTTCAAACGTGATGAAGCAGACGCACAAGATGTCCGATCTGACACATCAAAACATCCTGAACATCTCAATCTCAAGATAATCGCGTCGCATCGAGAGCTCAGCAAGACAGCCTTCATGACGATATCCAGCAAAGTGACTCGTAGAGTCGGGGACATCAAGTGGTCCACCTACACAAAGTGGGCAGGAGCAGAGGCAGAAGATGATGACATGACCCTGACCTTTGTGCTGGAGGACATAGGCAGATTTGGGTATGGTCTTGAAGGAGACTGGTTTTGCTTTCCAAAGTATGTGGGGTTGGAGGTGGAGAAGAACCAGTGGCTCACGATGGGTGACGACCCAGAGGAGTTGATCCTCAGGACAACGCTGAAAGTTGTCTCGCTACGTTTATTTCCAGAGAAATGCGGAGAGTTTTGGAAGCAGACTGAGAGACCTGCTCCTAATAAGGTGAGTCTCCACAAAGCTCTGGCCTCTTGAAGTTTAAATTGACAACCCAACCAAGTACGGCTGACTTGCAAGGCCTGTGAGCCTGTCAAGGAGAAGTTCACCTGCAGTTTCCACAGGTGTGCAATATGGTTCTGGTTTGCTGTTGACGTGCAGGTCCTCGAAATTCCTCTGAAGGCCAGAAACTGGGAACGTGTTCGCAAGGACGAGCAATGGCAGGCAGCTCTGGAGCTGACACGCCCATCGCAGGCTCTGTGTGACCACTTCAGGAAGCTCTTTCAGATCATCAGGCAGCAGAAGGACTGGTTGGCTGTCACGGGAGCTGAGCAGCGCAGCATGCCTGGCGCCCCAAAACCCCAGGTGCTTGCTATTTTCACAGATTCAATGACTCATCTGTCGGCCCTGGACTTCCTTTGGAAGGGGTGTTGCTGTTTATGGAGCCCAACTCATGCTGACTTGGCTGTCAAGTCAGATCATCTGTGCCATATGTCTGCATGCAGGTCCACTTCAGCGGAGTCTAGCGCAATTGCAAAAGGCCCTTGTTGCTTGGTCATGGCAGTACATTTCCATACGTTTTGTGATTCATCCTCAGCAGCAGACACAATCTTTCAATGGCGGCCATTGATGCGCCTTGCCACTACAGCCATGTCTCCGATTTTGCCAGAATGGCAGCTCTAATACAAGTGATACAGAATGCTTGCCACGTCGTGATAAGGGCCACATTTATATATTTATATGCTGATGTACAGATAGGGACCGTGTCATTGTGCAATGCACTTGCGGTTGTATATTCAGGGCCTAGGTGCCTGAAGCCTCTCATCACAACATTTCATGATCAGCATCTGCTCTTGAAGCAACTTTAATCAACCGCTTCTTGTGCAAAATTCCAAGTATTTCAATCAGCATCAATTCACGACGCTGTGAATTTTCTCAATTCACCATGATGTGATGAGCCTTACTTCAAAACATCTGCTGGCCAGCATTGTGCTGGAATAGAGTCACCGTAAGCACATTGTACAAAATAAAGTGCAAATTCTTCATATGAAGCCCATAAAGGTGATTAAAATGCCTTATCACCCAAAGAAAGAAGAGCTCTCAACTTCTTGCAGTGTTACAATGCCATGCCTAGTCTGACTTGACTCGTCCAGTCCCAAAAAGCATGCTCTTGATGTCATAGCCGCTGCCGCCGCTCTTGAGCTGTGCTGCGCGCAATGGCCCAATCTTCTTCATAATCCAGATGCCCAGCGTCGGCCAGTACTGGCACAAGTAACCTGCAGCCGCACACCGAAAACCCCAGCAATGCTCACGCTGCACGAGAAGAGATATTTCCCACTATATAAGTCACCTGAAGAGCGATCCCTCCCATATTATGACTCTAACCCAATATTATGAGACTGTAGAGGCAGGCCAGCTGCAGCGGTGCACAGACTCTAGTGCGCAGCAGGAGCTGCAACAGGTGTCAACAGGCCAGCGATTTCTACTTCACTGAGAAATTGCTAGGTCAATGCACCTGCTAGACTACACAGGGCAAAATAGTTGGCAGAGCATGCGCCGAGGTCGACAACGACAGACTGACAGCAACGTGCAACGACGAGTTGTCATTGATGCATTTGACATCGCAGCATCTTTGAAGTCTGCCATGCTGCCAGCGCTGTGATATCAACCCTTACGCATACTGTGCCAACCACTTTGTGTGCAATTCTGAGTATGTGTTCACTGCACGCACCCAGCAGCAGGACGGGGTGCCGGGCAATCCATGCCACATCAGCGCGGTTGTATGCGGCGCGCGCAATCAGCTCAGCAACCCGCGGCGGGCTCAGCCGCTTCTTCGCGCCACCGCGCTCCTCGTGCTTTGCCGTCAGCCCCTGCCGCTTCAACGTATGATCAGTGAACGGCACGTCCTCACACCCTGCAAAGGTGTCTCAGCATGCAAAGATGTCCTCAGCAAGCAATAAGACTGGGTGAGGGGTTGTAGATGTACAGTGCTGAGGTGGACGGGCTTTGTCAGCACCTGCGCTGAGAACACATTGCGCGGCGTTCCTTCCGTGCCCGTTGCGATGGGCCCTGGGCAGGCTATTGTCACTGTTATTCCCCTGCATGCACAAATAACGTTGAAACCCTCCCTTTGAATTTGCCCACTTCCAAGCCAGGAACCCCGAATGACACCAGCAAAGGACATATGGTCTCATATGGTACAGCAGAGCAGTTGAAGCAACATTGCACGCCGTAGCAACACCTAGGCCAGATATCATTGGCAGCCTAGGGTTTCTGTGACAAAGATTCAGAGGTGCGCGCCTGTCATTGAGCTCAGCTTGCAGGGTGGAGAAGTAGCCATGCATGGCGAGCTTGGTGGCAGAGTACATGGCCTGCCCCGGTGCTGGCACCACCGCTGCCATTGAGGACACCACCACTATTCTGCAGTGCCCCCTGCCCAGCACACAGAGGACGGGTAATTAATGAGTAATTTCCAGAGGGTGAATACATGCGCGATTGGGAGCAGTAGGGACCAATTGCGTGCTGTCCTCTGCCAGCAAGAAAGCTGACTGTGCCAGTTCTATCGCATCCTTTGTCCTGAAATGTGGTGCTCAAGAGGTATCAAGCGGATGATAGGGCATGCACCTTGAGAGCAAGAAGGGCAAAGCAGCGCGTGTCAGCGCTATAGGCCCAAGCACGTTGAGCTCAAACATCTTCTCAGCCACTTCTGTTGTGGTGTCCTCCACGGCGGCATGCTGGCTTGCACCTAATCAATGAATGATATAAGTGACTGGGATACTCTTGACATCACAATAAAAGCAAATTCTACATCAGCGATTGGAGCATATGCGCAACAGGAAGCTTAAAAAACGATCTGCAGGCCTCTAGTTTTATATCCGGGTAAACTCGCCAAACAGAGAGAGCTACCTGCATTGTGTATGAAGTAATCGACGCCTGCCCCATCAAAGACATCATCGGCCTTGGCTGCGGCGCCCTGGAGGTCTGCGAAGGGCGCGCAGACATCCAAAGGCAGCACCTCCACTTCTGTGCCATATGCCTCCTTGCAGGCTGTCCCGACTTGCTGCAAAAACACAACAGATAACTTCTCTTACGGATTACTGCTATCATTTTTCGCACGCATGTGCCAGTGGAACAGGGCAGGTAGCAAGTCAGAGACCACATACAGTGCTGTGATGAGGCCGATGACCAGTCAATGAGAGATCGCCACACCTCTAGCCGATCTTTATTGCGAGCGGAGAGTATCAGCCGGGCACCATGCTCTGCAAAGGTGAGGGCTAGCTGCTCTCCAAGTCCCTGTAAACATCGAGTGAACATGAGCTTTCGTGTCCATGTACTACTCACTTCGATTACTACGAAAGAGCAGCATCCGGGGCATGCAATTCCATGATGTGATCAGATGGTATCCTGAGCTGGAGCATGTACCTGGCTGGCCCCTGTGATCCAGACCACCTTGTTCTTGAAGGCATCTCTGGGTAGTTGCTTGGATGAGAGCAACTTCAGATCTGCATCTGCCCTGTCAAGCACAACAAGCACACGTTTGTTTTTTGTACGCGGCAGACGTGAGTAAGGAATATGGTTGACTTCCAGCGAGAGACAGGTGAGGCAAAAATGTGGAGCAGTGAGGCGCATTGAGTCTTAGACAGTCACAGGCTGACGGGTCAGGTCCCAAAGCAACCTCAGGAATTTGATGAGCTTCCAGAGGCAGTACAAGCCAGTAGCTGCTGCAGTCAGGGGCAGCCAGTGCTGTTGTATAGCGCCAGCAGCTGCTGTAAGATGAGTTTTAGCAGCTTCTGATGCCTGTGCAAGGCTTGCTTGCACTTCCCTGTTTCTCATCCGACTGGCTCTTCCAAGAGATTGTATAGGTGCAATCAGTGCTCTACGTCCCTTTCGTCCGTCTACAAGTCCTGTGAATCTGTGCATGCACAGTTGAGAGGGTGTCAAAGTCAACATTGACAGATCTGTGCAACAATGCACAAGGGGTCCTGAACGATCACCCGCCATATAAAGATCGATGTCGTGTCCAACGAAAGAACATGCAAAATGGATCAACGAATGCACCGTTTGGGAGGCTCTGGAACTCGATGCCCCTTGCAGGAGAGTGTGCTATCTATACGCCCGCTGTGAACAGGCCAGTGCATCTCCACAAGCGCTCATTGTCCTTGATGCTTGCCACAGAATGGTATCTCACAGGCCCATTTGTTGCTTCGGACGCAAGGTCAGCAAACTTGCTCCAAACCCTGGAAGGGCTCCCCACTGAACAGGTGCGCCTTCCTGCGAAGCTGGAAGCTGCAACGCATTGTCGTGGCAACACAGCTGAAGATGGATTCATGAGGCGCAGAACTAGCCATAACTCTTCAAATTCCCAAAAGAGCTCAACTATCTCCCAGATATTAGCTTGCTAAAAGCCACTGAATCACTTCTCGTACCTGTGATCAAGAGTACAAAGCTTCGTGCAAAGAATTGTCCTCAGCATAATATCGAAAATGGCTTTCCAAGCAGTAACAAGTGGTGTCTCTCAGACCCGCATGTTGACACTTTCATCAACAAAGCCGACGACATCGTTCACCAGGTGTTCATCAATTTTCGGCGCGGCACAACCCCTCGCAACAAGCAGCAGCCGGAGGACTTCCAGAGCCCGTCACGCGGGTGCTGTCCTCGCAAGGGCGTCCACGGACACCAAGCCAGAGATTGCAAAGGTGTGATCCCCCTTCAGTTGCTACATCCATCAGTTCTTACCATCTACATTGCTATGTCGTTGAAAACTGTCTCGGTCGTCATCACGGTGTTCCAGGATGTTCTGACAGAATATGAGTTGCTTGACAACAAAGAAATTGATGAAACCCGTATTTGTGCGCACAGGTTGCAGACAGCATCGGTCTGCCTACAGATGAGGGCCTTTTTGGCTTCAAGCCATTCCCAGAGGTATGCTTCGACGACCAGCAAAGTTGTCACAAAACCAGCAAAGTTGTCACAATTGTCTAAACCTTTGAGACCCCAACAATCGAAGGTGTTCAAAACGTGCCTTCTGTGGAGCCCCTTTCATGATCTCATTGTTGCTGCAAGAACAGCTTCTCGAGTTGCTTAGCAGAAGATGGTGCCACTTGCATCTGGCTTGACAGGTGTCCCTGGCTGCCTGCAGGTGTGGGTGGGCCGCCTCGCCATGATGGGCTTCCTGACCTCCGTAGTGGAAGAGTTCATCACAGGCAAGGGAACTCTCCGCCAGATTGGCTTCGAGACCCCCTCCACACCCCTCTTCGCCTTCCTCCTGGTCTTCTTTGGAGGCCTGACAGCCGTTGCATCAGCCCGCACCCTCTACAAGGCCACAAACAAGCAGATGACCGCCACGTGCGCCTTAACCCATCTCCATGATACGCCTGCTGTTGCTCAGTCTCCTGTCTGCTGCATGAAGCATTGTGCTACGTTGCTGTGCATGCTTGCCCCAACTGTGTGACCTCTTCAGCGCGTCTTTAAAGACTGCATGGGCACCTTAGAGCTTTTAATTTGCTATTGTCGCATGCAATTTCCAGCACTTTGGTTGCTGTGCTGAGTGCGGGTCTGGGCTGAACTTTGAAGAGAAGCGGAAGGCAGGGTAGCTGAAGAGGTCATGTGTCTGCAGGGAGCTGGTGAGGTACAGGCAGTTTCTGGGCATTCAGAAGGAGGACCAGAACATTGCAGAGGAGCAGGCCAAGCTCAAGCAGAGCTTTGCTGCTGGCACAGACGTCGCCTCTCCCGACAATCTGAAGACCATTGCTGCTGCCAAGGACGCCGGCACCCCAGCGGACAAGTGCGCACAACCTTCCCTAATCATCATGCAACAATTGTTTTCCTCCTACGATCTCTCTTGCATGACAGATGCAGCTGCCCTCAAGAACTATACTCTGAGAGTTACCGTACCTTCATTCATTGCCATAGATTATGCAACGACGCGCTGTTGCCAGTCAGAGGACAAAGAAGATCGTCAGATGAGCGGATGACAGAACTCACGCTGAGAGACAGTGCTCTTCGTGGTACTGGCCTCTGCTGCATGATGCATGAAGGACGCTGCAGACTTGTTCTTACATGGCGGTGTTGTTTTTGTGCAGGGTGCTGGGAGGCACAGAGCCAGTGCAGTTCTCAGGCAAGCTGGAGAGGGAGCCCAGGGATGGGGGCATCTTTGGGGCCAACGTGGAGGCAGAGGCAGCCAGAGAGGCAGCTGCGATGAAGCGGAGGGAACAGGCCGGCATGCCCGCCCCCTCCATCTCTCTCTCAGCCAAGCAGGACATCCTGGAACAGAGCAGCCAAGTTAACAGCGACTTCGAGTGAGTCACCCACCCCTTAAGAGTTCTATGTCCGCTGCTAGTCTAACAGTCCTTACCATCCCGCAGTCTTGGTCAAACTGCGACTGATTGACTGCGGGGTGGTAAGGGCTGTGACCACATCCACAGGACTGGACATCATAAATATCCTCATCAATGCTTGCCGCGCATCTGTTGATGCTCTGGCTGCCTTGCATGTCCTTCCAACTAGTGGGCAGGACAGCATGTTTGAGAATGAGCAGAGGGTTTCAAGATGTGTGGCTGCCGGTCATTGTGATGGTGTAGCTTGAGGTGTATTACAGGGTTTGGTTGCTGAGTGCTGGTTTATGTGTGTTCGCAGCTATGCGAGAAATGTGGAGCTCACAAACGGCAGATGGGCGGTAAGCAGCCCTGCATCGCCCCCTTTTTGTTTCTAATCGCTGATGAAGTCTTGAGGAAATACACTACACTCCATGCAGACTCGTAAGTATTTGTGTGTGTGTGTGTGTGTGTGTGTGTGTGTGTGTGTGTGTGTGTGTGTGTGTGTATATGCTGATGCAAAGCTTCTGGCTGTGCAGATGATTGGGTTTCTGACAGCCATCATCATTGAAGCTGCAACTGGCCGCGGCATCCTTGTCCAGTTGATCGGCTATGCCAAGGCCCTCAATCTGCTGGGCCCCGCATCTGGTGTGGACCTGTAAATTGCAATGTAGGAGGTTGTGACTTTGGAGCAGTTTAGTGGTATCTAGAGTGAGTAGTGATTGTATGATGTGGGGTAGTGATCAGAGTGGGTGAGTCGATGACAGTAATCTTTTGCAAGATGAGTGCTTGATGCAGTTGACTTCAGCAGGAGCTGAGTGATGAGTCTGGGGTATCTATAATGTGCGGACTTGGATCAGGGATTACGCTGTGATAAAATTATATTAAACGCATGCCTGTCACTCTTCTATCGGTTTGGCAATATCGTGACACCAATCGTTGTGTTGCAGAGGTTTTCTTACAGTACATATTTTAAATGTGGAAGTCAAGCACAAGCCTTCTGTCTAGATCTAAGGCTACAGTGTCCGTTTGCTTTTGGTTTGATCATTTATCAAATGGAGACTGAATGGCGAGATCCGGAATCTTTACCTTGTAAAAATGAAACTTGCTGACAGAATCAAAGCATCCAAGTAAGCTCATGAGATCACAGTCTTCACTATTTCGAGCACACTTGATCTGCATAATGCAACAGCGGCAATCTGCCAAGAAAAAAATAAACACAAAGTACCAACTCAATTTGGCAGGACGATGGATCATTAGTTCAGATCTCAGCAACAGTGCCATTCAGATCGAGCAGGCTATCACATGCAAGAGGTGTAAAACCCCAAAAATCTTTTTACCCTTTCAATTCTAGATAGCTACCTATAATCAGACCCCAGTGAACATTATGTGCAATGACGGCCAGATCTGGCCGTCTATTGCATCATTCTCGAGCAAGCAACCCGCCAGATTTCCGTTTAAAATCAGCAGCAGTGCCCTTCAGGCTGGGCATGCTCCCGCATGACCATCTCTTCAATGCTAGGCAAGTTCCACTCCCTGTCGGCATTCTCAAATGCAAAATCCCACAAATTTCCCAACAATCCCCGGCTGAAGGGGTGCACATGTGCCGGCACATGCGCGAGGTACACAACCTGATTACTACAGGAGTGCTCTCTCGTGGTCTGCGCGGTGGCGGCCAAAAACAGCTGGTAGCTCAGGAGGCAGGCCACAAATGTGAGCAGGAAGGCCAGCAGGCCAATACTGGCAACCACCTCCCAGTCGTAGCCAAAAAAGGTGCTGTCTGGCATCAGCGGTGCTGCGTTGTGCAGGCAGGACACCGCCGCCTGCAGCGCCCACGTCAGCAGCGCCGTCTGCGTGGCCAAGAACCCCACAAACCTGTACATCAAAGAAGTCTCTTTTCAGTCTTTGGAAGAGACCCATTATCTCCTGATCAAGATCTCTCCTAAATGAGACAATCTGTGCGGCAACGTGCCCCAATGCAACAAATGCTGGTCAGCCAAGCAGCCCCTCAATTCTTGTGCGGCTCATTGTCCCGAGCATCACAGCGTGCTTTTACGAAAAATGGGCTTTCTAGAACGAGGCTCGAGCTCATGACTCCACTAGATGAGACTCTTCAAGGTACTCTTTACCATCAATATCACACGTGAAAACACCCAGAAACAGCTGTGTCTTCATTACCAATACAGCAATCCACGTAATATTACGTTTTTACAGCACTGGGAAATTCTCTCACATGGGGCGATTGTGAGCGCCGACGCAGGTGCCAATCCAGGCGCAGTGGTGGTCGTAGGCGGCCACGCAGCGGTCGCACAGAGCGCAGTGGTGGGCCCGCAGCCGCTGCCACGCACCGCACCACTCGCACGGCCGCCCCGGCATCGCGCGCTCAAACCACGCCACCGTCCTGCGGCCATAAGCACAATTAGTATTAGTATTAGTATTACACGCTTTTCCTGCCAAGAGGCAAGGTGCATCCTGCAGACAAGCTGCAGTTGAAAGGCTGCCACAATCCTACCCCTTGTTGGACTCGCCAGATCCAAGCAAGACCCAATCAACCGTGGGCACAATTAGATTGAGAAATTGTTACAATAGTAAGTAGCATCATTTTTACGCGCTTCTCCTGCCAAAGGCAAGGTGCGTCTGCAGAGAAACAATTGCATAGTCGATATTCAGCCTCTGGTCTGTGCGTGGTGCTTTGCTTGGCTCATTACGATCACAGTCCAACTCACCCCATTACAAAGTCACAGTTTTGTGCATGCATGCAGATTGTGTGGTATGCTTGTTTGCCCTTAAAATCAGAAGGTACAGAGGTGATTCATATTTTTGATTTGCTATATTGAATATCCCATGAAAGACCAGGCAATGAACACTATTCTGTGGTCTGCACTGTGTGGGAAATCCCTACAAATCATTGTACTAGCACTGAAAGTGCTGCTGCAAAGGGTGTGGCTTGGCCAGAACAAGCACACCTGGAAGAGCTGCGGCTGTCCTCTGACAGGCCTCGGCAGCCGTGGTGCACCGCGCCTATCAGGAAATCACTTGAGCCCGCTTCCGCAGAGCGCAGGCTTCCGGCGAGGTTCTGCTGGGAATCACTCCCCTCACTGCATCGACCCTTGGGTTCAATGCTCCCTTCAGAGCGGTACGCAGCCAAAGCAATGCCTCCTGGCGCCAGATCTGGCGAGATCTGGGCCCCCCGCAGGGACCCCCCGGCGGGCAGGACATCCGCCCAGCCACCGAGGGTATCTCCCCCTCCCATCGACGCGCCGCCCACGGACGAGTGCCCGGCCTGATCTGGCGCATGCAGCCAGCTGCGCCAGCTGTCCGGCTCCGGCGCGGCTTCCTTGAAGCTGCCCCTCCAGCTGCCCGGCACCTGCCCCAAGGCCTGCCCTGCAGAATCTGCCCCACCCGCCGGAAGCTGCCTCTGCTGTGGCGCAATCTCCTTGCTTGCAGCATCTTGAGCTGCACACACCACTCCTTGACTGGCCATCTGCAGGGCCCCATCATCTTGCTGCTCAGCTGGAAAGTTGCCAGCGCTGCCTGGCAGAGACACTGCGTCTTCTGACTCGCTCTGATATTGGCTGCCTGCCTGGCTATCGTCCAGGTCATCCGCCCCCATCTCTGCCGCCAGCAGCCTGCCCAGATCAAAGGGGCGCTGACTTGATCTGCGGCCCCTCCCGCTGTTCTGAACGCCTTTGGAGCACCTGTTTGAGGTCGCATTTGTCAGAGGCAGTGCCTCTTTTCCTTCCTGCACAGGGGATCAGGCCTCCTTCAGACAGCTGATCTTGGGGACATGCCGTTTGTCATGAAGGCTCATATTCATACATTGGCATAGCTTTTGCTGTCATGAAAATGGTTTAGGAAGTCCTCCAAGTCCTTATCTATTTGTAGTAGTGACGTAGGAGCACCTCAGTATCTGTGCCGATGTATTGGCCCTTTCTGGGCTCCAGGTAGCCGGGGTCGGACAGGTTCAGCGCTACATACAGGGCGGCATTGGTCAGCAGTAATGCGAGAAAGCCTCCCAGGTACAGCCGATGGCCCCCTTGAAGGCTGTGTTGCAAATCTGAGCCGCAGGTGAAGAGCGTCGCCAGAATGAAGACATGCAGCAGTACGAATGTTGTGCGCGCGATGATAGCGGCTTGCGCATGCTCCTGACCACACGCGCAGGTCAATGCGGGGTCCAGAGTCAACAGCAGAAATGTCTGGTACTGGTAGCTGTGCTCAGCTGAACAGGGTGTCCTTTGGGTACCTTTCTGTGCTGTTCTAGGTCCGATGGTGAGTCGTCCCTCTGTATCAATTTAAGGACACCCAGAAGAGCAGACTCGGTAGGCATCACGATTGCCGTTGACTTCAAAAAGGGTTTCGCTGAGTGAGGATGTACTTGGGCAAGGCAACAATTGCAGACGAGCAGATCCGGAAATAGACCAATGGATGTAAAATCAGAATACTTCCATGCAATCTAATAAATCAAAGCAATCTCGATCGCCTCTCAGAAGACTTTACAAGAGCATAAAGTTGCGCCATCTTGATATATAAATTCGCACTCGGTCAACCAGACCTTTTCACCATCAGACGGACAACTCATCTACCACCGATGGTCTTCATATACCGTTTATTAATCGTAAACCAAACCAATTATCCTGCAGCGATCATTCGGTTTCCCCGCTTGGAACCGATTCAGCCCAGATCTACGACGGCGTTGATCAACCGAGTCAGCGCCCAGTCAACGCGCGCCTTGCTGTTGTGTTCGTTGCTCATTGTGAGAGCTGCTACAGTTGTGTTGCGATTAATCTAAGAATATCACGCTGTACACTATATTCATTGAAGCTGTTCAAGGCACCGAGTCCGGCACTGTGGAGTCCGTATGAAAATGAAGACCTGCAATATTGGACATCTTGAACCTTCTTTCAGGAGCAATTCAGTACCGCGTTGCGATGCAACTTTCTCTTCAAGATCGAACTTGTCAATCTTGAGATCGAAGGGGAAGGTAGGTTGCTGGATGCAAAGTTCACGCCTTTGGTATGCTGACGATCAGAGTATTCTTGGACGCAAGAGATCGCAACAGTATGATTTCACTGCACCAAAGGTATTCCGTTTTCATAGATGAAATGCAGTGGCTCGTATGCATGACAGGTTGCCCCTCAGAGGCGTCCTCGAGGAGTTGCCTGTTACAAGGATTCTGAGAATGGAGGAACCTCTAGCAAGGTTCTGGAAAGGTCTGCCCAGCAGAGCTCATCTGAGTCTCCCTCAACATCAGGACGAAAGGTAGGAGTCTGCATGCTCCGCATTTGTGGCAAGGCTGAAGAAATCGTTCCCAATAAGGTTGCAAAGTGATACAAGCAGACTGCCTTCCATGCAGGAGGAGCCCTTTGTCTGGACAAAGCACTGGTATCCTCTTGCAGTCGTTGAGGATCTGAATCCACAAAAGCCGTTCGCCACCAAGCTGCTTGGTGAGTCCCCCACTGTACTCTGTCCTTCAGCCAGTGTTGCACCAGTATTCCGGCCTTTCCTCCTGTTACCCTTAAGCACATTAGGCACAGGTTCTGCGTCGCGTGACTCTACACACTGTTCATTGCAATGGCACAGGGAAGGACCTCGTCATCTGGCAGGATGCCGACAAGCAGTGGCGCTGCTTTGAGGACATCTGTCCCCACAGGTGAGGTCAAATACAGCTTCTGATTGACACAGAATAACGGGTGTTCGAGCTCTCAAAAGCACACGCATGTTTTGTGGCGCATTGTAAGTGGCGCTGCTTGGTTGCATTAAGCAATGGGAGAGCCGCGTAGACAGTGCTCCATGACATGCCAGCTGTATTCAGCCAGGCCCTAATTATCTGAAGTTCAATTCCTCATTACGGCATGTGGGAGGTGTGCTTTGCTGACATGCGTTCTATCTTGCCAGGCTGGCGCCGCTATCTCAGGGCCGCATAGAGCCGAGCGATGGCAGCCTGCAGTGCTCGTACCACGGCTGGCGCTTTGGCGGCTCTGGCGCTGCAATTGCCATCCCTCAGGCCGCGCATGACAGCCCCCAGTCTGAGCGCACCTCCCTCGCCTCAAAACGCTCCTGTGTCGCCACGTACCCTGTCCAGGTGCAGCTTTCTATCTCTGAGTACAAAGCCAGGCATTATTATTCATGAGTCATCTCACTGTTGTTTGTTGTGTGTTGTATGTTGTGTGTTGTGCAGCTTTCCTGATTTGTGACAGGATTGCATGACTGAGGTTCCACATATTGAAAGGGGCATTAGGCCCATGGATACCTTCACGGGGAATTTGATGTGCATCTGGGCCTGTTTGTAAGGTAGGAACAGTCACATAGATTCTGTCATTCCTTGGCAATGTGACTGTGACTCTGTTCATTTCAGTCCAGTCCCGTGGCATGGATGTAAGAGGCTCTATGTGGACTTCTACCGGAAACACCTGGTGTGCATGTTGGCATTGGCTTGCCTATTATCAAGATAAATTTTCACAAAATGCCAGATATTGCAGTGGGTTCTTACATACAGATAGCGCTCATTTGCAACAAATCTGCAATTTGGAGAGGGTGAGGGTGACTGAGATGGTAACGGGCGATGTTGCAGGTGCAGCTGGGCCTGGTGTGGGTGTGGCCAGAGTCCGGCCCCCACGCCTTCATTGAAAGCTCTGCAGAGCAGCCTGCCCTGAACCAGCGGGTCAAAGAAGTGGCACCAGGTGGGCACTCTATGTGAAGTCCTCCCGCCAGTGTACTCTTGCCCTTTACTATGACCTGCAATGCTACCAGCACATCTCATCGGATGCATGGCAATGACTTGTGATATGTTGATGTCTACTGAAAAATGATTGTGTGGTTGAGGCTGAGTCAGTTGGCATGCGCTGCAGAGGACGTGGCGCTGACGACAAACCAGAATTTTGTGAGGGACTTCCCTGTGGCCTATGACATCCTTTTTGAGAACATCAGCGACCAGGCGAGGCATTGCCACTATACCTTGACTTCTTTTGCATCAATGTTCCTGCTCTGGACTGTCCTATCGCACCTGTGAGACTAGGCCTGATCTCTGTCTTCCTGTCAGATGATGTGAAATGATAAAGACACTTGCTGCGTTGCCTGCAGTCGCATGTGCCTTTTGCGCACAATGGAGTGGCGTACAAGAGGCACGCTCTCTCTGCTCGCTCTACTGTCCTGGGTCGAGCGTGTGTTTAAATACTGAAAATTCCACAGGATTGCTAGAGAACTCCTCAATCTTGTGGCCTGGGCTGAAAAGAAGCTCCTGGGTCTCTGTGCAGGGCAAGCCAGTGGGCCAATCACTTTGAGGTGACAAATTTGAACAAAGACAAGGGCCCGGGGGACGCATATACATATGACCTGGAGTGGTCTCCCGACGCCATAAAGCCCCCCATCAACCAGAAAGTCAAGGGTGTACCTCCGGCTTACATCGAGTGAGACCCTTGCACCTGTGTTTTCACCCTTGTCTTCTCACCTTTGCCTGTTCGCCAGAATTTGTGTTATTGATAACCAATCATTGCTGGTCTGCAAGGGTGCTTAGCATGCAGGATAATTGGACATCTGCATTGGGCTTTCTCAGCTGCCCTGCTTTCAGATCTCATGCTAGAGCGGTGTGACTTGCCAACAACAAACTTGCCCATGCATGTCTGTCACTTTGATGTTATATTGCAAATGTGCAATTGGCAGGTACTTCACGCCAAAGGAGGATGGTAAATTCACGGCGCTGTGGTTCTATGTCATACCCCTTGACGAGCACTCCACGCGTGTCATCAACCATGCCGTCGTCGTGCAGCCGCTACCCAAGCTTGTCAAGGTGTGTCACCTGTTGACGTTCTGCGTTGTATGAAGTCTCTAAAATCAAGGTTGGCAGTGGGCCGAGAAAGGTGATTCGAGCCTCGGTCCATGGGCATGACAGCTGGTGCTCCCTGATGCTCTTGCAACATGGACAGCTTGCGCGTGATTTTGCATAGAACACCATTCACTTCAGGCGCTATATGCTTGAGCGTGTGTATGCTGTCCATATTGCCGGAAGACAAGGAGACCAAGTCCCTGGTGAAAGCACATCTGCCCATGTCACCTCCTACAAGGGCAAAAGGCATTCTATTCTCTGCTTTGGACCATGTTGCTAGATATGCTGACAAGTGTGAGTGTAACCCCATGGCGTCCTTAGATCAGGGCTTGCCTTCCCGTGCAGGCAACTGTCTCAGTAGAAGAGCACACCATTCGTGTTGCCACTACGAGCAATGTGGAGAAGCGCTCACACTGAAAGCTTGATCGTCAGTCATATGGCTCTGTTACACACCTCTTTACCTCGCCAATCGGCCCCGAATTTGCGATGCAGAGCCTGGATCGCGCGCCTCGGCTCGCGGTATTAGCTCCGCACGGCAGCAGACAGGAATTGTTCTTTTGAGGGGTTATGGAGTGCTCAAATCAATATTATGGAGTGCTCAAATCAATAATATTCCCATGCAGGTTCTGGCGGCGGCTCGTCCGCGCTGGATAGACCACCTGCTACTGAACGAGATATTCGACGGCGACATGGCGTACCTGGCGCAGGCGTCTGCCAACTCCAAGCGCCGCGACGGCTTTGGCAACTCCTGGGCCCAGGACTACTACCTGCCCGCCCGCGCCGACGGGTACGCTAACTGCTACTACTTTTCAATTCAAATGTGGTCAACACCGATCAAACTTGCGTGCACGCTGACGGGTGCGCTGACAGCTACTTTTTTTAAAACTGAAAATTTGGTCAGAACTGATCGAACTTTTGCGCGCGCCGACGTGTGCACTGGCAACTACAAGAGTTTGAATTCAGATCTGGTCAAAATTGATTGAGGTTTTGCCGAGTCCAAGGCAAATCGAGGTGCACTCTAAAGCTGCCTGGAGATTTTCGACTCTTACATAAAGAATGGGAACTGCTCTCTGACAGTTGTCTCATGCTTGTGATGTGTGGCACTGCAAGGCTGATTTGCCTGCGTGGCAGTGTTAGTCTATCACATGCATGCAGCAGCTGTACGTGGTGAATCCCAGTGCTTTTGGGCGTGCCTCAAATGGCAGGAGGGCAGATGCATTGCGCCTGCCGCCTTGCTCTCAATTTTCTCTCCAACAACTCTCGCATGTGCCTCTTCCCTGATGACGGAATGCTGACCTGGCTTGCGTCTTCAGGAACCTGGCGCATGTGGTAACTGTTCATGGTAGAGCTCAGTGCTTTCTAGAGGTTGTGATCTGGCAGGGCACCCACGTGATGCAGATTTTGTTGTCTTGATCATGTCTTCCTCATCAGTCAGATCAGCCTGGTCAGCCAGACTGGCGTCGTCGACCTGATCTGCTGACTGCTGAAGAGGAAAGTTTTATTACTATTACATTTCGGGGACCTGTTCAGAGCCACCTGAGGCTCATTGGCCTTGTGGGCAGTTTTCCATTGGCCGTCTTCATATCAGAAGTTTCACATCGCAATTTCGCTACGATGTGGAGCCCAGCATTCAGGCCATGTTTGACACGTCGTGCTGTGCTGTGCAGGAGCGTGCTGGGGTGGCGCAAGTGGTACCACAAGCAGGGAGGCGGCGGCTTCTGGGAAGCTTCTGGGCGCGAGGCCACTCCTGCACCGGTGCTGACGCGCGAGCAGCTGCTGGACCGCTACCACCAGCACACCCAGAACTGCCCAGCCTGCTCCAAGGTGAGCCACTCTTGGACTGCCGATTCGCCTAAGTCTCTACCGCTCTTTTGCTGCTGCAAATGAAGGAATGCTCGGTGCAGTAGTGACCTCTCACCCTGCAGCCTGTGCATCAATTGTTGCATTATAAAAAGTTGGCCATTGGCGATGTCACTACGCACAGGCTGCTGGCTGGAGAGTGTCCACTTCAGCAGGCATTCATTGGCTGGCGTGTTTCTAGGAGATTCTTGTCATTTTGGTGGCCAGAAGGCGCAATATGCTTTCGCAGCATGCTTGCTCGCAGCGCTGTTGTTGCATCAACACCTTTAGTGGGACTTTGCTGGCTTATCAGGATCTTGTTATGACTGCGAATCACTCTGGAGACAACGCAGCAATATCAAGATCCCGATGTTCCAATGTTCGTGGGCAGTGCTCGCGCGGCATGTCACCGTCTTCGGGGTAATGCTGTTCGCGATATCAGACACATCTAGATTAGCATTGCCCTGATGATTGGTGCCCGCCGAGCGGCATGATTTCTCAGGAGTCAAGGAGGACTTTGCACGTAGCGCTGCGCAGCACAGACTGACAGAGTGGCGCCATGTGCAGGCGCTGCAGCAGCTGCGCACAGGGCGGAAGCAGCTGCTGGGCCTGGCAGCTGCCCTGCTGCTGGCGGCAGCTGCCCAGCTGGGCAGGGGGGCACCGCCCATCTCGGTGGCGGCTGCGGCGCCGGTTCTGGGCGCGCTTGCCTCTGTGTGGCTGTCGGAGAAGTTTGCCGGATGGCAGGCTAAGTTTGTGTACAGCGACTACGATCACACTGCGCGCGACTGAGGCCCCACATCATGCAGTTAACAGGTGTACACTGGGTGAAAGAGAGATGATTGGAGCCGAAGGGGTCTAGCAAATTCGAGAGGACAGCTGATTATGAACGAGAACGCAGATCCATTGTAAGTGTTGAGATTGGCAGCTACCAGCTGAGGTCAGCAATTGGGCTCATTTACAGGATACTACCATGTACTGCGGAATAGTCAAAGAGCCGGCAAGAGAGAGTTTTTTGTGTGGACTGATGTTTCTGATGAACTGTTGGAGGAATGCCTTCCTGATGTGAGCATGGAAGGAGTTGATGCTGTGTACCATACTGTATGATATCGTTGTGCTGATGAGAAACGAGGAGTTGGGTGCACAAAGTTGCCTCGCTGTGCCCCTTTTATGTCTTTGTGCTGGTAATTACCATTTGCTTTGTGGAATAATTGAGTGAGTGAACCATCAAATTTAAGATTCGAAATGGCCATTTCTGGACTTGCAAAGAAATCTAAGATACTGTAGAAAGGAAGACAGGTAAGCATGCCCTTGCCACAGCAAAGCCAGAGGTTATGACAGGTCTGGTTCCTTGCGGTTCTATGCGCATATGCTTCTAGTGCGGCCCCTGTGTGAGTCTCATTGTGTAAAGTGCCTTAAGTGCCTTGCATGCAAGATGGAGCATCCGAAACGGAACATTTTTTTCCAGAATCAGGCGCCTTGATAGGACGCATGTCCAGAGTGCTGCAATACAAATATGAGCCTTGCTCACTAGCAATATATTGTCACCAAAATATTTGCCACACTGCCGGTTACATGCAGCTGTAACCTCTCAGCCGTTCCATGCAGCGCATCACAGCACATCGAGAGCACAAAGAGTCCTTGTGCACTGCCCAGCAGACAGCCTGTTGCACTGCCCCACTCTCTGAGCCTCGCCCAGCTTTTGGAACCAGGCATTTATGAAAGAGCAAAAGCTGCTGCGCTTATTCAGTCAACTGCAGAAGAGATATCTTCTCCAGAGGCTGCAGCGCTGACTCCCTGGCTGTCTTTTAAGGGAGCCAAGTGTGCAGATGAGGCTTTAAGAGTTTGAAAATTGCTTACTGCGCCCCTGCCAGAGATAGCACAACAAATGAATCACTGAGATCCTGCACGTATGACAAGAGGTTGAGTCACGGTGTGCCCATTAGTCAGTTCCTACTGACACTGTGACCCAAACCGCTAATACCAGATGGATGCACTAAGCAGACAAACAATCTTTCAATGCACACCTGCCAGATCACCGAAGTAGGTTGCAGCCAGACCTGTTGCTCACTGACGATCATCCATGGTGGTTGATATGATGTCAACTTCCTCCTCATCAATGTCCTCCTCGATGATGATATAGCCCTGGTCAAAATATTGGCAATGCCTGTCAGCGTCGCTGACTGAGATTTACTGTGAGCACTGCCCGATTAGAAGGCCTTGCATAGTGCCGAAATTAAAGTAGCAACAAGCCCAAACCTCCGGAAGAAAGAGGCTGAAACCCAGAATGAGTTCCCTGTGGGAGCTGTGGCAACTGAAAAGTGAGTCGATACGCTCAAATACCGATGCTACATCCAACCTGCACAGCAGCCGTGTATTGGTTTTTGGCTGAGTCAAAGTTTGCGTCAAGCTCACAAGAAGCAGAACGCCAAATTCTTTGTGACGACTCTTGCACCACAGACCTCTCAGAAAAAGTAGAACACAGGCAAAAACATTGTGGAGTGCTACTTGCAAGAACCAAAACGATTCGACTGGGTTTAACAACGTGGCGACTGCGACGTCTATGGTGTATTTGCAGTGAGGGTCAAACACATTTTATTGAAAGCATGGGCCCTGGAACAAAAAATCGGCGGATGGACACGGCAGCTAAAGAACGGGAGCAAAGGGGTGCAAAGATGGCACAGGAAAAGGACCTGTCCTCGCGATAGTCTTTCAGAAGATTCAAGAACGCTTTAAATATCTCCCGGTTGTCCTGAAACGTAGCCTCTACGAAATGTACATAGGCCACTGCTTCAGAGAAGCAACGCTCGTGCGCTAAACCATCATCCTGACGAAGGGCAATCATCGTTCGTCACTCACTATTGCCAATCGTAATTTATGATTTGAGATGCTCTTATGGCGATGCCAAGCCGTTCAATTCCACCTACGCAGAGCGTGCGTCAATTTTGGCTTCCGTTTCTGCCAATTGCATACTTGGTCAGCACGCACAGGCACGAGCTTGCCTGCAAAAGTTCAAGGTTGAAACAAGTGCGAGTAATTCTGCCTTACAATTGTACTTGCTTTGCACAAGCATTGATCGGCTTTTGCAGTTCTCAGTTTCAGGATGCTGTGTGTTGTATGACAGGCGGGCACTCATTACATGTGCCCAAGTGACATTTGACATCTTATATGAGATGCTGTTACATTCCAGCGACCATTGATGGATATCCAATTTGTGAGCTCCCCGTCAGTGGTCGCTCGATTGCTTCCCAATGGCCCACACGCACAATTGTGAATCTGACATGATCAGATTGCCAAAATCAGGCGCCGTGATAAGACTGCCTAGGGTGCTACACCACTGGCATTGCTCTTGAGCTTGTCACCAGAGTGCGTCTGCCTCCTTTGTGCAGATGCTACACCTGAGTGGTTCCATGCATCGCATGCAGCGCAGCCTATCAGTGCGCAGCAAGACAGCATGTCATTTTGTATGAGCTGCCCAGAAGTATGCCGCCAACAGGAAGGTCACTGTAGTGCCCCAGGGCTTCTGTTTGCACATGAAGTTAGAAGTGAGAAGTTAATATAAGCTCCGTGAGCCTTGTCCGGCACTCGGCAACTGGAGCAGAGTTTGCAGAACGGAACATAATTTGTAGCTGTCTTTCAATTCCCCGGGAGTGCTGATGAGGCTCCTGGGATACATATTAGTGCGCCTCCCCCAGTGTTAGGACAGCTAGCGCCCCACTGACATCCTGCAAGGATGACAAGAACTTCAGTCACAGCCAAATTATCGATCAATCGTGGCCTATCGATCAATCGGTTTTGAATGTCTTTTGAAGACACGTTGGAAGCAGATAAAGCAGACCAGACAAGAGCACGCCTGCCCACACGGTCATAAACAATAATATGCCGGGCTTACCTGCTCAAGATCATCGATGTTGCAGCAAGGGCCCATCATGGTTGATATGACATTGATAGCCTCCAGGCCAGTGTCTTCTGCACTGATCTCATAGCCCTGATCAATCCATTGTCAGTGCCTGTTAATGTCCGCTGCATACAAGTGGCCATGACCGCGCACAGTGAAGATTGTGCAGTGTTCAGGTGGTAAAATATGATGGTAGGAATAACAGCAGGTGTAATAGGGCCTTGAGGAGTGCAGAGATCAGATAGTATGAGTCCTACCTCAGGGAATAACATGTTGAACCCCAAGATCAGATCCCTGTAGGAGCTGTGGCCCTTGAAGAGTGATTTGATGCGCCTTATGAGCTCTGGTATGGATATCTGCACAGCAGACCCATATTGCTTCTTGCTGAAACCAGGATGGCTTCAATGGCAAAATGCTGTTTGCCAGATTGTTGGACGTTCTGTTGCAGGGTGTTATTGTGGCAACAAGCTTCTGTTCAGAAGTCCAGCTCTGTACAAGTTGCTGTTGAATCATTGCTTCTACAACACTGGGTCTTGGATGATAGGCATGCACCCACCACAATGTATGCCTGACCGGCGTTTTACAGATGATGTCGACATCAACAGGACATGTTATTACATTTTACCAACCATCCAGTTTGTGTGCCCCCTGTGGGTGGTCTATTGAGAGCTCCTGTAAAGACAGTGACAGTCACGGTTAATTACCTCCAGCAAGCTGGAAAAATATATAAAAAGCAACAAGAACATCGCCCGTTTGAAACCATCCCAAAAAAATCCATGCTGCCCAATTTTGGCAGCCTATAATGACAAAACTTCCCTCAAGCTTACATCCAATGAGTGACGCTCTGCAGATGCATAGCAACCCATCAAATTGCCAAGTGCTCTCAGAGATGCATCTGTAAAGCGTCTGGTTTTGAGATGAATAGTCTGGCAACGTCCCAACAGTCACTGTCCTGGCCTATATTGCCACTTGGGAAATCACCAATCCGCTGGCAACTGGAAGACTTGAGGCTGCAGAATACCGCAGCCACAGTAACTTGCGCAGAGCTGGAATTCTGAACAGAAGCTTGTTGCCACCACAACACCGATAAATTGCACCCTGTTGATACAAATACACCATCCAGAAAATATCAGTATTCCTGCACGGCTTGAAAGTCCTCATTTTGAATACAGCCTCTCAACCGGCTTAAGATTACGTTGGTCTCGGAGGTCATCCTTTTTGTAGGAATGTTTCATTCCATGCTCTTCTTGGCCGGTGCCTCGAGTGTGCCGTGGTGCGCTGAGTCATCGGGCTTTGCACCCGGCTTAGTAGCGGTGGGAAGGGTGGTCTTCTCTGCAGGGCTGATGCCCAGGGCCCTGAGTGCACAGCACCACCAAGATTTAGGCGTGTGCTAACACTACGGGTTCTGCAATTTTATGGTAGCATAGCGCAGCAGAGAGGTTTATTCTTTGGGACTTCTACACTATCTGAGATGTCTGCATGTCTCACAGCAACTACACGGGGCATTTGCCAAGTCTTACAACGACGGGTAATCCTTCTCAGCTCTCTAAATCCACTGGGAGGCACCGAAGCACCAATGTTGCACCAGGCACTTGCAAAGACAGTATATTTATTCACAAGTTCAAATTCAATTCAAGATGATTATTTTCAAAAGCTGCAGGTCTGTGGGCGCGCACCTGGCAAAAACATCGCGTGACTCCCACAGGGGCAGGAAGATGGCGATGAAAGAGGCGATGAGGGCCCAGATGATGGAGATGATGACAAAGAAGGTGAAGTAACCCTTACTAAACGCCCCCGCCGGGATTGTCAGCACCGGCCAGATGATGCAGAACACCACCGACAGAACGCCCGCCGCTATCCACGTACACTGCAAAATTGCACATACTTGCGCGTCAGGAACAGCATTGTGATCCTCTGAAGAAATTCTTCTGATTGGTAAACACTGCTGGGCACCTGAGCATTGAAGGGCGCAGCTGTATAACGTGTAATCCACCCTAAGGCCAGTCTGACATCCGGGTGGGGCAGTCCAAGACATGGTATAATATCAGGTATGCAAAGACAGGCCTGGCTCGGTCTAAGGGGCACGCAGTCACTTTGTGACTTTGAGAGACAAGAGATGGGCAGATGTTCAGCCTGCATCAGAGCGTGACATTATCAATTGGCCAGCACTTGCGATGCAGCAGTCACCGAAAAGAGCAGCGTGCGCCGCATCTTGACCGGCCTTTCATGGGTGACATGTCTGAGCAATGTGCACATCGCCAAGTAAATTACTACTCTTGTACTAATCATGAGCAAAATGCAGGCCAGCGCACCTTGAGCACCCTGTGCGCACGACGCTTGGTTCTACTACTACATCAGTAACCCGAAAGGCGCCACTTTGGGGCGCGGTTCATGGCAGCAGGCCCGCAGCAAGCACTCTAGTGATCTCTTCGCACCCCCCAACCCTACAACATGACCCCTAAACCCTGCGTCATTTGCAGCCCTAATGCATTAAACCCCCACAGAGCAGGCATCCGCACCTTGAGGGCGCGGTCCATCTCGGCAGGGTCTTCCTCGTAGGGGTCGGTGACAAATTCGTCGTCCTGCAGCTCGATGCTCTTGTACTGGGTCCACACATCCGGGTTCTTCTCGGGCGCCACCAGAGTCCAAACCACGCAGATAATTGCCGAAACTCCCACCGCCACTATCGTGCCATCCATGGTCGGAGATATGCCCTGCGCGCAACAATGAAGGCTGCTCAGAACCGGACATTGCACCGTACACTGCCGCGTCCGCAGTCCAACCTGGTTGGGGAAATGCCCTGCGCTGAGCATGACACCCCACGATGGGTCTCATCTAATTTGCGGTCTTGCTCCCCACAGAGTTCCAAGTGATACGGTCATGGTCTGGAAAATGCTCTGCATGGAGCAAATACCCAGCTTCATTTATGACATTGCCCCGCCCAGATGATTTTGTGTGCGGTCGGGGAATTGCCATGCGCAGGTGTTCAGCACGCGCAAGCCAGCGGGGTAAAGGAGTCGTCAATTGGTAGGTGTCTCATCCCCGTAGCCCAGAGCCACTTCGACTTGCATTCTTTTGATGCATTGCGCCCTCTGGTGCAAGCCACCAAATAGCGTCTAACGATTAAGTTGCATGCTGACAATTTGCATGCCAGATAAGGCACTTTCCATGGTAACTTGTCTTCTAGCACTGAGCTGAGGACCTCAGGAGCTTCAGGCACTCATCAAGAAGAGCTCTTTGTAGCGTCAAAGACAGACGCTCTGCTAAAAAATCCCAGAAGTTTGAAAGGTCCCTTGTAACATCTCAGGAGATTACCACGATTCGAGGAACTTTCATGAGTCAGGGCTGCAGGCCCCACCTGGGTGGTATTGATGTCGACAACTTCATAGACGATCTTGGTGTGCACCAGCCATGCAATGATGGCAGCTGCCTGGCCGCCCAGAGCAGCGGCGATGGCAGCTCCCTTGGGCACTCGCTTCCAGGTCAGCAGGAATATCAACGGAGGCAGGGCTGAGGACACCACGATTCCCACCACCAGGAAAATGAAGTTCACGCTCACGCCTGCCTGCGTGTCAGCACCAGCATGACGTCAGCATGATGTCATCAGCGTCTCTTTCAACTTGGTCGCAAGTCTTCTTGCTGTGAGCATGGTGTCGGCGTAAGGTCAACACTGTGCCGACATGTCTCAGGAGATGGTCCTTTGGACACCGTATTAATCTTTTATTCAGTCACTGTAATAATATATCCAGTGCAACCAAAGCAGATTTGCAGCAGTACTCAGAAAACAAGGGAAGGCTTGTTAGACTACGTGTGCGCATGAAAGGCTGGTTAAATAAGAGACACTAACAAACAACGAGGCAGGGATCCCTTACAGGAAGCCTTGAAGAGATTATTTAAAGAAGGATAGATTGGCATGCAAGCTCACCACATACAGGACGGCGCAGAGGCCGCCAGAGAAGATGCCGAACACGAAGATGGCGATGCGTGACACCAGCAGCAGCTCGTTGCCCTTTGCCTTGGGCCGGATGTATGCCTGCGCAGCACAGCCCCACCTCTTCATCATCAAAATCTGATCACAGACAGGATATGAGCATCTATGCAATCAGATTTTAGGTGCGCTGCGTTAAAGCCTCATATGCGCCAATAGTGAGCAGGAATTTTTAAGACCAGCTGAAGGTTTTTCCACATGGGTACCAGCCATGGAGGCTGCCATAGGCCTTCTGTGAGAGACTTAAAGCTAGTGAACAGAGTTCTTGAGGGCTTTAGACACAAAAGTGTGGTCACCTTGTAGATGTCATAGGTGAAGAGGCTGCTGACGGCCATCATCTCAGCGCTGCCGGCCGATGTGACGGCCATGAAGATGATAATCAGCATCAGCATCACCCCGCTCTTGCCCAGCACATACTGCAGCACACATTTGCACATCAGAAACGCAGTTAAACAGTTTCGGCAACCCTGTCAGCAGTTGCCCGGCTACCAGAGGCAGGCAACAATTGCCGAGACTGATCTATTGAGGTCCCCCCCCCCCCCCCCTGCTGCGGACGGACAGTCAACATCCACAAGATTAAAGCAAGGGGTACAAATTCACGAGCTAAAATAAAATTTGACCTGTGTGCATCCAATGCTTCTTGAAGAACAGCACAGCAACCACTGAAGGACCAGGCAGCTGTCGATAAGCTCTGTCGGCAAAAAAAATGAAATTTTGAAAATTTCCATGTTAAATTTTGAATTTGAAGTTATGCGCAGCGGGGGAGCACCGAGGCGGAGGCAACTGCGACAAGGCCCATGTTGGACTCGTCGACTGAGACTGGCAGGTCCAGAGCGACACAGGCAATTCCCAGGCTAGTGGCCAGTGTGAAGGGCACCGGGAACCACAACAGGCCCCCCAGAATGTACCCCTGCCACGCCGCTGTTGGGGTGGATGCAATCGCACTCTGCAGGAGCAAGCACATCACGTCATGACCTGTTTGTAGATGACACTGCATTTCGCTCTGGATCCGCACTGCACCATGTCGAGCGTTGAGGCGTCACCAGTGAAGGCCGATTCTACTTGCAAGGAAGGTAGCTCTGCAGGGCAGGATCTAAATGCAGGTCGTGGAAAAGGCCATCGTGTCAGACATCATACACCTTGTGAGAATGCGATATGTGCTTCTTGACGCTGGAAAGCACGATGGGGAGGAACAGGGAATTACAGGAATTGCTGCCAGTGGTGAGAGGTGATTCACCTGCCAGTAGGCCTGGTCAGCCCACACGTTGCCAAAGGAGGCGACAATCTGGAGGATGCCAAATTGCAGGCCCCCGCTCGACATGATGGTCAAGTAGCTGCCGCCCTGGTTGCCTGCGCGCAGATGCACAGGCTTAGTTCCTACTGTCAAGTAGAATGGCATGATCAACATGCATTTTGCTTGTTGGTCATGCCAGACTACCCATCTGCTTCCGCATTGCACACATGCGAAAGCCCAAATATACTGAGCATGGTCATCTTGCCATGCAAAAGACAGTGAATCTCATAGCATTAGCGTCAAGAGTCATCTTTTGAAGCCAGAACGGGTAAATTACTCTGGCTGAGAGTCTGCTCTCTGCTCTTCCTGCTCGCTCCAGACAGCTGCACGGACGACGCACTGGACTCTGTGATACAGAGAAGCAATAATACACAGAGAGTGGTGGAGTACTGCAGGGCTCCAGCACGGTGTCATCGGCCAGCAAGACACACACAGAGGCAGTGGCGAGACATTCAGAGGGAGACACAGGAGGGAGGGTGTACCGGGAACTGGCAGGCCTTCAGCCATGATGTTGAGGTTGTCCCAGACTTTGGAGATGCTGCCGACCGGGTACAGGTCGCTGGCATAGAATTTGAATGCGAAGAGGCAGACGGTGACATAGATGATGACTGTGTGCAGGTAGGAGCTGGTGAATGTGGCCTTAAGACCCCCCACCACCGTGTAAATGCACACGCTCAGCGGGATCAGCCTGCGCATGCCACAGCACTGCCGTGAGACAATTTCATGCACGGTGCTTTCTGTGCATGCTCCGCGTCATCTTAGATGCAACCAATGCTGGCATTCAGTGCTTGATCCTGCTCTTGCAGAATAGACCATGCGCCAGCTGGTGAGCAGCACAGTCAAGCCCATATCTTTGGCAGTCTGAGGTTCATTTCTAACAAGTCAAACCCCCCTCACGCACTCTTTCTCTTGTCAAAACATGTCGCTTTGCCCGCAGAAAGTGACTCCACACTCTACCGGTGCAGTGAATCATTGGGGACTTCACAAACTGTTTGGAAGGGCAGGGGGGCTCACATGACGGCTGCGTAGATGTTCATGCCGGTGGCAGCGTTGAATACTGCGCCTGCCCCCAGGTACAGCAGCACGCAAATGAACGTGTTGTTCAGGATGCAGATGTAGAAGAACACCTGCAAGAGCCCAGCAGCCATGAACTTTCCCATTCTCCAGACTGGCATGCATGTGCCATAGTGTCAAGAAGCATACTGTGGCGCTCACTATATCACTTCACTGATCTCCACACCAAAAATGAGTGCCGTCTTGGTGGCACAGAGAAGAAGGGAAAGCCAGCGTCCGGTTGCTGTCATGAATATAAGCGAGCTCTTAAATGGCAGCATTGCAAAGTGACCAGACAGATGAGTGGTGGTGTCCTTGCGGCAGGAGTGCTCACCCAGTTGGCGACGTTGCCCCATCGCATCCGGACGAGCTCCAGAACAGTATGGGCCCTGGGCGCTTTGCGCTTGATCTCAATCGCCATCACACCAAACAGAAAGATCTGGACGACCGCCCCCGCCGCATACCTGCGCACCAATGTGTTCAAATATGTGCAGCAAGACTTTACTGAACGTTGCTGTCAACAAGGGCAGCAACTTGAAAGCACCAATAGATCAACAACGCCCACTGGGCACGCTGTCATCGACGATTGCTTCCCTTTGCAATGGACTGAACAAAGCTTGAATGCATCATTAGGCACTTAATGCCCCCCTCCTGGAACTCCGGAGGAGATTGAGCGCATGGTGATTGTCTTGGAAGCAAAGATGAGTCACGCTGCGCATGCTTAGTGCAAGCGTAGCACGCAGAAAATGAGAGCGTGCGGATGGCAGGAAGCTAGCGCTCACCAGAACGCGCCGCTGATACCGTAGAGGTACACATAGAGGGACGATGTCAGCAGCGTAGAAGACCAGGTCCTGCACAGGGCAATCATCCCCCGTCAGCATATGCAGCGAAAAAGGAGCCCCTCTCATTTGCAGCAGCACATTCATACTGACATGGCATCGCTGCCAGAAGTGTTGTCTCCTTTTCGGCACTCCAGCCCGCCTGATCATGCCTCCAAGAGCTGCCTAGGAAGGCATGTGAGATTACTTCTGCATGCGTGCTTCGGGCTCCAAGTGTCATATTGTGCTGCTGCACTGGGGCTTGCGGGGACCATCAAGCATTGACCAGAGAATAGGCTTTGCGCAAAATCTGCATGCAGCTTTGAGGCCCGCACCAGTGAGAGACGACGTCCACGGCGATGAGCCCGGTCTTGATGGTGCGCCCGGCGCAGTTGAAGTCCTCACTGTTGTAGTGGCGCCCGCCGCGCGCGCGATAGTCACCATAGACTAGCCCAACAGTCAGCGCTGCAAAGAAGAAGCCGAAGCCCACCACAACGCCGTAGCCGGCGCCCTCTGTGAGTAGCACATTCGGGCTGTCCGGACCGAAAAATTGCTCCTTGTTGTCGAACTGCGTCAGGCCCACCAGATTGGGCGCCCCGGCCGGCATTGCACCTGCGCACAGAGGCACACTGCAGCTCAGATTTTTTTCCCCTCCAGATTTGTTGAATTTGGATTTGACCGTTGTATTGCTGTCGCTAGGAGGCTGCCCTCAGAGGGTCCCAGCAAGTAGGCACCTCCCCACCACTCAACACTCACCTGGCAAGTGCTCTGAACATCCTACCAGGCCAGGGGAAGTTGCGACGATTGAGCGCAGGGGTGTGGATACAGCGTCTGGCCACGTATTCGGCCATGCTCGTAGAAAGCAAGATCTAAAGGGCGCTTCCGGGGCAAAGACCCTGGTTGCTCTGGGGATATTCCGGAAGGGCCCTAAGCTCGTCTGTTGCGCCGGGATGAGAGGCCTGCTGTGGACGCTCTTTCATCATCCAGTCTTAAAGGCATACAGACACGACATTCCGCACGTTCACGCCCAAGCAATGCAATTCTGCAGCCCAAACAGCTAAAACCCTTCCTGGCTCAAGGCCCCAAGGCCCGAGAGCATCGAGAAGGCCGATGGAAAGGACGGCACGTCACAGCACACAATGCACGTCAAAAGCACGAGAAAGAGAATAACATGCTCATGGAGAGTGGTGCATGAAAATGAACTCGAGCGTGAATACGATTGCATACGTATGCCGCAGTCAGGGCCTGGTGACTGACAGAACGAATAGACGCATGTCCTTTGCCATCTTCAATCTGCAATCAAAGAAGCGTCCTTTACCTGAATAATTCGCCTCTAGATCACCAGTGGCCTCCTGATGTGGTTTACACCGTCACCGATGCGGATCAGGTTATGTTAGAGCGGAGAAGCCGATCTAGCTAACGGACCACGCTCCGTGGCCAGAGCCTGTGCCTAGCAGAGCGATGCGGTAATCTGTCAAGGGATGTTGACTGAAGCAGATGGAAAGGGGGCTTTTAAATCCTCGATCGAACGCACGGCCGAAACACCCTAACATTGCGTTGCCCAGTGAGTCATGCCCATGTGACTCAAGTGATCCACGTGGGCAGAATAGGTATGCTAGTTGGGCTAATCTCGCCAATTCTCAGGTGTCTGATGCTCACGAAGGTTGATATGCAGAAATAGATTATCAAACTTCTGGGATTTTGCCCTTTCAAGGAGGAAATAGAGTTCAGGTCTTTGAGTGATCTCGGTTGATCCTGCGATCTTGAATCATATTGGCGCCGGCATTACTCACCTAGTCTCTTAGAGATTGTTGACAGCAATATCTGTCACATCATATTGGACAGGAACACCCCTGTCTGCTTCTCATCTAACACTCCACGAACAGCAATGACATCCCCGGCTAGCCTGGCCGAACTTGGCTTCAGATGGCCGGCAGAGTGGGAGCTGCAGAAGCAAGTTTTCTTTGGCTGGCCCAGCATTGGAGAGTGGTTCCGCAACAACGCAGGTGCCGCCCTCTCGAACCATCTCGGTGTCAGGAGCAGGGGATCTGCAGTCCCCAATTTCAGCACAATAGCACAACACGACGCACAGTCGTGGTTCTCCTGATGAAGATACATCGTGATGACAGGCCCCGTTCAGGAGCAGGTCGTAGGAGTGGCAACCGCCTTGTCACAGTTCCAGCCAGTGACTGTGTGCGCAAACCCCCACCAGGTCAGACCTCGAGCTGCCCACATGCCCCATCAGTTCAATTCAATTACCCTCAGAGCAAATGCTGAGGATCCGATCACTGCAGGTGCAAAGGGCCCGAGAGATGCTGCCTGCGCACATCCGGGTGCTTGAGGTTCCTCACGAGACTCCCTACATTAGGGACACAGCACCCCTGGTGAGTCATAGAACTCCTCGAGACCTATTTATGCGTGCTAGCGCACACTGCATGTTATGAGCCTCTGAGACAAAGGCTTCATGTGTAACTGCCAAAGAGTTGAACTTAACACAAACAGTTCTAGCGACCCCAAAGGCGCTCTCCTCAACAATACAGGGGCTAGCATTTGCATTTGCATTTGAAATTGAAACTGAAATCGAGCGCATAATACCTTTGGTGTGCAGTTTGTGGTGCGGCCGAGCCCAGAGGATCCGGCGCAGAACGAGGTGACGGCGATTGGATTCAAATTCAATGCGTACGGCGGCATTCAGAAGGAGGACGGCTCCTGGTGGACCAAGTATGGCACCCTCTACGCCACAGACCTCCAAGACGCCCGGTAAACACGCCAGCATCTACCTGCTTTGCAATGTGTACCTCTAGTCTACAGTAATCAGGTGACCACTAGGTAGTGCACCCTATTCCAGCATGCGCAGCAGTGATGTGTGTGAGACCAGCCTGGCTTGAGCAAACGGGCACTTGGATCATTTGAACACTAAGGGAGAGGACATGGGTAGAAACACATGCACCTTACGGCGTCTTATAATGCAGTGATATCTTCTCATGATCTGTCAGAGGGGCTAACTACATGCATGCCACACCTTTGTCAGGCTCCGATGAGACTGAAGGCAGCACCATGTCTTGTTGAGGTGATCTTGTGCTTTCTTCTGTGGCTGCAGCATAGCTACATCTGTGCAGCAAGGATCTTCAGAAGGTTGATAGCCTGGGTGTGTGACAGGGTGGCGGCCACCTTAGCTGCATCGGAGGGCGTTCCTCTCGTGAAAGCAGATTTTGTGCTGGAGGGAGGCAGCGTGCACACCGATGGCGAAGGGTGTGCGCTGCATACCTTATAGTACTCAATAACTGACGGAATTTGGTAAATATTTGCTCCTGCAGTTTGCACCTTGGCCCTGGCGGAAACAGCGTGTGATGATGCTGAGAATAATAGGATCGATAAGAATAATGCTCCTGTGTAGTGGGCAGGTTTGGTTATTGGTGCATAAAGCTCAAGCCTGTGCACTTCCTGTTGGAAAGCATGCAAGCAGCTTGCAGTGGGACAGCTGTTTCTAGCAGATTTTCTCCAGCAGCAGTGGCGTGTGAGTTGTTAGTAACACTGCACATCTTTACTTGTGTGCCTCTGCAGGACGCTGGTCACGACAGCAGAGTGCCTGCTGCACAAAAATCGCAACCCAGACTTGACCAAGGAGCAGATTGAGGCGCAGCTGCAAAAGTATTTGGCCATAGAGAAGGTCATCTGGCTGCCAAAGGGCGTCTATGCAGACTTCTACACCAACGGCCACGTCGACAACTTCTGCTGCTTTGTTAAGCCCGGCGCTGTGCTGCTGGCCTGGACCAATGACAAATCCGACCCCCAGGTTAGTCATCCTTTCGGTCCTCACAGTAATGTGGAAGTGATTGCCAAAATTGCCAGAATGTGGCCTGCTTAAACTGACATTGAGGAATACAAATGAATCCTGTCTTTGTTTAAAATTCAGTCTTTACAGAAACAGCAGCGGCCTGTAGCGAAAGAAAGAGCTGTTAGAGAAGTCATTGCCCGGAGGCGGACCACCTTCATATTTCAATTTTGCTAGCCAGCCATTGGTAATTTTAGCAGCCATGAGATATGCTACGTCTCAGGACACCGGCATCTGCATATGCCAGATCAGAAGTTGCTGTGGATGTCTTTGAAGCACCTTACCCGTGCATGCTCATCTTGGTGTAGATTCGTGTGTCTCAACTTTTTAACACGTGGCATCTAAAGTAGGCAAAGATTGACGCCTGCCTTGTGTTATGGCACAGTATGAGATCTCTGTGGCGGCTCTGGAGGTATTACAGAGCACCACAGATGCCAAGGGGCGTAGCCTGGAAGTGTTCAAAGTCCCACTGCCGCCCAACCTCTTCATCACACAGGAGGAGGCTGACGGATTATTGGTGAGCCCTCCCCAAGGCATTAATTGCTGAATTGGTATGGCAATGCATGATGCCAAGAATAAGAGCTGCCATGATATCTGTCGCATGCTTGCTCTTGCCCCTACATAGAGACCCTGTAATATTTTCAGATTCACTTGCGATCCTGAACGTACGCACCTTGCCTCTTTGCAAGAAATGCGTGTAGGACTGATAAGGATAATAAAAATATTACATCACTGCGCAGGGCGAGGTCAAGAAGCGCGATGCAGGAGCGAGGCTGCCAGCATCGTATGTCAACTTCTACCTTGCGAATGGCGGAGCAGTCATTCCAGCGTTCGGCGTGGAGACGGACGAGCCGTGAGCCACCCAGCATCCTCCCATGCTATTCCTGCACTACCACACTAATGCCATGCTATGCAATTTTTCCAAACTTATGCTTGCACTTCTTAAGGTCCAGGCCATGCACTACACTTCGCTCAAGGTCATTTGTGGCTCCCAAATGGTTGACCAGGAGTCCAACAGTGTGGACAACAAATGCGGCGATGACATTTTCTATGCCAGGCCTTGAGCGGCGGGAGCGGCCTGTCAGCATCTGTCTCTGCATGGGAAATTCGTGACTGCTGGACAGGAGAATAATTGATGGTTGAGTGTTTTGGGCTGCAGGGCGCGGCTGGCAATTCAGGCGGCGTTTGGCGAGAGCAGGAAAGTGGTGTCTGTGCCGGCTCGGGAGATATTGCTGGGCGGTGGGGATATCCACTGTATGTCCATGCAGCAGCCTGCTGGAGTCCCTGCTGCAGGCCTCTGATACAGCATAAATTGGGAGAATTACCTAGAATTAAGAGCATCGAGAATGCAAGTCATGAAGGCATCGCAAGCGCCAAAGCGGGAGGAGGGCTGCCTTGCGGTGTGCACAGAGTGCTCTGAATTGTACACTGCGATTCAAATTGAATTTGCAGACTATGGTGGGGTGCTTTGACATCATGTGATGATCTTGAAGGAATGTTCTTCAAAAAGTACTTTGACCGTACATTGGCGCCGGCAGCACTGCTGTGTGATAATGTATCTCTCGCCTCTGCCAGGCGCTTGGTGAGGTGTCACCTGTGAAGGAAGGAAGGAAGGAAGATTACATCACTCCAGCCGCCTAGGGCTGATTGGATGAACTGGCAGCATCCAAATAATCAAAACAATCCATCACAAAATGTGCAACACCAACAATGTCCAACTGCCACATGAATTGCTGCATCGTCACAATGGCTGCACCAAACAGCCCAGGATACCTGTCCCGAACAGATTGCAAGGCAGGGCACTCAAACACAAGGTGGCGCTCATCCCCAAGAACCTGCTGGGCACAACGCATGCACAAACGCTGGGGCCGGGGAACCCTGGCCCAGCGGCCCGAAACATTGGGCAGACTATGACAACCCATCCTGAACTTCAACAGTATACGCAAGCAACGGGCACTCAAAGGCTGCTCTAAGAGCTGGCAAGGGTGGCGCACACAAGCTGGCCTAGCAAACCATCTGTGATATGTACACAAGGTGGCATTACTGGACGGGCAGGTCCTAGGGCAAATGTCAATATCATTCCAAACCTGCAGTGCTTGCGCATCTAGCAGCTGCATCACAGCATCAACTTCCACTGGAACAAGGGTGAGCATGACTCCTGGTGAATTGTGCGTTGAAAGGGGAGGAAATATATCCTTGGAATTTGCACCATGATGTCACTCCACATGACACTCCACATGGCCTGACATGGCAGCCATGTGCATGGGCCTCACCGGTGTTCCCTCAAACCCGTTTATGTAGTCGCACTGTCCTTACGATTGCCAACACCATGCAGTGACGAGACACGAGAAGCATTCTTGTACATGTATACATCGTTCCCTTATACTGCAAATTCATTTTCTTCGGGCACACCTCAACACACCGATCAATCACCCGACGTCCGTCAAGGAAGCCCCTGACGAGGAACGCTCTTCTGGCTGAAAAATATATAATTCACACGGAAATGCTTTGCAACGACATGGAAGCGTGCCTGGACTATAGGTAAGCTCAATAGATATCCTTGCTTGATCTCAACGAGGATGCACCTTTCACGCGTGAAAATTTTAGCGATTGCTCTAAGCATGATTCATCGATTTCAATTTGCAACGTTCTTTACATTCATTTAGTCTTGCATGTCTTCAATAAAGGCCACTGCGCGCAGTCCACCGGAACGCTGCTACACGATGGGCGACCTCGGCCTGCAGAGCCCAGAAGCTCTGTGCGACTTTGCAGTCAGCACACCCTTCCAGTTGCTAAGCGAGGCCTGCGTGGATGGCATGAGGGAGGAGCTTTCCAGAGATGCCGTGCAGAAGAACTGCAAATTCAGCAACGCCCGGACCCCTTGGTGATTCCTGAGCATCCTGGCTGCTCTTCAAGGGCACTGCAGACCCTTTCCATTTGACAACTTGCATCTGATGTCTCATACTGTTAGTCATAGGGTCAAGGCTCAGCACCTTTGGTGATGCCACTACAGCACACTGAGGGGGGTCTCCCAGTACTGCCCTCTCATCAAGGCAGTTTGGAGCAGTCAGGAAGTCACAGCCATCGTGTCAAGCATCGCCGGTCTGCGCCTCAAGCCAGTCATGGACTACGAGCTGGGCGTCTGCAATATCCAGGCATGCACATGGACCCATCCTGACCATGCCACTCTGAGCCTTCAACACCAGCAGGAGATCCACTCATAGATGAAGGTCAGAGATTTTCATCTGTGCTTAGAAGTGCCTACATGGATCATTAAGATTTTGCCTGTGCTTGCAAGGTGCCTGACTCCAGGGGCGATGATGTGCTGGTGGACGACTGGCACAAGGACAGCTACCCCTTTGTGGCCATCGTCATGCTGACAGACCCCACCGGAGTCCTGGGCGGCGAGACAGCTGTCAAGCAGGGAGACGGCAGCATCCTGCCCATCGGCTTCCCCGCTGCCGGCTCCTGTGTGGTGCTCCAGGCAAGTTGTCTATCCCTGTTCATACCTGCAGCCCTCAAAATTTGTGCCGAAGCATCTGCTGCTCTATGCTCCAGGCCAGCTGCATGCATCGTGACCACGTAAAGCCTCCCAACGCGAAAGGTCATGTGCTGGGAAGTTCAAAATGCCACACAGATGACACTCGATTTGCCTAGCTGCTCTGGCGGCTGCCTATTCAGCCAATTTGGCGCACTGGCATCGACAGCTAGATCTTGCAGTCTCTAGAGAACGAGGAAATTGGGTGCTTGGCACTGACAGCAGTACTGGGCAATTCTGATATCCATCTGCTAGGGATATGAAATTGGTGGGCATCTAGTATTTTTCGCTTCATGCTTGCAATATGTTGATGGGCATGTGTTTGATGTAAGCAGGGGCAGCAAGTGTGGCACTGCGGCCGGCGATCAGTCAGCGCCAGCTCGCAGCGCATCACCATGGTGACATCATACATCCCCGCCGACCCGCTGCTGCCGGACCGCTCCATGCTGAGGGGGCCGCGCCCCGTCTCCGACTGTTCCCTCCTCTACCACCAGTGGGCGCGCTACCGGCTTCAGTCAACACAGGCGCAGGTGCGCGCAGCAGACCTCCTTACTATCTAGAGTGTGCACAACAAACAGGACAGTGCGAGCGCCCAAGTAGGGGCTCTTGTGAGGCTTGAAATGCAATTATGCACTGCCCTGGAGTCTGCAACATCCGCGGCAGGCTCATAGATTCCTCTGGACAGCTGTGGTGGCTCTGATGTTATTGTTGCACTGGGAGCTGCCTGACTCTCCCTGCGGGAAGTCTCGAAGAAACCCGAGCGCGCTACCGGCTTCAATCAATACAGACAGGTGCGCGCAACAGACTTTTTCTTGTGAGTCCGACACTGTGATTCTGCGCTACACAGGCAGGCAGCATCTTCTGATAGACCTCTTGTGATATTGACATTTGCCCTAGGACCTGCCCTTCTAGGAATGCTACCCTGAGTGAGAAGGTTCAAGGGATTGTGCGGTGCCCTAAATTCTGCACCGCCCACGGCTCGTGGAATCCCCTTGACAGCTGTGATGGTTACTTTAAGCCTTGCACCCCTTCTTTGAGCCCTCTTGACAGGTGAAGAAGACCTTTTGTGAGGAGGATCATGGGATTGTGTGCTTTCCTACTGTCCGCAATGCCCACCTCATCTCGTCGCCTTGACAGCTGTTTTAAATACTCTTCCTACAGGGAGTCTTGAAGACATTGAAGAAATGGGTGCACTGCTTCTGTATCAGTGCATAACCAGTGCACAATTACGCAGCTGCCCACCCCCAGCTTGCCAGGCGCTGTGTAGGCGTCATAAGCATGTATTAGCTGTATGGGGAAATCTAAGATCCTTGTGTCACTGTTGGTGAAGAATTGCGTTAAATGTCTGAAGAATTGCGTTGGATTCCTGGCAGGCTGAGGCACACCTAAAGGCCCTGGATGCCAAGAGTGATAGCGCGCTTGGGCCTGAGGACATCCAGAAAGTGAAGCAGCAGATGGTGGACATGGCTAATTTCTTGATGACAAGCGCCCACGAGCTGCAGTGACTGCTGCACGTACTGTCACTGTAGTTTGGGTTGCCACCTGGGCAATTACTCATAGTTTCAGGATCCAAAGAATAGAAGCAATATTTGTCCTCCATTGTACCTGTCACAGTAGTGTTTCGTGTCATGCATCGTATTTTTGTATGTAATATTGGCGCTCAAGAGTATCCTGTAGACAATTTCATAAGGCATGAGAGAATTGTACGCATATTCTTGTCAGGATGCTAAATTTATATAACAACGCATCTCAGCAACATTTCAAGAGCCTGCATGCACATGTGCATGCTTGGGTGGCAAGCAGCAGTTCCATGTGCAGTTTCGGATGGCATGGCGAGCTCGCTCATGGATGCAGGATGCAACCCAGTACATGGTGGCTGCAGATATTCAATTCCAGAGATCGCTTACATCAAATTTCAGTGCAGTGTTGACCATTCATTTGCTAGCCTGAGCATTGAAATGTGCCCCAGCAACATACCCTACTGTAGTGCACGTCATTCAGCATCCTCTCAATTTTCAGTGCTTCAGAGTCCCTCTGCATTATCAAAACGCTGAACATATGGTCTCTCATCAGAAATCGCGTAAGCCTTAGACAAAATAAATAAATGTATGTTTGATTGTATTGATATGAATGTATGACTAATGTACACATAAACTATGAACATGAGACAGGCAATTTCTACTCCTTCAAAAACTTCAGATTGTGGAACGCCCTGTGGAGATGTCAAGTGGTCATCTCTTTGGAGACAGAGATCCAGATGGCTGTCTCGCGCCACTCACTCGCGCAATATCAGACGGCAGCTCATCTATAGAGCCGCAGTCGGCAGAGTATGCTTCATGCATGCTGCGCGAGCTGACCTTCTGCAGGAAGTCCACCGGATCTCTATCCTCCTTGTCATGCGTTGTGTCCTCCCCTGCATCCTTTCCTGATGCACTCCCATTCACATCTGCCGCCGTCACCGGCAGCTTCTCTGCTGCCGCCTCCTTTGCTTTCTGGTCCTCCTTCACCTACACAGACCGGAAGTGATGATTTCAGTACACACAGAATCCCACCCTCGTGCCCACCTCATTGCACATTGCGCCCCTGCTTTCAATGCCTCTAGTGTAGAGAACCTTATTAGAGGAAGAGAAATGCAGACATCAAGGCAGAGTTAGCGCCAGAAGATAGGAGAAGGATCTGCCTTGCGAGTGCAGATCATGCAGCAACAATACAATGATGCCCCCGGCCCAGGTGCACTTCTCGAAAACTGCCTACAGTGGATTGCTGAGTGGACTGCCCATTTACTAGTTCCTAAGCAAGAGAAGTACTCCAGCCGGTGGACAGTGCGCCTAGCCGGTGTTATTTCAACACGATCATGACTTGGAAAGCAGTTTCAAGAAGACTGATGTTGGCGATTTGACACTAAGTGGTAAACAGCGCGGACCTTCTTTCCAAAGTAGTTGGCGATCCAGATGTCGCAGAACAGCTGGCTGACTTGGCAGATGAGCGGCGGCAGCGTCAGCAGACCCTTGCTCCCTAGGCTGGCCGGCAGCAGAGCAATGATGGACACCGCAAAAGGCATCGTCTTCTGCGAAGACATGATCATCGCCGCGACCGCCTCGCGCGGTGGAAAGCGGAACAGACTGTGCGCATGCAACACTCGTGTAAGGTACCGAGCAAGCATCATAGAACTGACCGTGTGATGCAATGTCATTGCGGAGGGAAACCAAGTGAAACCATGCGAGGCTGTGCATACATGAGCTCCCAAGCAAATACACTAAGCCACACAGCAAACAAGGCAGAAAGCAGCAAGGCTTGACAGTTTCTAAGCCCACCAACATCAGAAGCAGCCTAATTACAACAGGCAAAGCTCTGCACAATAGGGGCACCGTGCAAGGCAGAGACAGGCAGAGAGACTTCAAAAAAACAGTAATATCGGCACAGTATAACTCCCTACAATTCAAAGGGGGATCAGAGGGCAGGCTGCTCACATGATCATGGGCCAATTGATGGCGACGAAGACAAAGTGCAGCAGCACAGCTGCCACGATGATGAGCACAATGTCCTTGAAGGCCTGCTGCATCAGGCGGTCGTGCGCGGAGCACAGCTGCACCCACACGATCACCAGCAGCGCGCCGTTGTTCAGCAGGCTCATGGTCACGCGGTGACCGGACACCCACCGCGCCACCGGCTTTATCAGGTCCCTGACGACCTGCGCTTGCATAAAGACCATCCAGTCAGGATGCTGGCATGAGGACACCAAAATCTTCCAAATCGTCGAAATTGAGAATTGGAGTGAGTCATCAAGAGCGCGTGGCTCACAAAATGCACACTTTGATCAGAAGGAATTTGGCTCCATCCTACGTAACATTGTTGGGTTTGTGGCACACTGTACCAAATGCTTGGGTGAACTCCCTCAACAATGAGATGTGCACTCATCAGTCGCCTGCTGACCAATACCTTGATACACAATTTTTGAGCAGGTGAGGCAAGTAATTTGCAGCTTGCCTTGCCCACGATGGCGGGAGCGAGGATGGTGATGACGAGGTTTATCAGCAGGTTGGCAGAGTTGATCTGCACGCTGTCTGCCTTACTGCTGAGCACCGCCTTGAACAAAAAGGGAACGGTGAAAACGGCCAGCATATTAGTCAGCACAAGCAGCATCAGCGCCAGAGCTGTGTTGCCGCCCGCTTGGGCCACCAGAGTCTGCCCCTGGGCAAGGGTTGTCGGCCCCACTGCAAACGCCGTCAGACCTGCCGATACAAACAAGCAAAGCCTTAGCGGTACAGCACCTTTTATATGAGGGAAGACTGACATGTGAAAGGTTACACCATGCACACTTGGATTTCTAGAAATTTGATTACAGGTGCAATTTTGCACTCACTGCAAGATTTCTGCGCTGCCCCAGAGCAGCTGCAACCTTGTTCGACGTCTGGAAAGGTATTGCTGTGTGCAATAGAAATGGCAGCATTTGCAGCAGCATAACAAACAGACCATCCCCCGATTTTGTGCAGCCAAACAATTCAAGGGTGAAGAGCGCACCAATCACAAATTCTGCAGGGTGAAGGGGCAGTCGGATAGTCACAAATGCCAGGCAGGGAGTCACGCCAAGGATGGCAACCAGGCCATATATGAGGGGGGCAGGGTGTTTGATGGCATATGTGATCTCCTCTGTCTTCAGCGCCAGCCCAGATATCACAAAAATGACCACAATGCACGCTGTCTCAACAACAACATAATTGGCAACCTGCACGGCACAACATAGTTTAATGTATGCTTGGTCTTGCTGCCAGTGCAAGCATCATAAGGAGGCAGGATGCTCAGCATGCGCTGCCGGCCTCACCACCTTCTATGAATGACAATCATGCAATATTCTTAGGGACTAGAATGTGGTGATAGATTTACATGAACTGTCATGAACGCACCGCACCTTCCACTGCTCCACTTTCTCTCCAGGCCAGGGCCATGCAAGCATCCATACGATGCAGATAAGGAACCCTATTGGAAGGAAGTTCTTTATTAGGAACTTCTGCGTGCATGGCCAGGAACATGTGCAGCTGCGGCTCTTCTTCTTGGGTACCTGTGTCACGCCCAGAGAGGGGCTTCTCAATAAAACATTGCCCCATGGGCAGGCACCAGTAGCTGGCCTGCGTGCTCAAGAAAGCAACACCAACTCATATGTCATCTCAGTAGAGAGCACAGGGAATGTCTAGCCGTCTGGGAGGTCCTTATGTTTTGGTGGGCCCCTGGTCAGAAGGGAGCCCGGCTTGAGATGCGAAAGGCGGCACCTTATTATCTGATACTGGTAATTTCTGCTCAGGTGGATGAACAATTCCATTCTGCACCGCCTGGCCGGCTGTCGTTGGTTGCGTCTGCTCCTCGCTCATGACCACGTGCCAAAAGATGCCTCTGTCTTTCTTGGATCCCAATTAAAAATACCCTTAGGAATGATTAAACAGCATTTTTTTAAACATTTCGACACATAAAATTGATTCCCAGTGCAGTTCCGTGGAAACTCGACGTGGGGTCGAGCAAGGTGGTCTGGTCCTAGAGTGCAATTTTCAGGCAACTAGACCGATCCAACCCAGTAATCGGGCAGAGAAATGAAAGCAACCAAATCTGATGTTTGAAGGTCGAGACAATTGCTGCGTTGCTCCGACCGGGTCGTCCTTCGGCCCACCGTCACTCCTTGGCATGACTCACACAACACGTGTGCGACTCGGACGCACGTGATTTGTAGGATGTAGATCGATCCATCTGTGCGCCATTCGTGGATCTACATTGTTAACAACTTAAGGGTAGTAGCTTCTCAGTCCACGGAAGATTTAATTGCTGCGGATCAGGGATTTGAAGTGTAAAATTTCTTAGAGAATCAATGGCTGACCATCGATGGTCCCTCCAAGATTGAAGATGCCAAAAGAGAGCTTTGCTATATCTCCAATTATATTCAATCCCGTGACGCATCTCAGTTGAGCCCACCCCGTTGCGGATACAGGGCAAGCAGGCCGGAAGCTTATGGGGCGCCTGTAGCTTAGTTTGTGCTCTGATAACCATACTTCAACAGCGAGATGAGTGTCGACAACCATGCGGAAGTGCCCACAGACTTTGGGAAGAATCTTTGCGCGTGCATCTCCTGTCACCTTGTGAAGACACTTGATCAAGTAAGGATGTGTCCCTGCCATCTCACCTACTATGCACCTGTATGACAGAAAACCAATATATCTGCTTCATCGAAAAATCAAGCAGCTCAGCAGTGCATACAGTGGTCCGCTGCTCAAGTCCGTCCAAGCTTACCCCTTCATACACCACATGTGTCACATCTCTTTGCTTGCTTTGCAGTTTGCAGGGGGCGGATGCGAGAACTGTGGTTTCCTTGGAATGGAGGGTGACAAGGACCGCTGCTTGGAGTGCACAACAGTGGCCTTTCAGGGCATGGTGTCTGTCATTGACCCAGCTTCGTCATGGTGTGCCAAATGGCTCCATCTCTGTAAGTTCCTCTTTTCCCTGCCCTTGAAAACCATACCAAAACATTCCAAGAGAAGCTCATACAGCCTGGACACTGTAAAGTCACAGAGAAATAATGCACACATAGCATTGAAGCCTTTGCCCATGTCAAATGACGGCTGTCTCCTTTGTTTTGGTGCAGCAAAGTTGGTGCCAGGCTGTTATGCGCTGTCCGTGCAAGTGGAGGTGCCGCCTGACATAAAGGAGCTCATGGCAGAGAACGGGAGAAGAGTGCTAGAGGTAGGGTAAATGAAAGGCTTTCTTCCATGTGAGGTGACCAGAATATCCAGGAGGTAGCAGAACGCAGTAGTCCATTGTCTGTGAGGAGGATCCAGTGTGACGCCTGCGTCTGCCAGATGACACAGGGCCGAAAAGCTAAGTTGGAGGGGACGTATGAATCTATCATCTGTTGTACAAGCTTAAGGTAGACATCCTTCAGGACGTAAGGGGCCGTATTGTTTTTGGGATTTTGTGTTGACATGCAAAGAATCCCAAGCAAGTCAAACCTGTCTGCATAGCTACAGGACCATTGCCATGCAAATGACAGGAGAACATGAAAGTGAAAGGGACTGCGAAAGACGCATATCCCCACTTGCTGGCTACGTATGTAAATCCTGATCTCTGAGGAACATTGGCATGCGCATTGAGTGATGGCAATGTCAATGTTGTTTTGAGTGGGCATAGCAATTGAAATCCACCAGTGCAAAACGTGCGCTTGCCCCCAATAAGCATCATACGCACACAGTGTGGCGTATTCATGTCAAGGAGCATTATTGGCAGTATTACACACCCAACCATGCATGTGATTTGGAAACGAAGTCATGAATGGCAGTCATACTGTATCCTGAAGGCTTGAGCTTACTGGCCTGCTCAAGTACTCAGAGCGCCTCACGATCTTTCAATCAAGATATGCTAATACGAGTTTTTCCACTCCCCTGGCCAGACCTACGCTGGCTGGATGAAAAAATTCTCAAGCCACACATACAAGGCTGCCTTCAAAGATACGTCCATATACTCAGTATTAGCAGAATATCACACTCAGGCCTACAAAGCAAATCTCATGCCCCTTCCATTGCTTACCTACAGCACACACACATACACACACGTTTTCTATCTTGTGCTTGAAGGACAACACCATTACCTTGTGCAAACCTACGTCAAGTCCCATTTGCATGCAATGGATGCAGCCACTTCCCTCCATAGATCACATTGACAAAGGCATCGGCCTAAGTTCCCTAAAATGAGGTGATAACAGAAGCTGACAGAAGAAAGGCACCTGGGTATCTGACATGCCCGTCTGCTGCAAGTTTTATCGCATGCGCTTTCCTTCACTCATGCTTGCCTCCCATCCCATATATGGTACAGGCAAAACAATTATGCTGTGCCCAAAAAAGTATCTGTTGCCGCCACGAATCCTGTAGAATTCACCATGGCAAGCCATGCATGATCTCACCCATCTGGCTTCACATCCCACAGGAGGGCCCTGCTGCCTCTGATAACGGTGCATGAAGACAGTCTAATCGCCTGCCAGTTGCACCTGTGAGATCCAATCGGGTCATGTCCCCCGGGATCTGCAACTATGCAAGCCTCAGTTGCTCCTATGAGACCCAATTTGGCATGTTTCCTAGATCTGCAAAGCTGCTGATGCGAGCCTCAGTTGCTCCTCTGAAACCCAATTGAGCATTTTTCTGGGAACTGCAAAGCTGCTGATGCGAGCCTCAGTTGCTCCTATGAAATCCAATTGTTATGTCCCTGGGATTCTGGAGATACAAGCTGCTGATGAGAGCTTTAGGTGGCAGTGTTTGGGAACAGATGGGGGAACAGTGCAGCCATTGGCGTCGCGGCGTTGCCTCTCGGCAGCTGCTGGCTGGCTGGGGGCGCATAGGAGGCTGCCGCGCTCTGGGGCTGCTGCGGGGCGGAGTTCAGGGGATTGTAGGGCTGCCTGGCCGGAACCCTGCAGTAACAAGTCCGTCAGCACCACTCAATCCAACCCTAGACAGAAAGAGAGGCAAAATTGATCAGAGTCGAGCAGAGCTTGAGCCGAGCTGAGACTGTCAGGAAGGTGGCTAGAGACTTACTGTCCATTGGGCACTGTGCTCCGCAGTGGCGCAGGACCCGCCGCAAACAGCACAGACTACATTCAGCCAGCACCTGATGTTTTCAAGCGACACCTTGTGACAAGGAAAACTTATGGCAATTTGCCCAATACGGGGAATGTGGGTGACAAAGGTCCTGAAATATGTCCAGGACTAATCACCTGGGCGCTGTGTGGGAGCCTTGTGGCCGTTGGCGTGGCCATTGGGGAAGCCTGGAGGTCCGTAGCCGTTCGGCTGCGCTGCCGGGGGAGGGGCTCTGACCTGGCGGACGACATCTTCCTCAGTGTACACCCCTGCAACCAATCAACACTCTTTCAGCAAGGTACCTCTTTACATGTTATTATATGTATCCAGGAAATCAGCTCATCACGAGAGGCTGTTGAGTTTCTCAGCTTCTCCAACAACCTCCCTTGATTGTCAGTTCATAATAATTGCCAACGAAATTTACTCAGGGAATATCAGGGAACAGACATCCAGGGGACGTGATGGAGAGAAAGGGGCAAGCATGAAAGGGCGAACCTGAACCGCTCGTGCGAGGAGGCTCCGCATGCGGCCTCACCGGCGCGGGGGCCGGGGCATATGCCGGCTGCGGGGGCGCCATGCGCCGGTTGCCGGACGCGTACATGCTGCTAACGCTGTCGGAGGTCCCCTGCGCCGGCGCCGGGCGCTTGCTCTCGCGGTACGCCGGCTGGCTGGGCGGGGGGAGCGCCGCTTTCTGCGGTGGCGGCGCCGGGGGGTCCGGGTCCTCCCAGGCCTCCCACTCCCCGCCATTGTCGCCAGCGTTGCCCCCCAGGCTTGGGAAGGACTGCTCCGTGAACTGCAAATGAACCACACGCTCAGATGCACGGTACATAGCAATTTGCGCCTGTGACTTGATCACAGAGGTTGCATGCGATGCCTGTGTGAAACTGTGCCAGAATCCCACGCTCAGATGCTCCGTTTGTGGAGCTCCCTGACTTCCTAACCTTTTCTCACACAGGTGAGGAAGCACAGTGAACAAGTGCGTATGACCGGGGGTCTGCTGCATCGAAGAGGTCAGATGATTTAACTCGATCTGCAGGTCTACCCAACAGGACGAGGAGGGTGGTGCTTCTGACTGCGCGTACATTCTCCAAAGCACAGTTAGATAGACCTGCAGATGATATCCTTGTGATCTGTCTGTGCCCCACTTGATGCGGAGTGCGCCTGGCAAGGAATAAGTATTTTAAATGGAAGGGCACAGGTACCCGCAGCTTGCTCCTGTTGGCGGCCTCCTCCTTGGCATAGCGCTCGGACTCCTCCAGCGCGAGGGTCAGCTGGATGGCCTCCTGCAGGCTCATCTCCTCCTCCACCATCATGTCCCAGCCTCTGCCACAACATGCACCACATACTCAGCATGGTGGTCCAATTCCAGCGGAGCACGTGCCAGCAGGTGTCTCAAGTCTGCAGTGTTGACGCAATTTGCACAATGAAGAGCATGCGCGAGGTTGTGGTGACCTGGATCAGATGTGTGAAAAGTTTGATCTGCTCTCCACTGCAGCTTTTCTTCATGACAAGCTTCTCTGCAAACCTAGATTGGCATTCTTCAAGCGCTGACTGTGCCACATTTGCTTGCCGGCTTTTCCCGCCATCATGTGCATGCACGCTAACCATTAAGACCCGACCATTTACACCCCTCCATCCTTCCACCTTAGAGAGTCTAAGGACACCAAACAGAGTGACAAGACCAGCAAGTCATCCACCAGGAAGATTACCTTGCCCTTTGGCAGGTAAACGTGAAATAATAACAATGTTGGAACGCACCCTCCCGCTGTGTTGCTGCCCGGCTGCTCGGGGTTGATACGGCGCACGTCACCGAAGGCGTCCGAGTAGTTATTCAGCCCCGATGTGCTGCGCAGCGGAAGCGGCGGCCGGTAAGTCTGCTGCGGTGGCGGTGCAGGGGCGGCCGCCTGCTCGTTAGTCCCGTGGGCCCCATCCTCCTGCAAAGTCATTCCAGGTAAAGCATCACTTGTTCTTATTAATACATTTTAGAGACCTGTTGAGAGCCACCTGAGGCTCATTGGTCTTGTAGGCAGTCTGTCCCTGCCCATCTTCATATTACAAACTTCTTATGTGTCTGCAACTGCAACTGCTCTCTGCAAGAAAGGCAGGATTATGCACAGAAAATTGTCAGAGCTGTGAGAACTCCTGTGTGCCAGAGCAACTGGGACACAACTGGCAGATCCACGGCGTGCCTGAGCTTGACTGGTCGCAGGAGAGGCCATCTGGACTGCTGAGGTCAAGAGGTGTGGGTAGAGCAACCAATAGTTTCCTTTGCACGTTTTTATGCATGCACGCAATGAAGGACTGAGACCTGGAATGCAACACGTCATGTGATTGCTCCGCAAAAGCGAAAAGACACATGCTTACCTTGGGGGGAGGCGGCTGCACGGCTTCCTCCTTCTTGCGGGCCTTCATGCGCGAGCGGCGCACTTTTTCGGCCACCATCTCTTCCGTCTTGGCCTTCTGCGCCGCCAGCCGCTCCGTCTCGCGGCGATAGTCCTCTGCCGCGCGGTCCATCGCTGCCTTCACGGCCGCCTCCTTCTCCTTCTCAGCCTGCAGCAGTCATCTTCGCTTAGACAAGTTATTTCTGAATGCACGCAAGCTCGAAATCGCCCTGCCCTGACTCTACGCTTCTCAATTTACACATTACACAGGCTTTCTGCCGAGACAAATGTCCCCCTGCCGGCTTTGACGCAACAAGCTTCTGGCCAAGTCAAGATCGAGGCAAGCCCATGACTTATCTGGCAACCTGCTCAAAAGAATCCTTGCAACTCAGAATGGGCCTGCAAATAGACTAGCATCAGCAACAAGCAACACACGTGGCTTCAACAACAGGGACATGGGTGCCACAGGCACGCCTTGAGGCGGGAAAACAACCGCCAGATCATGCATGTACTGAGCAACCTGCTATCAATATCGTTTCTTCTGACCAGCTAGAAGGCATGCAGCACACCCTGAGGCGGCGCTTGGCTTCGTCCAGGTCCACCTCCTCGCTCTTGTGCGGCTGCAGCTTCTTGGAAGCTGCGGCGGCAGCGTCGCGGCGGCGGCCCTTCTTGGACTGCCCGGGTTGCCCGGCTGACTCGGCCGCCTGCCCAGCCGCCTGCCCGGCCGGCGCCTGCGAGCGGCCCATGGTCGCGTAGAAGGACTCCTCCGAGTACTTGCCCCACTCCATGCTCCCGTCAGGCAGCTTGCGGCCTGTGACAACAACAGCAAATCAATGTATGACATTTCCTCAAATTCATCTCTTTGAGGATTGGCTGCATTGGCAGTACGTCACAATAGGTTGGTATATACTGATCCTGCTATCTGTTCGAGAGCGCATTTGCTATGGCAAAGTTGCTCTCCATTGCAAGTCTGCATCACTGCATTGCACTGCACTGCAATTGCAAACCCTATGTTCTCAAGAACAGGGCGTGCATGTGGGCATACCTCCGCGGGCCCGGAAGACGTATTTGGTGCCGGGGAGCAGGTCATTGGCGGTGACAGGCCCCGTGCTAGTGCTGGAGTGTATGGAGCGCCAGACCGAATCACTCTGCAGCCGCATCTCCATCTCCCAAAGGCACCCCTTCGGCAGCTGCGCGCACATGCCCCAACTTTGCTCAACAGCTTGCGCCCACACCAGCAGACATGCAGCAATCTCAGCAAGCACATCGGTGAGCATAGCCCAGACAACTTTAAAGAGTCCATTGTCTTTTCCAAGCCTGTTCAGCCTGCAGAAAATTTCTCTCTATACAAAGAAGGCAGGACAGCACAATGCTCTTTTGATTTAGAGGACCACCATGGGCCCCCCAGCCAATGTGCCTTGCTCTCCCCTGCAGGCTCATTAATGGGCCGGCACCTTGGCCGATGAAAATGTTCTGAGGGTGGAACGAATGGTATCTGGCTGCTGCCAACACATATGGGTGGAGAACAACATGCACCTGGCTGCCGCCGGTGGCTTTGGCGAGGCGTGCCATGGAGAGGGTGACTGAGGTCTCGGTGCGCTCGGCCATGGTGGGCCGCGGCATTTGACTGATCACCTTGTACAACACCTCCTCTTCCTGCGCCTGCGCCCTCGCGCGCGCCTCAGCCTCAATCCTCTCCTCGTTCTGCGCGCATGCCAGGCATGGCTTATTAGACGTTTTTGCCGCAAGGAAAAACTCCGATCGAAGGCGTGCACGTCAGGTGTGGAATAATGCGGTGTTTCCTCCACCCCCCATACACAACAATCAAATTGATCAAACTTTTACAGTGTCATGTGCTGAAATGATCAAGGTGGGCACGTCACCCGACATCACATGGCACCAGCTGATAACAAAATGAAGGTAGTGTCGTGGCAAATTGAGTAGCTATGCTTTGGCCATTTGAACTGATTTCTGGCTCAGATGGAATGATGAGATGTGCAGCTTGTATTTCTGTTCATTCCTGAACAATTGAAATGGTGGCAGTGCAGGAGCATGCTCACCTTACGGCGGTCCTCTTCAGAGAGCTTCTGGCGCTCCTGCTGCCTTGCCCGCAGCTCCTCCGCACGCTGCGCACCACAGGATGTCCAGTTCACTGACAAGGGCAATCACACAGCGTACACCCTCATGGTGCTACACAGGACAAGGTTGACAGGCACTGCACATAGACATGACTCATACGTCAGCGGGCTGTTGATCAGTAGCACACTCTTTCCCTGGCACGTGAAGTCTCTGGTCAACCCGTAAACCAACATTCATCTTGAGGTGTGACTGCTTCATGCCAGTTTCTGTGGATTTCATGGAACAAAAGAGGCATACCTTTTGCCTGTCACGCTGCTCGGCTTGCTGCCTCGCAGTCTCCCGTTTCTCCTGGGCCTTGTAGTAACCGTAGTCGGGGTCCTCGCTGTCCTCCTCCGAATTATACGAGTCATTGTCGTCATCTGACACCTCCTCGAAGAACGTGTGGGCCGGTTTGCTGCGGCCGCGGCCGGCCCCCCGCGCCGAGCCGAATCCCGGGCCCCGGCCGGCCGCGCCGCGCGGTGCAGAGCTCGGTCCAAAACTGGCGCCCCCCATGAAGCCAAAGCCGCCACCAAGCTCGAAGAAGACTCCTCCTTCGCCCATCTCTCGCATCTCCCGCATCCTGCGCAATGAGCGATGCATGAAGTCAGATAACAGGGGCAAAAATCGTAAGCAGAGGCAGCGCTTGTGATGGTGCTCATCTGCGACGATTGGAGTCCCTCCACTACATTAGGTGAGTTGGCAAGAATTTGAGGAATGTGCGTGATGCTGGGAGATAGGTGGAGAGTCAAAAGGGGACACATACATGTGCATGAAGAAGGCGGCAGCCGCCTCAAAATTGTCAGCAGCGGTGAAGATCTCCTCACTGTCGCTGTCAGTGTCACCCTCAGTGGTGAGACGCTGATATGCTGCATTCACCTTTTGGAATGCGACCTTTGCAGTCTCCTCATTGCCTGGGTTCTTGTCCGGGTGCCTGGGAACAAAAATTGCATATACGTTGCAGTCTCCGGAAAGACAGCTCTCACATGTATATACTTGATCAAATTTGGAACAGGCAAATGGCCTTATAAGCAGGTCTTCAACGAGAGCGCTCTAGGAACAGCTCACCATTTCATCGCAAGTGTCTTATACTGCTTTTTTATTTCCACCTCGGTGTATTCCTGACCCTCCTGCAAATCATCAAGGGCTTAAGGAACGACCTCAAGCAGAATGTGCTCCAGAGATCAGGTGAGACCCTGGTCTCTTTTACATGCCCACGAGATGCGTGGTCGCGCGCACATCAGAAAAATAAGAAATTTTTGATTGATAACATGACATTTGTGTGCACGCTGGATCAATATGATAAATATAGCAGTTTCAATGCTGATCACAAACCCCAGCCTATCAATATTACTCGGTACTTGCCTCCAATTCGAGTACTTCCAGAGCTTCCTCTCTTTTTATCTTCATCGTGTCAATACTCTTGTGGTGTGCAGCCGATCAGAGTCGTGGACAAAACTAGTCAAGGAATGAATCTGAGTCAAAGCCCCGGTCCTATGTCAGCGATCTCCAGCGAATGATCCTTCAGCACATGTATCTCAAGTCATCTGCACCTATTTCGACGATCACTTACGTCTACAGCAAACGCATTGCTCGAACAGCCATGCCTGATGGAAAGAAGGACTGTTCTACCCCCGCCTGAATTGGCTTAAGCTTGGCTTCCTCCCTGCTTTGCATGCTGCGCAGATTCAAGAAGAACTCATGGCAAATCGTCTCCTTGACGCTGTGACACTGCACGGACTTTCCCGGTTATGGCAGTCTGAACAGTTGCATGGTGAGGATTTCACAGTCCCGATATTGAAGCGCTTCTCATCAGAGGTCGGCATCACTGAACGCGCATCTGCAAATTACGCAGGCTATACCCTAGCTTGACTCCATCGCACTTGTTGACCGGATCTGAAGAAGGGTTACCATCTTAAAGGTGAGACGCTTGTATTGTAACGAGGAACCTTCCCCGCTTCCAACCTGCAACTGGGGGAGCATCTTGATAACTAATTGCCTTCAATTTGTTGCCTTCTCCTTGATTTCTCAAGTACACTAGCCTTGAAAACCCGGAAATCGCATCAAATACCTCTGGCAACCGTTTTCCTCAGATCCTGTCTGTTTTCTCTGTCACAGGGCCGTTTAAGATGGCAGCCATTTCCGAGAAATACAAGAATATTCTCGTCGGCAGGATCCTGAAGAAAGTGCAGGATGGTGTCGAGATGAATGGCGTGGTATGTGCTGCTGGTCTAGTTGCTGGATCCTCGACTGCTGTTTCAGGTTAGCATGCTGTGGTTTGATCCTCTTCCTGCCTCTGTAGGTGCAGCACGTCGAAAATATACAGTATAATTTCAATGCTCCTGAGGAAGAAAGGCTTTATAAAAGGTTCAAGGTAGGTGCTGTATCATCTTGCTTTGTGCTCCTGCCAAAAATCCTGATGCATGCGCCTGCAAAACCAGAAGCCTGCCACCCTTCGTCTGGCCTAGCAGGAATTGATCTACGATGCTTCTAGGTGCATTGGGAAGGGGATGCGGGGACAGATGTCCTCACGCAAGAGGAGGTATGGAAGATTGCCACGAATGAGTTCACAACGGCCAGCTGGATGATTCCAGATATTCTGGAACGGCAGAAGGTAGCATGTCCAGCTTTGCCACAATGACAGGAGACGTTTACCACTGTTGGGCTTCATACTTCACGTTTCTTTGCATGCACTTGACTGCGCTTCCCATTTTCAATGAGTATGGAGCTGTAGTATCCTGATAGATGCAAGGGCTCAACTACCAACACATCTGGCACACCATGTGATGTCACATGCTGATGTCACATGTGTGCTGTGTGCACAGGTCGGGTGGGATGAGTCAGCGTTGGACATGGAGGATCTACGCCTGAAGTCAATCTATGACAAGGCAATGAGCACACATGCAGTCAACAAAAAGGCTGCTGAAGCAGCCAGGGACATAGTGGCTGCACTGGAAGGCAGGAAAGTCCAGCCACCCCAGCCGTCACTCCAGGTGATTACTTTGGACGATCCTGAATCACCTTGAATTTTAGACCATCATATGCTGCAATTTGACAAGTTTGAGAGCTTGCATCATAGCCCATCTTTCCATGGGGGACCTGAAAGCAGTGCTCCCACTTGTTCAGCACAATGGCATATACTTGCACAGTGTTCCCAGGCCGAAGAAAGTGTGCAAATAGCAGCCATCGCAGCCATCTTGCCACCAGCTGCTTCTTGTTCTTAGCCCGCGATTTTCGTTCAGCTGGTTGTATGTAAAGATTGACAGTGTGGGGGAGTGCCCTGCAGGATTTATTTGGGCAACCTGTGGACTCCTCCAAAGTGTTTCCTGTGACAGCACTGCACAAGTACAAAACCATAAAAAAACAGGGCCACATGGCCAACAAGACAGGCGACGTTCTCAATGAGAAGAAAGATGACGCCACCTACAAGGTCCTGGACGCTTCTCTCCTGCCCCCTCTTACGCCAGGTGAATCTCTCTTTGCTCTACGACAGGTGAATCTCTACAGCCACATGCAAGTATTGCACAGGTCCACACAGGACCTTGACCACCAGAAGTGTGCTTGCTTGCCCTAGCTTCTTCTGATACAAGGGGCAACCAGTACTGGGTATCGGTTGCAGCAATTGCAGCACCCAAAGCATGGCTTGTATGCCTGCAGAGCTCAGAGAGGAGGCCATCAGGCTGGTGTGCGCCAGAGTGGCATTTGCAGAGACGCTCAAGCAGGTGAGAAGCTCCACTAACGTCAATCCTCCCATCCTCTTTTATTTGTGCACAATGACAGACCGTGCCTTTGCTTGCATTGCAGAGCAATCTATGTACAATGCCAGATGCTGGAAACCGCTTAGCGCAGTGGCATGAGGAATGCATGCGCTCTAGCTGCCTCATAAGAACTGCCCTGGGCTCACGAAGGCAACAAGAATTTGATGAAATCATTCCTGGTGCTCTACAGCTACCAGGAAGCCATGGAACTTATCTGTCTGCCCACAGGCAAAGGAGAAGGTGAAGAAGAGCAAGGAATTTCTAGCAGAAGCGGTGAGGCAAGAGTCGGGAGAGGATGAGCCTGCAGAGGAGGGGCCTGAGGGTGCAGCAAAGCCAGCCGACAGAAAGCTGGACCCAGAACAGGCCCAGAAAGCGGTGGATGAGGCTGAGGCCTTTCTGGCACAGGTGTGAAGTTCCTGTGAATGTCTGTTTCTTCACGTGACATGCACTATAGTGTCACTGGTGTCCACGGTAAGATGGTGTTAAGATAACACCGGTTGGGCTCCACAGTTGGGGTACTCCCGCCGCTTAGTCACTGGGAAGTCTGCAGGCTAGTCAGCAGTCCACTGTGACTATACATGCACAGCCTTCATGTCCTGCAGTGTCCCGCACTTCCTGTCTAGGTGATGACTTTGATAAGCACACACCTTCAAAGCAAGCCTGGGCACTCATTGCCTTGCTCAATGGCAGGGCAATTTTTTAGCAGTCAGCTGTGCAAAACACACAATGTAGCTGGTGTTGCAACAGATAGATTATACCAAGGCTGGGGCTTTTTGCGCTGACACATTGCCGTGCTGATGTATCCAGTGTGGAGTGTACAGGCCAAGGTGGATGCTGAGGTGGCAGCCAAGGCTGCACGCAATTTCGAGGAGAAGCATGGGCTCCTCGGCAAGGACCGACCAAGTTCGGGACAGGTCGGGCGCAAGTCTGCCGCCAAGGAGAATGCGCAGCCCTCCAAGGCCGTCAAGCCCCTAAAGGAAACTGCCGCTGATGCCAAGGGCAAAGGTACTCACCTGCTACGCCGATTCACTGCAAATTCACTGGCTTGTCGTCCTGTTTATAGAACTCCTTTCTGGGGTTAACATGAATCTGCTGGTTGTGGGGTTGGTATTCAAATGGTCCACTTTGTGCCAAGCAGCAGAGGGTTCGCTTTTTTGCATTGGCATCAGCATGGGCGAAGCGGCGGATGTGCTGTGCAGGCCGCGCGGATGCTACTGCTGGCAGCAAGAAGATTCCCTTTGGGCAGAGCAGCGTCCGCGCAGCCCAGAAGAAGGAGTGAGTGCCACCATTACACAACATAATCTGTTCTGTCTGCTGTCCCCACTTCTACCAGTCGCTGTCTTCCTGATGCCTCATTAGGCAATGTTATGCGCACACCCCCACATGTATTGCCATCCCCATTAACAGCCCCTGACGCGAGCTGTCTGCCTTCCAGGGCCCACGCGCGCCGTTCGGCCGCCACAGCCGCCAAGAAAAACGCGGCGACCGCTGTCGAGGGAAAGGGCAAGGCGAGTGTCGTGGATGCTGCCGACCCTGATGCCCCCGGCCCCTCGGCCGGCCCGTCGAAGCGTCCGTCCGCCGGCGTTGCCTCCCCCACGCGCGCCGCCAAAGCCGCGGCGGCTGCCGCGAAGCGCGCGGAGAAGAAGCGCGCCGGCGCTGCAGGGGCGAAAGGCAAGGAGGCCGCTGTGGTCCCGGAGGTGCACAGCTGAACTCCCTGACTTCTGCCCACATTGTGACACTCCTTAGATGATTCAGGGCCTGCACCGTGCTTTTTGTGTCCATTTATTGTCTATGCCTGCCTCATCTCAACATCTGGCCTGCCCCCTCACCAATTTTGTCCTATAGTTTCCTCCAGGTGCAATGTCGTATGCCTGCCTCATCTTTATTGGACCTGCCTCATCTTTATCGGACCTGCACTGTGAGCCTGCACCCCAAAAATCAGTACAGCCATCAGAAGAAAGGGGCTCAAAGCACGGGTGTGCGCAGGCTGATGAGGAGGAGGAGCGCGAGCGCTCGCTGACATCATCCATCCGCCTCAACCTCTCAGACGCCAACGGCGACGGCGGTGTCTCTGATGACGTCATCGTCCTGGACAGTGCCACCACCGGCGCTCCCAGCGCAGTCGCTGCCGCGTCCGACGACGCCGAAGTGTCGCCGAACGGCGACGTGGCCATGGGTGCGCGCCTGGGCCAGGCATTACAGAAGTTCCAACAAGTGGCACAAGAGAAAAGAATAAAACCTCTTTCATCAAGTGGCCTGAGACCAGCACAGCATAGTGTTGGACATGTCTAGTTCGCCCTGCATCACCCCAGCATACTTCTGACCTGTTTCCAAATTCTGTTAGTAGTACAGGTTCCTCACAATGTCCCAGATTCACAAACACACGAGAGGACCACAAAATTGCAACCCTTTTTTGGAATGTGTCAGTGGCACTCACTTACAGCATTTGCCAAAGCCAGGCTTGCTTTTGCACACACCTGCTATGCATGCTGTAGTGGGTAGCCCCAAGAGGTCACTGGCTTACTAAAGGCCGGAGGATTAAATGATTTGCTGGCATGTTACTCGCGTTGGATTGCCTTTGCAGCGCTCCTAGGGTGTCCCAGACATGCTGCCTTGAGTGTCTTGAAGCTGATGCAAGATTGGTGCCAGGCATGGGACCCCTGAGCAGCTGCCAAGCTCTGTCCAAGCATGGCATGGGGCAGATGGGATTTTGCGCACCTGTGCAATATTTTTGTTTCTATTGATTTGAATGATACACGCTTTTTCTGCCAAGGGGCAAAGTCCTAAAGACAAGCTGCAGTTGAAGGCTGCCGTAGTCCTACCCCTTGAGGGACTCGCCAGATAAAAGCAAGACCCAATCAATTGTGGTCACGGTACTTAGTATTTCCACCGCCCCCCGGGGCCCTGTAATATACATACATGATATTGCTGTGCATGTTGTGGCGCAGGCGAAGCAGAGCAGAAGGCGCCCGCTGGTGCTGCCGAGGAGGAAATGCGCAGATTTCCTGACGGGCGCGCATATCCTGAGAGGTGTGCCTGTGATTGACCCTCTAAGATTGACCCTCTTCTCAGAGTCTTCATTGTGCTGCTCCCATCCCAGACCCGACTCAGACCAGAGATTAGTTTCCTGCTTTCCTCAAACCGCATGCTTACACGATTGCATGTCATCGCCCAAGCAGTGTTGCCCATTCTGGATACCTTGGCAAAGGCAGTGGAGAGCGCATGCCAAGCAGGTTCCGTCCAGTGCAAAGTCCAGGAGGTTTTCGCAACATCGTTGAATCATAAGAGCGTGTGTGGTCTGCAGGCTGTGCATGCAGCATGGAGATAGGCTGCTGGCAGACTGGTCAGCCGCAGAGGCCAACAATGAGCTTGAGGATGACACTGAATATGAAGTCATTGCAATTCTTGACGAGCGCAAGAGGAAGGGGAAGAGGGAATTCTTGGTGAAGTGGCGGGTGTGGTTTCAATCCCAACTAAACATTATCCAAGATGTCTGGAGGCACCAATGCATGCATTTATGTGATGGATGCATCACAAAAGGATTCTCAATTCTGTCATCAAAAATACTGTTTCTACCACAGATTAAGTTTAGGTGAAGGTTTGGAACTGCATTCAGTGTGCCCTCAGGGCAGGCTGCCTGCCTGTTGAGTAAGCTCAGGCTTCACTTTTGCCTAATCTTGTGTGCAATTGCTCTCAGGGGTTTGAGCTGAACCCCGAGCAGTGGTTCCCTCATACACTGTTCACAGAGTGCGAGGCGCTCGAACAATGGGAGGCCGCACACCCGCCCGCCGCTGGCCAGAAACGAAGCAGAGGGCGCACGGCCTGAGCCAGAGTTCCCACCATGGCCAGCCAGATATCATCAGTCAGCATGCTGTGCAAGGCTGACCTCTTTGATAGATCCGGTCCATTGATTGAGTTGACAGTCTTGATCACGCAAATTTGTTTGGTGAGACGTGATGAGCAAGACTTGAATGACACCGACATGAGTGTTGTGGCGCATGAATGTTTGTCATGAACTTGAAAAGTAATGTGTTGATGCACGTTAAATATGAAATTGGACTGTCTTATGTGTGCGGGATATTTGATAATGCGGCAAGCCTGCACCTAAAACACATATTGAGCAAGCAGGCCATGAAATCCGCGCTATGAGAAATGCTTTTCTAAGCCGAGCCGCTAGAAGCAGAGGGAATGGGTTTGAATATATACCAGGGGGAGTAACTCTAGAAGAACTTCTAGAGTTACTCCCCCTGTATATACTGAATCCGTGAATGCATCACTTCCGAGGAATTTCTCTGTAAATACCATAAATTTCCTCAGCACCACTCGTTAATCGATGATATCAGTGGGCCGTCTACACGCGGCATCAATGCATCTTCTCATCCTTGTTAAGTTCCAAATAATTTCTTGTTTCTCAACTGTAATTTAGCAAAGCTTCCCCTCGAGTGCAAAAGCAGTCATCCGTCCACGCTGCATCACTTATGTGACATCATCCCGGCACATGAACAGGTCCAACCACAAGATGACTCAATTATTGTGCATCCAGGGACTAAGCAAGTCCCATGGATTCCCAGTGACATGGACAATCTACTCCTTGGATGTGTAGCCCCAGTACTGCAGCATGGGCACCACCACAGAGATGCCCAGCAGCACGAGCACAATGGTGCTTGTGATGTTGCGAGTCTTGTCCACCTCTGCCTTTGTCTTGTACGTGCGCTTCCTCGTGCCATCTGCGCGCTGCGGAGCCCCTGGGTCCGTCTTGCCTGCACCACACAGGACGCTCATCATCAGCCCCTGTCACCTGTGCTTTTGATGGGGATCTGATGGCAGCGCAGGCTTCCTGATCTGGTCTGTCTGGTCTGCAAGGTCCAGTGCATATTGGGGGGCTTGCTCAGCAGATCATCAAAGCAATACAAATACATCGTTGCTGCAGTGCAGAAGTGGGCCATGCAGCGAAAATTGCAGTTGATAGGGGCAACTGGACACCATCAAAGAGCAGACTAGGCCGGCTGGGATGATCTACCCCGACACACCCCATGCCAATCAGGCAGCCACAAGCTTCAGCACAGGCATTGGGGCTGCACCCAGTGCAGTCTCAGCTGTAAGTATGGGGCCTAGGTTGGGAGTGCGCACCTGTGAGTTTGGCCTCCACTCGCCTGACGATGCTGCTGACTGCCTCGTTGAACTTCTCCTCCTCTGTAAGGATGGGGATGCTCTCGGACACCACGCTGTCTATCAGGTCATCGCCCACTGCCTGCACCAAATCACCCAGTAGCACACTGAGCCTCGTTGCCACACCAGCGCATGGCAACCTCCCTTGCAGCAATTGCCTAGATATAGCACTCCTTTTATTGAGGCAATCCACCCAATCTACCAAAGATTGGCAGCAAACATCAGCCTTGCAAGTGAGTCAGGGCTTCACAGTAATCCCTGCCCTTCATTGAGAAAACAACTGGCACATAAAGAAAAGCCACCCCCGCTGATAAAGTTAAGGAGACAGAAAACGTTAGCATCAGAGATGGGTTGTAGCTTCAGTGCACCAAAGACCTACCCCAAGCCCAGACAGTAACGATGATAGATTTTTCCCTGACCAGCACAGTGATTTGCTTTTGAGGCATTCTGGGGAGCAGCTTATGCAGAAAGATCTGGGCATTTGATCTCAAGGTGATGTGGGGAGCCAGGCACCTTGTTGAAGGCGGGGCCGCCAGTGAGAGCGCCGTCCTTGCCGGTGGTGACCAGCACAAGGATTCCCTTGTTGCCGCCGACCTCCACAGTGGGGTACCACTTCTCAATCACCTTGTCCCCGAACGCGAAGGCATCGTTTTCGAATTCGAGCTTGCGCACAGTCACCGCCTCCAGCCTGTACCCTGTCTCTGTCTGCGCGCAGCCACACCACTTTGACGTCAGATGCCATGCATGCATGCATGCATGCAGGAAATTCCATCCTTAGGTGGCTGCTGATTGCCATGCATACATGCCTACTCTCAAGCCAATCTTGTGATACAGGATTGCCAGAAGTGCTTGGCACTGGGATTACTGAGGTTGCACTGGCGCTGGGTGTGTCTGATGAAAGTTGCTTCTCCAAAACCTGTTGATTTCCTCTGCTATGCGCTTGGCTTATTGGGGATCCGCCACTGGCTGACTTGCTGTGATCAGATCCTTAGCATGTGGAAAGATCTTTACAGTAGGTGGAGAAAAGCACTGGGAAGGCAGCTGAGGCACCTCCAATCGCGAGAGCTCATCATTGACGCTCTTCTTGGTGGTCTTGTTGAGCACGCCAGCATCGTCAATGACATAGTTCTTTGTGGGTGTGGCTTCGTTGAGGATGTCAAACTCGTTCGCTAGCGCCTCGCAGGGGCTCAGAAGCAGCGCTGCTGCAGCACCGACCTGCACAAGAGGTAGTGTTCTTTGATAGGATGCTTGCGTTGTCTTCAAGCTGAATCATCCAGCAGTACAGCAAGAGGAAGCCCAGCTCAATGACAGGGTCCTCGGCTGCTGCACGGATACTCCTGTGGGTTTCCCTGGCCTCTCAGTGTGCAAAGCATGCAGGAGTCATAGGGGCTCACCGCTGCAATTCGCCTGGCTGACTCCTCCACAAAGCTCACTTCCTGTGCACAGCCCAACAGGGTAACCATGATCTGATCTTCGAGTTTTCAAGTAAGTACTCTTTATGGATGCAGTTTGGAAACGTTCTGCGCTTGGAGAACACAGATCCCCACTCCATCACAGGCTTGCAGATGGGGAAAATTGACAGAAGACTCACATACCCCTTCAAGAAAAGGAGTCAAGGCAATTGTTTTGGAGGAGGAGGAGTGATCACCCTGGAAGCCTTGCACGAGACCTGCCTTCGGCACATGCGAGGTGCGTTCTGGCCAGTGTGCACCCGCTGAAAGGCTCCAGGACACCTCAGAGCCGAAGTCGACAGCCCCACAGAAGCTGTCTGCATCGCCATGATGTCCCTCGATATATTCGAACCTCCAGATGAACGTGAAGATGAAAGATTGCAGTGTTGCTCCATTGGGATGACCACGTCCCGGGCTCCATCCAAATTTATTATCGTATCTCCCTTGTCGGTTCGTCCCAAAACCTGGGGCATGGTCATCTTGAGCCCACATTCTCCTCAATAAGACGAGCCAGACGCAACACATAGTCTTTGTTAAGGTCATCCAGGACTTTTGCATTTAAAACGGCACCCACTCGGTGGATCGAGGAAGTTTGCTGACCCATCGGCGAGCGTTGTCGGGCAGTACTAGGGCGTAACGGGTGCGATCGCTTCCCGATCTGCCAGCTAGCAGTCTTAAGATTTAGCCACTTGCTTTTGTATTGCATCCTAGGAGGTTTTGTGGCTGCTAGAGATTGCTAGTGCTGCTGACTGGGATGACATGCCTTGCCATTCTGGAACCGTCGTGTGCTGATGACTGTGCAATACATGGATTACGAGCTTTCTTGCTGGGGCCAATGTTGCCAGTCAAATAAACGATTGTGCTTCAAGGTGGCTCAAGTCGCATTTAAGGAAAGCTGGGCAACTGTGCAGGATCGGTGGCTAGGTGAGGTGACCCAAGACTTGTCAGCAGTACCTTCGGTGAGGAGGCAGCATGGAGTCATCTGAGGAACCAACTTTCGCCAGGGAGCCCACATGCAGACGGAGATACTCATCAGCACATCAGGCTGAAGGTGCGCTCACACCTAGTACTAGATAAGCTGCTGAGACATGAATGCTGCGTCCAAAAGGGAGTGTAGCTCTTCTTAGAAGCAGAAAAGCAATCCCCTATCAAAGGCCAAGAAGCTATGTAAGTCCTGGTCCTACCATTATGCGAGGCGTTGAGGCACACTGTCAAACATGTGGCCACCACAGCGTTTGTCATGTCTCCGCAATAAGATCAGGCATATGGCGAATTATCAGATGGGGCCCTGCAGCCCGTGCAGTCTCAGCGTCTTGGCATCTCCTGCCTGCATTCCTGCACCCTCCCGCCCCACATGCCCACTCTCCATGACGTATCTTCTCTTCTCTTTCAAAACCGTTCGAAAAGGCGCTTTCGTATTGAACGTTTGTACTTGAGTTTGGTCCTTGAGCTTTGACGAGATGTGAAGCAACAATAGGCTGCAGACTTTTGTAGGCCCCGCAGACGTGGCTGCAGACGCCCTGCGTGTATGCCCTATGGCCTCTGGCTTAGGGTCTGCTGACCTGTATTAACAATAATAGTTCGGATCTGCAGGCCTGCCAGTGCTGCCTGCGGACGTTCTGCGGAAGATATTGGAACTGGTGGGGGTGGAGTGGCGTGGCCGGCGAGTGCAGGCGGCAAAAGAGGAGGTGCGCGAGTGGACGCAGTACTGCCTTGTCTCCCGGGAGTGGCGCGCAGCCTTCCAGGACCTGCCCCTCTGCATCGAGTTTGACGAGGTGCGCGCTCTCAAGTCAAGCGATCCAGCTCGCCTCATTTCATTCGTTTTGTGGAGCAGGACTAGGAAGACTTCGGAATGGACCCTCAGGTGCCAGGTTGACTTTTGGCACTTTGAGGCAGAGGCAAAGCAAGCCCTGCCATTCTGCACCCAGTGCCGCACTTAAGGAGGACAGATGTCCATCACAGGGGTTTTGGAGTCAATAGGTTTGACGGGGATGAGTCCTAGGCGTCTGGAGCATACTTGTACAGTTCTGTCAGCCAGACTGAGTCAGTGGGGCTCATTCTGTGTGGTGCACTGGAGCCTCTGGTGCCAGCTTGATCTGCTACACTTAAGGGACCTAACGGGCCAACAAGGCTGAGAAGACATTGTTGGGCCCATGTGTACCCTCAACAATAAGCCCCAAAGATAATTGAAATCAGAGAGACGCATGTGCCGTGCAGGCGCCGTCCCGGCGGCAGGTGCAGTGGCTGCGGACGACTAATGCCCCCATACGCCGCGTCACCTTCCTGCCAGCCGCCATGCCCTGCCGCAGCACGGTCTCAGCGTTAGTCACCCGCGCATGTGACTCCATTCGCCTCGCTCCCCTGCACACCGACCACGCCGCGGGGGGCGTTCCTGCGCGCAGCATTGGCGCCGCTGCGTGAGCGGCCTGGGGTGGTTAGATGTATACTACCGGCAAGGGGAATGGAAGTAAATGTAACGAAGAAAGAGGGCGAGACATGCAAGGCAAAGCGTTGATTGCGCAGCGAGCCATGCATGTGCGGGGAAGGAGAGTCAACCTCTGTATTAATTTGTCTGGACTCTTCAGGGCTCAGATCGCCTATACAGTGTGGGCATCGCAGGCCTGTCACATGATCTCCAAACGCAGGATGCTTGAAGGAAGTCATGGCCCGATGGTTGGCGCCTTTGTGCTGGGTTTGAAACACACCCCTGCCCGCGGTGTAAAAAAAGGGGACTGGCGGGGTCAAGAAGCTTGTTGGGCTTTATAGTGATCAAAGGAGCGGCCAGATTGTGTTATAATCTGTAAGATTTTCAGAGTATTGAAGAGTGTATGTCACAACCTGCCTTGTGCTGAGGAGTGCTCCTGTATGAGAGGTCTGCAGGGGCTGATAAGTGTGTCTTAATACATAGGGTGATCTGCCTGGCGGACATGACTTGCTGCAGTCAGAGCGATTCCAGAAGGCATGCCTAATCACAAGGGCTGTTACCCTGGAAAATAAGATGTGAGGGATTGGGACTGTATCTTCCCTAGTTTTGCGCGATACAGTGTACGATGGCACCTAGAAGATGAATTGGATTGTCGGTGTTGGCTGTGGATGACCTGCTGGCGCAGATGTCTAGGACCTTCTAGAAGCAGAAAGCTTTATTGTCACCCCTGGCATTCTGTTTTTGACATCAGTAATTGGGCGCCTTTCAAGTGAAGAAATCGCTCCTCTAGTAGCGCTAGCTGTAGACATGTATTGAGGCAAGTGCTTGAGCATTTGGGATTGGTCTCGTGCTGTTCCATGAAAAGCACCTGTCATTTGTATTTGCAGCAGCTACAATAGGATTTTCTATCTAGAGGTTTCTGATATTGGCAGGAAGGTCTTGTAAGAAGAAACAAGCGAGTTACAGACACAGATTCTCAGTGCGCAATCCCTTCCAGCAGGCAACAATACGAAGAATCGAGGGCTCAAGCTGCAAGTGCAGTGCGTACCACTGCCATAGTGTACACAGATGATACAGGGCCATCAACAGAATGATGCATCGCCAATCTACAGTGTAGGTCCTACACTAACAGGCTGTCACCCTATCACCTGCGCAATCCTTCCAAGGATCTTGGTGCAGCTCCGTGAGTTTCCATGTTCTAGCGGAAGTATGTTGCGACAGCGCGCAACAGCTAGCCATTGAATTTGAATATGCCGCCTCCAAATAGTTTCTCTTGGCCTTGTATTCATCGAAAGTTCCTTCTGGGTGTTGCCCTGTTCAACTCCCATCCTTGCCCGCCGCCAGATATGTCTCATCCGATCTGAAAGCTCTATGAGTAGGCATACACTTTGTTTCTGCTTGAGAGGGGACAATTTCATAATCTCTACCACGAGCCAGAGCCCAAGAAATGGTACGAAAGGAAATGTGTCACACAGAGGCCGCTCCAAAACAGAGCACATTTGCCATGTGACAATGCACTGCAAATAGCAGCGGGAACTGCATGTGTGGGGTGCCCAAAACAGCCTTATATCCCTGTCTACCGAGCGCAGGCCCGGAGAGCATGAATTGCAACACTCTACTGCCCTGCCAGCTACTGTAGTGTACACAGCAAAGGCACGAATTAGAATGTACGGTACTCCAAGAGCATGTGTGCCGACCAACACACACGCCCATAATCTCCCCCCGAGAGCAGATCTTCATCTTGCAAAATCACCCCTGGCCACGCCAAACTATACTACCGGAGCAGACACAAGAGCTGGAGCTCAGCGCTGCACAAGAAGGAGAAGAGAGATGTGGAAATCCCCCATCCCCTCCCATACACAGCAACTGCGCCAGCTCGCCCCGGCAGCACCCAGCAAACCACATATCCTCCGCCATTGCCAAAAATAGAACCGAATCGGACAATAGCAAACCCAGCCTCCAGTGTCCTGCCTTGAATTCTCAAAGTGTAGATCACCCGTTGTGTTCATAGTGTCTTCTGTGCCACCATGCTGCAGGACTGGGTCGGGGCCTCCCCCTACAGGGGAGAGGACCCCAGCCCAGGGGGCCTGAGCATGGAGCTGCCTGTCGCAGGTAGACCTTTCAGCCCCCTGTCGGCAGACTCGCTGCACTTAATCTAATTCCTCGCATGCTGCCCCCACTACCGCATGCATGCTTCATCTGTCGCCTTCCGTCAGACCAATCTGCTTTATACTGATCATGCCACGGCCCTCCTCCCAACTGACATGCCGGCCCCAGCTTATCTCCATAGATACAGCTGCAACTCGGAAAGTCATCCAAAATACGGCAGAGCCTATGGCCCTGACAGCTCACTCAGCACTGCATTCATTGCCATGAGAGTCCCGAGGGTGCCAGAAGCATGATTTGGATAAAGGTTAAATGCGCCAGAAGGCAATCTCGCCGGACTGGTCGCCGGAGACGAGGGTCTCAGTGGAGCCGGCTGCCAGAGCGCGGACGCTGTAGTTGTGGCAGAATAGCGCGTTGGAGGGCGCCGGGTTGAGCGAGCCCAGCCGCCAGCGCCGCACAAGCTGCAGGGCAAGCGCACAAGCAGCTCCTTAGCAAGATAGAACTCATATGCCGGTAGGACAAGAATTTTCAAGAAGATCCTTGCTCTCGAGTCACCCCAGCTAAAGCAAATTCTAACATGCCCAACATCAGCAGCAGTCCTTTGGAGGAACCTGAGAAACTGAGAAGTTACTGTCAATTTAGCCCTCTCACCATGTACGCATGCCTGTGACAGTGCATGAGAGTTGCTGACACCCACGCGCGCATCGCATACATGGCAAGAGCGCGCTCTACTACACCGCGAATCCCAGCGCAGCGTCATTACAAGGAACGCCACAGCTGCAATCCTTGCGATTTAGCCCCCTCACCTTGTCGTCGCCGCCGGTGTAGAGGTTGCCGTCGGGCCCGATGGCGGCGCAGTTGACGCGGCCGCCCTCATGCGCGTTGGCGGCCTCCATGACCAGCTCCATGCTGTCGGCGTCCCACATCTTCACGCTGCCGTCATAGGAGACGCTGTAGAGGAAGCCGTTGTGCGCCAGCAGCGCCGTCACTCGCTCCCGGTGCGCCTTCTCGCGAGCGCGACCCTCCTCCAAATTGCCCTTCTTGTCGATCGCCCACGACCTGCGCGCATGCGTCCCTGTCAGCACTAGTTTGGGTTTTCCCTTCCGGTTTATAGCCCTTTCGGCCTAAAAAATTTCGAGCAATCCTTTCTTCGTTCCCTTGAGAATATCCACTTGGCGCGACAACTGGCCTCACTGCATTCCACACAAATGAGAAGATGCCACATCTGTGCAGAACATGTGAGATCCCCCGTCTACCAAAGATAGCAGATAGTCACGCTGGCTGCTACCAGCCACCAGGACTGCTGCTGCCGTGGACAGACAGAGGACCCACCATGTTCAATAAGAGCACTCGCTACATGAAAAGAATCCTATTAGCACACAACACCTGTGACTGAAAAGGCGCCTCGCGCAAGGAGGAGACAATGGCGCGCTCACCTGATGGAGCCGTCGGCGCCGCATGTGTACACGAAGCCCCGCCGTGTGGCGATGCCCAGGATGTCCCCCTTGACCAGCTTCACATCGCGCACATGCCTCGGCACCGCCCGCGTCAAGTCCCACTGCCGCATCACATTGCACCCCGCGCTGCACAGCACAATTCAACCGCTCAGCAACAGTCTACAATGCTTGCATCATTTCTTTCAATTCACCACTACAAAGAGCAGCACGTGAGAACATGAGCTCAACCATTTGCTACTAAAATTATTAGACTAATGTCACAATCAGGCAGCAAATCAACTGAGCTCAGTTGTCACGCGCTGCTACTCCAGAAAGAGAAGTTGAATAGTAGACCAATGTGCAAGGCATGGGAACAGGGAAGCACATGCCAAAGAGGGCGGTACCTGAAAAGCCATCGGCCCTCTGCTGCCAGTGCGCGAACCCAGCCAGTGTGCCCATTGAGGATCACCTTGTCCTGCATCTGACCGGACGGCGGCTCCCACACCGATATGCTCTTTGACGCATTGCCACAGAAGACCTGCAATCCCAGAACACCAACGATCATGACATATGGCACAGAACCGCAGCACAAGACAATTTGTAAGACGCAATGAATGCCCTTGAGATAGAGGCAAAAGTGCTAAACTGCCATTGATACTCGAGTGTCAGGTCATCGGGCAAAGGACATGGGCCCACACCTGCTGCCGCTCATTTGGGTTGAGCCCGCTGGGGTCAATGGCCAAGGAGAATATGGGTGCGCCAGATGGCGTCAGTGTCACAATCTCATGGGCGCCAGATGTGCTGGCTTCTGAGCTCTCATCCCCATCTGCTGAACCGTCCTGGGGAGCCAATGAGAAACTATATCAGTGGCATGTTCTAGGGGCCGAGGGGTGAGACACAGAGTGATCTGGGGCTGCAGCATGCAGGGTTAGAAGAGGGGGAGTCTGTGACTTGCCTGCAGCCGCCAGAGTGTCATGGTTTTGTCCAGGGAGCCTGTGATGATCTCCTTGCAGCCAGCTGCACAGCACAAGAGGACAGACCCTCAACCGCCCACCCACTGGGTTTAAATGTAGCCTTTGTGCACATCGTTCACATTCTAGTAGCAAAGAAATTATGCAGCTGTCACTGCCACAAGCACTCGCGCTCTAGGGTGCAGTTCCCAGAACCAGCTTGCTGACCTGTCCATCCTGAGGTGGCTAATCGCACACAAATGGTGTCAAATGTAGCATCTAAGGCTGGATAATACTGTCTTCAACACTCCCAGAACACCTAAAGGAATTGTTGTACAGAAGGGCAGGCAAAAGTGGCCCCCAAGGCGGTCAGACTGCTTCTGCAGTACAACAATTGCTGAAACCCGTCTTATCCCAAAAGGAAGATGCGGCCGTGCGAGCAGCCGAAAAACGTATCTTACCTGCATCTGAAGTTATGAGCGCCGCCGTCACCGCGGCCTGATGTCCCTTCAGCTTCGAGCACAGGATGGCGTCTCGCGTTGTGGGGCCAACCTTCCGCCCTTGACTGCCGCCCTCGCGCGTCTCCGGTGGATCGCAGGAGGGGTAATGCAAAACATTGAGCACCTGCAGGTTGGGCGTGCACAACAATGCGTCAGACAGCCGCCCGAGGTGCGGGCTCGGCCGCAGCAGTGCATTCGACTTGGGGCTAACAGCAGCGCTCCTTGTCCGGCTGTGCCCCCAGCGAGCCCGCTGACTGGATTGCATCAAGCCAGACAGGCGCATCCATTCACTTGGCGGCGATTGCCCCCATATCGCTGGAGCAGGAGGGGCTGTCAGACTCAAAAGATATCTTTGCAGCGATAAGGCCCTCACCTGGTGTGCCCTGACGCTTCTGGGGGTCAAGGGCAGCCTGACGGCGCGAGGCCTGGACAACCTGGTGTCTTTCAGGGATATCTGGCGATTCGGGCCAGCTGTGAGGCCCCCCATACGTGATAGGGCCGGCTCGATGAAATCCTTTGTGATTCCTTGTTAACCTTTGGGTGGCCCTTCCTATCTGCCTCAGATGGTATCGGCAATACAGCCTCCAACAGCACCCCCAGCACGCAAAATTCAAACGCTGGCCGGCAAAACAGCCGGGATGGTGAATTCTGCGCAAGACAGCAGCTCAGCCCTTCATTGTGCCAAACAAGCGACTGATGAAATATCACTCACCCTCTCGTCACCACCATGTGGCAAACGTATCACGTGCCCCAATTCGTCAAACATCGGATCTGGCAACCGATCCCCGCACTCTGAAGGCCCGGCCCATGCTTACTGGGCGTTCTTGAGAACAGTTGGCGTCATGAGGGGAAAGGACGTCTCCACAATGCTCAGGAGGGCGGGGAGCTCTTTGATAGGTGCGCAAAGTCGAGCCCTCCCGGGTTGTGTCGACCTATATTAGCATGTGAAAGGACCTGTTACATAGAAACTCATACGAAAGATGGACTTACTGGCTCTTACAGCTTAAATGCTGCCCTGGTGTCCCTTAAAGGGCGCCACACATGGGGTGTACCGTATACGTGTCAGCTCACGTTCTCCCTCTTTTCCCTTGTACTGGTTTACCATATTAGCACCTGTATGCTAAAAGGAATTTTGATTGTATTTCTGAGTGTTAATGCTGTGGCTTCATTGTGGGGCGAAACTTGTAGCCTCATCCTGGGTTTGCTTTCATCTTGTTCAGTGGACCGATCAGATCCTTTTTGCATGTCCAGGCAAGCGAGCGAGGTCATCTTTACCGATTGCAGAGGTCGCCGAGCCACAGCTGCCTCCCTTTGATCACACACCAGCCCCTTATGAGGGCCCGCCCAAGGAAGAAGTCTATGCACTTCGCAAGAAATTCCTCAGCCCAGGTACCCGTCACAGCCATCCTGAAGTGTGTCTCGAAATTCATGCTGCAGCTTGTCACCTGGTCTGCAGCGTTCAAGGGCTCAAGGTCACACTTGCCCATCCCGTATCACTGACCGCTGCTCGATCTGTTGCAGCTCTATTTCATCACTTCAAGGACCCCATTATGATCACTGAAGGAAAGATGCAGTACCTGTTCGACGAGAGGGGGAGGCGATACCTGGATGTGCGCACTTTGCACCACCATTAATTTTCTCCCAAGCATGTGCTTTGTTGTGTCAAGTTTGTCGTACTTTACCTGGCTGTCAGGGCCTTGCTTCTGCATGCACGCTCCTTATGGTATTTGTGTTCTTGCAGGCCTTTGCTGGCATAGTCACAGTGAGCGTGGGCCACTGCCACCCAAAGGTGGTGTCAGCAGTGCAGCAGCAGAGCGCGCTGCTGCAGCACACGACCACCATCTACCTGAACAATCAGATCACTGAGTATGCCAAGGAGCTCACAGACAGGCTACCTGGCAATCTCAAGGTGCTATGCTTCTCTTCTTGGTCCCTAGGATACCCTTCAAACTTGGTTGTCTAATTAAATTTCCAGCTTTCCCGCCTGCGCCTTCTCGAGGCAGCACAAACCAACACGGCATGCTTTATGGCTTTCAGACAATGCTTCTGCCATGTCGAGTTGTCAAGTTCTGCCCCGTGAACAGGCTGCGTCTCATTCTCATTTGAGAATCACCTGCCACATGTCAAGAAGTCTTCAACATATGAACACGTTGCACACGAAGAGCACTGCTGTACATTTCAGTGATGGCTGATCTAGCACCAATGTGAGGGTCTGGTCAAAAAGGACCATTGTGAGGGCAAAGAATTCCTGCAGACCATGAGCTACATTTAATGTATATCAGTTAGATGTTTAGGTATTTTGCGCAAAGGGGAGTATAATGTGCACAGTATGCTCCCCCAGAGCCTGTCTTGGCACTGTGCAGAGGTGTATCAGCAGGGACCAGATCAGAGGCCCACAGCTCCAAACCGATAGTGCGCAATTCCTGACAAGGGCTGTGCGCAGGTGGCGTACTTTGTGAACAGCGGCAGCGAGGCGAATGACATGGCGCTGATGATGGCGCGGCTATACAGCGGCAACTATGATGTTCTGGCGCTGCGCAACTGCTACCACGGCATGTCCGAGGGCACCATGGGCGTCACTGCCCATTCCACCTGGAAGTTCAACGTCCCACAGGTACTTGCCTCCGTTTCCCTGCAAAATGCCTGCTTTGGCGCAGGCTCTGTATTCTGGGGCCTGTGAAGAATTTCGGCCTGACTCTATTACAACTGATCCCAGTCTCATAGTGTGAGAGGTTTGAATTGGGGATGGACGACCTGCAGCAGACTACTACAATGATGAAGTGGCCGCATGAGAGAGGGGCATTTTCCCGTGGCCTTCAATATAATCCACCGTGAGGGGCCACTTTGACCTATGGGATCTGACATACCTCATGGAGTAGTCAGAGATCACAATGCATGCTTCATATGCAAGGCTTTTTGCGCTTGCATCATGCTGACAGGGCCTGCCTTCCATGCAGGGTTTTGGCATCCGCCACGTGCTGAACCCCAACCCCTACACGGGCAACTTTGGCAACGACGGCGCCAAGTATGCAGAGGATGTGAGGGACGTCATTTCAACATGCACGCCCGGCGGCGTGGCCGGCTTCATAGCCGAGACCATCCAGGGCGTGGGCGGATCTGTGCCCCTTGCAGACGGCTATCTACCAGCAGTGTATGACGTGCGCTCTGCTGCTCTCCAGCCATTGTGAGATGTTGCTTTCAGCCCTTGGCGGTCAACTGTATCATGAGGGCAGCAACCCTGGCAGACGGCTGCTCACCGGCTGTGTATGACATGCGCACTCTCGCACTTTTACCAAGAAGCTCTGGAGAAGTGCGGTGTGCCCTTTGCGCAAGACAGCCAGGATCAAAGAAATGGTTCTGCTGTCCAATGAAGAAGTATGACTGTCTAAAAGCGCATGCATGCATAAATGGCGCAGACTGATACAAAGGAGAGCTCTTTGCTGAGGTGGGGTGTTGGCGTCTGTGCAGATGGTGAGGGAAGCGGGCGGACTCTGCATCGCCGACGAGGTGCAGACTGGGTTTGGGCGGACGGGGACAAACTACTGGGGCTTCCAGAACCAGGCCGTCGTGCCTGACATTGTCACCATGGCAAAGGTGACTTCCCCTGCTCCAGCTTTCTGTCTTGCTTTCTTCTCTTGGCATCTTGTTGGATCTCGTGCCATAGGCTGCGGCCGACCATTGCTTCAAAGCAGGCTTGCCGCGCAGAATGCAAGTGTGCAGGTTCTTCTGAATGCAGCCTTGCAGCCCTCTACTCTGCACATGCTAAGACTACTGAGAGCTATGCTCTTCCTGAAGTGCAAGCATGCAACAGAGCATGCACTGGCAATGACTGTATTGAGGAATGATAAAATGAATATATTTTCTGGCATTTGGCTCGAAGACAACAGAATGTTCCTCTGGCACGCAGGGCATCGGGAATGGGCTGCCGCTGGCTGCGGTGGTGACGACGCCGGAGGTGGCACAGGTGTTGGCGCAGCGGCTGCACTTCAACACATACGGAGGGAACCCCGTCTGCTGCGCGGGAGGGCGCGCCGTCCTGCGCGTGGTCGACGAGGATGGCATCCAGGCCAATGCTGCCAAGGTGGGTGCTCTCTCACCCGCTACACCGCAACGCCAATTTTTCTTCTTCTTATTTGCAGGAGCAGGGCCAGATCCTGGTGTCAGTGGAATCCTGCAAGTACTGTAATATTGCAGAGCACACTGCCTGGGAAAGAGAAGAGCAGGCAGTCCGCTCTGAAGGCAACAATATTGTAGTATACTAGGGTCGACATGTCTGCATTGGCCGCTAAACTTTGTTCTGGTCCATTCGGATTTTCGTGCCCTTCAGAAATGCCTCTTATGTGGCAATGCTTTGCATGCTCAAAGGCGCTTATGTGGCCGCAGGTGGGGAATTTGCTGTTGGAGCGGCTGCATGCGTTGAAGGAGAAGCACGATGTGATCGGCGACGTGCGCGGCCAGGGACTGATGCTGGGCGTGGAGATGGTCAAGGACCGCGCCAGCAAGCAACCCGCCACCGCGGAGACTGCGCAGGTTCGCATCCCTGAATATCGTTAACCCTTTTTGTTTTTGCCTTTGTCTTTTTTGTGGCCTATGCGTGCAGCACTGAGCCCCTCATGCGCCTTGAACGCATGCTGGAGTGAGGAGCCTGCAATACTTGCGTGTGTGGCCTTCTGTCTTTCATCTGAGCAGGCAGCAGCTTCAGTGAGAGGGGTCATGGATCAATGGCGAGGGCGGACTTTAAGTTGACACTTGAATCTGCAGGTGATGGAGCGGCTGAGAGAGCTGGGAGTGCTGATCGGCAAGGGGGGTCTTCGTGGCAATGTCTTCCGCATCAAGCCGCCCATGTGCCTCACTACAGCGGATGCAGAGTTCTTGACAGAGGCCTTCGACCTGGCGCTGTCAGAGCTGTGAAGAGGGCGGGAGCACAGCTGGCGAGTATGCTGCATGCACAGCCAGAACACAGCCAGAACTAACTCATACAGTCCTGTTGCAGAAATTGTTACTGTTTTGGGTCCATGCTGTCAGCAACTGCGTCTTGTGACATCCCACAGGTTACATTGACTCAACGGAACACAGCGCGTGACTCCTGACAAATGAGAGACGCGGTCTTGTCGCAACGTGTGAGCCCGGTTATCAAAAGTGCGGAAATTTAAAAATTCTGATCGTGTGCACTGAAAGAACTGCTTTCGGCCACCTGCGTGAAGAGTGACAATAACAACTTGACTGGATCTCTGACCACCGTGCCTATATATAGTATTAGTGCCATCTGGTCATGATGATCAGTGATCATGCGTGCGCATGGACCAGCTGGACTGCAGTGTTTCTCTGAGTCAGGGGATCATTGCCACCCAAATATGACCAATCAGTGCACCCTCACCACAACGGTCACGGTGTGAGTCAGGCAATTGAGGCAAGATGATGTGATCTTTCATATCTTGGGCCTATTCTGGATGGCAGGATTGATCGTAGGCACAGTCACTCCCACTTACTACACCCACGTGGCCCGCTTTGCTGTTCTCTATTCCGGCAATCCTCGTCGGAACTGTGGAATTGGGCACAGCACACGCAATTTATTAGTGCAGTTGTTAATTTTGTCGCCAGTTGACGATTGAGGGCAGGCGCCAGGGATGTTGACAGCAGGAAGGCTGCTGCAAGGAACCTCGGGCATGTCCTACATTGTCAAAAGGTCATGACGAGGCCACCCTCGTCCACAGGCGATAGCCTGCTGACGGAATTGTGGAAGAGGGGAGTATGGAGAGTGCTGCCAATATTATTCTTCTATGTAACAAGTAAGTAATCGGATACAGCTGTCGAACCTCATCAGCGCTCCATATCTGCATTTTTGTGGGGTGGTGGGCTGGGTCAAGCAACATCCTCTGCATAATATCGTTTTTATGAAGATCAGCAGATTTGTACTTTCCCACATCTTGAGGACTGGGTCCTGTGCCTTCGCGGTAGTGTCGTGAATTGTACAGCTGCGAAGTTTTTTTCTTTTCTCGTACTATGCGTGGAGAATAAGACTGTTACATTGTTCCTGGTCGTCGTTTCTAGGCACGATCATCTCCTTCGATTGCACACCGATCGCAGACGAGCGAGGCGATTGGGCTAAAAGTTAACGTTAACCCAGCCGGTGTACTTTTGTGCCACTTTTGAATTGGACTTTGCAAGTCACACGCATTATTGTTTCGTGTCGGGAAACATAGTCTGCTAAAATGCTGTGGTCTTGCAATCCAAGCCTGCTCCTGGGCAGGGACCACATCAGGTTTCAGGCCCAGCAGGCCCTTTCGCAGGCCCTTCTGCGCCATTGACATTTGGAACTTTCCAATCCCCCAGCTACGGCTTCAGTCATTACTACTCTTCCATGCACGCAACGGCTGTGATGGTGCAGCCTTGGCTGTGCATGGGCTGACAAGGCCCTCTCAGATGGTGCTGTCCCTGCAGTGCAATGCAGTACAGATCACATAAAGGTTAGCGTGGTGACTGAGGGTTGACTGGCTTGCGCGCAGGCCTGACAGTGCTGGCGCCAGTGAAGCCTAGCATCATGACGGACTTCTTTGCATCTCGCGCAGCCAACCAGACCATGCGCTGCGATGACTTCCTGCTCACCGCCGTGCCTAAGGTAAGGGCTGCTCACCAAAGCACCCTTTGCAATGCGTACGTGTGCTGCGTGCCACTCACACCTTCCTCATGGCAAGTGGAAATCCTTCAGATTGCCCTTGATTCCCCCATACGTGCTATGGTGGGATGAAGGGCGTGGAATGATTCCTACGTGGCCTGAGACATTGCATTGGTTGCTGTGATATTGGCAAGCTATGAACATTCTGTTGAAAATAAATCTTCTGGTTGAAAGTGTTCCTTCTGGTTGTGCCCATGCAGGCATGCCAGGATGCCCATGCGCAAGTGGTGACCTGGTCATCCTGGAGCGACTTTGTGGCCAACTCTGTGCTCGCATTCTTCATGGTGCGTAGTTGGTTCTGTTGCCTTTCTTGACAGTGCCTGTCATGCCATTATCAGACAGGGGCATCCTTTGCTCCTCAGTGCTGGGATTATTGCACATTTCTCATGGCATTGGAAACATACTAGCAGTCATTTCACTGTTAATCCATGACAAATGTACGCACTCCTTCTCTGGGCATGCAATGATGAAGTACGTGGGCTTTGCAACCCGAGTTGTGCAGCTTTGTGACAATAGTATGTATGCATGCGCAGGCTCCTGTGGTGGGCCGCTGGAGCGATGCATATGGCAGGAAGCCATTTCTGGTGCTGTCATTCGCATGTGGAGGGGCACAGGTCGTGGCCCTGCTGCTGTACATCACTTGGGGCACCTCCCTCTTCTGGTACTTCCCAGCTTCGGTGCGCCCCCACGCCTCATCTGGCATCTTCCAGTGCTAGCGGAGTGCTTTGTCCCGCACAATGTGCACAAGTGTCTCAGCACATCATTCATTCTTGACCCCTCAAGGCTTAGCCCGGAGTTGTCTCCTATGCCCGGCCTTGGCCCGGCGTGATGCCTATCAGAGTTTTGGACACAATGTCTTCTGGCGCACCTTCATTGATGCAAAAACTATCAGCAAGAGGGTCTTGCTGCATGTAGTATATAAGTCAGCAGTGCATGGGGTTCTCATTGATTGAATCTTTGCGTCTTGTTTTCCAATCTCCAATGCTTGTGAACAATGACACTTGAAGTACTCAGTGGCAAATATCAGCGGCAATGCAGTAATAGTATGATGGACATGTTTTACATGGAGATCTGCGTTCCTGGCTGCAGGCGCTGGTGGGCGCGTTCTCATGCATCTCCATCTGCCTGGCCTACGTGGCGGACGTGATGCCGGCGCGGCACCGGGGGGCCACTTTTGGCTTCATAATGGCCTCGTTCTCCTTTGGCGTTGTCATCGGGCCTATGGCCGGCGCTGTGCTGTCCCCGCTGGCCGCCTCCTGGTTTGCTGTCGGCGGCGCCGCTTTCAACTGCGTCTACACCGTGCTGCTACTGCCGGAGTCCCTGTCTGCTGAGGCCAGGAAGCTGGTGAGGCCCTTCTGCTGCGTGTTCTCTATTCTGCCATGTGTGGCATCTTATAACACGACAGGCAAGCTCTGCAGTACAAGTAAGGACTATACGGTGAGGATTTCATCAATGGCTGCAAAAGCATAGCCATGCTCCGCATTTTGTTGCTCTATCAGAGTTGCTCTATCAGAGCTGACCTTCGGGGGCATGTCCAGTGCCACTTCATCCTGCATCCCAGTTTTGCATGGTATATATACACAGGATATGCTTCCCTGAATCCAGGGCTGGCAGAGCAACAAGCTGTCAGGAAAGCACTTCCCACCAGAAGCTTTGCACCTTAAAGGGACTAGGAGCGGTGTCCTGTACTGTACTTTAGAGAGCTTTGTTATAGAAATTTGTCAATGCCGGGCTGCAGGCGCGGAGGCGGCAGGGGAGGGAGGCTTCGCGGCCGTTGACGGGGCTGTGCTCGGGGCTGCGCATGCTGGGGCGTTCCCCGCTCTTCCTCAAGCTCACGGCATGCGTCATGCTGACTGGTATTGTCATGGAGGGCATGTACGAGCTGCTGGGCCAGTACTTCCAGCTCAAGCTCGCCTACACCGCTGCTGACCAGGTTTGCCTATTTAATAGAGCTGCCCATGTAGCTTCAATCCCTGTATGAAGGGTTTGCGTTGGCTGACCCTGGCTCAAGCAGTGGAAAAACCCAGGGCCAAGAGTATTTGTGTAAATCATGTGAAATTCATGCCGCTAAAGCTGAGGCCTGCTTGAGCTTTTTTGTGTCGAAAGAATCTTTTTCGAAGAACACAATATTTTTCTACAGATTCTGCCCGATGGAATTGAAATGTGCCCAGTGCATAGCATGAAGACCACCTTGCAAGTCATCTTGCATGGATTGCCTGGATTGTATTTGCAAGGGTCTCTTCATGCTGTGAATTGAAGGGAATGGGGGAAGATTCGTTGAAGATGTCTGTGTTCTGCTGCAGTCGCTGATGCTGGTTGTGGCGGGCGCTGCGGGTCTTGTAGTGAACACAGTCGTGCTGCGTTATCTGCTGCACTGCGTCGGAGAGACTGGCGTCCTCTACATAGGTCAGTGGCGCCCATTGTTACATGCTTTGTGTGGTCAGATGCATGCCATGCCATGCCATGCCTCTGCCAGACGCATGCATGCCAGATGCATGCAATGAAGTGCAACATGATCAATGACTCATAATGCCACGCTGCAGTTCATTGCACTTCATGCAGGTGCAATGGACTATGAATTTCATCAGCTCAGGGTTGGTTACGTTTCGGGGGCTGTGCATTGAGCACTGAATGATGTCTGTCAGCATTGTACTGTCATGAGAGGACGAGATGTGTGATTGTGCAGGGCTGGTGGTGAGCTGTCTGCAGCAGCTGTGCATTGCCTTTGCATGGACCAAGCCGCTGTCCATAGCAGCTGTGGCCATAGGCGCCCTGGGCAACATCACCTTCCCTGCCATCTCCTCCATCAAGTCCAAGTCTGTGCCGCGCCATGAGCAGGTGTGTGCCCTTGCTTCACATTGCAGTGCATTCTCATTGTCGCACTTGTCTAATTAGTGATCAAGCAAACGAGACGGGCTGCCAGGCAATGCAGTCCTTGCCAATGTGGCTTAAAGTGAGTTGCTTTCGCATTCGGTGCTTGCATGTCATGTGGATCATGCTGCAGGAGCAGTGTTGTAGAGGCTCCCTTTGGCTATGTCCATGGACTTGTGGGCTGCTAAGGGTGGCCTGAATTATGTCTTGCAGAATGTAAGTACTCGGTATGCTTTGGCAAGCCACTGCTTCATGTCATGCAGGGCGCGATGCAAGGGGCGCTCTTTGGTGCGCGGTCCCTGGCCACAGGGATGGGACCAGTCATCTTTGCCAGCATCTTCTCTGTCTTCAGTCGCTCTGACTCTCGCCTGCCCTTCTTCCCAGGTACGATGTTGTCCGTCATTGCACCTTGGCCACTCTTTGCTGGCTGGTGCCGTTTCAGTGTTTTCCTCGATCACCGCCCCTCAATGGAAGTGGAAGGCCTTGGAAAAAATCCTGTAATGATGTCAATTTCATAGATCATTTTATTTGTCCTGAGAGGGTGCACCACTCAGGACATGCCTTGTTCTGAACAAGAGCAAAGTGTGTCACTCGTGGTGTTGCCCCTCACAATATGAAGGCGCGATCTTGAGGGTTGAGTACAAGACGAATGTTTGGACGGGACTGAGCTTGTCTGCGCCTGTGACAGGGGCGCCGTTCATTGCTGGCGCAGCCTTGTGCGGGGTGGGCCTGATTGTGGCTCTGACCATCCGCACAAGCGATGTGAGGAACTGTGCAGTGGACGATGGCCTCACAGCACCCCTCCTAGACGGTGAGTTTGAGTGCTCTCATTGGTTCTGTAGCTGTGCATGAGGAACTTATGTCACACAGGTGACATGGAGATGTCACACTGTGTTTTATGACAAAAAATCTTAAGCCCAATGGCAGCACGCTCAGGCAATCTTCAATGAAATATATGCATCGGCATTTCCATTTTCAGGCATCGGCAGAAATATCTACCCGTCTCTGTGCCGGGTGTCTAATGCATCTCGTGTGCCACTGAAGCAGGGGAAGACCAGAAAGGGCCGCTGCATGCGGATTTAGAGGCCGGCGGAGATGAGCATCAGCGTGGCAGCAAGGGGGACATCCCCTCAGTGTACCTGGAGCCGGATGCAGCGCAGCTGCCAGTGTCCCACCCAGCAGACGCCGCCTTGGCGGCCGACACACCAGTCATCATCGCAATAGCTGCCGACACCGAACAGGCCAGATCACATGCATATGGAGCAGCACAGCCCGAGCAGGCCGCAAGCGCGACTGAGGAAGCCTTGGCAAGCAGCCTTGAGGCTTCCCAGAGCCAGCAGGGCACGCCAAGGCCAAGTACGTCGCAGCCGGACACAGCAGTAAGAACAAGCACGGCAGCAGGGACAAGCACAGAAGGCAGCGCAGCACAGGGGCGTTCCCTGGCTCGCAAGAAGAGCGTCCGCTTCGCCGACACCGACACGGTCTCGGTGCGTGCGGCGCTAGCGGCCGCCACGGCCGCCTGTTCTGGCACCGTCCGGCCCCTGCCCGGCCGGGCGGCCGGGCAGCCAGGCCCGGGCACCGGCGCGCCGCTGCCGCCGCCACAGCCGCACCCACAGCCGGCCTTTTGTTGGAGGGTGCTGGACGAGAGCGTGCCAGGGGACATCCTGGATGTGAGGCTCGATGATGGCGGCTACTTTGGAAATGGGTTGGAGCCGGAAGAGGCGTTGCTGCCGCGGCGCTCTGTGGATCTCAGGATGGCTGATGCGGCGACGCTGCCGATGGCTGCCTTTGGAGGGAACGGCATGGAGACCAGCTCTGCAGTCCTCCGCAGCCTGCAGGCCTCCCATGAGCGTCGATGAGGCCCCGCCACAGTGGAGCGCTCGAGCGTGGCAGTCAGCTTTTCAGTGCGTAGTGCCAAAGGCTGGATGATCTCCAGACCTCAAGCTGTGTAGAACTCCCTAATCTCCTTGAGTTGCCTCAAATTGGGGCAAGACAGGGAGCAGCTTTTTTTATCCTGTATCTCAAAAGATCGCTGGGGATTCCTATGCGCCTTGCAAATGGGCCGTATTTGTTAGGAGTGAGGGCATGACTGTCCCTGTGGCAACTACTTGCAGAGCCTGAAAGACAAGCTTGATAGGAGCACTTGCTCGCACTGGTGACTTTGGGCACTCTGTACACAGTAGATTCTGGCTGTACTAGAGCACTGGATATTTTGCTGCGCGACAAAGCGCCAGAGTGAAAGTGCTGCGAGCCCAAATGGGGACATTCTTGCCTATTCCACATCCCCTTGTTTTCAGGAGTGGGATATCTTCTTCCTCTTATTCTTCAGTGTTTGGCTGCATAGCTGCTGTCAGCTTGATGGCCAAGCCATTGTAGTGCGATTTGGGACAGCTTTTGCGCTGATAGATATCAAATTGTGCCCAGAAGTAATCTTCGTTTTCTTTCCTGCAGCGCACTTGTCAATGTAGAGATTGTGCCCCGCAATGCATGCTGGCAATCTAGACATGTGCTTGGGAATCCAATGGACACTGCTATTTGCGTTGCATGTATCATAAGAGACTGTTGAGCTTGCGCTGAGCGCTTGTCACAGCACTGTACCATCACTGAAAGGGGTTGAAGCCCAGATGTGAGCACTTTTGCCAGCGGTGTGCAGCTGAACAAGTACAAATGGAAGTGCAGTGAAAAGTAGCATTGATAAGAGGCGTCCTTGGCCAAGGTAGATTGAGCACTATTGCGTGCACGATCTAGAACTAGAGCCTGTGCTTATTCTATTGGAGTGCTCAGCGCCCAATGCCTAGCTCGGTGAGCAAAGACTGTCTGCGCATAGACAGGTCTTTCTATAGGTGTTTGTCTGGCGATGGCAGGTACTCAATAGCCCGAATGCGAAGAAAGAACTGGGCTTTGCAATTGCAAGCTTGCGCATTGCATGCACACATGTATCAGAATACTGTTGCTGCCGTGCTGAAATGGCAGACGGCACAGTCACTGCAGAGGGCCAATGGGACTACATTGCTTGGAGTAGCTTTGTCTGGTATTTATTGTCTGAATTCAAACATGGCCATGGCATGTGACTCATGAAGCAGACTTGTGCGCCATACGTATATACAATGTGCGTCTATGACTGCAGCAGCATTTGTAATGTAAACTCAGCTCAGCCTTGAATGAGTTGACGGCTTACAAGATACGATGCATCACATCCCAGCTCAACTCTTAACATAAAAGCAGAGCTCCTGCATTCTCCAAGGCACTACCAATCACTGCATAATCAACAGCTACCATGACACTCTGGAAATACACAGCAACAGTTCAACATGACCTATCATACACAAAATTGAGTGTGGCATGCACTCCGAGACACTGCACAACTCAAAAGCACGCTGCTGCGAAGCGCGACTGTTCACCACAAGGGTCTGCAGCTTTGGCAGCCCATTCAAAGAAGACATACCAGGGCCCTCGTAGCTCCCAACAATGTTTGCAAACAATTCCCTCCCCTGAAAAAGAAAGCTCCCGAGGATTGCAGCGCATGAAACTTACTTCAGGTATCAATTCGGAAAGAGATCGCTCCCCGTTCACAAGGAGGTGCAATTTTGGACCCTGCATACGTTCTCGTTTTCATTCATTTCTTCTGGAGGGCCAGAGCCGCCCAGGAACATAAGCCACCCTGGCAGGTCAGACCATCGCAATGATTTGCCCAGAAAGGGGCATGCTTGAGTGACAGCGCCCGAGGCTCTAGTAATGCTGCAGCAGATGGCTGCGCCATTGTTCACCTCGGCCCCATCAATCCAGCTTGCGCTGCCCTTGTGCTAAGGAGGCGCGCGCTAATCGCCTGCCTGCACATATCAACACATTGGCGTAAATATGGCGAAGTGACTCTTCAACTGCTGGTCAGGACTCACACTGCTTCCAAGCACAGCAGAGGAGTGCCCATGGAAAGGAAAACATGATACTGCTCTTTGATCCGTGAGTAGATGAGAGAAAGCTGAAAGATTCTCATCCGCAGGCACTTGAGACAATTGCACAGCAGGAGCTGCGACAGTGGTTGATGCAGGTGAATAGGCAGTTGGAATGTCAAAAGGTGGCAACACATGGCAGATGGTACGGTCCACCCACCTGGAGCATAGGCAATTCAATTCTCGAAGGTTTTCCTCTGCTTTTGCAAGCGGAGTGTGGAGCAATGTGGTTGTTGTGAAGCCATCAGGTGTTACCGTTGGAAGATAGGGCGAAAGCAGCTCGCGGGTCTCCTTTTGAGAGTATGTACAGATTGGCCTGCGTGATATCATCAGAATAAACATAATGTACCAAATAATCAACAATTGCCGTTGAACAAACCCAAAGAGACGATGACTTCGTCAGCAAAATGTGGAAATATATATTTTTGAAGCGAGCACTCTGTTTGCAGGCAACCAGGCAGAAAAGGCATTATCAAATACATGGAAAAGAAACGATGTAATGGGCAGCTATCTTGCCCTTGCCACGGATGAAAGGCAACTGGGTCAACTTGCCTGCCGGAACGCAGTACAGGCCTTTTCTAAACGAAAATCTCCTCGAGCATCTCCACGGCCACGAGCACGGGCAGACCGATGAGAAACAGCTTGGAGGTGGCGGTCAGAGCGAGGATGGTGGCGACCATCGTCAGCTCGCTGGCGATTGGGGAGTCCATCTGCTTCGTCAGGTCCCGAGCGGCGGCACGTTGCAGAGTCCCGTGCAAACTCTTAATCACGCAAGCTATCGGTGTCTGAGGTGGCAAGAGGTGGCCAGGAATCAAAATTTGCAGGGATCTCAACTGACTTCCTGACTTTGAATGATTGAACGCGGGAGGCCAAATTCCCTTCAAACTTCCTTTCCGTCGTTGACGCTGCCACCTCAGCGCGGATTGATCAGACTGATGACGCAGCAACCCCATCACCAACCCAGGGTTTGGCCTCACCCCCAAGTTTTGCTGAGTCGTCAAAGGGTCGGGTCTTCCAAAGAGGAGATATCTGTGGCCAAACTGCTTCTAATCTGCATGAAGCTTTGCTGACACCCTCACAGTCACTTTGCTTGACATTAAGCTGCAGAGCCTAGCTAGGTCTCAAAGTTGACGTTAAGATTGTACACAACTAGTTCAACTTCAAGTTGAAGCCTTGAACCTTCTGTCTGCAGAGCAGTACTGATCAGCTGACTCTCAGAGATGCCATCACGGCCACTGTGAGCGATCAGATCTCAGGATGAGCGCTTCTTGACTCGTGCTCGGAGCACTGAGCGCTGGCGAGCACACCGTATGGACAGCGACAGGGCAACGCCCATCTGCACAGCTCACAAAAAAGAGCTCTGGTGCAACAGAGCTGTACCGTCACAGTAATGACATAGTGTCATTGGGTAGCGTCAGACACCTGGCTGACAGCCAAGTCACTTGACGTGGTGTGACGGTCACAAGCCGAGTGCGTTGAGCAGCTGCAGGTGCTTCTGCACTGGCGCCAGAGTGTTTGCTGTGATCATGCCGCTCGCCGCAGCCGCCGGGACGCCGATGCCGGGCGCGCATGAATCCCCGCACCTGCGCCAACCCATGCAACCACCCCTCAGCAGGCACCCCACACCCTGAACACTCTGCGGGCCAGGGATGTTTCTGACTCAAGCTTGTTACAGTCCCATGCTGCACTGCAGCGTGCTTCTACTGATTGCCAACTCACCTGCATCGATCTGTGAATTCATCGCGTGATTACTGCAGTATGTATGGTGCATGAAACCTTCCAAGCCGACAAATATAACACCAAGGTGCGCCATAAGACAAGAACAGGTCCCACAGGTCCACGTGGTGCCAAAGGGTCGAATGGATCACATGTGAACAGCAGCAATTAGGGCAGTAAGGGCATGAGATGCGAGGCTTGCGTACCTGTACAGGCCGGGGATGGGGGTCTGCGGCCCGGGGAAGTTGCCGGAAGCTGCGGAGATGGCGGGGCCGTAGGTTCCGCGGTGCCTGTTCAAGAAGCGCTCGTGGGTTAGGGGCGTTCCCACCATCACCAGCTCCGCTCTCTCACGCACGTCTGGGATAGCCCTCTCCAGAGCTTGCCACAGCACCTCAGACCGCTCCTCCTGCAAGGCAGCGTTGACATCTTTTTGCTGTCTTTATAGTTTTTAGCCAAGAAATATTGGTCTGCTTTAAACGGTGCAGGTGTCCATCAGATGCACGCCATTCAGCAGCAGGTCATGCATGCCCTGCTGGCCCAGGAGTCAGGGATCCAGCATACCAGGATGCGCGCATTTCTTTCAAGCAGTGCGGAGCAGCGGCTAACACTATTATCCCAGTCACTGCATGATGTGCCACGTTCAAAGATGGAGGCAAAAGCGGTCAGTCTTGATATTCTGTCATCGACACTTCAGTATTGTGCACGAACAGACAGCAGGATCAGCAAGATATTATAGTCCAGTCATGCAGCTTGATGGAGGGCATGAGCAGAGGGGCAATCAAATGAGCAGAGCGCTCACCTTGAGCTGCCTGTACTGCTCGCTGTTGCTGTCGAGGCCCTCCCAGGCAGAGTAGGGCTCATTGCCGGCAGTGTACGCATGCACAAGTGCTTTGCCCGGGGGCGCAAGCCGCGGGTTGAAGACTGTGGGGATTGATGCTATGCACACATTCTGTGGCGCCTCCAAATCCTCCCAGGAGTTGACTATGAGATGGTGGCAATCCAGATCGGCTGGCAACCCCTCTGCATTGATGCCTGCGCCCCACACACACCAATTTTATCAGTCCCATGCTAACATTAACTAGTGTGGTGCGCACATGGGAGGGCAATAGCTTCCCTTGCGTCAATTCTCAACTCAAATTCTGTGTCTATGATGAATTTGGGCAGGCCATAACACATTGGGGCCCACCTCCGTCTGCACCCCTTCAGTATTGGGCGTACTAACCATTCAAATAGCAACTCTTCCGGCACTCCTTGGAGTAATTGTCCAGGCTCAAGGAATCTTCTCATGCTTTCTGCTGTTGGAATGTTTGAAATGATGATTTGCTGCTGGTAGGCCCTTATGGAACAAGCAAAGCACTGCTCTCGCAAACAGATCTCTGCGCTGGGTTATTCTGTCACATCCGCAAGTCGGCACGAACAAGGCAGCTAAGCCACACCTAGGTGGAGATGCACAAAGCTGCCGGTCTGGGGCGTTGTCATGGCTTCCTGGCGCCAGCTGGCGGGGGCGGCCCCGGCCGGCAGCAGCCGCTGAGTGTCCCAGACGGACGCATTACTAATCACCGCCCTGCGCGCCCGGATTATCTCCTGCCCCTGCTGCCGGCTGCCCCTCTTGGCCAGCCTCACTCCCACCGCCCTGCCACCTGTGTAATTTTAACATTTTCTCACCTTCTCGGCTGTCAAGGGAGACAGCTGAGTACGTCTGCCTGGAGAGACTTGCAAGAGGGGCGCCCTATGCAACCTTTGCAAGGGTTGCTCATAGAAGAGACGATGCTGCAAGTGCAAAGCAAGCTTGGCTCTTTTCCCTGACACTTCCTGTGCTGACATCCGCGGCGATAACAAAACTCTCTGGCAGCAGCAACACTTTCTACCTGCCGAGCAACATGCGCAGATGCAGTTGGTACACAGCCTGTGCTGCCCTGCTTCTGAAGACAAGCCAATGCATGCGGTAATTGAGTGGTGCCCTTTTCTTGGCACTGTGATCACTGCTCATTGTCAGCGCTCCTTGCATTCACGTATGCTCCTAGAAGGCAGGAAGCGCCTCAGGATAAAAAAGCGCCTGACTCACCCTCTACAATGATGTCATCGACGCGAGCGCGCAGCATGATCCGGCCGCCGCTTTTCTCAATGCCCCTGACTAGGGCGTCCACAATACCGCGCGACCCCTGCAAAGGGTAATCGATCGTTGACCCTGCCCTGTTTCGCTCCATCAGCATGAAGGCCATCTCCGCGCAGATCGTGTCCTTGGCCAGCATGCCACTGTGCGCAACAGATTTGTCATGTCAGCAACACCATGGTGATGTCAGCAATTTTTGTCAAATGCAGGTTCTACAGCTGGCATGCCACTGCACAAAAGAACATCATCTGATGTCAGAAAGGAGTCAGCTGATGCCACATGCAAACTTTATCCGATACTACCAGCTAGCTGTTCGTATTCATTTTTTTGGTAGAGCTGCACCTTTCTCACCATCAGTAGTCATGAAGACATTTCTTCACACTTTTTGCAGTAGTCATCCAGTGCAAATCCTGCATGCTAAGAAGAAAAAAACGTGCAAGTGCTGTTGACCAACACTTGTAGGCAGCTCACCTGAGCACGAAGCACTCCAGGTCCAGGAAGCGTCTGAGCCAGGTGTTAGTCACAACTCTGTCCACAATCTTGGCGAATGGCGCCGTCAGCTTCGGTGCCACTAGCCCTGTTTTTGCCAGCGACGGCCCAAAGAATCGCAGCATTGTCAGCAGTACACCTGCGCATACAATCCCTTCCATGAGATTGCTTTGAGGGACATGCCAAGAAATCAATGCCTGCTGCTAGGGCAGGTCCACTCTTGTAGGGCAATGCTTACAGCATGCACAAATTCAGAATCCAATTGAAGAGAAACTGGCAGCACGGGTTTTGCATCGGCTTCTTGTGAGCCCTGGCAAGAAGGATATTAGACAGGAGTCGGTCATTGGAGGAGGATCCCGGGGGGTCACCAAGGTCGCTGCGCAGGGCAGCTGCAGGGAAGGTGGCGGCCCCTTGCTGCAACGGCGCCATCTCCCTCTCCAGGGCCCGCCATTGCTGCAATGCTTCTGGCCCCCCCTGCTCTAAAATAGTCGCTGCGTAGCGCTCCGCATTGCACACCGTCTGGAATGTCGCCTCCGGCGTGTACGTTACCCACTGCACATGCGCATTGCCCCTTCTTACTCACATGATGATTTCTGAGTATTATAATTGAACCACAGCCTGCTGACTGCTATTGAGTGCGGAGTAGAATTAGATTGGTCCAAAGCATGCTGGCCGCTGAGTCGTGCCCTGTCAGCTGATGCAGGCACATTCTAGCCGTCCGCATGTGAGTCTTGACCATTGACATCCAATCTCTTGATGGCAATTCATATGGTGTCCTGAAAATTGGAGATTGAAGCGCCAAACTTACCCGGTCATACACAGCACACTCCACAGACTCCCCTACAGCGTCCAGCACCTGCTTGAGGGGGTTGGGGGATCCCCCGGCCTCGCCGCTGAGACCGGCAAAGAAGGACGGCCCTGCATCAAATTGGTAGCCTTGCACCTCGAAGGAGTGCGCTGCCCCGCCCGCATGGTAGTGGCTCTCGCACACAGTCACGCTGTAGCCGTACTTGGCCAACAGCGCTGCGCAGCAGAGACCTGCACAAGAGCTCATGCGACGTCAAGGTGACTAGATCCTGCTGAGGTTTAGATACTGTGTAAGTGTGTCAGACATTGTCATTATCTGTGGTCCTTAGCTCTGCCTGCCAGAGTAACACACATGGCCAGGAGCATTGTAGCAGCACCTCATGAGCTCATGCGTGCATGTCAGTGAACGGGGAGGGATGGTGCATGCACCTCCAATGCCCGAGCCAATGATGACATAGTCAGTGGTATGGCTGCGGTCGCGCCCGCTGGGGGTTGGCTGGTTGTGTGTGGCATCTGGATCAGCCTGCACGCTGGGAGTGGCCGTGGTTGCACTGGCACAGAGAGTGCCTCTTCGTTGGGGGAGCCTCTGCGATATGTTGGACGTAAGAACAGGCTGTTGGGAAAAATGTGGCAGTCCCTGGGTTCGGGGAGTCGCAGGAAGCTGCCCGATCAAAGTGGCAGATCGCATGGTGCTATGACCAGTACTGACACATGCACGCCTGGGCGAAACAAGACCCCAAAAGAGAGAAGTTCAACTCTTGCTGAATAGATGAAATATACGATTGTTATAAATACGCTCTCTCTCTGAGAGCACTCAAGCCTGGATCATCGCTGATGCTTGAGAAAGATCTGTGGCGTCTCTTTGTCCTGATCAGAAGGTTTGGCTTCGACAAGTATGTATCAATCACCGGTCAATAATAAAGATTGACGGAACAGTGATTGTATACGATTGGTGTAGTCCAACGTTCACATTCGCAATTTCATGCTGCTGTCGTGGCTGATTTGAGGGGGATTTAGTGACAAACAGAACATGCAAGGCAGTGTAAAAATTTTAAGATGGCTCAAGGGTGGCACAAGGAATTAGCAAGAGCAGCTACAGCATGTGATCACAGGGATACATTGACTAAAATTGCATCTGATGGAGTCCATCTCCCATAACAATGCAGTATTGTGATATGACAATAACAGCCGGAACTTGCTTGATTGCTTGACTGGCAATCCAAGCCAGTGCTGTGTAATCAGCATCTGCCAGAGAATGGCAAAGATCTTTGCTCATCATCATATCATCCTTGCTGCAGATGCTGACTTAAACCTCCACAGTCTCAATTCCGCGAGTTCTCCTGATAGCTAGACGGTCCTGCAGCATGGGAGCAAGACATTCATGTCAGTGCAATCCAAACTGGCCAATATTTTGAAACACAATCACAGGTGCACCAACCTTGTTCAGGGCAGCCAGCACAGGAGGCAATGGATGGAGGCAGAGCAAGCGCAGCAGGGGCAGCGTGCAGCTTCAGCATGGGGTGCCAAGGGCAGTTCAAATTCAGGGGCCCGCTTCATGAGAAGGCTGCAGCACTCATTGCATGCAGCATTGAGCCGTGCAGAAAAACAACGCATCCTCACCAAGCAACACAGGACAACTGTGCATCATCTTTAGAAAGGACATACCTGTTTTGCGTAGGTGTCCTTCAAACCCAGACTCGACAGCATTTTCGAGTAGGCATCAAAGTTTGACCGACGTAGGTACTGCAGCAGCTTCCTCCTCTGAGCCAGCATGCCCCTCAAGCCACTGCAAACGATGCAAATCGCACCAGATTAAGCACTTTACACAGCAGCACAGGGTTGGCATCATCTTAAATAGATCGTGCAGGTTGCACACATCATGCAAGAGATGCATTCAAGACCCACTTGCGTGACGAGAAGTCCTTGCGGTGAACCTTCATGTGCTCAGCCATGGCATAGATCTTCTCTGTCAGTATGGCCACTGCGAGGACGGACAAACAAGGTCTCCAACTACCGCTGCAACAGTCTTGACATGGTTGTAATTGGAGACGCTTGAAACATCATAGGGACTTTTGACGGGCAAAGCAAATTACCTTGCACCTCTGAGCTTCCTGTGTCACCAGGGAAGCGTTCAAATCTGTGTATGGCACCTCTAATCCGTTCCTGCCGCTGGTCATAGCTGCCCATGAGCTCCTGGCTTAAGAACTGCGAAGAGACACCAGAGATCAGCTCTGCCAAACAGTAATTGACTTTAACTCACAGCATGGAAGGCGTTGCGCACGAAATCAACCAGGCAGCAACCACCAGGAACACATCTACCAGTGAGCCCCACCTTGTCCACCAGATCTGGCTGAGGCGGCGACTCGAAGGCTGCATCAGAGCAAAGTACCAGTCATTATATCGTCGACTGACAGACACGTGCAATGAACCACGAAAAGATTGTCTTCAGGGTCGTGTTGGTCAAATTGATCTGGGTAAATTAGAGATACGCCTGTAGACTATCGCCACCAAAATGCAGTGCATCTGTTACTTTACAATTTGCGTATCACAAAATTACTTTTGTGAATAGTATTTTGCACCTTCAGCTGGTCTCTGGGGCTGAGCAGTGCCAGGCGTGAAACGCATTGCGGCTGCTGTGCTCCAAAACTCCCGATTTGAGTAGCAACTCTGCCAATTGCCGGCACATACTGCAAGAGCCATGGCTTGTGTAGAGGACTCAGCCATTGCTCCACTCTGCAGACGTCTACATACTGAGCTGAGTATCTGCAAAGACCTCATCCTACTGAGAAATCAAACAATGCGACAATCTGAGTGTCCAGCAAATGCTGCAAGAGAAGCTTTGAAAGCTCACGAGCGTGTGTGTGTATGAAACAAACTAGTTTTTCGTCTGGAAAGGTGGGTCTGGAGGGGAGGTGTTGAGGTACGTCTCTTGAACAGGTGCCTAATTGAGCCCCTCTATTCCAAACCCAGACCTTGCCCAATCTAGAGGGCAGAGTGAGCGCATTGCAGAGTGCATGCACGTTTTAAATTGCCAGCCAGTCGGAGCATGGGTGTGGGGTGTTTGTTGAGCATGCGGCCGCGCAGGTGCCAAGGATTAATCTGAATATTCACTGAATGGCATATCCCCCGGGCATCGATGTTGCAGTCCCCGGGCATGCGACATGATCAAGTAATGGCAAGGGAAACATGCTGGTGCCCGTACAGAAGCACCTGCAGCTGCTCAACGTTGACGCGCCGAGGCCTATGATATGCCTGTGAGCCGCTGTGCTTTTGGTAACTGACGGGATGAGACATGGCATGAGACCGTCTCATGAACCGTCCTAGTGACCGGTGACACGTTACTGGATCTTCCTATCGCCGTACTTGGCCATGCATGCTGCTACACGGTGCTTGCTGTGACTGCTCGCTGGGTTCTCATTGAGCGCTTGCATGAAGCTGTGATCAGAATCATCGGGACCTGATCAGCATTGGTGTCCACAAGCCTTGGGTCTTGTACCTCAACTTAGTAGCATCAAGGGACAAAGTAGCACAATCGTCCTTGCACAGTACTGATAACAGCCTTCCCCAAATTTGGCTGCGCAACATGTGATCTGTGTGTAGGAACTGTAGCCCAAATATTTCATTGCATCCGCATGCCAGAGCTGCCGAGGCCTCGCCCTTCCATCTGCTTCTCATACACCTTCAGCCAGTGCCCTTGCCGATCCGCTGCCTCGTTTCTCGCAGCCTGCACAGCAAAGAGAATATTGGTTGCCTTGCTTTCTTGCATCTCTCTTCTCTTGTTTCAGCCACAGCATCATTCAGTTAACCCCTAATATGCTGCTGACATGCCGGGGCAAGGTCCTACAAGAAGCCGAACTCTCCTGCATGATAGGCTTTAAAGCACAGCCTTAGTCCCCGGCTGGCGGGGTCCGGTAATAATACTGAGCACCGTATCCACGGGTGTTGGTCTTGCTTGGATCTGGCGAGTCAATCAAGGGGTAGAATATGTGGCAGCCTTCACATGCAACTTGTCTGCAGACACACCTTGCCTCTGGCAGGAAAATTGTTCTAATAACAGTGATGCTATTCTGTCACTATTACTCAACGTTCAAACTCACCTCGCTATTTGAGGCCTCCAGGGGCCCAGCCACCAAGTCCAGTGTTCCCTCCACAAGTCCAGCAATGACTCCTTTGAGCCTCTCTCCTGTTTGCTGCAGGTCAGGCTCTGCATTGGCCTGTCCCAGAACACGTGAATATTGCTCAGATTGATCTGTTGCATGCAGGCACTGCCTTTCATGTCAGGAAGAAGACTCCCATGCAGAACGCTGAGCACTGTAATTCTGCAAGGGGGACATTATTCTTTTGCAAAAGTGTAAGGCTCAAATCTATGTCATCTCACCTCTAGGAGCCATACATGCCAGTCCTCATCGACCATCAGGTCAAAGCCAAACAGTTCAAAGCAGTTTGGCAACGTGAAGAAGGTCAGCTCATTGCTGACAGCCTCAAGGCACTCTCCTGCACAACCATGCAAAGATCATTTGTGGGATGCTCTTCTTACATGATACTGTACCTCACTGTCAGACCCGTGGCATTACGGGTCAGATCAATTCATTAGAATAAGAGGGCCGTTAAGATTGAAGGTGGAGCTATAACCTAAGAGCTCATGCATCTGTTGTGTGACTCGCTGTATGCAGTCCTCAGCCTCCTGGAGATCCATTCCCTCACTTTGCAATGCCTGAAGGAACACCAACAAGACATCAGCTAAGCCGCGTACAAGCCAAGAAGTCTCGGGAAACAAAACATGCACATCTGCATGCAATATTCAATGAAAAAAGCTGCAGATAACATGCAGCAGCTCCAGGGTGGATGCCGCACTTGTGGTAGCTCAGACAAGAGCTTCGCAGCCTCTTCTTCAGGCACAGAGCCACTATCTGGGCTGCTGCTCCGCTGCAGATAACAGGTGTTTGTCAGGTGAGAACTTAAGTCTCCCAGATCCTGCCTGCAAATACATCACATCTTTGTTGAGTGCAGCGGTCACAGGAAAATATAAACATCAAGCTCTCCGAATCCCACCAAGGAAACCAACTTCTGCTGATACATATCTGTCTCCGAACTCTGTGAAGTGAAGACGTGGGAGAAGAATTTGGCTTGCCTGTCATAGTCTTTTCCAGCAAAGAGGGCCAGAGCTTCGCTGTAGACATACACCGAGAGGCTGCCAACGCACAGCACATACGCGCGGATGTGAAACTTGCGCCCGTTGATCAGCAGAGGACGATCGATGTACCTGCACAAACCCCATCATTTCCAGCTCAGAACAAATGGACTCAGCGTTCTCGGTCGAGCGGAAGCACAAAAGATACGGATTTGGGGAGTCATTTTGACACCAGAACACCATTGCATATTCTTGCAGTAATTCAGTTGATGTGAATAGAGTGACAAGGTGAAGAGATCCAGCACTGCACATCAGGGTGAGGCGCACCTCTGCAGCACCCACTCGCGCATGCCGTCTGCTTGCTGCAGGGCCTCCCTCAGAGCGGAGACGCGGTCAAAGATGAAGATTCCCAAGGCCTGGTTGGTGATGGATGGCTTGGCTATCCAGGTCGCTGACCCGTCCTCCATATCCCGCACCTGCATGCAGCATGCAAACGGCTTCTTTGCCAGCCTAAAACATGGAAAGCAGTTGAAAAAGATTGAGGCATGATTGTTGCAAGTGTTTTCCTCAGGAAGCCCCATCTCAGCAAGATCTCAGACAGGATACTGACTGGCTCATGAGCAGCATCGGTCTCTAGCAAGCCCAGATGAGTCCATTCAGCTCAGTAAATTAGACCTTTCGGCCTTCAATCCAAGCAGTGAGTCAAGGTGGCACGGCCCATGAGGCATTGCATTGACATGTTTGTATTTGTGCAAGGATTTGTCTTGACCCACCTCATAGACATCTGCCAGGGCCTCATCGATGTACTCCACATCATCCACCTCCATGATCAGTGTTTCAGGGACGCCGCGCGCTATGGCGCCGTCTGGATGCTTGGCCGCCCACTTCTTCAGATTGTGCGCCAGGTGCGCCTTCCTGATCAGCCCCTTGCGCACGCAGTAGCAGCTTGCCTGCTGCCTGCCTGCCCGTGCACCCCTCAATCAATCAGTTCCCACCCCCTCTCATGAAACTGGTGCTGCACAACTAGAGATGGTCCGGACGTGGGCAATAGATCAACGGTAATACTGCCGTTCTCTCTTTTTCATCAATCTGTGAGTTTGCTGTTGTTCCAAGCTCCCCAGGCCCTGCTTTTGCAGCTTGGTTTGGATCTGGGCAGGGCGATGACATTTTGGGGCCCCACTTTCACTGGTGCTTCTCTAGATCGAAACATCTGCTGGGTGTGAATGTATGGGCTACAACAATGCCATGCATGCAACAGACTTGACCCATTGTGAAGGCCGTAAGTGTGGAGTGCGTGCCTTCATGGACAAGCTGCCAGTCTATCCGCTCATACTCGCCCCAGTGAAGGGTGCTGCTGCTGGAGGCCTTGCAGGGGCCTTCTTCGCCTGCTCCATCAATCAGTGTGACATGCCACTGAGGCCGCCGCGCAAAGGCCTGCACAACCAGGTCCCTGTCGTGGTCTCAGAGCATTGTAATGTAGGGAACTGAGGAAGAAGTACAAAGGCTGAATAAATACTGGCTTGAAATGCTGGTCTCACCTCACATACTGGCAGTCCAGATCGACCGTAGCTGTCAGCGATGGTGTTGGCGCGCCATCCTCTACAAAACGAGACTCCAACAAGACTGTTTCCGAGCTAACAACGGCCTGATGGACCCTTGCTGGTCGCTCATCCCACCAGATCATCAGGACAACTCGCCCGGCAACATGAGAATTTATCGGTTAGATGATAATGTTCTAAGTTATATTTGTTAATCAGTTCCTTCTAGCTTCAGTAAGAATTTCTAAGCCGTAGATCGCTAGCCTTTCGAATCAACTTATCTGTCGACGTGACCAAAGAGTAGCAACTCGTCAGAAACGTTTGATCCGGAGAAATTCTATAGCATTAATGATAAATTGGTGCTATACGGTCTTAATTCTACCTCAATGGAATGGAAGGCTGCTTGCATGCATGTTGCTGGCTGTGCAAGCTCAACGAAAAATCAAAGTTCCGAGACGGTTCCGATGATCTGCTATCCTTGGAGATCCACCTTCACAGATGCACTTGCGTGCCTCGTGCATTCTTGACCCTACTTGAAAGTGATTAAGCAGCTTATCGTTGACGCATTTGTCAGCGTGTTGAAGAAGTCGCGACAGTGGCATGAGATCTTGGAGACATGCACTCCCTCAGCTTTGGTGCACCTTCACTGGCAGCAACCTGCGATTGTGATCAAGTTTATAATCACAAAACGACGATATCACAGTTAAGGGTCTCTCTTTTTCGCAGACAAGTGTTTCACAAGAATCAAAGAAGGTGATTCAATCCCTTCACAGATGGTGCCGCATATTTAATGCCGTACCTTACAGTCCAATGCCCCTTATTAACTTGTTCCAGTTGTCACTAAATTCTGTAGCTTCATTTGTGATCAGATTTCCACCTCTACGGCGAGCATATCTCGCTCATGCGCCCCTGGTGCACTGCGAGCTTGCAACAGATCTTTCATTCAGAGTTGCGACATCTTCTGATGTGCCTACAATACGCAGCATGATCCTTAAGGAGAGGTAAAAGGCCCCAGTCAACAGCACTGCACATTTTTGGAAAAGGCAGCAGAAGCTCAAAGTTGATGCTGCCATCAAGACTGTCATAATACTCCTGCTCCTGGCGCAATCAAGCTCACAATCCCCCCTTTGAATTTCAGTAATTGAACTGCCTCCGTTTTGTGTGTGCAAAGTATGAATCCCTTGGGACTGGTGCCGGAGCGCTTCACAGTGGCTGTGGGCGCTGATGGGACATTGTTGGGCTTCGGCCAACTGGAACAGAAGGATTCCTACGTGGAGCTGCGATCTATGATTGTAGAGCCTTCTGTGAGGCATGCAAATCCCTTCACTCCAACAAATATCTTGCAGCAGCACTGGATCTTTTCTGGATGCAGTTGCATGCCGCCATTGACCAGCTTTGACTGCAGAACAAAGAGAATTGGGCTGAGATGAGCTGTCAGTAAAATTTGCATCTTCGTTTTAAAAATGCTCACATCTTGTGCAGAATAGATGATTGTCTGTGTGCAGGGGGCAAGGCGTGGGTAGAGCACTTTTGAAGGAGCTGTTGGGCAGGGCTGGAGCCTCGGATGTCCTGCTGACGACCATTGGCAGCCGCATGAAGTTCTACCAGAATGAGGGATTTCACCGGTTGAGCATGAACGAAATTCCCAGGTTCCGACCTGCCAGCTCAATCTCACAAACCAAATATGCACTTTTGCAGAAAACCGCTCTGCGTAGCCCCCTCTTTATCCCATCTACTGAACTGCAAATTGTCGATTTAAAGTGTCTTTGTGACAATGCAGGTCGCTGCTTTTCGAGGTGCTTGCTGGAACCGTGGTTGCCCGCATAGCAGCAGGGGATGAATTGGTGGTGATGAAGCGTGCTGCCTAGATGAGCAATGCACTGGGCATACAGTTGTTGTGCTCGATGATTTATTACAACAGATTGCCAGCTGGGGATCAAGAGCCCTCTCAGCAACAATGCAGACCAATTCAGGCTCACATCAAAGCATGGCAATTGACATCAAGAACTGGCTTTCCAGCAAATCAAATTATGCCGCTCAAAGTAGCAATCACGACAATGTTAACTCAGTTGCATCACCAGGCAGTGTGCACAACAGAATATTTTTGAAGTGAGATAAAAGCCGTTTAAGGACTCATGAGGTTTAGCATATGCATGATTATTAATCTTCTGGATACCGAAAGCGCAGATATGCGTTGGGTACGTATCGGCTTGCTCCTAGCTCAAGACCCTCAAAGTATCGGCCCACCTGCAACCACCACACACCATTCAAGACAACACTTAACAGATTTGCATGCAAGCATCATCCTCAATCGCTAGATATCATCAAACACCGTATTTGAGAATATCAACACACAGAACTTCAAAGCAGCTTGACGCGTCGAGAACTGCAAGGACAGCAGAGGATGAGGGAATAGCAGCCGGTACCTCGGGGTGATTGATGGCGCTAGGAGATCCCATCCGAGCCATCGGCATGTCGGCAAATCTTTCGATGTTTTCTTGGGCCACATACGTCGATTGGTTGGGTCTGCTCCCTATGTCCACCAGCACATGGTAGAAGGGCTGATGCCGGCCTCCTGCAAGGGCAGATGCAACAGCATTTATCACCACCATGTTTTCCCAGCACTTCTACAGACAGCCCGTTGCATTACGACCCAGACAAATGACTGTTGCCTTGCAAAGCAGAGTGTCCATAAATTTTCAAGCTTGCGTGCAAAATGCGTCATGTGGCTGACCTGGCAGGGCGTCCACATTCATCTGGGCAATCCACTCATCCCCGGCGGTGCAGGTCGGGTCCCAGCCAAAGATGACTCCCCTGTAGCCATATCTCCTGTGCTCCATTATCTCTCCCACCCGGTAGAGCACCGAGCCATTGCTGGGCCGCCTGAATTGCCTGCCAAGCAGCAAATTCACTTGTTATGAACAGAATTTTCAGTAGAAGTTTGATGAACAGAAATCATCAGCAGCAGGTGCCACATCGCACAGCATGCAGCATGCATGAGGGCTTATGGTTTGCCAGGGGACTCTTACCACAACCTAGATCAAATTGTCAGATTGTTTCGCAGTCCCCTGGGCTTGCATGCATCAGGGGCTAAAAAGATGTTTATTCAAAATACTCTAGTAGTCATTCTTAAACCCGCAATAAGTACAAAATTTCGGCCAAAAAGGGTGGATAAATAGAACCCTGACTCCCAAAATATGAAATTTAAAAATTATTTTGACACCAGATTCGGAAAGCTCTTGACAAGCCCAATCTACTGGAGCATGACCCTGGTACATTTGAATTCAGGAAGACCACTGAAAGTTGCTTTAAAACATTTCCCGCACCGCCGAGGGTGCGGGTTTTAGAATGACTACTAAAGTACATCTGTGGTGGTAAGAATGGCACCTATTGCTTTCTGAAGCCACCTCCTGCTCGCGCCTGACCAGGGACATGGCAAACTGGCCAGTGGTGGATGCACCAGGCACCATCTTCTCAAGATCCTCCCTCACTGACTCGTAATCACCCATCTCCTCACACACCTGCATGCAGGAACTGAAATTGGCTGCTGACAGACCATTGTGCTGGCGGAATCGTGTGTATACCCCATCGGTGACCCACTTCATCTCATAGGTGCATATTTCATTGCTCTACAGCAAGCTTTGCGGGGGCTAAAGCATAGCACAGATCAAACAAGAGTCCACGAACCCTCCTGCTGAGTCTTGACTCACAAAATCCTGTGCAGTTTGTGCTTGGCCGCAGCCCCCGCAACACTTGCGGCATAGCAACCAGGGTGCAGAAGAAGGTATGAAAGAGACATGAAAGTGCCACTCCAGAAATGACACCTGACAAGCAGCATCGCAATCGTTCCAATCACAACTTGGGAACAAGGCTTGTTAGGCAGCGCCTACCGCTGCATGCATGCGGCGGTAGTCAATGACTTCGTTGCAGGCCAGCAGCAGTTCTAGAACGCTGCGCAGCATGTCCGGCTCGTGCGAAGATCCAGACACCCGGTAGATGTGGCACAGGTTAACGCACATGCGCATGTACAGCTCCGCGCGCGACAGCGGTTGCAGCAGATTCGGCGCCACGCTGTCCATCAGCGCCACCATCATCGCGTTGACCTGCTGCCTGCACATGCGGGCACATGCGTCAAGATTACTAAACGGCGCTGACTCAGTCCAAATGCATGATCTGGCTTGCTGCCTGCAGAAGCATCCACATGATTCAACATTACTAATGCGGAGCTGACTCAGTGCGCAGCTTTCAGACACAAAAATGCTTGATCTCACTTGCTGCCTGCAGAAGCATCCACGTGAGTCGCGGTACTAAATAAAGCTGAGTAATTCCAAATATTTCAGTCTCAAATATTATCATCCAAATGCAGTAGACTCCTGTAGCAGTGTCACTGCATGTATAGATGGTCAAGCTCATGCATTACGCAATGGCAGTGCACAAGAACTCCCCCTCATGCAGCCTCCCTAATATCGCGTCAGAAGGTTGCATTTGTGCTTTCCTAGCCCGTCACAGGAGAGGCTGCCAACACATACGCTGCCATTGGGCAGAGAATTGGATCACACAGCGTTCTGTGGGCCAGCCAGCGTACCTGGTGAGCAGCTGTCCTCCCCGGAAGACATCAATGAAACGCTCCTCATCGGACCCGGGCAACAGCATGCGGTTGATCAGGTGCATGGGCATGCCAATGCAGTCTATGGGAAGGCCTGCCCGCCTGCCCACAGCCGCATGCACGATGGCCAGGCTTATGGGGATTCCCCTCTTGTCGATCAGCACGCATGGCAGCAGGGAGTTGCTCGCCCGGTAGTAATCCCTCGACTCACCCTGCACATGCGAGGCATGCATGCTCTTCAGCAGACGCAACTGTGACATGCCGTGCAGAAAAAAAAGCAAGCGCTTCACCTTGAGATTAAGAGGTGAAGCGATTACTGTGTACACTAGTTCTGCCAACAGGCAAAATCTATGTGCAGACAAACTGCAGTTTCAGGATGCCAAGATTCTACCCCTTGTTTGACTCGTCAGATACAAGCAGGAGCCTATAACCCGGGGGCGCTGTGTATCCAATGTCACAGCATATGGAGAGAATAGGCCGCACCTGGAGTCCCAAGCCATAGCCATCCTCAGGCAGTTTCAGCTTGTCTAGTCTCAAAGGGCTCCTTCTAGGAAAGGCATTCTGTATCCTTTGGCCACGAATGTGAAGCCCATCCTCTGGATCCTCGGGCGCAAAATTCTTCTGCCTGTGTTGGGCAAAATGCATCAGATGACCTCCAGTGAGCAGGTCTGAAGATGGTACAACAACTGGAGTGGTACCCACATACTATCCCATTAGGAATGTCTTAATATTTCAACCTACGTCGCTAATTAAAATATGCTGGTACTCCGAAGTACCCAAAATCAGTTTCTACATTTCGATTTGGGCAGCCTACAACCCAGAGGACCCCCGCAGCGACGGGCTCTGTAATATTGGGCGTACTAATGAGGGACAACCCTCTGAAGATTGTTTTGTTGAATAATATTGCAAAGCCCTCACCATAATTCTGGGTGGGGGGTCTTGGGAGGGCCAAAGAGCAGCTGCGACAGCAGCTCCAAGGCCGGTAGACCCCCTGTTACCTCCTTGGCCTGCATTCTCCTTTTCAACTCCTCTGCGCAAGTTCCACATGCATCAGTGAAAGCTATCGTTTCTACCCACCGCCGGCATTGCATGTAGTCGATGTCCATGGCTTGTACAATGGATGCATGCACCGGAACAGTGTCACGGTCATCTGCATGACAGGACTGGAGGTGAATTAGCAGAGACTGCATTTGGAAGGTCGGAAAGGCTTGCCTCCAAGATCATCCAAGAAGGCACTGATAGGACTGAGATCCTCTTCCGGCAGGTGGATCTGAGCCTGCTCAAGCACCACAACAGAATCTCAAAACTTCAGCTGGCTAGATATACCGATTTAGCTGAACCAGTGAAAACAGAAACATGCTGTCAAGGCTCACAAACAGACAGCAAGCCAGATAGAAGGGCAGCTTGTTGTCTTCACAACCAAGGGAATGAGCAGTCATCACCAGAAGGAGTGCTCCTTGCTCCAGATGCACATTGTTGTCTTCTGTATCTGTTGCCAGGAGTTCCTGCATCTTCTCTGCGCACAGAAAGCTTTGTATGTGGCGTAGGGCAAATGTAGCCCAGTATCTCTGCCCTTCCTTCATTGTGCCCTTCATCTGTGCTGCAGCGCACAGGAAGTCCTGCGGCCACAAAGAATTCTCATCACATGGTGCAACTATTCTTCTCAGACACATGCCCAAGATGGTGCTTAGAATACATGCGATCCACATTGTGGAGATGCCAGCTTACCAGTGTATCTTCTCGAATAGCTCTCAACCTTCCGAGGCATGTATATGTCCTCCGAGGGAACATGATGTCTTGCATGAGCGTCTCTGCTTTCTTGTCCATCTGCACCCACAAAGCATTCGTATTTTTCGATTTGATGCCAATCAGCATGAATGCAATGCTTCTAAAAGGGAACAGTCAGAGAGATCCTGAAGGAAACAGCAGATAAATGCCGAACAGAAAATGAAGCGCAACCCACCATCCATCTATTTGCGAATTTATTGTGCCAGCTCTTCGCTATTTGCAGAGATGACCAGTGACGCCATCGATTCGAGCATAGTACATGCCACAGGCCATCGTCGGTTGCCTTGGTGGCAAAGAACTTGCAGGTACACGAGAGCATGGACAGACTGTCAGCGTTCAAAGACTGCAGGATCTTGTCGAGAACATCTGTGGGGATAGTGAGGACTGAGACTTCAGGCGGTGTGGGATCTCCCATCGTGTACATTGTACTTGCTGTCAACAGGACGAGCAGGACATGCTGCAATCTTGTTTTGGTGTGAGTATTCAATTCATTCGAATAAGACTAGCAATAAAATATCATGGATTTAAATTGTTGACATCATCGTCGTCATTCGTGCCAACAACGTGCAGCTTTTGGGTAGATCCTATACGACGGCGTCACATTTAGCATGCTGCAGCTTCCTTGGTGCAGGCAACCTTCTCCATTCTAAGTCCCAGCTTCCATAAACATCAATGCACATCTCGAACCAATCCACATCCACCATGACGCAAATACAGGCAAATGTATCATAGCGAACATGTGATCACACAGGCCGGCTGACGATTCGAACAAATGCTGAGACAAAAGAAGGCGCACATGATTAAAATTCAGCTTGAAGCACTGCGCCAATTGCCGTGGCACGTGCATGTGGCATGCACTAACATGGCCAAAAGCAGCTAGAGACTGATAGACTCGTGTGCACATGCCAGACACTGGCACATGAGCACGTAATTGACCGTTACCAATTGATTCTTGTCATAATCAATTCTCACTCCCTAGCATGTGCACAGTCCATGGCTGTCACGACAGCGCCATGTCTATGCCCGACAGGTCTCCATTGCTGCCAAAGTCCTACCCCTAGATGGACCCGCCAAAACCAAGCAAGCAGCAGATGCATCCCCATGTTGCAGTGAAGTGCAGGGTATGAAGACATGATAGCACTAAGAGCCAGGAATCAGATACACACAGCTATGGTCCTGCCGTTTTGGTCTTTCAAAATGGCCTGCACGCCCGATGGAGACTTGTTGGTCACATCACAGCACTCCAAGGATGTCACCTGTGAAGCAGGCAAGCATGAGCTCTACTCACACTTTCATGAAAAGTGTATCGCACCGTGTGATACATAGCAAGCAAGATGCTTTGGTGGATGAATACCATGCATGCACATGATCAGGCAATCTGCTTGGTGTTGCCTTGCAGGGAGAGGGCACTCAAATTGAAGCAAGGCACAGAAATTTGGCGTTGCTACTTGCAATTGCGCACTGTCAGGTCTTCCATGTAGCTGTCGTTGCCAGCCATCACCCGAGCTTTCAGGCCGCTGACTCCGGAGCCCAATGGTCTGCAGCTGTCTTCCAAATCGCTGGCGCTCAGGTTGCCCCAGAAGTAATCTGGGACTCCAGCCAACAGATCCGTTTGGAGTGTCGAGATAGCGTCTGACCTCCGCTGGGCACCTGAGCCTCTATCACCACATTCGGCATTTCGCCCAGCCTTGCGCACTTTATGGCTCTAAGCATCAGGGTGGTGATCAGTGCAAGCAGATTAATGCAGCGACACAGATGAAATGACTGTCCCGTCACGATGAAGCTCGTCCGCTCTCGATAAGGGCTTGGACAACAGCGCCAAGGATCAGATGCTTCTGCCACTTGCTGAGTACAAACTCGCCCTTTGCGGCGAGCAAACGACAAATCAGTATGTTTTTCTGCACCTTTTTATGAAGTGCAATACATACAAGAGGGGGATCAATGATCGACTTGATGATTCAGGGTCCAATCTCCAAGAAAACAGGAACGCCTCTGACCTGACGACAGTTCAATTCACCGTTCGTCAGCTGGGGGGGCGGGGGAAAGGAGGGAAGTTGGGGTAAAGAAGCTGGGAATTCCCAATAAATCACTCAAAGACGGACTGTTGCCAATGGTTACCAGATATAAGGATGTGAGTTCTGTATCTGTTATTTGTCGTCTATATTAAGTCGGCACGCCAGACATCTTTATACAATCTTGGGACGCTTGACTCAGGGAGGCCTGGCCGTATCCTCGAGCTTCGAAAGCTTGCAATTCTGATTATTCGAGTGTTGTAGCAAACTTTGCGATAGAATTGAGGACACAGAATGCGTCGTCACTCCTGGGCAGTGGGGTTCGTGATTTTCACGGCAGCTTGTGTTGTTGTGCAAGCTGCAAGCGACATGTGTAAACGAGAAATCTATGATGAACAATGTGGTGGGCACTCACGATACTTCCTCCACTTCAGACCTGTATGCAAATGCAAAGGGGCATACGTGTCACAACCGACCTCACGCCACTTGCTTCGGGATGTCTGTGTCACGTTGCTCAATACGTTTGCTGAGGGGCACAGTCTAAGACCCCTTTTCATGTGCAGGGTTCCCGGGTATCAGTGAAGAGGCCTGCCATACTCAGCATTGTTGCTTTAACCCCGCCACTCCCAGCCAAGCGTCCAGATGCTACTGGCCCATCAATGCTGAAATCAGTGCCTATCATGCTGTCGAGGTCAGCCGCCAACAAGGTATGTCCGAAAACTCAATCAAGCCAAAGCGATTATTCTGCAACATTACAACCCCCTTGTTCATGGATCTCCCTTGTTGCCATGTTTGGCTCTTACTTGCAGCACCCTTCCACGTCATTGCAAACGAAAGAAACATAAGAACAAGCAAATCGCACATTTGGCTCCTTAGAGGTCATGTCTATATCGTGAAAAGCGCGCGGCAGCATTCATCGTCTCTCTGTTCTGAGCAGCTGCCGCTCGCGGCAACGGAACAATATCCTTTGTGGACAACACCTGCCAGTGGACCGTCCAATTGCAGCCTTCCAACCGCACTGATGGCTGGGGTCTGGGATGGCTCAACCTGCACACCATAGAAGCCATGGAACTGGCAACTGCTGATGCCATGCAGGCAGGTGCCCCAATCATTGACCTTATGTATGCAGATACATGCTTTACACGGGTTTTACCACCCAGCAGTGCTCAATGGAAAAGGGTCTTCAATGTTGTTACAGAGGTGTTTCTCAATGTTGACGGTGATGCATTTGCCAGATCCAAGGTAAGACCTTGCCGCTGTCTGCAGATGCAGATTGCCTTGATTGGTAGGACTAGCTTCTTGCATGATGACGAATGATCTTTGCACCCTTGCCAGGAGAGAATATTGCCTTGCAAATGCCATTTTGGGTGCCACAACTCCATCATTGTTACTCTTGCGCATAACTAGCTGAGCCTCAGACACTGCCGGCACAGACATGTGCCTTAATAATATCTCAACATAGTGATTTGAGCAATGCATGCAGAATCTAAAAGGTGTGATGCAGGGTTATGATGTAGTGATCTATGGGGACTCAATCTCAGAGAACTGGAGGGGGACATCCGGTGGCCTGCCCTACATTCGCAAGGATAACACCTCCAGCCGGCCAGACCCCAACTTTGTTGCAGCCGACATGCGCGCAGCTTTCCTTGAGACACTCGGACAACGGTACCGCGTGGGTGTCATGGCTATTGCAGGCACTGATCCACCTCCTCTCGATTTTTTTCCCTTAGTGTTATGGCCCGGTTAGCGGTGGGCAATATAATGCTGAGCGCCGTATTCAGGGTTGAGTGGGTCTGCTTGGATCTTGCAAGGGGTAGGATGTGTGCAAGCCTTACTGCAGCTTGACTGCAGACGCACCTTGGCTCTGGCAGGAACATCGTGCTGACACAACAATAGTAATTATGACTCAGTGGCTCTTCATTATGCTTCAAGACCCTTCTTGAAAGCTTCATGTTATGCTGCCAGGTGATCACATCGGGCATTTGTGGTGGAGGTTGCTGAATGGGCAAACACCCAAAGTGGACCCCAAGGTTGCCGTTGTGCTGATCGGGACAAATGACCTGTACGCAGCCACACAGTGCGCAGCGCAGGACGAAGACCAGCTGAAAAGCGCAGTCAAGACCATTGTGACAGGGTGAGTGCACTCTTGTTCTCTCTTGCTTCCCAATAAAATTATCAACGAGAGGGGAACGGCCATTTGCAACAGCTGTGGGGGTGCTAAAACCCAGTTGTATCTGCGCAATGCACAGGGACTCACAATGTATGTCCTGATAAATTTCTTAACACCGGGCTGGTCGTGCAAAGGACTCTGCTGGTGTGCATGTGCATGGTCCATCTGTGATGAGTCTGAGCTCTGTGCGAGAAGTCAGAATGCCTGCCTTGCTTCAGAACATCATAGCGCGCTCGTCATGCAAGTAAATGTGCAGATGCAGATGATGTGAAGCTTCCTGCGCAGGTTCCAGCAGCTGCTGGCGGCCATGAGGCAGGGCATGCCCAGCACGCATATCGTGGTGCAGGCATTGTACCCTCGCGGCGAAGACATGGAGGACAACATGTTTGTGTGGCCCAGCAACTTCACCTACGCGCGCAACCTCCTGAATGCAAACTACCAGGCACAGCTCTCCTTTCTGTGCTCTCTTTGTGACTGTGGGTTGGGTAGGGGTGTACAGGCCATAAGTGAATTGCGCAACTGAGGGGGCTTCGAACTTTTACGTGCGGACAGCAGGGATTCTAATTTCCTTACCAGAACCGTGATGTGTACAGGAGCTGACTCGGAGCGATCCCTTCATGCACTACATCTCCTGCGGAGAGGAATTTGTCACTCCAACCTCTGACGCCATTGTCAAGGTGCGGCCCCAAAGCAGCTCAAGGCTAGCAGATATTTTTCTTGACCCTCTTCAAACCATCACAATCAAGTCATGATGGCTCTATGTGAGATCGCTTTTGAATGTCAAACTTCAGTTTAGTTGGGCTGGCTGCAGGAGTATCTTCCGGATGGGCTGCACCCCAATGCAGAGGGGCTCAGACTAATTGCTGAGTGCCTGACACCTCTGCTGCAAAAGCTCACATCTTCCAACGCGACAACCAATGCAATTCAGCCTGCACAGGTCACGCAAGGAGTGCACTATCTTGGGGGCCGTCTCCTGCCTGTGGCCGGTAAGAGCTGCAATCTTTCTCAAAATGCAGCTGGCACTGCTGTACATGTGGGTTGGAGCAGCGTGCCCTAGAAGAGTTCATGCAGAGGTGATCAAGGTTTGCTATCAAGTGTGAAGACACGTGCGTGTGGTGCGCAGGGAAGTGACTGGGCTAGCCAGGAGCGCTCCTGGATGACAATTCAATCAAGAATGCACTTGCAGCGTCCAGTGCATAGGCAGCAGACACACAAGTGTTGACTAATTTTGAGTATCAGCATGAAATAAATTTCAGTAAGAGACAGGCGTTTGGGCGTCAAGGCAAATTGATGATACATGCGCAGAACCGGGTAGACTTGGAAGCGTCAGCTTCTGAGTTGTGGTAGTAGGCTTACAAATTACAGATTTGCTGTTGATACATGCATGCGGAAAGGCTACTATATCTCAGATCACTTCTTGAGCCGCCCTGCTCTCAAGGCCAGCAGGGCGGTGGCTCCTGCCAGGGAGAACCATGTCAGAGCATAGTTCCGGTGATCATAGGGCATCACTGAAAACGTCATCAGGTCCTTCACAGTGCGCGGCAGCGGATACTGCTCCTGGGGAGTGCTTGTGCGCGTGCGCATTGCCATGAGCTCCATGGATGTGGGTGCACTGGTGCGTGCTACACTGCCCTGACCTTCGCTGATGACCTGCATTGGCAACATTGCTTGTAAGCCTCCATTGGGCGGGAAACAATGTGAGCTCCATAGATGCCTTGCAGCTGCTTCTACGCAGTTCCGACTGCTCTTCCATCTAAGCATGACATCCCTCACACCAAACACAAATCATGCCATGGAAATATATCAGAAGGGCTGAGCTTGAAATGATTACTTCAGCAGGCTTGCATGCAATGGGGCGGAATTTTTCTGCATCTGACACGCTTGGCACACCATCTGGAAATGAGACCCAGGCAGCACCTGTACTAAGTCAGTGTCAGGTGGAAGGCCTGCGGCTTTGGCCAAGGCAGGCACGTCCAGCCAATACCACTCCCCCTTGGCAGGATCGTTGTCTGGCACAAATGAGCTGCGGTCCTCGCTGTTCCGTGTGACTCCAATGATTTGCACCTGCATCACACCAAATGATGACCACATGATGAGAAAATGGGACTTCTGAGCTGCACAAAGTACCCCTCACATGCAGCATGGCAGCGGCAATGCTGCCCTTCGGTCCTTGCCAGAGCAATGCAAGTCCATGTAAGTGCAATGTACCTTTCCCATTGGCAGGCCGCTGGCTTGCATCTGCGAGTCAGTCTTCCAGCTGGCTGGCACCCATCCTCTATTGATGAGCACGCCTCTGCTCCATTGGTCATTCACCAAAGGGGTGACCAGTACATACCTGCAGGACAAAATTTTATCTGGCATCCACTCCCAAGAACAGTGGACTCACTTTGAGTTACCTTGTGAGTCGTTCTCGCTGGGGAGTTGCTCTTCTGGCCAAATAATCGTGCTGCAGCAGGAAATGAATGCAGGCATGCATGAGTGTTGCAAGACTCACCCAGACTGGGTGGTCCCCATGACTGATCGTGGCCGTGGGCCCACTAGGATGCTGCGTTCATGCTTCAGCTCTCCCTCACATATCACTCGCTGGTACTCCTTCAGCTTTTCTGATGACTGCAAGATATTGATAGGCTCTCCCTGGGCATGCAAAAACATCTGTGAGGTTGCGTTCTTGCTGGATTGCAACATAAAATTCCACTTAATATACACCATTACAACTGTCAGGGACTGCACCCAAACATTTCATGCCCACCTGGAGACCTGCTTCCCTCTCCTTTATCTGCTGCACCTTCCACTGTCGCCTTCCCACTTGCCACATACCCAGGTATGCTGACACCGCCGCAGGGATCAACAGAAATGTCCAATGCAGCCTCCTTTGTCCTGACGATTTGCCTTCCTGATGCGCATGTTATTAAGTGAATCCACGATTTATTTAGGTGATCCGTCTGAAGCCACCCAGACGGCGAAGTTGCACAACAGGACCATGTCTTGGCTAGGGACTAGAATAGGCTGCAGAGGGGATTCCTCATTTTAGAGAAGCAAGAAACCTGTGCATGGTCAGGTATCTGGGATCTCACTGTGGTACTCTTTGATCCGATCTGGCCCGATGTGCTCGAGAATTCTCTGAGACTTGTGGTTGTACCAGTGGCAGCAGGCAGAATATTGTACATGCGGCTCGCTATACCAGCGGCTCCCAATCTCCCAATGAATGGATCCCCAAATGCTTCTGATGTATGAACAGCAAGAGCTGGATCTCCAGCAAGGAGTCTACGCTGGGCCAGTAAGCAGCATCGCGCTAGTATATGTCTAGACATGGCCACACTCAGTGCCTCAGTCAAAGGTCACCAGTACTACCACAATCACCCAACGACTGCAGTAAATCGCAGAATATTCGTTGCAAAGGTTCAACTCTGAATGTACAGTGGGAGTCAGTAATTAAGCACTGCAGCAGCAACAAAATGGCAGGCGATCTCAACAGCAGCACGCTTTCAAGCAGAATATATCTGACAGGTCTCTGCGAAAACGACTTCAGATAACCCATCAACAGTGATATAGAGCTTCTCCCATCACGATCGCTTCTGTGCAACCAAATGTGCATTTGGACAATTGCCGAGTTGGAAGGGTGGCCTGATCTGGCTCTAGTGGCTCGACGATGGCAAAGCTTTTGCAGAGCACCCCGGCTCATCCCGGGACTAGCAGGCTCCGTCAATTCCTTTGGAATCTGTCATAAAGGATCCGCGGTGAATGCACAAGACATCGAGCACCAGACCACGAGTCCAAGGGAAGGGTACGGCATCTTGTATCATACTACCTTAGCTGCGAGAATTGTCAGCTCTAGGAGCCGCGCACGGCATCGAGCTAGAGTGGAGAAATACTGCACTGAATAGCTCGCGGGAAGGAGTGCCACCAAGGCGGGCGCCCGGAAAAGAGGTGGGAGAACATGGTAACCTCGAAGTTTCAATAAAGGCTGTGGTACAAGATGTAGCTTCAAATGCTGTGGTGATCACAGAAAGGATACAAATGAATCATCAAAAGCAAGTCCTGCCCAGGTTATCCCAATCGCGGAGGTTTTGGGCTAATTAGGGACTTGAGGGCAAGTCTCACATTGGACATAGCTAGAGGCCCTATAGCGATCCTAGAGCAGCAAACGGATGACTGAATATCTCCTTACTTTATTGACAATTACTGTGTGCTTAATGGGTGTACATCACCTGCATTGTCAACCCAAAGGTAGCAAGTGGTGTCCAGCCATCCTACAGACACCAGCCCGAGGCCTAGTTCCATAAAATCGAGTTCGTGCAGGCGCTCATCTAGGGTCGAAGGAAGGAACATCTCCTCAGAGATGGCAACGAGGGAAACAGCACGGAGCAGAAGAGCAGCTGGGCAGCTCAGCCTCTGCCTCTGCTTGCTGCTGGCCCTGAGCACCTCGCGGATGGCTGCTGCTGGTGAGTCTCTCTCCCCCAGTTCTATATATCGTAGCAGAGGTGAAGCAAGCAAATCTGCTCATGATTGGTTTTGCCAGAGCAGGGGCATTATGGAACTGATTCTGCCTGCATGCTGCCAGCTTCTACTGACTCTGCGGTGCTCTTTCAAGGACTCTTTAGTCATGATTCACTGCTATCGTTATGTGCAGACGCTGCCACTCCAAGTCCGTCACCCACAACAACTCCAAGTCCTTCTCCAACGCCATCACCAACCCCTTCTCCAACGCCATCGCCCACCCCATCGCCCACGCCCTCTCCAACGCCATCACCCACCCCTTCTCCAACGCCATCGCCCACCCCTTCGCCCACGCCCTCTCCAGCGCCCTCACCCACCCCTTCGCCCACCCCATCTCCAACGCCCTCGCCAACCCCGACGGCCACGCCCACTCCAACTCCCACCAAGTCACCCACTCCGACGCCGACCCCAACTCCAACCCCGACCAAATCCCCCACTCCAACGCCAACCCCGAGTCCCACCCCCACACCCACCCCCAGTCCTACCCCAACAGCTACACCCAGACCCACGCCTACAATCACACCATCACCCACGGTACGGCTCCAAGCATTTGCTCCACGCCCTTTGTATGGTGTTGCAATGCTACTCTGCTGCTCTGCTGTGTGCGGCGCTGATGTGTTTTGGTTGGCTGCAGGACCCAGTGATCCCATCTCCTACACCGACGCCTAAGACCATGCTCAATGCTGCGCTCTACCTGCAGGGCCCCAATGTGTGGTGAGTCATTTCTGTGGGTGCCACTGCCTCACATGTGCATGCAATTTGTTGCAAGGAAAAACGCCGGGCATGTGAGAAATAATGCAGCGTGGCAGAAGAAGTGATGTGAAGTGTGTGTGCTGCCATGAAGTGATGTGTGCTGCCAGAAGTGATGTGTGCTGCCATGCAGGCCACTGAGCACTGACAAGCTCATCGTCATGGTGAAAGCATTTGCTGACACAATGACCACCATCCAGGCCAGCGATGTCAACATCCTCAATATTGCCAAGGTGAACCACCTTCCTACTCCTGTGCTGCTCATCATTGCATACCTTCTGTGGCTGCCCTCATGTCAGGAGACATTTGCCCTTCACTACATCAGCCCATGCATGGAGGTGAAGCATGATGCTCAAAGGGAACTTGCAAAAGATCTAAGAATGTGGGTTTGTGGCTTGGCAGGCTGTGGCCACCAGGAGGCTGTTGCAGCGCGCAGTGTCAGACACTGCAGCAGTGGTACAGGTGCAGATGACGGGCAAGTCTGAAAACCAGACTGACCTGATCGCACAAGAGCTGGGCACAGTTATCAGCAACACCAAACTGCAGGTGACCTCTTTGTTCTGCTCTTAATTGGAGGTCCACTTCATTGGTGCTTCAGGCTCTCTGACCATTCTACTGTGATGCATTCCTTCTGGCAGGATGATCTTGTTGGTGTCGCCAGATTTATTTCAGAGTGTTTGGATGTCATGCTGGGCGTTGACTCTCAAAATCAGAAGCAGGCATCGGATCGGCTGGAAACATTGCAATGTGACTGCCTGACTAACTGACTGACTGACTGACTCACTGACCACACACACTGAGGAGCTAGAGCCTCCTCTACCATGCATGCCTCAGGAATGAACGCTGACATGATGAGACCTGATGTTGCAGGCATCCCTGTACCAGAAGGGACTGGAGCTGACAAGGCTGAAGGTGCTGAGCACAACAACATCAGTGCCCCTGGCAACGTCTGGCACCTGCTCTCAGGGATCCATCACTGGCGTCTGCATTGGTGCGACCAAAACCGATGCTTCTTATGAAATTCTTGTGTTCCAAAAATTTGACATGTGTTTATGTCCTGCAATTTGTTCGAGTTATCAGCCATGGCTGAGGTTGTGCTCGAAGCAAAGTCATGCATGCAGACCAGAAGATGCATGCATGAAGGACAGCAGGCTGAGGGCAAAAGATACTGCTGAAGAGAACACTGACATGTCATGTGCTTCTCAGGCACAAGCACGGCCAGTCTCTCCAAGACTACCATCATCATCCTTGCAGTGTGCATCGGTGGAGGAGTCATTTTGCTGCTCCTTCTTGTCGCTGTCGTCCTGATGTGGTGAGCTGGCTTCCCCATGCATGTGCAATTCACGAGGTAACTTTTGCTTACATTGTCCCCTGGCACTACACATCATCAAGACAGACGTCTGTATGCAAATGGTGAGCATGAAGGTATATGCGGGTGTGCTCCCCCACGTGTCCCTTGAATATTAGATAGGCAGTCCTGGCCTGTCAAGCCTCCATTAAGAAGGAGCCGCAGATGCATTGCATGCATGCCCACGTGTTGAGTGCGGCATGCATGCCTTCATCATTCAATCAAATAAATAAGCGAATTGCCTGGCTGTGCAGCTGGTCGCGCAAGAAGCAGAGGGACCAGAGGAAGGCGGATGCTGCCAAGGCAACGCCCAAAGCCATGACTCCCAGCGCGGCCTACCCCTACTACGAGACCAAGCCCATGCAGTTCCGCGGCGTCAAAGTCAGGGCCGAGCCCCCGGTGCGTGCATCATCTTTCTGTTGTACCAGATCTGTGCATGTCAGTCACATCACTCTTGTAAAAGAAACATGCATGCCACGAAGACCATTGTTGTCACCCCAAAAAGTGCATGTCGCTGATATCAGTCACAGATGGGAGCACGAATGACAGCTGTTGAAGGCCTGAGCTCAGCTGAGGGGATGCATGCACAGGGCAGCGCTCAGAGCATGCTTGCAATATCTTTATCGTGCCGCAGCGCGAGGTGTCCTGCATGACATGCATTTCTGGCAGATTTTGAATTCCATCATGCATGTATGTGTGTGGCGTATTTACTGCATGGTGATTTCCATTGCATGACTTGCCACATCCGTAATACTGCACCATCACCATGCATGCTGTGCTGTGCAGCGCGGCAGCGCGTACCCGCCGGCCTACTCGCCGCATGCGCCGCAGGAGCCTGATCAGGCGCCTGGCCCCAGTAGCTCCCAGCACACGACTGTGCGCAGGGCTAACCCCGCAACCTTCCAGGCAGCTCCCCCCAGGGTGAGGCATCCCCAGAATCACCGCCCCTGCAAGAGCGCTTTTCATCAAGAGCACTGCTTAGAGAAAGAGGAATGCAGGGCCCCTGCTGACATTCCCAGACTTTGCCGGCGCCACGCTTGGCAATGGCTTCTTTGTTTGCAGAGGCATACTTCTTGGAATCCAGTGCTGAGAAGCAGATTGTCTTGCAAAGTTCAACATGGGCCTGGCTGGCGGGGGGGCGCCACGTGTTCTCAGCACCGCGCCCATGGTTGATAGGGTCTTGCTTGGATATGGCGAGTCCATCAAGGGGTCGAGCTTTGGCAGCTTGTACATGCGACTTGTCTGCAGACGCACCTTGCCTCTGGCAGGAACAGCATTTGATAAGAAAAACTATAATCTTGTTGTGGATGCTGTTTGGTGCGGCAGGATGTGATTGTGGATGGCGACGAGTACATGGAGTACATCGAGATGGGCGGCCGCACCGCACGCGAGCAGCTGCGCATGAAGCTTCCCACCTTCGGCGCCGCCGCTGCCCCACGCAGGACAGACTCCTTGCTCAACGAGGTGTGAGCACTGCTCTTTCTACACACACCCATGCAACAAGCAAAAACCTGGTGCAAGGGCACCCTGTGCTTCAGGTGACTGAGCTGCTTGCTTTAAACATTATGATATGGCACATGATGACACAGAAGACTGGAGGATCAAACAGAGCTCAGCCTTTCCTTTCCTTACCCGAGATAAGATGTTCAAATTTTATAGGGAAGAGGACTCTTGTTACTTTGTGAAATTAAAGTAACGAGGGCACTGATCAGGTCTGACTGCATGCAGGCAATCAAGAACCCGGCAGCAGCTGCTTCCACGCTGGAGCCCACTCCAGAGGAGCCTGCAGATGAGAAGAAGGCAGCAGACAAGGGCAAGCAGCCCAAGAGGGAGTAGCTCAGTTCTTCCAAGCCTCCTGAGCTTGACCTGCCGCAGCATGCACAGTATCTCATGGACGCTATTCTCTCATCATGAGTCATGCAGCAGCAGAGCTGAGTCATGCACCTCACGTCAGATTTGATTACTCATTGGTGGCATTCTAGGGATGCTAGATGTACTGGCGCTGCTGGCAATTTCATTTCATTCAACAAGTACTGTTCAGCAGCTTCTGCTGAGGCCTTCTGCCACGTGTTGGCAGCTTATGGCAGTCCAGGGATAGACATGACAAGTTGTACAACCTTGCGGCACGTGCTGCACATTCTATCAGCTTGAGGTTTTCCCAAGATGCAGGACAGGACCAAGTGTGCGGCTTTCAATTCTATTGGATGGTCATTGTATGGGAATGCTCGGGTTAGGATCCTGATTTGAGTGTATGTGCTTCCAGCCTTAAGCAGCTGCAGCCATGATGGCACGACTACTTCGATTAGGAATTAGAAGGGTGAATTCCTAATGTTTGGAGTTCAGGACAGGCGCACACTTCCTTCTGTTGTCCCGTTTGTAGAGATATATTCGAAAGACAATACAATCACAGCATCGGACATCAAGCAAGTCAATCACTTCAGATCTCTCCATCTTGCCTTTGCACGGTCATGTTTGACTATTTGCTGCAATCGCACAATCCCCTTGACTTGAACTATCAAATCTTCCACTGCCTTCGCCAGATTTTCTCCTGCAACAATGCAGAATTTTTCTAGTACAGCACATCAGAGAAGCTGGTCTGCAGCTCTCATCCAAGGCCAGGACCTGCATGCAATGCAATAGTTCTATGCCATAGCAATATTCGCGGGCATGCCACAGGCAAAACCCGGCTTTTACAATACTGCCTTCGGAAGAATTACCAACCCAACTCCCGAATTCACTCAGGCTGCATCACCAAATGTAGCCTCCTCTCGCAACAATCACTCTCATTGGGGAGGTGTGCCTTTCTATAATTGCAGGAGACCCTACCAAAGAAAATAAAATTCATGGCCTCACCCCTCTTTCTTGATGCTCCTTTGCTTCTCCAGCTCTGCATACCGAGTACCAAGTCCTTGAAGTTTGGATGGCAGAAGCTGAGTGATACATGCTGCAATACATGAAAGCCGCCGGTATTCCTGGCCGTGCGCATTATACTGAACTCTCAAAAACGCCTGGACACTACTACGGAGTACGCAGGGCCTACGCTTGTATGTTGAACCTCTCACATACTTGTGGAAACAATCTGCCCCTTTGCATGGGGCACACTCTTGAGGACTAGGGCATGCATGACCTGCTCAATTCTCCCATGCAGATCAGACACCAGAACCTTCCCATCTGCTGCTCTGGCAAGACTTAGAAGAACAAGCTCCAAAGCAATCTGGACATTCAGACATCCCGATAAGGTGATCACACAATCCACGCTCTCACGCTGCATCAGCTGCTACAGCTCAAGCAGTCCAGATTGAACAGCGATGAAGAACGACATTCTCTAGAATTCCGTGCCCGCGCGCGCGCACGCGCTCAAGACCGGGCCTTTTTGGCGGCAGGCATTTCAGGGACTGTGCCGATGCCGTGGCTGTTTTCCGGCGCCGCATCGGAGTGATCCGGGACAACTGCATAGCGGTCAGCCGGGGGCACGTAGGTGGTCAGGGGTGATGCGCTGACGCCAAGATCCTCCAATTTGATGCTGCCCATGCTCAGCTCCGCCAGCCGTACCGGGGCGTTCCTGCACCGCATGCCTCGCGACTTCAGCAAATGGCACAAGTGCATATGAGTCTAGTCTCGCTGAACAGGTCGCATGCATGGGTCAGCCAACCCAGAGCTTGCATGCACATCACTGACGCCGCAAGTAAGCCACAACTTGTATTTCATAGGTAACGAGGTTTCGGCGGACAACTGCATTGTCATCTGCAAAGGGACATCTGGACAGTCCTGTACTGTCTGCTCCGCCAGCCCTTCAGAAGGCACAAGCATTGCTCTCCTGCGCATGCAGGGTCGAAAGAGCAAGCAGTGCAGGACAGTCCAGACCCCGCCATCCCCTTTCAGTTTTCCACAAAAACGCAGAATGAACATCAATGAAGAGATGAATAGAGATTCAGCACTAAGGAACCAATAGAAAAGGGCGCTCACGTGTCCTTGGGCTCATTGTGGCCCAGCTGCCCGTTGACGCCGCGGCCCCAGCTGAAGACATCTCCGGCCTCGGTGACCGCGAAAGTGTGGCGCCATCCGCATGACAGCAGCTTCACCGGCGATGTGTTTAAGCCTTGCACCGGCACCGGCGCATTGCTGTCCGTGTTGGAGCCGATCCCAAGCTGCCCGAACTGCGCGCAGCCCAGAAACACCTCAGGAATTTGCACATGCGGGGAACATTGCATGCTTTGCCCTCACGGTGTCTAGGAGCGCAAGCATGTCCAATACTTGTGCTAGCATGCTGGCTGCACACATGTAGCAGTGCGGAGCGCTGCAGATCATGAAGGCTCACCTCCACACTATAACATTTTTGCAGCCAGGAAGAGCAGCGCATAGATGTGGCAAAGGACTGCATTGCTGTCATCTACCGGTGTGTTGCAACGACGAAAATGCAGGGAGATCAAAGAGGCATGCTGTGAGGAGTAGCTTCCTAACCTTGTTCCAGCCCCAGGAATATAGTTTGCCGCTGTCATCCGCTGCGGATGTGTGCCGCCAGCCACCAGCAATGAGGACAATCCTGCTGTCCTTCAGCGACTCCACAGCCTTCGGCACCAGTTGATCGCTGCATAGCACAAGCAAAGAACTGACACATCATGTACTGCTTACGCTCAAATAAATCCATCTGCCTTGCAGAGGCATTACATGACATTTGGCTGACAGATTTTGCTTCCAGACCAGACAGAAGGCCCGCAGCCGGATGTGCTTATGGTTGCATCTCACTTTCTCAAGGCGGCCCTGCTAATGTGGTAGGCATGAGCAAGCAGGCAGACTCACATGCAATCGCCATGCCCCAGCTGCCCATACTTTGACCAGCCGAATGTGTACACTGCGCCTGTCTCGTCCGCTGCAATGCTGTGCCGCCACCCGCACGCCACTGAGGTCACCTTGACCCCCTCAAGGCCATGCACCTGCGCTCAGGACAACCCACAGTAAGAGAGGCAGCAGGAAGCAGTCTTGCAGTAACACCCAGAACAAGCAAGTCGGCATATCCCAAGTCGGCATGTCCGTAATCCGACTGATAAGCTGCAATTGTCATCTTGCCAATCTGTTGTAGACAGCTTGTCACAGCCAGAAGACACAGTAACATGGACAAAAGAGTGCTGTTGAGCATAACTTGTACTGTGCAACGCTGCGCCGGATACACCGAGTCTTTTGCATGCATCACAAAAGTGGCGCCACACATAAACATGCCAAGTCATGGATCATGACACTTCAAATCCCTCAGCCGGTCAGTCCCCCAACATGGGCAAGCTGACAATGGCACTTCCCTATTTAAGGGTGCCCAGCACAAACCATCTTGCAGTATTGCTGCAGACGAGAACACACCCACAACATTCCAGTTACTCCAATCCAATCTTAACACCCCCAGAAAGGTTATTCCCCATAGCGTAATCCCCCCACGCGCGACCTACTTTGACTGGGGCGAGGCGGTCCACTCGCTGGCCGTCCCCCAGGTTGCCATATGCGCCCCAGCCCCAGCAGTACACAGCGCCGTTGCCGGCCAGGGCCATCGAGTGCTCCGCACCGCAAGACATGTCACGCACCTTCAGCCCCTGTGCGCGCAAGCAGAGAGCACGCGTGGGGGAGCGCGGGAAAGAGAAAAAAGTGGGGGCGTGGAGGGCGGGAATTGAACCTGGGAGGGCAGGTGGCGGTCCTCGGGCGGCCCGACTCCCAGGTTGCCGTATCGGCCCCAACCCCATGCGAAGACATCACCGGCGCTTGTGGCTGCCAGCGAGTGCTCGCCGCCACAGGCTATCGAGGTGACCTCTTGCCCCTGCCCAAATGTCATAATGTGCCATGGTATGCATGCAAACATCCAATTTCCAACAAGTTATCCAATGTGAGGCAACTACTTATCCGCAAAACAAACAGATTCGTGGGCAGTACAAATGAATGCAGAGGCTTGTGCAGCACTGACAAAACGACACATGTTTGCTAGGTAAGTAAAAGTAACTCACAGGATAGCATGGAAGTATATGCATTGCTTGCAAGACGATGATAGCATGGGAAATATTGTGGGAGCATGAAGGTGGGAGGAGCTAGGAAGTACCCGCAGGGACTCCACAGGCTGTGGGAGGATTGCATCGCTGGTGGTGCCCAGGCCAAGCTGCCCATTCTGGTTGCGGCCAAAGGAGAACAGTTCGCCTGTGTCCGTCACTGCCAGTGTGTGCGTGTCGCCGCAGGCCACCTTCACAATGTTGCGGCCCGCCAGGGCCCTGATGGGCTGAGGGATGAAGACATCGTTGCAGTCGCCGTGCCCCAGACGGCCAAAGTCTCCCCTGCAGAGAGAAGGACACGCTCTTACTATCATACACTCTCCTCAATTGCAGGAGATATTGTGTATTCTGTGTATGTGTGCACAGGTCAGGACACACTGCTGCAAGCATCGGCATCTGCATGTACTGGCGCTACTATGGACATGAAAGAGACTTGAGAGGCTTCAAGAAAAGGCTTGGGAGGGCATCTGCTCACCAGCCCCAGCTGTAGACTTCATTTCTGGGCTGTGAGAGGGCCACAGAGTACTCTGCTCCACTGCAGACCGCTGAGCAGCTGGCTTGCATGAGATGAAATATTGCTCGCGGCTTCTTCCTCTCCTCTGCATCGCCATGGCCCAGCTGACCATCCTCTCCTCGGCCCCAAGACAAAGCAATCCCGTTGCCTGTACAAGAGATGAGAATTGCTTGATTACAGCATTTAAGTACAAATTCTTGGCGATGGTGACGATGGGACTAGAGGAACTGTTAACTAGAAGCCAAGATCATGACTCAAAAGTGCTTCAAGACCCACTCAAGGGCAGACACACATCTCATCCAGTCGCTCCAGGATGGCGACGGAAAATCCTCATTTGAAGATTGCCTAGAAATTGGTGTGCAATCAGACGTTCTCTCGCACTTGCATTTTCCAAAACCTATGCAGGAGGGACTTACTCAGCAGAGCCAAAGAATGCGAGCTGCCGCAGCTGACTGAAGTGACTCGAAGATCGGAAACTGCGCTTCTAAATGTGGTTGCCTCTCCCATGCTTTCAACGTGACTGGAGTTCCCGATGCATCAAAATATGTGCTATCGAGTTCTTGGGCTCTTGAATGTGCTCAAGTTGCCGGCAGCATGTTCAACAGAAGCATGCCGACGCAATTATGGAGTACAGAGGCCCTAGATCGCCTGTTCTAACCAAATATCGGGCAAAGAGCCAGGACGAATCCCTTATCCCCACAGTGAGCACAATACATGACCAGTCAAATCACGCCTGATACCCCCTTGCTGCCATAAGGTAATATGGACACAGTCTGCCTGTGTGTGATGAGTTGTGGCAGGATGCAAGATGAAGGGCACGACCAATTGTCCCGCTGGCCTAAAATGATACAGCTTTAGGGTGGACCCCTAGCTAGGGGGTCTAATGATCCAATGTAGACGATATTTCCCCAAAGCCCTGATTCCTGCGACCGAAGTTTGATCGAGCGCAATTCAAGCCAGCGGGTAGAGAATTCTTTGGCACATGTGTGCAGACAGGTAATTTGAGCTAGCAAAGAATAAGTATCCGACTGAGAGTGCAGGACAAACAATTCGCTTTTGAGCATATTATTTGGATGTCCAAGAAAAGCAACTATCAGTGAAGCCGTGATGTCACGCTCCAATGCTCAATCAGGTTGATTTGAGCTGAAACTGAATTTAATGCTGATTTACAGTGGCAGTCATTTCGCGGAATGCTGTTGTCCACATGAAGCTTGCAAGGGTCCCAACAATTAATCTGGGTCCGCCTCAAAGGAGTCATGCCCGCTGTGCGCATGCTCGGGAGGCGATGGAGTTTCGCCACGGATGACTGCCCAATCCTTTTGTTCGTCCCAGTGCTTCTCCAAGGCGCCTGGGCAATAGCACTGTTAGTCTGCTGGATTGTCATCGACAGCCACAAAGAAGAGTGCTATAAAGAAGCAGCGTATCAGATCGTGCTAACAGCTCTCTTCAGTACCTTCACTGTGTTCTTCTTCCTGGGCTGCTGGACTATTTATGAGGGGCTGAAAGGTAGCACACTGTCATGCAGTTATATTCCACTGTGTCCAGGCCTCGTGGAAAATGTGCTCCATCTCTTGTGGAAAATGTGCTCCATCTCTAGTGTAATGACTGTAGAACCAATAATCCAATACTTGCCGAATAATGCCGAGAGAGCGTCATGTTGCTTCCAGGTTCTATTTTCGAAACAAGGAAGCGGGCGAGGGTACCTTACCTGCTCTACGCGCTCTCACTGGTGCTGATTGCTGAAATTGCCTTCAACGGTGATCCCCTGTCTACCGTACATTGCCCTGCCCCTCATGCTCAGCACGCAAGTGCTCAATCATGGCAAGTAGTTCCTATCGAGGAGACCATCAGTTGACGCCCGACTGCCCATGTGGACGAGGCTGAGTCTGAAGAGTTGAATAATTTGTGCGCACGCAGGGTATGGGACATGGCTTGTGGAGCAGCCTCGGGAGCGCTGTGATCGTCATATGGGGAGGTTCTGGACCCCTCAGAACATAGGAAGGGTACGGCATATTCGCAAGATCATACAGTGTCTTTTGCAACCTCCCTCGAATTTTGAATTGACATGGGTGCACAGTCTCTGGCTTTCTGCACCATGCATTCAATAAAGTTATGCTGTGGAGTGCAGGCGCTTGTGTGGACAACATGGGCGCTGATAGGCCTCCTGCTATTGCTCGCTGTGTTGGTCTTCAACACTTTCCCAGACTACAGGAGCCAGAAGAGCTGGTGGGGTACCTCCCTACTGTCAGGCATCTTGCGCAATTTCAATTCATTGCTTTTCAGCTCCGTCTGGACTCCAGACTGTGGACAGTAAGATACAATCTGTCCCTTCGCTGAGCAATGTGGCCAGTGAATTTGTAGTGCTGACCAACGAAATTGTGATTTGAAGGGAGAGGAGGTGTCAGTGCTTGATGGTGGTCTTGTGCTGCCACTGCTGTCGCGCCACCGAGAAGGAGAGTGGGGAACCACCGCCCTACGCCCGCATGGGCCAGCTCTTCTCACAGGTACTATCATGAAACAGCTGGCCTGTGCCCCTAGCATTCATCAACCATGAGATGTCTCCCAAGCAAGGGACCCATTTCAATTGGATCAATGGCTGTCGCATGAACTGCAAGGTCGCTGTTTCTTTGCATGAGGACGGTCCTTGGTGACCTGATTCTCCTGTTGAATTACCAGTCGCTATTCCTTCTTGTTTCTCCTATTGCCAGGCTGGCGCAGGATTTCTCATATCTCCCACAGAAGATTATGCATAATGCGTAACAAGGCATAATGCGCTGCCGTGTGCAGCTGTTTGGCTGCGTGGACTGGGCGCCCTCAGACCTCATTGCAACCTTCCTGCTGGCCGGCGTGGCGCAGACCTGCAGGAGGAGATCCAAGGTTGAACTGATAGCAGCCGCCGGTGGTGTGCCTGAGATGCCTGCACGGCACTCACCCAGCAGAGATGGTACGGCTGTTTGCAGTACAATATGGCTATCATATCGTATCCATATTGTTATTATTTTCTTACATTCTGCATCTGGGTGACTTTCCTGGCTTCCTATGTGAACACGTAAAGGAAGAGCAGGGCACCTGCTGGCAGCACCTTCAGCGAGTTCATGATCTTTTTGATTAGGTTTGTACAGGCCTTGATTGCAATAGCTGAGCTTGGGATCAAAATACACTGACGAATGTCCAAGTTACGCTCTTCACTTGATCCAGTGCGGAGCTTCCCTCTGGCCCCTAATGAGATACAATCTTTTAAGGGTGTTGAGGTCCTTCTTCTGCATTCTTGCAGCGGCCCAGATGCTAATACCTGCCAGCCGAGCGGCGTCGCTGCACAGCGCCAGCAGCGCTGACATGATGCTGGCAGAGGGCTGGCTAGACATGGCGCCCTATGATGTCGAGGCTGGCAGCGGCATCCAGCCCCTTGTCACCCCCAGTGGCATGGGCATTGAAATGCGGTGAGATAAGTGTTACATGGGGATTGAGATGCGGTGAAACGTGTTATTAACCGGATTGTGTGCTTGTATTTCTTGCCTGCAGTATTACAAAGATAAGCTCTTAACTGCCCACATCCCTGCACCTACTCCATCTTCCCTGGGGCGGAACATGCACTTGAGGCAGAATAACATGTAAAATCCTTGTTGCATGTCTTTGGGGGGCCATATCATGCATGGAGTTTTGAGGATTGTGCGTGCAGGCCGGATTTGACAGCAAAGCAGGCGGCGGGCATGCAGTGCTCTGCAAGGGATGCAGTGTCTGACGAGGATATTGAGGAGGCTGCATACTTCTCTAAATATGCATTTGCTGCCTATGGCTACATGCTGTACATTTGGAGCAAGCCCCAATTTAAGTGCGCCCTTCTGATCAGTCAAGCATATTGCTTTGCTAGTCTTGCATCATCTGGCTCTCTCAGACTGTCGGAAGAGGTTGTCTGCCCATGCCACCGTGGTATCTACATGAAAGTTACGGTCAGACTGCTCTGAAGGCCTTATGGCGGTCTGAGCAAGCAGCCCAGACCTTCTGAAACTCTAACAGAGTCTCGTGCTGACAGAAATATTCTTATGTGAACTGATCAGCATTTTGATTTATTTGAGCTGGTGTGACAGAGGCTGGTGCGAGCTGTGCTGTGGGCGAGGGTGCGGCTTCTGTTTCGGCCCCATCCGGCGCTACCAGGAAGCCTTTGCTGCCGGGCGCTGGATGCCCACCTTGAAGGTCGCCAATTACATGAACCATGAAGCCATCCTGCAGGTTTCCCCCTTCTTCCACCTCTCACTGGCGCACAGCCCCTTCACCCCTGACTACTGCTACGATCATCTCTCCTTGCTCGAATTCTTGGATGTGTTTTTCTCGGGTCAGTGCATGCATGAGACTGAAGGTGTGTGCGCATGTGCAGATCACCAACATCAAGGAGGAGGACATTGTCTTTGTGCGCTTTGACACGGATGTCATCGCGCAGTCCTGCCTGCCCTACTTCATCGCCCTTGACCACGCCACCAAATCAGTCGGTAGGGGCTCAGAATGCCCAACGGTGGCCATAGAGTCCCATACATACACATCTGAATCCACTCAAATCTGCACTGCAGTAAGTAAAATACCAGTTTGAGCAGGGATATCGTGTAGCCTTTGTCAAGGTGTAAGTAGTTTTTGATCGAACCTCAGCTCAAAGGTCGAGATTGATTTCTTGTGCTGCACAAATCAACCGCCATTGAGGGCTTGCAAGGGCATTGTCTCAAGAGGTTAGCTTTTGGCATGCACTGCACGCAGTGATCGCCATCCGAGGCACGCTTAGCATGGAAGACTTGATTACGGACTTCATGTGTGAGCCGGCCGAAATGGACGACTGGCTGAGCACGGCCGCCACCTCGCACACTGGCCCCTTCTCAAGCGCGCACGATCCCGGCGGCCTCGTCGGCAGCAGCCAGGGCACCGGCTTCTTCAGCCGCGGAGACACACCGCACGATTGTGACCGGGATAGAGCAGGCATGCTCACTCTCCTATTGCTGCACTGTGGCATGTCAGGATGAAGCCTAATTCGCATTGCTGCCACATTCAGGGAACACGCAGCTGTCTGCATGCTCCTGTCTCAAACGCTCAAGGGACTTGTCAGCCTGCAGAACTGTGTATAGCTAACTCCTGCCGTTTTCTTGACGTCACCCAGTCGTCCTTCCCCGGGATTACTTTGTTTTGCTGCGTAGCGTTGATCGTACACTTCTTCTCACTGGCTTCCAGATTATGGTGTACTCGGCAAAATGAGTCTGATTGTGTGTCCTTGATGTGTTCCAGGCTCTGAGCCCGCTTCAGCAAAGGAGAATGGGGGCGGCGGCCGGGTGTTCTCCCACCTGCATGCCAGCACCAGCAGCAGGTCAGAAGCACACAGCAGCAGTCCTCCCAGGCAGCAGAGATTCTCACGCAACTCCTCTAAAGAGCGGCTGGAGACCGTGCGCAGCGGCATCCCGGGCTTCCTGGAAGAGTCCAGGAAGCTACAATCCATGGGCCGCAGAAAGGTCCAGGAAGGTGAGCATTCCTCCTCTGACGGGGCTCCCCTCTTTTGTAATAGGCCACGCTGCAAAATATCAGGAAGGTCTGCCTCTCTATCATGAAGTCGTGCCACACAATTTGCTGCAGTGTCCATAAAGCACGCTCTTACTATTCATAGACATTGCTGTTCAAGTGGCAGTGGCGCAGAATTGGCGCTGCCGTTGCCTGGCCACGCCCTTTGCATGTTGCTGTGCTGAAATCAAGGCGGCTCTTAAGGTTTGCGGTGTGCCGATCAGCGATATTGTATTGCAGAGATAGGGGTGACTTGCAAGGTTGGTTATTACGTGACATGTGTTTGCTGCTTGCTTGAAAGTTCACCTTGTGAACATGGAGCCTTAGCAGATAGAACGCAGTTTTTGACACAGAGTTTGCCGCTCAGGGGGAGGAGACAAGGCGAGCAGTGCAGAGGACAATGACAGCGCGGATCCTGACGGACTGGGGGACATCGACGCCACATCCCCAAACCGATCATTCAGGGCTGCTCCACCCGAAGTACAGGTACACTTTCAAATGCACATACCCTGACCTTGTTGCAGTGAAAGCTAGCCTTGACAAGGCATCAACGTTCTCCCTATGCGCACATCCAATCAAAGCCCACCCTGTCACGCATCAACTTTGTGAGAGGCCCTCAGTATGCTGCTTCGTCTTCCGCCACAACAGGTTCTGCTGCTTGCAGGTCATCGACAGGCATTCCCGCTCCAGCGCGCATGCTGGGATCCTCAGGGCGGCCAAGGGAGTGGTGGAGGATTTGGTGAAGGAGGGTGTCCTCGCGGCTCTAATGGAGGGGCGGCCGTTGCCGCCCAACAACAAGGTCACCCCCGACTGCAGGTCTGGCTGCTGCCTCCTTCCTTTAGCTGCCCTCCACTGCACCCACAGCTGCATGCATTTGAAGGTTCACAGCGTGCTGCAATTCCTAACTTGAACTGTTGCCGAGCGCCAATTAAGGTTCAGGAATGCACTGAAAATTGACATGAGATGTCAACTGCCCAATGCGTTCCTGAATTTTGATCTGCACTTGGCAATATCCTCAAATAGGAATTGCAGCGCCTTTGGAGACATGCTGCAAAGTCCTCTGCGTTGCTGCTCAGAATCCTTGGTAACTCTCAAGAGGGTTCATTTTGGCTGTCGAGATAGAGATGATGTATGAAGTGCCTGTTCCTGTCAAACCTTAAGGGAGGCTGGTTATGGGCAACCGCTGCCCTCAGCATCTGCCACCCCAAAAGGGGTGTGTGGAGAACTGCAAAATTGAACAATCCGGCAGCGGAATTTCTTACCAAAACAGAGACAGGCTTCATACGGTAAAACAAGTCTGTTGCGCGCAGGAACTGGTCGATAGTGCTGACGGGGCACAGCCTGGGCGCCGGCGCGGCGGCTCTGGTGGCGCTCTACATCCGCAGCTTCTACCCCAACTCGCGCTGCTGGGCATTCGAGCCCCCCGGCGGCCTCGTGGACGGCGCGCTGGCCGATGCAGCTGCCGATTGTGTCACCAGCGTAGTCATCGGCAAGGACTGGGTCCCCCGCCTCTCGCTCGCCTCCTTCGAGCGCCTGCGCGACGAGATGGTGCGTGCGGCTGCCCGATAGCTGCCGCGAAGCCGCATTAGAGCGGCAGAGCCGGCTGCTTTTCCTCCTTGTTTTGATCAAACAGGCATGCCTTAATGGGATTCCCCGTGCCCTCATGTGCTCCATGGCATGCCCAGTGCAACGGAGCAGGTGAGCAGCACGAGTGCAACCATTCAGGTGTGCCAGACGCAGGGGTGCCATGCACTTGTGGTGCCACAATTGCTGCTAGTACATTTATCGGCATTCCTCTTTGAACTTGTTGTGATTAAGGATATAGAAATGGTCAAGAGAGTTGAAAGGCGTTGTAATACTGCGCGCAGGTGATAGCGGGGCTGCGGTGCAAGAAGAGCAAGACGGAGTTTCTGCTGCGGTCGCTGATGGGACACCGGTGGACGCGCGAGGAGCTGTTCACGAGCGAGGCCAGCGCGCGGCCCGAGGCCAACGCCATCCTCTCCCACATGTCCGCCATGCTCCAGCACTCCAGTAGCGTTGGAGCCCGGTGCGTGTGTTTCCATACTGCACCATTACACCACCAGAAATTGCTGAAAATTGTCTGCATGCCCCTTTTCTCCTATACCTTCTACCCAGTTGCTGCGGAGCCTTCTGTGGAGGGCCAAAGCTTTCTGGGTCCCCTGTGTTGTCTTCACTCTGTTCTGAGATAGCTCGTGTTTCCCTTGCAAGGCTTGGTTATTATACTTATGACCACCAATCTTGCCATTCTTTAGTGTGTATGCCAAGCTTGAGCTGGCATCCTCAAGCTCCATGTCACTGAAATGCCATCCAGCAGGCTGTGTAATGCTCCATGCAAAATTTTCGTATGCTGTGCTGTGCAGCTATGAGATTGCACGCAACTTCCGGCCACCCGGACGGCTGATGTTCCTGCGGCCCGTGAAGACTGCCGCGCAGGAGAAGGCGTCGCGCAGGACCTATGACACCGTCTGGATCACCGCAGAGGTGCGTACTGTGTCTCACAGGATGCTGTTTACTTGCACAGACTCGGCTTCTGTTTTTGTCATCTCTCCCTGTTAGCAATCACTTTGAGCTCTAATTGACAAATTCCGGATGTTGCAATCTCACCCATGAAGCATTTAGTGGGCCTACTGCACCTTGCATACACCCAACCTTGGTGCAGCTTGGTCTGCGTCTGCAGGGATCTTGCCTTTCTATTGAACGCCTTGTGCAAAGAAAGGACGTTTGCACCATTGCACAAGCTACCTTGGGATGGCATATTGCAGTATTGTACAGTATTGAACTCTGTCTCACTGCTGGCTGCGCAGGATCTGGTGGAGGAGGGTATTCTGGTGTCGCCGCGCATGATGGCCGACCACATGCCCGATTACCTCACAGCCGTGCTGCGCCGTGTCGCGCATGCGCGCGCCTCTTCCCGGCACGGCAGCCCCGTCTCCGATGGCGATCCCTCGCGCAGCACAGGTAAATCTTGAACCTGCACTTTCAACCGAACCATGCCATTTCTTTCCTTACTCAGAAACCACAGCGATCCCACTTCCAGCATAGGTAATGTTTGAATATGCACTTTTCAATCGAGCCCCGTGATTTGCGTTTTATATTCGTCTCTGCAAGGATGCTTTTGCACTTCCCATGGAAGCAGAACTCCAACAGTCTCAAAAGCAGCTAGGCCCCTGGCATTGATGCTGGGTCAGCCCATATTCCCACCACACTACACACCTGCTCATTTTACAACTGGGCTCTTCTTGTTCATGCAGGTGCTCAGGGTAGCGCGCCAGAGCGGGAGGCCAGGAGCAATGAGTGGTCCAAGGAAGGCGGCAGCCCTGTGGGCCCCACAGCCGGCCAAGATAAAGCGGAGCAGCTCGACTGAGGGGCTGCAGTGTCTGCGCTGCTGGGCATGACGCATGCATGCCTCTGAATGCCAATGGATGTGCTGCGTGCTAGTGCCGGCAGAGTGCTCAGCCGGCCAAGTCCGGGCTCATTCACAAATCGTGCGGAACTAGCGTTCCTCATGAGTTAATATGTTGATGTTGCTGCGCATTTAAAGTATAATTAGGTAGGTACATTAGTTGTATAGCAGTGTTACCCATTTGGGTCCTAGGGCGCAATTCTTTGACACCATCGTTGTATTTACCCCCGCAAAGAGGCCAAAGACGGCACCCATAGCCGACTCTTCCACATTGAGAAGTTGTATAGCAATTGAAGGCTGCCGCCGGCGCCGCGGGGCAAGATACTTTAATATCTGGAGCAGGTGCAGTCACATACCTTGCATCCCAGTCATGACTGATCAGTAATGCCCTGGCCGATCGTGCCAGCTGATCCTTCCCATTTAGGGGAACATCATGGGCAGCCTACTAGGTTCTAGTAGGATGTGCTGACTCAGATCTGAGGCCCCTCAGGGGCTATGAGCGCACTTGGATTGCACAGCCTCATGAGCGGCAGATAAATCAGGCAAGAGTGCGAGTGATTGTACAGGAGACGTAATGAAGCTGCCAGCAGTCATCAGTCATCATTGCCAATGACCACTGCAGTACTGATGGCATCATGTTAGTGCCGGCACTCATCGTTAGCACAGGCAGCGCTAGCGGCTGGGCAAATTGCAAATCAGATCAGATCTACATGTATAACATGTTGGCATCCATGCAAGGCTCGGCCGAGCTTGAGCCCGCGAGTCATATCCGTCCACACATTGCTGATTATGCATTGCACTCTGTCCCCCTTCTAATCTGAAGCCCGTGTTGGTCTTGGCAAACACGGGCAAGTCCACCATGCACCCAGGCTGAAAAAACCCCGTGGCCAGCCGGTGATGTCATCGGTAGGGGTTAGCGACGTCACAGAATCAAAGATCTCTCAAACGCAAACGAAGTGCCACGACAACAGCTGTTGTGGTGTGATCGATTGCCGGCCCGGAGAGAGCGAGCACGTCACTCGGTAGGAAACAGACATCCTGCCGCTTTTCCACGGCCAAGATCCCCGCCCGCCCTGCCCCACGTTGTACTCAGGCTCTCATGCGGACGTCGGCAGCCTGAGCGGGGCAGCCCAGCTGCGCTACATTGCTGGCTTTGGCAAGGCTGAGGCATCACGGGAGCGCGAGGAACCCGTCAAGGGGATGCCTAGGCAACGTTGCAAAGACTCCTGCAAACTTTCTGAGGTGAGAGCAGGCCGCGAGCTGGGCAGCAGGGCTGTGTTCGGCTCATCGGGGTCTGGGCTTGGCCACGACGTGGGCACGTTGCGTTCTTGGCCAACTGCCGCGCATTAGCATATCCGCATCTCGATGTGCCTCAGAACTATCAATGGGTGCTGTTTGGGGACCCCTGGCTGCCTCCAAGACTCGTTTGACCGGGGCAACCCCAAACTTACACATCCTGGAGTGATATCTTGTGCCATATCGTGTTCGTAAGATATGAAGCCTGCGTGGCGCAGGTGGCCCTCGACACCGCAAGCTCATCTCGCCCGCGTCTATTGAGCAGTCCTGGGTCGACCTGTGATAGCAGCTGCTGCACGCTTTGCCAGCCAACCTCCAGCATAGAGTTTAAGCAAGAAGCAAGCTTGTTGGGCCAGTCTGCCCTTTCCAGAGCCAGCAGCTGGAGCGCAGCCACGGTTGAGCGCCATCAAAACACGTTGGCGTCCCAACAATCAGGCAGCACGGACGGGCATCTTGAACAGCATGTGATCGAGGCCACTGCAGTCTCGGGTGGCTCTCTTGCCTCATCGCAGTCTGGGCAAGGCATGCACCACGATGGTGACAATAGGGAGCTTGAAAGCAGAAAACGACGGGCCAGGGAGGACAGCAGCGCAGAGCTGGAACTGCCAGGAAGTGCAGACGATTTTATCAGTGTTGAGAGAGCAGACTTAAGTCAGAGCCATGCCTCCTCCTCAAACCTGCTGCAAGAACCTGTGGAGTTCTCAAAGAGGCGCTGCATACTGCAGTCTGCGAGCAGCGAGGATGGGAGCTGTGGGGACTTAAGTGGCCTGGATTGTGTCAGGTGGGCCTGCTGGTGCACCTGCAGCAAAGAATCACCTTGTCTGTTTCAGTTCTCGGCTTTGAAGCTGCCATTGCATGTCTGCAGTCAATTCAAAAACAACGTGCATGAATAATTGAGGAGCTGTTCAAAAAGCTCAGGTGCATTTTCTTTTATTGTGTTGTAGCAATGAGCTGATGGGCTGCATGTTGCACTTGCAGGGATGGGATGCCCAGCTGGCAGTGGCGCTCTGAATGGGAAGTGCAGGAAGATCCAATAGCGGCCTCCTTCAGGGAACTGGCTGCCTTTGAGCGCCCGCCATGCTGCCAGTACAAAAAGCAGCATGCGGACATTGTCTGCAGTGTGGAGTTCTCTCCTGATGGCAGCCTCCTGGCGAGCGCTGGTGTAGCCAAACAGGTGGGTGGCTGTTTGGGTGGATGCTGGCAAGACCTTTGTTTTATGTAGAGATGGCATGTGGTGCTGAGAAGAATGCATCGGAGGGTGTGCATTAGCCTCTGAAGTTAAGTTGCCATCGCAGGGGTAGATGTTTTTGTGACCTTTGATATCTGTGACATTGTTGTGTGCTATAAATCCCTGACAAGTGTGTGGCTGTTGTGCAGATTCGTGTGTACCCCTTAGCCAGCATACGAAACGGCGAGTATGACCCGGAACCAGTTGCGGCTGCTTTCATCCACCGCCTGCCGTCCAAAATGAGCTCAGTTGCCTGGAGCCCGTTTGACGAGGTATATACACATGCTTCTGCACACTGATCTGCTGCTCTTCTGTTGCCTGCACCCTCCTTCGAAGTGCAAGCATGAAGACTGGACAGGAATTCCATGGCAATGCAAGCCTCGTCCTTCTTATTATGCTGGGAAGTTGCACTCAGCTATGCCTTTCTCAATCGTCCTTGCAGATCTTTGGTTGTCGCCTACATTTACAGATTTGATGTTAGGGACATGTTCTGGTGGAGGGATGCACTCCATGACTGGCAAGCTGATTCTGGTTGACTGTGACAGGGCGTTTTGACTGTGGGAGACTATGATGGGGTGGTGGCGCAAGTGCACATCCCTTCAGGGCACCTGATTGCTGACGTGGACGAGCATGCCGGACGCAGGTATTGCACTAGCAGCCATTGCCAATCAGTAACTTTCATTGCCTCTGACAACTTTGTCCTGTACCGGATAGCGACACGAAGCTTTCCCATCCCCTTTGCATGCTGACCCGCAGCTTTTCACATATGCAGTCTTGACAATATAGGATTATTTAGTTCTATCATATGCACAATTTTCTGGTAAGGAAGGAAGTCATATTTCAACTCCAGCAGCCCTGGGCATTAAAATCAGCCTAGGGCTGCTGGAGGTTCTGAGGTTCTAGGTAATAATGTTTCGGGTGCTGTTTTGTTCAGGGTGTGGAGTGTGGCGCACTCCACACTGCGGCCGCACCTGTGCGCGTCGGCGTCCGATGACGGCAGCGCGCGCATCTGGGCCGGCCGAGGTCTGGCTGAGGCGTCCGGGGTGATAACGCTGCCGCGCCGCGCTGCTATCTGCGGTGTCAGCTTCTGCGCGGATGATGAGCACGCCCTGGCGCTGGCCGGCGCCGACTGCTGCGCATATGTGTTTGACCTGCGAAATACCTCCTCCCCCTTGCAGGTGGGTCACCCTTTGCGCTGCTGTGCTGTGTCTTGCTTTGTCGGTTTCAAAGTTGTGTCACGGTTCTTCTGCAACATTGGCCATATAAGTGTATCTTTCAAATCGTGTTGCATACTCTGTACGCGTTGCATCCCAGAGCTCTTTTCAGACTTCATTGAGATCACCAAGTTCATTTGGCAAGCTTGAGTTTGTTTGCGCGCTGGACACTTGCTTTTTGCATCTGGGAGGCCTTCTCATGGTTCAAGGAGCCAGGATCTGCCAGTATATATTGTAGATGAAGTCATGGGCATTCGCTGATGTGGCACCCCTACTTGCACAGGTGCTGGAGGGGCACCGGCGGCCGGTGTCGTTCGCGCGCTTCATGGGGCGTGACCGGCTGGTGACGGCCTCGGTCGACAGCTCCCTCGCGCTCTGGAGCCTCACTGGGGGCGCGGCCCCGACGCTCTTCCGGTGCTACCGCGGCCACGCCAACCACAAAAACTTTGTGGGCCTGTCAGTGCGCGCACAGGACGAACTCATCGCCTGCGGATCAGAGTCGGGTGCTGCGTATGCGTATCACCGGGCCTGGTCCAAGCCGGTGGCGCAGCACAGCCTCTCCGACGGCTGCTCGCAGCCGCAGCTGCCGGAAGCTGCCGCGAAGCTTTCGGCCGGCGCGCATGCGCTTGCGAGCGGCAAGGGCGGCGAAGCGGCGGAGAGTAAGGGGTTGGTGCCTTCTGTGGTGCACGAGTTTGCCAGCGCGGTGTGCTGGTGGCCTGGTGAGCTGGAGCCATTTGGTGGCCGCTTTGGCGGGCCTGTTTTGGCTGCTGCCAGGTCCAATGGCGATCTGCGGCTGCTCTCGCTGGTGAACACTTGCTAGCACCGGCGTTGTCTGATGAGGCATGCTGCAGCATGCGGCCCTGCCTGTATGTTGTCAAGATGACTCATCACGCCAATAGACTCTAGCCGCGCCATGACGTCATCGTTGATGTCACTGTGGCACGTGATGTTTGTAAGGCTCTCCTGTTGGCATGCAGCAACGAGAAGACACAGTTGCTCTCTGTTGTAGGCATTGATATCTCCTGGTAGGGGCTGTCTGCAGATAGAGTAGGTTGCAGAACTAGCGCTGGCCATGAAAACTGCCCTTCTTAGCTGAGTTTTTCTATTTATTGCTGATGTTTGTAGCTTGGGCAGACAGCGAGTTCGCCATTCATTTGCTGCGGGTTAACCGCAGACAAGTCTGTTACACGCTAGTCCATTTATCCTGGCACATGGCTCAAGGCCCTCATTGCCCGGAAGCCTTGAACACATTGCTTTGAAAGAGGCAGGACTTGACAGAGTGATGATTCCGATTATACAAGATATTGCGTGGTTCTCACTCTGTTGATGTGACCCACTCCATGGCTTGGGTTAAGATGACAGGGGAGAGTGTACTGTCCTGTCTGCAGAGTTGTTACGGGGATCCCAAACATGGGCAGGTGTCATTGTCAGCGCAATGCTTGCATTGGCAAGGGTGCAGCTTTGGCAGCTCAACCTGTCTGATGCTCTACATTACGTTGTACTATGAATGCATGATCACGGTCATTGCTGCAGTCGGGCTTGGAAGCTATGAGGGGTTTGTCATCTTTGGGGAACATTGTAAACTGGTCGTTGGGATTGAAGCCATATGCATAGCCTGTGGCATTCAGGCTTGGTGCATGTGCGATTTGCAACTAGCACTGGCAGTGGGGTGCAACCGCTCCATTTAGCTGACAAAGAACACATGATGCATTTGTTGACCATTCAAATGTTTGCACCGTATGCTCAAATTAAATCACCGCTTGCGTTTATTACATATGTAGACTTGATCAAACGTTGAGAATGGTGCATGTGCGACCAAAGAGCTCAAAGGGCAGCTGCTGATCTGCAGGAAGCTGATCTCACAGGGGCCCAACCTTGGCCGAATACGATTGCTTTCCTTCTTGGCAAGATTGTAATATCAGAATCTACAGTGGCATTGTATTCACCTCAGAAGGATAAACCACACTCCTGGTATCCGTACAACATTGATAGGAATAGTACGTGTATTGCTTTGGTGGCTTGCATCCAGCACTGCACGGATTGAGGGAAGCGCCGGATTCTTGAGCTAGATGCTTAATTGATAGAGAGCATTAAGAAATAATAAAAACCAGTACCTGACCAAGATCCCACTCATGTGTGAGACAAACTGCTCTCCCTAATTACTTGTGCACCAGCCATGCTCCAGTTTCGCAGGCTTTATGAACCCCTATTTAGTAGGAGTGACCTATTAGAAATGAATGTGCGAGTACTAAGCAGCAGAGGATTTCACGGATGGGCGATCCAGCGCCAGGCTGCTCGTCAAGTACAGAGCTGCATCAATGGAGGCAGCCCGGTGAGAGCAGCTCTAAAGAGGCTGACAGCCATCCAACCAAAAATCGTGGCTAGATAAATACAACATCGGCATCATGCCATCATGCAGCACTTCTTGAGCTTCTGGACCTTCCACGTCCCTCACACACTAGCTTGTCCTTGCAGGCTGAGGCAAGCTTGCCGTATTCTCGGCCCTCAATCTCAGCACGTACAATCCAAGGAGCTAGCTGTAGCAGAATAGGAGGCTGCTGCCACAATGGGAGCCTTAGGAATAGAATGTGAGTTCTCTCGCTGGCTTCCTGAAACGTGCAGCCACCCTGTTTGCTGCCATATCTAATCTGTCATCCTGGGTGAGCCAATGTTGCCTGATGCGGGGTGCAGGAGCTTTGCTGCTGCACCTTGGTGTCACCCGCACCAAATCCCCCAGCAAGCTGTGGCTGCTGGGTTTCACAGCAGCTCCATGCTATCAGCACAGCCCGTCAGGAAGCCCAAGCCTGCCAGCAGCAAGGAGCAGGGCACAGGCGAAAGCGCCAGCACGTCTGGCTCAAAATCTAGTGAGGATGCACGGAAGGAGATGGCCAGAGCTAAAACTGGGGGACGCTACCAGCTGCCACCAACAATGATGGGTGCCAGCCAAGTGAAGCTGGCCCCCATTAGCCCCAACGTCATAGCAGAGCCCTACAAGTAAGCTCCCATGCCTTCGCCCAAGATTGTCTTGCACTACGTGCCTTGCATGTGCTGCATGCAAGCAGGTTCAAGGCATAAAAAAGAGCATGCATGCATCAAATTTATCTGCCAAAAAATGTCCATATGCAATGCACGCTGGCAAATCAGAAGGACACTCGAATGTACAGGCTGTCCTGATTGTTCAGACCTTCTCATTGTAGACCACCCAATTGTCGATAAGCTAGGAAACCCGCCCATCACCTCCGCATGTCTGCTCGTTACTCATGGCATATATTCAGATTTACTTGCCGCAATTGTCTTCCCTTTTTAATTTGCAAGAAAAAACTCTTTGACCGTTGGATATCTGTTCGCAGAGGGGAGCTGCCGCCGCTGCCGCTGGTGGCTTGGGTCACGCCGGCGGGGCTAAGGGAGCACTGGCGGCGCATGCTGGGGGGCGTCAAGGCGATGTACACGCTGGCGCGGTGCAAAAAATTCGTGCCGGGCTTCAGCCTGCCGGCCTTCAAGGCAGATGCGCTGCGGCTGTACGAGGAGGTCTGCCAGGCCATCGCTGCGGATGACAAGACCCTCCTTCGACAGGTGCGCGGCCGCCAGCCCATCAAATGGCTTCTCGATGGCATATTTTGCCTGGATCTGCTGTGCCAGGAACGGTATGGGTGGCATGCAGGCGCAGTTTTGTCAGACAAACTTGCTAGGACAGGATGCTTGATAGGAATAAGTGTTGTTGCAGCTCCTGCAGCTTCCAATTGAAGGCTGCTCGGCCGCAAGCAGCAGCAAACTTTAGTCATCTTGCCAGTCCACGCATCACAAGTTAAGCAGCAGGACAAGTATCCTATCGGCTGCATCTCAGTTGGCCTTCATAATCTCATCGCAAACCCACGAGCGATGAGGTATTCTGATCAGAGGATGACGCTGCTAAAGTGCAGGGTGAATCGTAATATCTTGGAATATTTGAATGTAAGCGGTGGGGTGTTCTGTTCAGAGGATGACGCCCTCGGCGTACGGGACGGTGAAGGCGCAGCTGAAAGCGCGGGAGGAGGGCGGCTGGAAGCGAGTCGCCTGGGCTCTGGCACGCCGGCCGCAGCTGCACGAGCTCGAGCTGGTGCATGCGCGCCTCATCGCCGCCAACCCCAAAGTGCGCTCCCTTTAAGTTTTGTTGCGTCCCTCCTGAAGTCCACCTCCTGCATGTTCCTTCATACTGCGCTGGAGCTCCTCCAATAACACCATATTGCGGAGGAGGAGTACAGTACATTGGTTTTCTTGAAGGGGAAATCTTGCGTGTAACACCATAGAGCATTATCCAAGAGGTTGCAGCGCAAAAGAAAGAGATTGCACAGTGTGATGCTGTGGTGCATCTCCCAGTCAATCTGGCGTGGCCTTTATGATGCATTTCATTTATTGTGCAAAACCGCATTTGCATCTATATGGAAAGATATTTTTCGGTGTAGTGGTTTACTGTATTATATACTGTGCCATGAGAATTGTAGAATCTGGTCAGCTGCCCTTGGTCCAGCGGGCCAGCTGTAATTACCAAAGACCATCATGAATGCTATGACTAATCATGCACGCAGGACGCGAGGAGCTCGTTTGCGCAGCTGACGGTGCGCGTGCGGGCAGCGGTGAAGTTTGCGGCGTACGATGGGAAGCGGCGGCTGGTGGCGGGGGATCCGGAGAGGGAGGTGCCTGTTCAGGACGTGTGGGTCCTCGAGCGCAGCTTCCGGGAGGAGCCCACCTCGCGCTGGCGCGTCGCAGGTGGGGTTCCCTCCCGCCTGACGGGGTTTATCTGCATCGGTACCCTTTCAGGGGGCATGCAGGCATGGCTGTCATTGGGAAACTGGTCGATCCCTCAAAACAAGAAGCCTGTCCTGGCAGCCGGCATGGCTGTCATTGACGATTCCTGGTGGTTGTTGAGCGGGGCTGGCGCCTCTGTGAATGTGAACATTGCGTCCCTGGGACTGCTTGCCTCACCAAGCAGATGCTCTTGTCTAATAGGTGCCTCTCTTCACGAGAAGATGCCCATGCTCAGCGTTCATGGTCAGCTTGTCTGTCGCTACCTCAAAAGTAATCTGTTGTAGAGTGACTGATGGTGTCCCTGCAGAAGCCTGAAAGAGGAAGGGACCTTGCAATGGCGGCATTGATGTGTCTGGCTGGTGTGCAGGTCGTCTGAGCCTGCCGCCTGCGCCGGTGCCGGCTGAGAAGTGGTGGAACCCCTTTGGCTGGGTCAGGCAGCTCAGGCCCCAGCCAGATGCCGGCAGGAGGGCCGCAGCAGCACAGTTACAGCCTTGACTGGCCTTTGAGGGTCATCCTTTAATGCATTCCAGCTCTGTTAAGATTGTTTTAGCACTCAGAACTGGAAGTGAAGTCGATAAGAAGCCAGCAGAACCATGCTGAAGCCGCCTGAAATGTCTCACCCTTCAGCTTGTGTCCGCAGTGCTCCAGTCTACATCCAGGCGGCTTCCCCATGTATCATTTATTCATTCTTTGCAACAGGACAGCACTAATGCGGCGTAGACCTGAGAGAAATAATTGCAGATATGGTTTTATCATGCCATGATAAATTATCAGTGCTCAATGATGGTGTCAGTCTGCATCTTCCCCAGGTGCTGTCTCTTCCGTGTGATAAAGTCTTATAAATTTTTTAGATCACACCTTTCACTCCTGCATTTACTTGAGTCAACGCTGTTGCTATTGCTGATGCAATCAGCGTCTGCATGTGCGAGCAAGGAATTTCCGTTAAAAAAAAGGGTGCAAGATGATAAGATTTACTGTCACGTTGCTGTTACAGATAGAGATAAACCGATTTCTGCACCAGTTCTGCTATCACAGGTTCTGCACATTGAATGCGGGTTATATATATGCATCTCCTGGCTAATCGTATGCACGTGTTTTTGCTGCACAGTATTCCAGCGCACAATTGTCTGGAGCTCACATCCCACTTCCTAGGATGTCGAAGCTTGCAAAAACTTGATCACAAGCAGTGATCTTGGAATGTCATCGCTGCTTCTCTGCTGCAAACAAGCCCCTCTGCAAAGAGCAACCTTGTAAGATTGCTGCTCATAGAAAGTATCACTCTGGCCCTGAACATTGGGTGTTCCTAATCTAAGAGCGAGGAACAAATGTTGCAACCGATGCGTCCTTCTTGATTTTTCTTAGATCGAGCTGGCAAAGCATTGATCTCAAAAATGCTGTGGGTCTCACATTTTGAATATCCAATCCCCAGCATGCTGCAGCATACAATAGAACCCTGCACACATGCATCCTAGAAGGGGCCACTCAGGTGCACCCAAAATGTTCCAATAGCAATGCACATCCTCTCATCCGCACATTTGTGTGGCATCAATCTTGCTTCCTAATACTAGCAACAGACAAAAGACACGTCACTGACAACCAGCGACAATGCTTGTGCTCAGATCTCTATATTCTTTCTTTCCTGGCAGCAGGCAGTCTCAACAGTCATTCATTGTAAGTTGCGCCCTTTGGGGACCCCAGAATTTCACCTTCGAAATTTCGACAGCGGGATTTGCTGATTGCAGCATCTAGCAGTACTTCTACGTCAATGCAAGCTTTTTCACCTTGGTCCTACACCACAGGTATAGGCATGCTCGCATATGCGCAGTCGCAAGCTGGATCAAAGATTCGTATATTCTAGCACTGAATACGGGGGGGTTCATGGGCCACTTTTGCTGACGGTCCTCTGAAGGAATCCGTTCTTCTTTCTGAAGATCGTCATCAATTGAGGGGCTGTACTTGGATGGGTGTCTATCTGAGTGGAGAATGTCCTTCATGGCCTCAGGGCAGTGGTAGATCAGAACAGCTGCAAGCTGAGCTATCAGCAGTGGCAGTTGGTTCAGGCTGCAATCAGGCCCCACCTGCAAGCAGGGATCACAAGTCTTGAGGGCAGGCACGTTTATTGTGTTACAAATTCATTCACCAAGGCTGCGGAGTGGTCTGGACATGTGACTTGATCACCAAGCAGGGTGACAGCTAGCTATGTTGGTTTCCCAGATGCAAGCAAAGGTCCAAGGTCATGGCTCACCTGCACGCAGGCTGGTGGTTTCACCAGGCCAGCTGGCCAACAAGGTGCTTGACTGCCCAGAAGCGCTTCTTCGGAGGTGGACTCAGGCTCTCTTTGCTCCAGAGTGTCTCATCAGCCTGAAACATCGCAAGGGTCAGTGTAACGCTAGAGACCGCGCGATGCATCCAGACCATTGACAGCAATAAGAAGCATTGAAAGAACCTGATGGCAAACAGATGTAATCGCCGGTGGCTTACGCGATAAGTAACCCGGAGTTCGTAATCCATCACGCACTTGTGAGCAAATTTGAGCGAAACTTGCATCTGCAAGTCACCACAAAGCCTGGGTGTGGACAAAAGGTACCCTACCCGCAATAATTGGAAGCTGCGTTTCACAGCGCGTCTGAGGTGGGCGGAATGCACTGTAAACGGCTGATGGTGGCTGCCTACGGTCGCGCTTTTAATTGCTTTGTTGCCTGGCGAGTGAATGCGCGTATTAAGGATGTCTTCCAAGACGCTTTCTTCCTTGGAGGCTTGATCGCTGCTGCTCGTCTCATAACATTGAAGGTCCGGCCGCACCCAATCAGAGAAGCTCGGCGCGGAGCGCACCACAATCTCCCCTTCGTTGCTCATTGTACAAGTGCTGAGACAGCTTGAGAGTTGAGACAAGGTTTGTAGGTCTGCCTTGACCTTCCAATGCTTCTCTTGTTATTGCAAGACGTCTGCTTCTTTGTCGGCTCCGATTGTAACGCTTTTGAAAGGAAGGCTAGCGAGGCTCCACGTGCGGGGTTTCGTCACTTTATGGCGGCAGCCAAGTGCGCATGTCATCGATCGCTCGTTGTCACCGAAATTTCTGAAAATCCTTTGGCATGCGACCGTAAAGTGTAATTCTGCTGGGAGAGTATTCACCATCAAAATCGCCAGCCGTCACTTTTTGCCAACTGCGCGCTGTTTTGTGGGTCCCTTTGAATGCAATTTTGGCGGGCAGATCCTGGGAAGCGCCATTTGGACATCTGATCTTGAAGATCCACTCTTAATTAAACCCTCGCGGAGCAATCTGCTAAATGACAAATGGCTGCAGACATCCGTGAATCCGCCAGCACACGGACAGCTTGGCATTCTTCCACTTGCTGTGTAGGTCAAAGTTGCCCAATGCAACACGGAGTATGCATCCAATGCATGCCTAGCGCTAGCTAGCTACAGCGGCTCCTCTGGATCCCACAAACAATGCAAACATTAGATTCACAAGGCCCACAGGTGTGGACCGCCGTATACATACATGGTATGCAGAAAGTCCCTGATCGGTGCCCCATGCATGCATGCACATTATTTGACGTTGTGGTACGGCTCAAGCGCTTGAGCCTTGCTAGCACACGTCCACGGCATCCAATCCTCATATCTACTCTGGCCATGGTCTAGAAAGGCGCACAGGTATGCTAGTTGTCACCTCGGGTATCTTGTGCTCTTACAGTGCCGCAGGAACAACATGTACTGAAGCTGCCATGCCTGGGCCTGCATCACTTTGGCTCTGGTCCAGTACAATCGCCTTTCTAGCCATTGGGTCACAAACACATTTGGACAATTTAATGACAAACCTGCAGAGCTATTGCTGCACAAGCAATGCCACTGGTGCAAATCAAGGGCATCATTGTTCACAATTGTGAGCATGGGCAGTTCAATCGATTGAATCAAGTGCTGCCTGATTGCGTGCTGTCAAAATGGTCAATGGACCTGACTCGCCTCTTGCACTGTGCTTATTATACCATTAAATATTCTGCAGAACATTTCTGAGCTCCCTACACATTCTGAGCAGCTAAAGCCGTGGTGCCAGACTTTCTCCTGCGCCAATTTTATATTTTCACTGGTGCACCTCTGCTGAATTGACTCTTCTGGGTGCGGTACTACCTGGTTAGTAACTGCCTCACAACCACAGTGTAGGCGGCACCGGGGTACGTGACTCAGTAACGGTTCATCTGCTGCGGGGCGCCCTGAGGGGGATAACCCGGCTGCTGGGGGTAGTAACCCTGCTGTGGCGGCTGCTGCTGAGGCGGATAGCCGCCCTGCTGGGGGTAGCCCTGTGGGTAGCCCTGCTGAGGGTTGTAGCCCTGCATAGATAAGAACCAAACCTCAACATAGAGCGCTAAGATCAGTATCATGGCATCGGTATGCTGTCATCAGCATGGGCGGTATACCACCTCCAATGATGTATCCAGCCATGCTAAGCACCGCGATTTTCCATGCCCGACTATGGCGCACACATCGCACTGTTCAACGCCATGAAGAATGAGCAGCGCTCCTCCAACCCAACACACGAAATGTCTACCCTGACCAATTGTGTGTCCCATGTGACCTATTTGTCACCTGTTTGCAGATCCACTGGCAGGTGAGGGGACATTAAAAATTGACACATGAGAGGGCTGCGCACCTGCTGCGGGTAGCCGCCCTGAGGGGGGCTGGTGCCGGGGGGCCCGGCGTACGCGCTCGGCATCATCTGCACGCCCGGCGCCTGAAGCGGGTTGGGCGGTGGCGGCCCCTGCTGCTGGTCGCGCTCGTCCAGCTGCTCCTTGTGCTGTGCCTGCATGCATGCGCACACCCTGCGCGCACATGCCGTCAGCCATAACAAATCTCCACCACACCGCTCCACTGCTGTCCTGACATGCTGTAGCCCAAATGTCCTTTCAGCTGTTGTGCAAGCATGAAGCAGAATTGCCATTCTTTTCACAGATTTTGCCTCCACTGATAGTGTCCTGTGGCCTTGAGGCTCATTTGCTGCTTGCACAAGGTAAGTAAATGAAGGGGGAGGTCAGAGCAAGGGGGGTCCGGATGGGGTAGGGACGCACGTGCACCAGGCGACCTGGGCGATGTTGTCGGTGCAGTGGGCCAGCTCGCCGACCTCATTGTTGCCAGACAGGCAGGCTGCGATGTTGCAGAGGCAGGCCACGTACTGCATTGCTATCATGCAGCCTGGTTGCAGACGCAAATGGCCCGGTTAGCAGCAGTCAACAGGTGCAGGCTTCAAGAGCAAAATGCTTCACAGCTGCTTCAAAGTCATAGAAGGTGACTTGCTGGTCAGAGGATTCCCTTGCTGCACGTGATAAGGATGTCAGGGAATTAGGAGTTTTCACCCATTCTCCTGAAAGCTGGTAGCATAGGAGCTTACCGATGAGGCAGTTGTCGCACTGGGTGTTCTGAATGCGCATCTCATCCTGCACAGGCCAGCTCGGCATCACCATCCGACAAAGGAAGCCAGAAAACACTGTGAGGAGTAATGGCAGATTTGGTCACAGAAGGATCAAGCCACTTTCTTGCAGACCAAGAGCGCGGACCTGGATCATCCATCTGGTTGACGCGACAGATTGCGTGAAGCAGAAGCAGACCTGTCAAGGCATGCACACCATCTCATTACGTGGCCAAATTTCACTACATGCGCAAGCTCAATACCACCATGACTCAATCTAAGACACTTCAGATTTGCAAAATGCCCCTCACCTCTGCTGCCAAGCAGACCTCTGGACATTGTTGCTCCTTCATCCTGCCACTGCAGGGGCACTGACCCGCACAGCATACATCTGCAGGAAATACATACGGGCATTAGCCACACACAGGGCGTGAAGTTCAGGATGCATGCAGCTCAAAATACTGGCAATGCCCAAGTATTACAAGTGCAAGTGCAAATCCTGCATGCCAATGGGGGGATAGCTGCGCACATCGGCTCATGTCGTTGTACAGAGCTTGTTTGCGCAGCAGGTAAGAAGCACACTGTGGGCTGTAAGACGAAAAAGACTTTAATAAGATGAGATACTTGCAACAAGTGGTAATTTAAGAGCGCATGCAGCCGGCAATGATGTTCATGCAGGGCAGTCAATGCGAAGCTTATGATCTTCCAATCATTTTCCTCTAAACAAATTCTTCCTGGGAACGTACCAGCAGCCTCCAAAAAGACACCCTGGGAAAAAACACCATAAATATGGTCATTGTCTGCCTAAATCAGGTTAGTTTTGCATTGAAAGCATTCAGATTTGGGCTCAATGGGCACGTTGTTGTGCACCGAAACGCTTCTAATAGGTTGATGCATCTGACGAGTAGGAATCCAGCAAGGATCATGGATGTTTAAACAGAATGAAATTTGTGTCTTACAGAGAGGATTGGCGCATGTAGCGCCCATGAGGTCCGTTTTCCATGTGTTGTTGTACGTGGTCTTTCGGACTTCATAAGCCTGCAATTTCTGCTGTTGAAATTGCGTCGGCTGCATGCTGGCTTGTCTCTCAGCAATAGATGAAATGAACAATATTGCGGGTTTTCTGATTTCTTTTCATTTTGGGGTCTGTAGGGTGGAGGTCAAAGATGAAGAAATTTCAAGTTTACTTACAGATACGCGCTGGCTCGGCTCACCTGGAACAAGACGATTCAGCGTTAGAACCGTTCCTTTCCTTTCTTTCAAGATCGATTGAATTTTAAACACAAATCATCGCATTCGCATTTCATTCTTTGATCTGTGTCAGATGTGTTGTGCTTTGAACTGTCTTGCTGGGTCCGAATTTCGCTGATGTCCGAAGCTATGCTGGGTTAAGGTACTTACATTTCGCAGAATATACACTGTACCACCAATTTCAGTATTGCTAGTTCTGTACTTTCTCATTGGGCACTATCCCTTCCCATCCCAGGTGGTGATACCCAGGAAGGCATTTACAGTACCAGTCAGATCACTGAGCTGTAACGAGCAGCGGGGGGCGGTATACCCACTTCAGTAAATCTGCAGAGGATGACGGAAGTCATCAAACACCTCTTTACTGCAGAAAACACGAAGCTGGTGGTTCTATCAATACTAGCTCTGGTGCTCGTTCCACTGTTGTCCTGGATCCTCGTCTTCAGAGGAAAGAAGAGGCAGCCGTTTCTCAATCCAGACGTTTGGCAAGAGCTACCGCTGGCTGAGAAAGAGGTCATAACCCACAACACAAGACGCTTCAGGTGCGACTATGGAGTCAACGACTACAGCATTGTTTCTTACCAAGTGAAGGTGCTTTTCTTCTCTTGTCAATCGTAACGTGGGCTCTCTTGCCGGTCAGGTTTGCGTTGCCTTACAAAGATCAACCAATCGGCCTGCCAATTGGTCAGCATATCTCCCTCAAGGCTCTCAAGCCAGCTGCAGATGGAACAGAGATCTTCAAGCCCTACACACCAGTATCAGACGATGACCTGCTGGGCTATGTGGACTTTGTCATCAAGGTGATGCACAACTCGTCATCCTCTTGCGCTACAATAATTGCATGCCCAAACCATACAAGCACTTGGCAAGTGCAGTGCTAAATCTTCATGCATCGGTGTAGGTCTATGAACAGGGGCGCATGACAAAGCACATGGACGAGTTGGCGATAGGGGACAAGCTGCTCTTCAAGGGGCCAAAGGGACGTTTCAAGTACTCCTGCAATGCCAAGCGGTCTCTTGGTATGCCTCACCGCTTATTGCAAGGGGTTTGTAGCTCATTGTGTAGCTCATCTACATTGTACATTGGTCATCCTTGCAACCTTTGAGATGTATTGCTCCAGTGTTAGGCAGGACAAGCACCATCTTGATAAAATTTCTGTTGCAGGAATGATAGCTGGCGGTACTGGCATAACACCCATGTATCAGGTGGCGACACAGCTGCTGAAAGACCACCAGGACCATACAAAGGTGTATGATCGTATTCTGCACATTAGATCTCGGCATACAGATTTTTTTCCCAAGCCTGTGTTGATGTTGTGTAGCACACTGCGCTCAGAACAACAATGTGTGCTCTGCGGCAGATGAGCCTCATCTTTGGCAACGTGTCACATGACGACATCCTGATCAAGGAGGAGCTTGAAGCACTTGCAGCTGCGCACCCTACCCGCTTCAAGGTGTGCCGTCAGAACAGCATAAAATCTTGTTATATATTATAGATTCTGGAGCATGGCCATGAAATGACTGGACGTGTGAAAATGCCCCTGCAGGAATGTTTAGAATCCGAATCCAGAATTGAAATTCGGATGGATCTTTGTTTCTGTGCAGGTGTACCACGTGCTCAACCAGGCGCCACCAGGGTGGACTCAGGGTGTGGGCTTCATCACAGCGGACATAATTAAGCAGCACATAGATCCCCCTGCAGAGGATGTCATGGTGCTGCGCTGCGGTCCAGGGCCCATGAATGTGGCTGTGAAGAAAGCGCTGGACGGGCTTGGCTACACCAGGGAAATGCAGTTTGAATTCTGACTTGAAATCTGAGTTTTAAATTTGCTGGGAGGCCCCTCGGCTGCGGGCTCCAGACTCTGCAGGAACTGATAGTTGAGCAGGCATTGAAATTGTTTTCAGGAGCAAAGTTGACAGGAACTGGAAATTGAGTGCTGGCATAGTTCATCAGGCATAGAACGTGGCGCATGTCATTTCCAGCAAGGTCCATGGAAGTCTTCACTGAGGTGTGAGACAGCATAAGTGTGTTTGAGCGCTCTGCAGGGCTCTGCTGGATGAAGACTGCAGAGGATGTGCAGCAAGATTTGGCAACAATGCTCCTCTGCAGTAGTTCCTAACATTATAACGCTGGCACGCGTGCATGCTCGTGCATGCATGTGCGGACGCTCTGTATTCCTTTACAGGAGCCAACCATCACGGCGTGTTCAACACCGGCAGTTGTGAGAGTGCCTTCTGACTCAAGGTCCCGATTAGCCTGGAAGACCCATTTCCCAATGTAGGGTGCTGCAGCTGCAGCCTGCTATAGCTAGCGGCTAGCTAGCAGCGGCTGGGCGCCCATGGGCCACGGCCACCGGCGGGCCATGCATGTGATTAACTTTGTGAGATGGCTGGATGCACAAACGCCTCAAATTTTGGTCGATCAAATACTTCTTTAAACATGCACTGGATTAATACGTTTCTTTTTGAAATTCTGAAGGAAATGTTTACCTTGCCTGCAGCCATGCAAAACCCCTAAACCCCACGCACAACGAGGGAAGGATATATCGGGAGACCGACTACAAATGGCATCGTAGCAGCTGTTGGTCAAACCAGAAGCTTCATTGTCCCAGAAATCCCCTGCACCGCCGTAGGTATTCACACCTTTAGATTATCATATATTTTAGTGGCGTACTAGGGAAGCATCAACGCGTTTCAAGTGTAGCATAGCTCTCACAGCCAGTTTGGTGCATCCTTGGACTCGATTTGCAATGCTCAACATCCCGGTAACCTGACATTGACCCGCTTTAGAGAGTTGGTTGTAGTCATACATAATAGCAGTGGCAGAGCCACCAGCTGAGGCTTCTCCCCTGCACAAGAAAGTGTGTGACTTATAAGAGGTAATAAGTGATGGCCCCAAGTGTTGGACGGCGTCTGTCAGACGCCAAGCAAAAGTTGAAGGGCCGTCAGCCTCTGCGATTTCAGTTGGAGCTAGTACCCTATTTCGCAGGTGCTCCACAGTTCATCCCATACTCCTGAGTCATAAAGCAAGACCTGCCATCACCTGGCTCCTTACTTCATCAATGTGGTCCCAGAGTCATTGAAATTGCTTGACAAAGTTTGAGAACAAGTATTTTTCTCTAATATCCGGACAAGGATGTGTTTAGCTCACTCATTTCCTGCTGTGCAGAGGGTGTGCCTTCTCACATCAAGAAGGCATCCTTCCTCTGGCAGAGGGGACCGAAGCTGCAGTACACGGATCTTGCGGAGAGAACAACAGATGGCTACGTCAACTGGGATCAGAGCCTCAAGCAGGTACTCCTGATCTCCCTTGTATCATGTTGCACCGACCAAACAGACGTCTCAGTAAAATGTGCAGGCGACTCAGTGAAAGGGATACCATTTCAGTTGATGACCCAGCTGCTATGCTTGGCAGAGTCATCGGTTCTGCACCACTTTGTTTGCATGCAGTTTTGGGCCAGAACTGTATTTAGGGTTGCCAAATTTCTGACGGAATGCAGATACATGAGAAGTTTGTGATATGAAGATGGGCAGTGACAGGCTGTCCATGCCTACAAGACCAATGACCCTCAGGCTACTCCCAACAGGTCTCTAAAATGTAATAATAATAGTAACAATATGATGTGCTGCAGACGTCCACCATGTACCGGGATGGCAACACTTTTGCGCAGAAGGAGTATAGCTTCAAGCTGCAGGGTGTGAAGGGGAAGGGCGCTGACGAGAAGCCCATCACCTTTGCCAAGACCGACATCGACCTTGCCGCCTACTGCTCCTGCGAAGCCTCTGGCACCCGTGAACTCATCGTGGAGCTCAGGTGCAGCATTAGCATCTTGCATGACCCCATTTACAGGGGAAATGTGCCATGACTTTTCATAATTCTCTGGCAGATGAGATAAGCAGATGACCTCTGGGTGGGGTTACCTGTCACAGCATGCATAGCAGGTATAGGCAGAAGGCCAATTTGATGCTATCCTAGCTCCAGGGACAGAACTTACTACCTGGATGAAAATATCTGCTCTCTCCACCTGCAGCTGTGCAGCAGCAGCATGTGCACAGCTCAATTCTTTCTGTGTGTGCCGGGCTTGCTAGGCCCAGCGGGAGGCTGCATGTGGGTGTGGTGGCCACCTGGCTCAAGAACAGCGCCCCGGAGCTGGACTCGCTCACAGACCTGAGCTATCTCTCCCTCGGCCCCTCTGCCCCCTCCTCCACAGTCATGGGAGACCAGGTTATCAGCGCATATCCTCCATCACCAGTATGCACGCTGTGCTGTCAGTGCTAGACTGCACAAGAGCAGCATGTGACACAGGATTGGCTTGGCGCAACTTTGCCTGAAGCTATGGGGCATGATAAAGTCTGCGGGACTTGCGAAAACCAATTGATTTGTCCTGCTGCAGGATCTCACTGGCTTTGATGACAACCCCCAGCTGAAGGCGCTTGCTGGCTCTCCTCAGAAGAAGAGGGTTGCATTCACCCAGTCCCTGAGCATGCCCACCCCCAGGCGCAGCGCAGCAGCAGGGCCGAGCACAGCTGACAGGGGACTGCGTAGCTCCATATCCTTTGCTCCTGGCCATGAAGGCAACACAGTCATTGGGACCCCTGCTCTTCAGCGAACATCAATGCCATTGTTGCAGGCACAAATCAATGCCATGCCCATTGCCTCAGCTGCCTTTTTAAATCGCGTCGCTTGTTTGCCCACAGAGATTGAGTCACACCTGATTACTTGTTGCATAGCAGCAGCGTCATTTTGTGGTGAGGTTCTTGAGAAATAAGTGTATGCAGGTTGACACGCCCAAGAGCTTTGCAGGCTTCCAGACGATACCATTGGAGGAGGTGAGCATTTGTACAGATCCTGCATCAAGATATATCCGGCAGAACTGCGTATAGTAGTGATTGGACAGCACTGACCCTTTTTCTGCACTGAAGCTTCTTCTGCTGAGCCGCTGCTGTCAGTATTCAAAGGGGTTGTTGATGTTTTGCAGAATGAGCTGATCACCCCAACCATCCCAAGGAAGACCAGGGGGGATCTGCGAGGCAACCTCCACCGCAAGTCCAAGAGCGAGCCTTTCACTCCAGATGCTCTTGCCATGTCCATCCCAGAAGAGGACCCCTGCTCCCTAACCACCACCGAGCGCCGCAGCGCCGACCTTGAAGAGGTGCCATAATATGACTCATCTCTGACTGTCTTCAGATGACGCAACTCCCATTGAGATTGCCATGCTGCCAGCTGGACATGAGACCTCACATGACCTCTCTTGATGTGCATGTGCAAGCTGAGCGTAGTAGTCTCCTTTGGATCACCTTCTTTTGATGACTTTACATCCATTCACGACCAGATGCCAGCTGGACACGAGATGAACTCCTTTTGTAGCCATCTCAGGACTGTAGTCTCAAAAACTGTGGAATGATTATGCTTGCATTGGTGGCTTCTGGCCAGGCAATGGAACAGAGCCATGCGGCAGTGCAATAACGGGCGTTTTGTGCTGATAAGCTGTGGGTCGTATTGCATGTTCAGGCGTATGGCACACTGCTGTCCTCGGAGAGCGAGGACGATGCCGGCCCTGTGGCATCTGTTCGGCGGTGGTGGACTGGCAAGAAGCCCAAGAGGTGCGCACGCTCTGCTGCACCAAGGAAACCAGATCCCAACTGCATGCATCTGCTTTGCATGATAGTGTTAGACACAGCTGCTCTGCGCTTGGCAACTCATGCTGTGGAGCAACGAGACCAGGAACGACATCGAATTTGTTCGTATGTTGTCTTTCCTGGGCTGAGTTCTCCACAGTATTGCTTGTGAAGGGCAGCGCTGTGGGTCAGGGAACGTATTTATTCTGTGCGTGCATGTATGCAGGCCGCAGTCGGCGCTGCATTCACCGACTGCCGAGGACGCCAGAGCTGCCGCCATGTCTGTTGAGTTGGATGCCATAGCCAGGTGGGCAGCTATTACACCTCCTTTCAAAGACCAGCATGCCGACGCAGACCTCACTGCACACTTCACACATTCCCCGCCTGTGCATGGCTATGTAGACACATTTTGTCTGTCTTGAACGCCATTGCAGCAGAAGTCTTTAGGTTCAAGCTGTTAATTTCATGGATCTAGTTTGGAAGTGAAGGAAGCATTTAGGTGTAGCACCTCCTGGCTGCTTGTGGCGCACCCTTATTCCCCACTGTGATGCACATCAAACGCATGCTGTTGGCATTTCATCTCCTTGGCACAGCACACGTGTTCAAGTGATGAACATTTGCGTTTTGACAGGGAGCCTGATGCGGAGGCGCTGAGGGCGCGCTGCAAGGTGCTGGTGGAGGAGAGGTACGCCGCGCAACGGCAGTGCACCCAGCTGCAGCACAAGGTCCTGCACATGGACCGCGATGTGGAAGCGCTCGGTGCGAATGCCACCCCTTCCCTTTGCAGAATAATCTCACTTGATTTTTACTGATCGAACATAACGTTGCGAGCAAAGGTTCTGTTCAGAAGAGCATATCTGGCGGCAGCGGCGAATGGCAAGATGATCTGGTAATGTGGGGTAAAGTGTGGATTCTGTCAAGGAGATCTCAATGTGCCGGGTGTTGTGCGCCAATATTGGGGCGGTCCCTTGTGCATGCAGAGGGAGCAAATTGAGGCAAGATGACAGCAACCTGCTCAGCAAGTGCATGTACTCAGCACCTTGAGAAGACATGCGCAAATGATGTCCCTGAAAAGTATTGTGGCAACGCATTTGGGTGTTATGGTAGCGTAAACCAAGCCTGAGGCGTTCCCTGGTGCGTGCAGAGCTGGCGAAGAGGGGCATGCAGGAGCGGCTGGCGGTGTCGGAGGACCGGCTGATGCGTCTGACGCGCGAAGACACCATGACCTCGCTCGTCCAGGCCAAGCTGCACCTCGCGCAGACCGACTACGCCAACCTGGAACTACAGGCACGCACTTTCACACCTCCTTGATTGCTTTCTCTTCTCAGCTGTCCTCGTTCAGGCTCTCTATCACGCTCTTGTGCCCTTTGAAGGAGGTCTGGTAGCTTCACAAGAGCCCCAAAAATGCCCAGGGAAGTGGCAGCTTCGAGGACGGTTGCCGGTGGTATGTTTTCCGTGAGTTGCCAATTTGGCCCTGTCTGCATATTTCCCAAGTCACAGGAACTCGGAGTGTGGATCTGTGTTAAGATGAAGAGACGAAGCAGACATCCCGAAAATAATGCTAAATACTCTCTTACAAATAAAGAGCCGCAACCCCTGATGTCATGGCTGGTGTATGTGTCATGCAGGGCCAGCTGCATCAGACCTTCATCCAGAATGATACAATATAGAAACCATTACATGGGATGCCCAAGTATCTGGAATACAGGGCCAATAAAATCAAATCTTAGAATTCTTACAAACAAACGAGAAAACGGATCGTTTTCCTTCTTTGACGGTCTTCACTGCATGTACCGCAGGGCCAGCTGAACCAGGAGCGAATGCGCGTGCAGACGCTGCGATCGCGGCTGACGCACATGGAGAATCAGTACCACGCAACGCTCGACCGCATCTCCGACTCAACCCTCATCCCCGCGCACCGCACATTCACCGAATCAGACGGCGCAGACGACCCCGTCACCATGTCCTGCCTGCCCTTCGGGGGCGGCGGCGGTGGCCGGCCGAAGCAGCTGCCGGCACCTGCCGCCTCGCGCGCTGTGCCCGCTGCGCCCAGCCCCAGCTTCCCTCACAGCGGCCCCTCCTCCCCGAGTGTATCCTCCAGTGCTGGAGGGGTGACGGAGGGTGCCGGGATGGCAGATGTGGCAGTGTATGGAGGGGTGGGCGAGCAGCGTGAGATGGCAGTGCTGCCTGTGTCCACGGCAGTGTCCGTGGGGTGACAGGGGGAAGATGACAGGGGATCCAGTTTAGAGTTTCCTGAAGATGATGCATGGGGGGCAATTGGCGTGCGTGGGAAGGGGAGGGATAAGGGATGCATACAATTTTGTGTACAAGAATGGCGGCGGTGCTATCGATGGGGTCACAAGTACAGCAGTGGCCACAAGAAGGTGCAATCTCATGCGTGCATGTACATATATAGCGTGACAGGGGTGACTGTTAAACATGCATGGTCACTGAACCATTGGTCAGCATTGGTACAAAATGTCAGTTCAGATGACATGACATCATCCTGTCCTGCCTGCTGAAAGTGAAAAATCACAGATGATAGCAAGACTGAGAAGCCTGCATTCGTGTAATGTTTTGTGTGCCTGTATGTGATCACAAATTTTTGCGGGTCATCCAACTCGGCACGTTATGACATTGTTTCAAAGCAAAGAATTCGTCATATTACTCTAGCCAACTTAACATAGAGTGTGCAAGGCTGCCAACAGCACTACAAATCAGGACAGAGCATAAATCAATCAGCAGAAGCAATAAATAAAGGCAACACTACAAAAGACCTTAGAAAATTTCCAGGGTGACACTGTTATCATACTCACAACGCTGACATTGCTTTCGGACGTTTGTACCAGCTTCAAAATTTAAACATGATTTGCCATCTATAAATACATCATGATACATGCTCAGAAAATGCGGCACACCTTCTGCCTCAAGATGCAGCGCCGGAAAAGCCATTGATATGCATAATAAACTTTTAAATTATAAGTACCCATACTCTTCTCAATAATGTTGAACTCATCATCAGCTGTACACAAGCTGCCTAATGCTGTCCTGCTCCCACCTCTGCAGAGGAATGCCGCCTGCACAGCAGCACTTATATGAATGACAAGAAAATCTCAAGCAGAACTTGAAAGTGTGCAAACCGCCACAATGAAAACAATGTGAATGTCCTGTTCTGATATGCAGCAGAATTATGCATGACAAAGAGGGGCTCACCAACATTGAAGTCGCAGTGACAGACTTTGGGGCGATCCTGCTCGAGCACCACTGACAAGGTTGCTGACAGAGACAAGACTGCGCCCCCGTGCTGCGCATGCAAGCCCAGGTGTTTCTCCAGCCCAATCAGCTCCCTTCGCTTGACAGCTGTCTTCCTGCACAAGGTACACAGGAACCTACTCAGTCCTCTGTAGGGTCATCCTGTTCAAGTCACGGCATTTTGTGTGCACAGAATCCTCCATAGTGAATTGCTACTTGCAAGAAAGAGTGTAGGTGGAAGGACGGCGATTCAAAACACTTTATTTATCTTTGATGTGTCGCAGTCCGGTTAGAGATTGAAACTTAATTGAGGAATCTTCAAGACAAGCAGTTTGGAGACAGGCAAACAGAGGGCAGAAGTGCACCTCATGTCCAGATATTCCAGCTCGCTCAGCGCCTTCAAGTTCTCAAGGCATGCTGGGGTGACTTGTGTGCCTTGCAGCACCAGCGTGACCAGCTTCAGCTGCGGCCAACTGCTCTGCGGCCCTTCCAAAGGCCTCTTGCCTGCACATTCCACATACCATATGACCTGCACGCTGCCACAATTCCGCATTTTAGGTCCCATTCTCAGGTCTCAAACTTCCACCGTTGCTAGAGTGACAATCGACAGATCACAGAGTAATGCTCTTGCTGAAAGGTGCCTCTCTTGATAGGACAGGTGAGCAAGAAAAAGGGCGCTGCTTGCCTGATTCATTGTGCCAGGAGGCGAGGCGGCGACTGTATGTGAGGGCCTCAATCAGGCCATCGCCCAGGGATGTTCTGGCCAGGTCCAAGTGCTGCAGGGAGGTGAGGCTCGCCAAGACAGGCCCCACATTGTTGTTGTCTGTGAGCTGGCGCATGCCTTGCAGGCTGAGCCAGCGGAGCGATGGCAGCCCCACCAGAGAATGCAACGCCAGTGGATGCAGGTGGTCGCCATACAGGGACAGGCATGTCAGCTTGCTAAAGCCTGCACCATGCCAATTGAGGCATCAAGAAAGGTGGCTGGTGACCTGTTTCACGGGTTGCACTGGAGTAGCATGGAGAGCCTGATGTATCCGTCCTCCAGGCAGATAGCTCATTCGGACAAGGACTTCGAGGCACCGTCCTGGGCTCCGTGCCATTTATGTTCCTGGCACTGCACTGCACTGCACTGCACTGCACTGCACTGCACTGCACTGCACTGCACTGCACTGCACTGCACTGCACTGCACTGGGCTGAAGTGTGCATCAACCCCACTGTCATCTGTGTGGAAAGCAAACGTACTTTGCCAATTAGCCACGAAGAGCAGGACCTGCCGAGCATCCATGATGTGGGAAAGCACACCTCGGAACCAGTGCAAGTCGGTGGCGCATGTGGACACCTCAAGATGCTCAATCGTGCCCCTGAGGAGCTGCAGAGCATCCAGATAGGCGTGCTGGACCCGGTGATTCAGGCGCAGGACCTTGATAGACCAAAAGTATGAGAATTTGGATAGCACCTGCCGGTCCCAACACTGCAAGGTGCGTCTCCTCCAATTGTGCAGCCTGCACGCAAACGCTAGCATTCAAAGTGCACAGGTAAATATTTGGTAGCAACTGATGCGACCAGGATCAGCATGAGGCAGAGCTTTCTGTGCCCTGGGCAATATACTCACCCCTCATATAATCGCCACACTTTGAGAGCAATCTCTGGCTCTGGAAGTTGGGCCACTGCAAGCACAGGAAGGCTTATAACGATATTTTATTGGCTTTGCGGGGACGGTACTAGTCTAGACAAGGGTGGTGCAGGGAGCCAGCCAGACAAAAAGGTTGCTTCAACTTAAAAAAAATATTTGCCATGAATTCTCAGCGTGGCATGAGTCCTAAGAGGTTTCAGGAAATGAAAAGGAGCTGGTTGCGAAGCTGGCATGGCATGGGTGTTGGCATGCTCAGTAGAGGGCTACTGATTACACTCTTCAAGTTTAATGATCTCTGTGATTTCTAAAGCGACATAAAAGCGCACCATCAATAATTCTGTGGTCAAACCCAAGCTGGATAGCCACCACTCTGCAACAAATGTTGAGAAGACTGTCAGCTCCGACGGTGTCTGGCTGGGTCCGGACACCGAGCGGCTTAATCTTGACAGGTTCCACTCTTTTCATGACACAAGTGATGCCTGTGATCGTTAGAGAGGGGTTTTTTTTGCCGCATCACGGGAATCCAAGAATCACTTGTGCATGCCAGCGTGCTTAGTCATTGCTGGCTTCACTTCAACAGAGACGAGGACCTTACGATCTACTTTTAATTTGCGAGATCTTCCTTGGAGCAGAGATTTTTGAAAATGTAGGACATTGAACTTCCCGATGTCCTCAAATGATGCAAATTGGCACCTTTTCCACTATTATATTTTGAGCATGTCGCCCCATTCTTCCCCCTTTTTTGTCATCGACCAGACCGAATATAAAAAAAATACCTGGTATTTGAGATAGAACAGATTGTAATGCACTTAGACTTGATGATCGTGAAGAGCAATAAAGCTAGCTCATAAAGTGCTCATGGGAGATCAAGCTGCTTTGTCTGGGGGCTTGCGCTTGATCGATGTGCGGCAGATCTTGGACGTGTTTCTTGAACAAACAGATTCGCATCTAAGGGACCTGTCAGCCAACCTTGGAGCACAGGGAGACGAGGACAGGTATTGCTAAAATGTGTGGGCTGTGCATTCGTTAGACGATAAGTCTTATAATCAGCTTGCCATGAATGCCTAATGGGGATGACTGCTATTTTAGCATCATTTCAGTTTCCTGATGGCTTTTACAACATCAGAATGCTTCTCCTTGGACAAGTCCAGAGCACAACGTGCCACCTGTGGCTGCTCCCACACAGCTCAAAGAAATGCGGTGCAGAAGGGTCCCAGGCAAAGACGAATCTGCTTGCTGTGTGCGCAGGAAGCGTGCGCTCCTCCTGTTTCTGCACAATACAAAGCAACGGCTCCTGCGGTTGCTCATTGTTGTCAAATGGGCCAACAAGGTGCTCACAACCCCTTCTTGGAATGTCCACTCTGCAGCAGTTCTCCCTTTCCCAGCTCTCACAGATTATTTGACGACCCCTTTGCACATGGAGAATGCTCATGCTTATTGTCCCAGCGTTGTCACCTATGCTGGACTAGCCAGGCATGCATGCATTGCGATACCAACTGATGATTGTGATCAATATGTTTGCAGGCGAGGGTGGTGGCAGAGGTGGGGCGTATCCTGGATGTGGCTGCGCGGCAGGCAAATGCCTGCAGGGATGCAGCAGACCAGTTGGCCTATCTGCATGGCGAGCTGGAGGACACTCGCGTGCCTGCCTACGATGTGCCCACTGCCCTTGAGGTCCTGCAGACAGGCATGCTTCTTGCACCTCACACTTGTCCCGCTGTATTGTCAACAGTTCCCTGTTCAAAATTGTAGCGCTGCTTACCTATCAGGTGGACTCATGTTTAGCAGGTCATGCCGGCACACTAGTGTCCAGTGGAATACAAATCAATAAGTGAGACAGGGCATGGGGGTCCCAAAATTGCCAGCCACAGGCGCACCAACACATGTACAGGGTGATCCTGTTTGCACAGCTTCATGCTTGCTGTGAGGCTGACATTTGTCATGATGTGTCATGTACAGGTGATTATGGGCTACTGCCATCCTGCATCGAGGAGTTGCGGCCGCCGCCGGCCCCACCGCCGGCTGTGCGTCGCGCCCGGCTGCGCCTCATGGATCAGATTCTCCGCTCCACCCTGCTGCAGGTCAGTGACTTGTAGACCTTTTTCTTACTTTATCAGCTGCTGTCCCCAGGCGCCTAGTGCCATCATCAAGCCCACCCAACATTGACCTCATTTTATGGAGGAGGGACGGGATCCACTCTCATTTGTTTTATATTGCATATCTATCCTATGGAATGCAGCCAAGTTGGGGAGGGAACCTGGCTCAGATTGAAAACGTGGGAGAAGGTGCGGGGCCAGAGATCACTCAAGATGCAAATTGCTGGTGCAGGAGAAGCTGCCAGCGGGAGTGACAGTGGCGAGTGTGGGTGGGGGAGTGACAAAGCTGCGCTGTGGGGACCTCTGGGAGGCACGGCTCACCCTTGTGCCCGCCCCACCGCCACCGCCAGAGCAGCCCTCAGCACAGCAGGCATGCCATCCTTGCCACCCAGGGCCTTCGTCAATAATGCACTCAATCGGGATTCCTTAGCCTTTGCATTTTGCACTTTCGCAGAACATCAGATGACGTACTGTACAGCTGCTCGATCGTGACTTAGTTGAGAGAAGTGTTAGGCAGGCTTGCGCTATTCTGAGCAAATTGATACATTGGTTTACTCGAAAGGGGTGGCCATCTATTGATGCAGGTGGGCAGAATCGCTTGTTTGGGACACACCCCACATTGTTGGTCAGCAACCTGTCAATGGCAATCTGAGATCCTGCATTCGTACCTTGACATTAATGCTGTGCCTGTGGCAGGATGCATCAGCGGGTGGGGCCGAAGGTGAGCCAGTCACGTCCCATGATGAGCCACAGAAAGCTACTGGTGCAGACTCTGCATCCAAACACGCTAGCGCCAGCGAGCCTCAGAATGCAGATGCAGAGCCCATGGAAGTGGATGGGCAGCAAGCCCTAAACTCAGCAATGGAGGCAGAGGTAGCAGGTGTGCCCATGTTGCCAGCCATCCTTAGAATTGTCTTGATTGGACCTCTTTATGTAGTAATCATAGTCCATAAATTTCCTGGTCAATCCTGATCAGAGCTTAACTCTCAATCTTGCATGCAAGATGTTGTCCTAAAAATGGCAGAGGCACCCGGCACACGGCTTGCAGAGCATAGTTTGGACTGTGAGCAATTCCCTTTGAGCCATGCAGGCGCATCTGAGGAGAGCGATGGCGGGCGAGTGCAGCCTGGTGGGGTGCTGGATGAGAGGTTTAGGTGGCGAGTCCTGTCTGCAAAGGCATTGCCTCAGTTCACCGTAACAGCCCTCATGGCTCCACAGCAGTCCTCCCAGCTTCAGGTACCTGTGCTGGTCGTGTTACACTTTTGAAGCCCTGTGTTGTATCATGTGGATGCTGCCCCGAGGGTTGCAATGTCCATGCTGCGCATGGGTGCCCTGCATACCACAAGCAGGCCGAGCATTGCAAATCGCAACTGAGTAATGTGAAGGGGGCATGTGCATGTGTGATGCACAGGGCGCCATAGAGATGAGGATGTGGGCGGCCTTGGATGCTGCAGAGGAGGTTGAGCGCAGGGAGGGACCTCAGAAGGAAAGTGCATCAGAGAAACCTGAATCTGGTAGCACTGAGCAGGGTGAGGCCTCTGACAAGCTGGTGCCGGTGTTGGCTGTTGCCTTATCAAGCCGAATGCCTGAACTTTCCCGCTCGTTTGCATGAGCCTTGCATACTGACCATCGTACAGAGCCACACATCACCTGTTCGGTGTCACGTAGCTTTCCCTCCAGCAGTTGCATCCGTCCGCAAGATTTTTCGGGTGTGATAGTATTCACGTGACAATGGCTCTTTTGCTCTGCAGGGCCTTCAGGCAGCAGCTTGCCTGGGGTGAAGGCTGAAACAAACGCGAAGCCAGAAGCCGCAGGAAAGAGTAGTGCAGCCCAGGATATGCCGCGGCAGGCGCCTCTGGAAATTCTGCATGGCGTCCTAAGGGATGTGGGCAGCCGCCTGGTGCTTAATCAGGCCGTCATTTGGGCGCGCTCTGCAACAAAGGGCCCCAACGGCCGCTGGGCCAAGCTTCTGCGCATAGAGCCTGCCAAGACCCTCTCCCTGGGCATCAGGTACGGTCTGTTTGCTTCTGTCCCTTGCAAGCCGCCGAAGTTCTTCAATTTGCAACAGTGACTGAGGTTCTACCTTCACTTCACATGGAAAATTGGCGCATTGGCACACGAGGCTTTGCATGCCCATGAAGCGGTGCTTGATTTCTTTTCCACACTGACGTGGCCGTTGGTGTGAGTGGTCCCTGCAAGCATCCTTGAGGTGACATTACCTTTGACTATCTTAATGACGAAGACTGAGCAAACTTCGTTATTGTCCTGCACAGGATCTGCTACTGGCTCAACGTGCCCACAGTCACACCAGAGGACCTGAGGCGGCTGCAGCAGCCAGAATCTGCACCGCCTCTCCCTAAGCCCACCCAACAGCCGCAGCAACACACACCGCCAGCCATTGAGATCGGCGTTGCGAAGAGCGGCGAGCCCTCAATTGTGGCCCGCCCTGAGCTGGTGCATGTGATCCACTCGGTGGCTGTCCGAGCGGCCGGAGCTGCTGTGGCTCTCAGCATGGACCTTGCCAGCCTGGATGCTGAGCAGGTCCTGCTGCGAGCTGCGCAGGCAAACGCTGCCATCCAGCTCGGTAATATCCCATTCAGCAGCCTCATTGTCATGCAATCCGTTCAGTAGGGTTGCATGCTGGCTTTACATTGTGCTCGACGTTGCTCACCGTCATTCCCCCAGACTGGTATAATGTCCACGTCAATAGAGAAACCGAATATGCCTCTGCTTTTGTCATCTGCTCTCTAAATGACACCAGAGAGCCTCCCCCTGCCAGGTGTCAACAAGAAGCAGGGATTGTTCTGCCAGACTAGACAATGTATAATCAAGGTGTGCTGGTTGCAGCCGCAATAGAGGCCCTGCTCCAGCGCAGCGGCAATCTCCAGGCCAACAATGGCGCAATCGCGCTGCAGCCGCCAGCGGCCGATGGCGTTGCCTCCGGCGCGCTCCCGTCGCCTGTTTTGGAGCTCAGCTGCGACGGTGAGCCGCTGCTCAGCGTGAGCGTGCAGCTCCGCACCGGGCTGCTGCTGCTGCACTCCGGCGATGGCGGCAGCGGCGGCTTCTTCAGCAACTTGGGCCAGGAGCTCGCCCCTCTGCTGCGCCAGGTGTGCCTCACCTGCTTGCCTTATTCATTTCACCACCCAACCTTTACCTAGAACACCCCACATTCCATGTAAAGACAGGCAGTAAGGGTGAGAAGCTTCCTTGACAGCTTATACACGAGGAGTCATGGCTGGGCAAACTCCCCTTTTGGCATAAGATGATCGCTCTACATGATAGACACATCTCCGCTGTGATTTCACCAAGCTGCCAAATTGCAAGATAATTGAGAAATTTCCTGGACGGTGACAGGATCACACTTCAATTAGTCACAATTTTGCGCTCTGGCAAATGGCAGGAGGGGGAGAGGCTGGCAGCGCTGCAGGCAGAGGCGCTCAAGCAGGTGCCTGCAGAGGGGCTTGGCACTGTGGGCGCGGCGGCCGCAGATCGGCTGGCGCGCTCCATAGAGTCGCTGTGGCTGAATCTGAGCGTGCGCAGCCGATACTCCCAGCTGCTCAGCGCCGCGCAGAGCCTCGGCCTGCACCGGGCCCAGATCCCCCCCGCACTTCTCAAGGTGCCTTATTAAATGCTCTGAGTCCGCCTGCTGAAAGCATTTGTTGGTGTACTCATCACCACACCTGAGGAAGTGGAACTGCGCAACACTAACATCTGCTCAGTGTGCTGCGAGAAATACAGAGCATTACCGCCTGCCCAGCACACTCAGGCGGTGCACATGCGCTTTCATGGAATCCTCTTCATGGTGTGAGACTGCATTGGTCTCTTGTGCAGCACAACTGATATTCCTCTTTGTGTGTTATATTTGCCTTGAGCGCTTTGTGATGAGGTTTGTCATTTCCAGGCATACGCGGCGTCCAATCCTTTGGCTCGCCTGCCGGCCAAGAATGTGCTGGTCCTGGCATTCCCTCCGGCACCTCCCATGCCTTCACCTCCAGACACACTAGCAGGTGTGCCAGGAAACCCCTTCACATGTCGATTATTGTGCTTTCAACATGAACTGATCCTGGTGTTGCATGTGTACATGTCGAGGTCTGTCTGATGCCTGGAAACCATGATGGGGCCTTGGGGGTGAATTTGTCACCCATGATCGGGCTCATGATGTTGGAATTCTTTCTTTCAAGCTGCCATGCATGACCTGGACTCGTATGTGATGCAGGAGCGGAGGGTGCAAGCAGGCAGGATCGGTTACTACGGCTGTTGGGGAAGGGCGGCGCCGGCGTGCAGCTGTACCTGCAGGCAGAGATGTGCCGCGGTCTCCAGTGGCGATACGGCCTGGTCTTTGCCAGCTGCGACGCGCGCAACACTCCCGTCAAGGTGGGCCGTCCACATCACCAGACTCTCCTCATTCTTGCGTCTTTTGACATCAGGAATCATCGAGATACGGCTCTTGTGTCTTGGAGTTCCCCTGCATTGCCATGACTTCACCATGAATCGGAGATGCACGTTTCTCCTCTCAAACCTTGAACAGGATGGATGTTCCTCTTTGTAATTATGGTAGGAGTCGCAGATTTGCAGGCATTGCTTTGTGCTTTCTCTCCATAAGCACATTCCCAGCAATATGTGATAAGACATGGTTCTGCATGCGTCAGGTGCTGCAAGTCCTGCAAGTGCCGGTGGACTTGGATTTGCGGCCCGCTTCAGGCGGCCAGGCCAGCATCGGCGCGGCGCAAGTCGGCAGCACCGACAAGAGGTCGGCAGACAATGCAACATCCGACGCGCAAACACCATCAGGGCAGCAGCCTGAACAGGCAACAGCCAGGGGCGGTGAAGAAAACGCAAGGGAAAATGGGCATGTAGAGGCGGACGGAGCGGCAGGGACGGATGCGCGCGATCAGGCGCAGTGGGGGCTGAGGCATGCGGCGGAGCTTGGTGAGGTGGTCAGGTGGTGCGCTCCCAGGATCGCCTGGGAGCTGCTGCGGCTGCAGCTCAAGGTGAGCCTATTACATCCATTTACATGACTTTGCTTGGAGAGCCCTGCAGTGGATATATCGCCGGGACTTCTGACCCTGGTGTCGATTTGAGTCTATCTAGCCACCTATGCACTATTGGTGTCTTGGGCATGACCGGGATCGCACTATATGGTGGCATGTTTTGGTAAGCAGCAAGGCCTGCATTCAAGTGTCAGTTTTACCCATGCTGGGATCTGGTTTTATGTTGTTACAACACTTGCACTGTACAGATGGATTTTCCGCTGATTAGATTTCTGTGCTGTTGCAGGTGCTTGGCATTAGCTACACAGAGGAGGTGTGCCTGGCAGAGCTGCCTGCTGCGGCGTGTGCTCTTATGGCCAACGGGCAGGTCCCACTCAAAGCCAAGACCTCTGCTGCCACAGCCGCCTCGGGCGCCCTGCAAAAATGCCTGCGCCTGCATGGACTGCACTCCCTTAAGTTGCTGGATCATACCAATGGTAAGCTATTCCATTCGTTGCGCGTCTTCATTTTTACATACTTCTGTTTATTCTGTGAGGGCTGCTAACCCACAGTGACATTTTTCGGTGTATATGCCACCGCAGCATAAGGGCGTCATCTCGCCGACCTTTCCTTCTAGTCCTTTGATTGACGGCCGTGATTCTCAGGACTGAATGTCAGGACTAGGAAAGCAGGTCTCAGAAGATGACACCTCTATGGGACTTCTCAGAGGGACATGATTGACGCTGGCGGCTGTGTTCAGGTGTGAGCGGCCCAACAGGGGTGCTGCTGCGGGTGTTCCCTGACTTGCAGCTGGGCCAGAGCGCTTGGTCTGTGACAGTGCAGAGCGCCTACTTTGGCGGCCTGCCAGCCAGCTGCGCTGCATGCTCTGTCCAAGCTGACGCCGACTGCGGCGCCCAACACATCTCCCAGACAATGCATGGTCTCACCCTTGCCTACAGCTTTGCAACAGGTGACACTGCTTGCCTCTCTGCATGTGTCCTCTTCAAGCTATTGATGCCAATGGCACCTTGGACCTCCATCAACCTCTCACAATGTGAGCATCCCAATGGGAGCAGAATTAGTGGCACCGTCTGAAGCGGGGAGCAGAGTTCCTCGCCCGATTTGGATGACCGCATCTGCTGCAGGGTGATGGGCATGCAATTCTGTTCTGTTCCCCATCGTTCCTCTCATCTTCAGGACCCTGCTATCAGCCTTACTAACATTCTTATCTTTTCCCTTTCCAGGGGGCACGGTGGAGCGCGCAACAGGAGATCTGCGGCGCCTGATCAGGCTGCACCTTGCACTTGCGCGCATCGCGGCCCTCATGCGCGCGGCAGCCGGCACTGATTCAGCCGCCCTCGGCGATTTCCAACCCTCCACAAACTCCTCTGATAAAACTGCACCCAGCCAGCGGCATGATGCCCTGGCCAATGGCAACGTGGCAAAGCACAGCCCAGGCATCTCAGCACCAGCACAGGCATGCAACAGCAGCATAGACAGCAAGACAGGTATTGCAAGCACGGCAGGGCATGACTCGCGTTTTGCATCGCTGACGTGGCAGGCCCAGCAGGGCAGCGGCGTTGTCTCCGTCTCGGCAGTCTCTGCAGACCGCGCAGTTCTCCTGATCACTGCTCCCACAGATGTGGCAGAGGCCTCGGGCAACAGAACAGTTGTCGCAGATGGGGTCAGCGATGCTGTTCCAAAGCAGCACAGCTCGCTGCCACAACTTCGTGTCACCATGGAGTGGGTGGCGGTCAAGGGGAGCTCGGCAGCGCGCTCTAGTGCAGGTGCAGAGTTTGGAGGCGGCAGAATGACAGCGCAAGAAGCAGGGTCCAACGGGATCAGGTGCCGCATGTCGTCTGCTCCCGCGCTGCTTGCCCCGGTGCTGCAGGCCTTCGCGGACATGGCAGGTGCTCGCTCAATCCTTCCCTTCAAATAATGTCTCCTCCTCGCATGTTTGCCTTGCCCATCCAGCTTGCACTCATCATGGGATCTTTGATCTTGTGTGTGTCGTCTTTCTCCATGTCACTTAGTATGGGTCGTTTCCAGCCTGCCCTGCACAGAAAAAAAGTGTTGTTAATATTATATCAAACGCTATTTCTGCTGCAGAGCATGGATCTCAGGTGAAGAGCATAGAATATCTTGGAAGAGATGATATCCTGTGTGCAGATGCTGGAGAGGAAGAGCTTCTGCTGGACGCGCTGTCTCTGTGCGGCTGCGCGCTCGCCACGCTGGCGGCTGAGTTGGCGCCCGAGGCCTTACGAAACGCCGGCCTCCTGCCAGAAGAGGTCTCTATGGATGCGGCTGTTGCCCCTTACAAGCTGCGCCTGTGCATTTCGCAGGTGAGCATGCTTGCAAATTTCTCCCTGCCCTGCATGCTAAAGGTTGCCTTCCAGTCCCATCATGCTTCAGGCACACTAGGGGACTGGCAATCATGAACTGTGCACTAGGACAGGAAGTGCAGTCTGTGGTGTGTTTTTGGACTCAGGCCTACTCCTTTGATCACAACCTTGACTGGGTGTATCAGGCCTGCTGGTGATTGCATGCTGCTTCCTCGTTTTGACTTGCTGTGCGACCAAATTTTATTGAGATGTGCGTGTTGTGGATGAAGGCGCCGGATGCGCAGCTGACAGTTGGGATGCATCTGCTAGCAAGCGGCCTGATCTGGCTGGCCCCGTCAGCCAGCCAGGAGCATGTGCGCGCTGATCTAGTGGACCGGCTGAGCCGCCTTCCTGAGGCGTTCCTGCCCGATGCTCCTGAGACAGCAGCCTCTGATCAGGAGGTCAGCCTTCTTCACCGTCCTTGCCTCATGCTGGCCACACTTGATGCCCATGGACTGAACACTGTAATTTTCCAGCTGTGGAAATGCTTGGATCCAGAGACAAAGAGGAAGGTTGTAAGACTTGGGCGATAGGGTGTCAGGGTTGGCAGCTAATTATGTTGATCGAGTCAAGAGGGCATGCAATACCTTCAAGGAGTTTATTATTTGATGACAATGACTTGGGTGTGCAGAGTGGGGAATCGAAGAGGAGGGGTCCTCAGACAGCGCCGTCAGTGCTGGACTCAGCCATGGAGATCGACGGTGTCGCATCCCCGCCACTGGAGGCTCCAGCGGGCAGGAGCCCAGCAGCTGCAGGTCTGTGGGTGCGCGTCAAAACGCTGCCAGCAGCTCTGCGCATGGTGCTGAAAGTCGCAGCAGAGATGGCTTGAGCGTGTGAGTCGATTTTTGCATGGTAGCGTTCCAGTGCCTTGAGAATGCCTTTGTGGAGGTTCTTGTGCAATATGCATGAACACTTTCATTGTTTGCTGGGTGTAAATTTTGGCTGGCCAGTCACGACCGGTACCAATCAAGTTACGGTGAGTGATGCACTCTGCATTTATATCATCTTACACATGCTCATGTGCATTCAGGCAGTTGCTTTCATTGATCTGAACGCTGTCTGAACAATTCATTCATCACTGCATTCCAGGCAGGAAGCCTCAAGAAGTCTGGCATTCAGTAAAATATCGGCTGTCACCAATTTTCATCTCTGGCGGCCCAGCGCATGACAGCTGCATTCACCACCATCCTGATGCGCCACAGGTCTTTAATCCGCAGATTGCAGTTTATTAGCTTCCCCTGAACCATCCAAACCAGCACACAACTCAAAACCCGCTCTCTTCGCCCCTCTCAGTGAACTCCTGAGCAAAATGTTTGGATGGAGCGAATGTAAATGCTGCATTTCTGATATTGAGCACAGGGCCTAGCTGGACCCACCTGGGTTGCAAATTTTTTTGCTGTTTCATGATTTTCGCAGCCAGGCCTGTCTGAGGTCCCCTCATAATCCTCAAGCACCACTGGAAAGTACTGGTAATCCACATACTCGACGTTTGAGTAGTAAATATTCTCCATCTGCACACCAGGTCACACATTCTCCACAACATGCATCTTCTTGGGCTGCCACAGTGCAGCAAACTGTCAACAGCCACAGGTAACCCACTCTGGATATCTGAAGAGCAAGAGACTGGGTCTTCGTAAAAATGACCTTTACCGTTGACACTCTCTCATTTTGAGGATGACTCGGCAGCAGCTATGCAGAAATGCTCTCATGGCATGGATGAGTGGGCACCTGGGTGGAGGTGTTCCTTGCTGTGTTGTAGTAGTTCATCACAATGGCTGTGCCTCCAGGCGGCAGGAAGACAGACACGGTCCCCAGGCCTCCGCATGGAGTGATGAGCACTGTCGTAGACGCCATCAGCTCCAACTGCGCAGCAGCACACTCCACTTTTACGCAATCTTGCAGCATCTTTGCTGACTTGACTTTGCTGCATGTGCATATATGTACTCCCAGCAGAGCATCTGTACAAGAAGATTGCGCCAAGGTTGCAGGTTGCAGTAATCTGCTCTTCAGGCTCCATCAGACTGGCTGTCAAAGAAAGGGAGGGAGAGCTCTGTCTGCATTATTAACACACATTACACAGCCCCGCCACCAGTGGTTGTTTATCTGGACCCAATCTGGCTCTGGCTCGCACATGTGTTGCGGCTATAGCTGGGCAATGCATCAGAGACAAACCTAGAGGAGATGATCGGACCTGCTGGCGGATGCTCATGCGCTCTATGCTGGCCCCATTCACCACGACCACCTGCACCCGAGGGAAGTCGGCCGCCAGAGCAGCAGCAATCTCGCGCAGGTTCTCGATGCGGCGCTTGCCCCGCTTGTCCAGCAGTGTGATACGCGGCTGACGCGCCAGGCCCTGGTCATTCACCCCCAGATTTACCATCGCCGCTGCCCTGCGCACACGCAAGTGAGAGGGGGTAAGCATGCATGCTGTCAATAATGGGGCTGGTTGCGAACTGGAGACCGGCCAGCAATCATGAAGCCCCCTGTGTAGCTATGCTTACACAGGATCACAGGAATGGACATGGACAGAATGTGGTTAGACAAAGCAGCTGGTCAGTAATGCAACACAGCAATGTCAAGGCAACATCCCTGAACCCTCAGGTTTTAAATATCTTGGGCTGCAGTGCACACTGTCCCTCAGCCATAGAAGCCCACAGCTGGAAAAATATTCTTACTGAAGCCTGGCATGTAAATGTGTGGGAGTGCAATCACCTGAACGGGAGCGCTCTGGCGCGTGCCAGCGTGAGGTGCATGTGGGCAGACCCAGCCACCAGGGTCTTCACACATGTCAAGTCTGCAGCCTCCGAACCAGCGGCCCGGAACTCATGCAGGGGCAGCACTGGGTTGCGCGATATCATGCGCAGCAGGGACCTTTCAGAATTCTCTGGGTTGATGAAGATGTTGATGGCATCTGGGTTGGTGCCCTGCCCAGCAGTCGCACACAGATCAAGGCAGGTTCTTTATATGCATCACATTGCACATTTACTTACTTAATCCTGACTTTGCATCTCATCTGCTGTCTATCAGGTTAGCATCTCTTCACCCTTCAGGTGGTCCACTCGATACATAAACTTGCAATCAACCACGTGGCCACATCATACCGTAACCATTTCAGAGCACTGCACGACAGTGCAATGCTTCACCTCTCAGGATAAAGGCCGCACAAAGGGCTTCTGAACAAAGACATATGCAGACATCAAGGCAGAGCGAGGGCCAGAGGCAAGGGGAGGGCTGCCTCGCAAGTGAACATTGTGCAGCAACAGAAATACTTTGGGCTCCGGTCCACGATTTCTAATTGACCTTTTGTAGATGACGGGAAGAAAGTTTACCTGGTGTTGGGCAAGCAGTAGCTGGAAATCGGGGGTGTACAGCTGGAGCGTCTGCAGCTGGTTGAAGACAGCGTACAGGAAGTCGAACAGGGCGTGGCCATAATTGAAGGCGTAGTCGTTGGTCGATGCGTACACCGCCACTGGCTGGCTTGCATAGGCTGCATCCCTGGGGATGGCCCTGGTCACCACTGTCGGTGCCCAGGGGAGGATGTAGGGCTCTATGGTCACATGGCCTGCATGCACAGCAAATTTATCAAATGTGCCTCATTGACAAATGGAGCATTTGTTGGCGGTCTATGATGCTGCTTGTGCTTTCCTAGGGGCGCAGCTTCTACTGTGCAGCAGAAATGATCACAGATGCCCTGATTGAATGATGAAGCATGGGCAAGGCAATAAACAGCAGGTTGGGATGCATGCATGCTAGCATGCATGGGCGGGAGAAGAGCTGCAGCGCTGGTCAAGCTCACCTGTGGAGACAAAGCTGTGTGGGAGGGTGAAGTGAGGTCTTGCATGGTGGTCGTAGAAGAGAGGGACACCAGCAAAAGAAGGGTCTGTATAGTACTGAAAACGCTGGGAGCTGTGATTGAGGCAGATGTTGTTGAAGCGGCACAGCTGATGCCCTGGATCCTCACTCCAAGATGTACCTGCATGCATGAACTCTTCTCTCTTCCACTAATATTTTGATGATTCGAATGTTTTAAAGCTTGTGTGCTGCAGCTGCAAGTCTTGTTGGGTCAAGCACCAGGTAACACAGGCAGCAAAGGTACAGGGAACCAAAGCAAAGAGAATGTGGCAAGCTTGAGCTCCAGCCAAACAAACAGTCTCAAAGTGCAGCCACTACTCTTGAGGCAGTACTGCTTCAAGACAGCTTCCTTTGACTGCAGCTTTGGCTGAACAAGCAGCTTGAAAACTTTAGATCTTGCCTGTGCAAAAGAAGGTGGAGTAGGTAACACCAGTGTTGTCAGCTGCAGGCACCTGTTGCCCTACGTAGCGCAAGGTCTCCAGATTGGCCTTGTGCATATACTCAGACAGTCGTGCCGTGCTGGAAGACTTGGAGTCTCCTGAAGGTGGCAATGCAGTGTCCTTAGTAAAATCTAATTAGAGGTCTACAGAAAGCTTAGGCTTGGCTCTGTTTGGGAGACAATCACCTCATACGATCAAGCTATTCCAACGCACCATTCCAATTGATTGAGATGATCGTGATCGCCAAGACTACCAGCAGCAAACAGGCCGAGGCGACGAAGGGACGCTTCTTTGGTCGCCCTCGGTGATCATACAGAAGCGACATCCCTGCCTGGGGTTCTTTACATCAGCGGTGAACTCTAGGAACTGCTGCATGGCTGTGTGGCTTTAAAACTGCAGACCGACATAACAGCGGAACTTGACTCTGTCTTTACGAGCCTCAGTAGGATTCACGAAGTCGTATCCTTGAGCTTTAAAAGTTACAATCAACTGGCTGATTGAGTACAGGCTTCCAAGCTTCTTTTGTGAACGCATTCCGTGCATGACAAATCGTTCTTAGAGTTTCATTCCGGAAGCATGCATGCATGGATGACGTCATCGTGGGGGTCTGGATTTGAGCGGGAGGAGAGTTGTAATTCTCTAGCCATTTAGTACCCAGATGGTGAGGAGGAGTATTTGCTGCAGCTTCCCGATCAACAGAAGTATAAGGTTCAAGATTGGATTGGTAGGCCTTGTCTTCCGCCTCTAACAGGTACCCCTTGCACATTGGCAGCAATGGGCTGCATGCATGATCATATGACTTTTACAGGACACCTTTGACAAATAGATGGCATGCATTTGTGCAGCGCAATATATTGACTACCAGCCCAACAGTTGTGCCACGGTGTGGCAGCCACACCATGATCAGAGGTACAAAGCCTCCTTACCCTGAGCCAAGTACTTGACCTACCCTCTAAGATCCTTCGCAGTCAAGTTGCGAAACTGACACCAACAACGCTGTCGCCTAGCAGGAGCTGATAAAAAAGCTCCTTGCGTAAAAATGAAGGAAGAAATACAACACAATTCTGTACACTTTATACACTAGTCCACATTCAGTGAGAAACATCAACTGCGGGCCAAGCTCATGAACATCATCAGCAATCTGGGAAAATACTGAGCCTTTTACTCCCATATGGGAAGGCGTTACAACGTGCTACTTGCAGATGCGTTTGAAAGTGTCCTATGCTGGTCTAGCTGCCGTGCCAGAAGTAAGCCAGCGCTGCACCGGCCGTCTGCAGGGCGCTGCCGATGCCGGCTCCTTCTCCCTGCATCTCTTCGCTCTGCATGCCTGTCAGAGGCAGCATGCCGGTCGCCACTGCCGCGTCCATGGACGCCTCTGCGCGCTCCTCAAAGAGGCCTGCAGCCACAGCACCATCATGCATGCTGATTCCCCTCACAAGAAAACTATCCATGGTAATTGACTTTGAAACCAGCGCATGCATGCTGCACGGGCAGTTCACTGTATCACTCGACCTCAGAGCTCACCCTATATCGCCTGCTGCACATGCAATATCTCTTGAGCACGATGCAGAACCAGCAGGGATTTGCTCCTGGGACTGCTGGGAAACAAGAGGACTGTGTTAGAGCACACCTTTGCGGGCGCTGGTGAGGAGCAGCTTCTTCTCGGCAGCCACAGCTTTTGAGAGAGAACGCAGCTGCTGGGCCCGCTCGTGCACCGCGAGCGCAAAATAGAATTGCCGGCGCAGCATCTCGCCATCTTGCACTTGGATCGGCAGCGGCCGGTTTGGCGCGGAAGCCGGCAGGTAGCTGCAGTCCTGGGGCTGCGCCCTGCAGCCTCCTGCCTGCATGATTGCCTGCAATGATCCACAGAAATTTATGTGCTGTATTTAAATGAGATAATGTAACAACGACGTGCTAGAAGCTGAGCCATGTGCAAGCCATGCCCTGCTGAGCTGATCTAGTTTTATCTCATTTCTAAGGATTAGCATCCATGAGTAGTATAAGTAGTATATGCAAAGTTTTGCGCTGTTTGAGACATGCCCAGTACATAAGGGGGAGTGGCTGCCCACCTGAATGTCTGGCAGCAGCGCCAGAGGCACCGAGCACTGCTCTGTCGCGGCCTCCAGTCGCCCTTGAATGTCCTCATAGTGCCTGGGAACACAAAGGAGCCACGCACCTCTTCAGTCAACAATGCACGAACGTATCCCCCCGTCGCCATCCACAACAATTGCATGGCCCATTATAGTACTGCAAGAGCTTTCACATCTTAACATTAAGGTGGGTAGCTGACAGGGGCCAGGCCTAGGACCAGACCTGCGGCGGTCTCCCCAGGGGAGGGAAAAACCAGCGATGTAGCTGTTGCGCAGAACCTCACGCGCAGCTATGGCCTCGGATGCAGCCAGCTTCAGGTACCCGTAATCTGACACATGCACAGATTAAAGCTCAAATCACATTCATCGGTTCATTTGTTCAGCAAGAACAATTCGAATTTGCCTAATCAAATCATATGTACAACCTCAAAATGTTCCAAATATCCCTTTGCTATCCTCCCTCTATGGCAAGTACCTCAAGTATTGCATCATGATGCTGCAAGTGCGTCACAGCACAAGAGCCAAGGAAATTACCTGCCGCATCCTGCTGTTCAGGCCATTGCTGTGGCGCGAGCTTGCTTACAGCGTCAGGCGGACGCTCTGAGTCCTCTTGAGAAGCGGACTGGTTGCTCTCTGCCAGGGCTGCAGGGGAGCTGGGGCATGGCTCGCTAGCAGACGTGGCCCCGTCAGTGTCATCTAGCAGTTCGCCCAGCCCAACCCGGGCAGGTGGGCAGCTCTCTTGGGCAGCACTGGCCACTGTGGGCCCAGGACCTGCCTCTGCCTCACATCCCTGACTCCCTGCATGGAGCCACCAACACATGCAACGTCAGGAGAAGGTATAGCCACAAGCCATGCTTTACAGTGTACACCAGCAAGATGATCTACTGCCAGCATTGAAAGGCCATTTTCACCCAGGTGCCCGCCAATTTCAGGGCGCCAGGATATGGCCTGCCCAGATTGGAATCGTACAGCAGAACAGAGGCTGGGGAGCCTGAGACGATAGTGACATTTACAAACAAGGGAAGAAGAATAAATCACATATGATCGATCAAGTCCACGTGTGCGGAGCATCTCCAGTTGGGCCAAGCAGAGCTGCGCACTGTGATTCAGGGGCAGTCCGGCTGTCAGCAGAGCGCTCATCCACTCAGCTGCCACGTGCAATTGGCGGGCGTCACACTCAGAGGCTTGGTAGCGCCGCAGATAGTAATTGAGCCGGAAGAGCATCGCAGCATCCTGCAAAATGCATCAATGATATGCTCCATCAGCAGGCTCTAAGTCAGGCAGATCTTCTTTTCATGTCAGCATGTGAGTCAGCCCAATATCCATCAGCTTTGCGGCTTCATGCGCGCAGCAAATGCACTTTCTGTTGTATAATGATTTGCCCGGCATGCAAAGCTTGTGGAGTACAGCTAGTTTCGCGAATTCTGACCTTGACCAATGGTCCAAGAAAGGGTGACTCACCTGGATCCTGCCAAAGACGCTGCCCAGGAAGGCGCGCACTCCAACAGCTCCGCCCTCTTGGCTTGCCGCCTCCGCCTCCACCGCAGCCCTGAAGCGGTTGCACTTGTAGAAGCCACCTGTCGCTGAGTTGTGCGACGCCCAGTCACCACCGCAGATCTGCATGCATGGACATCCAATAAAAATACAGCATTTAAATTGACATACCTTGCATGGAATCCCGAGCAGCACGCATTCCTTTCCTTTGTCCATTTCATCTTTGCCTGTTGTGGCCCCTGCCAGAAGCCACTGCCACAGTGCAGTACGTTTCTTGTACCTTCGAGATTCTCATCCCACGAGCTGAAATTCTTGTATTACAACTAGAGCACTATCTTTGCTTGCAGACATTTTTGAGAGGAGACCACGTCCAGAAAGAAGGACCGAGCAATGGCAGAGCCCGTAAGATAGCATTGACATCAATAATGAAGGGGTCAGCGGCGGCTCACCCAGCAGAACTGCCGGCGGCAGCGCGAGCAGACAATGTGGTTGCACCCGCCGTTCTTCTGGATGGGGGCGCCGCAGCCGGAGCAGGGCTTGGTGTTGCGCGCCAGCCACCCCTCATCTCTTTCCTCCATCTCCTTCTTCACCTCTGTCACCAGCGACTTCCACTCCCTCACCTGCGCCATAGTACACGCGCTGCAATGTGACTTTCATATCCTTTATTCCAGGAAAATCTTTTCTGCAGCGATACTAGCATCAATCGCAGCTGGATCTAACGTTGCATGAACTCCCTCATCGAATCACCTCTGTAGAAGAGGATGGCCCAAACCCAGCAGCGGCACAGGAAGAAAGCCGTGATCACATGCAGACTGGGTTCATTTGTTCAGCATTGTCACATCATTACAGACTTTGATCCCATCCTCGCTCTGAGAATGTGCTCAGCCTCATTAACAGACTTAACTGCAGCATTGTAGGTTGCCAATTTGTGGCAACCAAACAAAGGGGACGGTCATTGTGTACAGAGAGTTTCTGACGGGCCCTCGCCAAATCATTGGCCGGTTGAATTCTCGCGCAGGCGCCTGCAGCAACAGATGGCAAGAAGGGGTGGGAGACCCACCGCAGCACAGGTGGCAGGCTCGTGGGGTGCGCGCAGGCAGGAGAAGCAAAATGCGTGGCCGCACGAGCAGCGCACGTCCAACGCGCGCCCGTTGCCGGCCGCCGCTGCGACGCCGTCAGCCGCCCCGACGCGAGCGTCTACCGTCAGGCACCGCCCGCAGCCGGCCCTCGGACACCTGATCAGGCAGCACACCCAATCAGGACCGCACCTCAGCACACCTAAGCGCTTACTCATTGCCTGAACGGGAGCCCTCAAACAAATTTATCAAGCATATAGCAATGTATGTGCAAGGACATGAAGCATGCAGGGAGAAAGGCTTTGAGAAACAATACAGAGGCGCACCATTTAATAACCGGATTAGTGTCTGCGTAGCTCTGCGCCAGCAGCTGCTCAAAGCGCTCCCTTTGCGACTTTGACAGAAGCTGCTGGGCAACTGCGAAGGGCAGCCGGCAGCTGCAGCCGACAAAAGGGCAGCCGGTCCTCTGGACGTCCCCGTCTGACAATCTCACCTTCAGAATGCCCTGCATGCATCCCCTCGATCATCAATCATCATAAGTCTTGAAAAATTGAGAATGATTCCATCCGAGTCAGCTGCTGCACGTGAAAACAACATTGCTCACAAGATCGGAAGAGAGAGAGATAGCTAGAGAGAGTGCGTTGTCACCTTCCAGCATGTGTCGCAGGTCACATGGCCGCAAGGGAGTGCAACAGACAGCTTCCTGGGGTTGACAGGCTCAAAGCAAACGATGCAGCCCTGGCCATCTGCTGGAACTGCAGGAGCTCGGGTGCTTGGGGCAGCTGCCTCTGAAGTGCTGGCCTCACTTTCAGTGGACACCCCAGCTGCTCTCAGTGCACCTGTGGGATTGAGAAATCCTGTCATGTAGTGAACAATAATGGGGACATGTAGTCTCTCATGAATGGCCTCAATTGGAGCAGATAATGCGTATTCTTCAGATGCAGCGACTCGACTTCAAGGAAGTCATTCCTTGCATGAGCTGGTGTGCTCACCTTCTGGATCGCTAAAGTAAGCATCCACTGTGCGGTGCTCATTCCATTGATTGACTTCCAGTAGAGCCATGGCGCGTGCATGGTTTACGTCTAGAACATACATGATGTGCTCCACGCTGCAGCAACCAGAGGCACTTACATCTTGACAAGCTTTTCACAAAACAGTTTATCATCAGACAAAAGCGTTAGAACATATTCCCAACACCTTTTGAGCAAGAGCAGCAGTCTTGCGTGAGCATTGTTGTGTGAGGCCAAAACAAAACACACCTTTTCTGTTGGTGCTGTGCAACCTCTGCATTGTTTGCCAACACAATAGCAGAGGCCTTGCTCTCTGTGCTGCACTCATCGGGGTCTTCCTGGAGTGGCGGTCCAGCGCTGCTGCTCCCTACAGGGGGAGGTGAAGGCCGGGGCTCTTGGCCCTGACGAAGGACGAAGTTGAACACCTTGCCCAGAGCATTTGGCTGCACAAGACAACACATGCTTCATCAGACCAAAGGTGCAATCGGAAGGGCTTTGCTGCATTTCAGCTGCGAGTGGAGTGGGCAAGCAGGAAGAGGCAAGCACCAACCCAAAGGCTGCAACGTTCATGCCAATAAATATTACATGCAAAGCGTACGTAGCAAAGTATGGTAGCACGCACTCCAATTACTCATAGTTTCTCACCAGGGCAAAGAGAACGCCGCCGTGCTTGGCGCCCTCCTCGGCAGCCGGCAGCAGCTGATTCAGCTCGCGCCGCGCGTCCTCCAGCTCAGGGCACTTTGACAGCGCACCGGCGGCGATCAGCAGCCGCACGGCCGGCCACTGCTGACTCACCAGCGCCACATCCAGCGGCCGGCGGCTCTCCGAGTCCTTCTCCGTTACGGGGGCGCCGACTTGCGCCGCACCTGCGGCCGGCCGGTGCGTGAGCAGCACCTGCGCGTGCGATGAGTCATCCCATGAGTCACCCCGCCAGCTGGCAGAGACTAAACAGATTGCTCATGAAAGGGGAAAGCTAGCATGGATACACTTTGTTGCAGCACATTAAAGGAGCCGCTTGGATGCCAAAGATGCAGCAGCGGCCAGTGCTAGAGCATGTCCTTGTACCATTTCAGGTGTTGCTCCACGCTTGGTGTAATATCTTGAAGGCATGAAGGGATGTGGTGGGGCGCACCTCGAGTATTTCCAGAGAGCGGGAGCGGAGGGCGCAGTGCAGGGGCGTTTCCAGGCGCGCATTGACAGAGGTCAGGTCCACCTGGTAGCCCTTGTCCAGCAGGAACCTCAGCAGCTCTGCCCGGTCTGAGGCGTGCCCTGCCCCCGGCCCCCTGATGCACAGCGATGACAGTAGCCGAGACACCCTGCACGATAACACAAACCCCTCATGCACAGCAATCTCCCCTTGAAGTGCTTTATATTCTCAGTTGCATGCAGAATCAGAATGAGGCCTGTCTTGCACATGTGCCGCTACTTGCAGAGCTTGTTTCGGGTTGATACAGTCACCGGATGTCAAGTATCATTAGACCTCACAGGTAAAGGCACTGCAAGGTGGGAAGGCTGCGTACAAGGAGACAGGGGAGCCGAGGGCGATGTAATGGATGGGCATGTTGGCCTCCTCTTCGTCATAGACAAAGTCCAGACGCGCAGGTGTGAGCCAGTCCTCGTGCACCCCAAACCTCCGCAGCACCCAGGACCCCACCAGGCGCTGGATGCCCACCTTCCACAGCGAGTGCTGTGCTGTCAGCAGGCTTGCGACCTGCCATGCAAACAATCACAACGTCAATCCAGGACGAGAAGTGCAACACAGGTTGAAGCATCCCGCCTGAGCTTTTGAAGGCCCTCACGAGCACTAATGCCCAGCACCTTCAGATGTCATATAGAGGACTTGTCTGACGATAAATCATGGCAAAGCAGCAGACAGAAGTCAAGAAAAGCCTGTGAGTGGATCCTTGTACTGGAGGTCAGGTAAGGCAGAGGCCCTTAAAGGGGGGTTTGAAAGAACAACTATCAATCATGCATCATACCTTGCGGACATCGCCCGTTTGACAGGCACGTCTGAGCTCTATTTGCTTAGCTGGGATAGGGCCCAACGGTTTTTTTGTGCCGTTCTTCGCCCCCATCCAGTATCTACACAACGCGTCCTAGGGTTGTGGCAGCAAAAGTACCCGTAATGTGCTGGTCTGGGGATATTTAAACCATCAATGTAACGCCAAAATCGCTAGTGTCCATTGGAGTTTAAAGGTATGCCGCAGCAAAGGCAGGAACCCATACTCAAGACGCATCGCCCCCTTCATGTCCTCTACATCCTAGCTTTCAACATTTTCACAACGGACAAAAGTTATATTCAAGTGTTCAGCCATTATTGAATTATAGATCGCGCGCAAGCAGGACAAAGTTTGAGCAAACGAAAGATGCAACGTACTTGGCAGAGTGATGACGTCATGGGACCAGCTTCCTGCAGGTGGAGAGCTACAGTAGAGCCCAGCTACTCCTGGGTAAATGCCGTGATTAGATTTCCCGTCCACGAATCTGTCCAGTCAATATAGCATGCTTTTGATTTGCCAGCTCTTTCTCTAAATTGCCCATCTTGTCCTTGCAAGGAAATCGACACTGGTTTTGTCTGGGGCTGATGATACTGGAAGTGTGTATAGCTCTCAATTACCCCCACAAAGTGCACCAGGTAACCCAAAAAAACTGCAAATATAGCGAACGCCACTTGCCACATTGCAGAATGTCAGATCGCTTATCGCAATGCCCATGTTGCCTTGATGCTTCAGGTCTTCCAGGAACCCCAGCGTGCACAGTTTAAGCGTTGTTCCATCAGAAGGCAGGCAAAACAATATATAAAACAAACGCTCCGCAGCAGCAACTCAAGTGACAGCGTTCAACAGTCCGCCACAGAAGGGCAGCTGCCCCCGTGGCACCTTGGCTTCCAATGTAACGAGAGATACCTCAGATGGGGCGACAATGCGCAGACTCAGCTTCTAAAAATATATGCAGCGAGAGAGCTGGGCAAGGTCTGTCTTCTTTGCATGTTCCTGCGATATCTGCCCTGGAGCATGGAAGCTGCTAGCACTACGATCCTAAGCCCTGGATAATTCTGTGCGACCGCTGCTCGTGCAAGCAGGATGTAAGTTGGGTGGAGGAGCAGTTGGCTGTCTTAAGTGATATACTCCCAGACGTGGTGAAAAAAGTCAGCGTTTTGCAAGCCAGCTTTCTCCTGTCACTGGTCAGAGACCCACAGGTTTGCACATGGCCATTATGCATGATCACACCTGGAATAACTTCTCCATTGTGCTCAACAAACATGTGCAAAGTTCAGGCTGTATATGCGATCATAAAAATCAGCCTTCCTTGGTATGGACCAGGTGGTTGTAAACAAAATGTTGCAGCTGAAGGCGCTCCTGCCTTCTGTCAATGCCTCGGCCCTTGTGGCTGACTGCCCATCTCTCCTGCTCACTCATGACTTTATAGCGATTGAGAGGAACCTTCAAAAATTCAGGTGAGCCTGACATTATTAGCTCGTCACTGTGCCTCGCTACAACCCAGGTCCTGCACCAAATTCTTCAAGGCTGTCGAGGCGCTGAGATCGCATCCGGCTGGCCTATGGTAGATTCATATCTGTGTTTCCTGGGTCTGGAGTTTGAGGATGGATTTCTTTCAAGAGAACCTCGTGTAGATGTATACATGGCATGGCAGGGGCGCATTGGAGGGCAGAGCAGATGTGGAGAGGCTTGTGGAGAGGGAGCCCATGCTACTGCTGGCAGATGTTGAAGACCTGCTAGCAGAGGCTGAGCGGCTACTGCCGAGTGGGCAGGATCCGGTGTCTTACCTTGTTGCCAATCCGGGCACCCTGCTGGACATGCAGCAGGCTGGCCTGCAATCTGCCATCGATGGCAATTTGTGGACTGACAGTTCTGATTGAGGAACGTTAGATGATTATGCCTGCGAGTTTTTGACAGCTCCTTGACCAGCTCGAGGACTTTGTCTCGGATTAACAACTCCAAGTGTTGTGATTGCCTGAAGCAATCATTTGCTGCAATTTTGCCATTGAGAGATATTATTTCGTACTTCTAGGAGTCTGTGATTGATCAACATTGGCAAGGGGGTGAGATTAATTTAAATCCACAATATCCACTCCCTCATTTGGCAGGGGGGTGGATGGGTGGGTCCAGCCGGTGGGTCAAATTTTGCCAATATATTTTTGCCTCGCAAGGGGTCAAATTTGGCCATTTACTGTATGATGAAATTGATCCTGAAGCATCCCCGCCGATGGCTCCTTCATCCCGCTGAATGTCTTGAGGCACATCATGTCCTTCAACCAGAGTTTATTGTGGGGACAGCTTTGCCTCAAGCCAATGATTGCAATATCTATTCTATATGCAGATTGCCATCACAAATGGCTTTGGCAAAGATGCTACCCACTTGCTCATCAGATAATAATTTGACAAGCTTAACTCATCTTGTGGCTGCCATTAGGATGAACTTCAGGTTGAAAGGGTCACTGACTTGGCAAGCCAAGCTCAACTGTCAATGACACAGTGGTTGAAGGTTTTGTTGATCAACATGCGTCTCAATTGTGTTTTACAATGCATATGAGTCTAGAGACTGGTGGTCACAGCTTACTTGTCAATGTGTGTGCCTTTCTTACCATTACATGTAGTTGGGCAGGCAAAAACAGCTATGGGCAGTCATGTGCAGGGGCTGGGCAGGGTTTGTACAGTTGTAGATGAGTAATTGGGCTCACGTGAGAGGTCACTTGCCCCATTCGTAGCCTAATGAGGCAATCGGCGGGTCGGTGGGTGGGTCAAGGTACCCTACTGCCAGATTTGGGGTGTCACATCTCGAAAATCTCACCCCCTTGTTGTCGAGAATTTCAAATGGATGCAATTTTCTCAGTTATTTATACTTTTCTAAAGTAGTCTGTTGTGGTCTATTGATGAATAGTTGTACATCGGAAGTTCATTTCATCCTTCATCGAAGCTCGTCGACTCGTGATCAATGTGCACGATCAACTTGCTGCGTGTGGACATTATTGGGGAGCTTTTCACCAATTGAAACTACTTCAACGCTCCACTTAATTTCAAATCAGATTGAGACAGAATGGAAGCGCTCTCAACACGTTTGACGCTTTCACACCTGAAGTGATCTGTTGATCAGGTGAGTAAACTGGAAGTTGACTTGCTGAAAAAACACGTAAAAACACCTGGAATAATGCGCCTGTACTGCTCGAATACTATGACGACTTTGCTACGCTTTGCTGACTGTCATCAACCTACAGATGTCGAAAGGGCCCTAAAAACACCTGTTGTGCTGCTTGCTCCAGACACGGATGAGACCCCACGAAAATGTCCTGTTCTGGGGAACTTTGTCCTGTGGCCTACTTCTTTCAGAGGTGACACTAGAACAGCAACACAAAAAGCTACATTCCTGCTGCGTCGGAGCCTAGCTTCAAACCTTGCTTGTGTCTCACTTTTGGGAAAAGGTACAAGCTGAATTTATATTGTGCAGATCACCCGAAGAGGCTGGCTGCCACCTCGCCTGGTGCTGGTATCTCTGTCGCTGCTTTGGGCAGGCGCTGTTCTTGCTGTGTCTTTCCTTGAGTCCTGGGTCAAGTTCAAGGCCCCTTTCGTCTCGCGGCATGCTGCCTTGGACGTTGGCAGGCAGGTCCTACTGTCAACTTGGTCTTTTACACTGTCTGTCGCAGTCTACCATTGCTTCAGCTCTCATGTCGCCATTGCATGTCCTGGACTATTTGTACTGTGGGATGCTTCAAGAAAGCTGCGTACATACCTGCAGCCCTATGAAGTTGGCTACTAAATGTTCTGTGTTCGCTCTACAGGCATGTCTTCATGGCTTTGAATGCTGTGGAGGTGGGAGTCGTTCTGACTCTTCTCATGATTCTTTCTATGACACGGGCTCCCTGGGACTACTGGACGATGCCGGCTGTGCTTGCAGCAATTGCACTGCTCCAGTTCCTCTACCTGACTCCTGCCCTGGACCTCAGGTGCACTGCTTTCTGTTCTGTACAACACGAGCAGTGCAAGGGGACTTATGCAGCCAGTTGATTACCAAACTGGATGCGAGCTGGGTTGACATTTCAGACCTGGCTAATGGATTGCTTGCATGCTGGACTGACTGCTGATGACTAAGAGGATTTTCTGCTGCTGCAGGGCTCAGCAAATCATTGCAGCAGAGGCGGATCCGCAGCAGCTGAAAGACAGCCAAGTCAGGCACCTGTCCCATGTGCGAGCCAACGTGGCGGCAGAGCCCGCGCCATCTGCCTTCATGCACGGCATGTATGTCTGCTACGAGCTGGCAAAGCTCATGTCTCTGGGCGGCTTTGTTGTCCAGCTGTGCGGGCCCTGCACTGGAGCCCTATCCATGCCTCTCTAGTAATCTCTAGTATTGACGGTTGGGAAGCTGTGGGACATCTTATCAGCCCTGTGTGGCTGGCACGACCTTACCATACCTCTCTCGCTCTCTCTCTCTCTCTTTAGTACAGGCGCCGTGTTGTTGACTTCAGGGATTAAGTTATGAGGATAAGGAATGCAGCTGCATGCAAATGCTTTGGATTGGATGATGAAGGAGCGCAAAATGACAGATATACACAGAGAAGTTGCTAAGTGATTCAAACTCAATGCAAAGTAAACATACTCAGCAGGTCATAATCAAGAATAGCCACAGTGGGGAGAGATGTAGCTTAGTGGACATATCCACTCTGTATTTCCTGTCATGTATGATGGAAATTTTGAAGTTGTATCACAAGGGAATCTATTGATCAAGCAGTCTTGCTTGGCTGGCATCTCTTACAGGGAAATGGAGAGTTCAACAGTCCCACTTTGGGAATCCCAAGTAATTCATGCCTATTTGTATGATCAAATTCACCCATATCCATGTCGCAACCAAAATCCAGCAATGCGCTGGATTGTTGTACAGTATTGTCTATCTGAGAGTGACAATGGGTAACATAGAATGAAGAGACTTTGACACGGCCGTAGCTCCGCAGTGCCAATGCAAGGACTTGCAAGGAGTTAAGCTCTACAGAAGAAAACACTGCACCTACACGGTCTCTGCCATTTCCTGTTGGCGCTCCCGCTCCACTTCTAGGCTGACATCCAGGAACGCCTCTCGATTGAGGTACGGGTAGTCTGAGACCCACACCCCACACTCTGGCAGATACACCTCCTTCAATGCCTGCACCAGAAGCCCCCAGCAGTCAGGACCTGCGAATAAGTACTCAACACGCAGACATCCAAAGCCACACGTGGGCCATCGACGTATTGATTAAAACATTCCTACAATTAGATGCGAAAACCAAGATGACTTGGAATGCAGCGATCCAGGTAATGCTTGACACTAACTAGCCCTTAGGCCTGCAAAAAACTGCAGCACCCTCAGTATTCACATCAAGCTGGCTTGCTCTCACTTTTCCTGCAGCTACAACAAATGCAACAAATTCTGCAGCAGCCTCAAAGTTGCCATTGCTCTGCTTTTTCCAGGGTCATGTCTGGTGCACAAGCTGGCTGCGCCAGAAACTGTCTGGCAATTTTATGCCGGTTTGAACAAGCACTGATGCTCATGTTACTTCCGCGTCACTTCTGGCTCGCTGATCTCAGCGCCCTGATGTCTTTGAGCAGCTGACTAATCGTCCGTGTCATCACGTGCATCTCCTCGTCCCGCTGACTCAACCGCGAGATTTGAGAGCCAGTCGCAAAGGTGCTTGAGGCTGCTAGCAGACAACTGTGATGGGATGAACGCCGCACCTTAAAGGTTTCAAACGTCCTCCTCTTCGAAAGGACCAGCACCTCAGCAGGCTCGCCCACCCTGATGGCGTCATACCTGCGCCAAGAGAGCTCAAAGACTCAGACACCTACTTGTGAGCTTTGTTTGAGCCACGTGCTAGAGCAGAGAATTGATCCATGCTGGAAGTGACAAGTGCAGTTCCTCGATTGTGGGTGTGCATTGACATCGTTTCACCTCGGCGCATCTACAACTCTCCCCTTATGCACCCCACAACAAAAGACTTCATCGTCACACTTGCAGGCATGACACCAGGTCATGGAAAATCTGTATCAACCTGCTTGACTACGCACTCCTTTTCTCCTGAGAGATGACAGACTTCTGCAGGATCCTATTGAAGTTGCCATAGCCACAGGAAAGAAGAATTCACAGCTGGTGGTAGGGCGCAGACAGATCTTTGGCCATGCAGGCCTTGTAGACAGCTGTTTCCGCGAGATGCAGGGCTCCATAAAAGCTGTGTTGCCAAATTTTGTGAAACTGTGTTAGTCAGAGAATTGAAGGACTCACCGCTGGTGATAGGGGACAGAGAGCTCGCTGCGCGCGCCGCTGCCGTCGCCGACCAGCAGCCGCAGAACGCGCGACTGCGCGCCGACCGGACCGCGATCCCGGGGCGCCCGGAACCGCTGCTCCACCTTTACATCCACCTCCAGATCCACCACTGCCGCCCTCCACAGGCCCACGTGCCTGTTGCCCAGAAAATGAGCAGACTCGGCTTTTGAGTAAATTGCATAGGTGGCCAGGGTACAATATACGGTAAAAGAAACTGACTCAGCATCGAATGGAATGGCCATGGTGGAGCGGGTGCAGGTTCATGTTATCGTTTGGTGATTCAGTGGTGTTGAGACAGGCTGGTGCAACTCTACTGCAGCATATGCAGCAATGTGCCTGCCACCGCTCTGCGATAAGCATTTGAAAATGTGTCTGACATGCACTTAATCTTAGCATGCTCAAGACCAGCCTGCAGTCAGGTGCAGTGCACCAGGCCAGGAGCCATATCAGACACCGCGCCAGAAATATCTTGGACCTCGGAGACCCCTCATTATGCAATCCTTTGCTCTGAATGGCATTTGTGAGAGGACTCCAGAGGAACAAGATATTATTGGAGCTTCTTCAGGATAAAACGGCCAAGGCCGGCTGCGCGCAGAAGATCTCAACAATGCGCAATGTCCTCAGGGCTTCGTGAGAAGAACACAGCCGAGGCCGGCTACGCACGGAGGACCACAAGATGCAATGGGGCTTGCACAGGAGAACATGGCCGATGCATGAATCGCGCACCTGAACTTGGCGCGTACGTTCCTGTTGCGTAGCGTGGCTTGAAGGGAGGGGTACCACAGGGGGAAGGTGAGGCTGCCAGCTGCCAGGGCGCTGACTTTGAGAGTGGCCAACGTCACCAGAAGTGAAATCCCCAGCCTCTGCCACAGCACCGCTGAGTCACCGCTGCAGTGCTGGATCTGCTCCGCTGTCGGCGTGGCCGGCAGCATCAGCGCCTGCATATTCCACGAATTCTGACCGTTGGAAGAGAAGTTCTTTTTCAGCTGAGATGTCTGATGCCTTGCGTGCAAGGAGAGTGTGTTGGGCCAGGCATCCATGTTGACAAGAGTAACCACATGCTGGTAGAGTCATTATATTTGCTGATCGCTCTAGTCAATTATGGCAGACACTTGGAAGCAGTGACTGATTTTCAAGGTGCATAAAGTGCCATGCATGATTGTCAGAGTAGAAATGGTTGTGAGGGCGGTACCACTTCTTCTGGTCGCAGCTCGACAATGTCCGGGCTGTCTTCCTCTTCCCATGCACCTTCCCCTGCCTCCCCCTGCCCATCGCCAGCTGCTCTTGCAGCCCTACCTGACTGTGCTTCTTCCTCTGCCTTGCCTGCCCCATTACTGCTTGGCCAGGCACCGCCACTACCCTGCCTGGCTCCTTGTGATTGCGCAGGCCTTCCTCTATCGAAGCCCCAACCCCAGTCCTCTGCCTCTGGCTTCGGGCCACCTGACCAGCCATTGTCATCCGTAGCTTTGCTGCTGCTGTCCCATCCAGAGGTCCCTGATCTCGTTCCAGGCTCCGCTGAGCTCTCCCTTGTCCCATTCTGGGTGCCATTGCCCCAGCCATTGTTAGACGTAGCTTCAGGCCCTCTGGTAGATGCGGGCTGCGTGCTGGGCTCTTCCACAGGCTCATCGTCGCTAGGTTTGGGGTCTGCGGGGTCCACATTATCCAGTAGGCTCTCTCGCACTCGCCTGCTACCATTCCCTGCACACATGAATGTGAGCGATGAGCCACAACAAGGCACACAAAAGACGATGAGTACCGAAAATGGAATGACAAAAATGGAGCGATCTGGTACTCGCTAATGTCGATGATCACCTCTTTGCCATCTGTAGCCCGCCCCAGTCCTCACTAGCCGTCTTGATGTAGACAGGTGGTGGCCCACACGCCCATGAAGGCTGCTATTGCGCACCGAGTGTGGAGAACATGAATGAAGCTTGAAGGCTTCTAATTGCAGCATGCCAAGGTTCTTAGAAGGACAGTAGGTGGTGTTCCGATCAACAAGATTACCACAATTGCCTCATATGATGATGGCACAGCACCGCAAGAAAGAGTGACCGATGCTTTCGCTTCTTCAAAAGATGCGAGAACTGTAAAGCAACCTAAAGATTTGGCCAGACGCAGGACAGAAGAAGTAGACATGCACGGTGAGTCATCACAGCATGGTCGCCCCATGTGACTTGGACAAAGCCGGAAATTTGCAAAGTTAACTCACAAGTCAGTGCAAGGGGTTGATGAGCACCAGATTCTGCACTAAGACTGTGGGGTGCTTGTTCAACCTGATGATCAGCCGACACGTCTCCAGCTTTGGCTCCAACAGAACCACCTTGTATTCAGGCTGGGCGTGCATCAGGACATGCGCATACACCGATGGGGACATCATTGCGGCACACAGCACCAGCCCCGGACACAGCCCTCCCTCCATACCCGGACTGGGCTGTGCATGCAGGGTTGACTTCTTTGATCCCATCAGTTTTCCTCTCTTCAGGTGTTCTTACAGCTGTCGCACTTATTCCAAAGCTACAGCGCTGTACACTTCCAAGAGGTAATCAACTCGCATAATCAACACAGCCCTGCAGGCAGTCCTTGCACTTCTGCACACACACTTATAGCTTTACAGTTGTTCAACGTATTCATGCCCTGCATCCCAGAATGTGGCTCTTCCAGCACTTGAGACTCTTGAAAGTCTACATATCTTCATATAAGTTAAGTCTACATGCTACAGCCGCCTACTGTCGCAATTTCAGTGGTGCCCATTTGGTGGGCTGCCAAAGGGAGGCCCCGGCGGTGGGCTGGGCGCAGGGGAAATCCTCTGCGCTGCTGTGCCGAACGGTGGGTGCCCCTCCTGAGCGCCAGCCGGCGGCTGCTGTGGCACAGCCTGCACACATGGCACTGGAATTCAGCCTGCCTGCTACTAATCTTGGTACACTACTACTCTCTCCCACCGGCTGAGAAAAGAACCTGTGCAATCCCCCCTACATCATACGAATGAGAAAGGCTTCCCAACGCTGGCATCAAAGTGATCAGAACTTGCTGGGCTAAGAAGAAACGGCTGAGAACATGTGGGAAGGGAGACATTGTCAAGTGCAGTAAGGTAACAATTACCTTCTGTGGAGTGGTCCTGGCAGGCAGCTGTGGCATTGGGGAAGGTGAGCGCCCGGTCCTGCTGATGCCAGCATTCTCTGGCGGCACCGGCCTGCGCAGCAAGCAAAACACTCAAACTATGTACGGCAAGCACTTGCAATATTCTCTTATGTCATCAAGCAGTTGACCTTCCGTAGCAGAGCAGAATGTGAACTTTCGACTAGCATTGCCAGCAGTCACAATGTGCTCCAGTCCGGTTGGGAGGCTGCCGTCGTAATGCTGTGACACATGCAGCAATGATTTCTGGCACTGGAGCCAGTCTGCCTACCTGGCATACTGCCAGCTGGCACGGCAGTCTTTTCATATCTACAATGCCAAAGAGGTTGTTGTCTCAACAAGCAAGCAGCGCACCCGGGATCCTGGGTTGCGATGCCGGCAGCGGACCCGGCCGGGGCGCTCTCAGGGGGCGGCGCAATATTGGTGTGGGTGGATGGCGCGACGGCCCCGGGGTCCAGAATGCGCGCGATATATTTTTCGTCCCGGCCGCGCGTCGCCTCCGCCGCGTGCTCCATCTTGGGGCCGACAGTTCCCGGCGGCAGAACTCCGTTCGCGTCCTCTGCCTTCACCGCTGCCGGCTCTGCCTTTATTGGCGATGGCTCTGCCTTCACTGGCGTTGCCTGGACAAACACATTGGATGCCTCACTTCAGTCTCAACCAAGTCCTTAGGGTCCAGAGGAACACCAAAAATCCCTCTGCCGCAAGGTCCCAGCAATATGCTGAAGAGTACGCGCAGGTAAGCACAATTCTTGCAGCGTCCCATTAGCATGCAGATCAAGAAACCAGCACGACAACAGCAGCCCGACACGCCCTTTCCTTGCAGAGGGCAGAACCCAGAGGAAACGCCCCGTCATGCAGCTGAAGTGCTGAATGATTTATTCCAATGAGATCTGCCCTGTGCAAGGGATTCCAGTGCAAAAACAGATCACTGACTGCAAGGGGGATCCGCACCCCTGAGGGGATTGTGGAGGGTATCTCCCCTGCGACCCGCTCGTTGACGAAGGGCTTGGCCTCCTCATCGTCCGACTCGTAACCTTCCTTGATAATTCGGCGCTCGTCTGCAGCAATGCCGCCGCCCCTCACATCCATGTCCTCTTCTGGCTCCTCCGCCTTCACACACCACAACCCCTCATTAGGCTGAACTGTGCAATATCTAGGAACAGTGTTGCTAGTGTGCGAGATGGACCTTAGGGCTGTGCAAATGTCCACACATGAGCAGCACACTTGCCTCTGCTGTTGACGCAGGCTTGGGGCCGCACTCAATAGCAGTATGTCACCAGTGCTGACATACTGCCTGAGACAGCGACAGCAAGCCCGTGTAAACCGAGCGCATGAATTCCTTCCACCAACACAATCTTGGGGAAGCCTATGTAACTTACTTAGACCTCAACTCAAAGTACTGGGAGATTCTAGTTCCACATTATAAAAGGGGAAACCCTCACCCTCCTTTCCTGCTCTTGAACTGGAAACTAGAGTGGTCCGCACGTAGGCGTTTGCTTGAATTCCCAGTCTCTAATTGTATGTGTCTGTGAATTTGCCAATGTCTCGAGCTCCCAAGCCCCTGTTTTTGCAGCTCGATTTGCATTTGGGCAGGTCACAACAAGTGTGGGACAGATTTCCTCTGGCGCTCCTCTAGACTGGGCGGACTGAACAGCTGAAACTGCAAAACAGGCGCACCTTGATGTGGGCGGGCGGGCGGGGGGCCATGTGGGCGGAGGGGGCGGCGTCGAGCTGGGCCAGGTTCTGGAGCACGGTGGTCTTGATGTGCTCCAGCTGCTCGCGGCTGTTGGCGTTCTTCATGTTGCTCACGCTGATGCGCAGCCGGTGCGTGTCCATGTAGTAGTCGTACGAGCGCAGCGCCTCCTCTGGCAGCCTGCACACATTCACCCACAGCCACTATTACTTTACATATACACAATATGACATATGTCATATCTGCTGAGCACAATTTGCGAGTTCAAAAACACATTGCGGCATCTTTATCCTTGGAGGTTGTGCAAGGTCAAATGAGGCACCCCACAAATCCCCCGCCGGCAGCCTGCTTGCATTCCCCGACAGCATTTAAGAATTCCTTCCTTCTTCACGGTGCCTGACTGATCTTGTTACTCTGCAAGACTCTGTACTTTGTCAAGAAAGCCAGATGTCTTCCATACCTTATCTTCTTAGCACAGTGCATGGGCTTAGCAAAGTCCACAAAATTGATCAGGCACCCCAAACACCCCGACCAGCACAGTGACATCAACATTTGTTGCCTGCTTAACCTCCAGCGCATATGCCGATCACAGAAATCCCCCATCCACCTAGACAGCTTATACAAGCATTCCCTCCGCATTAGAAGTGCTTGCCCCTCCCCAGATTGTTGCGCGCAGCCGCCAACAGCAGACAACAAGCGCATTGTGAGCACATGCTGGTACGATTTCTTGCCGATGCACTATGCTTACACCGGGAGGCAGCCCTTCCTCCCTGCTTGGCGCTCGCACTAGGTTGTATATCTTCCTTGTGTCTTGGTCTGACATGAGTCTAAAAGGTGGGGGGCGCACTCGTCGGGCAGCTCCTGACCAAGCAGCCGGCCGGTCTCGTAGCACCAGCAGCGGGCGACATTGCGCATGGTGTAGCCGCCGCCGCCCAGCACGAGCATGGGGACGCCGAAGCCGGCCAGGAACTCCATGCAGGCAGCATGGCCCTGCAGGCTCAGGTTGAAGCAGCCGAGGCGGTCCCCCGACAGGCTGTCCGCGCCCCCGCACACCACTATTGCCCCCGGCTGGTACATCTCCATCACCTATGCAGTGATTGGCTGTATTCACACAAATGTACACAGCAGGACGCTGCCGCTTTCAGGGCAGCTTGACATGATGTAGTGACTTGGAGCAACCTCAGCCTTTGCATGCTCTGACGGTTCTCATGTGACGCCTGCACTGGCATGGCAAGGATTCCAAGAGAATCACAATCTGCACCTGTACAGACAACTGCCAAGGCGGGCAGGCACGAAACCCCCTTAAGTCCCGAGTGGCCAGCGGAGGCGCGGCATGAGCCTGCCGTCCGATTTCAGCGAAATCCACAGGATCGGCAGGTTGGCTAAATTGGTGCATTGCTGTCCCACAGATCTTTTCGAGGCACGTCTCAACACCCTGGAAGCGAGATCAGAGGGTGGTGCGAGGCGGAGAGGGGGCAGTGCGCACCTTCTGCATGATGGGCTCAAAGACAAACTTGTAGCTGTCATCGTCCATGCCCTCCTGCAGGGGCACGTTGACGCTGTAGTTCTTGCCGCCCTGGTACCCGACGTCGCCCAGCGCTCCAGTGCCGGGGAAGAAGTCGCCGTACTTGTGGAATGAGACCGTCATCACTCGGTCTGTCAGGTAAAAGGCCTCCTCCACGCCGTCACCGTGGTGGATGTCTATGTCCACGTACAGCACACTGCGCCAAGGAACAAAGCATATTACACATCACCTCCGGCCGCCACCATGTGCAATGCTCTCACAGTGTATTTCATTGTCATTTGAGATTGAATTCTAGTCAGGAATGTGTCTGGCAGGGCTGCACATCCGCTCGCTATGCAACAACATTGTTGAGTGGTCTGCAAGCCTGCAAGCCTAGGAGGCGTCCACTGGAAGATATGGCTCCCCAGAGATGACAGGCAGCGCTGGGTTGGCCCTCAATGAGCAAATTCCTGTTCTAGCTCGGGAGGTGCATGGGCTGCTAAGGGTCATATTCTGTTGATGAAAACGTGGTGACTCACCGCTGGTGCACTTTCAGCAGCTCCAGGATTCCCAGCACGATGTCGTTGATGTAGCAGAATCCCGAGGCCTCCGCCTTCTTGGCGTGATGCATGCCGCCTGCAAATTGGAAGATCAAGTCATTCTCTCATCACTAAAATGTGGATGAACCCAGATGCCAAGTGGAAAGGGTGTTGCCCCGCACCTGCCCAATTCAAGCAGATGTCTGCCTTCTGCTCGTTCATGAGCATGGCTCCGCCCACAGACCCCCCACTATACACCTGCAATCCAACAGAAACACGCGTCAGCAGCAACACTTGGAACGCAGGCCGTAAAGAACATGCAGAACCTCCCTTGATGCACGCCTGCTCTCTTGAGATAAGGAAATAGAGCAGTACAGAAGGTTATGGCGATCAGCACGCACCGCGCAGTAGTCAAACATGCCATCGAAGACGGGACAATCAGCCTCGCCGACTGGCCCTAGGTTGAAGCGGCGCATTTGCAGGATGAACTCATCCTGATTATCCGGGGTCACGCTATTAAGGAAGTCCACGTAATCTGCAGCAGAAAGGAGCCTTACAAAGGTGCAAACTGGAGCTTTGCGCATCAGGCTGCAGATAAAGCACTTTCACCAATGGAGGCTCCATGGCTCGAGAAGGAAGTAACTTTTCTGGACAAAGAAGGTATGCAAGAATGTGGCTCACCATCGCAGTGGAACTCCTCTATCTGTTCCTTGGAGCGCGCCTGCGGCCGGTGGACATACATCTTGGAGTTGAGGCCATAGTTTGACACCAGGCTGTGGGTGAGTCGCACCCTGTGCGGCCGCATGGGGTTGCCGCCACCATAATTGTGATTTGCTGCAAGCCGCAACACAACACATTCAGAGTGGCTCGTCTGCACTTCCTTCTCTAGTAACAGCTAGACCTTCCAATGATGACTTGCAGCACCATTTATGAACCCTGTGACGAAAGAATCAAACGTCGCCATGACACTGTATTTGTGGACTTCTACACTTGCATGCACGGACAAGGCGCGCTCGCTGCACAATTTCGGCCGGTGCAACAGGTGGTCAGCGATCTTGGCTCAGAGACGAATCTGCTAAAGAGAGACTAGACCCTCGAATTCTGCCCGAAAGCTGCAGATACACTGAGCACAAGGCTAAAACAATCAAATGATGGGACGAAACTTTAAAGATGGACTGGTGATTGGGAACAAAGCGCTACTTGGAAACACGCGTCACTCCCACGCGGCTAGTAAGGCCTGCCTAAGGAAGGTGCCTAGCAGCACAGATGGTGCAGCGGCACAATGCAATTGGCTAAGACATGTTACGCACAACTCAAAACCATTCAAATATATTTCTCCACAAGGCAGCAGAAAGGGCCAAAAATGCTGTCCATGCACAAGATGGAATAAGATAACTTACTGAGCTCTTCATCGTAAAAATATCCGACAGTCTTATCCTTGAGACTCATGCTGATATGTTGCAGCTATCTTCAAGGCTTATCGCTAGATCCTTGCCAACGTGTGGTCACATCACCCCTGCTGCAATTGCCTGCCTGGGATCCCTTTGTTTTCCTATTCACAATCTTTGCACCTTCGCACCTGGCACCTTGTTATCATACTATAAGTAAAAAGAACTCCTTTGATTACCGCCTGGATTGTTTTGCGTTCCACCACCACATTTCACGCATGAGAAAGTTGGGACAAGAAAGGAACGCCGTTGACAGCGGCGCAGCCAAAATAGGACATTTATTCTCGTTTAAAAACCGACCAAGGGAAATCGCACAAGCCAGCGCAAGAAGAGGTCGCTTTCATCTATACATTCGGACAAAGTTCTTCTGAATATGTGTTGTGGGCGATTGCAATGAGTTTCTTGCTTCGAAAGTGTTAAGCCGAAAGATTTGACCTGGCTACTTGTTAACCCATGGCCCGAGACGACACGTAAGGTTGTTGTAACTCTAATAGAGCCGATGATTCTGTTCAGTGACTGTTTTTCGCGGGATTGTGGCACATCAAGGGTGGTTGTCTGCCCGAGTTCTTATCAAATGATACGAAACGCCTTCCGCACTAACCTTTCGTGATATTGGGCTGTTGAACATGGGATCCAATGAAAGGGGCTTGAGGTAACAAGTGAACTACATCGTACACAAAATCGGGACCTGAAATTCACTGATCGGCGCGGACTCCTAAGTTCAGGGCTTACGTGCTGTTTGTGTGATCTAGGCGCCTGAAGGCTGAGCACCTGAAAAAGAGAGCGGAGACCGCGCTTCGCGAGGGAAACTACAGGGAGGCTTGGCATGGGTAGGTTACAATTGGGCATCATACACGCTGGGTTGCTCCTTACTGGATGGCCAGTCATCGGTGCGTACAGTGGTTACTGAATGTGTGAGGGATGCGCAGATATACAGAGGCCCTGGAATTGCTGCCGGACAAGATCAGCCGCAGCAAGATCTACTGCAATCGCTCTTTGGCCTATCTCAAGGCTCTGAGATACAGCGAGGCCCTGGACGACGCAGAGGGTGCCGTTGGGTGCAATTCCGAATGGGGAAAGGCCCATTGGAGAAAGGGGGCAGCCCTTAAGGAGCTCAAACGAATTCCTGATGCAGTTTCTGCGTTCCACAAGGCCTGGCAGCTTAGCAAGGGTGCCTGAATCCTCCTGTGTAATTACCTCCTTTGGCCGTTCAGATCAGGTCTGAACAAATAGACTGAGAGCCCTGCAGCAATGTGGTCTTTGATCTGCAGCATCAGACACCTTCAGAGACTCTCACAGACGAGGTATTTGTGACTCATGGCTGGCATCCGGGCATGCAGGGACAGCGAGCGAGGCAGAGTGTGACAGGATGCTGTGGGCTGTGATACAGCGGCTCACAAGGGAGCAGCTATGCCAGAGCATCCTTGTAATTATGGAAGAATTGTTAAACCAGGTGCGTGTGTTCATATGCCTCTATAATATGTTAACTAGAGTGGTTTGCACGTATAAGCTTGCTTCAAAATTCCTGGCCTCTACTGTACATTGTCTGTGAACCTGCTGTTATCTCAAGCTCCCCAGCGCCCTCATTTTACAGCTCGATTTGGATTTAGGCAGACCATATCTCTTTGGCCACATTTTCTCAGGTGCTCCTCTACTTTGCGCAGACTAATCAGGTCTGAACAGGCAGCAGAAATGAAAGTCGTGGGTTAAAAGTGCAGGGTGTTGTGGAGAGGGCTAGAGTTGAGGCAGTGACCGATGGTGAAATGTTGGAAGCTTCCTTCAGGCTGCTGGCCCTGGAGCACAAGGGCTGCCCCAAGCCTGGCCCCTACTACAGGTGGGCAACTTGCTCTCTGAGTGTTCTGGGTCTACGTGACAAACGTGCATTCATTCGTCCTGATCCTCAAAGCTTTCTGAGTCATACATGACAACGCTGTTTTCACTTGTCCCTCCTGAGATGGGCAATGATCACGTCACAGGGCATACCAGCGGTGGCTCAAAGCCGGCATGCCAGCGGCAGAAGCTTACATAGAGCGCTCTGCAATCTACAGCATGGCCAAGTGCTACCTCCAGGCAAGCCTCACAATCCTGCCTTTTGAAACACAAAAAGAAAATGCTTTCATTTGCAATTCAAACTTTCATATGCACATGAGAAGCATCCTTGAAAACATGCAGCTGCACAGAGTCCCCTAAAGGCTCAATTAATTTCAAGAGTGTGCTGAGGTCAGAACTGTGGCCTGCAGGGGAGAGTGGATGCTCAAGCAGCAGTGGATGCACTCCTAGAGCAACATCAACAAGCAGGTGACAGCTGCAAAACACAGCCGGAGGTGGATGCGCAGGTGGCGAAGGCATATCTGCGGCTGGGCGAGGCCTATGTGGCCGAGAGGGAACACCCTGACAGGGACTGCAGGAGGGCTCTCGAGGTGCAACCTGTTCATTTCCACTTCTACTGAAACGTGGGCTTGTTGGCACCTTTCACACTCATGAGCTCCCTTTGTCACTTGTGATAGTGCCTCAGTCCAGTCACTGGACTTCAGTGACCCGAATATATGATGCAAATGCCTGCCCAACCAGCTTGCCTTCTAACGTGTCAGCGCTAGTTGGTAATACCCTCCTCAATCCCAGCGGATGGCAAGTGGGTGCATGTTTGCCAGCCAGGCTTGCCCAGTGCCCACTGTATTACCTGGCAAAGAAAGCAAGCACGCATGCAACTTCAGACTCTTCAAGGGGTGAAGAGCACGGACTCCCCCTTTCATTTACCTCTAATTCCTGTACAGGCGTTCATTCGCGGGTTGGAATTTGATCCGCGCAGCGAGCGGCTGAGGGAGCTCAGGACGGAGACAGAGGGCGAGCTGACCGGACAGGAGATAAAGGCAGTGCTCGGCGGGCTGCGCAAACCAGAAGGGAACGCGTCGGACGGCTGCACTCCAGCCAGGCTGTTCAGGGTGGATATAGCGCTGCGCTACCCTCAGGTGTATTCCATTCACTTACAACTCAGACATCATACCTCTCTGACCAGCAATATGAATTTGCTGCCACAGTTCATGCCAATAGACTGTTCACTCAAGACTGTGCCTCTGTCAATCACTGGTATTCAAGATGGAGGACTGTATGTCTCTTGACATATCAGTTGCACAAACGGCTCAGCAAAGTGGATTACTAGTCTGGATGGGATCTAGAACAGCGGAGCAGCCAGACCATTTTGTCGAGTTCTGCTTCCGGAGTGTTATCTCACCACTGGTAGGCAGGGCGCAATTCGGCATGCAACTAGCCCAGGAGTGGAGCGCAGATGCGGAGACCTGGGAGGGTGATCTGCCAGATGCATGAGCACTGCTGAGGCAGGTGACTCACCGGCTGATGACTCAGCGGCTGATATTGCGCGCAGGCGACGCACAGGGGATTTGGAGCTAGGGCGCGCAAGGCGCTGCGGGCTGCGGTCGCGCGGGCGGCCGGCCTGACCGCACCGGCAGTGGCGTTTGACGGCGTGCGGCGGCTGGTGCAGAAGGAGAGCGCCGCCGGCATCGTGGTCCGCGTCTGCGCAGAGACCGGGCGCGACATCCTGGCTGCACAGTTCCTTGTCACAGCGCTCAAGGTGCCAGCCAGATTGTTAAAGCACTTAACAGACTGCTTGTATGTGCTTGCAAGCGACTGACATAGCACCAAGCCTTGCTTAGATACGCTGAAGAGGCTGCAAAATAGCTGCCATTTCAAAATGATGCATGTGTGTGCACATAGGACCCAGGAAGACATGATCCCTCTTGTGCCATTGGCCTGAGTGCTTGATTGGCCTGAGTGCTTGATTGACTCGGTATTCACTCTGCATGCTGCACACTGGAAATCATAAGAGCAAGTGCACGTATCAGAAGCACCTGGACTGACTGTCGTTCACCCTTTCCATGCCTGCCAGGAGAACCCTCAGGAGCTTCTTGGAGGGGAGGTTCTAGCCAAGATGCTGGGGCAGATGGATGCCAGCGCCCTGGAGGCAGAGATAGTGGATGTCACACCAGCACGCTGTGAGAATCATGATGTATCAGCAGGGCCAGATTCGGCAGATCTCAGCATGGTGCCGGTGCGGTTCAGCGTTGCCCTTTTTTATTGCACCTGCTCAGTCAGCCTTTCTCATTCGTCCTCATCTTCCTGCTAAAAGAAGAAGCACAAGTGTGTATCTGGTGCCGTGAAAACAACTGGCTAGGGGCCTTGATGCCCCTTATCTGTTCAGCAAGAGACCATGTTGCATTCCAACAAGGCCTCCTCAAAGCCACTGAGTCCGCTCAGGATGCAGCCGCTTGGAGCCAAAAATTCGACTGGCAACTAACGTTGACCCCCAGTTGACTCACGGAGCCCCGGTTCTGCCACGCAAGCAATATTCTCTATCATGGGCAGGCGGCGCGGCCGAAGTTGGAGCTGGAGGTGCCGTACCGGATGTACCGGTTGACGCGCGGCGACGGCGGCGCGCTGGAGCGGCCGGACAAGCACCCCTTCTGCATGTCGCGCGTGTTCTACGACGGCGTTGACCGCCCTGAGGAGGCCTGGGCCCAGCTGGTCGACGGCTCCTGCCGCTGGCGCCAGACCGGCTCCGAGGTTAAGCTCATCGCGCTCAAGGTGCGGGGTTTTGCCTCCTGTACGCATCCTTGTCCTCAGGAGCAACAGGATAATTTACAAGACCCAACGTTGGACAGGGTGACTGAGCATATTTGGACGAAGCTAGCCTTTGAGAGAGAGGCTGGCAGCGTGGTGATCATGGCCGTGCTGAAGCATTATCCTGCTTTGCAGATGCACCGCCGGCAAGGCTGAGCAGGCTCCATTGCATCCGGCCGCGCATGCATTTCTTTCTGTAGCAAACGGAGTGTTCCTGTTGTAGCAGATGCTGACGCATGTGGGAATGTGTCGGCATGAGCACGCAGGTGCCGGCAGATGTCCCACCGCGCGAGCTGGCGGTGAGCTTGGAGCCATTTCACATCCGTGTGGCACATGCGCTCAGCGGAGAGGTATATCACCGAACCACTGCTCTGGCATATTTCCGATGGGTGGTTTCGGTGTTACTGCAGAGATGATCAGCTTCAGCTTTAACATAGGAAAGGCAATAACAGATCAGATGTCCAGAAGAGATTCTGAAACAGCAAAGGGTCACCTTCGCATGAGCAGAACCATATTGGTTGCCAACGCCCGCGCAAAGCACAATTTCTGATCCTCAGATGATTGTGCGTAAGTCAGCTTGTAGCACAGACAGGTACAAGACCCGGCCCATAATGATTGACCGAACCCTGTGCACATTACAGGTGTACCTTGAGGGAGACCTGGAGCGCGGCATAGTGCCGGAGGAGAGCGTGTGGATGCACGGTGGCGGCACCGGCGAGGACGGCTGCCTGCTGCTGCTGCGCAAGATGAACCTCGAACTGCTGCGCAGGTCGGCTTGAACACCTTGCATTGCCCGATTTCCCTGCAACACCCACTATATGATTGAGGCTCCACTAGGGGCAAGCAGTATGATGGAGGGTCTGCAAGGAGAACGGCGCCCCACCTTGCGGCTGTGGCCATTTGCGTCGCCGCCAAGGTACAAACATCGCCTTTTGATGCGCATTTCTTCTTACCACTGCTCTGGAAATTTGGTGCGCATGTGGCACGTGCAGGCACTGGATGCACAGCGAGATGTGGTGGCCGCGCCTGTTCACGCACCATGCAGACATTGCATGGGACGATTACGAGAAGGACTACAGCGACCTGCCGGCTGAGGTGTGTGATGTACACTATCTGAACGATGAGTAAGAGTGCAAATCGCAGTTGGCAGGTGGATGCCTACAAAGACTGATCAGTTTCATGACAATAGCTTACATAATACAGATAAGCCTACCCCAAGTGAAAGACATGATCAGTCACTTATCATCCGTGTGACTCTCGGTCATGCAGTGGTAGTAATAATGTTCTTTCTCTCAGCACTCAAGTGACTGTGGTGCCCCTTTACATGAGCCTGCACACTCCTATGCGCGCTGCAATACCGCATAGGATATCTAATACCGCAAGGCAGCGATTCTCCCTTCTTGGCGCTCCCACTGCCTTGCATGCCTGCATTCTGTCTTATGTAAAATTTACTAAGGCCAGAGGAATATATGTTGTTGCCAGGTTCTGGCGCCGCACCGAGCGGCGGAGATTGCACGCGACGCCGTGCGCCGGGTCGAGGCCGCCGAGAAGGACAAGCGCGAGGTTCTACAGGCGCGTTCCCTCTTTGGTGTCTGTTCAAATCTAGGAACTGTTCAAATTTGGAATAGCGTGAAGTCCTCCAGTAGTGGGCAGTGCTGTCTTTGGAGAGGCACACGCCATCAACACAGCGCAAAGAGAATCGCTGTGGTGTTTGATGTTGGCTTAATGGCTGTGAACTCCGCTTCGTGTAACTTTTGAGCTCAGGCAAGAAGCTCAGAAATATCACAGATGTGATGCTGATGTGAGTGTTCACTCATGTTGAGGTGACTTGCTTTGATGATCTGAGGCGCTGCTGCTGATGGCAGGAGAGGGATGACCTGCGCAAGAGGACGAGGCAGGAGCGCTTGCACTTCATGAGGTTTGGGGTGAAGAAGAATTGGGTAGAGCTACACAGAGAAAGTCTAGCTATCAGGTGTTGAAATATATCATGCATGCGCTGTCTTTAAGCATCATCAGAACAAATTGAAGGATATCAGATTCCACTTGATGCAGTCTTTGATGCGAGCCACATGCATGGTGTTGCTTGCCTGCTGATCTTACAGCGTTATTCTGTTGACGGCAGCATGAACGCGCAGCACAAGACAAATACAACACAACTGTTCTTCCATTGTTGATCGTTGAAGTAATAAGTTCAAATGAACGCAGCAGCACCTCATGAGCTGCAACAATCTTGACGTCAAGTTCAACCTTGTTCCACTTCCCACCTCTGTCATTGCAGCCGCTTCTCATTGCCCCGATAACACTTGTGGCATCAGCACCCGGTAGTACAGGAAGAGGTTCCCGGTGAGGATTTGCAGCAAGCATCAGCATGTTGCACCAAATTTCAGCATTGCTCAACAACAGGTACAGCAGTCTGCATATAAGGAAGTGCAAGCGCAACCAGAGCTGCAGTGAGCGCAGACGCTAGCTCAGCACAGCCGCTGGCGGATCATCGCCTGCCCTTCTTGGCCTTCTTGCCCTTGGGCTCCTCGTCCACTTCCTCCTCAGCTCCGCGCTTCCGGTCCTCCCTGCAATACCAGACTCCACGGTAAACAATGTCCCATTTTTGTTCTTCGCTTTCATAATTTTGGGATTTCATGCGCTGGGAAGAAAATGCTAGTATACTCAAAACCCCCATTTGCCCAATGCAGAAATGATAGGTCCCGCATGCAAACGGTCTCCAGTGCTTGAGAGCTCCAGCATAGGGCGGGCCCCAGCAGAGCTGCCTGCCAGGAGAGCTAATAAAAATGTGCAAGCAGGGTGGCTCCTGGATACAGCCTCACAGGGTGAGCCCCACTGCACTGAAGCCCACTTCACCACCCTATATGCCGCCTTCATCTGCAGCAGTGCTACAAGTTGATCACAGCCAGTCAGGAGGGAACGGCGCGCACCGGATGGCCTCCCGCTCCAGCTCCTCCCAGCTCATGCCCTCCTCCTCCTCGTCCTCCTCGCTGTACTCCTCCTCATCTTCTTCGTCTTCATCCTCGTCCACGTCGCTATCATCCTCGTCTTCGTCGCTCTCCGCCTCCTCTTCTTCCTCGCTGTCCGGCTTGAATTCGTCTGCGCGCAGCAGCAAGGAAAAACCATTGAAGTTCCTTGGAGTCGCATGTGTGACAAATAAATAAGGTACTCATTTTGTGGGCAGTCCTCTGCTCTTGCATCCTCATACTGCATGTTGCAGGGGCATCGAGCTCATGCGCACGCACGAGCGCATATGATAACAGCACAGAGCTTCTGTGCATCCGATTGTCTGACCACGCAAGGCCGCACTGGAGCATATGTTATATCAGGAACTGTACATGCCCTCAAGGGAGTGAACTTTAAGATCTTTGGGAAATGGAGAAGCACATGCTGTCAGCAGAATGGCCTTCCATGCATGCTTGGAGAGCATCATGTTCCTGGGTTCCCAGAGCGTAAGGAGTCTCAAAAGGAGTTTGAAAAGAGCACGTACCCTCCTCCTCGGATTCGTCCCCTTCCTCGTCGTCGTCGCCTCCCTCTGCGTCCAGGAAGTCCCAGCCGCCATTCTCCACAAAACCCTCCGGGTCCTGCGCATGCATCATTGCCGGCCCCTCAATCGCTAGCACAAGACTGTCACTGCTCACAGTGACTTTACAAGTTATCCATGCTTGCAAGATCACTCTCCCTCATTCGCTGCCAGATGATGGTCTGGCTCAAAAGATTGTAAATTCAACGGTGCCTGAGTGTCAAGCCCTTGCAGAAAGTCCGTTTCACAACTAGATGCATAATTGGGCGTAAATGTCATTCGCGGGGGCAGCAGCTTCGGTTGCAATAATCGGCTTGCGCTGCACAGGAGAGAGACTGCGAGAAGGCCTGTGGCATCTGTTTTGCATCATTGACAGCGGGGCAGCAGATCTTAAGAGGAGAAGTGGCGCACGTCAGTGATGCTCTTCAGGATGGGCTTCCAGTTCAGATTCATCTTGGACTCGTAATACTTGATGTTCATCGAGGTCAGCCAGTCCTGCACACGCCAAATGGACAATCGCTGACGCAGCCCTGACTCATTCCGGAGAATTTCACTCTGTGAATGTGTGGCTGCCCATTTAAGCGGGTCATTCATGTGCATGCAAAAGCGAAGAACCCATGAATGTGCGCAGCTTGCAAAATCGAAGTGCAGTGATGAAGTAAAAAACAGGGCGCACCCTGATGGTGTCAAGAGACTGCTGGGGAATGGCGTCGATGCGTATCACGTCCTTCGTCAAGTCCTGCACAATACAGCCCACTGTCAATGCAATCATGCTTGCACACTCTTTGTTGGAGGCAGCGCACATGTTGCTGCGCAAGCAAGTTGAGCACCTGCCCACATGGCACGACAAAGAGCAGGGAATTACAGGCAAGACCAGGACAAATCTGAACCGTGGCCTGAAAAACAAACGCCCCAGCCACTGCCGAGAGTCCTCTTGTCCAGGGGGATTTTTGCGCTCACAGGCATACTTTAGGACAGAAAGTCGTCACTGACGCGCACAGCAAAGAGAGATATGTCATTTGCAATCTTCTGCCAAGGGCGCAGGTTGCGCGCACTGCCCCTGACTGCGCAAGTGCAAACAGCTGTTGAGGCGGGGGATCAGAGCGGCCATCGCGGCGCACCTCAGGCACGATGGCCATGCCAAGCTTTTGCAGCCTCAACTGTATGACCCTAACATCATCAGTCCACACTTCTGTGACAGTGGCGCACCTTGGGCACGATGGCCATGTCGAAGGCGCGCAGGCCGAAGCCGACGCGTTCCAGGTTGACCACGTTGATGTCGGCCAGCGTGATGACCGTGAAGGGCATCTCGATCAGCTCCACCAGGCAGTTCACAGTGGGCATGATGAAGCCCGTCGTGCGGTGAGGCACGCCGCTGAAGCCCAGGTCCCGGAAGGGGATCTCAAACTCCAGCTCCAGGTCCCTGTGGCGACACGTCAGCGTTATTCACCAGAAGTCATCGACACGTCATCATTTGTCGTTTGTACAGTTGCCACCCGCGGTCTTGGCAGCGGGCTTGCACCCCTGGTAAGGGTCTTGTTGGGAATCTCCGGAAATGCTTCACACCCTCGGCACAGCACAGCAATGATTATGGCAGCGACACAAATGGAACAAGTTCTGATTTCAAGGCGGTGGTATTGTGAATTTAGAAATGCTCACGGTGCTCACCCGTAGTCTCGCTCCCACACGTCCTGCTGCACGTGCTTCATGAAGCTCTGGAAGGTCTTGTTGATCTGCGCACACCACACACAGGGCCATCACGTACCGTCTTGATCCAGAGACACGACGCCAGGTGACAAGTGTCACGTCCCAACCCCACTAAACATGACCCAGCCATGCATGCAGCACCGCTTTGATGCTTCGGTACGGCACCACTGGAGCTCGCCGTAACTCATAACAGACAGCATTTTATAAAGGGAGTTAGAAGAGGAAAAAGAAGTCAAAGCCGCGCACCCGGTTTTTGGCGTCGCGTTCGCGCTGCTCCTCCTCAAGTTCGTCGGGGTCGTACATGGAGCGGCGGCCGGCGTCGATGGTCTGCACGCTCTCCATCACCTCCGTGTACAGCTGCACGTCCATCGTTTTCTTCTTGCCCACCTGCGCGCACACGCAGCACGCGCCGTCTTATCATGCAACATGCCAGTCCCGTGTCATAAATGTTGCTGTGCACGTCCTATGAGACATAGTCATGTGTCCCATTGCGTACAGTGTGATGGGAGAGCGCTCTGGTATCACATGCTTCCTTGCGCAGAGATGCCAGTGGGCCTGTGCTAAAAAAATCCTGAGGAGAAAGCACTGCTGATGCATCATGACGTGGCTATGGGCGCTGGTGCCAGCATTGAGTAGCCGGACAAAGGCATGCGACGTGGCAATGTCACTTGCTACCTATCATGCAAAAATACTCAGGAGAATGGAGAACTTGGGGAGGGACATAGAGGCAGGGGGCGCGCCATGATGGGATCGATGAGGTGGAAGTGCAGCAGCGTCATCATCTCATTCTCAGCCGGCTGGAAGAACGCATGCCGGATGTTCCTGCGCAGCACACCACCGGCACATTAGCCTCATGCATTCCTTGAGTTGCCGATGGTGTTTGATAGTATACTGCACAATGGAATTGAAGACACTTACCAACCATGTTGACTGACAAAGCAAGCCGCAAACACTATCAGGAAGCAGGGGCACCCAGCAGCTACAAGCTGGGTAATTTGCAAGGGGTTGGACTTTTCACTTTTCAGACGCTAATGTAACATCATATTACGAAAAGTATGCCCATTATTGAGACCAGTTCAAGATGACAGCATGATGAGGCCAGGATGCAGCGCGCACCTGTACATGATGTCCAGGGTCTCTCCCTTGGGAGTGGAGTACCGAAGACCGTTGGCATGTGCCTCCAGCTGCCCAGTCATCTTGCGGCCCTTCCCGCCAAACGCCGGCCGGATCCACACGTCGTTCAGGGTGTACACCCGCCCCTGCTCGCATCCAAATCCGAAATCATCATGTATGACTTTGGACAAGTCCACTTGTCCACCCGCCTCTTCCAAGGTTTGAAGTGGAGCTCACAGGCCTGGACATGTTTTGATCGCAATGTGCCGCATCGCCGGGACAGGTGTAAAATCAAAACAGACTGAATTGCAGGAAATTCCTGCGCATCTTGACTCCACGGCAGCGCTCTAAAAGTGTACAGTGCTGAGCAAGCAAAGAGCTACCGCATGCAATGCTGGCAAGCCGGAAAGACTGAGTGAAGGGCAGTGCAGGTGCAGGGCGGAGGAGAGACAGTGCAGCGCTGTACCTTGGCCTTGATCAGGCGCTCCTGCTGCACGAGGGTGGCTCGCTCGGCCCTCTCCTTTTCGCGCTGGCTCACACTGCTGCGCAGCACCTTGATCTCCTGGACTATCTGCACCCGCCGCATGCACACACCGTCACAATAATGCAAGTAACGAGATGAGCGATCATCAACTTCTGGGAGTTTGTGCTGCCTCTGCGGGGGCATGGCGGCTTCCAAGTGTAATCCACCGGATCTTGAGGCACCACCTTGACCTGCTATACAAGCATTTGAGAGTGGCCCACATTGGAGCACCAACTGGAGTGCTAATGTAACAGCAGCAGGGCATTATTGAAGGTTGCAAGCTGTCCCATGCCACCAGATGCGATTTTATTTTTTGACACTGCAGCAGAAAGACATGCCTTGGTGGCGTGGCGGGTGTCAGAGGTGCGGTAGGAGAGCTCCTTGAGGAAGATGGCCTGAGGGAACTTGACGCCCGGCTCAAACGTGGGCCCAAAGTTGAAGTTTAGCCTGATGTAGGCGTGGTCCCCGTCCTGCACAGTGTATCACTTCATGAGACTTTTCCAGGGCAAGCGGCCTGCATCAAGCCCTTAATTTTCATGCAAAGGCGATCTTTTATCGTTCTCCTGGAATGTACACAGGTTTACAGTCGCTTCGAACGTGATGAGGTCAGTACTGTGGCAGGACAGGAGGCCACATATCCCTTATAAAAGGAAGCTTACAGCATACAAGAGGTAGTAGTGAAATCTTGATGAGAGGAAGATTAGAGCAACCAGAGGACATCACAGTGAGGACATGATGGAAGGACGCTCGCAGCGCTCACCTGGTTGTTGGAGACGTTCTTGACAGTGAGGATGTGGAAGGGCACCATGAGGCCGTAGATGGGCACCAGCAGTGACTCATTCTTCTGGTCCACCTGTAATTAGTCAGGAAGACACCAATGAGGGGCTGGCAACACAGCTATCCTCTGAACCCGCTCCAGCAGGACACACACCTTGCTTCCTCACATCAATATAGACATATTCGGTTGATTTTGTATCCCGGAGCACCTGAGGCACTTGAAGTTGCTCGAAGAATCTCGCGAGCTTGACCATGCTCATGAGGTTCCCGAGTGACATCAAAGGCCAGTAGTGGTGGATCTGAAAGCAAGGCAAGCATATAATGTGCAATGAAACAATGTGCCAATGGATCAAGCGTGCCACTCTGCATTTCCATGTGGCCATGTCTCCGCACTTTGTTCTTAAGGACTGGAAAGCATGTAAGAACAAGAAAAAGAAAAAAATGACAATAAAACCTAATGATGGTGTCATCCCACAATGAAGCTGGCGATAGAATTTCAGCGAATGTTATTCACAAAGAGGGGCGTGTAGTATGTGCAAGAGGCAATCAAAGAGCGGTGCAACCACTCGGGGCTGTTGTGATCTGTGGGCGCCGAATTCACCCTCACCAGACCTCTGATCTACCTAAACTATTCCAGCTGAGTCAGAACCAAGGCATGCCTGCATGGCCAGTTCGCGAGTGGAGGGGATTTCGTCGATGGTCTTGTAGGACTCCAGAGCGGACGCCTTGCGGCCGACGGTCGCGCCCCCGCTGCCGGCCTCGCTCGCCTTGAGCGCTCGCAGCGTGTTCTCGTTCGCGTTGCGCAGCAGATCCTCCTGGTTCTCCTTCTGCTTCCTCCTGCGAGCACAAGGTGCACGCAGTCTGTCAATGCCTGATTCATATTCAAACAAGATTGCACAATTTTCAGCCCTGGCGACTAGTGCAGGTTCAGCAACAGCTGCACTGCTTAATTGCCTACGCCCAACAGCCGCATGAAGGCCGGTAAGGGACTGCCTTCAGGCTCACGAGACTACAAAATCTCCCCACCACGTGCTGGATACACAGTTCGATGTTCGTTGAAAACTTTAGACTTTGGAGAGCAGGGCCGATTGTTGCCCCATGAAGGGAGCAAGGCTAGTTGCTTCAGGCAGCAGTAAAGGGTGCAAAAGAACAGCACGGACCATGCAGGTGCCATGCAAGACTGCTCTATATTACAGCAATACTATGTAGATTCGCATCAATGGCGTTTGCAGCAGCTGTGAAGAACTGGGCTGCACCAGACATGCACAGTTGATGCAGACGTCATTGATGCTCAGCTGGGTTTCTGGTGCTGTCATACAGAACAGCCTCCGCTTGTGTGCACTGTGGTCTGAGCCAGGCATGCGCACCGGTCCTGGTCGCGTTCCCGGAACTTGTTGTCCTCGCTGCGCAGGTTCTTGTTGCCGGCAAACACATCCTTGTCCCTCGGCGCCTTGGGCGCAGGCTGCTTCTCCTCCTCCTCCTCATTCTCCTGCACGAGCGATTTCCACCATTCACATCATCAAAGTTGCATTTGTTTTTAGAATTTTAGGAAATGTTTTCAAAAATTTATCACGCCACCAGGATATCACGCAAGTTTTGGTTGACATCAGGGTAGCCTGGCGCTGTGACAGAGTAAACAGCTACGCCAAAGCAACCCTGACACTGCGACCCAGAAAGGAGCTATGCCAAGGCGACCCTGCCAAGAAATGACAGGGATAGATGCTAGCCACAATCTTGGAAGATGTGGCCAAATTCCCTTACACTCATAATAGTGCAATAGCTTTTCCATTCCCATCTTGTTGGGGCCTTCTGTGAGGATGGAGATCACCTTGAAGTAGTAAGCAACGTCGGCCCATGCGCGTGGTGCTAGGCTGGTGAGGCACTCCGCTGCCTTGCCTTCCTCGGCTGGCACATAGTAGGTGTCTGCCACTAGCAGTGCATACTCCTTCGCCTGGCCCTCACCAGGGTCCGACCTCTCCAGACCGCTCACACCTACAGGCATGCGGTGTTCAGCCGCCTTATTTGGCACCTTGAATCGAGCATTTATTCGTATTTACCATATTCAATTGTTGATGCTTCTGGCGCTCCTCCTCAACATTGTGCCATCTATGACCTGCCAACTCTTGCCATTCGAAGAGCACCCACCCAATCACGCTCCCCTGGTCACTTGAGAAAGGCGTCTGTGCTGCAGGTATGTAGGCAGGTTCCAGAATTGCAGAGCTTCTATGATGGTTTCACCAAGTCCATTGCGTTTTCCTGGTTTCCGTTCTTGGCTGAGAGTTGCTTGATAGAGCACAATACCACTAAGTGATTTTTCCTGGTCTTAGGAGTGCCAGAGTGAAGAGAAGGCGGGCACCGATGCTGAGGTTGAAGATCATGCCAGGCTTGATGAGGGTGGCGTTCTTGGCTGTGAGCCCGTAGTGCATCTCGCGCAGCTCCGTGCCCAAGCTCCACCCGATGTTCTTGAAGAGCTTGGCCACCAAGTGACCCTGCCCTGCATCCTGCCATACACACATACCACAGACCACATCAGCAACCTCAATCTCTCAGTGTCTCCCTCCCATTTCCCTCACTTCGCCTCCTCACATATCCACCTACAATCATGGCACCAACGCACCCCTCTCGACACAGCCAGCCCCTCATGGCCCGCTCCTATCCTTCCATGCGTCATGCATGCAGCACCCAAGCATCTCTACATGTAAATAGACACACATTAATACACGTCAGCACCGGCTGGCGGGGGACGGCACAGATCTCAAACACAGTGCCCACGGCTGATTGGGTCTTGCTTGGATCTGGTGATTCCAACAAGGGATAGGATTTGTGGCAGCTTTTACCTGCAGCTTGGCTGCAGAAGCACCTTGCCTCTGGCAGGAAAGCATGGAAGATTAAATCCACATCATGGCTCAATCTTGACACACTTCCAGGAGATAGCACACCTCCAGTGCTTTGACGGCGGCGCCGAAGACATCGGAGCAGGGAGCGCCGGGCACGAGCGCCTTGCTGGCGGCTTCGAGGGCCGCCAGCAGTGCGGCGTACTCATCCTGCTGCGTCTTGCTGGGGTCCACCAGGTATGTGCGCCCGATGTTGGCGCAGAACTGGAGGTACCTGGCGCCTGCATGCCAGCATCCCCACTCAAATTGTGAACAGTGCTAAACGATGCACAACTTCATAGTGATTGATATTTTGAATCCCCTGAAAGCCCCGCAAGCTGGACGGGGAGAAGTGCACAGCCTGAGATGCGCGCGGCGCAGCCGCCGTGACACGTCGATCGTTGCATGCATGCAAGGCAGTTGAGCCACGTGCATGAGCCATCAGCACATTTTGCTTTTGCAGGAGATGTCATTTTCTGCTGCTGCCCTTGCGCCAGCTGGCAGCCCTGCTCCTTTTGAGCCACGTGCTTTCCCTAGACATGCAGGCATCTCCCCCACTGCCCTGCTTCACGGGATGCCAGCATGTCTAGGAATGCCTGCATGCCATGCGCGGACATGCTGCTCTGTGCATGTTGTGGACAGCAGGAGACTCAGACTGAAAGTGTATATTGTCACAGCATAAGGGAGTACCTCTCACCGATGCCCATGAGAACCACGTCGTACTGCATCGGCCGGTCATCGTTGACGGCGCTGGGCCGCAGGTCGTACACGCCGCCGGACTGCACGATGGGCGGGTAGGAGATGTCCACGTTCTCGGCCTTGAGCTTCACCTTGCACTTGGAGGGATCCCTGACCGCATCCTCGATCTTGCTCCCGAACTTTGTGTGCTTCACCCTCTTCTCCTCGTCAATGATGCCTGCACACCCATGCACATGTGTTGGAGTGTCCCATAGACTTTACCAGAAATGTCTTCAAGCATCCCTGCCTTGCGTGTCATGTGGCAGATTGCCCCACTTAGAGGTCATCTGTTGCCTTGAGGTGCAGAGGAATATATATGGCTCTCTTTGCACCTCCCGCAGACTCCAGCAATGCGTTGCAGCCGAAGTAAGACATACTTGCACACCAGCGCCTGCAATGAACTGTGCATGCTCACATCACAGTGCATCTAATTCAAGAGAGCCTTTGCCGCTCCGAGCAGCCCATTAGGCACCTGTTCATGCAAAATTCAGCTCTGGGGCAGTGCATGACAAGTGTGCTGGTGCACATCTCCTTGGATGGCCATATGTGCGAAAGCCGGATCCATAGTGTATCTTCTGGCTGTCAGAGGGAAACAAATTGCTGTATAACATGGGGGCAGGCGTTTTAGAGGCCAGGGGTGGAGCCGCACGTTCCAGCTCCCCCACAGAAAAGTTTTTCATGGCGCTGGCGGCCAGGAAGGCAGCCTTCTTGACCTTCTGCACGTCCACGGCATCCTTGACGGCCAGAAGCTCTGAGAAGCCGGCCGCCACGTCAGTCTGCTGCAGCGCAGCGTCCTCCAGTAATTTCATCCAGAGCCCTGCCACCTTTCCCAGGGGGTTTTGCTCCTGCGCAAAACACCTAATGACACTATGCATTCTGCAGTGATCATTCTTGCAACAACAACCATTTATTGCCAAAAAGGGAAAATTTACGGTGACAAATACCAAAACAATCATGTTGAGACTGTGGTTGCGATGAAAATCAATAATGCTCAAGTTCATCCGCTGCACTGACTGCATGCTCTGCAGCAACCCTCTGGCTCCCTTTTCCATTGAGGGATCAGCTTTTCAGGGCATTACACAAAACGCACCTTTTGGTGTAAGCCCAGAACTGGCGCGTCTGCAGATGCACGGATCACGTCCAACAGCTCGGTAATCTGTGTGCTGCCGTCTTCACTCTTGGGCCTGGGGTGCATCACCATCTCCACGCCCACCCTCTCCTTGCAGGGTGCCGCCAGCTCGCTTATCAAGGCAGCTGCACACACAAACGGCAAAGTTTACCTCTTTTCCGGCCGCGATTCTGTTCATTGTGCTGCACCAGGATCAGACACGGCATTTGGCACACTTCTTTGTCACAATTTTGGATGTAGAAAAGGGCAGATCAGGGAGAGCTGGGGATGTAAAGGGGAGCACCCTTTTTCCCGCTTGACAGCACGTGGAGGGCCTCCTTTGTGAAGACAAGGATTGTGTCTGCAGGTACGCACACACAAAATTGTCAAGCCTTGCAGGAAAGAAAGGAAGAATTCTTCCCAAGCAAGTTTCTAAAGTATAGCGCACTCCGGGCCCAATTCTTCAACCAGGGTCCCTGCAGCTCTTGGAACGACAACTTCGAGGGTATATCCGCTTCTTCTTCTAAAGAAGCGTTTAAGGATGTGCCACTCACCTGGGATCTCATATCCAAAGAGCCACAATTGCAAGGAGGTGCTCTTCAGGTATCGCAACTCCCCTGAAGATGCTCCCGCAGGGATGGCAATAGCGGTTGCCAGCTGATCATCCTGTCCCCAGCTTGGACCTCCCTGCACGGGAGATTCATCATGATGTTGTGGAAGGTAAATAATGTGTACTTCCTTCAGATCTGCCTCCCAGGTGCACAGGTGCTTCAGGGCGTCATATTTGATGCTGCAATTTGCGTTGGGCATGTGCTCAAGAAACGAGTAGAATGTACCACTTGACAAGGACAAGCCTGCTGCATGCCAACAAACTCAGCATCAGATGGTCCTACCTCCTTCCAGCTGTTGTAAAACGACTGGAGGTGTTCACAAAACACATTTTCATCCAGTTTCAAGTCGCCCATAGCGTGCCCGAATTATACAGTCTCCCCTTGATCCTTACACGACCTTCAACACCATGGGCAGGATGGCACCGCACTGCTCGGTCCAGCAATCAAGTTTGTATTGATGGCATCGATGGTCAATATATTTTAGAGCAACCGCTCACGCAAGCTTCACATGAATACTTGTGATCTTCTGTTATGTCTTCTGACAACACTTCCTCCTCAATAACAGTGGTGTTCTAAAAGACTACGAAGCAAGCGTCATGCTCCGCCAATTTCCAACAGGTTTCATGCCCCGTTCTATGGTGGCGTTATTGTCAAGCCAGCTCAGCAATGGATCTCGGATGGAGCCTCTCGATCAAGCGTCAACAGAATCCCAATACTGTGCGTTAACAGTATTAACAGTCGGAGTGCTTCAAATTTTGTAGCAGTATGTTATCAAGGCGTGTTGATAGCACTCAATAATTTATATTTCTGCTGTCGGATCACGTTGATCATTCGGTCGAATAACGTAGGTTGGGCGCAAAGCATAGGACCTTTGCATCTGAGAAGTTATTAGATAAATGCCCAATGATTAGCGTGCGGGGATCACCTTGTCATATATTCTAATTCTGAGCTTTCATGGGACCCTCACACCCCACAACAGGTCCTACAGCGCAGCTGTCTCAGCTACACAATCCCATACAGGCAGGTCTATTGCCTTCTGCATGCCACCTATATTCTACATATTTCGTCTCAGATCCTGCACGGAACTGCTGGTCGTCAACATGCGAAGTAAGGCATTTCTGTCTTGACCAGGTACATTGGACGGGTGTGCCCAGAAGCACGAGGAGAGTACTGAATGTCAGGGCGCAAGGGCAACCAGAGCGAAGGGGGGTTGTCATCACAGGTGGCAGCAAGGGACTGGGGTGAGCGTCAGTGCCTTTTGTTTCTTGGGCAAACGCACAGCACCAATTCGAATGGCCGCGCGCAAGCTTACCCGGGTTGTTTTGACCTGCAATGGTGATGAGATGGTATGGGTTGCAGTTTTGCGATGGGGCGGGAGTTCCTGAAGGCAGGCGATGCTCTTGTGCTCTGTGGGCGCAGCGAGGAACGAGTGGGATCGGCAGTGTCCGCTCTGCAGGCGGAATGGCCTGCGAGTGAGGTACGATGAAATTCCACTCTTGCTGCTTCTCAGGCTTTCCTTGAAAAGTCATTTTTATTTTTCCACTGAGCACGCTCTCAAGGGGGGTCACAGCCACGCATGGCAGGTCATAAGGATGCTGTGTGTGTGTCTGCATCAGGTGCATGGCATCAGATGTGACATGTCTGACCCAGCCGATGTGGCAGTCCTGGGGGAGTACACCAGGGAAAGGCTTGGCACAGTGCACACCTTCATAAACAACGCTGGCGAGGTCACCAGCAAACGCCTGCTGGCTGATGTGGACCCACATGAGATTGTGCGCGTCATAGGTGCCCCCAAGTCGCCCTCCCTAGTCATACACTTCTGTACATGATGTGTGCACGTTTGTGAAACATGAACAGAGAGGGTTTTGGGGATTCCTGGGGCTGTAAACGGGGACTTTGCCAGGGCTTTCGCTGTGCACCTTGTGGCACCACCCTCTTTTTGGATTAAACTTGCAGCACAATTGGGAGCCCGGCAGCAGATCTGTTTGCGCTATCATGCATATTTGCAGAACACCTAGAGAGGAGAAACAGCCCAGCTGCGGAAAACAGTGGAGCCAGGGCTTGCATGCGTTGGCCTGCAGTATCCTCATCATGACCTCAAGAGTTGAAGAAGTCTTCAACAGATTTAGTGTGTTTTGCACGCCAGGCTCAAACGTGGCAGGGAGCCTGCTGGGCTGCAGGGAGGCAATCAGGCTGATGAGGCAGCAGCCTGAACAGGCGCGGCCAGTGTACCACATCTTCAACCTGGGCTTCTCGCGCTGGGGGGCGTCCTTTTCCAAGTCAGCTGTCACCCACAAAGCCACCAAGTCAGCGCTGACTCAGCTTACCCAGTCCCTCACAGAGGAGCTCCAAGAGGCAGGTGGGCTTCTAAATCTGTTCAGCAGATTGTGATGGAAGCACTTTCCACTTGCTTGGTACACCACTTCACCAGATTGTGAGGTGGATTCAATATTTCAGAGCGCGCGTACCGTGTCTGTATAATGTGCAAAGTCTCATACCGCAATATTTGCCTTCTGTGCACTGGTGATAAGGACAAGGGGATTCCTAGCTGTATATTCTGTGGGGCTGTGCATCTGTTTGGCTGCTTCCAGAACACCATGCAGAGTGTCGTTAGCGCTGTTTGAAAGGCTGTGCATATTTGCAAGGGCGTGCCAGAGCGTTGTCTGTCTTGTGTAACTTCCTTTGCATTGCATTTTTTTGCGGAGGCTGTCCAGCAGCATATTTGGAGGGCTGTGTGTCTTGTATAATACTGTCCTACCTGAAAGCTGCAGTGCCAGAAAGCACAGATGAGACACGCAGCGCTGTGGCAGGCTCTTGCTATCATGCACAGCCTGCTAGAGAGCACCAATGACCCCTTGTGATGCTCTGACGAGAAATGCGCTTCAAGCATGCTCTGACGCTGTGCTGGTGCTTGTGCAGGTGTGCGCAGCATTGGAGTCCACAATCTCTCCCCGGGCATGGTGCTGACTGATCTGTTACTCAAGGACGCGTCGCCCGTCGCGCGCAGATTCTTCAATGCTCTCGCAGAGGAGCCGGAGACCGTTGCAGAGGCTCTGGTGCCCCAGATCAGGGCCATGCAGGTGTGCATCTTTGTCCCTTTCTGGGGCAAATTTAATGCCACGTTTGGCAGTGCACAAAGGCTTGTTGCATGCACATGTGGGTCGCTGGGAAAGTCTTGCATGTGGCTCTGATAGCGATCCATGGCCTGGAAAGAGATGGTTGCCACTGCGAGTCTGGATGGGTTTGTTGCTCAAGGCTGCACCGGCTAGATGTCTGGACTAGGATCTTCACTGGCCCGGCATAAGCTTGGTATTCATTCATGGATGTCGCATTTATAGTGCCCATCTCAGATGTGTCACTTGCTCTTGTGGACAGGGGACAAATGGGAGTGTGGACTTCCTGTCTCCAGTTTCGGCGTTTGGGAGGGTGGTCATTGGTGCACCGCAAATTATCGGTGGGGGGCGATTCTTTGATAAGGAGGGAAACAGGGTGAGAGCAGCAGGGGCTCAGTACAAAGGGAATGGAGTGCGCTTGTTGTATAACAGTGGAGAGGAGTGAGAGGCAGTCATGTCGAGCTCAACGTGCACTAAAGGCCGCGCTGTGATTAAGGGAGCTTTCAATGAATTTGGAATTTTTATTTGTGTATAAATTGTGAGTTGATGAGATGACAATTTACTGGTAGGCTCTTTGTCCATGAGAGATTGATGGCAACCTCAACTATGCCCCATGGAACCAGCTGTGTCTGGCAGGGTCAACGTGTTCGTTGGTCAATGACATGGCCGATAATATGACAAAGGCCGATAATATGACAAAGGAGCTGTAACATAGTCTTTCAGAGTACAGAGACATTCCCTGAGAGTCTGTTGAAGCTCCCTGCTTACTGTAGCATGCAACTTGCGTTTACAAATCAGTGCTGGGCACCACAGAATGAATGCAGTCATTCAGCAGGGAGTGGCCTTTGATCCACATCTGCCAGGAAAGTCCTTACATCTGCTGACGTGCGGGAAAATGTTACATGGCTATGACGCCAGTCGCTCAGCATACATGTACTTCTCTATCAGCATTATTGGAAGCAAGGATCTGTAAATTAGGTGATGTCAACCCAGACGGCTCAGAACTTGAGGAGGTGCGGCCTGTCGTGAGCCTTGAGTGTGAACCTAGAGCCGAGGTAGCCCTTGAGCTCTGGTGTCAACGCCTTCAGCAGCACTGTGTCCACCTCCTTTTGCCTGGCGATGTACTCCTTGCTCAGCTCCTGCAAGACGCGAAATTACCACAAACCATCAGAAATCGTCTGCTGCTGTTTGCATGATCCTCTTGAGCACAGCATACAAGCAGATCTGGCTGTCTATCATCCTGTCATCCTGTGCCGACATGGATACCTGAAACAGCTCCTGACTCTAACAGTTCATTACACTACAGCGCAGCATCCCACACAGACACCCTAGCCATCCAATCATATGAACATGCAACAAATGCTGAGTTGTGCCAATTCAAGCAGTAAATCAAGAATCTCCTGCCATAAAAATGCACTGCGTCTGCTGCCAGCTCTCGGACACATTCATGCCGGCAGCGCACCTTCTTCTCCTCCTCGGCGTCGGCCTTGAAGAACTCATCCTCGCCCTTCTTCTTCTTGGGCTCCTCGGTCGCCTTGAAGTAGGCGTCGTCAATCTTGCTGATGTCCACAGCCTTGGAGTCCACCTTGGTCGAGGTGGCAATCACATAGGCCTGGTTCACCCTCTTCAGAGGCACCTGCAAAGGCAGAACATCACGTCACTCCAATAGAAAAATGGATAGGTGGCCCTTATCTTCCTCCTAACGCCTCCAAACGCCATTGCCTTGTTCCATACAGAAGGGCCGCCATCTGATGCTGCTCCACATATGCTACGAGCACACTGACGCCATTTCTGCATCAGATTGATCTAACAAGAGACAAATGGCCAGTCTGTCGCTGATTAGACATGCAAGCGGTCACAATTCTCAACAACAAGCCTCTGTGAGCGGTGCCATTGGGTATAATGAACAGCTACACCTGGCATTCAGGATCTCAAAAGCTGGAAACAGGGTGGATGAGCGCAGACTCACCCCGTTGACCTTGAAGGGTCCGGTGACCAGCAAGAGGCCGGAGGGCAGCTGTCCCAGGAACACCACACGCTTACCCTTGAAGCGACCAGCCAGCAGGATGAGCACAGTGCCAGGGGTGATGCTGCTGCGGAGCTTTGTGGGCTTCTGCACATGCCTTCTCTTGAGAGGCTTCTTCACATCGTCTGCGGGGTAGAATCGGGGTGCCTGCACAGGAATCCATGACATGTCAACGATCTGAACCTTATGACGGTGGGTGTGCAAGTAGAGTGAGAACGTGGCCACACAACCCCAGGCCATTGGTATCAGAGCGCCAAGCCTTCACTCGTGTATGCAGGATGACTGCAACTACGATAAATAAAACAAGTACGGTGCTGTTGAAAAGACATATTGTAGATCTTCAGCACTGCATAAGTCCAGGCTCTCTTGTTGTTCCGATGAAAGCACTGATATCTTGAACTCAAGCCTTACAGCCATCACTTTACTGCTGCGTCCTTCATATTGCTAAAATGAGCTCCTACCTTGCCCTCTGGCTCTGCAGCCTTCGCCTGCTTCTCGTGCACAGGGAATTTGCCACCGTTCTTCTTCTTAATGGCCCACAGTCCTCGCCTCTTGTATGTCTTGCTCCTGCCCTGGGCTGAGATGCCGGGTCCCAGCTCCTTGGCGGGAGCACGCGGCTCCTTCTTCTTGGCAGGAGCCATGTTCGAACTTACAATTTATCTCGGATCTGGCCCTTCTGCTGCAGCTCACATCGATCCCAATGCAGTAGTCCAGCTCCAGGGCGGCTGAGTTCTGACATGCTGAGGCGTTCCTTTGTCACTGGGCAGAGCATAAACCTGGAGGCCACCATTTTAGCCAAAGTAGGCTTTGGTCTCCGTCCTGTGGCGTTCCTGTTCATATGATCCAAGAGCCTGCAGCAGCCTCATTGTGATGGAGATGCCCTGACTTGTATGCTGCGCATTCCTTCGCCGTGCCCGCGATGTTTGTGAGTTGTGTCATACCCGGAGGGTGATCTGAAGCGATCTCCCGGGCCGGCCTCAGGCTGACAAACCCTTCACAGGATCGTCTCTCTCTCCAAGACACAAGTGCGACACCTTGGTGGCTGTGGACTCCGGCCTGTAGGCGCCCTCAACAGGTGAGGCTCTTTTGTTTCGTATGGTAGCGCCGAGGTTGTCTTATTCTGTCGGGCTGGACCCGTGCCGGATTGCGCTTCTTGCAAGTCCAATAAGGCACCCGTGAGATACGGCCTGGAACTTTTGGGTGGGGCGAGCCGGGAAGGCCTCTGGCCGAGGCGTCTATGCCATTGCTGCTGATCTTAGATGGCGTTTGCGTGCCTGGCTGGGTTGCGATCGGGCGCTTCCGCCTCAAGCTGTGCCTCCAATAGGGCACCACGCTTCCTCGGACGCCAACGAGCCTCGCCTGTCCGCCTGCCCCGCCGGCCCTGATTGCCACGCGGGAACGGTTTTGCGAGTGTGCTCATCAAAGCATATGTCTTGGGGGGTGAAGCCGACAAGAATGGTGCCTTCGTCCCCAGCAGATTGTCAGGCCATAAGTGATGCTTGATGGCCAACTTTTGTCTGACAGCCGCTGTAGCGGTCTCATGCGACCCTTACAGACTTGCCAAGTAACCTTGTGGGATTGCTTGAGCCTATCTATAGGCCATTCGATGGCTTTTATGGTGCCCTGCTTACTTATGATGCCTACTACCTCTTTGTGATACAAGCCCTCAGGGTCCACCGAAAGGACCATGGATCTTGAGAAATGTTTTCTTTGAGTGTCCCTCAGGTCGTGTGAGCAATCTGCTACCAAATGGTGCAGATTCGAGTGACGGCTTACTGCTCCAAGAAAGTTCTTGAGTGAGCTTGCAGACCTGAATCGCCTGATATTGGTGGAAAAATGTGCTATGCACGGTCCAATAGCAATTCTTGGACGTTTAGTCTCGGCTCTGTTGCTTTGTTGCGCTCCCTGAGGAACCAATTCTCTTGGTTGCCACAGGTTTCGTGCTCGACAACCACCACGATGCAAGGCCTGGCGAATGCAGCGCCAGCAGACAGCTATGGCAGCTCTGTACGGCAGATTGCACCGCCGTCAGGCATCCCGAATGCTTCTGCATTCCCGCCCGTGCATGCAGCGGCGTCCCAGTACCAGCCGTTTGCAGACCCCTTCCCGCAGGCAGCAGGGCTCACAGCACCCGCCCAGTACGCGAGCTCCCAGCCTGTCATGCAGGAAACGGCATCAGTCCAACCACAACCGCAGCAAAATGCAAGCAATGCTGCGGCGCCGGGGCCGCAACAGCAGCTCGCCGTGCAAGTCCCGCAGCAGCAGCAGCCATACCACCAGCTCTACCAGCACCAAATGCAGCAGCAGCAACAGCAGTATGCACAGCAGCTGCAGCACGCTCAGCCGCAGCAGCGGCCACCGCAGCAGCAGATGCCCTTGCCTGCGCACCCACCTGTGCAGCAGCAGCAGCCGCTGCAGCGGACACTGGCGGCAGGCCAGGCCTCAGCAAGCATGAACGGCTACGCTCAGGCGCGCCCGCAGCAGGCAGTTGCGCAGAGGCCGCCGTACGCAGGCCAGCAAGCACTGCGGCCCAATGGCGCTGGAGTGGGGAGGCCGGCTGGCATGGCTCCCATGGCGTCCTACTCGGCGCCTGCGGTGCCGCAGGTGCGGCCGCTGGGGCCGGCCACGCCGCGTCGCACGAGCATGCCCTTCAAGCTCATCATGCCAAACTCCAACATGCGCCCGGTCCCGCCGACCATCCAGCCAGGGCGCGGCCTGATGGCGGCCCCTAGGCCGCCTGCGCCGGCTGCGGGTTCCCCCCGCCCCCAGGTTGTCATGGGCGTGCCTGCTGCCGGCCGGGGAGGCCCGCAGGGGGTGGCACCTGCCGCGCCGGCTCTGGGGGTCCCAGTGCCGGGGAGGCCGAGCATGCGGCCTCCCAGCCAGCCCCATGTCAACGTGAACGGACCTGCCGACACGTGAGGCCTTTCCACCCCTTCCAAAACAATGGTAATCTGTCTGCATGTTAGACTTGAGAAACACGTGACTTCATGCCTGGAGAAATCTTGTCCCAATGGGCATCTTGGTGAAATTTGTGCCATGTTCCATGTCCAAATGTGAGCTTGCTATCACTACTGATTGCTCGAGCGTTGTCTGCAGATCTGTGCACCCCCAACACCATCCCATGCCTGCTTCAGCTGCACCATCGCCACCGTTCGGGCCTGAAACACCGCAGATCTTCCCAGGCGCGCCTCCAGCGGTGGTCTCAGCACACCCTCTTTCGCCGCAGCCCCAGCTGGTGGCGCCACCTCAGCAGCAGCCTGCTGTCCTGCCCTCAGCACAAGCTGCACTGGTGGCACAGCCTGCGGCCCCTCACCCACTGCCAGCTCAACCCCTGCCTCCCCCTGGCACTCAGCCTGCCCCAGCAGCGCCGCACCCGATTCAGGAAGAGCCAGCCAAGCAGCCCGAGGTGCCAAACCATGTGCCCACCTCAGCGCTGCAGTCAGCGCCAGCAGCATCTTCAGCTGTGGAGGCTACCCCAGAGCAGCTGCCAGAGCCGCAGCAGGAGCCAGGCTTCCCACAGAACGATAACACGGACCAGGACATCCCAGAGGAGGACCTGTCAGAGGAGACTGAGGATGAGATGGAAGAGCTAGAGCCTGCAAAGCCCGCCACCTCAGCCGTGGCCAGCGCGCAGATGGGCGGCTCTCGCGCATTCGTTGCGCCTGCGAATGGCCCCAAGCCCGAGCCCGAGGTCAGCAGCGTGGCCGACGGCATTCCTGCGAGCGCCAGCTCTGCGCCTTCAGCCACGGCGGCAAAGTCGTCCTCCGGCGAGGCCAGCGGGGAGCGCAGCGGCGGCAAGGGCGCGGTTGCCGGCAGCGACAGCGGCTCGGCCCCGCCCCCGGCCCCGCTCATCATCCGCGATTGGGGCAGCGTCGGCGGCGGCTTCGTGCCCTTTGGCGCCACCGTCTCAAAGACAACCCCCAAGGGCGGCAAGGTGCGGTCTGCTTCAGCTTCTCTTTGTTCCCACAGCCGCGCATGCACTCACCATACCTTCGTCATTCTCTGGCTCAAGACACTGGCGTTTTGCTTGCAGGCAAAGTTGGATTAGTCAAAGCAAATGAATTTGGTCTTATGTGTTGAGGATCATGCTTCGCGCTTTCTGCAGGTTCTGCCACAGGGCAGTGTGAAAGCAAAGCCCTCTGCTGCGATCGGGGCCGCGCTGGGGCCGCACCTGGTGCTCCCCAACGGCAACGTGAGCGGCCCGCGCGCATGCGCGCCCGTCGAGGCTTTCGAGCTGCCGGGGTCAATCGCCAAGGGCGCACCTGCCCCTGCATCCGTCCCAAACGGCGCCGCCGCCGCTACGCCGTTCGACTTCCAGCCGTTACTTGCGCCCGGCGTCCCCTTGGAGCCGCCAGGAGCCGGCCGCGGCGTGCGCCCGGCCGGGGCTGTTCCGCTGGCGGCCAGCCCGGGGGCGCGCCCGATCGTCGCCAAGCCGCCCGTAGCGCCCAAGCCCAAGGCCAAGCCGCGGCCGCTATTTGAGGGCGAAGAGCGCAAGCGTGGCCCTGCCGGCCGCACCTCCATGTACAAGGTGGGCCTCATGCGAGCTCACATTCCTGTGCAACAGACAGCTCTGTCCTTGATGTCCAGTTCACGCCGCAGCACATCAGATGCTGATCATGTGGATGTGCGCCTGCGCAGGGTGTGACAAAGCACAGGCGCAGCGGGCGCTGGGAGGCGCATGTGTGGGTGAGGGAGGACGGCAAGCAGGCCTACCTTGGCGGGTGAGGCTCATCAAGCATAAGCTCCTACTCTGGATATATCTGTGTCCTGGGCTCACCTGCAGGCCTCCTGCCTGTGATTGCCCCTGCATTTCATTTGGCTGCAATGACTATGCATGTTTCTTGTCTGCCTGCAAGCTGATGTTTCCATTCTGTCATGCAGATACTCAACAGAGGAGGAGGCAGCTGAGGCGCACGATGTGGCAGCGCTGAAGTGCCATGGCCTGAAAGCCAAGACCAATTTCCACATCAGCAGGTGGGCAGCCCTGAGATAGAATGGCCGGGTCGGCGGTTGTCACCCTCTAGCAGTGCATGCTTGCCCGCCCACCTCCTCCTAGTCTGTCAGAGGGTGACAGCCTCGCCCAGCCAAAGCCCACCAGTGACCTGATACGGTTTAATGCATTTATATAAGTATTTATCAGATCTGTCTGCAATGCTCATGCGCCAGTCATGGCGGGTTTAGACTCTGGGGGCTGCGGCTAGGTGGGGCAGTCTTGACAACAAAGCCCATGTGGGAATAATCCAAGAGGTGTTCATTGTTATGCATCAGGTACACAGCGCTGCTGGATCGGCTGGACAGCGTGCCCATGAATGAGCTGGTGATGGCCATCCGGCGCACCAGCCCCGGCTTCACTCGCGGCTCCTCCTCCTTCCGAGGCGTCACCCAGCACAAGAGCGGTGCGCAAGATCAAACATGCTGAGCCTCTGACATCTTCCAAAGCCTTGTGTTGTAATGACCACTGGCTCACACATCTGTTAAAACCATACATGTAGGAACGGCACCATTCTCACACAATGGGCATGTCAAAAGCCATTGTCAGTCATGGGAAGGTAAAGAAACCAGCATGCCAAGATCCTCGGAGAAGGGCCTGCATCAAGTGGCAAGTGCCGATGTTACGCGTCTCAATTTGGCATGTGCTGGCATGTGGCATGCCTGAAAGGACTTGCATGTGCTGTGGCAGGCCGCTGGGAGGTGCGCATTGGACTGCGCGGCAGCAAGCACGTGTACTTGGGCCTGCACAGCAGCGAGGTGGAGGCTGCACGTGTTTATGACCGCGCCCTCGTCCTCCTGACTGGATCCTCCGCCGCCACCAACTTCCCTGTGTCCAACTACACCAAGGAGCTCGAGGCCTACCAGATGTGCGGCCCATGCCTCTCATGCAGTCTCAAGTACTCATTGTGCCCACCAAATTTGTAGACTAGACATTTGGCTGAGTTGACTACTGATCATGCAGTGTCCTACTGTTGGTGCAGTAGAACCTCTTGAGTATGATATGGCAGATTCGATGTGGCTTCATGTCACAGTAATGGTGATGCATGTTGGATGTTTGCATTGATCGGACTCGGAGCCGTTTATTTGAAGTGGTTCTGGTCGGATGCAGGCGCATTGACAATGGGGAGCAGCTGCCGGGCTTCCACAACGATGGCGAGTACAGCGAACACGCCTTTGAGGCCTGGCTGCGAGATGCAGCCATCATGCCGGCAGTGGTAATGTCCTCTCCATCTTGCAAGTTGCTATGGGTTGCGAGTTTTTTGTGCTTAGTAGTCTGCAGAGATTGTGTCATGTGCAGCACAGGAGGTCATTGAACATGGTGCATTTGATGCAGGCTGTTGGTGCCAACACCCGCATTGTGGACGCCAAGACGGGACTCTCCCCAGCTGATGCAGAGGCTGCACAAGCAGAGGTGCGCCTTCATGTTCTGCTAGAGCGCAAGATTGTGGACCTGCTTGCCTGTGTCTCGGCATTGGGATGGGATGCATGAGCCTGGCGCCATTTTTAGATCTCAGCTCTCATGGCTCGCAATTTGCTGACCTGCTAGGCTCTTGCATGAGGAAGGAAAACGTGCAAGCATCTCTGTACTTACATCTTGATTGTGTTTTTCGATGAGCAGGCTGCAGAGGAGCCCAAGCCCAAGCCGAAGCCTAAGCGTAGGCGCTTAGCGCCAGCTGCGTTGGGGGGAGGAGTGATAGAGGAGGGCACCGAGGCCTTCCCCTTGCCGGCTGCCACACTGGCCGACAACGGCTCGCCGCGGCCGGCCGTAAAGCGCCGGCGCACCTCCCACATCGGCAGGCCCAACAAGCAGTCCCAGCATGTGCATGATGGTGCGTTGTTTTCTTCACCTGATGGATGGTGTGTCCTGGCTTTGTAAGAACATTCAGTTGTTCTATTTTAGGAGGAGCCTGAAAGGCTGGACTGCTTGAAGCTTGCTGTGACGTTTCATAACACTTAGGGACTGCCGCCAGTTAGATCAATGTGCCCCTGCATGGGTTTCGATAGGCCTTCAATTGGAATGACATCCTGTGAAGCAAGACATTGTCAGTAGGGTAAGAGATGCGACAGCAGATTGTTGAGGTGGGTCCTCTGTGCGCAGGCATGCTGGACCTGAGCCAGGTGGGCAAGCCAAAGCAGGGGCGGCCGGGCCCGCGCAGGAAGGCGACCGAAGCGGCCGAAACCGACACCGCCGCCATTCTCATGCAGATGGCCACCGTCGCCGAAGGCCTTGGCCGCGCGCCGCCCAACAAGCGCAGGTACATCTTTTCATCCAGACTTGTCTGTACATCAAATGCAAATCCGCATCATCGTACCCGCCTTGTGAGGCGGTCAGGGACAGTAATGTCAAGGGATCAATGGGCGGAGACAAGTACAGTCAGGCAACAACAACTGTTGTCCTTTCTCAGCCAGATAATCCCTGTCCGCAGATCCCATAAGAAGCCGCATCATTGTACCTGCTGTTGTGAAGCAGTCAGAGACAGTGATGTCAAGAGGTCAAAAGAATGGACCGGCAGACTCAGGCACAGTCATCCGTTGTCCTGTCTCCACCCAGAAACTCCAGCCCTGTCAAGTTGCAGCCCTCTGCTCAGCAAATTTTGTTCATGTGGGCGGTTGTCGTCTGTGTAAATGACTAATGGGGTTGTGTTGCTGTGCAGCCGGATGCCGACATGGAATCGGGGCCCTGCTCGGCGGGTGGACGAGGACATGGAGGAGGATGATGTGGAGATCTCAGACGACGATGAACCGATGCCCATGGCCACCACCAAGGGCCGCCGGCGACCGGCCAGCGCCCCCAGCTCAAGACGGGTGCTGCCTCAAACTGCCCCAACTTTCCGCACAGTTCTATGCAGGCACCCTGGAACCAGTGGACTCTTGTGCAGCCATTCGCAATTCTTGTTGTTTGCATGTGCTGTGGACAGCAGAGCAAAGCACTTATTCATTTCAGGACATATCTTCCCTTCTGCCTCTGTCTCTACTGCATCTACAACAGATGGAGCTTTGTCCTCCTCGTGGTATTCACGCAGCTCATGGTGCAGCACCTCAGCACTATCAGCAAGATGCTAATAGTGGCAATCTGTTATGTACAAGCAGGGACCCAGCATGGCGACGGGCAGGTCCGCCAAAGTGCCAACCCCCATTGCGCAGCACCGCTTCACATCCCCGGCCGCCCTGTTGGAGGCCATTGTGGACGACCCCGAGGTCAGCAAGTCAGTGGTGCTGCAAGCCATGAGCCGCATGGGCACAGCAGCAGCGCATCCGAGCAGCAGTGCGGCAGCTGCAATGGGGCTGGTACTGCCTGGCTTTGTGACATGGCTGGGCATTGTCAGCGCTGTTGGCCGCTTAGCTCATGGCATGCAGGAGGTGGCCAACAACAGGGCAAGAGGCATCTGATTGCAACACAGATGCTGGCAGGAATTTTGTGGTTCCAAGGAGCTCAAGCAAGCCCAAGCTAATGGCCATGTGGAGACGTGGAATTGGATCTAGATGTCTTTAAAGGGACAAAGCCGTGCATTTTCAGCTGCTGCTGCAATACAGCCGCATGACTGGGTGCAGATATCCTTTTCGGCATATTTGTCACAGCTGGGACCTGTAATTATGCTGCTGAGATGCAGACCATCTCTGTGGGGTTAAGAGCTAATCTACCCATTTCAATGGTAAAGGACATCCCTGACAAGGAATTGGTTAAATTCACCACGTGAGTTTAACAGCGAGATATTTCTTTTAGCAAGACATTGGCGATCAAGAAGTAGGACTCAGAGGGTCACATGGCTACGCATGTCCATGCCCATCGTTTTTGCTTTCGTCTCAGTGCTGCATTCAGGTGCTTTTCCTTTTTGGGCTGCGGATGCCCTAGAGTCTGCACAAGACGTTGCACCGTTTTGGTACAGTGTTGCACACATGCCTTGTGAGTGGCAACATTTCATTCCAGGAGTTTCTGCCCTGCAAAGATTCCATTGTCCATACAATGCCTGCCTCAAGCGCACATCACTGCAACAGCAGAACGCCACTATGCTAGGATTTGGTTTGTAGGTGCCATGCTGGCAACAACATCGCTATTGAGTTGTATGTCCGGACGTATGCTCAGTCAACCTAGACTGCCCCTGTTCCTTCTCTGTCTCCACTGCGAGCACGTATGTATTTATGAAGGGTCGAGGACCCGAGGTGTTCTTCTAGTAAGTGACGGATGAGTTGAGAAATTGATCATGCCCTTATTCGTGGAGATGGACTGCAGTCCACCCTGCAGGCTTCATTTGATTGTAAAGTTTCGCCTGTACGCCTCATGCATGCAGCGCTGCAGGTGCTCGAGCAGGCTGGCACTGTGCCAGTACTGTGCCAGCCACTAGTGTGCCTGCGTCAATTGGTTTTATATGGCTTTCTTTGGCAGGCTGACAATCAGACGATTTGCCGTATGCCATGAAATTTTCTGCAAGTCATCCCAAACGATCATGATGAGGTTCGCCACTCATACAGAATATTATTATTATTATTATGATGATCATACATGCACCATTACTCGTCAACATGATGATGACATGCATGGGTGCGCGGCACGCGTGCGCGCCAATTCCCTTTGCCATGGCATGCTGGAAGTGGGCACTGTTGCCATCGTTGTACATCACATCTGGCAGAACTGATACAGTTTTTTTTCCCAACAAAATGGACACAACCCTGCCAGACATGAAGGTCAAGATGTGAATCTACGGTGGAAGTTGCAGGAACGCCTCAGGCGGGCGAATAGCTTCAAACATGCATGGAACACTTGCGCGAGGCACTGTGAAGGACATTGAATAATTGCAATTTCAAAAAGCGATTGGACGTTCGCGCGATTGGAATCCACTGCAGGCTTTGAGGGCGCGTAGCGCTCGTAGGGATATGAAGGCAGCATTGCTTTGCCTGGTTGCTGCTGCTGTCTGCGTTGCAGCTGGTGAGTACTCGAGCTCGACCTGAATTTTTCCTCTTTGAAGCGTTTGGATGGATCCTTGTTCAGATTTGACACGGGTCTGGTGCCTACTCAAGCGTGCGTGGCTTTGATCAGCCAAAGAAGAGAGCGACAATATTTCCAACGTGTGTAGGCGGTCAATGCAGGGTAGAAAGATTTTTGGTTTTGTCAGCTGCATAGTAGACATGGGATAGGGAAGGCTGAATAAGCGCCATTGATGTTATTCCTAAGACGCCCCGCCCACATAGTCACTACCTTGAAGATCAAGGCTTTGAGCTCATTGATTGCTATCAATCTTAGCTGCAACCATATGTGTGTATTTGGACTATACGCGGAGCGCGTCCACTGGGGTCACTTAATATAGCGTATCAAATAGGTGCTTGAACATCTTTGCTCATCAGGATCGTCCCCAGGCGTGGGGCAAATCTGTGGAACAGCTCTGATGATCCTAGCCTCTTACCACCACCTTTCTTTTTCATGCAGTGTTGGGCCAGAGCCATCCTCTAACTGATATACCAGCTCCCCTGGAGGGACTTCAGACTGTCTTCTGGCTGCCAGAGTACCCAGAGAAGCAGTTCCCAGCTGGAGCCCTGGTAACGTTTCCCCTCACCTTCATGTGCTAATGCTGTTTTGTCCATTTCGTTCATGAAGAGGCTGCCCTGTGGCCACAGCCCTCGTTGTGTGCCCAAAACCTGCTGGATGTTGTGATGATGCTCAACATAAAACTGGCAGAGGGTCGATACCGCTTGGAGTGCATGAATCCTTAGATGCGTCCACTGACGTGGAGTGCATCGCAGGTGGAGGCTGTGGTCGGCGTGCACAACAATGCCAAAGAGAGGGTGAATGTGACTGCCATCGTTGGCTCGCTCAACAATGCCCAAGCCTTCCACCAGTTCTACCAGAACTTCACCTACCAGGTCAGCATCCCATTTCCCCACCACGAATCCTACTCTGCTGCATCTGTTATCACTACACTGCTTGCAGCACTTTCACGATCTCATTCCAAAGGCACAAGGCTCTGTCAAGATGGCAGAGCTGTGGCAGCAGCAGCGGCGATGGGTTCGAGGGGCATGCTGTAAGGCATGGCAAGATGGCTGAGGGGGTTCTGTGTGTGCTGTGCAGCCGCAAGTAGCTGTGGTGAGCCCTGGGGAGGAGGCGTCCCTGTCATACTACTTCTCACCAGATGAGAGCTTCCCTCCCAGGGAGTTCCAGGTGCGCCCACTTCGCCTGGCGCCCCCTCAAGACTGCTGCCATGCCATGCTTGTGTATATAGTCACCTGGTCTGCTGATAATTTTCCGCCCGCTTGTAGCTTGCTGACGAGCAGTGGCTACTCGTCAGTTGCCAGCCCGCTTGTCAGCAAGCTAGCGACTGGTCCAAGGAACATCAGCAGAGCAAGATCAGTAAACAGGAGACTGATTCACTGTGTTGCTCTGCCTTCATTCTCTTCTGTAGATGAATCCTTGTTGGATCATGTTTGGCCTGCATAGGCTCAACTATGTAGGCCCCAAATTGCGCATACTGTACAAGTTTCAAGCAATATTGGTGTCCCAACTTTTTGTTTCACTTGGTGGACAGAGGTGACACAGGGTGTCAGGTTGTTAACTTGGGGAACAGAGGATTGGAAGGGTCTCGAGAGCCTGTTCTGGTGCGCATTGCCAGGTGGCGCTGACGGTGTTCTACAACACCCCTGCCGGAAGCTTCGCGAGCACCTTCTTCAACGAGACCATCGACATTGTGGAGGTCCCCCCGCTCATCGACGTCCAGGGCATCTTCCTCCTCGCCGCCTTACTCGGCCTCCTCGCCGCCGCAGGTGCGCGCACATGTCGGCATATGCCAGCACATGTGTTTGCTCCCTCCTGAAGGACCACAAGCAATGTCACCACTGCGCTCACATGGCTTCCAAGCGGCATGGTTCCTTTGGTGCCGTCTGAATAACTTTTCATCTGGCTTGCTGACACTCTAATTGAAACGGTGCCAAGAGCTTCATGGCACCCGCTCGCAGGTCACAGTTGCTGCGGAAAGCATGTGAATTGGTTTTCACACTGCATTTTAGCATCTTTAAAAAGCACACATGCTCGATGCCTCACGTGCATATGCTGTGGCTGAAGTGTTTGTGTGGTGCAGCGTACGGCGTGAAGTCTGCGCTGGAGTGGCAGGGCATCCTGAAGCCGCGCAAGGGGTCCAGGAAGGTGGAGGTCAAGAAGAGGGTGGTCGTCGCCGGAGAGGAGAACGAGTGGCTCAAGGGCACCAACTTCAACCAGGTGCTCTTTGCTTTCCAGCCTGAAAGAGATCCATTCTGATGGATTATAGATGGCCGTGTATTCCATCGTGCATGACAAGTGCTCTACTGCATGCCCCATCATGAGTCTCAGGGGCAATGTAGAACTAGAATTGTTGGCAGGTGGCTGCCTGTGTAAGAGATGTATGCGCGCTGGCTTCCTGTTCACGGTGGAATCACTGCAGCACTCGGATCACTCACACAAAAACATGGCTTAGCTGCAATTCTGAGGAGGGCCGCAGAGGGCTTACTGCAAGGGTGAGCAGACACAAATGTGTTTCATTGCTGTGGCAGGGTACAAAGAAGGCCGCGAAGGGCAAGGCACCGGCCAAGGCAGCTCCAGAGGGAGCGGCATTTCCAGCGGATTCTGCAGCACCTGTGATGAAGAAGACAAAGTGAGCGGGAGAGTGGCGCTGGAGAGACGGAGGCTTGGTGGATGGACATGGGATGCATGGGATATTTGGGAGGGGCCAGTTGAGGCTGTTGCATGCAAAGGGGCCGCAATTTTGTTCAGGGATCCGCGGCAGTTGTGTGTGATATTGACCTGCCCAGCCAGCAATACCTCTTGGCAATGCATGTGAGTATTGTCTGAGGGACTGGGGACAAGTGGGAATTGAGACCATTGACTGTTGGGAGGGGCTGTCCTGAGATTGTTGACTGTCTTACACCCTGCAGAGGACATCATTGGTTGGCTCACAATCCTGCGCATCCTCTGTGCTAGCCCTTGACGGCACAATGTTGATGAGTTGCAACTGTGTTTCTGAGCTACTTCAAATACAATTGGACAACCTGCAAAACATTGGTGCATCTGGAGGTGATATGCATGGATGCAACGCACCAACGCTTGTAAGAGGAAGCTCTGCAGCTGCAATGCCGGACCATGATACACAATATCTATGTGACTACATGTATTGCTCATTCTGAAAGGGTAAGCCTCTGAAATGTACTACCTAGGCAGCTGGGCAGAGACACCACGTGGGTGCACCCCAAACATGGACGTCAATGAGCACGCATTTGGTAGTATTGTCTCGGAACGGATTAAGTAGTGAACAGCCGATCAGACCATGACCCTGAAGCCAGGGCTTGGCAGCTTGTTCGACTGTGCGGAAAGAACAGTCTGCACATATGTATGTGACAGCATTACAAGATCAGCAGGGCCATGCGGGAAAAGACCCAGACTATTCTGAAGGTCTAATCACAGACAGCAACTATGCAAATTCCTAACATACTGCTAGTAGCGGTCCGCTACAGATAGAAGCATTTACCGGTGTGCATGGATTTGTCAGCACTACTTACACCAAAAAAATTCCCCTGGCATTAGCCTTGTCTCTATGTGTAACACATCTTCTGTATGCTGAATCCTCAAAACAATCATGACTAGTACCTTATCTAAAATTTGCGCACAAGCAGCGCTTGCTTGCCGCGCAGACATTGCCAAATCTGTAGCAAAAACGAGCAGCAAGTACAAACCACCAACACAGGAAGGACTGCAACAAACATAATTGAACTCAATTTCAAATCTAGTCTACATATCTTCCCTGGAAAGCAATAAGTGAATGCCCCCTAATCGACATTTCCCGCCCAATTCAGGGGTAATCAAGCATTGCCTTCAAAACACACCACAAAACCTTCTTGCTATGTACCATCTGCCAGCGAATTGCATAACAGGGACACTCATTGCAGCAAAGCTCCCAGTCACATCATGAACTCAGCCAGATGTTCAATTACATACACACAAAGCTTGCCCAGACTCAAAGCAAACCAAAGGTGCCAGGGACCCCAATGAAGCTCTTACACCAGACAGGAGATTGGATTCAGAATTGTCCCAAAGCAGGGCCACACATACATACAGAGTTGAGGCAAGCAAGGAAGTCAGGCAGGGTCTGGCATCCAATGAGAACCCCCCATCCAATGGGAACTCCACTGGGATTGGGTTTCTGCCGCCTCTGGCTTTTGGGGCGGGGTTTTGGTCTGCCCAGAACTTTTTGCCACATCCTCTGCCAAGGCACTTTTCAGGTCTGAATGATTGCCCAGAGATAGACGTCCAGGAGCACTGTCTGAACTACCTTGGAACCACTTTGTTGAGATCCTTTCAGACCCTGATTCAAGAGAAGGCAGGGGGATTGTGCTATCTGGGCAGCAGCTGCCCGGCAATGCCCGGCGGGCGCTTCTTGGGCGGTTTGGGCAGTGCAGCGAGCACCAGCTGCGTGGCGGTGTGCATGTCCTTGAGCTCCTCCGCCAGCTGCTGCATCAGGAACTGGAAGCTGAACCAGCGCACCTGTACAGGCATGAGCAAAAGCATTAACAACCCATGCACCCTGAGAACCTTTTATTTCTGGAAGCATACACAACTGATGACCACCTCTTGCTGACTCCCTTCAAGTAAGGAGGCCCTGAATACTTTAATTTGCTTGTGTTGTGCTCATTTGAGCAATCGTCAATCGCAGACATCCATTGCAGTCAACCAGATCCTAACAATTCAGTGAACTCGTTGTGACCACCCTATTCGCTGGTGAACTGGCCTACTTCATTACAAAGTGTAGGAGATAGTTGACAAGGTAAAAAAAATGCCAGGTTGCTCGGGCTGCGCACCTTGGATGAGTAGCCAGCGCTGGTGGGAGGGAAGATGTCCAGCGCCTCCGCGATGCTTTCAAGGTCCTCCTCGTCCAGCGGCGTTCCCTCCAGGTGCACCATGCCTATCGTGCCAGCTGCGCAGTCAATGCCCACAGCCCACGATGAAACAAGACAGGATGAAAATGCGCAGGCACACCTGCAGCTGCCCGCTGTGCGAATGGCGCCCCAGCCCAGCCCGGTGATGGCAGCCCAGTAAAATTGAACGGTGAAGTGAGTACAATGCCCAGGGACAAACCTAGCCTGCCATCACCATTTTGGAGCTAGGCGCGACATGCGCGCGGCGCCTTCGAATTTTACAGGGACCACATCAAACATGTGCGCGGCATGATCTCTTCCGACTGAAGGGCTTTCAAGCAGATGAGACTACGTTGCTCAGACCAGATATGCTGCTTTCATGTCGCACTCATGTCTGCCCAACGTAGTCACGTGGCATGTCTTGGTTTCCAAGGCTTGTCAGGTCCCGGCGCGCAGAAGCGATTAAAGAGGGTTGTATGATCAGGGGTCCTTAGTCACCTGGCGCGCTGTCAGTTTCCTGGCCGCCGGACGAGGGCACGTCTCTGCCGGCATCAGGTGGAGCCTCAGAGGACTGAAGGATCCCCTGGGACGGCGGCGTTGCACTTGTGTCATTGACCAGCCGCGGCGGCGCTCCTAGGACCTCTGAAGAGGAGGGGGACGCCAGGCCGTGGAAACCGTTGGTGGCTGCTGCGCTGCTCAGCACGCTCATGTTGCTGGTCAGCCTGTGGGATGCACCGGCAGAAAATCAAAGACCACTCTAGAAATCTGCTTGCTTATGTCACGGACAGGCTGTGAGGTGCGTGAGGAGGAGACTCAGGACCACTGGCAGAGCTTTGACAACAGCCTGTGAGGTGCATCATCACCACGAGTGTCAACGTCAGTGTCAAGAATCCTATTGCTGGCAAGAAGGCGTTTCTTTGCAATAAGATGCTTTAAATGGCAAGGCACGCAAGGACTGGCGCGTCTTCTCTTGAAGGCAGAAAGAGGTACATCGGAACACGGGAAGATGCTTCTTGACTGCTCTGTTCAGATGCCTCCTGAGACAGATAGGGTGGGATAAATCCAAACCAACAGGTTATATATAAATCAAAAGGTTGCCAAAGTAATCAGGGAGGACCCTGAAACGCTTCATTCAGAGTCCCCTAGACTAAAGAGTTTAAGAGAGGGAGAGAAGAGCAAAAATGCCCCACCTAGAGGTCATCTGTGGTCTCAAGGTCCAGAGAAGTCCGGAATTCAACAAAGGAATCAAAAAGTCAAAAATAATGGGCGTGCCTTGAAAGCTTTTCGCTGGAGGCGCGACGGGAGGTGCCTCTGCGGCGGGTGAGCTGCTGCACGGCGGCATTGCGCTGCTCTTCTGAGATGCGGATCAGGTCCAACACCACCTGCGCGCACATGCAGCGCTGCCTACTCAGATGAGTAAACCCCAAAGCCTAGATATATTTGTTCTCCCAGACCGAGCCAGGCATACCTGTCCGCTGTTGCCACTGACTGACATTCGGTTTGCAAGTGTCCTGATCTGTAGCACGATTGCCTGATCGTGGTCGGAGTAGGCTCTCCCCAGGATCGGTAAATTATAGTGCTACCCGTGCCATTAAACCCTTCCGCCGTCGGTTGTCATCGGCCAGCGCCGGCATGAACAATCCCTTATTAAGCGATCAGGTGCACATGTGTGATACAACAAGGCACCAGCTAGCCACCAAAGAGCCTGGCAGCACTGCCAGAATGCATCAGCACAGAAGCTGGCCCACAAGAAACCGCAGACACAGCTGCTTGCACGCCAACACATGCCAATGCATTGTGGGCAATACGGAGCTAACTGCTCGGATCGCCCAGTCTCTCCAGCCTGGCTAGGTCGGCATGCAGCCATTGGCTTCTAGTTCCACAAATGGCTGCAGCATGCGCTATACCATTCTTGGCCTGATACTTAATCAGAAAATTAAATAGACATCTTCAATCTCCAAGAAGATTGAGGCTCTGAAACTCTTGAAGGTAGCATTGACAAGCTCTATGAAGGGGCATCCCATTAACGATGGCTGTAGGCAATCCTGCATCGTGGATTTTAAGGATATCTTCCAACAATTTATCCGACTCAGGCGCAATGCGACTTGGACTAGGACGAGTACGGTACGGGAGGAGGCACCTGGGTGAAACGGGAGAGGCCGATAGATTCGGAGGCTGGCTGGTAGGGGAAGGCCTGCGCCAGCTCCACTAGGGCGCCCTGGCTGCTGGCCTGCAGGTCCGCTAATAGGCTGGTCGGGAAGTGCCGCCGCAGCACCACCGCCACCTCACCCTCAAACCCCTGCAGCATTTACACATAATACAATGCAACCTTGACGCCACTCAACACGCAAGCCATGCCAGCAGGCTGCTGCGATCAAAGCAGGGGAGGCTGCAGCATCTTGTGGTGCTAGGGTGATACTTGCACACTGTCTGGAGTCACAGTGGCATGCCAACAGGGCGGTTCCGGCCTGTCTGACCTCCATGCGCCACAAAGAACAGCCCACTTGACAAGGCACTGATACTCCAGACAGCGGGCAAGTGACCAATCAGACGGGCACATAAATTTTGCCCCTCTAAGAAATCACGCAGGCAACAGGCTGCATTCTGGCTGCTGGCTGGGCGCGGGTGGCCCAAAAGGGGGACTTTCAGGTTGAGGTTCATGCATGAGGGTCCCGCTGCCAGTAATCCAAGCAGAGCAACCTCACAAGCATTGGGCCGAGTGTACCCAAGCAGACTCGCACCTCCTGGAAGGTGACGTGGAGGGCCCAGAGGACGCGTGCGACGCGGCGCATGCATGTGGCCAGGTCGTGCATTTCGCGCTGGGGGATCCGCCAGGAGCCGGGGGACCCCAGGCAGGACATGCGCAGCCACGGCAGCGCCGGCAGAAAACACCATCGCCCCCGGAACGTCTTGAAGTACACCTCGTTCGCCGCCACCGGCAGCAGCTCATCGCACTTCACCAGCTTGTCATAGACCTGCATCAGCATCTGCGCACGCGAGACACACAAAGACAGCGTCAACACTCTGCATACACTGCTGTAAGCTGAGAGCACCCCAAGAGTCCTACCCAAATGCCTGACTGTTCATGACCAGGCGACCTTTGGCTATGGCTCGGCTGTGTCTGACACCACATGATGCACGGATTCCCTTGAGGAATGTTCTGGGGAAATGCGCTATGCTGATGCAACCAAGCACCACCGCTGAGCACAGCATGCAGTGTGAGCGCTGCTGCTCTGGCATAACTCCTGATCCTTGAACCCGGCGGGGTGGGTTGATGACAGACACACTTGTAAACCTCTTTGGGCTGATCTCAATGACAAGTGGATGTGCCTGCAGTACAAGGGGACAAGCACAGCACCTTTTCGCAGTCCACCTCAGCCGCGTCCCTGTTGGCGGCAGCCTCCTTCCGCGCGCTCTCCTCATCCTCCTGCTGCAGCAGCATGTACCTGCGCAGCAAAGTGTCCTTCACAACACGACCATAACACTTTGCAGTTCATTACCGGTAGGCAGATGTCACAATATGCAGTTGCACTTTGTCAGTTGACTACTATCAGGTTCCCACCGATCCAGCCCCTATCCTGAGACTTGAACCAGGGAGTCTTGATGATCACTTGCAGAATGCTCTGTCCGAAAATGGATGACAGCTGCTTGCAGTGGACTAGCTGTCCAATCATTCTCAAACATCCGGAATTCACACCAATTGCCCCCAATCGACGGAGCATGCAATGCATCGGGTTGGGTGTTTCAGGAGCCCACCCGTCGGGCTGCCTGAGAGAGCGAGCCCGCTCCATGCGCTGCTTGGTTGTCTGCTGTTCTGTGTCCCCATTCGTCGCCTTCCATGCCAGCTTGCTCAGATTCACCAGGTCAATCATCGCCTCCGCCATGTTGTCAGCCGCCTGCATGGTTGATTGATGCTCCAAGATTTGGTTTGAAGCTTGAATAGCTATTTGGACCAGATCCATGCATCATGCAAGGCATCACAAGCCGCCTGTTGCCTTCCTTGCCTCACAAAGGGCCAGATGGCTATTCCGGCGCATGAAATGCAGTAAACAGCTTGGCAAGAACATATTGCAGGCGCTCAAGCTAGCAGAAGCACAGAGCTGGTAAAAGTTTATCATGCAGGAGCTGTTCAAGAGTCTGGCATCCGGGGCATGCCTGGTGCGAGGCGCTCTTTGGGAAGACGAACACCGACAGCATCAGCATGAGCATGACACCCCCCACAATCCCCACTATGCGCGTCAGTGCCACCAGGCTGGCATCTGCGCGCACATGGCCCCACATGTCAGCATGTGCCCCCATACCGTCACGAAGCCACCACTGCAGATTCTACTCATGCAGCAAGCCAATGCAGCTATGCAACTGACAATCCTCAGGCCATGATACACCAAGTGCTATCTGGGCCACACAAGGCCCTGTCAAAGCCTGGCTTGGAACGCTCAAAGTCTGATAGCTCTAAATAGAGCGATTAGGTCCACTTCTGTCAGGTGTGCTTCTCAACATCTGCTCAGTGCATTGGGTTGTCTGTACAGCAGAAGAAAAGGGGAGCTAGGCACCTGAAGGCTCATTGGAGCCCATGACGACCAGCACAAAGGTCATGACAAACAGCTTGGCGCTGTAGTCCAGCGACAGAACCCAGCCCACACACACCGCACCAAAGCCCACCAGAAACGCCACAAAGCCTGCACAAAGCCAAAGGCACCCTCACATCAGGCGGCAAATATGTGAGATTGCCGCCTGACAAAACATTCAAAGCACTGATAGGACTGAGCCCTTAAAGAGCATGAGACCGCTTTCACCCAGATAGCGCTCATTCCTTGGTGACACATTCCATCATCACTTGTCAGCCTGCCAGTGACTCACCTGTGATGGCAATGTCTTCATCTTGGCCAAACCCATGGCCCAGCAGGACAGTAGCGAGCCCCAGAAGCCCCCCAAAGATGGTGCCAATGGTGCGCTCCACTGAGACCTGTCAACACTCCGAAGGGGTCAAGACAGGCCACATAAACCTTTGTTCCTTTGCGAAAGATCACTCCCAGGAACCAATGCCACTGAGTACCACAAGATTACTTCACTATTGGCATGCTGAATGGGTACCTGGGTGACTTTTCCCAGCATCGGAGCCGCCACAACCACGATTGTGATGGCAGCCCATTTGCAGCCCTGCATGGTGAATAGTCAGGTTAGAAAACAGTTCAATAATTCAGGCCAGTGCAAGATCACAAATAGATGGATCAGGGGAGTCGCTCACCTGCAGCCACTGCAGACCTATTCTCTTCTGTCTCCCTGCAAGCCACTTGGAAGCAGTCAGCCCACAGGATCTGTGAATAGCTGGCTGGAGCCAACCGACCAAAACTCAGCCTTGGAAGTCAGGGAGCATGAGATCGCGCACCCCCAAGCATGCCCATGATAGCGTAACCGAGGGTCACCGCTATGCAGACACCAATGCCTTGCCGTATGGCTTGTCGGAGGAAGACTGGAACCTTCCTCCTACGTTGTTCCATCATTTCTCCTGCTCACACGAGTGGGTTTAGTCTTAACAGGATCGGAAGGGAACCTAATTACAGATTGGTACATTCGAAATCCTGGCTACAACACAAACCAAATCCAAGGATTGTTCAACGAGAAGTTGCTTTACCAGCCATGATGCCTATGTGACTACCGTTTCAGCGGAAATAACTATTCAAAATTCATTCTGATTCGATTTCTCTGTTCGGGAGTTCCAGACCCTCTCGATCAGGCAGGCACCAACTACTTAGTAACACAGATCAACACAAGTCCTGCTCTTATCTTGTAAACCAAAGGACTCGTCTTCATCACTTCTCAACACCTAATCCCACGAGCACAGGCTAGAAATGAGAAGACAAGGTATTCATTAGTGGGATCCAGCCTGCAAGAGAAGGAGCGCCATCATTATGTGTACGTGGGCATCACTAATTAGTGATGACTTATGACCAGTAATCTTGGAGCTTCCTCTTGCAGAGGAGACCCATGAAGGCCAATGTTGAACATTCAAGGATAATCAATAGCTGCAGAACAAGTGTTCATAAAGATGTCTCAGCTGCTTGGTGACGAAGCACCCCACACTGGAACAACAATCGTGGCAGTTTCCTTTGATGGAGGTGTTGTCCTTGGTGCTGACTCCCGCGTGAGCACAGGGAACTATGTTTCCAACAGAGCGTCAGACAAGATTACTTCTCTGTCAGACAATGCTTACATGCTTCGCTCTGGATCCGCTGCTGATACTCAGGCAATCGCAGATTATGGTGAGGCCTCAGAGCCTCTTGTCTGTATATCGCATGACACTTTACAACTGTGCAATCGTCCTGTAATGTAGCAGGGGTATCACAAGTGCTTAGGGTTGCTCTTGCTGATAGTAAAGCGCACCTCAAGTACAAGTTCTGATGGGCAGGGTCTGCAGGATTGCAAATTACATTTGATTTCGATCATCTAATGTATCCTGAGACTGTACCAAGAAGTTAACAGTATCATGCATCACCGTAAGGTGTAATCAGAGACTTGCTCATCGTTCCTGGCTGTGCAGTGCGACACTACACAGCCATGCACTCTATGGAGCTAGGGAGAGACCCCAAAATTAAATCAGTAGCAAAGCTTGTGGCTCAGGTGTGTGATGATATCACAACACCTTCTGTTCCCTCCACATCTGTGCTTCGAGTTATTTCATTAGAACCACGCACAAGTACTGACTAGTGGACTCTTCAAGGAACTCCATGCCAAGGGGGCCCTCATTATTTTGGCTGCCTGCACCTGACAATCCGGCACAGACGCACTCAAAGCCATGTGCATTGCGCAGATCAACTACTCCAATAAGAATTTGCTGATGGGCGCCATGATAGTGGGCGGTTGGGATCCGGAGGGAGGTGGACAGATCTTTGGTGTGCCCATCAGCGGGACACTTGTGCAGCAGGACTGGACCACGGACGGCTCTGGCAGCACCTACATCTGGGGCTACTTGGACTCTGCCTACAGGTGTTGTCCCTGCCTGATGCTACTGATCGACTTGACCGCGTGCAAGCAGAGAACGTTGCCATCGTCCTCTGATGAGGCCATGCCATGCCACCAGGAATGGATTCCTAGAGCAGAGCAGTGCAAATAGGGGATCCAGGGTGCCAGGGATAGCATACCACTGTGGAGGCAGGGGACTGATCTTCTCTTGCTCGATTGCATGAGACATCCTGAGTAGCCAATCGAGGAGGTGGACAGGAAAGTGATGCAAAATGCACTCAGCGAGGGAATGGACTGGGGACGGCAAGCTACAGTAAAGAGAATGCTGTCAATTTTCTGAGAAAGTCCCTGAAGCGAGAGTCATGTGCTGTGGATGCGCATGCAGGGATGGCATGAGCAGGGAAGAGGCAGAAGAGCTGGTGAAGACAGCGCTCGCTCTGGCAATGTCGAGGGACGGCTCATCAGGCGGCCTGGCGCGGTTGATCACCATCACTAAGGCCGGGGCGGAGCGGCGGATGATCAAGGGCGATGAGATTCCTCTATTCTGGGATGAGATTGAGCCTATGGGCACAAATGGCACCGGCATGGTTGTGGTCTGAGCTGGCTTTGATGCGCTGTGGAGGGCTGAGGTATAAGATAGTGAATAACTCCCCAAGCTGACGGTGTTGTAGTAACAAGGCATTCCGAGTATGCATATGCCTTTTCAGGCTATAGAGATGCCCCAGAAGGGCAGCATGTATTTGCACTGCATATGCATATACTGCATGGCAGCACAACGTGCATTATGCAACATGTTCTCTGTCACTATGTTACATGACGAGACTTGATTGCTCGCTGCTCTTGAATTTTGCTTGCTCACACAGCAGCCCATGCCTAGGGCTGATTTGGGGCTCTGTGCAGTCCATCAAATTGTCTGTTATTTTTACTCTCATTACATACGGAGACTGGCTGTCCAGCATTTTGTGATGCCTGCACCAAACCTGCATCATCATGGGCTCCTCTTTGTCAGTGCAAATACATTTACTTCCCTTACCTCGCAAATCAGGCAAAGCAGTTGTTCCGATCTGTTCTAGTGTACCGTTTGCTGGAGTGCTGACTGTAAATATTAGCCTCCTGAGGACCTGTCCTGTTGAGAACTCGGGGTCATCAAAGTGCACGGGTTTCAGATAATGCGTCAGAACATGCAGAGGCACTACAGTGTACATACAGAGCTCTGGAGTCTCATACAGATCACAAGTACAGAGACATTCAGATACTTCTCATTCAACGCCTCTTGAAAATACCTCCACAGCGCCGCGGTGCACGCGGGCTGACAGGTGGTTTGATGGCATGAGTTCGCCATCCACATTCCAGCTGGACTCTGCCCCAATCGGCTTCACTGCCACAGCCACCACGTCCAAGACAGTGATGAAAGGCAGATCATGCTCCGCGTCAATGCCTGCAACAGGATGACTCACGATCATGAGCGCACATCACACATCCTTAATACATGTGCTCCAGTGTCTCAGTGTAGCCCTCCCAAAGAACCCTCACTCAGATGGTCGCCCAAATGACCTAGCAGGCTCCCCTCAAGTTGCAATCTGTCAGCATGCCGGAAGATGCAAAGCATGACTCCAGGTATTACTAAATGCCCTGGTCTGGTAGACTTAGTCTTGTGCGACTACCCCTTCCACAAGGTATGGATGGGTCTCTTGAGCCAGTGCCTGCCACACATGAGCCTGTGGCCTCAGCAGGGCCTGTGGCTCTAAGCTGACACCTCTTTGTACCCATCCCGTTCTCTGCTTGCACTAGCTACAGTAACAAATTTAAAAAGGTTATGTTTGTGAGCGTGAGAAGACCCAGAGAACATCTGTGCTGCGTACCAAGCGTGGGGATGCGTATGAGCAGGCGCAGGTACTGCAGCACAGAGCAGCGCTTGACCAGGACGAGCTTGAGGCGGCCATCATTTAGGTGCGCGGTTCGCGCGAGGCCGCCGGCACTCATGTCCGATCTGCACGGCGTCACGATCGCCATTATGCTCTTGAACTCCCCCTGCAATGAACGTGCATGCATCTGTGAGATTCTACGTTATAATTGAGGAGCCTGTATCCATGCATGCATCCGTGAGACTCTGCTACAATTGAGGAGCCTGTTTACACCGTATCGTGTGCGCGGCCCTACAAGACACTGACTCCTTTGGGGACTACTCAATGCTTCTTGAACGACAAGGTCTCGGCAAGAACACAAAATTCAGGAGGAAAAGGTCTGGCACTGCAAGCTCGGTGTCTTTTTAATACTGAGATCCCAAGCAATTCTTGGTGTGCGCTGGTAGAGTAGCACAGGGTGCAGGAAAGGGTGTCACCTCGATGGATGTCCAGGCAGGCTCGCCCTCTGACGGAGTACTGCTGTCAATAGAAATGTCTGCAGGTGGCACGCCAGTGGCAGTTGCACAGAGCTGGCACTGGCTTTTGCACTCCACAGCCTTTGGTCTGGAAGCAGGCAAACAACAGTCCAGGACTTAGAACAAATTTACCTCCTGAGCAAATGAGACAGTCTGTGAACCACACACTCGCAATGCGGCATGCAAGGAAGTAGATGCATCCACTGCTTGGCCTGCAACATGCAAATGTCCAGACTTGCCAACTCATAGATGCCTTGTCTTGGCACAAGTGCGGGGTCAGATTCTTGTGGAGGCTCACGCGCTGTGCATGGATGGCAGGTAGGACACACAGGCGCGGTAGCAGCGGCCGCGTAACAGCGTCAGTGCTCCTGCCAACGGATACCTCCGTTCTCCGAGCCACCTGCATTGTGTGCAAGCACTCAGTGATTGTACACAGCTGACAAGGGTATGACTCTGTGAATAAACGCAATGTGCTCGTCAATCAACCCAGGCATGGTGTTGCATGGCTGTTCAGCCACGATCTGCAACACTCCACAAGACAGACGCCGTATTGATATATTTTGTTGCAGATCATGGCGGAACAGTCCTACAAGGCCATACGAATGTAGAGGATGTTGCATATCGTCGCATTTCCCGTAAAGGGTAATGCAATATGGCCATATACGTGGAAGGCGCTCACTTCGACCAGCGCAGCGTTTCTGATGTGCGCAGGAGATCGCCCATGTAGCCGTAGGTTGCATAGCAGACGCTGAAGCGGTGTGTGCCGTCGCCAGTGTCCACCCGCATCACATCTAATGGAGTCCTGCACACTATATATTCCCTAAGAATCTTTGATAAAGTTCTCCACAATGGCGGTCCGGCAGTCGACAGTCTCAAATGAAAGATCGGGGTGATATATCGGGGTGATATATCCCTTGCTAGGAGCTCTCTGGCCTGTCCGAGGGTCTGAGAATGGCGGAGTTTCTCTTCCAAACCCTTTTTCGCAGGTTACTTTGCAAGGCCACCAACATGCAAGAGGCTGTGCATGGGAAGCTGCATTCCAGCAGGATGGCTGGCGCCAGATTGAGGACAAATCCTCCTGGACAATGCATGCAGATAGTTTGCCAAGAACAGACCTGTCACCAAGGGCCACATGCAGTGCAGCCGTGGCTGCAGAGCGCGTGCCATTGAGGCTGTATGCGACGGCGTCGGTGGAGCCGCCGGGAATGTGGCCCAGGCGCAGCTTCGCGGCAGCCGCCGCCCGGTCGGCTTCCCCGCAGCTGCGCACCGCCATCACGCCGTTGAGCACCTCTTGGAACATCCCATCGCCACCCACCTGAAAGGGTGATCATTACTTTTAATTGATGACTGATCCACAAAACTTTGCTCCCGACCTGCTCTGACATGTTCTTAATTAAAGCATAGAGGTCCTTCAGCGAAGCCAACAAGACAATGCATTTGGTATACGATAGCTGTCCTCTTGACACGAAGTGGCCGCTTGGTATCTACTGCTCAGGAACAAAGTCCTTGTTGACAAGGCGCCCGGGTGCTGCTTCCACCCAAGAGGGGCAGAGGTGCCAGTTTCTCATCCAGCAGCGGCCAGACCCCTTTTTCTCCTTTTCCTTTTTGGAACAGAAGCTATTTGAGGGAGCCATTGGCGCAGCTTGAAGAATCAAGACACAGGCTGGAAGTTTGTTGCTGTTCCGCACAAAAGATGGCAAGTAGAGGTTATGCAGGATTGCAAAGGGCGGGAAAGCATCTCACGGCAAGAATGCCATCACAGGTCTGCAGCTCCTGCAGTGACAGGTCCCGCACTGTCTTGTACGCATCCAGCGGCCGGGTTGTCACTGTGACGCTACAAAGTACACCTGCCCAAGAAGCACAGCTGAGCCTACAAGATGACGCTTATAAAATCGTTATTGCAGCAGAGCAGAGATGGCCTTGAGATTTGCACTGTGTGTTTGCTGCTTAGATGTCCTGAAGGCCTGCACCGCACTGTTAACAGCCGCGCAAGCCGGATCTGTATGCTAGGGACAACAAGAGCATACCAGCCTTGCTGAGAAGGGGAGAGGCATCGCGCTCCCAGACAGTAGGCGCTCGGCCAGAGCCTCCAAAGGGATTCAACAGCACCAGAAGGCTCCTGGGCCGCTTGCTGCTTGTGCCCACTGCCTCGTTGATATCTGCCGCCCACCTCCTCACTAGATCTTCATCCTGTGCCAAGCATGACACTCCTTAGAAGATGACATACACAAATAGCTCTTCATCCTGTCCCATGCCACCCTTTCAACAACGATCTGCCCAACTCGACATTGCATGTCCTGATGCTCCTCTCATAAGCCAATATTCAAACCTGTTGTATCTAATAGATTGTGTCTGGGGGAACTTGTGTTCACCTGGGAGTCCAGCTCCACAGAGTGGAGCACCCAATTGCATGAGTGCAGGCGAGGCCTCCTGAAGGTGCAGATAGAGAGTCTGTGCGTGATCTGCTCAGCAGTGCAAACCGGTGAGAATTCCTCAGTGCATCATCCAGGGACAGAAGCACGCTGCCTCCAGAAGGGCGTCTAGCAGTAGCAAAGTATAGAAGAAAAGAGAGAAGAAGGAGACTAGAGAAGCTAAGAGAGGTATATACAGCACGTATGCAGCCTTAGGGAGGGGATTGACAGATTGCACACTAATTACCAGGAGGGCATCAATGTTTCTAAAAAATTGTCTCAAGATAGGAGCGGACCGTTGGTGTGCTCCACAGGCGTCTGCAGTGTCTCCAGGCAGGTGCTGGCTGGCTTGTCGCTACGCACAGGATTTCAGAGAAAGGAATAGAGGCCGGCTGGGGTGCTGACAGCGGCCAGCAGCGTCTGGTCTCCAGAGGCGTGAGCTGTACTCCAGACTTGGTGAGATGGGCCTTCATCGTGGCGCCCCTCAGAACAAAGTGTGCTGTGCAGTCGGTGCTCGGGCCGGCTTCCAGATCTGTAGCGCCAAGGCACACAGTTTTAGTGAAGGTCACTGTGAGCAGAATTCACGGCAAAGTGACGAGCGATTGACAGGCAGGAAATCAAGCGCAACTCGCTCATGCCAACTACCTCATTGCAATATGCATGCTTGCCAGATTGCCCTCACCTGTGAGGTGCACATGCGAGAACCTGCTTGGCTTCCGAAGCAACATGCTGTCCTGTGAAGGCGATCGCCATGATCCTTCTGCTTCAGCAATCTCGGGCACAGGTGCAACTTTCAAAGGCTTGAAAGCTGTCGACACCATGACATTGTATCTCAAGGTATTGCTGTCAGGCGCGTTCTGCAGAGATCATCAGAATATGTAAGTGCCAGTGCAGTACCTTCTACTGCCCTGTCTATGCACCATCTCTTTATATGCTCTCAAGAGATGTTCTGTACGCTAGTAAATTGCAGATCTCGGTTCATCGAGGCAGGTCTCACAGTTTAGATCGCACGTGCTTCCGACATGAGAGAGACCACGTGCTCTGGAAGTCGAATGGCGGGGACTGTGTGCGTCATGACGCCCCGAATCAAAACTCTCCAAAGAGAACAAACAAGCGGCATCGGCATGTCTAAAAGTTGTTAATTGCTGCCAGCTCGATTTTTAGCTCTCTAGATTTGCATATCGCCATAGAAAAATTTCTTAAACAGACGCGTTGGGATTTCTGCTCAGTCCCAAAACTCACTGCGGTAACAATAGCTACAGCTGGGATATGGATTTGGTGCACATCCGATGTGATAACGACCAAGGGGGGCACTGAGTGAGTTTCTAAAAATTTTGGGGAGTGGCTGCCAGCCCAGCCGTAGCTCGAAGGGCTTGTGCCTCTAGAGAAATAAGTATTGCATCAAATACGCAATTTAGTTACCAATCAGCGTTGTACAGCTGGCTCATAGCAGCTGCACAGTCGGAAAATGCTCTTTTCAATTGCAGCATACTGCATCGTCCTCAGCCTGGTTGTGGCCAGTGCTGTTGTTGCGAACGGCACAACGGCAAGGAAGCGCAACGTAAATGGAGCCACGAAGGTAGAAGCCCTCATCAAGCCTTAATCGGGTTCAGATTGCTTTTCATCGCCCGCTGTTGTGGCTTGCAAGCCTGACGATGCCTGTGCCCTGCAGGATATGCCAAATGGACAACATGACAAGGAGAGCAAGAAGCCGTTGAATGGTCAGAAGATCCCAGAGGCCGTCTCTGACACTCCAGTGAAGACCAGGCCCTTCGTCCTGTACGCTATTCTGTTGATGGCCTTGCTGGGTGGCGCTGCAACGGGTGCATACTTTGCCACGGGTGAGTCCCCTTGCTACGATTACAGTGCTTGCATTCCTCCATCTCAAGATCTTCGTCCACAGAGTGTGAGCCTTGCGCACGCTTAGCATGTAATCCCAGACATTAAGAATGGCTTACTGCTGTCTCACCAGGATATCTGTCAAAGAGCACCAATTGGGCGCCACCCACCTGCCAGCCACCAACAGTAGATGCTTTGTTGAATCGTTACAAGGAGCTGACAAACACTTTCACCTACCCCATCCTGACTACCTCGCCCAAAGCTCAGCGCCTCTTTGATATTGTGCGACTCCCCAAAGCCCATCCTGCACATATCCTTGCGCACGACTCTGTCAACTTTGATGATGGCAAACCAGCTCTAGATCTAGCAGCACAGTGCCGCCAGTTGCGACTTGGTAAATAGATGGCATGTTTGATCAGACGGAGGGGCTTGACTCATGGGCAAATGTTTGGCAGGGTATGTTGCAAGCGTGGAATTTCAATCAGCCAGAGGCGCTCAGGGCCTTCCAGCTGGCTTCAGAGGAGGACCCTGCTGCAGCCATGCCCTTCTGGGGTCAGGCCTATGCCCTGGGGCCTGGAGCAAACAGGTGCATTTACCAACTTCACCAACCCATCCTGCCTTTCATGCTAGGAGATATGCTGTGTTTCATTGTTAGAAGCTTCTCCTCACAAGATGGACCGATCACGGGTGACTCAAGTTATGCATGCTAGACACCCTCTGACTCATACCAAGGTGCATGCAGGAGAATTTTGTAGTTCCATGTGGTTTGGGGGATGTTATTCAGCAATTGATTCTACGGATGACATGCATCACTAATGGCCCACTTTTGGTGGCAGGGATGTGACGTCTGAGAGGAAGCCTTATCCGTCCTTTGCCCCGGAGGATTTCCCGGCAGTCTACAAGGCCGCCCAAGCAGCTCTGAAGAAGGCCCAGATCAAGGCCATACAGCTTGACAGCACACAGGCAAGGCCACACCCGAGCCATGCGAAAGACCCTCCCAACAACACTCAGGACCCTGTTTTTGTTATCTTGCCGGCATCGATATTACAATATCTGTCCCCGAAAACAATCTTACAAGGATTGCTACCTCCCTTTGGCGGGAGGAATTCTGGGTCTCTGCGCATATTCCTACCTTTCACCCTATGCAATGCACCTGCACACGCACCTTGCCTCTCTTGGCAGGAATCGCATGCAATCCATCACACATTAGTAACAATATTTGTGACACCACAGGCCAAGAAGGAGCTGGCACTAGCGGTGGCGCTGGCGATGAAGCGGTTCCCGGAGGGCAGTGCCACCGGCGCCAAGCGCGCGGCGGCCGAAAAAGAATACGCGGAAGCGATGCAGGCGGTCGGCGTGAAGCTGTCCGACAGCGTTCTCATCGCGATGGCCGCGGAGGCCTTCATGAACCTGTCGCCCTGGGACTATTACAATGTGCGCCCGTCCTCCTGTTAGATGTCCAGCATGCTGTTAGACAAGAGCTTTGCATGCAGGGTTACAGATAGAGTATTTTTGGCTGCCCCCAGGCTTTCACGGTCTGCTGTGTTTGTTCTCTTGAACAGCAAAAATGAAAGCAGTATTACATGTAATCTGAGGTGCCGTAGGATTGTTGTTTGCTTTAATTCTGTCCCATCTCTGCAGTTCATGCCAATGCCCTTTCCTGCAAGTGAGTGGAAGCGAGTCGGCTCGGGGGCTGATGGGTGAGTCTGTGTTGCTGCAGAAGGACAAGAGCTTGAAGGAGACTGCCACGATTGCTGAGGAGCTGATCAACCAGGCCATTGCTCTTGAGCCCATGAACGCCCTCGCGCTGCACCTCCACATCCACATCGCAGAAGCCTCCAGCCCTCAGAGGTCTGTATCCGCCTCTGGAAGCCATATATATGTTACAGCATAATCTTTGTCGTTCAGTCTCGGAATCAGCTTTTGTTACTCTTAAGGAGCTGTCATTCTTGCACGGGGTAAGGCTGGAGCACATCCCCTTCTTAGAATAAAAGCTGAGCAATTTATTGGCCCAAGAGCAGTAACCAAGCATGTAATGCACCTTCTTGGAGCCATGTGCCAGGAAGAAATATCCACAAGCTCGATATCTGCACATGATAGCTCCAAACCTGAGACAGAAACCCTGGGTCTGAAACCTCATTTTGTCCCCCAACAGGGGCCCGCACCTGAACGCGGCGCGCGCTGAGTCATCAGCGGCGCGCATGCTGGACGCGGAAGCTTCCCCACTGTGGGGCACGGCCAAGTTAGGCCACCTGGTGCACATGCCCAGCCACACGTTCGTGCGCATCGGCCGGTGGGCCGATGCAGTAACTGCCAACGTGGCGGCCTGGCGCGCTGACGTGGCGGACGCCACCGCCTGCCAGAGCCCCTACGAGCCAGAGCACAACACCGACATGCTCATCTACGCTGCCAACATGGCCGGGCAGGTGTGTTAATTTGTTATTAATATTACTCCAATGTCGTCTTTATACTCCCCTTGGCCACTTACTGACGCGATCAGGCCGAGGGGAATAAAATATGGCTCCACTTCATGATCCCCTTAATCAGGCTTCCACTTTATCAGCTAGACTTGTGTGTCGCTCCTTATCTGAGCTGCCGGGCTCCCAGGATCCACATCATCTGCATGGCCGGGCAGGTGCGCAAGCTATTCAGGCCAAGGGGGGTCCATGAAGCAGTTCCATTTTACTGTAGTGCTCAAATTAAAACCCGCACCGCCGGTGGTTCAGGAAACTTTTCGAGGCAGCTTTCAATGATCTTTCTGACTCCAGAAACACCAGACTCATGATCCATCGGATTGTGCTTGTCGAGAGCCTTCCGAATATGGTCTCAGAATTATCATGGGGTTTGTCTTTTGGGAGACAGGGTCTTGATCATCCACCCTTTTTGGCCCATTTTTTTTGCGGGGTTCACTTTGAGCACTACAGTATTTGCACAAGTCTAGCATTCCTGTGGTGCCAGAGGAGGAAGTCTAAGTTTGCCTGGCGACCTGCGGCCTCCCCTTGTGTTGCTAGAGGCCTTTTCTGTGAAGCAGATTGGAGATCTTATAGCCTCCTTGATAGGCTCCCATCTTATCAGCTACAAGTCATGTATCAGGCTCTGTTCTGAGCTGTTAGGCCAGGCAGTGCTCCTATTGCCCACATGCAAGCTAGCTCTATCCTGGCTTCCCAAACATTGTTGCATTACCTGCTGCTTTGCCTGCCATGCAAGCGCTGTCTGGGCAATACTGCACATCATGCTGCAGATGTGGGCTTTCTTTTTGATTGGTCTTTGAGGGCCTCTACCCGTGGGCACTGTGTCAGTTGTGCAGTTTGCTGCTGCTCCTTGAGTCGAAGATTTGAATATAACATTAGTTGTGCATGCGCAGTACAAGATTGCTGAGGAATATAGCGAGAAGATTCGGCTCTACCCGGCGGATATACCCACAGCCTACTCTGAGGACTATGGGAACGAGTGGGTGCACCTGATCCTGACCTACGTCATCCAGGTAGAAAGCCTGATATTTTTGCCAACTGCACGAAGAATCAATTGAATACATGTATCTGGTAGCAGGATCTAGATACCACGCAAGAGACCAAGCGAACTGATCTCACTACAAAAGGTATGATATGTAATTCCTCTGGCACACCGTGCACAGTGAGGAACAAATATGTGTGTGCCGCAGGGCAAATGGAACGAGATTCTCAACCTGCCGGGGACGGGGCCGCCGGCCGGGGCGCGCGGGCTGTGCCCAACGGGCGGCTACGAGTATTCGACGGCGGTGTACCACTACGCGCGCACGCTGGCGCTGGCCGCCAAGGCTGAGGGGGCACGCGTGGCCGGGGATATGGAGAGTGCCATCAGCTGGTACTCCCAAGGCGCCGTCACCGCCTTCATGCACCTGCGGGTGAGCTCTGCCGCACAGTGGCAACATGAAAATAGCTCTATGCTGGCTGGATGCTGGCTAGTGTGCAACCCAGGACATGACCCGACAATTGATCTGGCAAGGTTGCCACATTTGTCCGCCTGCGGGTGAGAAGAGTAAGCTTCAGCAGTGGCGACAAAATGCTGTTTTTCTTGGCTCGATTGAAGGGCGACAGATGTGCTCCAGGGGTCCTCAGTACCTAATACCGTTATCCTGCGAGCTGACGACCGCAATGTGTCTGAGGTGGACTGACAAGCTGAAACCCGGCTGGGGGGCTGGTGCGCAGGAGGCGGAGGGAACGGTGGTGCAGGAAGAGGGGACAGTGCCGGGGGAGTGGCCGGGAATCTACGCGTGCGACTACAAGAAGCTGGCGCGCATCCTCGTCAAGACGGCCGAGGCGCGCCTGGCGCTCATGCAGGGCGACACCGCCGGCGCAGAGGTGCACTTCAGGAAACTTCAGAGAAAAATGAGATATTAGCACAGTTTGATGATTCTCATGCCATCATGAGATCATGTTGTCCTCAGCTGAAGCCAAGTCTTTGTGCATATGATGGGTTCCAGCGGAGTTGTGTTTAGCTGCTGGTACCTTGTGCCCGAAGAGCATGCAGCTTGGCGGGATCTCTCAGGGGACGACAGTGGTGCATGCAGGGATTTTGAAATAACAGAGCAGGTTTGAAGGTCTTGTTCTGTGGGTGTGCACAGGCGAACTTGAGGCAGGCGTTTGCGATAGAGGAGGGGCTGGGCTACATGGAGCCGCCGCGGCAGTACCAGCCGACCAAGCACTGCCTCGGCTACGTGCTCATGCGCGCCGGCAAGAACCAGACAGCCGCCGAGGTGTCCCACTCTGTTGCATTTCCAAATTCAGATTCAACTACACAAACTTGTGCCTTCTCACTCAGGCGATGCGCTTCTCTTATGATGCTTGCGAGGTCATCGCCGAGTGCTGCCCTGCTGCGGTTGAAGCTTTTAAGGATGAAATTCTTTGAGGATACAAGCAGGCTCTCCCAGTAAAGCTAAACGTTTGGGTGGACATACTGGGTGACCGGGGCACACTGCAAACTAGGAGATCCAACGCACTCTATGCCCGTTACTTGGGAATCATCACGTACTGCTGAGCAAGCAAATAGCTGTTGCTGCGCGCATGAGCTTTGAGATCATATGAGTGACACTAAGTGATCCAAAACACCGGATGCCTGCTTCTTCAGGAATGGTCTTGCACCGAGGAGCAGACAATGCTGTTGTTGCATGCAGGGCTTGGCACAAAATAAATTTCCCCAAAGCAGTGCAGGGTGGCCGAGAGACGTATGGTGCTGCCTTCGTGATGTCTGTGAACGGCTTGGAGTGTGCACTTGCCAGGTGTTCGTGGAGGACATGATGGAGCACCCTAACAACGGATACGCTCTGCTGGGAGTTTTGCGCGCGCTGAGTGCGCTGGGCCGCGACGCCGACGCCGCGCAGCTGGCGGGAGTGCACGAGGTGACTTATTCTTGCACCAACAGAGAGTCTGAATTGGGTTTTGAATTGTAGATTTAAAGGCGATAGCCGTGTGAAGCAACTGTTGTGCAAAGGGGGTGAGTCAGCCTTGCACGAACACATGTTTTCTGGATATGCATGTCCTCTGTATTATCGCGCGTTGGCATGACCAGGCAAGATATAATCGGTGTATACTTGCGCGGAAGTGATGAGTTGCTTTGCGCACCCTGGCACCAGCATACAGCTTCCCCTTTCCTCAGTCATTGTGTGATACCGTGCTGGATCATTCAAGCAGAAGCAGCGTCTGAGCTTGATGGTTGAAGATAACATAGAATTGTTGATATTGAAGCGCGACATGTTGTGATAGTAAGAGATGTGCTGTTCCAGAGTGTCCACCTTGAAATAGTTCTGGATTTATAACTGGGTGACTGGACAGGCGGCCTGGGCGTCCGCGGATGCACCCCTGGAATCGCCCTGCCCTGCGTTCTCCCGCCTCATCACCACGCTCGACACCGGCTTCAAGGGCCGGCGGCTGATGCGCTGAGCGCTGACATCCTCTGGTGGCTCCTCAGCCGCCAGACGACAGGCATTTGATGAACATACTTCGATGAAGACTCGCATCGCAGAAGGTGTGAGGAGTCTCGGCTGGAGCAATGCAGAAATGCACACTCTCAGGGGTAGAGATGGAAGCTGGCGATGATTGCTGGAGAGGGGACTACTTGGGGCACTGGCATCTTTGTTGCAAATGCAACCAGACGTGGCTCTCTGCTAAAAGGAACCTCCTTTGGTTTGCAATTCCCCGCCTGCGGACAATCCTGAGTCAGCATCTGCAGAAGCAGCCCTCAGCAGTTGGCGGACGCCGTTGTGTGGAAGGGAGATGACAACAGGTGGCTGTTGGACAGAATGGAGTTTTGTCATGGCTGGTATAGAAGGGAGATTGCATAACTCCAGATCATTTGCTGGACAGCCATACTGTCATTCCTGGTATACGTATGTATTGCATGGGAGTATCTCAACTTACAGAGAGTGCCCCGAGCAGATTCTGCGCAAACTTGTACAACCAAGTATATGTACAGTTGCTAGCTGGGGTTGGGTGTCACACCATGATAAATGTGTTTTGATGAACCGGGATGACTTGCCGGGGAAATTTCTGAGGTGCAATACCAATTTATTTACTGGTGTTTGCTGCTTGGTAAAGGTGTGGACCTGATGATGGTAGGGGGAAGTATATATGTGAATGTACAAATTTGAATTCTTGGCACCTCCATGTGCTGCATTTACGACTGAAACTTTCAATATGGGGGCGCCTGTTCGCATGCATTGGAAAGTGTTATAATAATCAGGCATTGCCCCTTCCTGTCTGCAAGAACCCTGAAGCACAGGTTTGAAAGACAGATGTCGTGCATGTGCATATTTAAAGCGTTTCAGAATGGTTATTTTACAGTATATGCCCCACACTCTTCAATGAGAGTCTAAAATGTCTTATTTAAGTGTCTTTCCTTGCAAGACAGCATAGAAACAGCATGCCTGGCCATGGCATCCAGCAGCAAACCTCCTCACACAGCCTGAATTTACAGTGTCCGTAATTAATATCAGTCTTCCCCCCACAGCATTACAACGTTTGTACGAGGTTTCTTCCCATGCCATTTGGCTGCATGTTCTGAAGCGTATACTTGCAATACTCAGATAAAGCCATGCAACCCTTAATATCTGCAGGCAACAGCCAAGTTTCTGCGCTCTCAACAAGTCTAAACTGTGATTCCAAAACTCCCCACCAAAACTGCGCACAGCACAATGCCGTTGTGTAGATCAAAGTGCTTTTCTTTCTCTTCTCTGCCAAGCAAGACAACAAGACACAGTATCCCTTGGAGTTCATCAACACTTGCTCTAGAGCAAGTGCAATCACTCGATTGAAGCCTCTCTTTCTAATTTCCTACATCTAAAACTTGTTCCGGTGCCTTGCACCAAGGGATAATATACAGCAGAAGCCACCCACCGTTTCCTGAGCTACTTCCTTTGTCACATCAGCCACCAGCGCAAACACCTTGCTCAAAAGACCACTGTGGAAAAAAGCTACTTAAAAAAGGATGGTTACAGGCCCTTGCACCCTGAACTCTTCAGTGCAGTGCCAGAAGCAACTTGTACTCAGTACTCCAACAACGTGTCCTGAACATATGTCACGCTGATGTGCAGCTCTAGTCTTCTCTCAGCCCCTCAGAACCCGGCCCACAGTGCCGCTTTGGCCAGAACGCTCACAGTGCAATGCACTCAGCAGTTGAACCACCTCCGCCGCACCAGTGCAGCTCTCCGGCAGCAGTTGGCGCTTACATTGGGCCGAGCCGCCGCAGCTGCGCCAAATTTCGCGGCGCCATTCTCGCTGACTATTCCAGGAACCGAGTGGCCGTTGGACGTCACTTCTGGGACGAGTGACGGCGCCAGCCTGTAAACATTTGCGCCGTTGCTGTGACTCAGCGCGCCGTCATCCGAGTTGCCGTCTGGCTGAATTACCGCGCTGTCAGCTGAGTTGCCGTCAGCAGATATCACCGGTGCGGCGGCTGCGCTGCTGCTGTGTGCCGGGACGCTGCTTCTCTCGCTGTCTTCTCTTCGCTTCTCATGCGCCTGCCGCATATGACCACCGGGACAATAATTATAACTTTCTGTTGCGTGTCACATGAATTCACAGCCCCACTGAAGGTGTTCTTGCAACTTCACCACTGCCACTCCCACCTCAGTACGTAACATGTGGGGCCGAAAACTCCCATCACCATAACAGCCAATGCAGGCATGCTCCCCTCACATGGCAAAGGGCAATACCGTGCAGCAATGATGGCAAGATGACTCGCAAATCTTGTCACTATACACAGAAGCAACACTTGAGCAGCGGCAAAGGCGCTGTCTATGAGAGGAGGCCGGCCCAAGTGCGCACCACCATCTCTTTGCGCAGGCCGTTGACGGCGAAGAAGAAGGACGTGACAACGCCGCCGAATATCGCGGCGATGACCGGCATGGCCGCAGATATGGAACCGAGCGCCAGCAGCAGCGCCTGCACAACCCACGACGCCCCAGACTTGCCCACCTGCACCGCAGCCTCAATCAATTAACACTCAAGCTCCCAGAAATAGCCAGGCCTCCACCGAGAAGGTAGGTGTTCTGGCAGCCTTGAACCGCAGCTTGTCTGCAGCCTTGCCTTGTGTGGTAGGATTACCACGGTGTGAGCTTGGCTGCGAAAAAGTACTCATGGCCATGTGCCCAGTGGCCATGCCCATGTAGTGCATGCCCAAAAGTATGCTGTGAGCGGTCTTGTGGCATTACACACAATGCCTGCTCTGAGAAGGCACTCAGAAACCGCTGGCTGACGGCGCAGGGCTACAACTACAGTCCGCCTTATTCAATCCGCATGCTGCTATGAAGCCTGACAAGTGCCTTCTGGCATGTGATCCATTGCGGGCAGCGCTGGAATCTGCGCCAAAGCAGGGGGAAGAGAAACGCAGTGGGGTTGAGGGAGCGGGGAGGGGCCGCGCCTGGCTGCCGATGAGGTCAACGGCTGCCTTGCCCTGGCGCTTCTCTGCGCGGGACATCTGGATGTAGGCCATCTCCTTGGCCGGGTCAAACAGCGAGAACTTGGACGACCGCGCAAACACCTGCAGATGCACAAGCTTGGAACTTTCAGCATCAAGGTTTCTGCAGGGCAAACTGGTGTCTTTTCAAATATTACTCAGACTTTGTCGAAGGGGTGGTACCACTGTTTCTGACTGTTTCCGAGTAATTCTCCAGGTGGACTTAGGGCGATCGCGCGCATGCGCAAGACTTCCTTTTGGCACAAGGGCAAGCAAGACAGCTGCCATACCCACAGTTACCATTGTCTACCACAAAACAATATTCTTTGATAACGGTACACACTACTCCTGCCAGAGGCAAGGTGCATCTGCAGCCCAGGTGAAGGCTGCCACAAACTTTACCCCTTGATGAAGTCACAAACTCCAAGCAACACCCAATCAAGCGTGGGCACAGTGCGCAGTATATATACCAAATCCCCGCCAGCCGGGGCCGGGGGCCTATCACAAAATTTGGTGCGGCAAGAGTGGCACATGGCAGCATGTGCGCGCACCTGCGTGACGGCGCCGGCCAGCACGGCCCATTTGGCGGTGGCGGGGTTGCCGGAAAGGGTGAACAAGAAGAAAGCTCCGCCGAACAGCATCAGCACTGTGGGCGTGATAAAGGCGGCTGTGGCCCATCCCAGGTACTGGAAGATGAATCGGCCGCTCACCATCAACGCTATTGTCACATACCCTGTCGCTATCGATACATCCGCCAGCACGCCCTGCAGACACATTGGGGATGTTAATCTGGTTGCCTTGGAAAGATTTGCCTGACAATATCACTTGAAAAAAGATGACAGCAGCTGCATCGGAAGGTCCGATTACCAGCATTGCAAGAGCTGAGCAAAAGGAATGCGAATGCTCTTTTTCTCAACGGTGTGGCTAATCCCAGAGGCATGTATTTGCACCAGCACGCTGCAGTCTCATGCAAATCAGGTCCAGCTCACAGATCTGGGGCCCTGGGTGTGCATGGACCAATGCACATATACTGCCACCCAAATATCAATAATCGTTATCCAGTCTGCAGGAAAGAAGGGCCCTTTTACAGAAGAGACCATACCTGGTAGGCCATAGCGGAGGGGTAGAGCATGCGCAGCTGCCCCTTCCAGGCAAACTCAAACAGCCGGTGGCCGACGCCATAGCTGATAACCATGAGTGACAGCGCAAAGATCATGGGCGAGCTTCTGAGCACTGCCACGGCGTCCGACAGCTTTGCCTTCTTCTTCTTAATCCCTGCCGCCACGAAATCACTCAGCTACCTTGGGGGTTCGTCACATGCACAGTGCAACCGGAAGAACATTTTAATTAATATCTTCCATTCATCTCAAATTTTTTACCTGCCAAGAGGCAAGCTGCAGTTGAAACCTGCCAAATATCTAACCCTTGTTGGCATTGCCAGATCCAACCAAGATCAGATCAAAAATGGGCACGGTGTTCAGTGTAGGTGGTGAGATTTTTTTTATGCCTGTAAGCATCGATTGAAGCCTAGCAGGCCCATTGTGATGGCATATTCCATGTAGTGGATATTATCAATCCACCTGCTGCCGGGTCAATGTGGGAGTCCACCGCGATCCGCCGCTCAACAAAGACCTCCGCACCGAATATGACGGCTGTGAGAGCCATGACAGTCGCCACCAGCACGCGCAGGCACGAAAGCTCCGAGTTCTGCGGCGCAGTGAAACATTAGCAGCGACAGAAGGGCTGCAGAATTTCCCATAGACTGCCGGTGGCTGCTCAAGGACCGAATGCAAGGGACACAAGGCATCATTGCATGAAGTCTGTCGCATTTGAGAACTTGGGGGCAATCCACACACTGTCTTTGGATTTTCCATCGAATCACAGGGCCTCAGAATGGGCGCATTGACACTCGCCCATGTATGCACATGGGGACACCAAATGCACCTGTTGAATTCAGGATCTCAATTCAATTCTATTCAATTCAATCCTCCCCGCCAGGCATTGCCTACCGCTTGCACAAAGCAAGGCACAGGGCAAGTTGACCACACACAATTGCAACAATGCAGAACCAGAGTCTAGGAGCGCACCGGCAGCGCGAGGGTGACGGCCTTCATGAAGTTGCCGGCGGCGACCAGGGCCACGTTGGCAGCGATGCCCATGAGCGGGTAGATGGTCTTGGCCTCTTTCACCGTGCACACCTCGTTGGCCAGCGTCCAGAAGAGCACGCTGATTACCACCGCGCCCCACAGTTCCGCCACGCAGAAGAACAGCGAGAACGTCCAGTTCTCCACCACCTGAAGTTGCAGACGGCATCGTTACACCTGTGCTTCGTCGGGCTCGAGCGGCCTCAATGGAAATCTCAACAGACACAGGGCTTGCATTGTATGGGAATTTTCAAGGCATGCATGAAGAAGGCTTATTGTGGGTGCCCAGCTGTCCCCTCTCTCGTCTGTCCCAGCACCTCTTGAGAACCACAGAAATATATGGTATGTCCCTTGTCCCTGGGACATCCATAGCTTCCACGATGTGGCGTTGTGTGTTGATCTTGAAGCTTGTGAGAGAGCTCTGAGAGATGTCAATCCGCAAGGCTCTGCAGCAATAGCAGCCGAAGCAGCAATAGCAGCAAAGCAGCATATGACAAGTGCCGCCAGCAGCAGGTGCGCATTCTTAGCAGGTCGTGCAGGCTGAACGGCTGCCCAGCACCTTGCAATGGGGAGCAACGAAGCAAAGCAGCACATGCACACAGACAGTGCACACCTTGAGCAGGCCATGCAGGCCGATGGGAAGCAGCGGCGCAAATTTGGCGACGAAGCCGTGCGGGTGCAGGATGTCCGCGGCCGGGTACAGGAACGCCGCGAAACCCGCGTACACCGCCAGAAGAGGCGCCACTGTCAGCGCGAAGGAGGAGCTGCGGGGAAGGTGCAGGTCCAGGATGCGGCCGTAGAGCACGAAGAAGCCGAGGGAAGCTGGCAGCACCACGCAGGATGCCAGAAAAGGCAACGTCTCCGCGCCGCCGCTCGTCACCATTATGGCATCCTGCGTGCATGTGCCGTGTAATGGATCAGCGGTGAGCAAAGCAGGACAGAGGGAAGAGCTGTCAACCCGTGCATGACCTGTGGAGTCTCTCAGGGACTGCAAGAGGGCTTGTCTGTGCCTTGGCAGACGTGCCGCTGTGAGTAGGGGCCATGCAAAGTGCCAGGGTACCAGCCAGGCATCTCCGCCGCAGAATACCGCCTTGAACGAGGGTGACGACAGAAGGCAAGGGCGCATGGGTGAATTCCAGCAAAAGCTTTAGCGGGTGATATGGAGGGTCAGCCACCTTGAGATTGACAAGGAGGGTGTGGTTGAAGGTTGCACAGAAGAAGATCAGGGCCAATGGCGCAAGCTTTTGCCAGAGATGCAATGGCTGTGCTGGAGTCACCACCAAGCTCGGCGGCACTGCCTCCACCTGTGCCATGGTACGAAACACTTAATATTTTTGGGCGCGAATGATGTACCTTGTCTGCCCCAAGGCAAAGTCTTTTCCTCGTCTGGATCAATTAGGGACGATCATGCCCTATACTGTCACGTTATGGCCAGGAAGTTGGCAGCTTTAAGCGCGTTCTGAAGCGCCAAAATATCATGTATTTGTATGAAGAAGTTGCAGACCATGTAAAAGCTACCTTTTCTGGTGCTCGCCTCCTTGCAGGTGGAGATGCTCCCCAGAGTTGCTGCCTTAGAGTTGTTCGAGCCCCATCATCGATGATGTTGGAACTGCATCCACCAGTTGGTGAACTGTTGCAGTGTCTGAAAGGGTCTCTGGAACTGTGAACTGCGATCTGATGTCTGAGCGGTCTGATCCTGGATCGTGCGCCCCAGGGTTGCTCTCCACGCCATATGTTAGATTGCTTGGACATCGGACATCCTAAGCTGCCAGTCAACATAACTGTACTGAACTTAAACGTGTGGTTACAAAGTGCTTACTGCCTTCTCTCTAAAAGCGGGTAGCCTCTTGTCAGACTGCGAAACAAGGGGTGCCCTATCATCAGCCAACAATCATTTTAAGCGACGCGTGTTGTTCATGCACAGATGCACAATCGCACGAAATGTAAAAGGGGCGACTGAAACACTGCGCTGGGGCTGTGTAGTTGGCACTTCGCGCTCTCAGGTTGTGAACCATCGACTTGGCTGCGCCTGATCAGGCAACATAATATCTTTTGAGCAAATTTTGGAGCAGTGCTCCTCATCCTCCGCTCACAGGTCAGCTCCTTGCCACGCTATTGAAGATTATCTCAGATGACGGCAGAGAGGATTCTGAAAGGCCTTCCATGCTTGAAGGCTTCATGCAGGGCCGCCTGCAGATCTGTTCTAGAGCAGCTGCCCCAGTGGGCACGTGCACGTGGCATGCAAGTTGCGCCAATTCAAGCGTAAAGGCGTCCTGTCATATGCAGGACCTGCTGCATTGCAGCTCCTCATCAGATGGACGTGCATAAGAAAGGGCCTTTCCTCTTTGGAGATGCAGGATGCACAGGATCGCTGCCATGCAGCTGTCATTTGTGGATCTGCCTGAACAGGCAAGCATCGGGATTATGGCCTGACCATCCGATGTTCTGAGATGCGTCTTGTCCCTACCATCTCAAAATCAGCTCACGCGCAAGTTTTCAAGCCGCTGATCATTGAAAATATACTTCTTACAATCTCGAAGCTTCTATAAGCAGTGCAAAGAGCAGTTACCTGGGAGAAAACGACAGAGGACAGGAGGTAAGCACATTCGCCACCTGCGTCTTGCGGACAGGAGCCTCAAATTGTACTGCGTTGGAGCTTTCTGTTTGAACATAGATCAAAGAAGGAAGCTTGTAGAGGGTGTGATGGGTCACAGCACTCTTAAAAGCTTATCGGCGCCCTCTTCTTGGGTGGCACCGTGCAAATGATCAGCCGGCGACTGCTGCTTGACGCTTGAACCAGAACGTGATTTAATCCATGATCTAGGCGGTTCAGCAATAATTGTTTATGATTGATTCCCGATGGTACATTTGTTCGTGTGCAGTTATTTTACGAAAAAGGAGCTTCTGGTGTAGTAGAATTCTCCACAGGCATTCCGGTCAGGTTCAAGCTGGTCTTTGTTGCCTTGCCTGTTGCTAGGTGACAGAGATTGTTGGATGTCTTTCGTATACATTGCCCCTATCGGTACGGTTGACGAAGGACCGCATATCGTCGTGCGGTCTTGATCGGCACTAAAACGAACACTTCCCAAAGATCCTGACTGGCGTACTCTCTTACTGTTGCGCAGGTAACCTCTACCACTTCGAAATCAAAGGACGCGCCGAGATGAAGTTCGCAGTCGCAGCCCTTGCAATCCTTCTAGCAGTATCCTGCACAGCAGGTACGGCTGCGTCACCACGCCCCGATTATAATCTCAACCGACACGCACCCTTCCGTCCTTTCATCGCAAGCAAATCGTGTTACCTGATTTAGGGATCGGCGGAACTCGCTTTCCGCCGACTCCTGGCAGACCGTTCGGACCTCCTTGCTGGTTGCTGGGGAGGAACGATCCAGGTGCAATTGCAGCGTGTCGCGCCACTGACGCCTGTCCCGTCTGCGCAGAGGCCCGCGTGCTGCTGGCAGAGACGCCTGCAGCTGCTCCAATGGCGGCCGTGGTCGCGCCCACGACAGCGCCGATGGCCGCGGCCGCCCCGGCCGCCGAGGAGTCGGCCGCCGCGCCGGCAGCCGTCGCCACTTCCATGGCTGTGCCGCAGGCAGGGCCTCGTTTGATGCATGCGCGCTCATCGCCTAATTGTGGCCTGCACCATGCATCTTGCAGTGGCTACATTCAGGCAGATGTAGCCACTGCAATATGCATGCAGGCAAAGAGTATGTGGCTTTGAAAACAGTTGCCAAGCATAGCTCATGCGCCACATTGGTTCCCCGCTGAGATCCTAATGAGATCTTCTGCCGCAGGCGACCCCCGCGCCTTCCGGATGTGCACTGTCATTCGTGCAGGGCAACAGCAGCTACTCCAAGTTTGGCGAGATCCTCAACGCCGCCCCCTCGACCTCCAACTTCTCCAGTGCGTTTCCCCCCTTCCCCCTTTATAGATACTTTAGTTGTCCATTTAAGTCAGCGGCCTCCTTGCTCGCTTTGAGCGGATGTCCTAAAGAACCACCGGCCTCCTTGCTCCCCCTTTGGAGGTTAAGGTGTTCATGCGAGTGACCGGCCAGTAGGGAGCCTTGTGACTGCAGGAGGATCCCTCTTTTTCTGTGTGCGCTGCTGCATTCTGAAAGGGCTCTGAACACTCTTGACGGCAAGCCAGCATCACACCTGTTTTTTTGCAGTGAAACTGTTGCAGTGACATCATGCTGCAAGCCTGGACAAGCTCAGAAGGTGACAATTGGGCATATCAGCCGATGCTGTGCTGTATTCACTGCAAGCACAGTACACAATTGTCTGCTACTGTCACTGACCCACTGCTGGCATGTGTCTACAGCTGTGCTAGCACCGTCCACCCCCCTCCGACTCAGAGCTGGTGGGTAACGCATGCTCACCAGGTCTGCATGCATAACGTTCCAAGTCTCTGACTTTGATTTACCTTCGCGCACAGACGTTCTGTCCGACCAGATGGCTGGCATCACCCTCTTCCTGCCAACCAACGACGCAGTCAACGCCACTCTGGAGAAGTTCGGCCTTGACCTGAAGGGCCTCCTGGAGAACAAGGACCTGGTGGACCAGGTCATCAGCTACCACATCCTCCCCAGCCCCATCGAGGTACAGGGGAAAGGGGTGGATCCCAATTGGTTGCAGGGGTAGATCCCAATTGGGGCTAATGGGAATGTGGCCCTTCTGATGTGAAGAATAATCACCTGCTCGTAGCAGCTCCTTGCGGAACCATCTTTGTTTCAGACTCTGGTCAGAAATCACGCAAGGCCTTGACTGCTGAAAGGGTGGCAGACAAGACCTGAGAGCCAAATGCATTAATGTGCAATCCGGACTAATGTCAGGCTGCCAGGAAGAGTAACTTTAACGCCTGCACGCTTGGAGCCTGCAACATTCTTAAGAAGCAGCAAGGATGCATTTCTCACTTGTAGCATGCTAGATTGATGTAGTTGCAGTATAGCACCAGTTGTGAGCTTCTGGGGGCTGAAATTGTGTGTGTCCATGCTTGCAGTACGCTGCCTTCAAGGAGGGTTACTCCTTCAACACCCTTCTCAGGGGAGCCGACCTGCGTGACTCCCTGCACGTCAAGAGGAGCGGCAATGTCATCAAGGTTGCAGGCGGCAAGACCACCGCCGTCATCGGCATGAACGGCAGCAAAGTGTGCATGGTGCGCGTCCCCTGCCTCCGTTTACTACATGACCCTTGACATTGCTGATATCAGCCTGCCGCAAACATGACACTTTGGTGCTCCGGGCTTCTGCCCTCGGTGCACTTGGTATGCCACTTGGCGCTCTGACATCTACCTGCCTGCTCAGAAGACAAAGACTAGATGTGCATTGAATGAGGATGCATTATATGTGTGCCATGATGTGCAGCATGCTTGACAAGGAGACTCTTGCCCTTGGCAGCAATGGAATGCTGTGCTAGAATGGGGCAGGAGTTAGCACAGTTCCTAAAGAGAATAAGAGTGGGTATGTGTTAAAGGCAGTTCTTGGAGATAGATAAGTGAGAAATTTATTAATGGGTATGTTTGTGTGTGGTGCAGGACAGCATCTTCCCCATCAGCATGCTGCTGCTGCCCAGGAATTCCATCCAGACCACCTCAAGCACCGTCTCCAACTGAGCCAGCTTGGATCCAGCGCAGAAACAATTGCAATCACTGCTGTCAAACTGAAGTGGAATGCTCTATGGAAAAAAAAAACGAATTCCCATTGAGAACATGAACAAGTAGGATTGTAGCCTGCAAGCTGCAGGTAAAGATTTGTGCTTTTGCAGGTAAATTAGAGTATGCACCCTTTATGGGTGCGCATGTGAGCAGGTTCAGATAGGCTTGAATTCAAGTTAGAGGTTTCGCAATCATATTCCCAAGGGATCCTGCCGTCCTGGCGAGGTTGTTTATTTAATGATGTTGAGGTTGGATAAGAATGATGTAAGCAGACAGAATGCCATCAAGATTCTACTAATTTGATGACTACTTCAGTGACTAATTTGGTAGCCAAGTAGTAATGTACAAATAAGAAGACAGCAGGAGGTTGGACAATCCTGCACCACATGTGGCCTATTGCATGCTTCCTACTGCGTTCTAATGACAGGTGCAGCATTACCATATGATGCATTGTACTTCTTGCCATTCTCTGCAGACGCAATGTTGCCCATTATGGCCTGCCGCGCTCGATCTCTTTCCTGCCGCTCTCGCTGCAACCTCTCCTGCCTCAACTTTTCAATATCAAGCCCCTTTTTCTTCTCCCCCTTGTGTCCCCTACCCTCCTTGTGGCCCTTCTTGCTGCCTTTCTTCTCCTTCCTGTCAAACTTCCCTCTCTTCTTCTCCCTCCTCTCATTGCCAGAGCTCCCAATCAACAGAGGTGCTCCAAATGTAGCTGGGCCCGCTTGTCCACTCAAGGTCAAAAGCCTCCCATCATCCTACGATGCACAGAGCTGGCTTAGCGACAACAAAGCCACAAGAGATTTGAAGCAAGTACACAATTAGTCAGAAATTCTGAGTTCAGACCAGCACAATACAATCTCACGCAGAGCACAAAGGCATGGCGAGCACAAATGTCCCTTGCATGCCAGTGGTCCCTGTGCTGCTTCCTTGATCGACTACACACGGCGTTTGATACGTTCTGCTGTCTTTCACTTTGCCCTCTGTCGTTCAACTGTCTTTGGTACCTTGCCAACTAAAAGTAAGCCCAATGGGCCTCTGGGAGAGCGCCCACCTCAATGAGAGTGCCGCCAGCCGCATCACTCAACAGTTGCTGCGCCTTGGGTTGCGCATACCTACAGCAGTGTACAACCGGCCGTTACTCAAATTATGATTGACTGCCTGATGAGCCCTTCCTTTGATGCAAGCCTGGTAGCCTGGTTCTTGCACTGACTAGGACGCTGGCCATCGAGCAGTCTATCTGAGCATGCATGCAAATCATTTCTCTGGCAATCATGAACTGGCAGTCAATCTGAGCATGTGCATATCTCGAGTATTGAAAACAGTACCAGGGCCGCGCACTGCCGCCGCCCAGACCATAACCGAGCTGAAATCGCTCGTCGAATCGCGCATCGGACGTCTGCGTTGCCGCGTCCCCCCGCCGCCGCGCCTCTTTCTTGGCCTCCTCCGCGACCTGGACAGGTCATATTCAAACTTGAATTTGAATGAACGCCGGGGGTCCATGACCGTTTCAAACCGGTGGCAACTGCCCCGCTAAAGCAAATCGAGGGCTGATGCGACACTGCCGCCAGCCTGTTGGGCTCTGTGCCATAAGGAAAGGAGTTCGGCCCTGAGAAGTACAGTCTTGGGTGATCCCAGGAATGCTGCCGATGTGAGATGCTACAACGTCAAGATCGTCTGTCTGCAGCCTGAAGATCAGGTGACCCATGCAGTTGTGGCGTGACACACCCAGCACTGCACTTGCGCAATCTTTTGCTCTGCAGAGCTAGCTCGGAGATGAGTAGAACCTTGGAGATGACTAGAACTACCACTATGGCAGAGTCTGGCAGCGCATGTGGTGCTGAGGACACAAGACACACCTCTGGGTGCGCGTCACGAGCTTCATGCTCTTCAAAAAAATTGATGTGCTGCAATAGGGCAGGCTGCTCCTGCTGCTCTGGCTCCTCCTGCTCATCTGGCTCTGGCAGCTGGCCCTGCTCTGCACTGTCATCAGGCTCTGTGCCAAGCCGCTTGAGGGCTGCCTGCTGCAGCAGATGGGCTCTACGGACCTCACTCTCCGCCTGTGCCCAAGCAGTAACAGGTTGGCCCAGAAAGCGTCATTAATTTCTGAATACTGTACTGCAGCGATGCTGATGCGATCGTTCGCATGCCCAGGACTGAGGAAGTCCTCATCTGAGAAGCCATGTTGACAGAGTCTTTGACTTTATTGAGATCGCTCACCAGGCGCTGTTTGTCAAGCTTGGCTCGTTGTTCTTCAGCATGTTTGGCCTCGTCTCGAGCGACCTTGAGCCTGTTTTCTCGTCCGTAGACGTTCCAACTGTCGCCCCACAAAGAAACCTGCACTTAAGCTATCTGGAAGCGAAGGCACAGTCGTAGAACTTCGACCTAAAAGGATCTCGCAGGGCTTGATTGTGTATGTGTGACGAAAATTTGACGTTACCTTTTCTGTGGCAAGATATTAAGACCACCATGGCCTCCCATCTCCTTCTGTATGATATGTCAGCACTGCTGTCCCGAAAGAGAGTATGTGTCAGCAGCGGTTGCTATAATTAGAGCTTCTTTCAGCCCTAAACAGTGATCAGTATATATGAAAGTGGTCAAGAAGGAAGGGTTGCAGCATTCGAGATGACTAAGAGCAGCTTCTACATGTCAGGAAGCGATGACAGAAGCTAGCAAGCTGCTGTAGCCTTCAGCACTTCCCTGTGCCTCAACTTATCCTCTTTGTTGTGACAGATTGCATGAACGTCCTCCTAATATTCTCACCGCAGGCTGGCTGTGCAGCCTCTACCATCTGCTCTGCAGCAAATAATGTATGGTGCTTGTGGTTTGAGATGGTTGATGTCAACAGCCACGGATGCATCACAGTGACAACCAGGACAACAGCATATTCTACCTCCGAGTGAGTCACTCTTCATAAAGCCACTTGCAGACTATGCATGCGTTGCAGAATGCATAAGCATTGCATTTGTACGGGTCTGCATGTTGCAAATTAGCAAAAGGAGATTGGGATCCCGGGTCTGTAGCCCGTCTGCCAAATGTGCAGTCAATTATGTGTTGCTACTGCTCTTATCTGGAGCTCTAATGCATTGCATCGCCTTGTAATTACTTTTTGCTTTCATTCGAAGATTTACACAGCTGCCTCAATCTGCCATATCTTCGTAAACTGCTTGTGGCAAGCTGCCATCAAGCCCAAGAGCCAATCAGGAGTCAACTGGTGATAGGAAAGCTCGGATTTTGTCTGCGAAGGACCTTTATAATACATGCAGTCAATAGGAAACCTGCGATGAAATGAATGCCAATCGGAAGTGTAGATCTTCTCCATTTAGCTTAGGAGCCATCACACACTATCCATATACTGTCCGCCAAAGAAACCGTCATTCTTGGGGGGAAATGATAAGAATGGAGATGCTAAGCTCGATCGTCTCTTGTTGAAACACAGAGCAACTGGGGTGCATTCTGATCGTGCTCCGTTATTCTTTGCCACTTCCCATCCAACCGAACAATGGAGCAGGCCAAAAAATTCAGTCTTGCGATTTTTAACCTTGCGGGAGCTTACCGCCTGCACAATGCTGGCGAACCTTATGGTTATCTGGCTTCCAGAAACGTCTTTCAGCCATAATATCAATAATAATCACCGGAAGGCGTTATTGAACTTCTGGTACTCTTGACTACCTTTTGCAATGGTTGCGATCAGTAAGCATATTTGGATCTTCCTCACAAGTGCCTTCGGGTTCGTCCTTTTAGGTAGGCAATTGTTGAGTTAAGTTCAAGCCTTCTCTTGTGCAAATTCCTTAGAGACAAGAATGTGATACATTTCTACGATGACACATTTGTCATCGCCGAAAATTTGAATTGCTCCGCTTTTCGAGCCCTTTTTCTGTGAGATTGAAAGACGTTCCCACGCTGAGTGCAGGTTGTGAGGCTGCTGACAGCGTAGCTGTCTGTAAAGCGGCAGTGGGTGGCGATGTTTGGTTTCTGGACTTTCCCGCTTTCCAATGGCTTTTCCTTCCGGTGATGTGCTTCACGACTGCCCTTCTTCTGGCATGTTCCTATATGGCTTTCTCAATCAAGTGGGCCAAGTATGTCATCATCAAATACAAAGCAAGGAGGGACAATCACTCTAGTGCTGAGCACGAGGAACTCATAACATCTGCTGGTGCTGTCTGAAGAAAGGCCTCAAGTGGTATGTACCCATACTGGCGGAGGCCTGCAACTGTATACACAGCTGAAGTAAAGGACCAAGGTAGGCCTGCCAGGGACAGATTAGGGCCGCTCAAGAAATTAACAGTGGGCAGAACTTCTGAGAACTTGGCACACCCTAGCAGTCTTCCCAATGCAGTTACTACTACAATTAGTATTATTGCAGGCCCTCAGGGGACTCTAAACTAACTAAGTTTAGAGTCCCCTGAGAGGCTTTTCCTGCCAGGGGCATGGTGCGCCTGCAGACAGGCTGCATGTAAAGACTGCCACACATCCTTTATAGTATCCCAGTGCAATACAGGGAAAACCAACCCCGATCGGCAGAAGCCCTGGCTTTGTGAAATCTGTTGGAGGATCAGTATCACTCAGGCTATTGAAGGATGGTGCCAGCCGCTTCAAAGCCTCGTACATTGCATAAACAACAGCAAATTATCAACAGACCTCAGTTTCATAACTTGCCATGTCCGCCTCTCATCCAAATGGCAGCTCAATCTCAACGTGGTAGAGTCATTTTCTGTGCATTTTCCTGGACATACCGACTGGAGCACTTCAAGTGCAATCTACACTTGCTGTCTTGAATGCAATTGCACTGCCTCATCCACCTCCTTTCCTGCAGCACTGAGTGCTGCGCGTTGGTCACCACTGTGGACCTCTACCGCTGCAAACATGGACTCTTCCTGCTCAGGGAGACCCTCTGCCTCCTGCTGCCCTGACAAGCTTTCTGCCTCGATCTTGTCTGGCGGTGACTCGTCCAGACCTCTGGGAGTATCCCCCTCCAACTCATCCTCTTCTCCCAGCTCTATCTCCTCTGGATTGTCTATGTCAATGGCCTCTGGATTTGCCGATGATGCCCCTGCATCGGATGTGCACATAATTGCTTACCAAACAGCTGTGTCTCAAAGGGGCGCAAGAAACACAACCACTTGCTCCTTGATGGCCAGAAATGCAAGTACGACAATGCAGCGCATCAAGCAGATGCGTCAGGCTTGTCTCTCGCTGCTACCAGCGATTAGTCATGTTTTCTTGCAGTTGGCAGCTCACCGGAAGCTGCACCGGAAGCTGTCGGCGGCTGCGCGCTGCCGGGGTCCAGGTTGTACGGCAGCCCCAGCATCTCCAGCAGTGCCTCAGTCTGCGATCAGCACACATAAGCCCACTGTAAGCACCCTCTGCCTCCAAGATTCTCTGTTGCCTATTACGTCATCGCCATAGAATCGAGCAATTGATCTTGTACAGGAAGTTGCAGGCTCAAATTTAATCAGGATGATTGCAAGCTCTGCCATGGCAGCTACAGGAAGCCTCTCAAGCCAGCTGTGAGCACGCCTGTCAGCATCCCTGTGATATTTCCCTGAGCCATTTTGCACTCACGAGCTCACCAGCAAGGAAGGTGGCATTGCAGGGCTGAGCTCTGTCAGGCACAAGCTTCCCTCATGCCATGAGATGCTGAGCAGCCAAGACCACGGCCGTGAAAGGCCGCCGTTGCTGCTGCGTCAGGGACGATTCCAGTAACATGATAGCTGTAAGAATCGTTATGTCCGGATCTGGACTGCAATGATAAGAAGTTTCCAGCGGAAATGCTGTATCTTCACGGCCTCACCTGCGGGTTGCGCACTGCGCGCGTCGGCATGACGCCGCGGCGCTGGCGGCCGTCGTGGCCCGGGGTCGTAGGCGTGAAATTCTGGGGGACCTGGGGCCCCCCCCTCGCAGCCAGGGCATCCCTCACGTACTGCGCGTCTTCTGCACTCGGTCCTCTCCTCAGAGCTCCCATGCCTGCCAGCCACCATTTTCCGTGAGCAGCTTCAAGTGAGTTTCCTTTAAAAGTGTGCAGCATGGGAGTGTTTCGGATTTGTGCAGGCGTCCGGCAAGCCTGCACACGAGTTGGGGTGAAGGCAGCTCACAAGATTAGCAGGGTCTTGGTATGGCTTTTGCCATAGGATTGTGAAAGACGACCTTGATGCTAATGGGCATGCCAATGACCGGTGGAGTGCAAGGTTGGAGAAGACTGGACAGCAATAATCCAGGTGTTGCTTGATGTACCTGGTCCCTAAAGACTGGAAAATGTGTAGTAATAATAATAATATTAATAATGATCGTCGTCATCATCATCATAATAATAATAATAATAATAATTATAATAATCATCATCATCATGATAATAATAACAATAAAATGATAATAATAATAATAAAATGCATGATATAACGGTGCTCCCACAAGATTTAATTGTTTAATAAAATGATAATAATAATACTAATACTGCTGATAACAATAACAATAACAATAACAATAACAATAACAATAACAATAACAATAACAATAACAATAACAATAACAATAACAATAACAATAACAATAACAATAATAATAACAATAACAATAACAATAGGATTGGCCAGAACCAGCCATGTTGAGTTTGTGCAGTGCACCATCTCCACATGAGCTTGCACAGGATTGCAGCAGGAGAATACTCCAGCGGTGGGGAATAGCGCAAGGTGGATCTTTTCGGCAAGTGAAAGGGGATGTGCTGACCTGGCAGGGGTACTGCTTGCCTGTTGAGGCTGAGGAGCGAGTGGGTGGTGCGCAGAATGGCCAGCCACTCCTCATCGTAGCTGAACACCTTTGGGCCCTCCACATCAGGCAGCTCCAACACCTGCACTCCCAAGATTAAATCATTATTATTATTCTGCAGGTGCTCACATTTTGATTTTAGCATGTATGAATGTATTGCATGCTTTTCCTGCCAAGAGGCAAGGTGCATCTGCACCAAGCTGCAGTCAGGGCTGCCAAAATCCTACCCCTTGATGGACTTGCCAGATCCAAGCAGACCCAATCAACCGCGGGCACGTTGCTCAGTATTTTTACCGCCCCCCTCCAGTCGGGGCACAAAATATTTAGCATGTTCAAACCTCCTCCTGTAAAAACCACTTGTGATCTGATTGTTAGAAAGATGCCTAGAACAGCCACGTCAGCTTCCTTTGCACCACACAATGGCGCATGGTCCGATACCCAAGTCACACAAGTGACCTACAGGGGATTGATAAAGAGTACTACCCCTCACTTCAGCACCAATAACTTCTCCAAGTGCCACATGGGAGGCACATGCGCGCACCTGCAGGAAGCTGCGCCCGGGCAGGCACTTGTCTAGCGCCAGGAACGCCGTCGTACGCTCGCCGCCGCCGCCGTTCGCCGCGTCTCCCCTGGCGCCATGGTCTCCGGCCGCGTTCCCTTCAGGTGCGCGCCTGGGGGCGGCTGCGGCCGCGGGAGCCGCGGCAGCTCGGCCGTGCCGGTAGAGGGCGGCGAACTTCACGTGAAGATGCGCTGAGAACCAGTAAGCCGGCTGCAAGGTCTTCAGCAGTTCCTCTGCTGGCGGGCTGCCAAGCGAGCTGTCGTCGATCTGCGCATTCCGGCACACCGCCCTCAGCTTGAAAACTAGCAGCAGCAAAGTCCACAACCTCTGGGCCTTTTATCTTTCTGTGCAGACATTCACGTACAAAGTCACAGATGATGATGGGCAGATAAGCAGCAGCAGGCTCTGCAGAAGTCGAGGAACTAGCAGCCGAGTGAGCAGGCATAAGGCAGGCACATGACAGGCCAAGTCTCGTCTCAAGTGATCCATGCACATATCGGATCCGACTTTGAATGCCGGCAGGGGGCACAGCAACTCACACCCTGGCAACGAGGGGCAGCAATCAGTCTCCCCTGTGACTCTGTGAATGTGTTGTTTCCCTTTAAATTCAAATTCAAAATCAAAATAATTCAAATATAAATTCAAATAAAGGCCCCACCTCGGAGCGCAGGAAGGGCTTGGCGCGCACGAGGCGCTGAGTGTCGCCGTGGCGCGCGATATTCCTCGGCCAGTCATGCGACAGGAAGACGTCCAGCGGTGTCTGGATCTGCTTCAGGCGGTACACCTCTAGCTCGCGGATGTGGTATGCGCTGCGCATTGTATCCATCTGGTACGGCGGCCGCTCGTAGTGCCCCTGCCGCAAAAGGCATTGGTAAGCGATAACCATATGGTCGATAAACAAAGGAGATGCATGGCATGCAAGCAGTGCAAGCATGGCTCTTAGTAGGGCCTGGAGTCAGCTTGCAGTACCTGGAAGCAATCAGCAATACATTGTCTGGCGAATCATGTGATCTGGTTCGTCCGGCCTAGACAAAAAGTTCTATTCTGCCCTACGGCACAGGGAAAGTGTTGATCTCCACATAGAGCCTCGGCACTTGTGCAAATCACCATCCAGAACACACACATCGTGACAACCAACAAAGGCAGATCCTCTTCTTCATCTCTTGTCTGACTGTGAGCAATGCCTGCCAGATTTGTCTCCTGCAAAGAGCCCCATCAAGGAGAGGGCAGCAAGCAAATTCCTGCCAAGGCCATTCTCTTGGGAACCACTCCATTACTAGAGAGGGCAGCCCCACCAGTCGGTAGTGCTTGGCATTGTAGATGCCAGAGAGGCCTCCGATGCGCGCCCCGCCAAAGCTGATGACCCCCGCGTGGCCCAGGTAGTAGATGTTTGGAGCTGCCCAGCCGCCATTGTACAGCTCCCACAAGTGGTTGGAGGCCTCATGGTTCCCGCCAACTGAGTCACACGAATGTGGAGTTTGTTAGCGCCGAGCTACCAGACACACGCATGTGCAGCAACCTCATAATGCAGAACTCATTGTACTGCCAGCATCCAGAAGCTTGAGCGGATTACGGGCCAGATGGCCTGGGGCCTGGGGTATGGAAAATTTGCTGGAGGTCAAGGTGGGGCAGAGGGATGCTCACTGAAGAGGGTGGGGTAAGGGGCCACTTCCTGGCCGGTGTAGTAACGGTAAAAGGTCTTCATTTCGCGGTATTTGGGTGGGCAGGCCAGGCATTCCAGATCATCCAGGTTGCGAACGGCCTGGACCGACGAGATATGGTCAGCCCGAATTGCAGCAAAAACAACTTTCAAACAGACATTTGCAGAAATGCATCGTGTAATACAAGAATGAGTCAGTGAAGCACTCCACCTGGAAATCCCCGCAGCAGATGAGCAGATCGATCTTCGTGTTCTGCTTTTTCTCTAGATGTTGCATGGTGGCGTATATTTTGTCCAGATCTCCATGACAGCAACCCTCCACAGCTATCTGCAACCAACATTGATCAGCTTCAGAAAAGAACCCTGCCTTTCGGAGTGTTGGCATGGGAAGGGATCTGCATGCCAGTGCTTGTTTTAGTGCTTGTATCCTGCACTTTCCAAAGGCCACTATCTATTTGAAGCATGTTATTTTCCATTGCAAAAACTCACCCTCAGTCCTCGTGCTGCAGTCATTACCGGGCGAGGAAGATCTCTCACTGCAGATATCCTTGGTATAGATGCTCGCATGGGGTGGAGACAATTAAATTTGATGTCAAGTGCTAAAGAATTTAATTTATTGATGTGCAATTGGGTCAAAGGCAAGGGTCGTGTGCGATGATCTGCTAAAAACGGTGTTAGACTTTCTGGGGCACACCAAAACCCCTAGAATCTAAACAGGAGGGGATTTGCACTGTCAAACTTTAACTCACGATCGAGTCGAATGCTTGGTGTTGACATCAGCGAACCAAAGACAGGCCTGGATATTTCCTTTGGAGATATCTAGATCCGTGACGTTGCAACTTTACATAACAGCGCTGTAGTGACCTCCTTGGAAGCAAAAGTCAAGTGGAATAGAAAGACGCCTTTGCGCAATGGCACCAGCATCCATGATCAAGCATCACAAGCTAAAGCCCGAAACAACAGCTAGGCGATTCTTGTTGCAAACGGCAGGACTGCCTGCCTCATTTGCAAGGTTCTCAGCAGCAGCAACAACAGCCTCCAATTAGACACGACACTCACAGTTCAATTACATTCTTGGTGGCATTGTTTCTCTGCCCGCCCAAATGAGCGCAAAGGTTCCACAAAAGCTGCATCAGCAGCACAGGAAATTCAGCAGGCTACTCTGCAACCACATCACCCTCTATCTTCATCTCTGCATCACTGACTGCATTGCCGTCTGCAGTGGTGCTGGGCTGGGTAGCTTCGGGTTCGCTCCCCTGCCCACCGGGCAGATGGGCAGCACCCCCTGGCCCATTCCACTCAAACAGCACGCCGGCTTTGCTGTTGAAGAACTGCACGCCCTGCCCCGAGTCAAACACCGATTTCTCATCCGATACCGGCGGCGCCGACTGCCATCCGCGCGGGAACGTTCCCTTCGCCGTCCCCGGCGAGCCGGCCGGCGTTGCCGGCTCCGGCTGCTGCGCTGAATTTGCGGCAGCCGCGGCCGCCGCCGCGGCCAGATCAGGCACCTCCTGCGCCGGTGGCGGCGGGGGCTGCTCGGCAACTGCCGGAAGCTGCTCGGAAGCTGCAGAATGCTGCTCTGCCCCGCTGACGGCAGCCTCAGCGGGTGAGGTGCCGCTGTCAGCAGCGGCTGTCCCGGATGCTCTCTCGCACGGTGCTGGCTTTGGAGGGGCCTGGTGGGCCCAGGAGCCCAGGGACGCCTCGTTGTTCGCGCCCCACATGTGCAGCGAAGGCTCCTTCGTGAGCCCTGCTTTCGGCCGCGGCGGGGCTGCGGCGCTGCTCGGCTGCTGCTGGTTGTCGGCAGGTGCGGACAAGCTGCCTGGCGCCTCATCGATCTCCATGTCTGACGTGTGGTCAATCACTTCTGCTGCCTCACTCTGCTGCTGCTGCTGCTGCTGCTGCTGCTGCTGTGGGACGTCCTGCTGTCCTTTGTCTGCGCCAGGTGGTTTCGCTAGTTCTGACGAGGGCTGCGTGCTTGCAAAGGGGTGCTCGGCAAGCATCCTCGCTGGTTCTGACGAGTCCTGGGCCGCAGGGACGGGACGGTCGGCAGGTGAGAGCAGTGCTGGCGCCTGGCTCGGCCGATCTACGTCCATCTGCACATCCCTGTGCGAGGCATCTGCGGATGTGGTGGCTGCGTTGTCTGGCGCCAAGCGCCCCTCGGCCGCTGCGGCTGGAGGGTTCACGAGAGCCTTCAGCTGCTGGCCGCTCATCGATGCCAGCTCTGCTGCAGCCAGCTCACCTGGGAAAGAATCCACAGCTTAGAAGAAGTTCCGTAGAGCAGCTCACTGCTGTCCACAGCTGACTGGTCGTCTCTCGTCTGCGCAGGGCCAACTGGGGACAACAAGAAGGTAGCCCAGTGTTGAAGAGAAACAGACCGCAAGCTGTGGACAGCACGAGCAATTTGCAGATACACAACTTCCCAAACCAGTCAGGAATGTGCTGAACAGTGCGCTGTGGTACTAAGTCCCAAATTTCCAGAGTATGCCTGGTCTTCATCATGACATGTACCTCAAGAGGCAACAGTCAGCTCATCCTGAAGCAGGACAGAGAGCATACATGAAGTCAGTGCCACTGACAAAGCAGGGAGGAAAGGACGACTCGTTGTTGGAAACACAAGTGCACTAGCAGTACCAGCAGATTTCTGCACACCAAAGGAGGGAGGCTGGCCCCACCTTGCAGCAACATGTGCTTCAGCTGCGGCTCAGCATGCTTGCTGTCAGGCGAGAGCCAGCCCCAGAGAACACGCATGCGCCGCATGTAGTGATGGCTCGGGTCTGCGACGGCGTTGTCTCCGTTGCCGCGCGCGTACTGCTCGTGCACCGCAGCTTCCAGCTTCCGCGCAGCTTCTGCCGGCGGCAGCTCCCCGTCAGGCATCAGCGCGCTCCACAGGATGAGCTGGGCCTGGTCTCGCACGGCATTCCCTGCAGCATACCGCGAGGAAATATATGTTACAAAAAGTTATGAGAATACTTGACAAGTGTTTTTTTGCTTCCTGTGAAGGCGGTCCTTGGTGGCTCACGAGGCGAACTTAAGTCTTTAAAATAAGTTGTCTCCCACACTGCCTTTATTACAAACTGCTCATGATGACGCCCGTCTAAAAATTATCAAACTGGCACCGGTTTTCAGTGGTCTCTGGTCAGTGCATGCACTGTCATCCATAGTGTGCAGCTGCCAATTAACTATTGCACGCCAGTTAGAATCCCTGCTGCGGGGGGTGTTCCAGCATGTCACCTGTGGGGTGCGGCGTCAGGTGCTGCGAGCACCAGTCCCTGGCTTCCTGCAGCTTCTTCGAGGCTGTAGGCCCCGCTGTGCTGGCGGCTGCAGGGTCCTTGCTTGCTGGTGCTCCTGCTGCTCCAAGCCCACCTGCATCATCACACCAGCAAGAACTCATGCCCACACGTCAGAACCATGCAACACCGTTTGAGTCACACTCACAATAAGAAATTTCAAAATAGCAGCAAAACGCTGCATAGGTGGTGATCATGCACATCGGATACAAAAATGATGCAACGCAAGGAGCCTGATTGAGACGTCTAGAAAGCTTAGAGGCACGAAAGGATCTTGAAATACCGGCAGAAGATGTCCTTGCTCCACTGCGCATGACCAACACTAACATGTTAAAACTGTAACAGGGCATGCATATGAAGCAAGCCTAAGGGCTTGAGATTAAAGCACCTGTGCGCAAACCCACAGCATTGGGTATGGCAGTGACTGCGGTGACACTTGGCTTTGCCTCCGCTGCTGGCGGCCCCTGTGACTTGGCTTTCTGCTCCTGAGCTAAGGGCCTGCAATGTAACAGCCAAGGTGCTTAGGAACCAGGAATTTTCAAATGTATGGCATTATCAAGACTCCTACCTGCCTGTAATATTGAGAGCTCCTCCAGGCAAGCCATCTCGGGCAGTCCAGGTGTGCATGGTCTTAATTGCAGACATGCAGACAGCTTCTGGGGATCTCATAATAATAATAATTATTATTATTATCATTAACATTATTATTCTACGCTTTTCCTGCCAAGGTGCATCCTGCAGACAAGCTGCATTTGAAGGCTGCCACAATCCCACCCCTTGCTGGACTCGCCAGGTCCAAGCAAGACCCAATCAAGTGGGCACGGGGCTCAGTAATTATACGGGCCCCCTCCAGCCAGGGCCATGTATCTCAATATACGGTTGTACTCATTCTAATGACCCGCACCCCCGGCCGTGCGGGAAATATTTCAAAGCAACCATCAAGGACTTTGAACATACCAGGGTCATGCTTCATTGGATTGGGCTTGTCGACAGCTTTCCGAATCTGGTCTCAATATTATCACAGGGTTTGTATTTTGGGAGTGTTTTATATATCCACCCTTTAGTGTCTTATATATCCACCCTTTTTGGCCAAAAATAATATCCTTTTTGGGGATTTAGAATGACTACTACAGTATGCTGTGGCATATAAGGGCATGCAAGCACCTGGGCGCTGCTGCAGTGCCCGCCTTGCTGCCCTGCTGCGGTTTGCCCTTGTCCTTGGCAGGAGCCACCTTTTCGTCCTCAACCTCACTCATCCAGATTCCCAATAGCTTCCTGCGCAAGCGCAATCTCATCTTTGGACTCATGCACTGTAGTGCTCATTCCAATGCCTGCACCTCCGGCGGTGCAGGAGATTATTTGAAGCCAACTTTTGGGGGACTTCCTGAGTCCAAAAAATTACCAGGGTCATGCTCCATTGGATCGGGCATGTTAAGAGCTTTCTGAATCTGGTCTCCAGATTATCACAGGGTTCGTATTTTGGGAGATAGGGTCTTATATATCCACCCATTTGGGCCAAAAATAACATCCTTATTGGGGGTTTTAAAATGACTACTACAGTATGCTGTGGCATAAATGGGCATGCAAGCACCTGGCCGTTGCTTTAATCGGGGCCTTGCCCTGCTGCAGTTTGCCCTTGTCCTTGGCAGGAGCCACCTTTTCATCCTCAACCTCACTCATCCAAATTCCCAATAGCTTCCTGCGCAAGCGCAATCTCATCTTTGGACTCATGCACTGTAGTACTCATTCCAATGCCTGCACCTCCGGCGGTCCAATGCCTGCACCTCCGGCGGTGCAGGAAAGTTTTTGAAGCCGGTTTTTGGGGGACTTCCTGACTCCAAAATCTACCAGGACCATGCTCCATTGGATCGGGCATGTTGAGAGCTTTCTGGATCTGGTCTCAAAATAAATATACCTCATATTCTAGGAGATAGGGAATGCTTTATCCACCCTTCTTGGCCGACAAGAAATTATTGCGGGTTTTAGAATGAGGACTACAGTAACCATAGAACTGCTGCCTTACTCATCAGAACGCCAAGAAGGAATATCTAGCAGCATCAGACACTTGTGGCTGGATGTCTCTCACAGGTTGACAGGCTTGATCTGAGCCTCACTGTTGGGAAACACGCTGAAAAGGGCGCAAGCAAACGGGTCCAGCCATTGATGAGCACTCAAGGAAGAGTTGGGCAGACAACATGAGCAGCAGGCACCTTGCATGAGTCGCTGCCTCCTGGCATGTGGCGTCCAAGGCCCATTTGGAGATCTTCTTCACAGACCTGCCCACCATGCTGTCTCGCAATTGAGGTATGGAGATGTGCATGTTGTCCAGGTGTCCCAGGTAGCTCTGCACCTGCGCTTGCACACACAAGACAGCTTTTTCATGTCCCCCCTCTTGGCATCCTTCTGGGGAAGGCAAACCTTCATCTGCTGCCCCCCTGTGCCAGGCTCCGCTCATTCAATGCCAGCCACTGCACATGCAATGCCTCATGCTCCTTCCGATCATGCACCAGTGCGGCATTCTTTGAGAGCTAGGAGCAATCATAAACAGCACATGAAGGGGAATGGAATTGTGGAGTTGGTGTGACAGTTAGTCACGATGCTCACCCTCTTGGCAATGTCGGCCTGTGTCTTCTGCGTTGCCTGGAACTCCGCTAAGGCCTTGTGCATTTCAGCGGCGATCTGCTTGGCCTGCATAGTTGTGGCGTCCAGGCTGGGTTCCCCCTCTTTCTTCCCCTTGGCACCCTCCTTGCCCTGCGCAGCCTCAGCCGCTGCCGCAGCCAGCTGCTTCGGCTTCTGCTGCTGCTTTGGCTGCTGCGCGGCCGTCTGCTGCTGTTTCTGCAGTTTGGTAGGAGGCGGTGGCGGCTGCTTGGGGGTGGGCGCGCCTGCATTGGCGATGTCCTCCGCCGGCGGCTTCTGCGCCGGTTTCCCGGCAGCTGCCGCGAGGGCCGGGGACGGCTCCCGATCGGTCGGCGCCTGATCTGGCTGCTTCTTGCCCCGTTTCACCGCGGGGCGAGCCTTTCCCGAAGCTGCTGGCAACGGCTGCTCCGCTGCGGCGGCTGTCTTCGCATCCGCGACAGGCTTCACATCCGCGGCCGGCTTTGCATCGCTCTTCTGCCGCTTGCTTGCGGCCGCAGATGCGCCCGGGGCCCCTGCTGCCTGCCGCTTCTTCTTAGCGGGTGAGCCCACAAGCTGCAAGAGGGGCACGTTGTCCTCGCTGTCGCCCTTGGACTCCGTGGCGGCTCCGGCGGAGTCCACGGCGGCCGGGGGCGTACCCTCGGCCGAGCCGGATTTTGTGCGGTGGCCGCACGCGATCGCCCCAGCCTCAACCGCATTGGCCAGCCCTACGGCAACGCTGACACCGCGATCCTCAGAGCCGGCTCGCTTGTCGCCGTCCTCTAGGGCCCCCTGCGGCCCTTCACCTGAGCAGAACCGAGCGGTACGGTCTCACCCAATGCCGGAGCAGAGCAGAGCAGTGCAGTGCCCATTGGTTCCAGCAAATTATTTGTTGGCACCCCGGCCGTGCGTCTGCCTTGGGTTTGAGCTTACACATGCGCAGTAGCTGCTTGCAATGGCTCGAGGACAAGCTCAAAGCCCTGAGTATGCTAGGCGTGGAACATCTGCAGGATCATGTCATGCTGGGCAGCTCAAACCTGGCCTTAGAAACAGGCTGCACCCGTCGCTGGCAACAAATTTCATAAATGGAACTTGATGGCTTCGCTGTCAGCCAAAGCGCACCTGCTGCGGGCGAGTCAGGCTCCTCGTCCGCCTCATCTGCCTCTGCCTCCATGACAAATTCGCCAGGATCGATCTTGTGGCTCGTGGTTCTCGACCGCATCGATCTGCGCGTCGTCAGCGGCGCAGCCGTGGCAGCCGCCTCGTCCGCAGCGACCTCCTCATCGCTGTTCAGCGACTTCTGCAATGGCCAGCACAGCCGGCTTCAGGCGTGTGTGTCGATTACGTAAAACTTGCGCATGCACGAATCCTGATGAGAAGGGATCACCCCGGCGGGGAGGAATAAAGTAGCTGCGCATGTTGTGCAATTAACAACAACTCACTGTCGTGATTCGCAAATCCACGATAAATCAGCGCGCGCACAGGATGCACGAGAGAAGAAAGACAGTCGCTTTGGCTCGAGCTCTGGATGGGCAGCGTTTGGCCCCCCGGCTAGGAATGCACCCGGCGGGACCGTAACCCAAAGCGAGGTGAACATAGAAAAGGCTAGAAACATCGACCTCTTGCATAATACTTGGTTTACTTGGTGGGTACCTGAGATCTGGTGGATCGCCTTCGCGCTGAAGTGCCCTTTGCTGCAGCTCCTGCACATTGAGACACCCTTTGGATTTAGATGCGCGTCTCAATTGCCACTGCTGATAGCCATGGAAAGGTGTGTACGTCTGGCAGGCAGCTGCACCGTGCTCCGTTTGTAGCACTGACGCGCTCAAGAAGTGCAAGGAGTAACAGTTATGCATTGCAGACTTGGCGGGGTGTCTTCTTGCAGCATTACCCTTCCGGTTCTTTGGAGCAGCCTTCCTCTTGCCTTTCGCGCTGCCTGTGGTGGGCTGGTGGCTCTCTCCTGCCTGGACTGGGGACTCTGACTCCTTCCTGGAGTCCTTTGCTGCTGGCTCATCCCCTTGTGGCTGCGCGGCTGGTGCAGCTTCAGCTGCATCAGTCATTGCCACATCAGCCGGCTCGCTGTTTGCTTCTGGCTGGATTGCAACAGCGGCCTCGACCCCAGGCTGACCTGGCTGCTCTGTCGTGGCACCCTCAGCCCCCTGCTCTTGAGAAGGCTGGGTTTCACTGGGCTCCTTGTGATTGCTGCCTGCCTCACCCTGCTCTGCTTCTGGCTGTGGTGCTGCGCTTGTGTCAGCCCTTGGCTCTGCCTGTGCTCCGCCTGGTTCTGCTGCATCAGCCTCAGCACTTGCTGCTCCATTGGGTTGGTCACTATCCGCCTGAGGCTGATCAGCAGCGCTGGCGTCTGGCTCCTGCCCCGCAATGCTCGGTGGATGGCCCGCCGCAGCCTCGTCTGCCTGCACAGCTGGAGCCTTCTCTGCTGCTGCAGCGAGCTGGGTATCCTCTTTCATCTGGGCATCACCGGTCTCACCATCCATCCTCTGAGCCTCCTGCAGTCTGCATTGAGAATGTGTCAGGCTGGGCTTGCAGTGGGACACACTGTTGCAAAGGTAGAGACAAGGAGAATTCGGTACCAGCAATAGCGGACCTGGAATCGCCTTCGCTATTTCTCAGTTTCACCCTCACATGCTTCGAAAAGCTTCGAGTCCCCTGCACAAACGCATCAGACTTCCTGAGGATCAAGGTCTCAGGGGATTTGTGAGTAAGGAGAGAGAACCACATCCAATGTTCTTGTAAGGCACTAACTGATCTTCTATAGGTCCCAGTCCATCGCATTACAATTATGCAGCACACAATTCAATAATTGCAAGGCGAGGAGTCCTTAATACCTTTGCAAATACCGATGCCAGGTGCAATCTACTAGGCCCTCACGCAAGGCAGCTTTCTATCACGAGGCTCTGCTATAAACCCCTTCAAGAAATACGCATGCAAATAATTTTATTGGCTATTCCCGACAGGAAATGCACCGCACCCATAGATCCTAGGAAGAGGCAAAAAGTCTCTCTGCTCTCAGGCCAAGCAAGTGACCATCAATGTCATTTGAGCCAGGAAAAGTCAGACCTAAACTTCTCTGTGCATTCTGATTTCCCATATGTTGTTCATCCTGCAGGCAAAGCCAAAGAAAGGATGTCCCAGATTGGCAGGGGTCGATGAGGTGTCGACCAGCTGCAGCGGTGCACCGCCGACCCCGTGACTTCTCATGACTTCCCCCACTACCGTTAACACATTCGTGGGCGCCGATTGCTATTGTGTTGATCTCAAGAATCAAAGAGAGGAACATTGCAAAATCTGACAGTGCTTCGGACATAGCTTACTCGTGCAAAACAACTGTAACGTCAGGACGAAAAGCATATACTTTTTTCAAGGTGTGGGGAACGTTTCGATTACTAGTATTTGCAATTTTTTATCTATGACGTATTTGTGTATCTTTTTATGCTATTTTGGATCGCTCGCAGCAGCGAATCTCACACAAAGTCGCTGTTTGAATATCAAGACTTTCTGTTGGATGTAGGGACCTTCCGCCCCTGCTGTTTGCCAAAAGGAGTGGTGAAGGCTTCGGAAAATCAAATATTTGCTTTTACATCTCATCTCGGCATTAGCAGTCAAAAGCTTTCCATCTCAAGGTGAGGCACTCATTCTTAGCCTTGAAGTCCGGGCTGCCTTGCAAGTACCTCATTACGACCAACGATCCCACAAGAACAAAGCACGAGTTCCAGCCCTGCAATTGATACTTGGAAATCGAGACATTGTATTTACGCTGGTGGCCAGTTTGAGGATTATGGTGTGAGCACTCCAAGATTGGGAACATCCCTGAGTAGGGCCCTGTACCTTTTCCTATGGTGGAAAGGTTGAAGTCGCTCAATTACAGGTTGGGGGCCAACAGCAGGCAGCAGAATGGGGGGCCCAGCACCTGCGGTGCCAGCGCCAGATGCCACCTGCACGCTACTGCCGCTGACATCCTTCCCCAAGAACAAAATCAAAGTGCTGCTGCTGGAGAACATCAGCCATACCGCCATCGAGCTGTTCGAATCGGAGTGCTTTCAAATTGTGCGCATATCTTCTCACCTGCTCATGTCAGTAACTGCTTTCAGCGTATACCTTGCGTTGGCAAAATGGTATCTTCTGAAGCATCCATCACGGTCTGCCATGATGCTATAGCCACCTCTGCAAGTCCTCCGTACTATGCTGTAATGGGAACATGGAGATTCTGAGTGCAAGGGCTATCATGCTGTTATGGAAGCATGATTTGTCAAAGGCGAGGAGTCCTGCAAGAATTCAGGCAATGTTTAGCTGATCAGAGGTGTGTTGCTCTGGTTACAGGAGACGGCTCCTGGAGCTCTGACAGAGCAGGAGCTGGCAGAGAAGCTGAAGGATGTGCACGTGCTGGGCATCCGCAGCAAGATGCATGTCACGGAAGAAGCCCTGAAGGCCGCGCGCCGCCTGCTGGCCATCGGTTGCTTCTGCATCGGCACCAACCAAGTGGACCTGGAGGTGGGTTTCCCTTCATAGCTTCCTATGTGTCTGCTTTCCAGTGGACTAAGATGTCCGTTAGCTTCAAAGTCCCCTGTGGTTTCTGCCAGCTTTGGAGGAACACTGGGGTTGACAACTCACACTGGAACGTCAGGCCTCTTGCTCATCGTGAGGAAATTAGCAGGGCGTGATGGGCTCCATTAGAACTTGTATGCTCTCTTGATGACTGAGCTGCGGTGCTTGGACTCTGTGCCTAGCCTTGTGGCTGTATAATACAAGGTGTTCCCAGTCTAGGCTACACGGGTATGGCTGAGTATTTGCCTCAATTGCTTCTTTGTGCATGTCATGAATGCAAGGAGCTGAACGAGATTGGTTTTTCAAAAGGACTCCCAGGAGTGTTCATATTATCTAATTGGAAGCACAAGGGATTATTATCGTCAATTGTGTGCAGTCCTGATTTAATTATCCTCTGACAGCGTGAATCGCATGACAGGCGGCGAACAGGAGAGGCGTGCCGGTGTTCAACGCGCCCTTCAGCAACACGCGCAGCGTGGCAGAGTTAGTCATCGGCGAGGTGATCGCGCTGGCGCGCCAGCTGGGCGACCGCAGCGGCGAGCTGCACCGGGGGACGTGGAAAAAAGTGGCCAAGGGGTGCTATGAAATCAGGGGGAAAACCCTGGGCATCGTGGGCTACGGCCACATTGGCTCACAGGTATGTCCTGGATTTGCTGCATGTCTTGCGCCTACTTTTCCTGCTGCACCTGTGCGCAGGCATGAAACATTGCAGACCTCCCTCAAGATGTCTGAAGCAAATGGCAAGCTTTCCTTCACAGATCCCTGTGGGAGGCCAGCACTACTTTATGCCTGGAGCCTCTGCCTGATCAGAAAATGGTATGCATCACCCCTTGACATTGCCTGACTGCATTGTTGCTCTCCAGGTCGGCGTGTTGGCGGAGATGCTGGGAATGAAGGTGGTATTCTTTGACATCGCCACAAAGGTATGTGTCTTAATGTCCGCGTACACCTACCCTCGAGCCTGTACCCCGAGCCCATCTCCCTTGCATTCCCATGTCTTCCCCCGTGCTAGCCTCTTATGCCTAAGTTGAAATGAATGGTCGCCTGCCAAAGCATGTACAGCAAAGCGGTGTCTAGCACCACAGATGGGTCTCTTATCACTGGTGGGGTAACAGCAATCTGCGTTCACGTACATTCAGCTGCTCTATATATTTCCAGGAGCTGGCCACAAGAACATTGCTCTGAGGCAACACACTGCAAGCCTGATCAAATCATAGTAAGGCGTTTCTGACCTGAAGGTAAATCTTTAACTGGAGTGATTTGATGAAACTGCGTTATTGAGACGTGAATTATGGTATGGTTGCATGTGCAGATGCCAATGGGGAATAACAGCGCCGTGGCAACCCTGGAAGAGCTGCTGCAGGCCTCTGAATTTGTCACGCTGCATGTGCCGCTGAGTGACGCCACCACGCGCATGATCAGCGTCGAGCAGCTCAAGCACATGAAGAAGGGCAGGTGCGACTTCTGTCTCTGGAACTTTGACTTTTCCTCATTTTTTTTCTCAAGGCAGTTAAATTCTAGGTATGCTTCTTTAGAAGCTTATTGTGTTAGGGGTGCGAGGTTTCTGTTGAGCGGTCTTAACAGCATCTCCGCCTTCCTACCGAGGTCTGACAAATGAGGGCAGGTCTGTGTGAGTGGCATGGGGTTCGTAATGCTCCCCACATGCGCAGAACCTCCTTCAGTCAGCTTTGCGCTGGCAGTGAGCTGGGGGGATGTCTGTTACGCATCAATTCTATTGCTGCATCCAAGAACATATCCCGATTCTCTTGGAAGAATGACATAAGCATGAAACTGGAGCATATACGTACCAGGCTGGGCTGCACCTAGTATTGATTGGCGGCAACAGCATAGGAACAGTATAGTGGGTTGAGAATTATTACTATCATACTCAATGGTGAGTTGGTGTGGGCTGCAGCTACCTGATCAACGCCTCAAGGGGGTCGGTGGTGGACTTGGCAGCGCTGGCAGACGCGCTCAGAGAGGGGCATGTGGCCGGCGCTGCCGTGGACGTGTATCCGACAGAGCCTGAGAAGAACAGCGACGGCTTCACAACAGGTGGGCCAGCCACCCCTGACATCTCCTTATGAATCGTTCAAACCTGTGTTTCTTCCTCTGCTTGTTATGTTCAGGAAGTCCTGCAGGCGCTTGGCCTCCTGATAGAGAGACAGCGTGTCATGATGTGTCTGAATAAGTTGAAGTTGGGCCTAACATGGGAAGGAAAGCTGGTACTTCTTGGTATCTTAGGGCCTGGAACAGCCAAGGGGCTGGGGAGCCCAGAGATGATACTCTGTGAACCCACTTTTCTGACAAGCATGTGTTGCCATCCCTCAGGAGCCGCTTCATGCTTGCTGGTCTGTACTGGAAGCTACTGTCAATATGAAGCTGACGGGGCACTTATGTTGCTACCCTTGCAGAGCTGCAAGGCCTGCCGAATGTGATCCTGACACCGCACATTGGGGGGTCCACGGAGGAAGCACAGGCAGCGATTGGCCGTGAGGTCGCCACCTCACTCATCAAATTTGTCAATCGGGGCACCTCTGCAGGCGCTGTCAACTTTCCTCAGGTCCTTTTCCCGCCCAAAACTCCTTTATTAATGATCTAGATTCACGGTCGCTTTCTCACATGCCATGCCATGCGGTACGAATTTTGCGACTAGCAGACCTGACATGACAAGCTGCATGTGTGCTAGTCCGAGTCTAACTTCTGGCAATATCAGAACTGCTCCTTGTCAGGTCCGGTGCGCTCTTAGAGAGGGCTGAGGTTATTGGGCAGTGCCATTGCATTGATTTCATAGCAATCAAATTGTGACTTGGCTAAGTGGTTAGTACATTCTTCTAGTAACTTCACGCGTAGCTCCTAGCTTGTAGTAACCCCTCCTGTGGTGTCTGTGGCAGTTTTTGAAATTGGCTCTGAACTTGCTTTGTGATGTCTGTGGCACTTTTAGAAATTAGCTCTGAAGTTGCTTTGTGCTGGTGTGCAGTTGGACTTCCCGCAGGATTCCAAGTCGCACCGCATCCTGAACGTGCACCAAAATGTCCCCGGCGTGCTCAGAAATGTCAACAGCATCATCAGCGATCTGGATGTCAACATCAAGGCGCAGGTGAGGCTTCAAGCCCCGTGATTCTGCAAATCTGGCAAGTCTCTCGAGGGATCGAGTATGGGTCAGCTTTTACATGCACCTTCTCTGCAGACGCTCCTTGCCTCTGGCAGGAAAAGCGTGTGATTAAATAAAAGGAAAATCTGCAATTACTGGTGTCTTTCAAATCCTCGAACAGGTGCAGCATCTTCTTGTAGGCCATGCACTTCTAATAAAGTGCTGGCAGGATTGCTGGTGAGGTGTATCTGCTTCCTGCCCATGAGTTTCTGGGCAGTGGTCGCTGATGTCAACTTCAGCCACATGGCATTTTACCTCATGCAGACAAGCGATAGTATTATGCAAGTGGGGGCGAACATGAGCGTATGAGATGTCGACCATCACCTCTTGGGCCGTGACATCTGCACAAATCCGCAGTGAGGAGCACAGCACCAGCTATGCACTGACAAGGATGTTTCATGGTGCGCAGATGAACATGACTGACAGCAACATCGGCTACCTGGTCATGGATCTTGACAAGGCAGTGTCCCACGAGGTGGAAGCTGCACTGCGAGAGCTCCCAACCAGCATCAAGACTCGTATCCTGTACTGACAGCTGACCTGAATTTTGTGCCCTAACCCGTCGCACTTGGGATTATCCATGTTGTTATGAGCTAGCTAGGATAGCTGTAGCAGCGCTGGCAGACAGCGTGCATGCATTGTGCACGGCTGTGATACCAGTAGGAAGTGGAAATTTGCTCTTCATAGAAATGTCGCGCAGTCGAGACACCCAAGGCCACGTTATGGGGGGTCTGTATTTGCAAGTGGCCTCCAGTGGTGCCAGTAGAGCGCTTTATTGAATGACCAACTGACCAATATGACTTGCAAGGCAGACTCTGCTTGGTGTTTGATCAGCAATGGTGCTGCTTGGGGCCTTCAGGGCGAGCTCTGAGGCATTTAATTTGAAAGGAACGATGGAATTGGTACCAAGCTGGACCTTGTATAAAGGTGGCAAGACCTATAATCTTAGACTGTGGCCCGAAGGGCAGAGGGCTAAATAGAGCCCAACCTCCTTGTGCCTGAATTTATGTGCTCCTTGTATCTGAATATATGTGCCTATATAGAGGAAATTTCCCCCTTTCCAATACAGCTTTCGATCGCTTTCCATTGCTCAGGCTGATCTTGAATCCCCTTCTGATCCTTTTCCATCATACCAGACAGAAGTGGCAAGCGCTAATCGGAACTAGCCATCCGAAAATACAAGTGTGCAGAGAGATTGTAGACCGAGAATTGCTGTCCCGTTGTCAGCACGACGTGCCCTCATATATTGGCTCAAACAGCACTTCTTCGACGTTCCAAGAATCCATAAAACATGGAAAGAGTTGTGACACCCGAAAAGCGTGAGCAGATATTGCAGCAGATGTGAGCGATCTTACCACCCAATGCAAGGGGTTCCCTTTTTTTGTTGAAGACGTGTTCTGACCTGCTCTATGAAAAGCTGATATGTAAAGTTGGTTCTTTATCACAATGAACACAAGTAAGATTGCATCTGCTCTTATTTGTAGCAAGCACTATGGCATCTGCGATTGTAGGCAAGCACAGTTGGTGCAAATGATGGGAAGTGTGGAGGGCATGGACCAGCATGTTCGTACCTGGGAGGCTCAAGCTTACGAAAATTCGCGTGGGATAGAGGCAAGTCAGATCAGATCTTATTTCTCACAGGGCCAATGCGTTGGACGACGCATTGCTAACTTGTCTGCGCCAAGTGTGCATTCCTTGGATGCCTCTGCATTTTCTGAATTCCTCGAGCCTCTTGAAATTTCTAAGAGGCATGATTTCTGACCCTGACCTGTGCGGCTGGCAGAGAGACTACATTGCCAGGATGGCAAACCGGCTCCAGAAGATTGAGAATAAGTTGCAGGAGCAGCAGCAACAACAACAACAACAACAACAACAGTTGCAGCAGCAGCAGCACTTCCAGCAGCAGCAGCAGCAATTCCAGAGCCCTCAGCAGCCAGTCCTTCAGCAAACATACCAGGCACAGCCCCAGAGCCGCTTTGCACAGCCAAGTCCTCAGCAGAACAACCAGCTGCAGCAAAATCAGTATGGCCAGGTGACAAATCTGACCTCCAGCCATGCAACATGAGGGCAGATGTATGAAATGCATCCTGCATTCATTAAACACCTGTGCAAGAGGCATAGACTACTTCTAAATGCTCCTGACTGGAGGCCTGGGCTGCAGGTTGTGACATCTGTTCCAGGAAGCAGCCAGGGCGCTGCCAGGATGCAGCAGCAGAGCTATGCGAATTATGCCATGCACAACGCCCATGCAAGGCAACAACCACAGCAGCAAGCACCCCACATGGTGTGCTACACCCCATGCCTGTTACCCAGCAGCTTCCTTGGTAGTATGCCGTTTGTTAGTATGGAGTTCAGCGTATCAATAGGACATTTCCAGCCTACAATGGTGCTGCAATGTTATCCAAGCCGCAGAGTCTTGCAGCAGCAATGGGCCATGATAAAGCGCAAGTGATGAGATGTGTTGCAATCTCTCAAACGGAGTTGGAATTTCCTGGGTGTGTTGTGGCAGGATGTGCAGCACAGCATGGGCCCTGACAGTGAGATCTTTGCTGACATGGCCCACGCCTTCATTCTGGGGCCCTCTGATGTGTCACCCCAGGAGCCACCTCAGCAGCAGCACTTCCAGGTGCCAGCCACTGCCACCTTGGTCACTGACTCTGTGTACATCAGCAGGTCCAACAAAACCTGCATGTAAATTTGCATTTTGCCTCAAGTCGGCTGCTTGTCTTTGGCATGCATGCTGTGGGACAGAGAAAGACAGGACTAGTAGTTTTGTGGCAGCCAACAAGGCTGATGAGATGTCTTGGGTGTACATTCCTGAATCTCGGATATATCAAGTCACCTGCACAAGACTCCTGCCATGTGAACTGACGCACGGTGTTGGTATCATGCTGATTTATTGTTGCATGCTTGCAGCAACAATCTCACCAACGGCAGAACATGAGCTACGGTGTTGGCAATCAGTCATATTCACCGGGGCCGCCACCAGCCATGCAGGTCCATTCCGTCTGTCGATTATCTTCTTGACTGCAGTTTGTCTGCAAGACGTACCTTGCCTTTTGGCAGGAATAAGCGTAAAGTAATCATATTTTTCGGTTGTGTTTATGCCAAGACTGGGAAGGTCTAGGGAATTCATTGAGAGGATGCTGCAACGCACCTAGCCCTCAGGGCTGGAACAAGCGTATAATAATTGTCTGTTCTTGGGCACCTTGGACTTGTGACTTAATGGGAATTTCACTCGCTGTGATATTGTCTGCAGCAAGCTTTGCCCGCTGACTAGTTGGATTATTCATGCAGGCATGGCAGCAACCGCAGTACAGCAGCTACGCCAGCCCGCAGCAATACCAGCCGCCGCAGCATTCGCAGATGCAGGTGCTGAAAGAATATCTCAGCTGCAAGCTTATTTACCAATGGCCACTTGTGGTACTGCAAAGCGCCCATCTCGCCTATGCTAATGGATGCTTTTTATTCAGGCACCCCAACTTGTCTCTTCTCAATGCTTATGGACAGTTTGTAAGGTGGAATTTAAAGATGCTCAGGTGATTGTCGTGTGCCTGTGATGCAGTATCAGCAGACCGGCTCGCCAATGCCGGCAGGCTATGGCATGCAGCAGCAACCCGGCGCGCAGCCGTCATCAATGTACTCTGCTCAGCAGCAGCGCCCGCAGATGCAGCCGCAGCAGCAGCAGCATGGTGAGTCATTCTTTCAGAGCCTCTCATGTACTCTTCTCATCAAGATGACCCAGACGACATGGTATGTAAAGTGCAGAAGACCCTGCAGCTTTGAGATGGTTTTTAACAAGTGGAAGGGGCTACACGCTTATTTCATGCGTTTGGAGCGAAAAAAATACCAAGTGTGCGAAGGAGGGTGCATGGAGTGTGTCCAGGCCAAACAATCTAACGAGACCCAATTTAAAGAGATCCAATGCTCTAGCAAGTCTCATGTCCCCGAGCCATGTCAGAATCTTGGCGTCGTGCCATTACTTCTCACCAAAACCGATGATGTTGTGAGTCATTCTATTCCATGGTGATCACCCAATACTGGCAAGCATCTACCCATAGGGAGCCCAGATTGCTGCACGTTAAACAGTCCATATCGATGCCATGTCCCTGCTTGGGGGCTTCAAAGGTTTTTTCAGGGTGGTTTACAAGACCAGTGGCACCCAGACACTGAACATGCATGGCTCTATAAGCACATGTGTGGTTACCAAGCATTGCATGCTGCGTGATCGGCGCCACATAGATCACCACATCTCACTGACAATCCTTTTCACGCCTCGGCGCGGCGGCAACGCCCATCAGCACAACATATCTACAAATTCTCACCTCAGCATCCAATTCATTTTGCTGAGTGATTGGGTGCCTCATAGAAGACCGCATCTTCCCGATAAATCACACTTGTTGCCAAAGACAGAGGGCAGGCAATCTTGTGCGGGTTTCAAAAGCCAACCATGTTTTACGCGCAGGCGTTGCAGCGTCACCCAAGGCCGCGGCGGCGGCAGCGGAGGCACATTGGGTGCTGCTGGAGGAGATGCGGGGGGAATTTTTGGGGGACCTGGAGGACTATGCGCGGCTCCTGCGCACCGCCGAGCGCGGGCCGCAGCCCTCCGAGAAAATGGCCAAGCTCGTCAACATCATCGCCCGCCTCTCGGTGCGCGGCTTTCTAATGTCACCGAAACCACATCCTCTTTTCACCCGTGTAATGAGGGGAAGCTTTGCAAAAGGTTTCTGCGCACTTTCTAGCGCGCACAACAGTCCTGCGGGAAAATGGCCAAACCCCTCAACATCATTGGCCGCCTCTCGGTGCGCGCACTCTGCTTGTCTCTGCGCGCTGCACTGCATGCAGTCGTTTGAATTTGAGGACTAAAAGGAGCGCGGTCCACATCTGTGCACACACACACACACACACATAAATTTGACTGAAATTGAAATTTTTGAGATTCCAAGCAAACAACATGACTGGCCGCCTTTCGATGTGTGCAGCTCACATCCCTGCACCGTGTTACAGTCATTCTGTTTAGAAGTCCAGAAAGTGAATCTAAGATGGTCAAGCTCGGCAACATTATCAGCCAACTCTCAGCGTGGCTCATGTCTCTCCGCCGTGCAACAGTCAATCTATTTAGATTTGAGGAAGAGAAGGAGCGCGCTTCACCTCTCTAGAAAGATCTGATGTAAAGTCAGAGAGTTAGGTTGTGATGGCGAAGCTCATCGATACTATCGGCCGCCTGTAGATGCACGCAAGACGCAACCATGTCTATTAAATCAACCCTGAAGGCTGTTGCCCCGATGCGTGACTGGCTCTTCAGACGACAGACAGGAATAATTGACCCTGGCGGAGAGAACTGTGCATCCGGCCCCACCTAGTTTTTGGGCGGTGAAACAATAATGTGAGCTTTCCTTTGTGACACATTGAACGGCAAAGATGAGGAACTTGGCACAAGTGCGGTTCTTCACGCACGGGAGAGTGCACAGAATCATTCCTGTGTAGATATCACCCAGATCTCTGAGGTGGACATGTGGTATGCTGCCCAAATTGGCTGCATCTGTCTCTTCAGGCGCTTGCCTTACAGACCTTGGGAATTTCGCACAGGCATTTGCCAGACACGGGGCGTGGGACTATCTTGTTCAAGCGCATCTATGTCAATCCTGTGGACGGTTTAAGACTGACGGTGTGTGCTTGTGCCGGCAGCTGAAGCGGGAGGAGAACGTGGGCCGCCAGTTCAGTGCAAAGGAGGTGCAGGGGCTGCAGAGCCTGCAGCAGCAGCTGCGCCTGTACGTGGCCAAGCTTCGCACCATGCTCGAACCCTACCGCAAGCAGGCACGCCCACATGCATTGCTTTGTGCCATAGTTGCACCATACGGATTCGGCCATTCCGCATACGGTGAATATTCGGTCGTATATTTGGTGTTTTGGGCCAAAATAGGCCGTTTTTGACCGTATTCCGTATTTTTTAATACCGTATGACCGTATATCCGGCCGTATATACGGTCCCCAAAAAGCATTCTGACCGAATGGTGCAACTATGCTTTGTGCTCTATTTTTAACCGCACAGTTGATGCTTTCCTTTCAAGGTGTCTTGTTAGCTCTGCCGTGAAGCGCCATTGGATTGGCTGCCTGATGCCTTTTGCCTGCCTGGCTTTCTGAGGCATCCGCACGGGATCCCATTGGAAGACAGCTGGGTGGATTAATTCCAGTGAGAAGACAGCCTAGGACAGGAATTCCTCAGATCAACGATGCATCTAGTCAAAGCGCTCAGATACACACAGACCGGTCTGTTCAACAAGAGGTGCCATGTGCATCACACAACACACACACAACCCTCCAGAGAGCACGCTTCTTAAGACTCCTTGAAAAACGCAATGAAAGAAATGCTGACAGCGAGGTCTCATGCGCAGCAGAGGAGACAGGAGGCTGAGGCACGCCAGGTGCAGCAGGGGCAGGGAGCAGGCACGCCATCGCAGACGCAGCCCGGTCCCCCCGCCCCCAGTGCAGCCCCGCTCCAGGTGATCCACCCACGAATACGCCGACACTCCCTGAGAATCATGCAACTCCATGTTTGCTTCAATTGCTGCTGGGTTTTGAGACGCTGTCGCCCTGTTTTTGGGGGCTCATGCAGACCTCCTAAACTGTCAAGGAATGCTGTGCAGGGCAGTGTAGGTGCATCAAGTCTATGTGAAGCATGACATGTAAGCATATTTGTGTGTGGGGTGACAGGGCGGGAGACAGGCTCTGGCGAGTTATACCCCTAGGAGCATGCCCACGCCCCCTGGCACTTCACCCGGCGATGGGAAATTAGAATTGCCGGTGACAGAAGGTGTGGCCCCTTCCATACAAGTTTCACTGGGTGTTTCTCAAGCAAGACTGCCTTCTACCTCCCTAAAGCTTGTGATGTTGAAATGCTTGTCAAAAGAATGTGCATGTCTTCCTCTGTGGGGTCGATGCGGTCTTCGCTGATTGCAATTTGTCGCTAATAGCGACACCCGCAATGTTCCCATACAGGGCGTCATTGCAGGGCATACAATATCATGCATACTACTAACACTCGAGGACCCTTTTCCTGCCGCACTGCCATCGAGCCGTGCATGTCCTCTCGCTTCAACAATATTTAAATGCGCGCCCATTGCAGCCTGAAGGGTCCTGCCGAGTCCGAGCTGTGAGGTGTTTGTTGAGAGGACAAAGCGCGCCTTCATCAAGAATCATGACCCATCTGGCTCATGCTGAGGGTCTTGTCGGAGTCTGGTCCAGTCTGGTATCTACCGAAATTGGGTCTCACCCAAGCACCTCCCTGCCATATTACGGGGTGCTTATTCTCGATTTTAATATTCTCACCCCCTTCTCTCTACTAATGTGCTGTGCCTGATCAGGAGCGGCGAAGGCTGCATGGGAGGAGGGAACGCTGACGCCGGGGCAGCGCCTGATCAGGCAGCTGGCGGCCTCGCGCCCCGGCGCCGTCGCGGCTGCGGCCGGCTCCGCGGCGGCCGTCGCGATGCGCGAAGGGTCCGACATCGCATCCCCACCCCTGCCGCTCCGCCTGAGGCCGGCTGGCACTCTCTCCGATGACTCCTCACACCCGCAGGTAGCCCCTCAATGGTCCACTGTGCCATCTACAACTGACAACTCGCCTGCCCCATGTGCCACTTTGATGCTTCAGAACACAGTTTCCCTTGAAAAGCGCGTCTGCCTATGTTTTAGCTCACTTTGCTGGAGTGTCTTGATCAATTGTTTCGCGGACCTCTTTGCCTGTCTGTTGCTCTCAATAATCTTCCAGCAAGGGAGTCTACAAAAGGAGAAACCAATTCATCAGCAGATCTTGCCAATTCGGGCTTCAGAAAGGCCTGCGCTTATTCAAGGCCATGCTGCATGGACAGATCAAGGTGTAACAACGCATATCAATTGGTGCGTGCATATTGTTGCAGGAGCCGAGGCTGGTGCGCTCAGTGAATGTGGCCAAGGAGAGTGAGCCGACATCTCCCGACAGCGTGCTGGACCTGAGGGCAGGCTACAAGCGCAAGCGCACAGAGCAGCAGACCCAAGACCTGCAGCTGCTGCGGCACAAGATCCAGGCAGAGTGCTCGCAGGTGCGTGTCCTCACTGTCTTGAGATGTGGGAATGACTCAGTCTTTTCTACCAGGTCTGTGCTGCCAACAGGAACTGGCTTATATATGTTTCTCGACTGGAAGGTGACAAGTCAGAAGGCTCTCGGCTTTCGAACTCTTGATCTCATGGCTCTTCAGAACGCAACCTGACCTTGAAGACACTCTGCAGCGCTTGGGCGAAGAAAGTTGGTTTTGTAAACGTTTGTGATACCTCAGGCAAATGGAGCGGTCTCTGCATTGGCTTCCTCCTTTCATTGCCTTGGATGCAGTGATCTTCCAGCCCAACCTGTAGATTTATGTCTGCATGCATGCATTGGCAGGGTTGAATGCATTGCTGCTGTCCTGTCACTGGGGAGACAACTGAGTTATTTTTGCTGCGACTTTTCTCTTCACTATCCAACGCTACTATAAGCGATACTTATAAGAAAGGCAAATGGCCAGGAGATACTGCCTACATAAAGGACAGTTGCGAGCGCATGAATGAGGAGAAAGGGGCTGACTTCTGGTACGATAGATTGCAATACAAAGATCTGCTGGCCCAGATGATTGAAGTATTGCGCGTGCTGCCGCCGCAGCTGGAAGCGAAGACAGGGGCAAGCTTCGACATTCAGGAGTGCGAGGACGTGGAAGGGGCGCTCATTGTCGCCGCCACCGTGCCGGCAGTCGCAGCGGCCGCGGCGGATCCGCGTCCCGGGGGCGGCGCTCTCAGCCTCGGCCCGGGCGTCCGGACGCTGCGCATGCGCGTCGATGACGCCTACCCGGCCAGGCCGCCGACGCTGCTTTTCCCTGAGCCGGCAGGAGCTGTGAGCTCCAACAGTGCACAGGTGAGGATAATTTTGCTACGGCCCTTCAAACTACCAACCAGGAGAGTGTGCATAGATGGAAGGCAGTACGAGCGCAAAGTCAGGTAGAAGGGCTGCCTCGCAGTGTTCAACTGATGTGCAGTCGGGCACACCGAGCCAATGTGCGCTGTATGCAGCTGTCGTTGTTTTGTCCTAGAGGAGGTAATAATTCAGTGCCGGATAAAAGCGGGCAAGCCATGCCTGCAGCACTCGAGCATGTGCGCAAATGCAGCAAACAGAACGTCATCTCAATTGATACTGGAGTAGCGTGAGTCCGTCGCCTCTTCATCCTTCAGTGTTGGGACTCGTGGCATGCAGGTCCTTGTGCAGATAGTGCGCACAATGACAAAGTTCTTTGTCCTGGCGTGCTCAGGAGGGTGCGATCCGAGGAGCGTTTGAGGTGGCCGTTACTACCAAGGCGCAAGCTGACCCCTTGGACATCAAGCTTCTGGCTGAGCAGTGGGCGGCAACTCTGGTGAATACTGAACAGATGGTGGCGGGGGCAGTGCCATAATGATATAGAACTGGTACTGGATTTCTGATGCCAACTTGGCGCACTGCCCAATTGAAGCGACAGGCGACAGGCCAAGTCCAGATTGCCACTGGGTGTCAAGATTGCATGCAAGCCATCTTTCAAGCGCTTGCAAAATTTAGGGTCTCGTCCGGCCTTTTGACAGCATCTTAGGAATGCATTTGCCGTTTACATGAACAGCCTGAACAGCTTGAGAGCAAGCATTCGATGGCCAGGTACCTAGCTAGGGACTGCTGTCCTGAGAAGTGATTGTGTGTGTGTCACATCGGTCCAATTGGCTCTTGCAAGGGGTTGTGTTGAGTGCACCATGTGGGGTTGACCCAGTCAGGCTCCCCCATATTCTTTGCACACATTTGCTGTTGGCAAGCCGCGCTTTCAAAGTCGGATTTAGTGTAATCACATTGGTCAATACTTGACCGTCAACCTGGACGGTCACTTGCGCATTTGATACCGGGTAGAACCGGGCGGCCCGCGGGTACATTGTTTACGTAAAACACACAGCTGCAGCAACAAATGCGCAGCTATGTATGCATGCATATCATTGGACAGCAGATTTTTTCAAGGAGATGCATTACCCTTTGGGTAAAGGTAACACATGCAAGGCATGATAACGTGGCAGGCTGACGTCACGTGACGGGTCTGGTCTGCAAAGGCGGTGTACGCACCTGTCCAAGAATACGCTACGTCCACGTCTTCATGCACCAGTGCTCATTCAAGTCCGATGATAATTCTGCCGATGAAGTTGCTCGCGACTTGTAAATGGCGAAAAGTACTTCTGCTTTACTGCGCCCTCTGTTACTATCGCAGTTCAAAACCTCTTCATCGTTGATTGCACGGGGGACGGCCAAAAAATTGAGTAATTATCAAAAGTCGTCCCGACCGTAAGCAACATTGCTAATCTTTAACATCTTCGAGTAGCACTGGTGTCTCTTCGATTGTAGTAGCCCTTCAGGGATACGCCGAGGGACAATGGAAGCAGCTTGGCAGGAAGCAAAGCTTATGAGGTACGCTAGGCACGGCAAATTCAGCTATACCATCGAGTGATGATTGGGCGTGCTCTCCTGACTTTGAAATGATCTTGTCTATTGTTGGCTAATCTACTGTCTCTGGTTGCGTGACGCAGGGATTGGAGCAACCCGCCACCTTGGCCGGTGTTTGCTTTCGGCATATGGCTCCTTAGCCTGCTGAAGCGGTTCATGCAATGGATCCAGCCCCCGCCTTTGACGCTGTTCGACATATCGATGGGTGCTTGGCAGGCACAGGCGTGTGCACATTTGTTCTCACTGCACGATGTGGCACCATCGCTGACAGATTTCCAAGGCAGGATATTGCACCACCTGAGGCAAGAAGCAATCCTTCATGTTGACGCAGGTGCTGTACACCGTGGCTGAATTGCGTGTTGCGGATGAACTCGGCAGGAAAGGCCCCCAGACTGCACAGGATCTTGCCGTGTCCCTGGGTGAGCGTTGCCTTTCAATGGCTGGCATCACCTTGTACCTGTGGCTTGTATTTGTGTCCTTTAAGCATTGCAACCTTCGTAGTATCCTGCAAGATGGGTAGAATGACGATTTGTGATGGTCGCAGGTGTTGAAAAAAAGCGGCTGTACAGAGTGATGAGGAGCGCCATTCAGATGGGGGTGTTTGCTGCGATCAAGCCAAAGGAGGCAGGAGGCGCGGTCAGGTTCAAGAACAACCGCCTTTCTGCCTGCCTCCGGGAAGACCACCCCAATTGCCTGCGCCACATGGTAGGCCCCAGATGTCCTAGCTGCTTTGCAACTTCGAAATGTGTCACCCAGGTGCTTGACCTCCCGCGCTGGTGACATTTGTGCGAGTTGCAAGTGCAACTGGGTTTGGGCATCATGCAAATCTAAGGCCGGCTCAGCAATTGCAGCACCATGGGAATATGTGGTGCTTTGCAGTCAATTACTCAGGCTGACGTTATGTTGCAAGCCCTGCATGTTGGCAATGGATGTTGCAGGCGCGGTTGATCGCGTCTTGCTTGGATTTGGCCAGTCCAACAGGGGGTACTTTGTGCGGCAGACCTCACCTGCAGCTAGGTTGCCAGGCGTCTATTTTACTGGTCACGAGCAGCAAGTAAGACGCTCACTGATGATGACTGTGCCTTTGCAGATGCTGCATTTCACAGAGCACAACCAGCCGGCGTTTGATGAGCTGGCGTGGGCGGTACGCACGAATGGCAACGCGTGGAAGAAGACGCATGAGGGCCTGAGCCAGTTCGAGTGGCTGCAGCGGGACCCCAAGGAGGAGCACAAGTTCTCCAAGGCCATGCAGCAAGTTGACGGGCTCGGTGAGATCCCCCTGCTTGCATTGCTTACTTATGGACCCTTTGCCAGTGCCAGGGTATTTATTATCAAGTTGATATAAATTCCCTGCCTTGCAGCTGTCATGGACCTGTTTTGCATGCAATTCCAGGGGGTGGTAAGGATCTACGTTCTGCATCTGAGTGGATCTTGCCACCCCATGCAAGAAGCAGGGAAACCTGTATTGAAGTAGTCAAAAACGTATTTCTCTGGCATCTGATGCTTTGAGCACTCAAGGTGATAGAGCAAGTCTGCAAGGCATAGCAGATCATGGCTGGCCCTGCAGTTGTGCGAATTTCCCGCAATGTCTCATTAATGGCGGCTGGCAATGACTCGAGGCAATGGGCGTAGATATTATGTGGCTTACCCCCGCATGGCTGTTGTGCACAATGTGATGGTCGCATATTAATGCTTACATTGCGCGTCATGAACCATGGCAGCTTCGCGTGGCAGTTCTATGGAGGGGAAGCCGGTGGGTGTGGTAGTCAGTCCTCCATGGCACTGCCATGTGGTGAGGGCATGTTTCATGCAAGCCCCAGTCGGTGCATTGTGCAATCCTTCGCTTTAGCAATTGTTAGGGAGGACATTGAAGGAATTTAAAGTAGGCACTGCAGCAAAAAGGCCCTGCTCGATTCGTCAGGCCCAGTCAGATTTGTGTGCATCTTTGAAACAATGACTCTTTCAGCCAGTGTGGCTAGTTTCTAGGCATTTTGTGCTCCCTGCAACACTCCCTTCTTTACCAGATAAGGGTCAGATGTCTCCGTTCTGGTGCAGGGACGCATGCAATGGCCACGGATTACGGCTGGAACGGGCATTCGCGGATCGTGGACATCGGCGGCGCTTACGGATCGTTCATGGCGCACCTGCTCTCCGTAAACCGTAATCCGCAGGGAGTCCTGTTCGACCAACCGCAGGCGCGTCTCTGACGCCGTTGCCTCTCCCTGGACACTTTGCTCGAAGTGCAACATTGATATCTCACATTTTCCATTTCCTAGGCATCTAGGATCTGGCTACGTCCAGCAACTCGTGTATTTCTCCATTCTGTGCAGTCATGGTTATTTTTGAATGCAATGACAATCTAATGGACTCCAAATTCTCCCTTACGTATTCGTTCCAGCTCTTCTCCCTGACCCCAGTCCCACTCAATGTGCACTTTACTTGAAGTGCACGTTGCTTGAATTCAACTAACTTGGACCTTTTTGCTGAGCCTGCGGCCTCCTGTCCTGCTTTGCGCTCTGAGACCAGTGCAACAAAAGAGCTCGCAACTCATTGTAACAGCAAAGGTGACGCAAGTGAGTTTGCGGCAGATTTTGATCGGACTGGCCTCACAGCGGGTTCAGGCAGCGTTGGCAGCAGCAGGTCCAAGTGAAGTGTGGGAGTTCAAGGCGCCCTCAGTGCTGCCCTGCAAGCTCATTGTCATGCAGAAAACTTTTGGGCCATTCATCAATCATTACATGCCTGCCCTGTCAGAGGCAGCGCGGCGCATGTGCAGACAAGCTGCAGGTGAAGGCTGCCACATTTCCTACCCCTTACTGGACTCAGCCAGATTCAAGCAAGCCCCAATCAGTCGTGGGCATGGTGCTCAGTGTATATACCGCCCCTATGCCAGCCGGAACCATTGGGTTGGTTGATGGGATGGCAACAAGTGCATGCATGCGGCTGTGCAGGTGATTGAGAGGGCGAAGGACATGTGGGCGGAGGACCCCCAATGGTCCACCCTCGCCCCCCGCTTGAAACTTGTGGCCGGCGACTTTTTCGATGCAGGTGAGCATTTCACTTGCTGTGATGCAAAATTCAAAGACCTACAACTACAATTTTTCATTCCCACCTGTCGGCTGCATGCACTTGCCTGGGCTCATCTGAGCTTTGGTGCTGTCTGTAAGAGATCATTCTGCATGCTCTCTCGCCTGATGTGAGTGCAAGGTTGGGTTGTGCGTGCCTGTGCAAGAGCTTTTGTGCACATATAGTTGCTGTCTGTGGCTGTGTCAGAAAGTCTTCCTTTCCCATACCTCCAGAGGTCCTCATCAGGTGCCATTTCAGGATCTGCCAGGCTGTGTCTGCACCAGGGAGCACGCCTGCAGCCACATTGGAGACTGATACCGAACAATGTTACGGGTCTGCAGCAATGTTCTACCATATCTGCTCACGTGATTCATATGCATGCAGACACGCTGCCCAAGGCTGCAGACGGCGATGTGTATGTGATGCGTCTGATTCTCCACGATTGGGACGATAGCGACTGCGTCAGAATCCTGTCCAACCTCCGCCGCGCCATGGGCTCTGCAGACGCTCGCCTGCTCATTGTCGAGGTGGGGGGATTTCTTCTGTCTTCCTTATAGACAGGACGGCTGCTTTGCTGTATGCCTGCCTGCATGTGTCTGTGAAGGCTGGATGTTACAAGTTAGTCAGGATGTTACTCTCGAGTCCGAGCGTGGAAGGGCAAGCCCTGAAGGACATCATGGGGACACTTGGGTCAGAGGCTTGTAAGTCTGAAGGCTTGCAGTAAATTGAAGTTTTTGGTCTTTTGTCAATCAAAGAGGAGTGTGAGTTCTGCACCTAATCTATCAGGAGCATGCTGCGGTATGCATATGGAACATTATTAGTATCATTGTTATCACACGCTTTTCCTGCCAAGAGGCAAGGTGCGTCCTGCAGGCAAGCTGCGGTTTAAGGTTGCCACAATCCTATCCCTTGTTGGACTCGCCAGGTCCAAGCAAGACCTAATCAACCTTGGCCATGGTGCTCAATCATACCACTCCCCGCGAGCCAGGGCCCACCTGAACAGTCATGGCTGGAAAAGCTTTTGAATTGGTGTCAATGGTGCAAGTGCTGAGCACCTGGTGGGACTCTGCAGACGACGCTAGGGGCGGAGTTTTCTGATCCGCTGTTCCAGCGAGCCCTGCTGGATGTCCACATGATGGTGGTGCACAATGGTGCCGAGCGGACAGTCTCAGAATGGTGCGCTGCACTTCCTTCTCTCTCTATCTCTCCTACTGCTTGATGCTTCCTAGCGCTGCTGCTTTGCCTGCTGTGCTGTGCTGTGCTGTGCTGTGCTGTGCTGTGCTGTGCTGTGCTGTGCTGTGCTGTGCTGTGCTGTGCTGTGCTGTGCTGTCAGGAGGCTGCTGCGCATAATAGATTCGCTTCATGTTTTCCTAGGACCGTAGTGTGCGGACAAAAGTTTACAGGACCAAAGAGATAATGAGTATTGGGCATTTTCTGCCCTGCTGCTGGATTGTTGTGCTGGCAGGACACAACAGACAATGCTGTTGTGCTGACCTTTTGAGCTGTGTTGAATTGGCACTAGGGAAGCCTGCAATAACTGGACGCTCACATGCTGGGATGTTCTCAGCTACTCATCCAGTCATTTGAGGGCTCTCTTTCATGCCATATCTTTGATGTGTCACAGATAGGGGTGACTAAGACATTATGTGACTGATGCGCTGCAGGAAGGACATTCTGCAGAAGGCCAACTTCAGCTTTGGTCGCCACATCCCAACCCGCGGTGTCTTCTCAATCGTCGAAGCATTCCCAGCATAGATTCAACTCCAAAATGGAGATTCAAATGGACACTGAAGGGTCTGTAGCAGCTTTGTATTTGCTAAGGAATTAAGCTGATGCTGACTCAGTGGGAATTTGAAGGAGTGAGCTAACTTTGCTCTTCTCCAAAATGGTTTTCGGTTTGCATGTGCATATATTTTCGGGTTTGTTTTAGGGGGTGAGTTGAAGTATGGCACCGGACAAAGTAGGCATAATGTGCATATATTTTCAGGTTTGTTTAGGGGGTGAGTTGAAGTATGGCACCGGACAAAGTAGGCATAATTACACAGCACCAAAGTGTGCCAGAAGTGTTTTTTGGGCCATTTTGAAACACAACAATTCTTTTCAGGCCCTGTGGGCATTGCGGATTTTTCAAACGCTGCAGACAACTTGGAGCACATGCTGCACAGCTGGGTCTTGTGACTTTGAGCACAAGGCATGTGTGGCATGTGTGTCAATTGAGGGTCCAGGCAGATGATCAAATGATCGTCCCCTGGTTTATAGTGCAACTCCTGTGGACTATGATTGGATACAACCGGCATGGAAGAGCTGATCAACATCAGCATATTATAGGGGCAGCCCTTTCTCCTTTTGTTGGGGCTTGCAATCCGCTATATGTCTTGCCTGCGCTCTTGACTTATATTTGCTCTGAGAAATATTGGTAAGCTTGAAATCTACCGTTGCAATATCAAGGCATCTTGTGTCAAGAAAATGCTGGGTTATGTGACACTGGGCTGGCTTGAGCTGACAGCTCTTCACAGCTGGCTACCATGTGTCTAACTGTGACATGTACATCGGACCCCATTAGGGGGCACTGACACATTCTTGTAATAGTAACCCGTCTGGGATGCTTGGCAGCAAGACACTTGAACACTGAATCACCCCTATATAGTAACACTGATGGGTATACGGACGCGTTTGGGCTTTCAATTGCCTTGGCACACTTCGTGTGTCCCATTTGAGGATAATACCAAGCTGCACAGCACGCCTATTATCAGGGCGCCTAACAATTAGATCACTTCATCCCTGAAACAATGATCGGTAACCAGACCCCTTTTGATTACTAATGGTTTAGGGAAGCTGACATGAAAGACACCCACATGGTCTGCACATGGTGATGTACAGGGTATGATGACCACTTCACAGGCATCCGACTACCCGACTAGAGAACAAGCCCAAGACACTATCTGCCGGGCACTTCACAAGAAAACACCAGGAGTATTTCTGATGCGCAAACAACAGCCTGCAAAAAACAATGCTTACGGTGGAAAACCAGGAGGCAATGAGAAAGTTCATGGGCCACTCTTGTCAATTGACCAGGCGGCAGCGATAAAACATGTACATGGGATTTGCGGTGATCATTTGGCAAGCCCATATGAAGACTAGCTTGCAGGATCTAAGGAATTACTGGAATGCCTGGAATTCTCAAAATCCCACCGCCAAGGAAATGCCCTTGCTTGGTGTGCGCAGAATGTGCAGCACACGTTCCCTCCACTTCTTACTCTTCCTTCAATACGAGAATTCAATTCTGAAGCCATGCTGACACAAAACATGGGAGAATGAAAGAATCCCAAATTTGCGGTATCTTCTAAGCATTGCACTATGAACTGGCACCTTTGGAAGCAGGCTGCTAAACAGCGCTAGTCTGGTCCCTTTTGGGATCCTGGCTGCGCCAACTTTGGCTTGCATAATGACATGCAATATATGCTTGCACCCAGGGTACTGCCCTTTCGCGCCTGTAAAGAAGCAGTGTCTGTTCGGAGCGCTGATATTCCTTGGATGGCTTGAACAGACACTTGGTTAAATGTCAAACCATCCTCAGATGGAAGGTTCATGGGCCTTTCTGTCGAATTCTGGCTCAAACGTGCCGCAGTCAAAGGCAGCAGGCTTGAGGAAGCCGTGCACCGGGTAGAAGTTCCGCACCACCCAGTTGCGCGCAGCGGTGAACTGCCCACACACACTTTTGATTTATATTGTAAAACAGTGCCCAGAAATATTTCAATATAAAGTTTGCCAGGGGAAATCGTCCCCACATTGACAAGCCATGATTCCCTTACATGTGCCATGCAGTGCAGAGCCACAGATCACTGGCCCGCCAGAAGATGCAGGGATTTTGAATGGGGAATTACGGGTTAGTCGTGGTGAGTAATGACGAGGGGGTTACGGACTCACCCAGGGGTTACGGATCTGCAGCATGGCGCCCATCATGTGAGACTTGGCCGTTACGGGCATCGCCCGCGCCACTCTCTCGCTCTCGTACCCGCGCAGCGCTGCAGCTATTGCCCCGGCCGGCGCCGCCGTACCGCCGGCCGCTGCTATTGCTTTGGCCAGCATCACACCGTCCTGTGAGCGGATTCAGCAGCTTGTGAGGGTGCTGATCTGGGATCTACACTTCAAGTCAACCAGCTTCACTTGGTGATGACTTGATAAAATCACAGACAAAATGACAAAGCTGATCTGTACACGAAATGGCAAGTGCTTCTGCTCTATGGGGTGTCAAGCAAAACTATGATCCTCACTTCTGACACTCTCTAAATACGTGCTCTGGACTGAGTCCTTGTCAACGTGCACGGGCCCTTTGTGACACACGTCTAGCAGGGAAAAGCATATACATGATGCATTCAGTATCCTTCTCTGTTTGGTGAAGCAAGACAGAAGGGTGCAGGAGTGCCCACCTCGAGTGCGATGCAGCCGCCCTGGCCGAGGCTGGGGGTCATGGGGTGCAGCGCGTCCCCCGCCACAGTGATACACCCCTGGCCCAAGATTGTCCCATTTTTCAGCCACCGGTCCACGATGCGCGAGCGGCTGATATTGTCCGCTGGCGTGTGGCGAATCGCGTCCTCGATGTGCGCGCAGAAACCGGCCACACTCGCCAGAGCATCCGCCTTTCGCCAGAGAGTCTTGTGTGAAGAAAGTAGTATACTACTTCTATTATTGGCACAATCACTTATCAAGGCTACCTTTCACTGGTGGCGCTGAAGCCATTGAAGAGGCTACACATAAAATTGTCAAGGAGGGGACATGCTTGGATGAGTGCACTTGGGGTCACGCCAGCTCAATGACGCTTATTGTGTGCCCACAGCAGTGTTGATGTTGCATGCTCTGAGATCCCATCTCCTTTTGTAAGATGTCAACACTACTGGCCGGAATGAATCTATGTCCAAGCAGCGGTTACGATAATGAAAGCTAGGCCAAAGCTGGTTCCTTGCCAGGCGTCAAGCACTTGGAGGGGGATTAGTCATGCCTGGCGCTTCTCTGGTGTCTCCATCTTGGCTTGCTCGGGGCATGCGAGTGTGGTGAACCAGAAGCACTCGGTGGCTGAGATTGTTGAGATTCCCACTCTGACGCCGCGCTGGCTCCATATCATGCGCAGCGTGCCGGGCGGCTCTGGAACGCCCCCCGGGAACGTGGCCACCCCCCTGCGGATGCCACATCAGCGCCAGGTGTCACGCACACTCTCTTGTACTTTCATTACTTTTACAAGTTTTTTCGGCCAAGAGGCGAGGTGCGTCTGCAGACGAGCTGCAGTCAAGGCTGCCAGGTATCCTACTCTCTAATGGGTTCGGAAAGCAAGACCCAATCATTTGTGGGCACGGTGCTCAGTATTTATAGCGCCCCCGGCCAGCCGGGGGTACTCTCCTACGCTATTGTAAGAAAACAGTCAATTTTTTTCTCACATTCTCACACTTCACACTGTCTGAGGGATTGTATCACGTTCTACTATAAAGATGATGGCTTTATATCGTGGGATGCTGCTCTCAAAAAGCGAGCAAAGGCACTGGCACCCAACATGAAGCATGTGGATGCGCAATATGTCTGGACAATACTATCATTAGCCGGATTGTCCATGTCTTTAGCTGCTTTATCACAAGAGTCCTGCACCCTGCCTGTCTCAAAAGGCTGGACCTCCAGTTCTCATCAAAACATGAAGTCCATGCATGCAGGACAGCAGAGATTGTAGTGAGCAGTCCCACCTGTAGTAGACTTCTCCTGCGTAGGTGGCAGGCTTCATTCCCAGCTTGGCAGCAATGCGGCTCTTGACGCCGTCTGCGCCAATCACAGCCTTACAGCGCAGCCGCTCGCCGGTGGCCAACTGCACCTCAGCACCTGTCATATATTTTTCAAATTTTTAGGGTTCAGGGTTTAGCTAAGCCCCAAAAGCAAAGCGAGTTAATCGCTTGACTTAAGAGCATGCTGCCCTAGCATGCTGTGATCTGGGACAATGTAGATCCACAATCACTTGGTGCACTCTGAAGCCAGAGTCTGAGCATATCTTTGTCTGGTTTCATGCTGAGTTCTCGGCATTTGGTTAATGACTGCAGAAGGCATGAAAGCACTCGTTATGCACCTCAAAGTTTGTTGACACCTCACCGGACCCAGCACAAGCCAGAGGCCATATGGCATGCACACATGGCGTCTGCAGCCACATCCGGAAGGCCTGAATAATATGCAGCCTAGTCTGCATGTTGCCTCATGTTAATTGTCATTGCAGCAGTCAGCAGATGCTCACCGGTGTCTACAGTCTGCGCGCTTGGACTTCTTCTTGCTCTTGCAAGCCTCAGGTTCTGAACTCACAAAACTGCATCTCACTAAGTTTAAATGCATTCTTGAGCTCACCTGTGTCTGTAGCATGCACGTCTGCGATGGTGACGCCGTAGTGTGTGGCGCCGTCCGGCACCGCGGTCCGTAGTGCGGCCAGGAGGGAGTTGCGTCGAACGATGCGCGCGTCATGGGGCGATCCCTCGCACTCGTCCAGCCCGAAGCTGCGCAGAAGCTGCCCGTCCCAGTTCACTATCTCCACCCTGTTCGAACTCAAAACACTCATATGAACAGCCTTGTTGGCTGGCTGGCAATGATGTAAAGCATCCTCTCTCTCATGTCCTCTGATGCACATGCCATCTTCTGCCCTGCTCAAATGCCTAACCAAGGCTATCTAGGGAAACTTCAATGCACCGCAGCTGCTGACAGAAGGGCGCAAATGTGCGACTCTGGACTTGGGATTTTGTCAGCATGCCTTGTGCATGCGTACAATAATGCCAGCTCAGCATCACATGACGCGCCAGGTCACTGCCAGCTCAGAATACTTCCCCAACCCCCAACTAAGCTATCGCCTGGGGGTCATTAAGATTCCATGACACACTTCGTACTTCTCAACGCATGTCATGCGCATACCAACAACATTGCCAATCACCACCAGGTCAGCGCCAGGTCATTGCCAGGTCAGCAACCACCTTTTCAGCAGCGGGTGTATATCCCTGACAGGCCCGGCAACCCGAACAGCATCAAGCATGGCAGTGATATGAAAGTACTGTACCTTTTCACCAGCGGGTGAGTCTCCCTGACTGGTGCTGCGACCCCCAGAGCGTCCAGAACACGAAATGCGTTGGGCCAGAAAGTAATTGCGCTGCCCTCCTCGCGCGGGCCCCCCTCCCTCTCCAGCACCACCGCCCGGACCCCCACCTGCAGCGGTGGCAGCACTTCTAAATAACGGGGGAACCCACACTTTCAGCTGTGTCAGCTGCTACTCTCAGAGGCCTCTACCGATGAGCATGCCCTGAGTTGCAGAAAAGCTTCCTCATGTTTCTAAAGCACAGCTGTGCTGGCCAATTGCTGCCTCTGCCAATATTGAAGCAATAAGAGAACTGCGTGCTGTCCTCTTGACCTTGCGTGGCAGAGAATGCTAGGCATTTCAGGCACACCGACATCCCTATGAGAATAACAATCACTTCATACTTCAGTTCCTGAAACTTGCACCTTTGAATGCCCGTGAGAAAAGGTGCAACAAGAGTTGGCAGTACAGAGGCAAGAATTATAATAATAATTATTATTATTATTATTATTATTATTATTATTATTATTATTATTATTATTATTATTATTATTATTATTATTATTATTATTATTATTATTATTATTATTACATGCCTAGCCAAGCCACAAATGGCTTAGGTGCGTCGCAGCAGCGTTTCTATGACAGCCTTCCAGCTCGGCCTATCTTGGCACATTAGGCACCAGAGGCAAGAGTAATGGTAGTGATACCTTGTGCAGGGAGGCCGCTGCGGACAGGCCGGCGATGCCAGCTCCCACCACTATGACGGCGTTGTCTGTCCTCCCAAAGCGCGCAGACACTGCAGCCCATCATAGGGGATCAGCTTTATATACACAGCTTCCACTGGGACACAGTACTACCAAAGATACCACCATGCAACAGGTCTAGATATAATACAACAGCAGCACCTCATGCTGCGCATTCGTCTTGCCATGCAAAAACGAAGCGCCCCGCTCTGGCAGAGGTTTAGTCTCTGACCAAGTGAATTCTGAACTTCAAAGTAGTGCCCTTGCAAGGAGTCCTTGCCAAGAACCGCCTTCAAGCATACCGGCTTTGCATGTCATGTGATAGCATGCCCCTCTTGAAATCATGTGAGGCCTCAACAACCAGAGGGATATACCATGTCATTATCATTGTCATCGCACGCTTTCCTGCCAAGGTGCAAGGTGCATCCCGCAGACAAGTGGCAGTGAAAAGGTGCCAGTTTCTACCCATTGCTGGACTTGCCACTTCCAAGCAAGACCCAAACAACCGTGGGCACGGTGCTCAGTAGCTCTTTTTCACCCCCCCCGCCAACGCCCCCCGCTACCCAGGAATTTATACCATCGTAGATGGGTGAAGTACAAGGGACATTCTTGCAAATCACCAGTGTGAATGACTATTACCTGCGGGTGTCTGGCCTGCCTGTACAGCAACAGCGACGCCGGCCGATGCACCCTTGCACTTGACAGTGTCTGCTGTGGAGCCGCGAAATTGCTCCTCTGAAGCAGAGTCATACAGGGGCCCATCACCGACTGCCTGCTTTAGCGCCCTAGCCTTTGGCCCATAACTCGCTCCTGCAAGCAAAGCCTTGTCTCAGTGTAAGAATTGGACTATTGGGGAATGTAAGAATATATGAAAGACACCTTGTCGAAACATAAGCGCGATTGAGAATAGTTCAACATATAGTAGGGCAGTGCAAGCTTTAAGAAAAGGAAAAGGGCTGCCTTGCGGTGTGATCACATGGCATCGGCCAAAAGAATGTTGTCTATGGGAGCAGGAGGACTGATGATGTCATTGCTTACATGAACCCAGGTGCGGCTGCGGGGAAAATGTTTGGGGGCAAGGAAAGCTCATGGTGAGTGTCTGAAAATGCAAGATTGCAGCATGTCAGTTGGCCAGATTACATCGCTTTTCCAGCCACCTTAGGGGGAATTCAACATGCAGTTCTGATTCTCAAGGTTAGCGTCAAGCATGGGATTCAAAGACTCAGAGTTATTGACAAGGAAGGAAGGATTAAAAGCTCACCAAGGAGGGTCATGGCAGAGAAGAGGCACAGGGCGAGGCCGGCCCAGAGCAGCAGGGCTAGCAGGGCGTCGTTTTCATCCACTGCATGAGCCAGCAGCACGACAGCTGCCAGGCTGGTGGTGGAAGCTGCCAGGGAAGCAGAGCGCCGGCTTAGCAATAGCATAGTTCCTGCGCATGTGCCAATCTTTATGTCAAGACCTCTGGCTAAAAGCAGCTTTGCTTGGAGGGCCTTGCTTCATGATCAGTCGAGCCGTTCTTGCTGCCCTGTGATGAGGGCGAATTGGGCTGCATTCCATATAAGATGCTGCTTTGCTGCTCCCTGGAGTGAGCGACTGGTACGTTAAAGTCAAGCATCGGCAAGGCTGTGTAACAGCTACTGTATCGAAACCTTCCACGCCTTAAAATCAAGACAGTTACTACAATAAAGTGCATTTTATCTGCTAGCACTGAAGATTACTGGACTTTGCTGTGTGCCTGTCTCTGGACTGGGCGACTCGAACCTCGGATGAGCAGCTGCGGAAGGCAAGTCGCAGAAAGATAAATATAGGACAATTCAGCTGCTTGAGGATAGGTTCAATATCATATGCAACCTGCTGCTTTGCTCACAGATTACGAGGGCACGTCTACCGCTCAAAAGAGATACCGGTTGCGAACGAGCCTTTGCCAGCTGCAAGCTTTGCAGAGTCTGGTCACAGGGCCGCGCACGACAATATTGTGTGTATCACGCTTTGCTATGCCCGAAGTCGACCATGCAATTGAGGTACGTGTCCCCAGAACTTGTCTGCCTCGGAAATACGGCAGTCTCTGCACAGGCTTGCGATCGCTCACCGTCACGGACTGGTCGTGTTTGATCGCGCAGCCAGGTGACCACAACGCTGCAACACATGATTATCCCGGATAACATCTATATATATATTATGATTACGGCGCAATGCAAGAATTCTTGGACTGCAATGCATGGCCGAGCGGCAGCTTCGCTTTCGCCTGACATTCCTCGGATGACATCAGCACGACCGACTCAACTGCCCACATGTCTTGCTGGCTTGCAGCATAATAATATAACAATGCAGCATGCACCTGTAAATGCACTGCTGATGGATACAGTTTGTTTTCTTCTGCAAAAGACCCGCCAGACATATGACTTTACAGAACGCTTTCCATTTGCGTGCTAATACGTTTACAAAAAGAACACAAGCCTGGGTTCAGACTGCGCATTGTTCATGAACATACATTATTATATCAATTCTGATATCATGCCCCACCGCTCCGGCAATCTCCAGGAGACAAAGAAGAGAATCGGGTAAAGAACCACTTTGAACACTGTGCTAGGGCTTGCATCACACGCGATACCCAGCCACCGCTCTCAAGACACAGCAAGAGCAGAACACGCAGGAAATGCCAGAATGATAGTGCAGAATGATAGTACAGAAGCCACAGCCGGCCTGCTTCCTATCTACCAATATTTCAACCAAACAAGAGCACATTAATGGAGCCAAACACACCGCTCAGAGAGGCTCTCATGAGTCATCATATTGCTCATGGCAAGGCTTCTGAAATAGAAGACTGTCTGATATCTCTTCACTCATCTGCAAGGATATCATGATGCTCTAATTGCAGCACGTCACGTCTAATTGCAGACGGTCTGAGCCAGCAGATCTTGAAAACACCTCCTGTCAATTCCAGGGAGAGACAACTGCCGATTGTAGAAAACACATGATGTCTTCATGTTCTCGTCCTCTCAGCTCTGAACCCAAGGTTCAAAACAGGCTGCATATCACAGCCAAGATGGCTGTTGGGTATTGTGAGGGCAATGTCCAAACATAAAATAATGTATCCCTTCACCATGAAATCGCATCTGGTCAGAGGTATCCTGCCATCATCCTGGAACTTGTGTCAGGTCTCAACAAGCAGAGATACAGCTGGAATACCATTTTGAATACACCTTTTTAGATAGCCTGCAGGTTTCTGCAAATTTGCAGAGGGATGACAGCATCCCTAAACTTCCTCTGCAGCTAATCAAATGCACACTTGTTGTACACAGCATCCAAGTGCTGTTTGTGCGTTTGAAATGTGCCCGTGTGTTTTGAATGTGAATCTGCTTCTTGCTCATTCTGTCCCCGATCGGATTGACAAAACCAAACAGCACCAAATGCCAAGCTGGTGGGGAAATGGCCCCCAGCTGCGAAGACTCCACATGATTTCAAGGCAAATGCGCCAAGGTGAGGGGATATGATGAGCAAGTAGTCAGCAGAACAATGTATTATTGCTCCAGCAATCGCCCCTAATGGACAAACGGCTCGACCAATATTGTCTTGAATGCCTCAGTTCAAGCGCGCAGGGGCACCCGACGGCGTTTCATTTCATGGCTGCCAACTCAGCCAGAGTACTCACCTCTTTCGTTGCTTCCTGACTCTTTCGATGACCTACGCAATATCTGTGGTTTTCAGACTGCAGGGCCGGTTTGGTCGCCGCAGAAGGGCGCCCCAAAAACGGTCTGCTCGTTTTACCAATCGCCCTTGTCTCTGACGGTGACTTCCCTTGGCCAGTTCTGGCCGCGCTGAGTAATCCCCTTAAGCAGCCCGGAGCTCAGGCTCTGGCCGTTATTGGAGGAAGCTTGCTCCGGAATATCCGGGCGGCTTCCTGCTTCTGCCTCTGCCGAGCCCGGCTGCTCTGTTATTGCATCGGTTGCTGCAGCATCGAGTGCTGCGCTGGCGTCGTGCTTTGCCTCCAGTGTGCCGCAGTCAAAGGCGGCAGGCTTGAGGAAGCTGTGCACCGGGTAGAAGTTGCGCACCACCCAGTTGCGCACAAAAGTGAACTGCAGTGCATGCCACACCAAATTCTCACTTGACAGACACTTGGACTTGAGCTTGCCAACTTGTTGCAGGCGTTGAAAGTCAGGGGCAACAATTGCAATGATAGAACATCCATATCCAATATATTGGGGTCAACATCTATTGCCTGTATCCTCATTGGGTCTGGTTGCTAGAGCTTTCAGAAGTGCCCATCATTGCACAGATGCGTTCACAGGAGAGAGGGGACAGTGGCAAACAAGCTCCAAGACTGAGAGCACAAAGGCAAGCTCCATCTACTTAGCGTCATTGCTACCAAAGGGTGGAACTTTGCCAGGATCCGTTCAGTCGTGAACCGAAATTTGGAAGGATCACCTCTACCTGCCGTAATCTTTGTGAGGTAATTTATTGAAGTTCTGTTTACCCCAAACGATTTCTCAGCTTATCGCTTTGCAGAAGTAGAAGGGGGACAGCATGTGCTATTAAATTAAGTCAATGATAGTTGCACTCCCGGTGGATGACTCACCCACGGGTTACGGATCTGCAGCATGGCGCCCATGACATGGGACTTGACCGTAACGGGCATCGCACGCGCCACCCTCTCCCGCTCGTACCCGCGCAGCGCCGCAGCTACTTGCTTAGCCGGAGCCGCCGCGCCACCGACCGCTGCTATCGCTTTGGCCAGCATCACGCCGTCCTGCACGTTGGAAATTCATCATCAGATCATCAACCTTGAGATGAGCTCCTGACAAAGAAGTACTGCATGTGACAAAAAATTCAGCATGACAGCTAGCCTTCTGTGGCAGAGCCTGCGCCTGGACTTGCCCAGAGTGCACTGCTCCTCAATCTGAACGATGCACAGGTGCCGAGAATGGCAAAGGGTGTCTGCATGCAAGCAGCACACGGCTCTCTATTGCTGGAGCTCTGAAGACATTTGAAGCATGCAACAGCAGACAAATACGCATGTCCAACGGCCCCTTTCGTATCCCTTCAGTTTGGCTGGAACAAGTTTCGTGAAATGGGAGCACCTAGAGGTGCAGGTGTGTTGTGTCTACCTCGAGTGCGATGCAGCCGCCCTGGCCGAGGCTGGGGGTCATGGGGTGCAGCGCGTCTCCCGCCACGGTGATACACCCCTGGCCGACAGTGCAATCCGCGCGCAGCCACCGGTCCACGATGCGCGAGCGGCTGATCTTCTCCGCCGGAGTGTGGCGGATGGCGTCCTCGATGTGCGCGCAGAAGCCAGCCACACTCGCCAGAGCATCTGCCTGCCGCCAGCGCTTCTTTGTTACCAGTATTGTTACTAATATTACTGATATCACTATTTTTTAGTTAGGATTTGGGCCGGCAAAGCGCAGAAGCCGGCCGCGCTCGACAGAGCGTCCGCCTGCCGCCAGTGCTTACTGTTACTAGTACTAGTACTATTACTAACATTACTGATATCACTATTGTTGTTATTATTGGCCGACCGGTGAACCAAAAGCCAGTGTCCTATGGGCGTCTGCAGCCAGTTTGAATGCTTTTTACTGGAAGCCAATGCTGCTGCAAAGCTTTCCTTGCCTGATTTGACTGCAGCGACAAACAAGCCTATATACAGATTAAATTCATAGAAGCATCCCTCCATTGTCTCTAGAAGCAATGCTTTCTTTTCAGAGCCTGTGACTGAGCCTGGTTTCAGTGACTGTGAGGTCAATGTTCCGCAAAAAGAGACAGAGATCTTGCCTGGCGCTTCTCTGGAGTCTCCATCTTGGCTTGCTCGGGGCATGCGAGTGTGGTGAACCAGAAGCACTCGGTGGCTGAGATTGTTGAGATTCCCACTCTCACGCCGCGCTGGCTCCATATCATGCGCAGCGTGCCAGGAGGCTCAGGAACGCCCTCTGGGAACGTGGCCACCCCCCTGCAAATGCCACCATTATCTCATTCAGCTCAAATCAAAATTCAAGTGCACAGTCTGCACATGGTTCAGAATTTCACCGTGCAGTCCACAGATGGACAAGGCGTTGGGTAATTGATTGCAAGCAACCATACCCCCCAGTATGCATGACCGTCAAATTTCGAAAGATGTCAAGCGTGAGAAAGCATGAAGCATGACATGTGCCCAAGAGCAAGCAAGCAAGGTACCCACCTGTAGTACACCTCTCCTGCATAGGTGGCAGGTTTGAGTCCCAGTTTGGCAGCGATGCGGCTCTTGACCCCGTCTGCACCCACCACTGCCTTGCACCGCAGCCGCTCGCCGGTAGCCAACTCCACCTCAGCACCTGGCCACGCCAGCGAGACAGTGTCATTTATTCACCTAATGTGCCCGGTCTCCTTTCATGCCAAAAAATCTGGCTCATGCATGCTAAGAACCTGCACTTTGATGCCGTGCTGCGTACATCTGTGGTGCAATGCCCACACGCTTCATAGTCTGTTCATGTTGCCTCTTGCAAATGACATCAGATGAATCCCCAGAGAGTGCAAGACATCCTAGACGCTGCAAGAACCCAATAGAAGGGAAGGCTGCCTCTTGGTTCAGACACAATGTGTGCAACAGAAAAGGGGGTTTGCATGTCGGTGGCTCACCGGTCTCTGTGGCATGCACGTCTGCGATGGTGACACCGTAATGGGTGGCGCCGTCCGGAACCGCGGTCCGTAGTGCTGCCAGGAGGGAGTTGCGTCGAACGATGCGCGCGTCATGGGGCGATCCCTCGCACTCGTCCAGCCCGAAGCTGCGCAGAACCTGCCCGTCCCAATTCACTATCTCCACCCTGCAGCCCCAAAACACCCCACTCAGACCAATTTAATTCCCTGAAGGATGCCCTGCACATGGGAGCTATTTCTAGCCTCCTATGAGTACGTGATGGCCATGCACTCTATGGCAGCTAGATGAAATGGTGTATTTTCTTTTATCCGGTAAATCCCCGTTGAGGTCAATAACAGCCTACTTTTCAATCCAGCGAAACACAATAAGATGAAAGAGCACTTGAGCTGCTTCAATACTCTCAGGTATGCCCAAATTGAGATTGTAATACATCCAAACAGGCAAAATAATATTATTGGCGCCATGTCACTGGCATGCCAGCATGACATCAGCATCATGTCAGCACGGTGTCATTGCCAGGTCAAGCCACATCGGCACCAGGGCAGCATAAGGTCCGCACTCACCTGCGCACCAGCGGATGGCTCTCCCTGACTGGTGCTGCAACACCCAGAGCATCCAGGACTCTGAATGCATTGGGCCAAAAGGTGATTGCGCTGCCCTCCTCGCGCGGGCCCCCCTCCCTCTCCAGCACCACCGCCCGGACCCCCACCTGTAGCGGTGGCAGCATTTTCAGATTGTGGGGGGCATTCCAGCGCCTTCATATGCTGTGAGCTCTGCTTGACGTTCTTTAAAGCTTGCAGAAACAATCCCCCGCAGCAGACGTAAAGGTAGTGGGCCGGCAGTGTAAAATGTGAAGCAACGTGCAGCAAGGAATGAGTGCATGCAGCGAAGAGGAGAAAGCATTTCCAGGCAGATGATGTTCATCGAGTACAGGAAGGTCTAAAGAGGTGGTGGCACAGGATATGGGCAACTTTTCACCTTGTGCAGGGATGCGGCTGCAGATAGGCCGGCAATGCCGGCGCCAACAATGATCACTGCATCCTCCGTGCATCCAAAACGCGCAGAGACTGCATATCAGAACAGGACGATCAGCCATGCACACAGCAGGCAAGAGGGTGTTCAGGAGCAAGAATACCGTATTCCTGATCCCCGCTTTTGAATACTCCGCCGGGTTTCGATTTGATTGCACATGTACACAAGAAGCAGCCTCTTGGGGACTGGGTTGAGCATGTGCGCATATGTCCTGATCCTTTGCTAGTGCTCTGCCAGTGCTACAACGCTGCCAGTGCTCAGATGGAGGCAAGCAAGATGATAGACTATGCATGCCTACCAAAGGCAAACATGCGTCTGGGCGGCAGGTTGAATTGACACCCACCCTCTGAAGCGGGCTGCGGAGCCTGCATGGCCTTGATTGATGGCGGCTGTGCTGAAAACTCTCCTTTGGCACTGAAGGCTGTTCTCTCTTGTGTCTCTGCCTCGTAAGCCGAGTCATATGTCATCAGGTTGATCGCCCTCTGCATGCGCGCTTTGGAGCGCGGCGCAAATTTGCTGCCTGCAGAAATTGATCGACACCACCTCAGCCACATAACAAAGTCTACAAAGCTACAGAAGATGCCTGGCAAAGAACTAACAGCAGTCAAGAACATGTGGAGAAAATGCGATGTTCCCTCCATGCTGGGTTTTTGAACATGAGACATGTTTGAATTCGGTGGATGAGGAGGGGATGTTGGGGGGCTGCGCACCAAAGACAGGAAGGGCGAAAGCCACACAGAGGGCGAGGCCTGCCCACAGGAGAGCCATGGGAAGGGCACTGCCAGAGTCCATCAGGCGCGCTAGCCAAAGTGACGCTGCCATGCTGGCAACGCATGCAGCCACCACAGAGAACGCCTGCGCCTGGCGGCTGATCGTCAGCATGGCTCCTGCAGCAACAGAAATTACTCTCAGGAGGGCCGATGAAGGCTGACAGGATTTGTGGTTCCTGACCTTCCTAGATTTTGCTCTGATCAGGCGATCAGGGGTTTGTGCAAGGCGCACCTTGGAGGTGCGATCAGATTAAAGTGCACTGAGTACCAAATTTATTGTAATAAATAATGATGATCATGAGAATACCGACACCCTCATCAACTGTACCGCTGCCATGCATTGAGGACGACACATATCAACTTGTCAACGAGGCGACAATGATCTCTGCAAAGATCGTGCGCAACTTATTCAGATGTGCCAAGAACTTTCTATGGCAAAGAAAGTTTGACAGGAAATTTCCCGAGCCCTTTGCCCGTTCCTTATCATCCAAGGTTCGGGCTCCGGCTTGACACGTTTTTTGAAATTAGTGAGGGACCTTCGCCTCAGACAGGAAGCACTGAGCTCAATCGAAAGCACCCTAGATGAGACATATGAATCAGATTTGGACAATGGCAAATATTGGGCACAACATGAGGAAAAGGAGGGAAGCCGACAAAGCCCTTGACTTGGCCGCACTACCGGTGCTTGCTACGGCAATGAGGATGAGCAGATGCGCGTACCAAGTTCAAATGTTGGCAGCAAAAGAGCGCCTCCTCCCTCTGTCTGCTGCCTGTGTACGGGCTTACGTGCACGTCAGCTAAACCTCAATGCCCTCCGCGCATCGGCGGCAACGCGTCCCCCAGACGTTAAAATCAGACGATCCCCAACCGATGGTCTGCGGAAGACTGCCTACTCTTATATCAGCCCCCCGATCGGCACCATTTCCTCTTTGCAACTTTAGGGTGGAGTTGGAGATCCTTATAGATAATCCCCTGCCCTCTCGGCGCGAATTCGAGGTTTTGTACCGACACGTGTACCAGATGCGGCTTGCGACCTATCGCTGAATAGCCTGTGCTCCAATGTTTTGATGGTGGGGGCTCGTTTGAAAATCAGACGACAAAAATCGCAGTGGGCACTTGTCATTTCTGCACCACTGCCGTCGATATTGGCCCTTTTCCTGGAAGCAACGTGCAAACCTGAACGCGCAGGACACTTTGGAAAATTGTGTTCAGTATTCGAAGTGCATACATTGCTCCTCGTCAATCTTTTCTTTTTTATCAACGTCTGTGTGATCTTCTGGATCATCAGCTTGTGGCAGCGGAATACATGGGTGAGAGGGTTTGCCTTGATCAGCGCTGATCTACTCGTGCTTCCACGTTTCTTCGGGTCTCTCCTATGCTGAAGAGTGTTTACAAATTATTAAAGTATGGATTTCCTTGTGTTCTGCAGCTGATCGACCCGTATTGGACAGTGGCTCCAGTGCTCATCGGGCACTTTTACAGACTGCACAGCGACAAGACTTCTTTAGATAATGCACGTCAATCGGTGTGCCTTGGACTTCTGTGGATATGGAGCCTCCGCCTTACGCACTCCTACCTACGAAGGTAACCGCTCTGCTGCAGCCCTTCTCCATCAGGCAGTAGAGCAAAACTGCGTGAGTCCATGCTGGTGCATGGTGCATGGTGCATAGCTGGCTGCTGAAACTCAACGTCAGAGATGCGATCCTGAAACAATGATGGAAAGGGACACCTAAGGGGCAAAAGGTACAAAACATTCAGATCTGGATCTTCAGCTCCCACAGCAGCCAAGAGAACTGGCTCTGCAGGGAGAAGTGGGAGATCGGGGCGAGGGAAGACTGGCGCTATGCAGACATGCGCGCTCGCTATGGCAAGCACTGGTGGTGGATCTCCTTCTTTGCAGTCTACGTGGTGCAGCACGCCATGCTGGTGGGAATCAGCCTGCCTCTGTACAGCGTGCATGCATCAAAGCAGCCCTGGAACGCCCTCTGGGACAGCGTCGCGTGTGCCGGCTGCCTCCTAGGTGCGCCCCTTGTAGTGAGCCTAACTAGTATTGAGCGGAAACCTGACAGATCATGTGAGAAACATCCTTGGCTCTGCATGAAGACTAATGCACCCTGCACCTTGGACAAATGACTGTTCGCAAACATGCTCAGGCTCTCAGTTTGCTTGTGGTCCTTGCGCAGCTATAGAGATCTGATCAGTCCTTTTTACAAGGTGACAAGGTGAAGAGTAATTAACGGCTTGATATGTGGAAAGCAATTCGTGTAAGCTGGGCATGTGGGTGCAGGTATTGGAGTTGCAGCTGTTGCTGATACGCAGCTGCACAACTTTGTGACAGCCAACGAACAGAGGCGCGCGGCGGGGAAGCTTCCTGTGCTTCTGCTGAATACAGGTGTCAACCTACATTGCACATTCCCTGGTGACCTGTCACGGGGACGCTGCAACCCGCAAACCATTATGTGCACGCATACTTCTATAGGACCGTTCTGTGTTCCAGCAAGTGCTCCTGCCGCAAATGTGAATCCCTGCCTGGTCACCAGTCGTTTTCTTCACTCCCCTCAATCTCCTGCCTGGGAAAACCTGTGCTTTTGATAGGGTTGCAGCGTTCAGCTGTAATTCATGCACAAACCAATGATGATGGGGTGCAGGCCTGTGGCGGTACTCGAGGCACCCAAATTATTTTGGGGAGCAGCTGTGGTGGTGGTCTCTAGGGGTCTTTGCAGTGAATGTGGGGCAGCCCTGGGCCCTGGCCGGCGCTCTGTTCAATTCCCTGTGCATGGTCGGGGTGACTAACCTCACCGAGGCGCGCATGCTTGCCCGGCCGGAACGCGCTGCGCTGTTCAAAGAATACCAAAGGAGGACATCTGTGTGGGTGCCCTGGTTCAAGTCCCAGGAACAGGAGTGATGTGTGTGAGTGTGAGTTTCTCATGCTTTGATGATGCGTTGAGAGTAGAGTGAGAGAGAAAGTATTTTCCAGGTTTTGTTTGATGATGCAGATCATTGTGTCTCCTGTTCCTCAGTACACGAGCTTAAACTTATTGGTAATTTGATTGGCTGCGGGTGCAATCCCCAGAGCTCATGTATCATATGGAAGTCGTGCTGGACTTGATACATGTTATGTGACGGTGTAGACTTAAATCAGCAGATGATGCACATTTATCGACAGCTTCCACCATTTGTGAGATTTTTGATCATTTGAAGAAAGCAACAACGATTACAGAGTCAAAGTCAAATGATGCACCTTGGCAACCTCCAACCTCTCCAACACCTTCAGCTTGCCTTACGATCTGTGCACTCATTCGCAAGTACAACCAGCCTCTGTCATGAAGCCAAGCAGCCTTACGGATCTGCCTTGATCAAAGGAATTTCTCCCAGGCAGTGCGTGTCTCCTCCGGCAACTCCAGCGAAAGCAGATAGTCCTTCAGCTCCAGAAAGGATCGCACCTGTATCCACCCAGCAAACACATATCACTTTCCGCAAGAAGATCATGATAAATTTGGGTCTGCGCTTTGCCGGCAGTCGCCTTGCTGTTGTTTGAGGATAGAACATGAATACTGGACATGCAGGTGCAGAGCCACAGAATCACCAACACCCTCCTGAGATCTTCCTTCCAATACATCTATATCACAAAAAAAAAATCACAGCGGTAATCATTATGGAAATAATGATTACACCTTATTGACCTGTTGGGAGCCACCAGAGGCTCGTGGGGCTCACTGATGGACTCCATCCACAAGAGCCATACTCAGCACAGCAGCACAAGGGTGAAACTTCGGGACCTCACAGGCACAAGGGGGTGGAGTATTGCTTGGCATCTGAACCGCACCCCGATGCTGTAATAGCCCATCCTGTGGGGGCTGGGTGCGAGCCAGTGCTCCTCCACCAGCCGAGGCAGCAGCGCTTCCTTCTCCACCATGCTCAGCTTCAGCTGCTGCGAAGAAGCCTGCACAATTTGCATGCACATTGGTGACATGCACATCTACGTGAAGGGGTATGTCACCCGAATTGCATCAGAGACAATCTTGTGTTGTTGCAGTCAAGTGGGGGAGCCACTTCCAAGACACACTTGCAGATGCAGCTGGGCCAGGCATTGGAGATGCTAGGAGGTCGATGGAATTGTTTGGTAATTGCAGGTACTTTGAGCGGCTGAGAGGATGGTTGGTACCTGGGATCCTCCTTCTGCCTGAGTGGCTTGGAAAGCCTGCGTCTGGGTGAAGTTCAGGTTGCTGGCTTGCACAGCACCCACGGACCCCACGCCATCCTCTGCATCTTGGTCCATAGCAATCGCCTCCAGCTGCACAACAGGGATTCTGGCTCATGGTAAATCCTCACAAACAAAGTAATCTACGATTAAACAAGCACAGATGCCAAATTCAACTCACCGGAATTTAAAGCCATGCACGGAAGGCACGGCACATTGCAGAGCAGGTGGGTGCTGCGCACCACTGTTTTGAGGAATTGGACTTGAGCGAGGCTGAGCGAGGAGCCCAGGGTCTTTGACACCTCGTCTGGCAGTTTGTTGATCACTGCAATGTACCATTTCCCGTCCAGCTGCATAACAAGCACCCCAAGTCAAAGTGCAGTTCTTCTCAGCAGGTCAAGAAATGTTGCTTTAGTGGAAGCATCGCTGCCAAAAGGTCTATGGTCTTACAGGAAAGAGCAGTCTCCCTAGCCTGAAGTTGCAGAACGATATCTCCTTGTCGATTTCGGCCACAAGGTTCAAGTATCCAGTGTCTGCGTCGGAAGTGTAGATGGCGTCAGATCGAACGCCATGATTGAGATCTGAACGATCCGTGTGTAATTATCAATTATTCAGTCAGAGGAACATACGCAACCTCACCATTATTTGTTTGCATCAAGTTTCTGTACAGTTCTTTGGCATGATCTTCCAGCATACAGACTCGCTGCATGAGTGCCTGGGTGAATGTGATTCGTTGGAGGTAATCATGCTTCGCCACCTGCGAACTGGAGGCTTCTGCATGCGAGGCCTTTCTTGCCTTCGCTTTCGACATCGGATGTTTTATTCAAACAGGTGGCTCCACTCGCGTGTTCAAACGGGCGTCAACAACCAAACGCCAGATCTGTAATAATCAACCTTCCTGCCAATTTTGCGCGATTCTTTGAGAGTGCAGCTTTGATGAGGTGTTCAAAGGCTTCCCATGCTGGGCGTGCTGTGCCATTGACGTCACCTGGAGCCAAGTCATGCGGCCATGTGATTGATCATTAGAATTCAGACTGCCTTGACGCGATTGCTGGAGGAGGACTCTTGGTAGTTCAACTGAAGCGTTGTGCGTGATTAGCGCCGATCTGTACGTTTTCCTTTGGGGTAGCACCATATCTGTGCTAGACCTTCAAGCCTCTCACTTTGAGGTCTTTGCGTCTCGTCCTCAGTGAATTGGCCATCTCTTCTCTTTGTTCAGTACTATATTAGAGATGGTTTGATTCTAAGGAAGACGTAGACCTTTGAACCTTGAGAATTTTGGTGAATAGAAATCATTTACGTCAAAGAGTTGTTGATCCGAGACTGGGACAACAGCAATCGTCCCCCAATTCCCTCTATGCTGTTCTCAATTGCGCAAATTTTCTAGGTTATTCTTTGAAAGGACGTCTCTGGCTCAAGGCGCCGATGTGAAAGCCTTGGAGGGCTTGACGGCGCCCACTGATCTTGTTTCAAAGACCTGGGGGATGGCGTCCAAAGGGACGCTATCGAGGCTGTCTTGTTTCGCTGCCGCTTTCAGACAACCATTCGGAATCCGTCTCCCGCCACCAGTTCCGCGCTTCCACGGCAGATCGTACTGTGCACCATGCCCCCTCCCAGCCTGCTCAGCAGCGCTGCAGGTCCCACTGCAGAAGGCGCTGAGGCAGCCTTCAAGACCCGAAATGCAGGTATCTCTCTGTTCCATGTCATCCTAGTCAGCTACTGCGATTGGCACCACTTTTGCCCCCGATCCTTGCAGCAAGATGTCAACATCAATTGGACAAGCTGCTGTCCGCCAAAAGTGCTGGTCGAGCTGACACACACTAGACGACATGTGTTGAGATGTCAAATGGTACCTGCCAGGAACTGGTTCCAGTACCGCCTCTGCCGCTGCCGCCGCCGCTGTTTCGATACGAGTTCAGGGAGCCCCTGAGGGAGGGAATTGTGCAGCAGCGTAAGGGGAGGTTTACACTGGAGGTGCTTGTGGATGGCGAGGTGCTGCTGTGTCACTGCCCCAGCACAGCCCTGCACCCCAACCGAGACCTCCTCAACAGCGGGAAGGCACGCACCCTGCACGCCCCTAAGAGAGGGCCTGGGAAAGTGGCAACTGAGACACAGAATCTAGGTGCTGCCTACCAGCCTGTAGGTATCAATGATGCATGACTGAGACTCCCATGGCCTTGAAAGAGGGCTGAAGAGCAGGACTTGATGAGCTCCCTCAGTGTCGGTTCGCCCTCTCCGTGCGGCAGTCACGCAGTATAAGCAAAGGTGACTTCTATGACGCGTGAGTGAGCTGTGCTTGCATCAGAGCAGAACAGTCTAAACAGCATTCTCCCCAGTCCCCAGAGAGGAGTCTAGTCATGTTGTGCAGCATCAGTGCATGCGTAGAGAACAATTGGAGTGTGATATTCTGTGCAGGTGCCTTGCCTGGTGTCGAGGGTGGATAACACGGTGAAGCGGCACGCCGACAGGCAGCGGCAGACGCAGCACACAGTGGAGGCAATCTCGCTGGATGGCTCACAGTCGTGGATAGGCATCAATCAGGTCATGGTCGCCAGGTGGGGAGCCAGATCTCAACCTTGCCTGCTCCTAGAATTGCACCTCTAGCAACCTTTACTTGCGACTAGAGTGGTCCGCATGAAGGCCCTTGCTTAAAAAATCCCTAGTCTGTACTCTAAATTATCTGTGATTTTGCTGTTGTTCCGAGCTCCCCAGCCCGTCAAATTGCAGCTTGATTTGAGTTTGGGCCGGGCATGTCTCTTCGGCCCCATTTTCTCAGGTGCTCCCCTAGATTGGGCGGACTAACGAGTGTCTGATGAAAAACATGCGAATAAACGAGAATTTGCCAACCCCAGCTGCCAGTGATAGAAGCGTGGGAATTGCTTTGTTGGGGGTCTAGCTGTGCAAGATCAGAACTTGGTGCTGCAATTTGGTGCAGGTACATGGGGCACTTTCTGCAGGCCGGCGGCATGCCCGAGATCTGCAGAGACCCACTAGGCCTGAAGCCAGAGCAGAAGGTGGCTGCCCTCTCTTTTACTCCTTCTTGTCCCTGATGCTCTTCACTGCTGGCCTCTCACCTGGGTTTACGCCTCATATCTACCTTCTGTACACTGTGAATGGCGCGGTCTGACTGGATGCATGATGTGGTGTGCTGTGCCAGGTGGGCAAGTGCCGCATAGACTTTGTGCATCAGGGGCGAGACACCATAGAGCTGAAGATGTTCCCTCCTCAGATCCTGCGCCCGGTCCCCCGCAATATGAAGGCAAGCCACTCTGTATCCCTTTGTCACTCTACGCGTCAACATATCTGCCTCTTTCTCGCTCTTCTGCCAGCTGGTTGCGAGAGGATCACAATGCATTGTGAATCTTGTGCTATTGGGGCCAATCGGTCCATGTCCGCCCTTTCAATGTTTCTTGCTGAGACTCTCACTGATATCCAAACATGCTGATATGCCAAGAACACTAGAAATCAGGCGCAGGACTTGCTGCCGTGCTGGTTGCTCTCAGGGTGCTGTCTCTCATGCTTGAAAGTCTCACACAGCGCCCTGACTCTGAGAGTCAAAATCAGGCATCACATCAGCTATGACTGGGCAGGAAGCAAATTAATTGACTCACTGATTGACTGATGCCTGTGCAGGGCTATGAGGCTCGGAAGTTTACCGAGCGCATCACATCGCAGCTGCACTGCATGGTGGAACACCTGCACGAACAGCGCGCTGCCCGCGGCCTGCTTGACACCGGTAAAGACTGCGAAAAGGTTTCTTTTTTCTTGCCAAGCTGCATGTTAGTGAGATATTCGTATTGTTTTTATTGCATGCCTTTCCTGCCAGAGGCGAGGTGCATCTGCAGACAAGCTGCCATATCCCACCCCTTGATGGACCTGCCAGATCCACACTTCACCCGTGGGAACGGTGCTCAGTATTTTTACCGCCCCTCCGCCAGCCGGGGCCAAGATTAGTGGTCCATGGCAGCCCTTGAGTCCCCCATCAGGCCAGCAGCCACAAGAACAGATGTTATTGTATCTACCAGTGTTGGCCCTTCCTAGCTTATTGACAGGTGCATTGTGACTCATACCTGCATGAACCTCTCCTGGTTGGCCAACACCAGCCACAGCTGCAAAATCGCAGCTGTGGCTGTTGCTTCATGCGCCAATTGAAACCTTTGGGACGCACTTCCGCCATGTATATGACCTGCTGAAGGCTGAGATCGGCTCACTGGCACAGGGACAAAGAGGGTGCGGCAGCAGCTTCCAGAGGACGACAATCCGAGGGCGATGCTGCTGATGTGCTACCAGAACAATGAGCCGCCAGTGAAGGTGCCCAAAGGGGCGCTGGCCAGCGGCAGCCCAGTCATGGCTGCGTTCTCCGCTGCTAGAAAGGCCGGCCTCGAATTCTGGCAGGTGCGGCGGTGCACCCAAACCACTTGCTCTAGGGATTGCATGCTACACAAGCAACCGCATCGCTTGCAAGGAGCACCTCTTGACGTCAGTGTGATGAGTTCTTTGGGTACAAGGGCCACGCTGTCATGGGAGCAGCCGCTCAAGTTGATCTGGCAAGTTCCCAGATCAAGGGACACATGAAGGAGCCTGCCACTGCAGCATTGCGATCAATCCTATTGCACCTGTAGAATACTCTCTCATCCCTAAAAACTGGGACATGTGCAACTCCCCCTGTCTGATAACTTGGTGCCAACACAGGTGAACATGCAGATAGACCCCAGGGGGGTGACCTTGGCCAGTTACGCGCCGCGCAACCTCCTCAAGGGGCGGCCAAAGGCACACATAGCAAAGCTGAGGGGACGCATCTATCTGGAGGAAGCCATGCAGGCTCCGAAAAAGAGCCGCCGGGCAAAAGAAGCAACGCCGGCTGTGCCTGCTCCTGTGGTTGTCCCCGGCGTGGAGGAAGGCGGTGCATTGGCAGAGGAATTGAGAGCGGTGCAGCTGCAGAAGCAGCTGAGAGAAGTTCTGTCGCTGCAAGCCTGGCTGCATCTGAAGTACGGGCCAGAGATGTGGCAGGATGACGCCACCACACTGGCAGCGCGCGTGGCGGCTGCAGAGCGCAGGGTGCAGGAAGTGCGGGGGCAGAGCCCGCAGCAGCGCTTCACATCAAGCCTGAAAGTGCCTGTCATGCTTGCAGAGGGGTTTGGTCGTGCGCCGTTGAGCCGTAACGCGCTCTTGTGCGCTGGGCTTGTGGCAGACGGCAGGGCGCAGAAAGCAAAGCAACCACACAGCGCCCTTCGATAGCAGGGGCTGTCATGTGTGACAGTGTAGAAGACTAGAAATAGGGACAATTTGGCACCGGATGACCATTTTGGGCCTGAGCACCAGGAATCTAGGCCGATCTGAGACAGACTGTCTCCTTGATGCTTATGCAAGCAAGGCTATGGCTGTTTTTGCTGTGGGCTGCTCTGCGGGTTTCATGCTCCTTATCACAGTCTGTACAGTAAGGCATGCAGGTAATTTGCTGTGTGACTAGCATGAACACGGGCAGCATTTGTTGGTCCCTTTATCCAGTGTGGGCGAAGCACACCAGTGTGGGCACTGCTGAACTGATGCGACATTTGTATTACTGCCATGCGCAAGGGAGAACGGGCTGGAGGGTCTGACCTGGACTAGATCAGGCAATGCTACACTGACCTTGAGTGCACATTATTAATCTATGCAGGATTGAGGGAAAATCCCGCCCACCAACATAGCGTCATGCACGGTGCTCTCAGCATGCATTCACACAGAAGCAACAATGACATTCAATGTTGGCATTGTATAGATCGTCGTCGCAAAAAAACAGTTTCAAGGCAGGAAGATGGGCCCAGGAATCTCAGAAGGCATGATCCGGAAGAGCCCTGTTTGCAAAAAAATTTGCAAGATCGAAAAAAGTTGTCGAAGCAGGGAATCGAGCCCTGGTCTCCACGGCCACAACGTGGTGTACTAACCACTATACGACATCGACGCCTGGGAGGGCCCGCTGCAATGGTTTTACCCAATGCCGAGATGTCAACAGTGGATTATTTGCAACCTATATACCGCTTCATCCCCATTCCCAGCAACACTAGAACTTGTTCTGAGAGCCCCAGCGACAATAGAAACTATTTATCGAAGGAAGTGAATTGAGCCAGGGGACACCGTGCAGCACTGGGCGAAGGGTGGGAATTTTCGGTGGAAGGCCCTGGAAAACAGGATGAACGATCTGTGAAATAGAGACCTACTGGGTGAAGAGGTCTCAGCGTAATCCATCACTGGTCAGGATGCTGAGTGCTGTTCAGTTTGTGGACAAGGAACTTGCCAATCGATCGTTGGTAGAGGAGAAGAAAGCCAAGAAGAAGGAGAAGAAAAAGGAAAAGAAGGTCAGGGTCGCTCCACTTTACTGCTGCAAATTCCAATCGAGCATGACTTTTGATGCAAATTGTCCTGTTTGTAGCATATTTTGATGCCGGCATTAACTGCCTGATCTGACCTACAATGCAGAACTGTTCTGGCACGCTTGCAGTCTGGCTGGTCCAGCGCATTGCGCTCATGATCCGATTTTCATGCTGACTGGTATCACTGCTCTGTCCTTACCTCATGTCTGCTGTTACGCACAGGAGAAGAAGAGGCTGCAGAGGCAGCAGCGCAGAGCTGCAAGAGGACAGGGTGACGATCCAGGTATGTGGCTTCCAGGGCCTCTTAATCGAAGATAGATTGTCTTATCAAGTACTTGCTACGCTCTTCAGCCTCCACTGTCTATTTCTGTCTATGCAGCATGCGTGTCATTGACACTTCTGCAGCTGCATGCAGCTTCCAGGCTAGGTGCCCCAGAACATTCCTCCCTGCCTGCACCCAACTCCTCGCTCAGCCAGTGCTGGACTGCAGGTCATGACTCGGTGTCTGGCTCGGACAGCGATGCTGCCATCCAGCGAAGGGGTGACGGCTCACCTTCGGGGCAAGTTCAGACAGACAGCAGACCCCTCCCAGAGGATGGGTCAGCTGTGGCAGCTGCAGGGGAGGCGGCAGCAGCTGTGGCAAGGGAGGACTGGATGACTACGGCGATGCCGCGGGCCAAAGCAGAAGCCACCGAGGTTGACCAGGCGGCAGAAGCAACCCCAGAGCAGCCCAAGAAGGTATTCACTGTTGCCTTTGCATTGATGTGACTTTGGAGTAAGTCGGTGATGCGTGCCTGCTTTAGTACCATGCTATGGCAGGAGCACAGAGTATGCTGTGCTGTACATTTCAGGATGGTGAGTGGAGGCGTCCAGCTTCTTAGCTGAAGCAAGCACATTGATATTGGGTGCCATCTCATTTCGCCCAATCAGGAACACCATTGTCTGCAACACTGAGCAGTTGCAGAGCTCATGTGCACCGGTTTGATATGCATTGACAAAGGGGTCATCTGTATTCACTTATAAAATCTTGTGCACCGGCTGGCCGGGGGCGGAAATTCTGAGCACCGTGCCCACGGTGGATTGGGTCTTGCTTGGATCTGGTGAGTCCAACAAGGGGTACGATTGTGGCAGCCTTTGAGTTCAGCGTGTCTGCAGGACGTACTTTGCCTCTTGGCAGGAAATGCGCGGAATAATAATTATAATGATAAAATCTCGTGACTTGAAAAATATCCGTTCATCACAGGCAAAGGAGCTGAATGTCTACTGGAAGGATGGAGGGGACGGCGTCCCAGACAAGCCCGCCAGAGAGCCGTCCAAATCTGGCATCATCCCCACGGCCAAAGCAGGCGACGGCGGCGCCAGCTGGCGGCTCAAGGCGCTGAAACGCGCACAGACGGCCGCGGCCGAGGAGGGCCGCTCGGTGAACGAGATCGTCTCCGAGCGCTTCAGCTCTCTCAAGGACCTCACCGCCAGCCTCACCGAGCAGCGCGCAGCGCCCTGTGAGCCATCCTCACTTGCTTTTCTTGTGCGCATGCAGCACATCTGATGGACGCCACACGTTCCCTTTCAGTATGCGCAGCAGTGATCTGTGCATGCGGTCTGATGAATGCGTATTAAATGCTGGCATGCTTCAAATGATGCACATCATAGGCAGGTCTATAAGATGTGCGGGATTTGAATACAGGCTGATCTTGGGTGCCACATTTTGACAAATTGATGAGCACAATTGTCCCATCTGTGCATTGAAGACGGACAGACCATTCTTGCCCATCATTGTGTCGAAACATAACACCATATTTAAAGAGCAAGAGGTATGGCAAAGCAATTCAATGCGTCTTGCAGCCATGGAAAGGACATGGAAGATAGTAGGGGATTATTGTCTGTCGCAGCAGGGGTCACCCACCTGTGCAAGTTAGACGAAGGGCAAGCATTGGAAAATGAGTGAAGTCAAAATCCTTTGTCTAGACAAAAGGACCATTCTTGCTTGTCATTGTGTCAAAAGACAGCACAATAAATGGCGAGCAGGAGGCCTCGGGCTTTGGACCTTGTAACAATAAAAGTCATAATGCAAAAACTGTTGTTGCAGCGATGGGGCACGCGCATGCGGCGCGGGAGCGCAGGGGAGGGGACGCCCCCCGACGTGACCGCCAGCCGGACAACGCGAAAGACCAGGACGGCCGCGGCGGCGCGCACTATCTGGAAGACGTGCGCAGCTCCGCCTCGCAGATGCGGCGGCCTTCCGAGGGATCCTCGCTCTCCTGGAGGTAAATTTCATGCAGGCTACAGGCGGGAGGCATCCTTGATGCTTGTGCAACCGTCGAGCTGGGAGGCAATCTTGTTCTTGCTCGCTACGAGTCGCTGTGAATGGGGTTAGCGAACCTGCTAGGAGAGAAGGCTTTCTATGGGATTGAGGACTGACAAGGTCAGAAAAGTTTGGTCATGCAGGCTGATTAGTGCTTGCATTTTGACAGATTACCAAGTCAAGTGAATGTGAACCATATGTGGGGCTTTACCGAGTCAGCGTTGTCATTGCAGGCGTGGGAAGGCTACTGACCGGGACGACAGCCGGCAGAATGGCGGTAGGCGAGCGGACGACCAGCCGAGCACATCTGGGAGGGAAGGGAGGGAACCCCACAGCAGAAACGTGGAGGACCGCCAGAACAGGCAACGGGAGGCCAGCAGCGGTGGTGGCCGCGGTCCCCGCGGCGGAGGCAGAGGTAGGCGGGGGGACCCTCTCGGCCGGCCGGCAGACGCTGCCGTGCTGCGCGGCGCGGCTGCGGCTCTCAATGAGTTCTCCAACGACGGCAGCTTCCTTGATAGCTTCAAGGGGGCCGCTGATTCCGCAAAATCTGGTGTGTATCTGCATACCTTTGCATATAAGCCATCCCTGCCTCAAGAATCGCTTATTGCGAAGTGCTGAAGTACTTGAAGCTCAATGAATCCTGTGGGACAATGTCTGTAAGCAGCAGTGGGGAAGCCGGTGTGTCTGAGTGGGGATATAAATTAATTTCAGTAATATCTTACTTACATCCTGAATTCTTGGGTGTCGTGTGTGTAGGCTCGGCAGCACCAGAGGACAGAAGTACAGAGGACGCCAACGGAGACGGCCAGGCCGGGGGGCTGCGCCCCGATCAGCTGGCGAGGCTGGGCGCTGAGTCAGACAATGACATGGGCGGTGACGAAGCAGGCGCAGATGTGGCAGGAGGAGCGGGTGTAGTGTTGGACAGGGCAGACCATGATCACGTGGGTGGAGTCTCGCAGACCGGCGCAATCGCGGGCAACTTTGCCGCTGCCTTGGCTCTCAGAGCTCGATTGACAGGTGAGCAGGTCCCTCCTAATTCTTTTTCTGTGTTCCCATTAAACCTGTGAAAGCTAAGCACATCTGAAAATGTCTATGTATCTGAAGCATGTTCTCCCGCACAAGACGCTGGAGGAATGACCTGAAGTTGCAAATGTGGCCATCAATTCCTCACAGATCGCTTAAGCCGGGGATGTGTGAGTGTGAAGACTGCTGGCTCACGGTGTGTATCTGCTGTACACAGGGGATCCGGCAGAGCCGAGCGGAGGAGGGAACTTTGGCGCGGCGGCCGCGCTGCGCGCGCGGCTGCTGGGCCGGGGGCCCCCCGCTGCGGCGGCGGGTGATCCCACTGGGGGGACGGCCAAGCGGGAGGTGGTAATCCTCCCCCAGGTGGACGCGGGCGGCAGAGCCGTCCCCGGAGCCTTCGGTCGCGATTGCGCCGGCGAAGGTGCGCTCTCTGCCCGCCTTGTTGACGGTTGCCCCTTTCTGGTATGCACAATTGGCGACTCTGATTTGGAGTATGTCTGCACTTCCATTTTACTCTAAATGCAGTACTCCATCATGGCATTACTCTGTTATTTTAGGTCCAAACTAATTGATTAACGACAGGAAAGCAAGTGCCCCTAGCCTCGCAATACGCATACTTGATCAGATGCAGCGGCGCAGCATGGCATGGCTCTCTGTCATACACTACCGCATCAGGTGTCCTAGGCCATGGACTCGACTTGCACCCTGCTACGCCGCACAAGTATGCATGCTGATCAAGCAGTGAGATCACTAATTCAAATTCAAACACTGCGCAGGGCTGATTGACGGGGGCCGCAAGCCGAAGCGGCTGCAGCGCTACGACGCGCCCGGGGAGAAATCGCGCTATTTTGCGGACGATGACGCGGCCGATTTAGGGACCCTTGTCAAGCGACAGCGCTACGAGGGGGCCGAGGACATCGACGCCAACCTGGCCGACAACATCGCGCGCAAAGCCCGCTACAAGTGAGTGCAATCCATGTTTGCCTGTACAGGACCATGCCGTGAGAAATGTCTGCTATGTACCTATGCGCCCCCATGTCTGTGTGCCTTTTGGGGTGCGCGGTTCCCCTTCTTCGTTTCTTGGGATGCAGCCCCAATGGGGATGGCTGCTGGATAGTAGGGAAGGGCATGAGAGAGCATGGCAGAGGGGGTGTGAGCTTCTTGGGCAGTTACCGTCTTGTCGGCGGTGCTCAGCAGTACATACTGTCTCTAGGAGTGGCAGACTTTACCTGCTGTGACTGGCAGCATACTGCATGGGACACATCTTGCTATGCCGACATGCACATAGGTCTTGAGGAACGATGCTGTGATCAGAGAAGAGCGATGCCACATCAGCACCAGCTCTTGCACGTCAAATTTGTGACGTAATCAAGGGGAATGACTTATTTGCAGAGGAAATGAGCTTGATGTGGATGAGGAGTACGACCACGATGGCGGCCTTGCGATGTACGAGTCGCGCAATAAAAAGGGAACGCGCGAAAAGCAGGCCCAGCGCCAGAAGGCCGCCCAGATCGCAGACTACAGGTGCGCATGCCTGAGCGAATTCAGTTGCACTTACGCCTTTGTGAAGTTCATCTCGCTCTGTGGAGGACATGGGTTCAAGGCCCAGAACTTTTCTTGAAGTCTTTTGGACGTGCATGCTACATTGGCATTGGCGGCTCAACACCCAGGTCCCAAGTCCGGTTCTTTCAAACTTTTTCAATGTCCTGAGATTGAAATCTCAGTGGCTGCCACCCAGTTGACATTCCATGCCAGCCTGCGACGCAACACTCGTGACCCTGGGACAGACGTGGTTTGTGCGTTTTGGGCGGCAAGGAATGTCAGCTGGGTGAACGACCAGCCGAAGGTCACCGCAGTATCAAATTACCAGGGCTCCAAATTTCTTGAATTTGACCTGGATTTGAACTTGAACATGAAATATGCTGTAGGCGCGCCAGCAATGCGGTGGACGCGTGCGCGTACTGCTTCAGCAGCAAGCGGCGGTTGCGCCACTTGACCGTCGCCATTGGCCAGACCGCCTACCTCATGCTGCCGCCCAAGTGGGTCCACCCTTTCCGGACTCTGACCTCTACATCTGTGCAGCGGTCCACAAGCTGCTGTTCCAGATTTATCGCAGTTTGCGAAGGAATTATGACCAGCCTGTGGCATCCTTGTGTTCGTACAGCCAAGACGGGTTGTTGCATGAGGTACAGCCGTGTGGGTGCTTGACAGTGCTTCAAGGCAGAACCCACCAGGACGTTGTAGGTGCAGTTTTGCCGTGCCCACGTCGAGCTAATGTTAAATGCCTTGAAAAACAAGGAGTGAGATTTGAGAGGAAAGGATCTTTTGAATATTTTGTGTGCACAGGGGCACTCAGCTTTACACTTGTGTTGTTGTTTGTCAGGACTATGTTGGCAGGCCCTTGATGAAACCACATCAAGCTCATCCAAGCGTCCTGCAGGACAATGCATTTTTGAAGTTTTTTCAAATTCGAATTCGAATTCGCAGGGGGCGGCTGGTGCCGGGCCACTGCCTGATAGCGCCGCTCGATCATGTGGCCAGCACTCGCCAGGCGGACGAGCACGTCTGGACCGAGATCCGCAACTTCAAAAAGTGCCTGCTGCAAATGTTCATGGCCCAGGTGACTCAGCCTCTCCTGGGGTACTAACGGAGCCGTCCTCGCTACCCAAAGGATGAAATGCTAGTCCCATCCGGGAGCAATGAAATATGTGGGGGATCCGCCAGCATTCTTGTAGGTTGCATGCGAGCTGCTGTTGATGACACACCATTATGTGTTGCTGGCCGCTTGGTGATGACTCGAGGTACCCTTGCCCTGCAGTGCTTTTGAGTGTCTGCATTCTACATATTAGATGAAAACTGCGCTCATGAGCAGTGATCATGAAGCATCGCCCTTCCCAACAAAAGATCCTGAAGGGCGCGTTCTTGAGACACTCCCTGCCGCTGAATGATTGTCAGACCAGAAGATAGCTGGCGCTTTCTGAGGGATGCAACAAAACTATGCAGACAGCAAATCGGCTGTTTGACAGGCTTCTGCTGGGGCTACACTCGCAGGGCAAGGACGTGATATTCATGGAGACTGCCAAGCGGCTAGGAGATGCGCGCAGCCATGGCTTTGTGGAGTGTATACCTGTGCCTCCAAAGGTGAGCAGCTTTCTTGCGTGCTCTGTGCCACAGTGGGCTTCTTTCTCTTTGCCTCAGCATGGATCCTGGTATGCTGGAGTCCGCATTCTCAAGGTGTGCATGACAAAGTTGTAACAGGGCTATGGTGAAGGTGGGGTGTGTTCCTTTCACAGTAAGGTTTCCTTTCTTTGGCCTAGCACGGCATTCATGATTTTGCGTTACGCCGAATTCTACATTTTGAGGCGTGCTTGGCGGAATTGCGCATGGCGCGCGGTGTCTTGCTTGACGCTGAAATCTGCATGTGGAAATTAGTAGTATGACAGAGTGGTGCCACGCCGACATGGCGGCTCGGACGGGGTGTGCTTTATGTCCAGGTGGCGTTCTCATTTTTGGCCATTATTACGGTGTCCAGCACTTTTCTTGGACTCTGGAATCTGCATCAAGATTTAGTAAAGTGACAAAGCCCTGCCCCTGCCCAGGTGGCGGCCAAGGCGCCGCTGTACTTCAAGAAGGGCATCGACGACGCGGAGAGCGAGTGGGCGCAGCACCACGCCAAGCGCTGGATTGACACCTCAGCCAAGGTGACTAACTGTTTCCCCGCTGAGTTCTTTTCACTTGCAATGGTGCTTGATGCACCTCATTTGCACAGAGTGCTCTTGCCTGTGCACCTAGGCCTCCATAGGTACTGAACTAATTGATGGTTACTGTACCTGCACCCATCTAAAAAGCAGAATCCTAACTCATTGACTGAGTACCCTGGGGAAGCTCTTGCATGCAATGTGGGCCTGCTGCAGCTGATGTATCTTTGTATATGACCTCCTGTGAACAGAACAACATCCTGAAGGGCAAGCACGTGCGCCGTCTAGCAGCGCCGGAGATTCACCTTGTTTACCAGCGTATAAGGGAACGCATTTGTGCCTGCTGTGAGTCTGCGTAAACCTCTGCAACCCTGAACCTTAATTCTAATACTGCAGGGGTTGCGTGGCTGCATCCCACCGAACTTCCCCTACTTTGCGGTGGAGATGGGACTGGCGAGCGGCCACGTGCATGTGATAGACGACGAGTCATCCTTCCCCGACAGCTTTGGCCGCGGCGTGCTGATCGGGCTGCTGCAGCTGCCGGCGGAAGACATGCACCGCAGCGCCAAGCAGGAGAGCGTCGCCGTGCAGGTTTGTCCGTCCCGGCCGCAACTGCACAGTTGGAAATTCAATCAATGTTTGATACAGGGCATCAACTCCACAACTGCCAACACTGTGGTGCCTGCTTCTTGACTCGCAAGAAACGGCCAAGGCTGCAAAAAGTCAGCACGAAGGGGAGGGCATTTTCAGCAGGAAACAGTGGGCTTCCTTTTGCAACGATTACTGGCAGAGGTGAGTAAGCATGCATGCAACTGGTGTAGTGCAGGGCTGCGATGTCCAGCGCTTCTGACTGCTTCCTGGTACTTTGTGTTTCTGATAGCAGGGGGGGATTGAACGGTTGGAATGTGCGAGCTGCTTCCAAATCTCAAGAGAGAGCGCCTCATTTTTATTCTCATATTGGGTTGGACTGCTTGCTGCAGGAGCAGTGGGTGGCAGAGTTTGGAGATCTGTGGGACCCCTACGATTGGACCAAGCAGCTTGAGTAATTTCAATTTCATCCAATTTTAGCGGATTGTTGTGTCTTGTGGAGCCAACGGCAGGGCATTGAAGGGGACCATGATGTGCTTGCAAAATGAGGCTATTGCAAATTTGTGGTTGGCGTGCACTGCGCATGTAAGAGAAGATCTCTAAAGCTGATCAACGATGGAACTAAAAATGGAAAATATGGTCGACACAAGACCGCTTGAAAATTGCATTACAGCCAACTCTCAGTGAAAAGACACGTGCCTGATCTGTTGGGCAAGAGAATTTCAGAACGAGCCTGGAAACAAGACTTCTGAGAGCATGCAAGTCAGATGCTCCCAGCAAGAATGTACAGTGATAGACACTTCAGCTCGGCCAACCTTCCAGGTTGCTTTGAAAACAAACGGATACAAAATGCATCACGCAATGCTACCTTCTAGCTGCAAAGAATACCTCGGTTGATGGGTTGACAAACAATAGCGTGGCAGCTCGCACAATGGCGATCAAAAACTGCCACGTTCAACTTTGACAATATTGTCCTGGTTGCTGCTATGTTGTCAACATGCTGTTTCGGTGGCCCCAATACACCCATTTCCTGAAAGGCATTTGCCAGATTGATCTGCCAGACTAATTGCTATACCTATCCGATAATCCAGCATGCGTATGTGATATTGCCTCAGCTGCGAAGCTACAGCACACCAGGATATTGGCGCGCAAGGTGCTGTGAAAATATGTATACAAAGCAAATCCGCCCTAGTGACATGGTGAATCATGCAATTAACACAGCCCTGTGCAGTTGCTGTCAGGCTGCTGTTGTCAGACTGAAGCTGACAGACTGATGCGTTGTAGTGCCCAACTCCCCACCAAACAGGTTTATGCATCCAGCAGCCAAAGTTCCACTGGATTTGTCCTGTTCTAATTAGCCTCTTGTGATCAGCTAATTTTGAGGCACCCCACGGTGACAGCCACGCTATATGCTGCTCTGAGCTAAGTTCTGCTCCACAGCAAGCGCTGCATAAGTAGTTTAAAAGAAAAAGCACTCTGCTCGGTATTCCTCACTGAGAAATCCTCAGCTGCGCGCTGTCAGGGAGTGGTAGGGTGCTAGAGTTCCGAGGGAGCTAAATGCGCCGAGGGAGTTGTAGCGCATGGATCCCTTGGAGCCCTCCAGCAGCTTGCCAGCTGGCGAGCCAGGGAACGCCACGCGAGACGCCTCCTCCGGCAACAGCGCTAGATCCTTAATTCCCTGCACCCGCATGCATGCAAAATTCAAATATTGCATAGTTGTGCGGTCATGCCAATTTATGAGGTTGATCCCCTGTAAGCCATGTCCGCCTGGAACTATAGTTCTACTGCCATCGTTCGGTATCAAACCTGTGCATATTTCCTTGCATCTCCCCGGGGGCTATTGGGCTCTCTAGTCTGTAGCAGCAGCGCTATACTGCAGCAGAGATGCGGAGGCACACCAGGCAGTACATCTCAGAGACCTGCCTGATCTACTTCCTCTTCACTTTATCAACTCACTGCACTCACTATGTGCAAAATGCAAGATTATCCCGGGTGCAAAACAAACACACAAGAAGATGAGAACGTCACAGGGAATGCCCCCTTGCTGCACCATTTGTAGCTGCCAGGGCAGATCCACTAGGAACCCCCCTTGGCCTGCCATGCCTGATCTTGTATTTACCAGGACAAGAAAATCATCGCACGCAACGCACATGATTCTCCATCATTGGGGGGGAATTGGGCATGTCGCAGGGAACCGCCCCCTACCTGCACCATTTGCCTCTGCCAGGGTAGGTCCACTAGGAATCCTCCGTGGCCCGCCGTGGGGTGGTACATGACAGTCGCGGTTGTGTGCGCGTCCGAGATGTGCTTCGCGACTAAGGGTGACGGCACGAGATCATCGGCGTCCGATAGGATGACTAATGCATGCGGCGGCATGTCCTCCGGCCACAGCATCAGCTCGTGCCACAGGAACTTTCGGCAGAAGGTCTGCGCGCATTAGTCACACAGGCAATCAATAATCTTGCTTGTACCCAACTTGTTGATCTCATGTAGAGTCATGGGCTTTCGTCAAGTACATTGATGCACGGGAATCCATCAGATCACATCAAGAAAAGTAGGTAAACTTGTAGATTTGGAGCCCCCTAGATCTCTCTTAACGGGGCGTCTTTCCATTTATGACAGCTATGTGTAACAGCAATGCAGGTCGATCTGGTTTGTATCCTGATGAGGTTTGGCTGCAAGGCTGATGGAGCCAGTGGCATTGATATTGGGTACAGTGCAAAACCTGAGGTGATGTATACGGGAATTTGGCCCACCTCTGCAATGATGAGGTCTCGTGAGAAGAGGAAGCGAGCGGCGCCGAGGATGCCGGTGATGGAGCCCAGAACATCGGCCAGCTTGGGCACGCGGTACACAAAGTTGTACAGAAGCTGCGGATAGCACGTCAGGAAGCAGACGGGGTCGATCAACGCCTGCACAAAGAACCAGTTGCAATCAAAACTAAGCCAGTACAAGACATTTGGTGAAGAAGACAAGGTGCTGCCTGCAAGAAAACCTCTTGATGAATGCAAAACATTGCCCAAGGCTCTTTCACGTTGGCATAAATTTTTCGAACATCAAGTGACTACTTGCAGAATCACACATGACATGCTGGCAGAATCGAGCACCAAAACATCACAAGTGTGTTACAAGCCAGGAAGCAGTAACACAGCTTTCTGATCATGCATCACATAGTGCATGAGGGAACGGTGCAATTGGTTGTGCATTCAACTTTGAATTTAAAACACTCACCACGGAGTGCACGAGCGAGCGGTGCAGCTGGCAGATACGGGAGACGCAGAAGGTTCCGTAACTGTGCGCCACAAAGCAGGCGCCCTCGTAAGTGTGCCGCCACAGAATTTGCGCCGCTGCATGCGCCACGTCATCGACCGATCGGCTGCGCATCTGCAGCCTAAGGCCAACGTGGGGGGCTTCCAGCAGGATCATGGGCGAGTCGGGGCAGGCCCACATGGTCTGCTGGATCAGGCCCAGGTAGGGGACCTGCTCAGGGGGGCACAGAATTGGTGGTGCAGGGTTTTAAGGCTCACCCTAAATGTGCATATGTACCCTCGAAAAGTTAAAAATCAGGTCTGCTGGATCATGCCCAGGTAGGGGACCTGCAGTGGCATGGCAGGGGACCGTCACGCGGGTGGGGGGACCGTCAATTACCGTATGTGGGGGGACTGCATGCCATGCAGGTGGAGAAAACGTGAATTAGGCTGGGAGCCCACATTCAGTGCCAGCATAACACCATATACGCACAGCCTTGACATCCTGGGGAAAGCAAGTAATGCAAAGCAGTTGCACTTGGCCCGAATGCGGGCCAAGCGACTTTGTCTGGAAGCTTGTGGAGGCAAGGCGGCGCTTTGGCTGATCGGCAGGGGCCGCCTTAGGCATTGATGTTAGCTTGCTCACCTCTTAGAAAAGTGGGAGAAGGTTGCTATAGATTAATAAGGAAACCTTCAAGCAACACCCATTTTGAGGGACAAAGAGGAAAGACAGAGAGAGGGAACGCGCACCAGACCGAGGCCGACGCCGTGCATGAAGAAGATGGGCCGTGGCTCCGCCTCTGCACAGTCGTCCGCCTCGTCCGATCGCAGCGACGAGAACGAGTCACCCCTCCGGTGGATTATGCTCTTCTGCCGCAGCAGCCCCCCGCCCCTGCCGCACAGCACACTGCTCAAAACTTCACCTACGATCTAATTTCTCTTGTGCAGCTATATAGAACACAGTCACTGAGAAGCAGCAGAAACCAATCCAGGTCTTTCAACCCCTTTGTTCAGCAAGACTGCCCAAGACGGAGAATTCTGCCACTGAGCACATCTTGACGGCTTGCCATGTAGATCCCTATCGCACCCACCTTGATTAGACACTTGTGCATCTTTTGGCATTTTTCTAAATAGGGCTAATTAATAGCATAAAATTTATTCTATTAATACCCCTGGGTATAACCACGGTGTGGTCCACACCCACCTGCTGAGGGTGGATGGGTCGATCTCAGCATCCTCGCTGGCGTGCGGTGACACGGTGGGTGATGTCATCGGTGACACCGTCGGAGTCGTGCGCCGCGACCGAGTTGGCGTCGGCGGCGGCGAATCGGCGGCGGCCGGCCGGGCCGGCCGGTTCGGCTGCCGGATCCAGTATGTGAAGCCCTGCGCGCATGCGCCAACATCCGCAAGTCAATTTTTTTGTGTGTGCCTGCTGCACCCACTTGCGTGTGCTTGTTACTTCCTTTGGCCGATCTTGTTTCACGGCTCACACTTAATTTTGGCAGGAATTTGCCCTCAGGGCAGTGCCATGACCATCGTTTTCTAGCTCTAGCTCTAGATACAGTGCTGTGCCCTTGTTTCAGTGTTGATGTTCCTGAGTGCCTTATGACAACACAAAGCCATTCTGTGACGCCCTTCTCTGAAAGGCGTCCGCATGGCAATCCTGTGGCCCATGGCACTTGGGCCAAGTTATGGTCTAGTGCGGAAGCCTCCACGCACCTGACAGCAGTCCTTCCTGAAGCCCATGCAGCGCAGCATGGTTGCGCCGAGCAGCGAAGCCGCCTCGCTGGCAATGTGCAGCGCCAGAGGCTTGGGCAGCACTCGCAGGTCCTCCCACACATGTGCCATGAAGCTGATGTCAGCGTTGCGCCCCTCTGGGAAAGTTGCCCCCCATTCCGCCTCCATCTGCCTCACAAATATCTTCGTCGCCGCTTGCAGCTGCAGAGACCACACACACTTCTCTTACTGTTATTGTCACACGCTTTTCCTCCCGGAGGCAAGGTTTGTTGTGCAGGCGAGCTGCATGGGTGAAGCCCAGTCTGGTCATGCCAGGTTGTCATGGCTGGACATTGCTCAGTGAATCTCATGCTGAGCCACACCAAAACACTCTTCCATTACACCCTACAAACACTTATCATACTGACACAAACTGCCGCAGCCGTGCCTTGAGGCTTGTGTATCTATACTGAGACACATGCCTGCTAGTTTAACAACAAAACTGGCAGACATTACAGGCCGACATGGCCGACAAACTGGTGCGAAACTGAAGTGTATCTGCGCACAGGTGGAGAGTGTATCTGCGCACCCGCGGGGGCAGAGTGTCCATGGTCCGGTTGTAGAAGCCGTAGGCCACGAAGTCCTCAACGTTCCCTCTGCGAATGCATGCATAAGGCGCGCCGTGGAACCAGCCGCTCAGAAACTGCTCGATGCACATGCAGCCATTCAGCTGCAGAAAGCGCCTCTTGACCTCTGCCACCCTGTGAGCCTCGTAACGCGTCTCCACCCTCTGGTTTATTATGTGGTACCTGCGCAGAGGTGTCGGCGCTCAACTGCGTGTCAACTGCGAGGGGTGCACTTCGAGCACTCTGCAACGAGCAAGCTCATGCCAAGTGCTTGCTTGTACTGTAAGAGAATGCATTGATCTGGTAAGGCATGACAGCCTGCAGTTAAAGAACAAGCAGCGGAGGCAGGGCACGCCAGTAAAGCTAAACTATTTGCCAGCTGAGTTGAGCACCACAAAGACGAGCGTGCAGCTCCATTACTGATTCTTGGGACGCTGATAGCACAGATGCAACAATGTGTCGCATGGAGAGCAGGCAGTTGGGCCTCTAGGTGCAGTCCAATGTTTCTCTGAGCCACCATCACTCTCAGGACGCCTGTTGTACAACTTTGACGAGCAGAGCGTCGTGATCAGGGTATTGCTGGCTAACAAGGACAATTACACAATATAAAAGTTGCTGCATACTTCTTGAAAAATTTCATAGGGTACAGCCTGTACAAACAGGGGTCGGAGGATGGCTGCAACGTTGGAGACAGAAACGTACCGCCAAGTCTGCCAGATGTAGAACGCCACCTCTATGCAAAGCCATGCCACCACCAACTGAGCAAAAAGGCTCCGCGTGTCCGCCCAGGTTTGGAGCAGGTACAGCGACGGGCCTGCCGCAAGAGTCACCGGAACTGATCGCCAACTGGCCGCCGACAGGGCAGACATCGTTGCCCTGCCTGGTTGGCTCCTGTCACAAGGACCTTAATAACCGCATAGCCTCGTTGGTGAAGTCCAGCTCGGACAGGGGCTCGTTCTAACGCAGCAAGCTAGCTGCTACCTGATGTCGGGGCCAGGCAACCGTTTACTTGTAATTAGTGGCCGGCAAGTGACATCTACTAGTTTTACAATGGCTGCATCAATAATCCGCAATGAAGCTCGTCGAGACGTTGTGGGCTCCCATCAGCACCTGTGCTGGCCCTCCGGACTTTGACATTGTGTCAGAAGCCCTATCGGATACATATTCACCCTTCTCAAAGACGCGCTATTATAAGCCTAGCTGTCCTTGTTCAAAGTGCCGATCAATGAGATTCGATCTGAGGCACTGGAGACAAAAAGGGTGCAATTGCACTGTGATCGTTCAAACAATTACTGAGAAGGACCATTGAATGGAGACAAGCAAGTGAGGCCTGGTGCTCATGACTATGTCTCGTCGTCAGTAATTTCTGCAACTGATTCTCTGGCATATTGGCTTTGGACGCTATTGTGTATCAGGTGCGAATGCTTGGTAACATTAGAAGTTTATTCAGGCATTAAATCGGGTCAAAGAACCATATCTGCAGAGTGCCCTGGCCTACAATTGAGGTCCCAATCGTACAGACATCGGGCACACACTCGACAAAGAAGCATTCAGTAATATATTTTGAGATCGTTATGACTTGAAGCTATTCTAGAGAGCGACTGAGGAGCAAGTAGGGCATGTGAGGAGAGCATCACACTGTACCATATTACAAGATGCATCGCAAGCCTTTCAACGATGAGCTTGATTCAGCACGATACTGTGTTACCAGTGCGAGACAGATATTTTGTGTCCTTGCAGGACGATCAGCAGCGGCGTTGCCATGCCTGGCTGCAGAGCAGCAGCATTGCTGCAGGTGCTCGCCATCCTGCTCTTGTCACAGGGGGCCCTCCGAGCCTTGGCAAAGGATCCAGCACCGGCAGAAAAGCAGGAAGCCACAGGCATCCCTGCCAAGAATGTGGATTGGGACCCGATCACCAAGCTCCTTGCTTGGATTCAGCAGAATGATGGGCAGGTGAGAGCCACCGGTCTGCCAAAGGAATGCAGCATTTCTGCATGCATCTCAGCATGGCTGGTCTCATGTGAGCATTCCTTCAGGCAGACCTAAACCATGCACTCAAACCATGCACCACATCAGCGACAGGTCAGCACTTGATCACAGAGACTTGAAGAGGCTCTGTCCGCAGATACACCTAAAGTAATTCCCAGGCCTCACTGTTTTTTCGACCGGCACCAGAATATCAATATGAAGCCTGAGTTAATGACTCCCAGGTTAAAACAGGACTTCACCTAACTTTTCCTGAAGTACATGCATGACATGGGCATGCATGTCAGGTGGATCTGGAGGTCGGAGCAGTTTCAGAGTCGGGGCTCAGGGGGACGAAAGCGATGAGGGACATGAAGAAGTACCAGGTGGCGGTCAAGCTGAAGAACTTCATGGCTGTGCCTCTGGGGGAGTGGAACAAGAGCTCAGAGGTGCGCTTGAAGAAAACTGTCCCACTTCATGCAACTCAGAGAGTACAAGCCTGACATGATTGAGTATGCATCGATCTTCTTTCATCGTGCATGGTCAGCAGGAGGAGCCCTGACACAGAACGTCAGGACGCCATGCTTAGTAACAGACAGATTAGGATTAAACAGCACCTCGCTCCTGTTGACATGATTCAACAAGGGCCCAGTCGTTCAAGTCAACAAAAGATAGTGTCATTGCTCTCAGACTTGACTTAGCAGCAACTCTGTGCATGCTTTTCTGGCATTCCAGCATGCCGCAGAATTCCGTGCATACGAAGGCAACACGACACAGGGAAACACTGCTTAAGTTGGTGCTATCTGAATGACATGATTCTCATGCAGGAGAACGCGCTGGTACTGCTGCAAAAGCGGTTCAGGAACCCGGATTGGGACACAGTCATGGGGACGTACTGGGAGAGCCTGCCGCAGAGGGGGTCAGTCATTACCAAGGAGACCTTTCCTCCAACCAAGCTCGGCTTGCTGCAAGACCCCTTCATGGTGAACACCCCTCTCCTTCTAGCCCAGCAAGGCACACAATTATCTATCAACCTGCAAAAATGCAAAGTGGTGATTTATGCTTGGGGATGTGAATTAGCATGTCTGACAAGCTGAGGCAGAATAGGATGACAAGCCATGCATGTGTTGTCCAAAGAGACATGTCTCTGATATTCTGGTACCTCAATAGCTTTGCCACAACACATGCAGCGGCCCAATACCAGATACGCACCAGAAAGTGTTCCTTTCCAGCATTGCATGAGCTGATGTCCTCCCTAAGCTGTCCTCTCAATGGCGTGCCTGCTGTCAGATGCTATGTTTCCAGGTCTAAAAGGACATCTTTCACCAGAAATGCGCGTATCAAAATGACTAAACAGTTACGTGTGATACACGTGCGCAGGGGGCGTTTGTGCGGGTGCATCAAGACTTCACACGAAACGTGCTCCGCGGCGCAAAGCCGCATGTGGTCAAGGATGTGCGCGCACACCTCGGTCGAGACATCTCCCTTGAAGACTTCAAATACTGGACCGCCCTGGTGCGCTACTCTACCTCCTCTCAAGGCATCTACAAGTGGCGCCCAAAATCACTGCGAGGTCAATCAACAAATATACTCCATTGGTCGAACTTGTCTGCCGTTGTGCCTCTGCTGCTCACTTTCTTCCTGTTTCCTTGTTGTGGCATGACGCTGTGAAGGTTGCACATCCACTCCAGCGGTCTTGTGAACCTGCAGGGTTTGATGATATAGACCTACATTATCCGGCTCAGTAAGCCTCAAGGTCTCTCAATTCCCAGGCAGCTTTAATAAAAGCATAGAGAACCTTTTGTTCTCTGGTTTAGTTCTCTGGTATGTGCAACCAGTTGACCTCTAGATATGCTTCAGGAGGCAGTGTGACAGTGATGTTGTGAGCGGTCACGCAAACATTGCCCGAGCAGAATCGAGCAGCAATAGAGTGGCAGCAGTATGTTCTTGGCCATCTCATCGGCTGCACAGCATGCGTGCATGCATGCGTTACGATGAACATGTAGTATTGTGCGCGCAGGTGGCGTCCTACGCATTCACATTCCCAGACGAAAACAACCCAGAGATGCAGGTCTGTCCCCACCAATTTTCTTGAAATGCCCTCTACAGCACACACGGTAGAGGGCTTACCCAGAATCAGAATAGTTTGATAAACCATTAGTGGTTTACAGTATCAATTCTATGCAAAATGTGACGGGGCGCCCTACTAGCTCATCTGAGGCCCTGGAATTTGTACTTGGCCCATTGCCTTCTATTACAAAGCTTTTGCCCTTTCAGTCAGCACCCCTGAATATTCAGCATGTCACTTCTTGTGCCCTTGCAGATTCGGGTGATGCTGCCGCTGATGGATCTGATAAATCATGGGAATGCGGGGGAAGCCAACCTGAAGCTGTTCAGGGATGACAAGGGTGACTACATCGCATACGCCACGCGCGACATCAAGAAGGGCGAGGAGGTGACTCACCCCTGTTTACCCGATTTGTCATCTACTTACACATGGAAGCTCGCTCATGTCACTGAGGCTGCAAGCGCTGTCATGCTCCTTTGGAAGCCATGCGTTTGTATCCAATGCCTCTCTGCTGTGATGAGAAGGTTTCAAAATCATGCTGTGAAGCAGCAACCTCAGCAGCAACCTTCGGTCGGCAGCGCTGTGGCTCATGTGCAAGGCTACCGTCATGCAGTGCTTCTGCGATTTTCACTGTTGCAGGAAAGCAGAACTCACTGTCCACCTCAGCGCATGCACCATCCTTTTGCATGCATGCTTGTATCCTCTCGGCGTGGATGCTTGACCTTGCGGCTACCTTCATTTTGAACTTTAATTCGCCATGCTGTGCTCCGCAGCTGCACACATACAACAACAGCTTCATGAATGTTCCATCTCATAATCTTGCCCTATCAGCATGCTTGCTTGCCGTTCGGGCTACTTCACGCTCATTAAATTTGAATCTGAATTTGAATTTGAAAGTTGATGCTGTGCTGCGCAGCTGCTGCACACCTACAACAGCGGCTGCGAGCGCAATGACCATTCGCTCTTCCACTACGGCTTCGTGCAGGACCTCCCAGAGCCCAGACTATGCGCGCAGGACCTGCCCGACGGCAACCTCTACGATGACTCCTCCCACAGCGAGGCTGACTACGGTGAGCTGTCTTTGGTCTTCTGCCATTCATGCATGTGACGGCCGCAGATTTTTGGGAGTTGAGTGTTGGGCAGGGAAAGAAGTGCCTGCAGCCTGGTGTGTAACAATGCTGAGTTACTCTGCAATGGACATCTGAATCAAGAAAATGGGTAGGGTGCTTGTTATGAGGCGGGCAAGTGCGGGGCCTGTGGGAAGCTTGCAGGAAAAGTTTTGACAATCTCAATTGACTCGTTGGTTGATCGTTGCTCATTACAAAAACTGTTTCGCAGCAGTCAGATATCAAGGGGGCTGCATTGTCCATGGTGGGAGAATGTTTAAGGGTTTTAGGAATTCAAATTCAAATTCAAACTCAAACTCAAACTCAAATTCAAACTCAAGGAGCTGCGCTGGTGTGTAGATGCGGGCGGGTCGCTGGTGAGTGAGGATGAGGTGCAGAGGCTGAGCGCCATCCTCGCGGCGTTCCCATCCACAGAGGCAGAAGACGACCGCCTGCTGCAAGGTCGGCTAGCTTCTTTTCCTGCTGCAAAACTGAGTTTTAACTGCCATTGGCACTCCTGTGGTCCCTCTTTGACCGTTGCACAGTGTCTACGAGCTACCTGCTCCTGATTGGTCCATGCCCTAATATTGTCTTGCAAATGTTACTGCATCAGTAATTGAAGATCGCTCACATGAGCTGGATTAGGCCTCGTCAGAATAAATTGACAGAGTGCTGCATTTTTCTCTGGGGCACAATCTGCTGTTTGGGCAATTCACAGCCGGTATGGCTGTACATGACCAGCGCAGCTGGAATGCATGAGGGCCGATGTACAGTCAGCAAGGGGCCCCGCAACGTGGGAGTTCTGCATCCGGGTAATCCTCTCGTCTAAGGGTTGAGATAAGGGCGTCTGACAGCACATGCCTGCGTGCGCAGGGGGCAGCTGGCTTGACAGGCTGCTGGGCAGGAAGCCCGTGACAGATGAGGTGGAGCGGTTATTCGTGCAGTACCGGGCGCTGCGCAAAAAGACACTGCGACTCACCATCGACAAGCTGCGGGCCAACCTGGCAGCCAGCAAGGCGGAGCTGTGACTAATTTGGGCTTTGCATGCATGCATGGATGCATGCGTGCCTGTCCTGGCACGCTGACCTGGCTGCCAGCAAAGCAGTGCTGTGATGACTCATTCGGGCTAAGCATGCATGCGCGCCTGTTCTGGCGCGCTCACCTTGCTGCATGCCGACAGCTGGCAGCTTGTGACACAGCCTTTGACCATGGTGCACAGATACACAGTGATTCAATCTGCATGGTCCAAGATGATGCTGACAGGCAAATTTGGTTGGACCCTTGTGTCAGTTGGGGACTATAGCAAACGAACTCAGCTTCAACGATAGTCAGTCTGACAGGCTGACATAGGGTGCTCAAGTTTGATTTGATGCTGATAAATTGAGACCGCCAAAAGTTGGTGCCTCAGCAACTGTCGACCTCACCGTAGAAATAGTTACATCTCACTTAGTGTAGAGCTGTAGAGTTTGTCCTTTTTAATCAGCGCTCCATCAAACTCTGAATAATCACACCAACTTATGAATGAAATTCATCAGCAGAGACCCTGCTCATCATTGGTGGACAGTCTGTGCACAGGCATTTCATGCCATCAAGCTTCACCATTGATGTTGTTCTTTGAAGTACCATCCAGTTGATGAATCTCCAATGATGCAGAAGCCAGCTGACTTTTCAGACTTTGCAGCAATTGCATGTAAATGTGAAATGAGTGCGTCAACCCTTGACAAGCCCCTGATCCTTTTCACATAATCCTGCTGCAAGACAAGATTGTCCCAGGCAAGACCATCGTAAGCACCTCACGATGGGCGCAAGGTGTAATTCATTAGATCTTTATCCTGCAACACCGGCACAAACTGTTGACAAGCTTTTTAATCAAACCGTTTCCTCAGGCAAATCTTTGTCCAATTTTTTTCTAAAGCCAAACCATCATTAAAATTCCTATGCATCCTGCAACACATGCACCAGCCTGGCACTGCCAGGATCCTGACATTCAGCTCTTAAAAATGCTCCACTCCGCGGGCTGCAATCGATATCAATACTAGCAGAACAGCAGCACATGTGCACATGATGCCGGGGCACAACATACATGCGCCAAAGTCATTCTGCTGCATGTGAAGAACCTCCCATCCAAATACTGTAGTCCTCAGTCGCTCGCAATGTGCAAGATCCAGATGTAGTGATCCATGCAAGCTGACTGAGCAGGCTGTCAGGAAACATGATATTTTCCCCTGCCAATGGCTGATGTGTCTTAGCCAGAAAAGGCGGTTGTCAAAATCAGGCTCAATGAACTAATTCATAATGCTACACAGAGTGATTCACTGATCAAGCGCAAGTTTGCAACCAGGGCAATGCATGCACAGTTGGGTCATGGGAACGCTGCAAGAACCGCTTAGCGCACACAGCCACCAAAAAATTGCTCCAGTATTTGAGAACGTACGATGCTTTTGCAGTGCTTTGCAAGAAACAATTCTGAATCACCTTTTCTAAAAAAAATAGTCATCACACACCCCCGCCAGCTATTTCTGCAGATGGAAAGCAATCTGCTCCCTCGCACTGACTTGCAGCTGACAGGCGCAATGAAAATACACTGTCTATAATCCTTGATGTGCTGTTTGCTTGATATCACTTCTCCGAAACCGAGCTACTCAAGGCCTTTTTATGTGTATGTCAAAGCCTGTGTCTCCCTCCTGTTCAAGCCCGGGTTGCAGCTGCAGGTCCGGAATTGTGTAATCGCCATAATTCTGCTTGCGGTAAGGAATGGGTTCTGTGGTGTCCAGGGTCAACAGCCGCTCCTTCATGGCTGCCTGGATCTGCACACACCAAAAGAGACGCACTTAGATTGGAGAAACTCAGAGCCAATGTACCGGCGCTGAAGAGCAACAAAATAGGTCCACATGAGAGAAGATCAGGTCACAAAAACTTGTGGCTGCAAGTTGCACGTGAAGACACTCAGATATGATAATGGCAGCTAATATAAAAAGGTGCAGCTTTTGGGTGCAAGAGACATATGCAGACTTCCATTCCCATGTGACCCTTTGCATATAATAACACCCATGACAAAGATCCAGTCCTAACTGGCCAGGAAAGGAGAAGTTGCGCAGAAAATATGCGCACTTCTGAAAAGCGCTCTTCATCAATTGATCCCGGCAAACTGCTGTACGTTACCAAGGGAGGCAGGACATCGAATCCTGCAAGCAATATTCGCAGCCATGTCAGCATTATTGATTATTATTACTAGCTCCTCCTGCAAGAGGCAAGGTGCGTGTGCATTTAAGCTGCAGGGTCAATGCTGACATCCCCCTTGGTGCACTCGCCAGATCCATGCGAGACCAATCAATCCCAGGCAAGGTTCACAGTATTTACACCGGCCCCGCCAGCCGGGGCAACCGCCGTGTCAGCATAGCCTATGATGCGAGGTTGCATGGGGTCCTGAGTGCGCAGGTGTAAAGAGCAGTGGTGCGGGCGAATGCAGCGTTTGACAGAATCAGCACTCGCCTATGTAGAAGAGGATGCCATGGTTGATCACCCACAGAACATCATCCATCGGTCCGTTGATGCCACGCGCACTGAAGTGTGCAGCCGTCCCTCCAGCCGTCACCTGACAGCACACCAGTACTCAGATGTCTTAGTTGATGAAGACCAATCATCTCTGAACACGATGAGCTTACACTACAGTACAAACAAGTGGTGCTGCAACATGCTTTGTTATTGGAATGTTACATGGCATGCGCAGTCTATCTTGCAAGGTGTGTCAGGAGTCAGGCATGGCCTGTAAGTGCAATATCTGCCCTCCAGAACTGCGCAGTTATGGACTGCAGTCGATGCCATGCATTCAAGTCAAAAGAGGCAAGATTCAAGCAAGACCCCTCACCATGCACATGGCTCGCTTTCCCGCCAAGGTGCCATCGCCAAACTTGTCAAAATGGCGCGTCGGCGTTCTTTCACCCACAAAATAAGCGAAGCCCGCAGCATACACCCGGTCAACCCAGCCTGCGCCACCCCTCTCACACAATCAGCAACCAACTCGCAGATGGCTGTAAGGCTCAAAGCTGATGTACAGCTCATTGATCTAAAATAGGGGTTCCTGAGACTGCATGAAGAATACTGTTGTACCAACCTTTCAAGATTGCTGGCATACCGTACCACCTGCAAGGGCATTCATGTCGTGAATAATCCGTTGTTCGCTCGATAACGATACCGCGAGGCCCAGGAAGCTCAACTCACCATAGCGGGAAGTGAAAAATAAGCACGTCTGCCCACCGCAGCTTCTCTTGTTCTGCGATCACGTCCGGTGTGAGGGTTCCGTTCTTCATACAGCGCAGAGATTCGCTGCCAATATTGAGGCGCTCTTCCTGATTGCACTCTAGAAAATCATTCACATCCACGACAGCTTTCCAGTTCATTGCGTAGAGGTCCGACACCTGCACCATCGGCGATGCCATAAACCCCCTACGTGAACCTAGGTGATACTTGAGAAGGTCATTGCTTCTAAACAAGACCCTAAACACGCACCTTGACCTCATGTCCTGCGCCTTCTAGCACCTCCACAGCATATCTTGCCAGCGATGCGTTCAGGGACTGAGGCTCTGGGTGCGCCAGTACAACAAAGACTTTCATCTTCGGCTAGTGCAGCACGACGGATTCTGCACCTCGCAAACCAGTGCACCACGAATAAGACAATATTGAGTGGTGGCCAGGCGCTATTTATCCAAGCAAAATTTGACCTTATTGCGTAAAATAACGATGTTCCCGTGCTGCGCACGTGCGCAGCATGAGATGGAGCATCTTTCAGTGGGTTCGAGCTGCCCACTCCAACAGGACTCTCTTAAATACATTCAAGGTCGCCTAGTGCTTGCCGCCATGGAGCCCACCACGCACTCAGGAATCGTGCTTGCATGCAAATTGTATGAAAATGCATGCATGCACCGGTGTTCGGCCGCCGGCGTTCGTGACGGCCACTGCAGCTATAGCTAGCTAGTACTGTACACTGGTGGCACTATCAGAGTAGGATAGCACGGCGTTGCACTGGCCGGCTCGGTCCGCGGTATTGCAGCCTCCAGAGTGCAACGTTGGTTAGACTTTTGCAAGTAAGGTACGTCTAAGTGATTTTTGAAGCACTGTGGCATCAGGATATCACATAGCTCTTCACCTCAGCTGAGTGACCTTCGAATTACATTCAGAAGCCTGAAGGCAAGGTTACAAGGCCAGGATGCATCATATGACTCATTATTTCAAGGTCCGGTGTAGGCCATGGCCAAGAGTCACTGACTTTAGTGGCACTAGTATACGGTATACTACGTAGGCGGAAATCGGGGTCTACTAAGTAGGTCAGACTACTGGTATTTTCCTTCAACACGGGATCCATTCAATGTGCCAAGTGCTCTAAATAATACCTTTCAAGTACATGCATCCCGACAAGAAACGGCTGTCCTACACTATCCAGCTGCACACAGATACTTGCAAGCCTTGTCCAAGATGGCAGTCATACTTGCAGCCAGCTCCTCACATGGATCACAGCTACAAGCTGCAATGTGAACAGTGATACTGCAACAACATGGGAACATGATGCTGAAAAACCCACAAGTGGGCCCCAAATCTTTTAAACAATTCTCCATGTCATCTAGCACCGGTGCCTGCCAATGCGCAAGGTACCTTCCAATGCGCAAGGTGCCAAAGCAATCCATCTTTCAACACCAAGCACTACTGAGTGCCAGGGGGTCAGTGCCAGACTGAAGACCATTAACACTTCACAAATGAATTCACCACTGCAGTGGGCCCCTAAGAAGCGGCTTCAATACTGTAATAAATGAGACGCACAGGCAGTGCTCAAAAATCTAATAGACGATAAGTTGTTAGTTCATCCTACAGACAGTCACGCTTAGAGAGCAGTTCTGTCATCGTCGGTACAGCCACCAGTCAGCAGCTGAAGCACAGGTCTGCTGCCTGGCCGGAAAAAAATGGAATTTGCCGGACTGCTCTAATACCCAATCCACTGGAGATTCCCCAGCAGATCATGACTTGATGACGTGCATGTTGAAGCCTGTCTCTCCCTGCTGTTCGAGGCCGGGCTTGAGCTCAAGGTCGGGCATTGTGTAGTCGCCATGATTTTGCTTCCGGTAGGCGATGGGTTCGGTTGTGTCCAGGCTTAAGAGCCGCTCCTTCATGGCTGCCTGAATCTGTACGCCAGCAAAGGACCAGTCAGTTCCCAGAGACTCGCAGCTGTTTTGCAAGAACTTCAAGAGAGAGGCACAGAAGAGAAGATTACGTCCTAAACCTGTGGCTGCAGAATGCACATGAAGACCATACAGATCTATCATAGAGAGGCACAACAACTGCGTAAGGCGTGAATGCAAGATGCACACCTTGATCAGGTCATATGCCAAACGGAAGTGCAATCTGTGGTGGCAATATGAATAAGCAGAAAGTGCAAATGCTGTGTTATTGTCACTTGGATATGAGATGCGCACCTCCACAAAGCGCTTGTCATCGACTGCTCCTGGGAATGTGTGGTACAGCACAAAGGGCGGCAGGACATCATAGCCTGCAAAATAAATGAGCACTCTGTCACCTTTGTGTCATTTTTACCACCTTTGTGTCATTTTTACAAGCCCCACATGCAGAATGCCGACATACTGTGCTTGCTGCATTTGAGGCAAGCAGAAACCGCCATTGTCCTGCGAAACTTGACTCCCAGTCGCAAGGTCTCTATGCTTCTCAAGCATTTCAGCTGTCACAACTAGTTTTCAACAGTCAGAGTTCGAACAAAGCAGTGAGGTGATGGCGCACCTGGATAGTAAAGAATGCCGTGGTTGATCGGGAAGAGGAGGTCGTCTATGGGCCCTGCAATGCCTCGCGGGCTGTACTGGCTGGCCGGCGCTCCCACTGTCACCTATTTTGCGCAGGTCACACAACTCCTGATCACAATCATGTGCATCACGAGGCTTCCGGTGGTCGTCTTGTTAAGTGACTGCTGGATTCCTGGGGTGCGAGGATTAGCAGACTTTGAGGATTGCACAGCTGGTGTTGCAAGAAGCCAAAGCCAGGCCTGAGACAATCTTGGCTAAATCCGCTCAAGGGGAATTACTTGTTGCACATGCTAAATGTATGCATGCGCGCAGGAAGCTGAGGATCCAAGCGAGGTCTTCATTCTGCTGTGGACAGCCATGAGCGCCAGGCAAGCTATCCAGAATTGAGTGCAAAGTGCAGTCTCTCTTCAATTGTTAAGGGAACAGGGCATTAGGTTCTCACCATGCAGATGGCGCGCTTGCCAGCCATGGTGCCTTCGCCAAATCGATCATAATTACGAGTTGGCGTCCTCTCTCCCACCCAATACGCAAATCCAGCGGCGTACACTCGGTCGACCCAGCCTGTCCACAACATCTGTGCTAATTTAAGAAGACTTATTCGGTTTTGGTAGTTTGGCTTAAGGCCAGTGCCCAAAGCATTAATTTGCAGCCTGAATTTGAGAGAACACATTTCTGGGTACTTGAGGAAGTCAGTTCAACATGGTGGGCTTACCCTTCAGAATGGCTGGCATACCGTACCACCTGCAATGGGCATTCATGTAATCAAGATGCTGGACTTGTCTGATCGGCATGGTATCAATATCACAAGCTGCAAAAGCGACCTCTCACCATAACGGGAATTGCAAGATCAGCACGTCCGCCCATTTCATCTTTTCTTGCTCTGCGATCACGTCGGGCGTCTGGGTTCCGTTCTTGTAGGCGAGAAGAGACTCTTTGAAGATGTTGAGCCGCTCTTCGCTGTTGTGCTCTGTAAAGTCCTCTCCATCCAGGAAAGATTTGAACTTCATCGCATATAAATCCGACACCTGCGACAGAGTGATTACCTTACCATTCCCAAACAGACCTAGATCGTGAGGGACAACACCAGTTTATAAAGGGCTATTTCTGTACCTTGACTTCGTATCCTGCGGCTTCCAGGACCTCTACTGAATACTTAGCCATTGATGCGTTGAGCGAGCGAGGGTCTGGGTGCGCTAGCACGATGAAGACTTTCATATTCCTGGTCAAGCGCTTTGATTGCCGCACGAAGGCTTGCGCACAAGTCTGAGACAGCTTCCTACGAGGGTACAGGATTGCGACTCGAGCGTTGACGAGGTATTAAGTGAGTCTTTGCGCCCATCGAAGATTTATACGAAGCGGACCACGTGCTTTACGAGAGCTTTACGGAGCATGACGACAAGGCAAGATGAGGATGTGATGTGAAATTTTCAAACGATTTTCAACAGATGACAATAGTATCTGGAGTCATAAGAGTCTATGGTTGAACAGCATTCCTAAAAAACTCCCAAGTCAGGTAGTACCCACCGTGCATGTCAAGCAAGCTTAAGGCAGCAACGAAGTGTCCATGAACATTTTGAAACAAGAGTGCTGTCAAAGCAGCACTGTCTGTCTCCAGTGGACAGATGTAAAGGTGCCACTCGTGCAATCTGATCTGTCTATCATGGCATTAAAAGGAGGCTCCAAGAAACGTGCATGGCCTGGAAGCTAAAGCTGTGTTCTTCTCGGGTGCTCATCACTCAGCGCTGCATCTTGCCACTGCCAGTGTGACAGCTTGTGCTGATCTAGGTGGCTCTCCAAGCCTGTAAGGTCTGAGATGCGGCCTGCGGGGCAGCTGGTTTGCCAGGCTTGCATGTGCAGGCTGCAAGACATGATCCGGGGAAGTCCCGGATTTCTCACTTTGATAGGTTTCGGCCAGTCAGCAGGTGGGATGAGAATGCATTCGCCCGTGCCTGTCGTGGCTCCCTCTAATCGAGGGGAAGGGGCACGGGCAGACTCGAGTCTCGCCCAAAATTAGAAGGACGGCAGAAGTCGCTCCACAAGTTATCTCGGCTGTCAACAATCCTTCTTCCCAGAAGAAACTCAAGATGGCCGCCTTCAAGATCGCTATCCTCTTCGCAGCCCTCCTGGGTGTCGCCACGGCAAGCCGTCTGGAGCTCAATGGCTTGACTCAGGTAAGGGATCAAGCTCAGCAGAAGAGGATCTACCACCACCTCTCGATCGCAATGAGGATCACTAAAAGATTGCTGTAGTCTTTGGAAGACCATATGCTGATAGCTCTATCAGGTCTCACAGATCCATTCGTGCGATCAGAGCCCGACGATTGCCATGGCACCGTTCTCCTGATATTCTTTTAGGTTTTACGTGATGGAAGCATCATTGATCAAAGGATCTCCAACAGAAGCTGGATTGGAAGTCTTGCGTGATATATAGTTTCAACTGCGTATGCAATGTGTAGGGCAGGCATGCGGGATGAAGCTTTTGTGAGAGGACCAATTTGCTAGAAGATTCATTTGTAAAAGGTGAACCACGAGATAGAAATCCTTTATGTGTGTTTGAAATCATGCCGGTTAGGACCTGATGGCAGTTCTTTTGGGAATTTGAGGAAAATGCACACCACGGCATCCGGACTGATCGAAAAGGTCGGGCGCAAAGAGGATCCCAACTATTACACCAGCGAGTCAAAAGTCAAATAGATGAATTTGACAGTGTATGCGAAGATGAGCATCGCTGGACGAGTTGCCTTCTGACGGCACGGCGTGGTGCTCCAGGTCCTGCAGGAGGTGGGCGAAGAGGTCGAGGGCTACATGTCCGGATTCCTGAACAAGGACCGCCCCGACAAGGACGCCGACATCGTCATCCTCACCAAGTTCATCGTGACACCCGACAAGGCTGTCGACTTTGTTGAGGCCGTCAAGAAGGTGTGCAACTCTCTCCTTAATGCGGCGTCTTATGAATGCCGGGCAAATGCTGCAACATGTGCCTTGTGTTCGCACACGTCTGTTTAATCAGCCTGTGCCATGTGCAGCTTGCTACACGTCTGCCATTGCTCCTGAAAAGCCGACATCTGTTGACCCATTCAATATTCAAGTCATGCATACCCCTGCCCACCATGATGGCTTGAAGGATATTCTGATGGTGACAGGTCAAGGACGCAGCCCTGAAGATTGACGGCACTGAAATCTATGCTCTGTCAAAGACCAAGACGTGAGCACTCTGCCCCTGTCCTGTTGCATCAATTTGCCTTTAGCCGTTGTTACCTGTAAACCGTGTACACTACTCTGCCAGTCGTTTTCCCGCTTGTCCGAAAAGGCAGAACTTATTGAGTGTGTGCTGTGTGCAGTGACAACCTGACCTACTACTCATACGTGGCCTTCAAGGTACGGCGTACCATTTTCCTTCACACTGTAACTGGGTTTGAAACGCTTCCGTGATGTTTGGTCTTTAAGGGGGGACAGCCAGTTTGTAGGTATCAACATTCTGCCCTCTGGCCCAGTATCCGCTGATGATGTCATTTGTGGTGAAGTTGACCTGCTTCCTGGCATCCCCGCAGGACGTTGAGGCGCTCAAGGAACACATCAAGGGCGAGGCTGTGAAGAAGTTCATCGAGTGCGTGCCTACACCCACCCCATTCAAAACTGAGCAATTAATGCTGAAATCTTGAATGCCGTATGGCCTGTTTGCCTGCTGAAGAGTGGTCGTGCTTGCCTAAGACTAGTGCTTGCAGCACTCTGGCAGCCAGAGCTGTTGCTGCTGAGCTTTTTTTGTAAGATATCACCCCCTTTTTGACTTGTATCTGGCCGACCTTGACCCTGTTCTATTTATGGTAATGGTCAGCCATAGACTTACATGGGAAAGTGTGCTGCTTGCAGGTACACTGCCAAGGAGAGCATTGCCATCTTCACCACCCCGGTGTATGTGATCGAGTGAGCGGACAAGCTTGGTTCCTGATTGGCTGGAGCGTTGCTTCAGCCCACAGGCGGGCCTCTTGCGTTGAGTCAAGATACTGTACATGTTGGTACATCAAATGTAGATTCTGTTGTGGTCCTCTTCGCACAGGCAACTGGGAATGGTCTTGTAGATACAGCGTGCCAGTGTGAAGAAGGAATATGTCTTGGGCTCAAATGAGGCCATTGTAATTGTTGTACTCTTTCTGGCGTACGAAAGCTTGATCCACTTCTACTTAGCTCATTTGCAAGTTTCATGCACTTTAATTTCAACGAGAGGATCACAGTCGCTGCATCTTTGCAGTGAAATCCAGACATGCAATAAACTTCTTGCAAGCGCTTGCAAATGAGAAGATTTCTCATGCATCTCTTGAAGATACTCAGGATTTTGCTGCTCTGCAATACATTTACACATCGATGTTCTGTACAGTTGCGTGGCCACACGCATCCACAGACACAACTCCTCAAGTATGCCGAGCCCTTAACCTCAGAAGCTCACCACATGCATGGTGTGATACGAAGCACAATTGCTACAATCTCAAGATACAAGAGAGAAAATAGTCCTGCTCAGGGTAAGATACATGGTAAATATACAGGGCAGGACTGCTGGATTTGTACATGGACCTTCGCAGAAGACATAATGGCCTTCTGCAATATCTATTCTGCATAAAGCACACAAGCTGGTGCCCGGACAAGGCTACACTACAAAGCGTAGCGTCAAGTTTTATTCAGGACGTTTTTATACAAGCTACTGCTGTACAAGACTTCCTGTCTACGCAGCACCAAGGAATTGGAAGGGATATAAAGGCAGTTGCTGGAATGATGAAAGCTTGGGCACATGGCAGTGAGGTAAGACTGCAGCCACTTTGCATGTGCTGGCCTGCAACCACTCCTTGCACTTAGCTGCCTTCTGCCACATCTCGGACCCCTAACCTTTTGCAAAACTGCGGTGCACTTATTCTGTATGGCACCCTGGCCGCTTGGCCAAATAGCTATGCCTAGACCTCCCACCTAGGTGTTTTACCCCAGACCGCTGCACCCTTCTCCTAAGGTGTGTGCACGAATCTACCCCAGAGGATGCCTCCTTGCAACACACCCCCGCCACCCTGGGGAAAGGGTGTACTTCAGTGGTGAAAACTTGACGCCAGACAATCAACCTCAGATTTGAATCTGTCAGCATGGCAGGCGGCGCTTCTTGCAGCTGAGGGCTTTGCCCCGGAGTACCTCGCCATATTGGAGTGATCTAACGAAGGTAGCCGTCAAACGCCCAGAAATCAAAATCCGCATTCGAATCCGTCAGCGCGACAGGCTCTGGGTGAGATTCGAGGGCGGCCGTCAGACGCCAAGAATTTCAAATTCAAATTCGAATCTGTCAGCGTGACAGGCGGCGCTCCTCGTAGCGCTCCGGGTCGAGGGCGTTGCGAGCGCCGAGCAGCGCGGCACGAGCGGCCGCCGCGCCTCCCGACAGCGGCCCCACCAGAGCCTGCGCGCACATGCGGCTCACTCAGTAGTTCTGTCATCCAGAAGGTTACTCATCACGCATGTCCACCCAGACTCAACTCCCTTCTTTAGATCACCGAGAAAAAAGGCGACTCTTGCCTGGAACTTGTGGGGAGCGTCCCCCAGCAACCACCCACGAAAGTGTCAACTTCCATTGCAATGGACAATGCTCTAATAGCCGTGCGAATATGGCCCACAAATGTCAGCACAAAAGCGAACGTCTGCACGAGCCCAGGTAATTTCTGAGACATGAGAGGACACCTCTCTCGAGGCAATGAAGAGGGATCTGCACCTCTACAGATTTTTCCCTAATGGTCAGCAACAAGCAGATCAGCCAAGCCAAAATGCCCATTGCCATACGCACAAAGATCCATTTTTTACAAGATGAACTGAACTGCTCAGGCATTGAGGCATCATCTCGTGAAGGCACTAATATAGGGAGGAGGGAATCTGCACCTGGGGGGCAGCGCGGAGGGCGCGGCGGGTGTAGGCAGAGATGGAGTCGGGCCGGTGCAGGGGCGCCTTGAGAGCCGCAGCCGCCCCGCTGAAGCCGCGCTGCAACCTCTCGGCCGCCACCTGCCACAGCGCAGCAGCAGCATCTCAGGTGTCAGGGCTCTTGTTCTCACCATAAAATTCTCGAAAAGCGCAGCGCAGCAATGTGCAGTCTGGGATCAAATTCTTGCATTTGATGACACAGAAGAGCTCCCCAGCTGGCCATGGATGCATGCAGCTACACTCAGGCCTTGCCATGTAAAGATCCAATAGGTCTTCAGGGAATACGCACCATTGTGTGTGTGTGTGTGCAGACTTGCTGCTGCAATGCTGCCAGCCAAGGGGAACAGGGCAATGCCGCTGCAAAGGGCAACTTGTCCGCATGCTGCATTACTCCACACACCTACTGACCTTGACATAACACATATCGAGGGCGAAAGGGGCGCGCGCACCTTGAGGCCCTCGGATACGCCGGCCGGCTGATCGGAGCCAGAGTCGGAGGCGCCGCTGAGAGCAACCTGTACGCTCCCCAGCGCACTCGCACTCAGGCCCAGCATCTCCGCCAAAATCGCGCGCACCAGCCCTGCAAGCAGTGTCAGGTTCATCAATCCTACCTTGGAGGCCACATATTGTGTCTAAAAGGCTACAGGGCTAGGCTCCTCCAGAGCAAACATACAAATAGCACTGCCCTTCGACCAGAGAAGCTTCATAACAAAGCTGTGTTGATTGCACGTGCAAAGGCTAGAACAGCACACCCTGCATCAATGCACAGGTATCGGATGGGTTCTAGAGATAGGGGTGAGTCAGCTGAACGAAATCTACGTGCATTTCTGCAGTCGTTCTGAGGATGTCAGGCGTTTGAGGGAGCTGTTTTTGAGGGCAGGGGGAGAGAATTAGAATCCGCACCGGTGAGGGAGCGCTGAAGCTTCCGCGAGAGGGGCGGCGCGCCGTTGGGCCGGGGGGCAGCCCCCCCGTCGCGCCGCAGCTGCTCTGCTGGGATTGCTAGTAATGCGCCGGCCGCCGTCCCGACACGAACCAACGAACGGATCGGCGCGTAGCCTGTCAAAAACTTGTGCGCCTGCGCAATAACAGATAGGTCAGCTTAAATGTCACTTCATTACACCCTTTCAGAAGCCATTGGCTCAACCAGCCCAATAGGTGCCATTGCAGAGAGTGTTGAAAAACTATGACTGCAGCTCAATGCGCAGCAAGTCCATGGTCTCTCACAGATGGCGGTAATCTGCATGCTCTGCATCTGGCTGATCGAGCAGCAGTAACTTCCCGGGCTAGCTAGCTCTCTCATAGCTCCGGCAAAAAAGGGTTATACAACGTGCTACCCCAGCACCCGGGGGCTCTGTGTGATTCCCTGAGCACCAGAGTGACCTGCCAAATATGACGGCACCTGGTACGACGGAAAGGAGGCTTGGACTCCTGAGAAGTAGTCCTAGCCCCAAGGCGGGCCGTTGCTATTAAAAAGCACCCATTGTGCGCTCTGCTGTCCGTCCTCTTCCAGAAAAAACTGCTGAGTATATAAACAGACTCCTGCGGTCTCCGGTTAGGACATGCAGGGTCGCACCTGGTTGGTGGTGATATCCTTGAGCCAGTGGTCCCCGAGCGCTGAGCCGAGGGCGGCCCATCCGTGCGCGCCGCTCAGGCGCAGCGGAGGCAGCTGCAGCAGCACGTTGCCCCAGGGCGCCAGATTGAGCACCTGCGCGTATTTGACTGTCAGTCACAGCCTAACACCTTTTCATTATCCCACTACGGTGCAGGTTGTCAGGTAGGACAGCCTTGTTAGTGCATCTTGATTTGACTCAGAGTTATTTGCTGTTGGACGCTAAGTGTACGTCAATTTGCTGATGAAAGGTCACCGATCTCAGACTCAGCAATCTACTTGCAAGCCTGAAATCTACCCTTGCAGATGCATGCAGGCACGCGCGGAGCTGATTAGGAGAATGATTGTTCAAGAACCTCATACAGATGAAGAAGAGATGAGCATGTGCGAGTAAAAAAACAGCAGCGTGCCTCAGCCAGGTTGCCGGCCTTGAGGGAGGCGAGATCGAGGCGGCGTGGCCAGTAGTCCACCATCACACTGAAGCCCCACAGCTCAGCTCGCTGGAAAAACACCTCCTCGCCTGCGCGTAGCGCACAGCATGCTCTTTCAATTTCCTAATAAGCCAGTAAAGCTCATGGACAAACGCTCAATCACCAAGCAGTGAATGAACACGTCCTCGTTTGCACGTGGCAACAGCATGCGCTCTTTCAGTCTTCTAAAAACTAGTAACGCACATGAAGAGAAGCTTGGTCACCAAGCGGTGAGACACCCTCTGTACGTGCAGGTGACTATGGTGCTGCTTGGAGAACAGCTTTTAGCATTGATTTAAATAACTGCTGGGAAGTAGGTGACTGCCATCATCAACGTGGGCTGCAGACGATTCAGGAAAGTCTCTGAACAATGCATGCCAAGGCAGCACAGCTTCAATCTGACAATACGCAGATACAGCAAGAAAAACCCGGCGTGCTGGGTGGCAAAGGAGGGAACGCCACCTGCGGGGTCGTCCTCGTCAGCGGCGCTGTCATCGGCGGCCTCGTCGTCCTCGTCAGCCCAGTTGATCAGCTCCCCGTCGCCCTCGTCGGGGTTTTGGGGGGCAAAGAAACCCTGCAGGAACTCCACCACCGCCTGGTCAATGCGCAGCCGCAGCGGCAGTACCGCCGCCCCAAGCCGCAGCTCCTCTCCTCCCTCCTCGCCACCCGGCCGCACCGCCTCCAATTCCACCTGAGGGCCACCCACGCTCTCATTGTCAGGACAAAGTGGTCAGCAAGAAGGTACTGTAGTGCTTAAACTAAGACCCCCACCTTTTCAAAACTCAGTTATCGAATAAGTTCTGGCAGGGCTTTCCCGCACGCTCAAAAGCTTATATTTTGTGTTCCCGCAACCCCAATATTGGCCAACATTACTAGGAAAGTGATCTTCTGGGCTGCAATTTAGTTGTACTATGTTCCCACAGGCAACTTCGCGCACCCCCAAAACCCATACCCATTATCGAAGCATCCCGCAGGGTCAAAACCCAATTATCCTGGGGGTTTCAGTTTGAGCACTGCAGTATATGCTAGAGGAAGCTCTCATGGAACCACAACCTCCAACGTGGCGCAGAGGTGACAGGAGCAAAATGAAGTCCTGTGGATCAGCCTCATCACTGCCGACTTTCATAATTCCATGGAAGACAGCATCGCTTTGCCCAGCAGCACAGCACAGGTGGTGCAGCATGGTACAGATTTCGACCTTTAATTGATGACCGTACACCGACTATAATAATGTATGCAGCGCTCGCAAACAACAGGTCATGGGTATAAAGTACAGATGCAGCTACCCTCTGACACCAAGATGAGGGTTATGAACGGCTCAACAAGTCACGGTGGGTCAGTCGCCCAGTGGATGTGCCCCACCTGAAAGAGGCAGGCCTGGGCGTCGCGGGGCACGTGCGAGGTGGCGTGATACGCAAGTATTTTGCGCCATGCGGCCCCCCCTTCGGGGCGGGGGGCGCAGTCGCGCAGCTCGGCGTGGCGCACGCTCAGCGCGGTGCGGCGCACGTGGGGGGACCCGGCAGGGAACGCCTCAGCCTGGGCGCACAGGCCCTCCACCTCCACCTCCAGCCGCGGCCGCGCCAGCGGCTGCATCGGGTCGCCTGGTCCCCGCAAACACATGACACAGTGAGAAGCTACCACAAATAAACCGCGTTTCTAAGGTATAAATGGGGTGCCAAAGCATACCTACCACACGCAGTGCTGACCGGCAGAGGATTTCGGGAAAGATCTATCTGCTGGCTGCTGCATCAGGGACGAACATAATTTGCATACTTGTCGGCAAAATGCAAACGGAATCTCAATGCAGGCTGCGTAAGGCATTGCATTCTTGCAAGAAGGAACCGCATAAATTTCCTCCTGGTGCTGCGACCACCAAATCCATATTTAGCTGATCTGGAACACCACATCGGCAAAAGGCTATTGGATGATATTTCAGCACACATTCTTTTTGAAAACCCACACCGCCACCCTGTCATCTGATGTATTGCCCAGCACTTTGGAATGCAGAAAGGTGAAGAAACGCAGGCCGCACCGTCATTGTCGCCCGGGCTGCAGCACAGCTGCAGGAGCAGCTTGATGTCTCGCAGCACGAGCCTGGAGGCGGGCGCGGGATAATCCGGCGGCAGCGGCCCAATGGCGCCGCGGCCGAAGCCGCCGACGCCGGAGAAGCCGCCGGGCGGTCCCGGTGGGGGGACCGGCACATGGTCCGGCAGAATCTCGGGGGGTCCCATCGCAGTCCCATCTGGACCGTCCATGAACCTGCCAAGAGTATCATGCCCTTTGTGAGCTTTCTGACCGGACAACGTAATATGACGGAAGGAAAGCCATTTGTCGAGCTCTGTCAGCATTGGAACCCATTACAATGACGCCATCCCTGTGGAGCTATTGCCAGCAATGCCATCTTGGAATTTCTCCACCAAATACTGGCTCATTGGCTGGAACCAGCCCAGCCTCCATAAAAGCTTCTGAGCATTGCAAAAGCTCTACTAAACAATACCTTTGAAACAAGGTGACTAATAAAAGCGCCATTGAAAAAGCACAGACCTGCAAATCTTCATGCGTCACAAGGGCAATAACCCAGCTTGTCAGCAGGCTGGCGGAGCTGCAGACCTGAAGCACCAGTGCCCTGCGACACGCCTTACAAACGGAAGGCAGGCATGCACATGGTCTCCTTCTCAGCTACCTCGTTGCTTCACTCTGACATAGTTAACGGGTGTATATTTTTTCGGGTTGCAGCACTGAAGAGGGAACACCGCCGCACCAGTGGCCCCGTCTCCTCAGTGGATCGTAGTCTCACTGTACCATGATAATGGATTCTGTTGATTATATGTTTTCGCAACAATTTCAACATGAAAGACAGCCGCACCAGTGGCCCATCTCCTCAGTGGCGGCCGCGCCGCGCTCCGAGCTGCTGCCGCGCGGCCGGTCAAAGTGGTCGTCATACAGCGGCGGTGCCTCCCCCGAAAACCGCGCCAGAGTCGCCGCGCCCCGGCCCGGCTCCCTTCCCCTCCCCTCACCCCTACCGGCAACATACCCAAACTAAATAAAGTTTGGTGTTATTCTGATAACCTATCCTGCACCTGACAATCCCAGAGAGAATACAACTAGCCAGCGATGATGCACTAACATCTTCCATTCCTTGCAGCCCGCCTCAAAGAGCCCACAAAGCTCTCACAGCCGCGATGAATAATAACGCTGGTGCAGTGCCAATCAGGCATCCGCTCTACAGCACGAGCGGCACAAACACTCACAGAGATCACATTGCTGGCAACTTAATATATGAACAATAGCAGGGTGATGCGTGCCGGAACAGCACCTGAGCGGCCCTGCGCCGAGCTGGGCGTCTGGGAAGGTGATGGACAGGTCTGCGCCGCGCTCAAAGGCGTCCCCCAACTCCGGATTAAGCCAGCCGCCCTCCAGATACACTGAGGCAGCCGCCGACTCTTGCGCGCGTTCCCTCTGCGGCCTGTGCACACATCACATTTGTGTGACTCAGAGCGGACAGAATAATCTTGTCCACAGGACTCCATTGAGAGCAAACATCAAGAGGGGCTGCTGGTCCCATTGGCGTGTGTTTATGCACATTGTTTAAGCTGCCCGTCTACTCCGCAGATAGTCAATGGAGCCGGAAGTCAGAAATTTCTATGTGGATGGGATGTCCTATGACTACAGCTGAGAATTGAGAGGCAGAGTTTGCCTCATTCCCAATGGGTGCCCCACCTGTAGGCATCTTCTTTGACGCCCTCCATGACTCGGACGGGCGCGCCGCCGCCGCCGGCGGCCGGGGCGGAAGCGAGGGACCCCCCGCTGCCGGAGGGCCCCCCTGGCGGTGGCCGCCGGGATCCCCGCGCCCGGCGGCTACTGGCGGCGGCCGCCGGCGCATCGGCTTCGTCGGCAAATGCCGCCGCAATCTGCGCGCCAAGGGCGGACACCAGGCGGAAGGCTGGTGCCGTGAGCGTGGAATGCAGCCGCTCGTTGGAGACCTCGATCTCGAATGTGCCTGCCACAGTGGACACCCCTCAGCACTACACATAGCATCATATTGTGCTCATGATTCACACTAGCTTCAGCAGCAAACTCTCAGAGAATTCGTCCTCTGAGTCCCTGATAATTTTCTTTATACTCCCTGATAATTAGCTTGTGGGTTTTTCAAGGGACCAATCTCGCCTGGAGACTTGCCAAAACTGGAAAGAATAGAAACAAGCTGTCAACAAATTGTTGTCCTGCAACGCGTTTCCATCGTTGTACCGGGCCCTTTGGAATAGCTGGCGCAGCAGCTCTTTGAAGTGACCAGAGCTTGGCAGCATTTACTTCAACCAGCCTGGGTAAATCCATCAGGCATGGCCAGCCCCTTGCGTGCCTCAGGAGGATGAATGACAGCAAGGGCATCTAGGACAATAAGCAATTGCCTTCGCAAGGTTTGGCAGCATATTAATCTTCAGCAGGGCGCTAAGCAAATACAGCCACTGCAGTTGCCAGGGTTAAATAATTATAGGGTGGGGCGGACCGTCATCGCCGGTGGGGGGCCGCAGAGCGACGCGCAGGAGCGGCTCTGATGCAATGAGATGATAGCCTGCCCGCAGCAGGTGCGCGCCCGGCACGTCGGCCGCCGCGCCCGACTCCCACTCCCGGCCGCGAGCCGCCGCCTCCGCGCAGAACATGCTCGACGAGCGAAGTTCTATCGTCTGCATTAGCACAGAAGACGTCTTGGCTTGGCTGGTACAATGCAAATACACTACACACCATATGGGTTATATAGACTCAGTCGTACACATTTACAACACAAAGACCAACTTGTCCATTTTGGCTAAGTCCTCATTCGTCAGGTTCGCTCTGAGCATCTTCCAGGTCCCATAATCAAGCTGTTTAATTGCACATTGAACAGCTTGTGTATGGAAGCGTGGAGACTCTGAGAGTGGAACTTGACAAACGATGCTGATGTGCCTCAGCAATGAAACACAGACAGCCACCATGTGCATGCCTGTGGCCATATTGAAGCTAGAAACGGGCTCACCAGGGCGGGATCTGCAGGGCTGATGCGCGTGTGCAGGCCCCCGACCAGTAGAGCTGCCGCAATGTCGGGCCCAACTTCCTCCGTGGGGATCTCTGGAGGCTCGTATCTCAGTGCACAATCCTGCAAGACACTCCACATCTCACATTTGCCACCTATTTTATCTCCACCTCTTATATCTAAATGCACCGCTGCAGCTGCTCGCTGCTAGTGAATCGTCTAAAGCAGCAAACCAGCAAGTCACACATCCTTACTCCGCATGCAGGCACATTGAACGCATGGCCTGAACAGGTGAGTGCAGAAGCTTGTGATACGTCATAGCTTATGCGACCTTTATAAATGAACAGCTCAAAGAACCAAGCTCACCTGCAGGTGGACATCAAGGTCCAGGGGAGGGGGAGGCGGGGCCTCCGGCAGGTCGCCAGAGCAGGCGACGCTGAAAAAGTCCCCCAGCTGGCCGAGCCAGGGCAGTGTCAGATCCCCATCGGCCGCCGAGAATGTCGCGCCGCGCGCCGCCACGCTTGCTGCCGCCTCGATCAGCGGCTGCTGCTGCCGCAGCGCGAACGCGCTGCCCGCAGCCGTATCCCGGCCCGAGCTGCTTTCCTTGTCTGGCACCGCTGGCCTGCAGCACATCATGATGGCTTCTGAAGACGATAGAATGGTGTTTTAAGGTGTATTCCAAG